CAAATACTACCTAGACTGGGTACTTGAAGAAAGAAAAAAAGTAGGTGGTAGGTATCGCGCCGATACTACTACGGCCCGGAGCGGTGTGAGACCTCTGGATAGGAATTGAAAGGGAGTCAACCACAAGAAAAATAGACGAGCAGGTTGTGAAGCGGTGTGACTTATGTTGAATATTAGGCGCCCAGTTACCGTGTAACGGGATTTGAAGAATTTGACTTGAGGGTTGCCGGAAGATATGTTCGATAGGCCTTGAATATTTTATTATTATTTTAGGGGTACTATACATTATGTGGTTTTACTATATCATGTACAGTACAACACCATCAACGTAACCACCACCATCGTTCGGTAGCACGTATCCATTATCCATATCCATACTAAGTGATACGACAGCAAGGGTCTGTATATTGCCTAGTGTATCTAGTGTAGGTATCTAGGGTCCTTGATGAGGGGATACATATGCACATCAGACTCGATGCTAAACAGACGATCTACCGATTCCCTCTCTCGTAGACTTGTTCTATGCCGACTTAGACTGGTTTGAAATCTTGTCGCATTGCCAACGGCGGAACGGCGCGACAAGTCATTGCCAAACGCGCACTTTGCGATTCAGGTTGTTGGGATTATCATTACTACGAGAGCGCAAGTTGATAGACAATTGATAGACAGAGGGGATCGCTTTTAACCTGCTTATGGTGTTTCTCCTTTTGTACGGGGCGATCAAGTTATAAAAATCCCCGCCGACTATACCCCTCTCGTCGATGAATCCCAGCCCTCCTTATTGCTATACCTTCGGCCAACCAACGGACATACCATCGTACCATTGTGGGTAGCACGCCACTCACAAACTACTGGTGTCATTTCACATTATCTGAAACGCATGCGAAAAAAAGTGTAGCCACGCGTTCGTTGGTGATCGCACATAATACTGCGTACATAGCTGTATAGAATGACTCTGTTAGTGGGTCCCTTAGCCACGCCGCGGGGTCGTTTTCGCAAGCAAGATGACATTATTTCCTGTGACTACGCCCTATGAGAGGCTCACGATGGGATTCATTATAGCATCCAAGATTGCCGTCGCTATTCTCGTGTGGAGTCAATGACATAATTGCTTCCCCAAGTTCGGGAAAGAAACTCAATCGTTGAAAGTTGTCAAAGAGGGGTCCTCAGGATCTAGATATCTAGCCTTGCCAGCATTTGACGTATGGTGGGTGGCTAACTTTATTAGTCTTTACCATTGAGGGGGTGTAAAGTCCTCCATTATAGCCAATCACGAAGAGCCGTAGTAGTAATGGAAATTGATAGACGAACACGGATCAGCTTAACCTAGCAACCTAGCTAATATCAACAAAAGCCGAAGGGAAAAAAGACCATGTTGTCGATTCTTGAGTCTATGAATCAGTGAGTAGATAGATAACAAAGTGAATGGATAGGATATATGGAGCAACGGTTAAGATCAGCAAGTAACTAGCTCAAAGTTGATTAATGAGGATTGATATTCAAAAGTTGAAAAGTCGAGATAAGTTAATTGAACCTTCTAGTCTAGTAGGTCGTAGGTCATTGAATAGTTGTAACAATGTCCCATAGACTTACTTTATGATATGCTTAGTGAGGTATATAGATGACCACCTGAAGCTATTCAGACTTGTTTGCTGCAATAGACCTCAGCGTTTTTTCGGCGGTTGATAGGAATTCGGGATTGGTAGGGTCCAGGGTCAAGGTAATACGGACCTCTGTAGGCGAGATTAAATAGGTTAGGTAACTCCATTCGGGGTGCTAGTTCGTAGGTAGTGCACAGACGTTGGCCTCAGCGTCTATGTACAGTACAGGAGGCTAACGGGAGTAAACGGGTTGGATTATGACGATCAGATACGAAGGATGCGAGATGAAGGAATGGACAAGGTCCTCATAGACAAGGGTCCCATGGATGGACCCTGATATACCTGAAAGTGGGCAAATTTGGGTTTACTCGGGGCTTTTCAAATTACTTAAGCTCCAGGGCTCTTTCGCCTAAGGGTTAGTACCTACCTATATACCTAGTATGTAAAGCATTAGGCTGCTGGGTAGGCGCTGACGGGTGCAGTTGCAACGCGATGCTTCAAATGACCTCACAAAAAGGTAGGTACCTACATAACCTTAATATCAGCTGCGACCGGCGACCCTGACAATATAATACGTTGTAATTGTAATGTCCGGACTATAAAGGAAGGAACGTGGGTTATTATTATAAGTTTGGGGGTATTTCGTAAACAAATGCCATTGTAAACAAATAATAGGAAAGTCGAAGAGAAAAGGGGAATTACTCCAACTCGATGAATCCGATGAGTTTAATAAATATCGATGGTGGTTAGGATTTATTGCATTGAAGGTGCATTGTATGTTACTTGCACTGCATGTCACGGGGGGAAAATGTCGAAAATGTCAGACCATTTAGCCATGATGTGCATTTGAATATACTGAATATACGGAGAAGGTGTAGGTACAATTGTTGAAGTGGGTTAATAAAATGTGAGTAAAAATGTAAATGATTTAAGTTAATAAGTACATGATCGCGAACCGAACTGCAAGTGCTGCAAGTTAAAATATAATAATAAATTATAATAAGTAAGTGTGGCTTTTCATAGTCAGCCATATCCAATCTTATGAGAGTTTCACAGCATTAGTGCATGTTACTAAATTTTGTCGAATAGTACAAAGAAAAAATCATGAGATTGTCATTTCAAATTTTTGAAGCCGTTGAGGGGCCATGGAAATATTTCTTGCACTATCATAACAGACGGACTTATGGAGTAGATACTAAGTTGAAGTTCTTATTGTTGCTACTCACGATATCGACATGGGTTATTTAGCACTCCTAAAAAATTAACATCGGTACCCTTGACCAAGTCTCGAGCATGTTCTTTGCATGGGGGTACATCCCTGGTTCGTAGATTGCGCTTTGGCTTCAAAAAATGGTTGCTGGGCATCGAACATAATAGGGTCCTTTTTTTCTGTGTTCCCAAGGTTTCTACAAATTCTTATTCGATCGCGATCAACCTGGTTTTTGATGCACCCCATCACGGAATATGTAGAAAAAGCTGGTTATATCGACATCATTCGTTCGGGTTCGGAATAAGGGGTTCTATCAGAAATTGTTCGAAATAGCTAATGAGCAATAGAATACTATGTGTGCCGTGCATGATTGTCTCGTTGTTGTTGATCGATATCCTGGCTCGGACGATCATATACGGACATTCCCTAGGCGGTTAGACCGGGCTTTGAACGGCATCGTCTGCATTGTGTGGTCGGTAGGTGGTATTGTACACGAACAAGTATGTAATTGTACGTTAGTTATGGTACGTACAAAGAAATTCTAGGCCTTTTCGATCCTAATGGAACTAATTGGGACTGATGGGCCTGATGGACCTTCGATGGATCAATCTGATGCAGAAAGCGCCCGTCAGGTAATGCAGCTGTCAAACAGACAATGAACGATAATCTCGTTATTGGACACAATACATGACCATACACGGAATACATGGCTGATCAACTTCGAGTGTGACCTATTGACTGGTCAAAAGGTACTGGGTCCAGCTAATGAAGCCCACGCCCATCTGACGCATTGGCGCCAAAGTCTTGTCTGAGCCGCGCAGCCCATGGAGTCCGTGAGATGTTACGGAACTTCTAGATGTAAATGTTTAGGGGAGGCTGCGAAAAATAATATAGCGGGTTCGGCGGGGTGCGATACCGCTGTGGACTGCTGTAAGTCAACGATAATCAACTATAATCCAGTGTAGCACCTGCTGCAAGATACTGCGGGTTTACTTAAGAGACAGGCGCTAGAATCCCATAACGCTACATAACGCTAACACCAGGTGTACCAGTACTCGGTACGCCATTTTGCCCCAATTCGCTTGTTCAGGTGGACACCGGTACCCACACTTGACCGAGAACACCCCAGTAGTCGCTACCCACCACACCAAATTTGTAGGGGCTTGGCATTTTGCATGTGGGCATGGGGCAGGCGGCCGACCCCATTGATCAATTTTAATATTTGGTATAACTCTTTCCATCTCCCCAGCCGCCGCGCAACCTCCTCTTCGTCCTCTCTTAGCTTTTGCTAGCACTTTAATATCAACACCCTCTTTTTCTTTTTTTCCTGGGTGATAGTGCCAGAAAAGAAAAAAAGGTCGAGAGAAAGAAGATAGACAATATACTTGTCTTTTTCTTCCTTGCTGTCGCTCTCGACTCTCCTATCGGCTCTGCTCTTTTGCCTTTCACCCCAGGCACGAGCATTCTCCCTTTAATGGTAATTAGTAGTTTTTTTACTACAACATTCCAGAGACGACCTCTTTTCGTCCGAGGGGGGAATTTTATAATAAAGAGGTATGTGAATTCTCTACCCTATGATCAAACTTTCACATCCCTCGAGCCCAACCCCTCTTCAGACCTGCCTTACCCGTATTGTGTTGCTTTGTGTGTTTTGCCTTGGCTGTGACGCCGATTATATTTCGACTCGACCAGACCTTTTTCGTTATCTTGGCCTCTGATACTCGTTTGTTCGTGCTGTGATATTATCTCCGTGACCCAAATGCGCTACCGGATCTGTGGAGTCACTTTACTTGCCGCCTGCTGGTTTTCACGTGGGGAGTGTGGTTGGTGCAAACGTACTGAGTCAAGAAAGAGTCTTGATTTCCTTCGAGTCATGGATACACCCACTTCCCTTATACGCCTTGTTTCACACCTAGCTAGTTGCTTGTTTTGTGAATGTTTGTAGATAGGCTATACAGACGTGGACAATGAAACCAAGTTTCGACTACCGACACTAACTCTCCACTCTCTATAGTCCAGACAGGTCATTTGACTAGACAGGCACCACGCGGGAGCCTCTTCCAAATAGAAGAACCGGTCCTTTATATCCAGGAGACGCCTGCCAGTCTCCCGAGATAATACATAAGATCGAGTAATATCGTGAATCTTATCTCAGACCATCCTCCATGTCTCCCGGACGATAAAGGAAGATGGATTCAGAAGACGGGGAGCTGTACGTTAAGGTATGGTGGTCTATATAATATAATATTGGATGTTGGAGGTCCATACTAACATATAAAAGCGCCTGGCCGTTTATGTGCGGACGCACGAAAAGGCATTGGCCAACGCCTTACAGTCTCGAAAGCCATCTGGCCCACGACATGGCCCTAGTCAAAGCGTTTCCTCTATCCAGGTCCCAAAATCACCGACTCTACCTGAACGGCCTGCCACCTCCGCCTCATCATCTAGCCCTCTTGCAACAGCACTATCACTCGGCTCGCTGAGTTTAACATCTAATAATGTCAAATCAGCGAGGCTGAGCTTGACGCCGCATCATCTATTCTATCTGTTATCTCGATTTGAGGAGATCGGAATACACGTTGGACCTATGAAGGTGCGCCTGGAAAACCTACATGATACCTCAGCCAACTACGTTTCGTTCTTAAGCTCTTCTCAACGTACGAAGAGCCGTGGCTCTGATGCGGTATCAATACGTTCTGTATCGAGCATTCGAAGTGTTATGTCGGGGATGTCTGCTCTATGGAACAGCTTCGGGATAGGATCCAGTATATCTGCTGCTCGGATGGAGAGACAGAAAGCCGCCCTACAATCGGACCTCAAGTACCTGTATTCCGCATTCACCAAGATACCATGCCTCCGACTCGCACCGGACTGGCGAACGAAGCTAATCAAGGGATACGAGGAGTTCCCTTTCGATTCAGCAGTTCCCTTATACGTTTTCAAGAATCTGCAGGCGTTGGAGGTTAACGGTGTAGACTTCAGGCAGTTCTTTGGTTGGGATCGCATGGCGGACCAAATCCGATCTCTCACCCTGAGACGTGCCAACATCGAGGATCCAGCTGATATACTCATCGACATTGTATTGGACGATATGGACAAGAGGCGGCGTCGGTCTTCCAAGACACAGTCCTCTCCTACCGGCGCATATTCCCATGTATCGAACCCAAGACGTAGCCCAACGATATCATACTCGGACCCTCATAGGTCCAGTGCCATGCCAGAGTATCCGGGGCGTCGATATTCGGTAGCGGACATACACATAGGATCGATGAGTACCGAATCAACTGATAGCACATTAACCCAGGACGCCCGGCGCCCTTCTGTCTCTAGAGTCGAAACCGATGAGCCAAAGTCAAGCAAGTCGCGACCAAGAAGCCATTCTCCTAACCGCCCCGGTGCTTCACGTCATCACACTACGAACTCGAGAGCTTCGCATAAGGTGAAGCGTTCCGGCTCTGGTAGTTCGCATTCCAGCTTGTCGGATTCATGGCATAACCCACGAAACAGTGCATCCAACCTCCTGGCTATGGGCATTCTCCCAGTCGCCAAGTGGCGATTCCTGAGGCATCTGAGCTTGGCGGATAACTCCCTAACAGTGATACCCGCAGCTAGTCTTGCTCCTTTGGCCAACACCTTAGCTTCTTTGGACCTCTCGACAAACCTCTTTACACAAATACCCGATAGCTTAGCAACTCTTACCGCGCTTCGTGCTCTAAATCTCTCCCATTGCATGATCGACTCCTTACATTCCTTACTCCGAAATCCTCTCCCGGCTATCAGTGCTTTGAACCTCCGTGCCAACCGCCTCCAGTCGATCGCCGGCATTGAGAAACTCTACCCACTGGAGAGGCTAGACCTTCGAGATAACCGCTTGACCGACCCAATGGAACTAGCTCGCCTAACAGGAATACCTGATATCCGCGAGATTTATGTCGAGGGTAACCCATTCACGCGGACCCATAGGGATTACCGGATCACAATTTTCAGCCTTTTCCGTAATACTCCAGGCTACACAGAGGATGTTATCATTGATGGCTCAGGCCCTAGTCTTTCCGAGAAAAGGTACCTTGTGGACCGCGTCGCTATCCCCGCTGCCGTCCCGGTGGTAAAACCGGTGGTGCCGGAAGTCCCTGCTGTAGATGTGAGCAAGCCAGCCATCATTTACGAAGCACCAAGGGAGCCTGCGGTCTTGCGTAAGGAGCGACCATCTCGTCCTACTCCCAAAGCAGTAGCTAGTGAGGTCAATACTAGCTCGACGAGACGTCGACGTACTCCGAAGCGCAGGATAGTGGACCTAGCTACGAACGATCGTGCCAGTGATGCACAGAAACAACATGACGATATTGCTCCTGGTTCGCCTGTGGCAGTAATCGAACCAGACAGTAACTACCGTGTGTCTCAACCCCCCGAGATACAAGAAATATCGCCAAAGATCATCCCCGAAACAAAGTTATCCGGCCCCATACATCTACCGGAAGTACCACGTATCGATACTAGCCCAATTTTATCGCCCCCAACATCATTTATGAGCAAAGAGAGTCCAAGTATATGGGGAGATCCCCAAGATTGGAATGTCAGTGGCGAAATCTACCGGCAGAAAATTGAAGCTCTACGAGATAAGGTTGGCAATGGATACCTAAGTGTCCTGAATGAGGAGAGTTGGGAACCTTCTCGACCATCATTCATCACTGGGGACTTTAGTCCTACTTCGACCATACGGCCTAGCCTTGCTACTCGTACTCCCAGTGCGCAAGCAATTCCCAGTGGTGGCAGCTTAGGCTAATCACCCTTTTCTTTCCGCTTTAAATGCGGCCTTGTTCGATGGCATAACCACATACCCTTTTGTGTGGATTTTTTGACACTACCACCCCATCATCGCATTGTGTTATTCTAGTCATATTTGTTTTTGGAGCATAGCGTTTCGGCGTTCGACGGAAGGGATTCTTTTTTTTCGGTTTGCATTGTTTACGTCTGTGGTACCCCCATAGTCTGCATTGTTTTTCGCTTTATTATAGCCCGCAGATGCGGGTGGAGGTCGCCATGTCTCATGAGTCGTTTTGGTACAAAGGGGAGGAGGAACGCAGGTTCGCTTGTAAAGAAAGAGATTTCGGCGCGAGAGGCCTTTAGACCAAATACCCAAGTTTGGAACGAACAAGAGAGAGCATGCATGCAGAAGTGTGTTTATGGTTTCACTTTTTTCGTTACCCATCTCCGTTTATATCCATGCTTTCGGTTTTTTATTCGCCCTCGTCAGGCGTTCGAGGGTTACGAAAGATCCGGTTCATCGCTTCCATGTTTTTAACTCGGCTTCTTCTCGTAGCTTGAGGCAAATGAGAACCGCGTCTGACCTTTTCTGCGTTCGATGGCCAGGAAAGGAAGGGTAGGGATTAGGATTGCCCTGTGTGCGATGGAAGGAAGGAAGGATGGTTCATAGTAGAACGAACGGGTTGCTTCCCTGGTGGAGGGGACGGTTAATGAAAAAAACATGCATTTCTCGCTGTCTTCTGAAATATTGTCTTGGTCTTGTAATTGTATGTGACTACTGCTGTTACTGTGTATTGTAGTGAGTTGTCCTGGCCGGCTGGGCTGTTCACGTGTAACTACTTATGAATCATGAATTGGGGGTATTCGTATTGAAGTTCGTTAATAGGATTATGAGAACACTTCGTTATTGTTAGACATGCTATATGTGTGATGTCCCATAGTAACCTCTACCACATATCGCCCCAACACAGTAGCAATGTACTTAGGTACCTAGGTAGTAGGTAGGTAATAGAACTTCTTGATATGGTGCCAAATATTCACATCCATTTCTATCTATTTCCGCCTCGCAGGCGACAGTTGAGTTCATGCTTCTCTACTCGTCTAAAATTCAGATGCTCAGTTATATAAATTCAGAGACTTGAGGTAGCTTATTATTTAACCTAATTCTGGATTGGCAATGGTCTGAAGTTGCTGTTCGCGAGGCGGCAGCTGTCAAGAGCATCACTTGCTCCGTAGTGTCATCCCCTACGAATACTAAAGGATTTGTCCCATATAATAAGGGATAGTGGCTATACTCGACATGTGCTCGAATTTTTTGTTCCGACGCCGGTTGTGTGTGTCAGGTGCTCTATTTGGCTCCAGTCGCTTATAGGATGTTCATATCTCGTAATACAGCGGCTCGATGCGCTCATGAGCCATGTATAACATATCGCCGTATGGCGTTCAAGTAGAGGCGGTCGTAATGTATGATTTTATGTCGAGTCGTAGTTAAGAGCGAAGTGTCTAACCCCTACTCATGGTGGTAGGTACAACAGGCCCATGTAGAGTATTTGATCTTGACCTTGACAAATTTCCAGGGAAGTACGTAGATTGATTACTTTCGGAAGAGTCGGTCTTAGTCAGATGGATCGATGAGTGGTGGTCGGCGGGTCCGATGAGCAATGGTAGAGCGTGCTGTCAGCAAGGGGAGGATAAGTTAACATTACTGTGGTGCCTAGGGAAGATGTAAGGACCTCCAATGTTAAATGATTGTTGAAATTCCAGGGTTTTCCTAGGCAGGCCCTAATTGTCATCAAGGTTTATGAAGGTCTATGCGTATACTTCCTGGTAATCTATCGGTCCATATCTTTTCCACTGGTCGGGTTTTGTTGCACGCCATGACGTTTCTGATGGGTTTCCCGACTTGATTCTCGAAACCAAGGATAATACGACTTCGGTTAAGTGACATCTTCATACCCTCGAAACTAAAAGTTTTGCTTCGCATTTCAAGTACGTAGGAGGTGCTATATACAGTAGTGCCCAATATCGGTTCCACTAAAGCGGAGAGTTAGGTGTTACGCCTGTTCACTACGTACCTAGACTCACAGATATCGTGGCAACCGGATCTAAATAGGCCCATATATCACGTTGGCGATTTAGTCACCGACTTTCCTGACCGTAGGATGAGTTGACATTAATCAGCCTAGAAGCATTATGAATTGTGTACCAAACTAATCGTATCGTAGTACCAACTTACCGCTAGCAACTTTCATGCCCAATGTCTTTTCTTTTTCCAGACAATCTCGCCCTTCACGAAATTTGAGTAAGACGCCACTTCGAGTCGATACTGGTATATCCTAACGCCCAACATTTATTTCTTGAACTTTATCCAGAAGACCCGGATTGAAAAGTTGGATAGAAAAATTTGCGGCTTGTCGGATCTGTCTGCCAAGGCAAAGAACTCCCATGCCTTCAGAATTGGTAAGACTCAGCGTCACTAAGACTTATTAGCGAATTAAATGATTAAAAGACCCCTACGTTGAATATGATTCGGTGTGAAGATAATTAACCCTTGGAGAACGGGTTGGAAACTCCACATTCGGGATCTATCGTCGCAGGATCCGTTCCCAGCGCCCCTATAATAAAGTCTCGCACAATCCTCAACAAGCAAGGGGTCAAAATGCGGTAAAATAACAGCGTCATCTTTAAATATCGCCGCAGTATATCTTAATGACATTAGTGGGTATGGACTAGAATTTTATAAATGTAAGCAAATTTGGGAGTGGTTTAAAGGGGTTTTATCTTCCGCACTTCCGAAGTTACCCTCTATCGCATCGATGCGTGAAGTCATAAAAACGAATAAGAATAAGAAGGCGGGTACAAGAACTTCATATGAATATCAACCTCAGTTTAACGTCCGATTGAGTTAAAATATATATATTTAGTTGGGGTTGCGCAGTGTATGGGGAGTTGGCATAGAACTTGCATGCGCTATCGGCCGGAACGTATGCGAACAAAACATTACGAGTAACCAAGTAACCGACGATCAGGGAAAGAAAAGGAAAATGAAAGAAATGCATCGCGATATTATAAAGGGTAGTATGCGGCGTGGGCCGTAAGCCCAACATGGCCGACTTCGAGACCAATTTTCTGCCTAACATGCCGAACACGGAATCTCGGATCTTTGAGGATTTAAGAGCGCACAATGTCGACATTGGCGATCGCTTTCGCGCACGTATAGAGTAGTGTTTTGATTTTTCTTTTCGGGAAAATGGCAAGTACCGGAGTAATTCTAGTTGCAATCGGTTAACTCGGAGACCCATAGCCGATGAAGAATCGAACGCCTATCGAAGACTGAACACAGATCTCAAATTGACACTGCGGATTTCGCGATCTCATCGTATCTATATGCATGTGTATGTATACACGGCATGGGCCAGGCCGAGGCCTAGGATTGACCTGACTTACATGTAGCTCGGTAGTGTCATCTTCAGGAATGACGAAAGAGGGAAAAAAAGGGAAAGGCCAAGCTACCACTGCGGCTGCGGGAATGACGGGAATGACGGGAATGACGTGCAGACCCGTACCTACCCAACTGGTATGACGCACGGAAAGTGGGAGTTGCTTGATCGGAGGGAAGGGACCTAGGGGTCTAGATCGACAGGAACGACCCTTTGGCGAAACAAGGGCGCTATGGAATTAGCACATGGTCATGACTGGTTCAAAAAGATTGAATTAAATGGCAAGCTCGGTAGGGCTGAGTCTAGAATTGGAAGCTACACCCTTGAGCTGATGAACCAATGTGTGAGACCCCACCCCTTTTTAGGATGTGTGTTTGTATCTGATTGGTGCGCAGAATCTATAGACCATCTTTTTTTTTTCTCGAGGACAATATCTCACTTGCCTAGCAACCTTATTTTTTTTATTTTCATCCGAATCTCTTGGCCAACAATTAACATTTGTGACGAAAATATTTTCCTTCAAAGGAAAATGATTGATATTTTCGACTATGAATCACTAAAACTATTTCGCAGGACGGATATCTTCAGTGACAGGTCTATTTCCGACAATTGAATCTACATTCGATATATTCGCATATTAATATGAATTACTCGTGGACATAGTAAGCTTCGTCCGAAACAAGAAACGGTGATACCAGTGGAGAAAGATCTACGCAGGATAAGTGGCTGATCCAAAGATTCGGGGTAGTTGCAGCTAAGAATGGTCCGGGGTGGAGAGGGGCTTCTTAGCGCTTACATAATTGTGGCGCGTTAAACTTTTCCTTTTAGGGGCTAGACCCAACACCTCCAGCCGACTTCACCAGCGCGTCCTGACTGCTTTTCGCCATTTCTCGACGACATCTCCTCAACCACCACCTCTCTATCCGACACTTTTGCCCAGAAACGATTCCACGAAACCATCTAGTGTCAAAACAAAATATCCGACATATCCAACTGACACTCCTCAAATGCCTGTTTCCCGACCTCGTCCGCTTGATAACGCCCCTCGCCTCCTCCTTGCGACGCGCTGATTAAGGCACCTCCTATCATCACCAAATTCCTATAATTTAACGATTTTAATACCCCAGAAGTGATGGCGCCCGCCCCGAGGACCCCTAGAACGACTGGGACTTCGCGCCCGCGAGGTCGACCGAAAGGCTCTATCAACACTGTGCGACGCGTTCGAGACGGCAGCATTGTAGCTGCTACTGAGCCTCCTTCCAAGCGACGACGATATGCTGCTGGTGGTCCTGGGGGTTCTAGTAGATTTACTGATCCTATGGGCAACGGTCAAGATGGTCCAACCGTTGCGACTACCGGCCGCTCGAGGGCGCGGCACAGTTCGCAAAACGGTGCGGCATCCCCCGCTATATACCCTAGACGCGAACGTAGCACCCGCACCCGAACCGCAACTCGAGTTGAAGTAGATGACGAAAAACAAATAAGCTCCGCAGCTGCAGTAGCCGCCGTCGTCCAGAGTGAAGGATACAAACCCAGAGAAGAGCGTGGTTGGGAGGAATTTCACCCGAACCTTGATATAGACGCCACGTTTATGATGTTTCATGCCGAAGATGTGGATGGAACCGCGAAACCTGTACCTGAGACTCCCTCAGCAAAAATTGCTGGCATGGATGACAATGATATCGGTGGCCTGTCGAAAGATCCAAATGCGGCATCAACATCTTTCCTACACACACCTAATGCCACAACAAGCAACACTGTATCCCTCAATACACTTAATACAACTCCATCTAGAAGACGTGGCGGCCGACTATCACGGGGAGATTCCTTATATGCTACTCGTGGGGATCAGCAAGTGGCACCAAATACACCTACCCCACTCCCTATCCATGGCCAGAACACTAAAGAGAAGCTGGATCTGAAACAACCCTCATATAGAAAGACGGATCGCATATTGCTTTTTGAGAGTAAGACTTTTGGGCAAGCACGATATGTTGAAAAGGCAATGATGAATGTCGGATACCAGGAGAGCGACAACTTTATCCGACCGGATCGAAAATTGATCAAGGCAAGCGATGCCAACATTGAAGACGAAGCCGACCAGGCTGCTGCCGTGAAGGTCGATGGTGAATCCTTGCTTCAGCCAACAAGTAATCTTGGCCGTGTCGAATACGATATGGATGAACAGGATGATATGTGGTTGGAGACGTACAATGCACACAGAAAATCACAAGGCTTAAACCCCGTCACCCGTGAGGTCTTCGAAATTACCATCACTAAAATTGAAAAGGAATGGCATGCCTTAGAAAAGAGAATACCGAAACCTAATCCTAAGCCGCCGCAAACCCATAGGCCCCGATCTAGTTCAGCCGCGGCCGTTAATGGCGAGCCGCAGGCCGGAGAGGAGCAGGATAGCAAATGCGCGATTTGCGATGATGGAGATTGCGAAAACACGAATGCAATTGTGTTTTGTGATGGGTGCGATCTGGCGGTCCACCAGGAATGTTATGGTGTTCCATTTATTCCGGAGGGCCAATGGTTGTGTCGAAAATGCCAGCTCATTGGTCGTGGCATCCCAGTCAGTTCCCCTAGTCCCGCTCTGCTCGCGCCTTGTACTAACAATTTGTAGACTTGTATCTTCTGCCCCAACTCGGATGGCGCTTTTAAGCAGACCAACTCGTCAAAATGGGCGCATTTGCTCTGTGCCATGTGGATCCCGGAGGTTACGCTGGGCAATCATACCTTTATGGAACCCGTCATGGACGTGGATAAGGTCCCAAAGAGTCGCTGGAAGTTGACTTGTTATATCTGCAATCAGCAGATGGGTGCCTGTATACAATGCGGTAACAAGGCATGTTATCAGGCCTTCCATGTGACCTGTGCCCGACGCGCCCGACTGTTCTTGAAAATGAAGAACAGTTCAGGTGCCTTGGACGTCCTTGATGGTAGTACTAATCTTAAAGCACTCTGCGACAAGCACTGCCCTACTGAGTACGCAAAGGAGAACGATGTAGTTCGCGCTACTAAGAGAGCGAAAAAGTTCTACAAGAAAACCATGAAGGATCGCATCTGGGCCAATAGCCAAGCTAAGGCCATGTCTATTGCAGCGTCGCACCGGAATGCGATCACCGAACATCCACCGGACGAGTCACAAATGACTGGAGCTAAATTGTCCGCCGTCCTCGGGGATAAAAAGGGACAAGCAGGAAAATCAATATGGAAGCTACCGTCTGGGGCCCCCGTGGTACCACAAGCCGTCTTCGAGGTGGTCGAGGCATCACTACAGCGCTTCAATTTCCTCAAGCGTAAGGAATTTGTGAGCGATGCATGTCGGTATTGGACTCTGAAGCGTGAGATGCGCCGTGGTGCCGCACTTCTCAAACGTCTACAGCTGCAGATGGAGACCTTCTCTTCTATGGAGCTTACGCGACGTAACTTTGCGGCCATGGGTCCTTCCGGCAAGGCTCGTCTAGACAGAAGGATTGATTTCGCTCTAGCCCTTATCGAGGACCTAGAACAGGTCAAGGTCATGTCGGAAGCTATTGTTCAAAGAGAGCAAAGCAAGCTCGAGGCGGCTGAAATGGAACAGGAATTTGTCGACACATGCTACTTCCCGGTTCATAAGATGCTTCCACCGGTTATAGAGAAGGCCATCGCGTAAGTTATTCAGCTGCCGATAGATACTTAGTAGTATACTAACTACTTGGATCACCAGGCTCGACAAGAATTTGTTCCACGAAGGACTCATGAAATTATCAAACAGGATTGATGAGCGTTACTACACCACAACGCTAACCTTCACCCATGATCTCTGCGAAGTAATTAGCACCGGGGTTAACGCCGAACCCAAGTTTCTAGCGGAATTACAGCAGAAGATCGTCCCAGTCACACCAGCGGCCTCCAAATCCGACTTCTCTGATTATCGGGATCGGAAGAAGCTTGGTAAAAGAATTCTTAAGTCGATTCAGCCACAGCTAGAGACGGCGCTGCGTCTTGAGGCCGAAGCAGCACACAAGCCGTTTGAGAGCATGAAACAAGAGTTTGAGTCCATGATGGAAGCAAGTCTTGAGTTGCACAAACAAGCTGTCAACCATGAAAATGCTGAAACTGAGCGAAGTCAGGATGTTATTATGGTTGACTCATCAGCTCAAGAGATCACAGTTGGCGGTGAAGCCGACAGCTCTACTCCTACAAGAGCGACATCTGGTGATGTCCCCATGGCTGAAGCCGGCAGTCAGTACGACGTTGCTAGTAGCAGTGGTAATATTGAAGTTAACACCTCCGGCCTTGAAAATGACGAAATGGACGGTGTTCAATCGACCACAAATACCACATCTGACCAGGGTGTTTCAATTGTCGATGGGAAACCAGATGGAATGCCAACTGAAGGCGTACAATCGATGGATACGCCACCAGCTACAAATGGTTACGTGGGCGCGGCACCGTCGCTGCAGCCTGCGCCACCTACCCCACCCCAATCAAATGGTAGTCTAGGTCACCAACCCACTGATCCCCTTGCCGATGGTGGCGTTGTGTGGTACCTACAGGATTTTGAACCTAAAGGAACATCCGCTATCCAGCAACAATGGCAGGGTCGAAATGCTGTCCGGAGCCTTAGTGAAGCGCTCACTGAGATCGATGACGACGAACTTAAGGGCCTCGCCGTCGAGGTTCAGGAAGATAGCATCACGGCATCACCAGCTAATACTACCGAAGTCGTGGAACCACCAGTGACCCCCGCTGTTGCCGCCCCCACCCCATCAAAAAAGAGCACTACAAAGGCAAAGAAGCGTAAGGCGCCTGCTCGAAGACGATAGTCGCCCGAAATTCTTCTAAAAAATTTAATATTGTACGAGTAGCTGTGTGATTTAGTTTTACCCATTTTTTCTTTCCTTTTCTTCCCAGATAAACTGTATCTGCAGATTCGTGGGACCGGCTCGGGCTAGGTCGCATCATCCCCTTCAAAGGACCAATCGATAAATAAACCAACCACCAATTGTTTCTATGCTACGCGAGCATTAAATACGCGATAGGGCTTTGTTTTCTACAGCAGGAGAGGCAAGGGAAGGGATGGAAAGGGAAAGGAAGATGAATTCACTATTTCGGAGTTTTAGGGGAAAGGGAAGGAAAGAGAATCCTCTGGTCTCTGGTACATTATTGCGCTACTATCATCGATCCGTTTATTATTTACTTATTCGCCTTTTGCAAACAGTCAAATGCTAAGGGTTTTATTTACTTGACCGCTTTTGTTTCTCTTCCTCTTCATATTTTGGCGAGTACCATTTACATTATTCTATCTAAACTAAAGGCGCTTGAGAATCGGGTTCGGTTCGATCATAAGTGCGCTGTTTTTACTTTTTTTTTATTGTGCTCGGGTAGCTTTCTATTATTTTGGACCGGAACCGGCTCGTTCTAGATGGTCCGCGACGGTCGAGGTTGGCTCGAAGGCCGGCCTTTGAAAGATGGATGGTTTTGTTAGTCTAATATAGTCTAGCTCTAGTTCCAGTTTTTGGTTCTAGTTCTAGGACATCCCGTATATTCTTGACAATCGAATCGAAGGTTTTATCTTGTTCATAATATCTATGTGTTTTTGTTGGTTTTTAAGAATTGGATATGATAGATGACCGAAGCAAAGTAACGTTGAAATAAATGTATTCTCTAAAGTGGGCGCAATCTATTATAGCTCTATAATCTCTAAGAGCCCTGTAGACATAAGACATCAGACGTATAAAGTTACAGACGTGACATGATCTCAAATTCCCGATTCCCAATAAGCAATTTTTCCTCCCCTATCCTTTCCCCCAAATTTACACCCCCAAGTAGAAAATTGATTAGCCGACTATCCCGTCTACCAAAAAGTCAAGGCTAGAGATAATACAGAAGCCCAGAACAGAACACCTCCGAAGCTTGATATTTTCGCAACGCTGCCTTGTAACACTACAGCAGTGCCGGTATCCTGCGTCTGATCGATGCTGCATACGGTATAGCATGAGTCGTCTCTTTTCTCGAGGTATCCTAGCGTCCGCTTGTGTCGAGAGCTTGTTGTTTCGGTTTTGTTGTAAACGAGTTCTATCCATTTAATTTGGAGTTTCGCTTCTGATCCTACACTCATGTTGCCAGTCCAAGACCCACCACTGTGAGATGTTAGCTTAGTATTCTCAATTCTAATAGTTTTGAGGGCATTTCTAGAACCCAAGCCCTAAGGACCGCATCCGCAGATAGAAAACTGAAGAATTGTTCAAATACGTACTCTGACCACGAATTAAATATAATCATACTAGGGTCACGTGGTGTTTGGAAGGATATCGAAGCGACTTCATTGCCGTCAATGAACCAAGTAGTGGCATCCGGGCTCCAATCCATTCGGTACACGGCCCAATTTGTCCAATCTCTCTTGTCCGGGATCGTAACATTTCGCGTGGCTTCTTGGAGATCGAGGCCCATAGAAGTATATGACGGCTGGTTTGTATATTGTACATAATCGGGAGGGTCGAGCGTTCTAATCTCCAGATCTGATTCTTGGACCTTAGCGAGGTCGGAAGAATTGGCCAGTTCTCTATATGTGAACATAGCGGTTACAGCACCTGGCGCGCCGAGGGTTCTCGCATACATTCTAACAGATAGAAAATGATAATTATGAATTTTAGACTCAAATTCTGAGGCTGATTGAAAATCTTTTAAGCGCGCCGTTCTCATAGTTAGGTATGTGTCTGAGTCGGCATTTTCGTCTTCATTTTTCTCGATATAGACATTGTTGGGTGAATGGACCATGAAGACGGACGCATCGCTCCCAGTGCTAGCCAATGCAGCAGAGTTATTCCAAGTCTGCAAACCCCAATTTTCAGTCCATTCATCGGAGACAAAGTAATCGCTGGTCGCGTCGGCTTGGCTACTGTCTTCAGGGGTCCCGAGGAGGGCGGGTACCCCAGCATAATTCGATTTATCCCGAAAATCGAAGAACTTGTGACTCGTGAAATAGTGGCTGCTGCTTCCATTGGTAAGAAAACAATCACATCGATCGCTGCTGATCTCGGGATAAGCTGCCAGTGATAACTGGGCTAAGCTCGAGGCGACCATGACTGGCCGGAGGAGTTTTGGGTAAGTCATGATGGTGTCCTTTATCCTGTGCCCAATTGTGGCCCAACTCCAATGTTTACCCGTGTGTACAGTGTATATAACGCGTTAAAGCTTAAAAATCCGCGTAAGTCTGTGTTGACTTGAACGAGATAGCTTAAATCTGGAAGGAAAACGGTATACTCGAGATCACGTGTGGTCGAAATGTCGTATACCTAAGAAAAACATTATAAAATCGGTAGTGGTCTGGAAGGGCTAGAGAAGCGAGGAAATCCGGACTGAAGGAGAAGAGGAGAGGAGGCATAAATTATTTATCAACTAGAAATCGTCACCCCCAAACAAAGGAAAATGTTGACCGAGACACGGACACATGGATGAGATCATCCAAGCCTTTGCGAGGAACCCTTCAGGGCCGAATAATAAGTAGTGATTACGTGTTGGCGCGGAAAGGGAAGCCGCGGAAACGGTGCTATAGTCAATGGCGTGAGCATGGCCTTCTCGAAGTATCAGCGCTAAGATTGGGGGGCAGGATTGTTGGATCAATAGTATGTGTTATCAATGCACATCACATTCGAAAACTTGAGGCTTTATGTGTGGGCTAGGTTGATTCTAGCCTATGTATGTCTGGATAATATCCGTTGGGTCCCCTCCGTTGGATAAATTAGTGTGAATGCGACGTTGTGACAGGCGGGAGAAAGCTGGTATTTTAGACTTGACTTAAGACATCAAACTACCTTAAAAAGGGGGACCAAAAGGAAACCAAAAAAAGCCACGAGGCCACCAGCTTCAGGTTGTGTTAACCTTGGAAGTTATGTCAAAGTGTGTTGGTATGAGAGGTAGCCAACTCATAGCGACTAACTCATAAGACTGGTCAAGCTTAATACAACTCGTATTGAGCCACAGTCGATGTCAAGTTTGACCTGTTAAAATCGAAGAATTAGGTGGCTGTGAGGAACTCGGACAGCAAGGGCCAGGAAGCAAGAAGAGCTTTGACGGTGGATTGACCGGGTGAGGTAACACAGGTAAGTTGGTGTACCTGGTGTTTAGGTAGCATTCTGATGTACCCATTGCATTGCGGTGAGATACCGACGATATCCACGGAGCTCGAGCGCTACAGTTGTAACGATAGTTGCAACGATCTCTCGAGGTTGCATTTGGCCGAACCAAAGTCAACAAATCCAAGGATGAAGGGTTCCGGGAATGCCGCGTCTTCTCCAACATAACAGATAGAATAGCTCGTTCACTTGGACGGACTCTTGGCTTCGGAGAGTAAGCGAGAAAGAGAAGAGAAAAAAGAACTAGAGGGGACCCGAAGCGTCCAAGTGGAGTAAGGAGGCCTTGTATATGCGCGCGCATGTTGCACAGCATATAAATGATAATTAACCGGACTGCTGTGCCTCCTTTCAAGCCACGCTTATTCTTTTTCTGTGTCTAGCTATACCTAGATTTCGATATACTCGGAGGATTGCTGTATTCTGTCTAGCATTTTTCTTTTGGTGGAACATTCAGTGAGAAAATATCGCGGGTAGAATATAGTATAGACATATAACGAAGGCTAGACACGGAGAAGACCGATCAAGCGCTTGGATGAAGTAAAGATTGATGGGTTAGGTAAATCTCTCGAGTCTAAATCTTAAGCGTGAGCTTGTTTTACACTGGATTCCCCAAAAAGTTAGGTAAAGTTATACGCCGAAGTTTGAAACTAAAGAAACTGGCATAATTGGTATAACCGACGGTCTCAAGTAGTTGGTGTTGTTGTCAATCCGAAACTTCGGTTCAAGTTAATCGAGCGATGGGGCCTGTTAGTTTTGTGGAGCCCTATTTGTGAGTCTAGAAGGTTACCTAGTACTTTACTTGAGCGAGATCTCGGCACCTTACTTAGCGGAATCTACCAAAAAGGTTAGTGTATTTACCTAAACCGCTTACGGATAGTATATGTGTCTTTGTATTCTTATAGGTAGGAACGACTTCCGAATTTTTAATTCTTTTAAATGTCAAAAATAAATGCGAAGATGATTCCGTAAAATGTAACACGTTGATCCTCCCTTCCCATTTTCTAATTGTAGGCAGGCCAGTTTTGCACGGACCTTGGATACAGATCTCAGATCGGCGATCACTTGTCAGTCACATTGTTATGCACGTGAGAACTGGGATAATTAGGTCATAAGTACCATTGTATCTTGGTTGACACCGACTCGGGTGGATCTTTCCTACAGGATCAAAATATTTCCGTGCTCGCAGTAAGGAAGGTTTACCCGAAGATTCCCCCACTGTTCAATTATCGATAAGGGGAATAATTCCAGAAGACTCTCGGCGCAGGCGCATTTCAATTCTGGCCAGTTTGGTTTTAGTCGTTTTTTTTGGCCTCGACGATTCGACGATACCCGTTACCCGTGGACATCTCTCACGATTGAAATACTTGGCTTCGTCTCAGAATTCATTCCATTACGGTAAAAGTAGCCCCTTACGAAGCCGAATTGCCGTGACCCCATCACGCCAGAATGTATTCTTTCGATTCCTTTTTATCGACTCGGTCGTAACCAATCCTAATAACTGTTTTTTTCAATTAGAAAAAGGGAATATCTTTCAAGAATATTAATCGCAATCATGTCAGCGCATCCCGCTACGTCACCCGCCTCATCCCAAGTGGCTGATGATCAGCCCAAGGGTAAGGATACCAACAGCGTCTCAAACAATCCCCCGTCGGAAGTTCAACCGACTCAACCGACGTCTCAAGATGCCAATCATCACAATCCTGTACAACCTGATGACGAATCCTCCGAAGAGAAAAACAGCGCCGCACCCGAATTCTCTACGAAGTCGCCTGAGTCGCAAGAATCTGGCGAGGCATCACCGGTCGCATCTACTACATCTTCTACATCACCTGGCGCCGATGACTCGAGCGCACCTCCTCTACCGAACGAAGCACCTCCCGCGACTGAAGATGATGGTTGGGACTTCCATTGGGATGCGACAAATCAAACATACTTCTTTCACAATCGGTTCACAAACGAGACCACTTGGGAGAACCCCCGACTAGCACAGAATGGTGCAGCTTCGACGTCACAAACCCAAGCTGCTCCTTCTGGCGTCGCTGAGCCTCCTAAAAACGAACGCTTACCAGCCGGAGGCTACAATCCCGCGATTCATGGTGACTACGACCCGAATGCGTGGTACGCCAAGAATACGGAGGAGAACGCTGCGAACCAAGGACAATCGGTCGACCCATCAGCTGCTTACGCGGCTATGGGCACCTTCAACCGCTTCACCGGTCGCTGGCAAGGCGACGACCAAAATCCCGACCGACATGGTGACGAAGCCAAGTCTCGCCGACAGATGAACGCGTTCTTCGATGTAGACGCCGCAGCCAATTCCCACGACGGTCGAAGTCTAAAGGCAGAAAGATCGGGCAAGAAGCCGACTAAAGCCGAGCTTAAGCAGTTCAAAGAAAAGCGCCGAGCCAAGAAAGAAGAGAAGCGAAGAGCTTGGCTGCGCGACTAGGTCGCGTGACCTCTACCTATCCCAACTATATCTTATAATGTATCCTTTATCAAGGTACTTACCTACTCTACCTTAGCCTCTTATTCCAGGCAAGGCAAAAAGCATTTTCCTTTCCTTTTCGCCTACCCACCTACATATGCCGGGGGTCGGCGGATAGCTGCATGAGGGATGCATCGAGGAAACGGCGTTGGGATTTTGTGATTTGTGTATACCTGTATAAGAACAAGGGGAAGAAGGGAGGGGAGGGGCATATTCCTATGAATGTATGTGCGCGCGTGGAAAGCACATGGCTAAGGTGGACCTCTCTTCTCCTAAAGGTGGTGGTTGCATATCTCGGAACGAGTGGATGCCTGCATTGCGTTGTGTTTTTTTTCTCTCATTTTCCCTATTTGTTTCTGGAGAGATTTGAGATTTGCTCATCCTGGATGTGATATCCTACGCTATCATTACCTATTATTAGGTATTGGACAGTGACATCTGAAGGGATCGGGATCTATCACCTACATCGAATACGTCAGGATAGGATGGAAAGTACCTATTGCCTTACCGAGCCTCCAAATTCCTCTCTCGAATTATATATACCCCCCAATCGATACATCATTTTCATCAAAGATTCATCCTATCTAGTATAGTAGTGCCGCGCCGGGTCTACTTCCGCGTAATCGTAATCATACCAAATCTAGACATAAGTGCTTACGATATACTATTCTTGAGAACTGATAGTTGACCCTGTTCGGCCCTGCTTGAATTACACCGCATGATCTATTGTAGACGGATATCCTAATCCGGATTACGGAATAAATCTAAAATTCCCCAAGGGAAATAGTATACGTACGCTTCTAAGACTTATGATCCTAGACTTGTTATCTATTTGGCTTGGGATATCTGTCCGAAGAGATAGGTAGAATTCGCCGGTGTCTTATTAATACAATGTTAATAAGGGTGTAAGTATCTTGGCTTTTGCATCAGCAGTTATATGTATTAATGCTCGCCGATCGATATCAATATAAAATGTTTCCAAATCAAATAGATAGTAGGTAAGGAGGTATGTACTTAAGGCAGTATAAATCTGCCTATCTCAATATATATAAGCAGACACGGGAACCCAACCAGCTCGCGTGGACAACCACTACGATTATACCAACCCCCCACGAAATCCAATATATCATGATTACGCGGTCTGCATCAGCCCATCGAAGCGACCGAGGGTGCCTTGCATCTGCACGATAAGGCAATTAATATCTAAATATGGCGCCCCTGGGCTCCATCATCTCCTTTTAATTTTGTCCTTTTCCTTTCTTCTAGCCTCAGTTACCATGTGGAATATTTTTATCCGGAACAAGACGGCCGTCCTCGCCAATTTTGCCGAGTGCGACGCTGCGCATGACGAACATTTCGGTTCGAAAGCCCATTCGTCCTGAGCTGAGCTTCCTCTCCTCCGCCGTCGTCATCAGTCGTCGTCGCCTTCTGAGCTAGCCTCTTCATCTGAATCAAGCTCCATGTTTAGGTGGATACTTTCGTTATCGCTTTCTTTATCGGAGTCCTCTTGAACACTTTTCGCATTAACTTTGGTAGAAAGAGTCCGCTCTAGCTCGGTAGGCGCTGAGGCGCTAATAGAAGTCTCAGTATCAACCTCGATTCGTTTCGAAACTGCGATATCCGCATCTTCGTTTTTGCGCTTTAACGAATTGGCCGGCGTTGGTTGTGTAACAATAGTATATTCCTCCTCAGATGTAACAATCGTTTCCGATGGCTTGAAAACAAACGGATTGGGGGCCTTTACTGCGACTTCGACAGGGCGCACTGGGGAAACATTTCTTGATATCTCAGCGTTCTTTGCTGCAGCGGCTAAAGCTTCTGAAGGATTCATAGCGAAAGGTACGAATGGTTGGCCGAATGAAATGTCATTGCTTGGAGGTTTCTCCTCTGGCTCATCTTCGACTATCGCGTCGTCGATTTCCATTATATCATCTCGTAAACCCGTTGAAAAGGGCCGGAAATTGAAGCGCAGTATCTCCACACTATCGTCATGAGAAAATTGTTGAGTAAGGTAGGGTAATATAACTTGTGGTGTTCTGCCGCTTTTATCTCGCGCAGGATGTAGCACGCTCGCTACTTGCGCATCCTTGTTTTGACATAGTATAGCTGTTTTAAGCATGTAAGCTCGAAGCGACGAAGGGATATATTGTTGAGGCAGATGGCTGAAGAGTGTAGTCAGAAGCTCTCCAGCTGCCGAAACATGGTCGGCGCTCAAGGCAACCGAGATAGACTCATCTTCGGCACCATTACCGAGAAAAGCGTCTGCATTCTGACTGACTAATGTATTTTTCAGGCCATTTTGAATAGCAGATGCTGTCTGTTTTGGTCGCTTCAAATGACCCGCAGATCCTAATAGATCGCGACAGCAGGCTTTTACGACCAGGCTTAGACTTTCAACAGTAAGCTTTGGCAATGTTGGTCCGCATAATTGAAGTAACTCCCTTGTGAGAATGAAGGTCATTATCCGCGTTTCTGGTAGGCGATAATTTGACTCAAACATCCGTACTAGCTGCTCAAGCGATTCTTGCGCTACCGGCACGATATTTCTTCGTAGTCGCTGTATCGCAACAAGCAGCAATCTCATTGCTGCAAGTTGAATATCTGGAAATACTGTCCATAACTCATCTTTTTCTTCCCTGCCAACGGCTGGGTTCATGATAATCGATGTTGATTTCTCATTTCCAGGAATTGGCGGAATAATTGAAGAAATAATTCCAATTGCACCAGTAATTGAGCTAAATGGAATGGTGACGACTGTTTTAGCGCGACAGCGAAGGTATTCGCCAATAAAATCGAGTAAGCCGATCATCCTTTCGCTACCCGCATAGAGGCCGGTCCAGGCAGGCAATTGGTCTGGGTTGGTACCACCACCTTGTAGTTCTTTATCAAAGTCCACATTTTGCGATTTCGGTGCATGGCCTGGGATTGATGACCAGTCTATTTGGACGGCTCGTAAAACTTGCTCAGCTGTGGCGTAGAATGATCGGATGAGACCATCTAAATGCTTTGCCCATTCGCTAGAATCCCCGCCTTTTACCGCAGTCATGTGTAACCTGATCGCAAGACGCCGACTGCTGGCTTGTAAAGATGCTGGCACTATCATGCCATCCGAGATAGTTGGGACAGTATATGGTCGCGTTCCAGCCCTTATCTTGGATGCAAATTGACGTAAAGTAGTAGGATATAACGGCAATATAGTCGAAAGAGCCTCGAATATGGTCTCAACAAGACTGTTGGGTATCTTAGCCGCTTTGCTAGATGCGGGTGGCTTCAAGATTTGGAGACACGCTGTTGCGAATGTGGGGAGGGTTGGTGTAACTATCTCCCGTACCAAAGTAGGATACGCATGCATCGATGTGTATATTTTGACCAATGTCACAATACATAGATCTTTTACAACTGCTGGGTCTTTTCTCTATTTATTGTTAGTAAAATAATGAATAATATAGGTCGGAACGCTTACTTGAAGAATGGATAATAGTCCACGGACCCAGGATTCAGAAGTTCGTAGACACTCCCATCCTCCAGCCTCTACAACAGCTTTTACCAGCACAACTCCCACAAATCGACCCTGTGTAACCCTACTATTGAGCAGTGAAGATACTTGAGTCTTCAACTTATGTACCAGCACTGCCGACTCTGAAGAATTATCAGAAGTTTTCGCCTCTTGCGGCTTTGAGAGTGGTTCTTGGCAGCGTAGAATGTCTTTTAGGAGTAACGGTAGTAGAGCTGGAAGCTGCTCTACTTTGGTGGCGGTCAGTCTCCGGCAGAGGCTGCGTAGCTCGGGTGGAAGCACGGCGAAGACCATGGCTCCAGATTTTCCTAAGCAATTGCTCTCTGGCTTATAATTCCAAGTGCTTCAAGTGAGCCTTCTCAGGTCTCAAATGAGCGATTGAATCCGTTATCGACCTCGGTGTATATATTATTGCACAGTAGTATTTGTAGTTCCCACTGTGTTTTAAGTTATCAATCGATATAATGAAGTCGCCGGCCGTTTTTACCGAATTTATGTCGAGATTGAATGAGAATATGAAGAGTGATGAGATTGTTAAGGAAAGCTTCATGAACTTTTCTTGCTATCGATAAACTTTTTAGTGGATCTGTATGTTGCACAAATTCTGACCAATTATAGACTTGAGAAACTGGTGTAGGACTATTATTACGTAATATGGGTTATGACATCGGTGTTTCCCCCTTACCTTAGCTTGGCAAGGTTTAATTTGCTAGTTCGTTACAAACAATCGGAGCCACTTACATACTACTCTCCTAACTATTGCTACTACCTACTATTACTTCCTTAACCCTTATATCTCAATACCGACGTGACCCTGGATATAATAAGTTCCAACGCTCTGGCTCATATCATGCTTACTTTCGCGTAACACACGGCCGAGATGGTATTAGAGGGTCCAACTGATCAATAGCGCGTTTGCTCAGGCCTCGATTGGTTTTGGAAGAGCAATCGTTCAGGATGAGTGTGGGTTTCTCTTTTTCCCCTTCTCTGTGCAAATATATCTCGCATCTTCACCGGCTATAGTTACTCATTGAATATCTTATAGAAATCGGGCAAAGTAGCGCTATATTTAAGTCGATTGGAAGACGCTAGATGCGAGGGGAAATGGGATGATGTTCCGGAGCTTGTGCGAAAAGTCCGCAAGCATGCCACCGATAGGTTATGTACGACTCTGACCCAATTCAATATGCTTCCTTCTCCCCAGTCCATCTCTAACTTTGTGATATGTGAACAGGTCTGACAACGACTGCCGAGACCGAACACGCTATTATCAAAGCTTCCCAGAAACATGGACCCGATTCTAGACCTGCCACCGCCGTCTCATCGGCCGATATAGAGGTCGCACAATGGGCCCCCAGATTACTCGGTGCGATCGATACCGAAACCTCGTACCCCGAAGACAGGTTCCAAGCTCAGGTTTGCGTGGGATGGTTACATTGGTCCGTTGGTGATTATACCGAAGCTTCTAGTCAATTACCACAGAGCCTGGAGAATGAATTGGCACAACTCGATTCAGCAACTAGCATTTCCGAGTGGACAAGAGTATGCTCCCTCAAGGCCGCATACCTCAAGGCTAATTGCCTTGCACGCAAAGACGAGAGGGTTGCGGCGCTTGCTATTTTTGAATCAGCATTGGTTTCTCTGTCGCACGTTTGGTCGGGGCAGAAGGGTCGGAAGCAATTGAGATTCTGGGCCGAACTCTTTTTGACCGAGTTCTGCATGCTACAAGCTCAGGCTCTTGAAAGAGGAGATAAAAGTCTCGATGATGCCAATTCGTTGGCGCCGTTCCGCTCCTGGGCGAAATACTGGGAAGTTTCCAAGACTCAAGGTACCCCTCTAGTCGGTGGCTATGGATTCCGTGGAGCCGTTCCGAGAAGGAGAGTGTGGAACGAATACTACGCCGCCATTTCAGGTATCTTACAGCAGGACTTGCCATTTCCGACCGGCTTTTCAAATGTCACCAACGAAGCATCGGCTAGAAACCAGCTTCGGGTAGAATTGAAAAAGGTCGAAAATGCCTATGAGGGTCTACTTCTAAGTGAAACATCGTTCCCGCGGGCTGACGAAGAAAGACAAGAAGTGGAAGACTTTGTCGCAGCTGTGATGAAGAACTGGAGTGTGCTAAACGGACGTGACTGGAATGAGCAGGATCTTGGGCCTGGTGGGAAAGAAGGTCTTAGTCGTGGCATATTGGACATCCTCTACCGAGCTGCAACTAAAACATACCATTCCACGGCTATCCTACGATATCTATTTACGGTCCACCTTTCGGTTGCCGAATTCGACCTAGCTTTCCGTGCTTTCGATTCTTACCTGGAAATTGTTAAAAAGGGGAAAGCTAGAGTTGACAAGACCGGTCATTCAGAACCAAGTCTCGACGACGATGCAACTGTATTAGAAACCATTTCTCAGGCAATCACGGCTCTCTGCAAATATGGCTTCCGGGATGCTGCGGAAAAGGCACATGAACTTGGCGTCGAATTGGAAGGGATATTACAAAAGCTACCAGCCCCACTTCCCAATTTGCAAGATAATATTACAACACTGGACGAGGAAGATGGCAATGGTGTCATACTACACCCGAGAATATCGTCTCGAGTATACGCTCTATCGTGGCAGGCCATTGGCATTTCACAGGCGCAATGGTCTCGGACAACTTTTGACGCATCCGCACGGACTGAATATCAGACCAAAGCGATCAGGAGCTTCCAGAAATCGCTGTCACCAGAAAATGGAAATCCAACCGATGTCAGGACCTTATTCACCCTGGGTCTCTTGTTGGCCGAGCAAAGAGAATTGACAGCAGCTATTGATATTGTTAAGGCTGCGCTTATGTCTAATAAGAAGACTGGAGATGAAAGCGGATCGTATTGGCGGGAGCGTTCATTAATACCTGTATGGCATCTACTCGCACTTCTTTTGAGCGCCAGGCAAGATTTTATAATGGCTGCTAGAGCCTGCGAGGGTGCATTTGAACAATTTGATGACCCTACTGTTCTGTTTGGTTCACAAAACCTGCAAGGCACGTTCCGAAGCGAACATCTTAATGAGATGGAAGCGAACGAGAAGGCTCAGTTAAGGGGACTCGTAGAGGAAATGGACGATCTCGAGAAAGAAGGCATGATCGAGGTAAAAATGACACAGCTTGCCCTTCTAGAACTTTTAGAAGGTCCAGAGGTCGCTGTCAACGCAAGTCATGAGCTGCTGGTTTTATATAACAGACTATTTGGCGAAGTTCAACCCAAAGCGCCAGCTACCGCACAGAAAGCAACGATGGAGGTCCCTAAGAGCTCGGCGGGTACGATAAGAAGCCTTCGAGGCAGTATTTTCGGCAACAAGGCCGATAGGACGTCTCGAAGTTCCAGGCCGATCGCTACCGCAGAGAGTGGTAGGTCTACCATTGTACCAGAGAGGCCGCAGACCACCCAGACAGCTGTTAGTGTTGCCACTACCGCTACCACTGCTACTGGTGCACCCGCAATACAAGTTACCAACCAAAACGGAGAAACTAGAGATTCCCGACGATCCAGAAGGTCTTCAAGCGTCCATAGCAGACGCAATTCGTCAGGAAGGAGAAACAGTCTTAAAAAGCGAGAACCAAGTGCCCAGCCACGACGAGCCTCCAGTAGTGGTGGTACACCCCGCGGTTCAACTGTGGTGGATGGTGAAGATTTTTACACGCCATTGGCCGACGGAGCCCCACAAGAGCGAGTCGACTTTTTTGCATGGAGTAGCAAAAATGACATTACTAGACAACAATCTTTTTCGAAAGGTCGTGGATTGCTTCGATATGATTCTACTGCTTCCTCGACTAGAGGTTCTGCAGCAGATTCCGATAGATTGGTTCTAGAATCGCTTTCGCCACCTAATCCGCTACCAATAGTGCAATTTCCAAAGGATCAGGTTAAGCGACAGAGACAGACCATACTTATTAAAGTATGGTTGATAATTGCCGCTTTCTACGGTCGTGCTAAGATGTATAGTGATGCTAAAGGAGCCATTGAGGAGGCGAAAAAATTAGTGGACGGATTAGAGAGTGAAGTTGCCAAAGACGCGACCGGGTCTATAACTCTACGGGATCCTGGTTGGGGTGGGAAGAAATGTGTGGAGGAGCTTTGGGGTGACGTTCGAAGCGAGGTACTAAATCACCAACTCCCCCGAAATGACGTTTGCTAACATAACATAGTTGGGCTATCTTGCAGTCTCCGAAGGAGCGCCTTATACAGCAAGGGATTATTTCGAAGAGGCCCTAATGCATTTCCCGGACCACCCCTCGGCCATTGTTGGGTTATCTAATATCCTCCTTGACGTCTACAGCGAGGTTCTATTGCCGCCTCCTGCCATCCCAAGCATTACTCTTCCAGATGGCCAAAAGACGAATTTAATTCCGAAGAGTAATGGGCCTCAGAAACCCCAAACCGGCGTTAATAAAGCGGGAAGTATCCCAATACTGCCATCGACGCCACTGGGACTCGGAGGTGGTGCAACAATAACTCCGGACTCCCCACCATCAAGTAAAGCAGCCCCTCCCAACACTTTTGGGACAAATGGTCACTCAGCCGAAGAGCTCCCTGCTCCTTATAAAGCAGTTTCTCTGCCACTTGTCGATCGACTTGCTGCTCGAGATAGAGCGTACGGACTACTATCCGGCCTCACTAAATTAGGTACAGGGTGGAATTATTCAGATGCATGGTTTGCTCTGGCTAGAGCACACGAAGACAGCGGGCAGCCAGACAGGGCCAAGGATGTCCTTTGGTGGTGTGTTGAACTCGAAGAAGGAATGGGTATACGCGAATGGAATTGCGTAAGTGCCAACGGCTACGTGCTGTAGGGTATTCGACGGGATCGAAACGATCAATCACGCGGCAACCCATGATTATTCGATCGGTCGACAGACCATTTTCAAACTTTGGTACATAAAAAATTGGCGACTATGGGGATTCGACGGAAATATCAGTGTGCAACAAAACGTATTTGCGGTGTGGATGTCATTATCAACCCACATTCTGTTTTTTCAAGCTTTGTTAGAACAACATCTTCATATGATTCCTCGTCCCTAGACCAGGATTGATACCCTTTCGTGGTGTATTTCACCCCCAAAGAAAATATTAATGACATATAGACTCAATTCAAAAGCTGATCCTTGGTCACAGTTGAGATGTTCGTTAGCCTGACTTTATCATAATATTTGGTTTCCTTATTCATAAAATATGAATTCAAACTTCGGCATGATTCAACTGACCAAGCAACAGGACTATGTGATTGGCTTCGAAATGAAATAACCGGAGATCGGCAAGCAGTGAGGGGTTGATGTTTAATGAACGAGAACCAAAGTTTCGAACTAGACTCGTAGGTGTCGTCTATAATACAAGGATCTGTGAGATTCGGGACGATAGGTCCGGTTTATGTCTTGCCTTGTAAGACAACTACCATCTCCCTCGATATTAATTTGGTCTTCAAATAATTTCGCAATTGGCATCCTCACTTTCACGTCACAATATTTACCCCAGTGGAGATATTCTCAAAAGGCGAACGATATGAGCCCAGCTATATGGTCGTGGTATGAACTTTGGTTAAGTGGGCATCTTAGACTAACATGTCAAGCTCATTTTTAAAGACAGGGTTGCCCCTCGCATATGAATAGACTCACGAGTCCCGATGACGCTTCCGTCTACCTTAAGTACAACTTTAATTCGGGACGGATGTACCGGAAGCTTGATCATCATTATTAATCGTTTACCTCCAGATAATCTATATTGAAGAATTTCACCGGCCGAAGCTTAATTCTACACGTTCCGGTGCCAACGCCTTGGACTTGGAATCTTGGCTTCTTCTTGTGTCCTCGCCGCTGGAATGGGTAACTAACAGATAATTGTGGATTATCTAGATACTAAATCGAGTCGAGACGTTCCAGAAATGCTGTTGTTATTAGTATCCATATTGTATGTGGGGAATACCCAAGTAAAATCGGCCCCCTAGATGCCATCTTCAATGAGCGACCATTCCATCATTTTTACCTCCCTAGGATTGGGTACGTCGCGCGTCATGTCGTGCGGGGGATACGGCCGCTTCAACTGACGGGCATACGCATGGCCCGGATATCGTTGTCGTCAATAGTGAACTTAATATTATAGTTGATGTTGCGAAGGGCGTATGTGTCGTACTACGCGTACTGCCCTTGAGAGGGGTATAAGAAACCTACCCGTTCCCCTCGAATACGAATTATCTACTCTGACTACGCAGCACTACAAAACAATAGTAAACTATCAAAACAATAACCCCATATCACATACACAATGCAGCTTCAAGCACTCCTAGCAGCCATCCTGCTCGCCGGACCTAGCGTCCTGGCCGCCCCAGCCGCCGCTGGCGTTCCTGCAGACGTAAGTCCCATCACCCATCATCCACTACCCAATCCACCCAACCCAACCCTTATATTTCAACACAATACTAACTTAAACAGCTCGGCTCACACATCCTAAACCGTGAAGCCAACCGCGGCCCCGGCGGCGGTCCAGGTCGTCACAGTCACGGCCACGACCATGAGCACGGACACAATGGACACCGCCACAAGGACCACGAGCACGGGATGCACGACGGCAAGGCTAAGGACAATATCAAGGATACGCCTCCCAAGGATAACAAGTACCATATCTGGGGCCGGGGTGAGAAGCATGAGGAAGGTGAGGGGTATGGTGGTGGTTGGGGATGGGGTGGTAAGGAGGAAGGTGAGAAGAGAGGTGTGAAGGAATCTGAGGGAGAGAAGAAAGAGGGTGATGAGGAGTGGCGTCATCATCATTATGGTGGTGGATACGGCGGAGGGTATGGAGGTGGTTGGGGTGGAAAGAGAGATGAGAAGACGGAGGATGAGAAGGATGAGGAGAAGCACCATCACCATGGTGGTGGCTGGAACAGCAAGCGTGAGGAGAAGATTGAGGAAGAGAAGTATCGTCATCACCACGGTGGACATGGCAACTAAGCCTATATATCATAGCTAAAATGATATTGAAACTAGGGTTGTTAAGTGAGTAATGAATTATACGTGGGATGGTGTTTATGGATATGAAAATTGACGGCTTTTTCCTATCATTTCTCTATACTTTTCATAATTTATACTACTGTTGGTTTCACCTTAGCTATTGATTTCCTATATGTTACTTGTGTCACAAATTCTTCGTAACTACCACCAAATATCAGAAAGTATCTACCTCATAAATTTTACTACTAATTTTCTTAGTAGTGTTAGCCACTCATTCTACATCGGATAGGAGTCTATCTCTTGAGTCACTAGTGATTCACTAATTCAAAAGTCGTTACCCCATTCAGGAATTCCACTTTTCAGTAGAAGTAGCCGCTACCCCAAATTAGAGCGTCAAGTTACACCTGATCGATCTAAGTATAAGCGCACCTTCCTACATATACCGCATCTCGGAAGCGGTACCTAGTGGTTAGCGGTTAGTGGCTAGTGCCCACTATAAATTTTGAATCCAGAAAAGGACACCAACACGTGATATCAAACATCTCCCCTTTGTTTGTTTCTTTCCCCCTTCAACTCCATCCGGGAACATACATACAAACTCAATCATTAAGTAGGACAAACGCCAATTGACGGTACCACGCATGACGATGATGGAATGCCAATAACATACAGCTACAATACTTTATTTTATTCATTTGGTCCTCATAATTAGGGCTCTTCCCGTTTCCTGTGTTCGCTTCTAAGTCTATTTAGAAAGTAGAGTCCGACAAACGGAAAGGGGGTGTTAATCAACACCAAGGAAGGATATTGATAGCAACCAGACACATACAGACACACACTCAAAATGCCGGGCTCCATTCAACAAGACGGCACTGCGCCGGACTCCTTCATCAGCGCCGACGACGGACGTCGATACTGGGCCGGCATTGATGCCGATGTCAACGGCATGCTAGGCGGATTTCCTAGTGTGTCGCGCGTGGATCTCAGAGGCTCTAGGAGCTTCCTTGCGAAACTTGGGTTAGGCCGTGTGAGGGGAGAGAAATCTGTACGGAGGGCACTGGAGGGCGGTGCTGGGTACGTATTCTATGTTCACTCATTTCTTTTTATATATATCGGCTACCTGCCTTCCCCCTTTTCTTCCATTCTCTTTTCTTTTCTTTTTTTATCATCCTTCCATTTCCCCGACCCAACCTCCCCTTTTCCTAATAGGCCAGGCCATCACCTCCGGTCGGAGCCTGCATATGCGCGCTGAAGAAAAGGTCTAAAGCGGCCGCAGTGGCGTTCATGCAACCTCCCGCCGACCTACCACGCTGCAGAACGACACTCCGTGGCTGAAAATTGAGACATCTGTAAATTAATCACCCCCAACCAATCTAACCCTCACGCTGCAGAATCGGCCGCATAACACAAGGCCTACTCGTCGAAATAGCCGAAGTAGTAGATATCGTCGAGCCGATCGCCAAATTCACTTCCGCGCTTGAGGGCCAAGAAGGCGTGGGCCGGATCTACAATGTCGGGCTTGAGGAATGGAGACCCTCGGATGAGTCTTCACCCGTTGAGTATGACCTCATTTGGAACCAGTGGTGTCTGGGCCATTTAACAGACCGCCAGCTCGAGGAGTACTTGAGGCGGTGCGCGGATGTGTTGAGTGAGGATGAGGATGGGAAGACTAGGGGTGTTATTGTGGTCAAGGAGAATATGAGTACCATGGGACAGGATTTGTTTGATGAGGAGGATAGTAGTGTTACAAGGTACGTGAAGCTTCCCCTTTCTCATTTTTATCCTGGTCTTCGTTCCTATCGTGAATTAACGTCGATATTGTAGGATGGATGAATCGTTTAGGAAGATTTTTGACGAAGCGGGATTGCGCATTGTCAAGACGGAGCTGCAGCATGGATTTCCCAGCGAGCTATACCCCGTACGCATGTACGCGCTCAAGCCGAAAGATAGTTAGATAATGCTTCATTCAAAAACGAATATAAATGATTGATACCCTCACTTTCCATTGACTCTAGCGATACTGGTTCTATTCATGTTATTTTGAATTGTCTCCATCTAGAGAGCCTCATTGTTGGGTCGTACAACGCCAATGCCCACACTCGTTTATGTTGCCTCCCCATCCACCCATCCATATTCTCTATATCCATAACTCTCACTTCAAGATTCTGGGTCCACAGCCTTACTCACCTTGAACAAGAAAGGTTCCAATCCCCTCGCGCCAACCTCAACCCTAAACAAACCCCCTCCAAGCTCAAACTCCTTATCGGTGCCCTCCTGCCCCTCATGCATAGCAGCCGACGTAACAAACAACTCCGTGCCCACGAACTGTGTACACGTGCAATTCCTCGTTGGCAAGTTAACCTGTCCAACCAAGTTTCCTTCCGGCGAGATCTTCAACACGCGCGCCTCGCCGTACACAGCCTGCCAGAGGTTCCCCTCGGTATCGACGCGGAAGCCATCAGGCTCGCCAGGTCCATCATGCACGTAGAACTTACGCTCATTAGTCAAATCCCCCGTAACCGGGTCGTAGTCGGAAGCAAAGATAGTGCGCTCGGTCGAATGCGTAAAGTACTGGGTCCTCCCATCCGGCGACCACCCCACAGAATTCGGGATCGTAACGGGATGCCGCATAGACCTCGCCGTACGCGTGCCGTCGAACAAAAACACGGAGCCTGTGCTCAGCTCATTAGATACTATTACTTTTAATTTCCGAGATCTCGTTTTTTCTATCCGTTGTTTACATTTTGTTTCTCGGTTCAACTTGCTCGCACTCGCGCGCAAAGTTCGTGCATCTTATGATGACCCCATGTCGATATCTCTAAGCGCGTTATAATAGAAGACCGGGCTTATAGACAGAAACTAGACTCTTTTCGCCCATGATTATCCCCTCCCGCGTCACAAAACTAAAGGTGAAAAATATAGAGTGGTATAGAAACAAAACATATAAGGTAGTAGCCATGATTGCAACGTATAAAACAAGGCAAATATTTTCCCGACCTTGTTTGACAACCCGGGTCACCCTAGCTGGCGGACAGAACTCCGGCTTTAGGTGAAGAGGGAGGGGCAAGTATACACGTCTGCCAAGAAAATGGGCAATTATAATAATGAATGAAGAAATTTGAATAAATAAATAATTTTTTTTTTCGTGTCATGGGATGGAAATATTTCCGCTTCTAGGGACTTATGCAGGGACTACCTATAAGAAGTAAGAAGGACCCTTGGGGATATTCATGAGGACGCGTAAAATGAGTTGCGTCCGGGATCCGCTTCCCGCGATCCCCTCCCCGGGCTGTTGCCGCGAAGGTGAACCCTGGAGTAGATTGGGCAGATAGGTGGCATGTATGCAATAGGAAATTTCTTCGCTCTTCTCTACGGCGCTTAAATGGAGGCATAAGACCGAGGGATGAGCATTAGGTTTAATAAATGCCAACGAATGATCATGTGGACGTACGGATGAGAATCAAGGAACGAACGAAAGGAAAGGAAAGTGTGATAATGGTAATAGTAATAATATTAACGATAAGAAATGAAAGGCTCACCTTCGGGCTGCAAATCAAGACCGATGTCGGTCATGGTACCTAGCCAGAAGCGCCCATGAGGATCGACAGCGCCGTCATTGCTGCGCAGACGTTCGTCATCTTTGTCGCTGCTGAAACGAGCGAGATATTCGTAACGGCCGGAGCGGCGGTCGAGTTCGGCAATGCCGTACTTGGCGCCGATAAGGATGCGCTCGCGGGGGTCTACACCGTCGATGTCGGCCGTGACCGTTACGGGTGTATCAAGCTGGATCGTCTCGACTGCAGACGCGGGGTCCGCTGCGTTCAGATCTACAGCGTGCACCCGCTTCTTCTTGATGTCGACGAATCGCAATTTGTGTGTCGCTGCTTCGTAGTACGGCCCCTCGCCCAACTCACAGTGTAGGTGTAGGAATGGCGCTGTGGCATGCCATTGCTGTAGCCCTGCCGGTGGTTTAGAGGCTTCGGTAGTAGACATGTTGTGTTACCTAGGTATCTGTCTGGTCTCCTCTTTCCTAGCGCTTAGACGGCCTGTTTGGTTTATGTGCTTCCTGCGGGTAGGTCGACGGAAGGTGTGTGTATGTATGTCTCGGGACACAATTAAGGATGGACCTTCTTTACACCGGATCGGTGGAGGCTTGCAGCGGGGACTTCGGGTCGGCTCGGTGGCTCAGCTAGTCCTTTCCTTTACTGTTTCTAGTGCAGAGTTTGTCGCATACGATACCTCTTGGGGGGAAAGGAAATCAATTAGGTAGAACTTTATCTACCTAACCTAACCTTAATGTTTCAAACCACAGAAACGGAAAATAAGGAGATAAAGTTAGTTACCTTGATATTAAGACGAGAACCGTTTGAGAGATGCCATCGCGAATTTGACGGAATACGGGCCTAGTAGCCGTAAGAAGAAATATCGAATTGCTCGTCTAGTTGTTTCGCGGTTTAATCTGTTCAATTCGACTTTGATTTTAGGGCCTTTCGGTCGAATCGTGCCGACGATGAATTTCTCTCGTCGCGGCTATTTCTTTCAGCCCATTTCATTCCGTCGCTTGGCGGATACAAATGGCCCGTAGTCGAATACAACCCTCACATAGTTACTTGTAAGCATATCGATGATATACCCGAAACATATATTCATTCTATTTTACTCAAAATAGACATTGAAATGAATTGAACAGGCCAACTTCTTACTCAAGACGTCCCAATTGCTCGTCAAGGATTTGATCTTCGGGTAAGGGCCGGTTTTTGAGGCGCGACGCCTCTACGCCACTTCGGCTATGTAGAAAGCGATAGAAGTCTTGCTCGTGAAACCGGTCTAGAGAATTGGGAATTCAACTTTCCCTCTCATCGGGTTCTCAAAACACGATGGGCGGCAATTCAATAACCAACCTCTCAATTTACGAAGATTTTTTTTTTTTTTTTTGGCGTGCCACCACCACCTACGTGTAGCCAACCCACATATGTAGTTGTTTTTATCCAGGTGGCTCCAAGGAGTAAAACCCGAGTTGAATGACGCCCATGGATGCGAAAGATGGCAAGTTACCAGAAAAGGTCGTGATCAGGTATGTAGAATCCTCATTTGGAAGGTTGGTGACCGCTCTTGCGAATCGCGTAGATCCACGATAGTTAGGTCGCGTGGACAACGCTACTTGGTTGTAGATAGAGAGAACGGGGAATGCTAGGAGGGGGTGCAACGGGTCATGGATGCAGGTAGAAAAAAAAGGAGGCAAGGTATGTATGTGTGCGAGTTGAAACTTGTCGGTGTAGGTATCGTCACTTTACGGATTGCCTTTTGCGACGATTGTAAAGCCCACTAGTCCTGTTCACGAGAGCTTCAGGCTCCGCGTGCGTCATGGTTGCATGCAGGCTGTACCCCAATCGGGAATCCTACGAGCGGCCATGTCTTGCTTTGCAAAAACCGTAGTTAGACCTGGGGAGCTGGACTCGTTGGCCGAGGCGATGGATCTAGCCAAGACTGGATAGTTTAGCTGAGCTGGCTCCAAGGCGAGAGAAAAATGTTCATACTCTGTGGATTCGAGCCGTGCTAGGTCCATCTACATAAAATTAGTACGTGTAAATAGTGAAAATAGCATAAAAGCCACCAGGCTGGCGACCACATGATCATAGGCTGATGCGCGTAAGTCTTCCAGAATCCAGTTCCACACACTCTGCCCTGAAGAGAGAAAAAAGAAAAACCAAAAGGTAAGGAAGGGACGTGAATAGATGGCAATAGGCACTGTTTATTATGAACCTAGAAGTAATAAATGACGCGCGAGCTAGCTCCACTTGTGCCTCTGTAGACTTACAATGGTTGGCTGTACACCACCCGAATCCTTGTCAAGCTTCTCGGAGAGGAGCAGTGATTGATCGGTGTTTCTGGCTTCGTAATAATAGCTCGAAGGGGGGCAGATCCCATGGCGTGTGTTCGGTAGCGATTGTCTTCGACAATCTATGTATCACTGCATCGGCATTAATGACGATGACAATAATGACGATATTATAGGGAGGAGTACGTCTAGTTGTACGTATGTACTCCGTAGCACGAAAAGCCGTTCAACTGTGGGGGGTTCGGAATTGAGAAGAAGCGTGTTGGCCATGTGTTGACGAGACATAAGGAGACAGTGAGATGGTGAAAGATTTTGTAACCAGTACCATGTAGTACATACCGCCATGAGACAGTCTCGTACTGATACTCCATACGTTGGTAAACCCGGTTGCGCGAAATGGATTGGTAGCTCACCGCTGATGCCAATGTCGCCTAGGATAGCGATCATCTGGACCGTGTACCATCTATTTGACCTTCCACCGGTCAGACTAGCGAAATTCGTACCCCCGGTCCGCTGAAGAGTGGATAGAACTATGTGCGTGTGAAAACTGACAGCTCGTAGTTGTGTTACATCGAAAGGCCCTGGAAGCCGGGGCGAAGCTGGTCATGAAGCCATTCTGCGATGCTTTCTCATACTGTAGTGATTCTGACCCCTGTTCCCCGAACTTGCAGGCTGCAGTCAATCCTTCTTAGCTGCAGCTATGCTCTGCATGATACATTTTCCAGAATCTTAGAATCTCCTAGGGAAAACACGCGAAAAAGAAAATAGGGCCCCGTCCCCCCCCAAAATTCAATCTCCAGATCCAGATACGGAGCCCTCGGCAGAGAAGGGGGGTCAGTCCAGACTGCTGGGTCACTTAAATGACGGCCTAGGGCTTTTGTTGTTTTATTTCTCAACATCATGCCGTAAGCGAGAGTGTTGCCGCGTTATTATATGAGTGCCTAGAATTCTTAAAATTGATGAGACCTTCCCGGCAAATATTGTCTTATATTGATCTAGGTATTTATTAGCATGGCTAACAATCCAATCGCGACGGTGGTCCAGCATATCCTGATGGGCGCCGTGAGATCATCTATCTAGTACTTAGGAAGTCCGTAAAGGATTTATCGGGCGCATACGAATTGATTTTCCGTATTTGGCAATTTGGGAGTCTGAATATAATTCCGTAGTAGGTTTTCGTTTTGTATCTAGCTGAGACTCGCATGACTTGATCGTTCGTCAGAGAACGTGGTCCAAGGGCGCGTCATTCTCCCCGCTGGTGGCGTACACTATGGCCAAGGAGCTGTGTTATCCGTCAATGGTGGCAATTAGAGCAAGCCCAGGTTTGATTAGAGCAACGATACTACCGGCCGAATAGTACTTAGGTACCGGGAGTGGGTTGGGTCGTTCAATACCCTGTGGACGAACCCTTGGTGTACTGTGCCGTATCCAGAACTTGGGTAATAACCGGTACGAAGTATAGTACTTGAAATGGTAGATGTCGACCTCGAGCTTAGACCGTTAAAGATAGGGCAAAGTGACGTGTAACAAAAGCATTCTTTGCAGAAGCCAATGTAATAAGAGAAGATAGCCTCAACAAACCTAGTGACGGAACATGCAAATTACTTCATTCCACGATGTTTCGGACCTTGTTCCTGCATTGAAGATAGACTGGCTGTCATATTCTCCGACTGAGTAAGAAGTCCGGGGGAAGGCATATTAAAAAAGCAAATTAGTACCAGGGACAAGGCTATCCGAAATATGAGGTTGCGACGTTGGGTTTTCTGCTCTCCTTTCAAGGTCTTCCTTTCTTTTTTTTCTTGGACTACTCCCTGGTACATTGTTATTGTTGAGAGCATCTAAGTATTATTACGACGATGTGATTGATCGATCGTCAATTTGGCTCGAAATGGAGAATGCAACCTATCGAGAGCTAAAAAGTAAGAAAGATTGGTTAATCAATGGACGTGTGACTGCACGAAATCGTGATAGTTATCTGCAGACCTTACAACCCAGTCACCTCATTCCTTTTTCTTTTCTTTTTCTCTCGGCTGTCTCGTCATATTTCGTGACAGTTACTGACGAAATTTGGACACCCACGTTTCCATGAGGGTTTGGAAACGACACCTTGTAAGACAAGAATGCTCGATTCGGAATTGTAAGAAAAAGCCACTCAGCTCGCTCAGGGCTAGGCCAGACAGGGTTTAGAGCGTGGCTTTCTATCCAGGCTGCTGGGTTAAGAGCGTCGAAGGGGAATCCTTGCGCGTACGGCCCGCCAAATAAGAAGGCTTTAATTTCGCGCGGAATAACCTTTTAGTTGTGTGGTGCATGTGGTGCGTTCCTTTGGCCGCATAGAGGGCCGCAGACGGCAGGGTCTAGATGTAGGTATACATGGTACATAATAAAAGGTACCTACATTGTCGTATGCAGCTATGTATGTACGCATGTCGACCAGGACCAGATGGTGGTCTCATCACACAACGAGCAACATGAACTATGCCATGGTGATTGTAGAACTCACAGGTTCCCGTACAACATAGATGGCCTAGCACATACATGACACATATGCATGGCCAAAAATGCCGTGGCCCGCGAGCCCGAGTCCCGGAATACTCTTATGCAGTGTGCGCGCTTGTGTATACTAGGTACTTGTTTTCGCTGCTCTGTATGTGTTCTTTTTCTTTTTTGGTGATGCTTTGCTTTTGCGGATTTGGGCAGCCATCCAGATGCCAAGGGAGACCCCTGGCATGGTCAAATGTGACAAAACAAAGCTCCCTTGCTCGTAAGCTAGCCGGCTTACGGCAGTGAAAACAATTGATGAAGTAATAAGTATGGGTGTACTAATAACCATAGATGATTTACGGATATGGATGAATAAAAAGTTGGCGTGCTCGTGTCGAAATGTCGATGTGACGATCCATCCAGATTTTATGAGCTGTTGCGACTCAATGCGCTTATCCGCGTTGTGCTGTCCTGCGTATTAGGCACAATTGGTATGTATATGGGTATGGGTATGGGTATGGGTATGTGCGTATGAATCGTATGTATCGTATGGAGAAAGCTGCTTGTAGTTTCTTCAGTTCTCAACTCCGGAACTTACATACATACTCACACGTACATAATAGCTTGCCCACCTAGATCAGCAAGTAGGCGTTGACGCATTGCGCCCCGCAAATGACCCGAGCACCTAACGGGGCACCAGTAGGTCTTTCTGGCTGCGCCGGCGATCCTTCTGCGGGCTGTTGGTTATGCTGACATGGCTAGCATGGTGGCTTCGGTCATTACTATGTATTACTGAGACATGGCCTGGCGGTTGGGCTGGAATCCAACCGGGCCGCACGTTGGTACCTGATCGCTTGATTTGATCTACCCACCGTACTTGGATGGGTACTCGAATTACCGTATGGAAATTGATATATACTAGGTACGTAAATACGTACATATGTAGGTCGAATAGCATTTGAGGTATGAGGTGGGAGAGGCTGCATGTATAATATGTATATGTATGTGTTTATATGCATGATTATATGAGGCATGCATGTAGGTCAGCGGCGAAGAGTTTTTGAAAGGATTCAGAAGAATATTTGAACATTTTATGTTTAAGAATTCCCTAAGTACATGTACTATGCACAGAGGAGTAGCTCTTGCGATATTGGATGGTCTTAGCGGCCCGGTTCAAAGTTTGCTCAATGCTTAGACATTATGTTCAGTAATTGTATAGTTACCGATATTTACAGGCTTATAAGAGCGCATTAAAAGTAGACAATACTTATGCACTACCTAATCTTATATAGTGCTAAAGTTCGGCTTGTGCTACATAGGTACATAACTCCGACAGGTGTAACTCTTCGGGGTTGCTGGAAAGGCTGCTAGGTGGGTGGGTAGGTGGGAAGGCATGACGGTTAAGGAGGGTCCTTCCCGCTTTCCGCGGGCGTGGGCCAGCCAGAAACATCGAGGCACATGGATAACCGGTGGATTCGCACTAGTAACGATTTGTATGCCGCTATTGTTTCCTACCTTGCCCTACTCACTCACCCTACCTTACTTGTTACATACTACTACACTGCTACATTGTATTGGTGTACAATGAACTATTCCAAGGCTTCGACAATGCTGTTATTACGACTCTGTATTATTACACGTACCTGGTAATCCAGCTTATATTTCATTCTGACATACATCTATACCTGCATACATCATATGCAGCCATATACACACCATATATACTTCTGACACACTCATATACACAACATAGACACAGACCACAAATCCTTCATCTATCTCACTCATGATGAGCGTGGGATTTGTACAACAATACATACCTACCTATTTCATACACCTACTCAGAATTTGCGTGTCCCAAATATAAAAAAAAAAATAGACACCCTCATTGTCACTTTTATCGCTAGCTACTTAAGCCCAACCCGGCATAGTTCACCTACTAAGCTAAAAGAATGAAGCCCTCCGCTTCGTCACCACCACACAGCAACCTCCGGTTCTGACCGCCAATCTCCTAGACGATCTCGGTTGTCCCAGCATATTGCTACGTAGACGAGTATACTACTGTTCCAACAATGCCTGACCAGTTGGCACCCGTATTTCACACGTACATGCTGCTGCTGCATCTACCTACTATGTAGAGCTATGCTCGAGTGACCGCTCATTGCTGGTCCGTGGTCATTCATTGACTTGGGACCTGGGGGGGCCGACTGACGTTTTTTCTTGGCCGGTCACTGTTACTTGTCGATCATTTCCGTCAGCGTCTACCTTAGTCGACTAAGGAGAATGGTTTGGAACGAGCGGAGTCTTTACCCGCCCACCTAGTCAACCCTCTAAACCCTTTAGCAGCTACAATGACTCCACCGGAGATCTCCATTTCTCAACCCATCCTCTACGTGACGAGCCGTGATGAGCCGTAACCTATCGGCGGTCGAGGGAGCGCTAGTTTCTGCCCCTTCTACCGCGCTTGCGCTGGCTGACGATACAGTAGCGCACTGATGGGCCATGCAGCGCTACTACCAGCGACTTACCAGCACTTGTTAGCACTACTACCTACTGTACCTAGGTACGGTCCACGATAACCTTCATCCACCGCTGTTCTGCCTAGGTAGTTCCCAGAATTGCACAGACAGAGTAGAACCGGCGTCTTGGTCAATCTGATCTCAGTAGCAGCTCTTCTGCCCTATCTGGGTTCGTCCCGTATCATTCGGAACCCCCGCGAAGGAACGCGACCGTTAAAACACACCGCGGTAGTTAAACGGTAGTTAAGAGCCTCGACATTATTTTGTACGAGGACCAACTAGGAAAGATGTATCGTCCGAGTCAAATGGACGCCTATCTACATCATTTTATCATACTCGTAATTCTCGAGTAGATCATTGGGCCGTTTTGTCAGTCAGCAACAACTTTGAACGGTTCCCGGTTAAGCCCTCATGTTTCGCATGTCTCCCAAGCTGCAGGTGTCAGACATTCAGTAGGGCTGCTTAGCTTAGCTCTCAGCTCGTCAAGCCTTCGAATAGGTATGCGAAGAGACAGCATACCTAATGTCGATTCCTTGACCGATGCCCTAGTCTTAAGATCCTCATCATTCCCACAACTCGCTGAAACTGTATAAAAAAGGAACATACCACGGGGTGTTCCTAGTTGTTCCTAGTCCATACTGCCCCCAAACTATGGGTGTCAAGTCCTAAGCCCTGCCACCAACGCGAGGCCGAACAAGGGCCCCCTGACACTTCCTGCACCCCGGCCGCCGTCCCAAACCATTCCCATGCTCTGGCTCCACCCCTTCTTTAAGTGCTGCCCTGTCTGATTTAGTACTATGTCCTGATGATAAGAGCGGGCATGGGAAGAAGAAGCTTGGGGATTTTTTCATGCCAAGAGCCTGGAAAGAAGAGAGAACCTCGACTACCTTACCTTACCTAGACGCGGTTTGGCCCGTGACGAAGAGTGCAACTTTGCTAAAGCCCTTTAGAAACTAGCTCTCTCAGGAAAATGCTTACATCTACCATCATCATTCCTTTCCTCCATTCCGAGAAAAGTCATCCTACCGTGTGCGTACTTTGCCAGTGGGCAAGTGCTGAGCTTACTGCATCCGAGGCAATAGCTTAGCAGCTGTCGGTGAATTGACGCAAGCACGGTGGAAACACGACGAACTCCAGTCCTGCCGGTTCTTTTAGTTGCGTCTTCCCTTACCGTCCTTATTTGTATGTACGTATCCATCCTAAGAAACACATACTATCTCCTTTCGAGCACGACTTTAGCTGTTTGTCTGCCCATTTAGGCCCCAGTGCTTGTCTAGCGTTGGTAGGCCTCTTGACCATTCATTGCTGCAGGGCTTTTGTCAGGGTCGTGAATGGTCCGCTCTGCTGCATCTTGTCATCATTGGTTGCTTCTGCATTTTTTCCCCTAGTCCTCACTTCCCGTTGGGCAACAGCTGATATACATCCACTAATTCCAGCCGCCACATGTCTGAAAACGTATTTCCTAGAGTCCTCACTACCTACCACTTGCTTTGCTTCTACTTGAGTAACGACATCTGAACCGGACTTGGCCTTCCCGCCGCGAACCTCGCGAGGACAACCTGTAATTCGGCCCAGAGGAACCGTACCTACTGCAACCCTTCCACATATATAGCTTGTGGTTTGATCGAACGATCGTTTGAAAAAATATATATTTAGGAATCGCCCCGAACACCATCACAACACCCGTACACCCCTTTGATACTGGAGGACAACTTGAATATTTTGCACTGCCACCACATTTGCTCGCGCGCAACCAGTACAGAGGTAGGCGCACTATAGAGCGGGCGGTCGTCAACTCCAGAAATTTCTCACCAAGTGTTTGGTCATCAATCTGTCGCCGTGGCGGTCCAAAATCCCAACGTCCGTCAACCCTCCCAGCAGCCCTCAACCCGCACGACTGGCAACGGGGACGTGGGGTCTCACGCGAAACGCCGGAGTAGCACTGAGGACGCGGACAACGAATCTGGTGGGGCAAGACTAGATAGTAACGACACGAGAGCAGAATTCAAGCGGTATCAATTCGCGTCTGGCAGAGGCGGTCAATGCCCGGGTCCTCTGGACCACCTGCGTGTAGGGGAACCGGATCCGATGTCGCAGAGGGAACCTGCGTCACGATCTACTTCACCTCGGACGTCCAGGTCTCCTCCAGCAGGCGCGAGCACATCACCAAATCAATACCAGCCAGATCCTCGAAGGTCTATCAATCACCCAGGAAACTTTGGGCCATTGGAGAGCAGTGTTATTCCCCGAACTAATGGAGACCTGACACAGTCATTGCCCCAAAGGGGTTTCGGTGTGCGGAACATCTTGAACCCAGCAGAAACGCAACCATCGCCAACGGGGACATCCTCCTCAGCTACCTCTGGACCATCCGGTGGGCAACCTTTGAATCCGAGCCCGGGCTTGCAAGGCTCCGCCTTTGAATCTAGTCCAACCGCCTCGCGGCCTTTCATGTTCCAAGGGCATGGGATGAGCCAGCAACAGGGAAACCCAGCGGCTGGAGGCCAACCTCCGCTAGGGCCGCAACCTCTCGATCGCGGCTCTCCCGCGTCAGCACAGTCTCATCTAGGAACTCGACGAATCCTAACTCCCAGATCTCCTCGAGTTAGTGCCGCAGGCCACATACCACCACCTCAAGCCTTAAGCGCTCCTCAATCACATTATTACCCTGCTCCCACCGCACCAAACCGAGGCTATCCAACCGAGCCTCCCGCTCCAGGACAGCACCACTCGCCGCGAATTGGTGGGCCCCAGCCTTTGGCGCCTCAGTTCGGACGAGTTCACTCTGGAGTTGGTCCTCCGACTACTCTAGCTCCATTAACGACACCACCTCCTCGGTCGCTCTCCCAGCCCATTGCCAGCCAGTTCAACCCGCCAGGACAAGAACCACAACAATCACAAGGTAGTTCTGCCAGTCAGATCAGGCCTCATGGTTATGGTCCGAGTTCGCCATATACTTCGGGTATTCCGCCCAGTAGCCGAGGTTTCCCGTCTTCTCTAGGAGATTCGAGATGGCCAGGTGTGCTTGGAAGTGCGTCCCAAGTGGGACCATCAGGTATTCGGGGCATGGTGGGAGTGGAGGGACATGCAGCCATGAACGTCGGCGGCGAGCCATTAATCGTGCCGTTAGACATGTACAATGGATCCAAACAGGCAGATGAGAAGCGCCAACGAAATGCGGGCGCCTCTGCGCGGTTTCGAGCTAGAAAAAAGGACAAGGAAATACAACAAGGGCTAAGAATACAAGAGCTAGAAAGTCAAAATCGCGAGCTTCAGAAGCGACAGCAAGAAGCGGAGAGCGACCGGGATAGATATCGTAGCGACCGGGATCGCCTCCGCGAAATCGTCTACCGAACTCCTGGAATCAGCGAACTTGCTTACCAAGGGCCTCCGAGTCCCATTTCGACAAGAAGTGGTGGATCTTTCGCAGAAAGAAGCCCACTCGGGTCTAACCCACCTTCTCTACCGATGCCATCTTATGGAGCTACTGACCCCATGACTGGTGAAAGGGCAGCACGGCGACGACGAACAGACCCTCAGCTCGATTATAGCCCATCTTATGCTACAGTTCAGACTAGCCTACCATCGATGCCCCAGCCCACTCATACTCCTCTATCTCAACCTGGAACCCCTTCGGCTATGGCTCGAACTTCACGACTACCACCTCTACGACTAGATCAACCGGCTGGAACACCAAGCACTGTACCATCCGCCTCGGGCACCCCAGTACAAAGTTTCGCACCGTATAAGCGAGAACCATACGAAACTGGATGGGCAACCCGACCTAGTGCGCCACCGCATGATCCAAGCCAGCGTTGAACATAAAATCTCGAGTTCGACAAACCTCCTCACTACTTATCACAACTCTACTTTCGTTTTATGAAGCAAATAATTTATTTACAATCAGTTTTAATATTAACTTCTCGCACCAGTAGCGAGAGTTAGAAAACCCCGGAATCCTATATATCACATTCGAGCATTGGACAAAAAAACGGTCATTAGAGATTTTTCGCATAGTTCGGGCAACCGGCATATTTCGGACGGGAAGGGAAAAAGCTTCATATTGCTGTTGCTTACATTGGTTAGGTGTCGGGAACGAATACAGTTTGCTTTTTACTAGTCACAGGTTTATAACGGTTCCCAGTACCGAACCTGTGCGCCAGATACCTCCTCCCTCATCCGTCTTACCCTTTTACTTTCCTTTGTCCTGTCTATTTGCGACAATGCATAGGTTCATCGTCGGTTTCTCTACCGGGAATTGGGTCTTGCAAGGGGTTTGCGGCTTATATACATACTTGTTCAGGGGAATTCCGGAGTCCGATGCCTGGGGCTAAGCAGGAGTTACGGTGTTTTGTTTGTTGTTGTTGTTCCTTACAGTTGATTTTCTTTTGGGTGGACTCTACTCGATACCAGATTGCGAATTGCCAGACTACAGAAATATTTCCAGTGTTCATTCCATTTTGAATACCCTAAATACCTACCTAAACCGATCGGTCTTGTCTATACGAGAGTTGGTATATATAGTACGAAACAGATACAGAGTTGTTCTAGGGGAGGAAAGCATATAGGCTCGTCGTTCTATACTACGAGAGACAGACAAACTAACACAGAAAGACTCTTTCATGGAGTCCAAAAATTTGCGGGGGGAGGAAAGTCGGATGTCGGCGGTTTTAAGCGTGTCGTGGAAAGAATCGGTACGGTGATCGCGTCGTTTCCCACTTTGGGAAAAAGGGGGTGGAATGGGGTTAGGAAGAGCGAATTGGGATCAAGACAAACGGCTAAACTAGAGGATAAAGCTTTAGATCAGCAAGGCCCCCAGCCAGAGAATCCCAGCAAGAAAAAATCAAAAATCTAGCATCAAAAAACACTAACAAACGAAAACGAAACCTCATATTGTGACACAAGACGGACTTTTCCGAAGTAATGATAATTCTGAATCCGGACATACATAGACGCAAACGCAAAGGAGTTCTCCGAATGAGACGTAAGAACCTACCTAGGTAGTAGAGACGTAGGATCCGGGGCTGTAGAGAAATGTGGGAGCGTTCGAAGTAAACAAACCACCACGACGCGTGTAACCCTGTTGAAACTACCTAATGGCTACCCAGAGGACGGCCTCTGGACCCCAAGCCTCGCCGGTTACCTATCAGACATGCTACGTACAACCAATTCCATCCAGATCTCGATAGCCCCGTTGGGTAAAGTATGAATGGGGACGTAGTCCCTGTAGGTAGGGTTGTAATGCGTTGATGATATTTTTTTCTTTTCTTTGCTTACATGCCTTGAATCAACCATACATCTCTTTCAAGTCGCGGTGGAGAGAAGTTCCCCAGCCAACGAGTTAACCACTGCTACACTATGACTAGGAGTAGGCTAAGGTAACTAACACCTGATGTACGCACGTACGCACATACATACGTTAAAGTATGTATCATAGCGGGTCCGGCATCGTGATAGGTGTAACCGGGAATTGAAAGACTATGGGGGAGTCTACTGGGCCCCTTTCGCGCATCCCGCCAATCTCCAGGCCGATCTACATACCAGACTCTGCTGTTACATACGTCAACCTACGCCCCTTCGGTTTGTCTACCGAGAGAGGGTGTATGTCGTGTATGTAAGAACATGTATATGTCTGTGTTTGTGTCTATGTATGGATAATGTATGTAAGAGAGGAAGCACGTACATATCTACACGCATACATCAGACCTGCGTCACTCCTATACACTACATAGATTTAATATGCATACATAATAATCAGCATATGCCACTCCTCCACATTGCTGATTTCTCTGCTTATGTGACGTTGCTTGACCAAAACTCTATTCGAACGAACACCGCCTATTCATCTTTGTTCCACCGTCGACTTATACTACATAAATATTGTACCGTACCCACATGGGACCGCCCGCCAACCCCCCTCTCCCCTCTCGTCCCTTTCTTTGATCGTATCTGGCGCCCAATGACTCGTCCGCATCATACATATATATCTATGTACGTATACCATGCAGGCATATATTTATTTACAGATCAGGGTTCGAGAGGAAGCTTAGGTAGGCCACATGGCAATCCCTTCGCCGCTTTACAAAGAAATGTAGGTAAGACGACAATAGTGCAAAAAGACGTATGTAAAATAGAGTAGGCATAGGCAAGGAGGTTGGTGAGTTGGTGGTACTGCAGCGTGTTCCTGCCAGATAGGCTAGTGATTTTCCATCTCTCGTGATTCTGCTTTTCGTTTTCCCCCCGTTGAGTCACATTCTACCCTGTTCCGTTCTCTTATTCTTCTCTTCCTACTACTTCTCGCTCCATGTTTCTTCTTCCGTCTCGAAACTCAGCCTACCTCTACCTCGCCGCTCTCTTACCGCGAAGAAACGTTTTAACCTCGTTGGTATTGTATTGTATTGATAAGACATGGTTACCTTACTTCGTCCACGACTGGTATGACTAAGTTTTTAGACCCCTATGCATCTCTCTGACTAGCGCGAAGCAGCAGATCATCAAAATTGGTAACGATAAGCCCTAGTAATAAGAGCGTACTAGTCGAGATCAGCAAATGCTGGAGGATTTTTGGGCGAATTAGAAAGTTGGAGTTACGTTTATACGGGTATAAGAGGAACCAATGCCTTAGAGCCTAGAGATCGGCAATCTCCAGTTTAAGGGGGAATAAACAAAGGACGCTTTTTCGGCTTCCAATTTTTCCATTCAAACTCACATGAAATTTACCTAACTTAGCATTGTCCTCGATTTCATGATATGATAGATATTATTAGTCGTAGAGACCCGTCTGTTCTAGTTAATCCGCGTCGGTCCGATTAGATAATATCATATCATGTATTTAGCTGTCTGCCCCCAACTGCCTTGTCTATATACCGGGACCCATCTACAACATAAAAATTATCCCATATTTCTAAATCTCGGTGAATTATTTCCTGTGAAAAACCAATAAGTGAGAAGTCATCTTTTTCATCGATATTTTCAGGCGAACACCTCCTACATATGATACGCGAAAAGGGCGGAGCGGGCCGCTTCGGTGTCTGGAGAAGGCATGTAGGATTTGCCCGAGGCCCAAATTCGAACCCGATACATACCTAGGTATACAACACACGAAAATACATACCTCCGAACCAGTTCATGTCAACTTTACCACCTAGGAGAGAAATCCGGTCGCAATAATGGAAATAAACAACCTCCGTCGTCAAAAGTTCCCCCTTTTTCTTCGCGACCGGTAAAAAAGGGGCCGAGAGAGTGGGCACAACAACGACTATTGAACGGTTCCCCTTTCGTCGTTCTCGTCCTACGTAGCAACAGCAGCAGCAGAAATAGAAAGATTCCTTCCTCTTCTGCTATTATTAATTAATTTCACTTTACTTTTCCATTTCTCTTACTTCTCATCCAATTCCTTTCCTCTCCTCTTGTCCTAATCGAAACACGACCCCACGAATATTCCCCGAGCGAGACTTGGCCGTCGCAGCCGTACCGTACCGCACGCAGAACAATTTCTACACCGCAAGTTCGGAATCCTTCTTTCTCCTCAACGGTATATTGCTCGTCTATTGTCTATGATGATGTGCCGGCAGCGCCGGTAGTTAGGCACCAATTGGCTGTTCCGTTCGTCGTTGGTCTGACATGAAATGGCTCTTTTCGCTCGCTAGCTGTTTCGGTATATTGCTTCGATACGAAGCAGAGAAAAAAAGACCAGGGTGTACGGGCGCATCTCTCTTGCTATTTCCTTTTTAGGGGTAGACAATAGATACAAGATGGCGTGAGAGAGGCTGGAAAGACAAGACGCTAAGGAATGATGCGAGCACGAATCGATGATCCAACAATAACATTATCACCTTTGTTTCGACGCGCGCTTTCCACCAATCTCGCCCATCCCAGAAGCTCGGATCAGAGATGGGCTTCCGCTCTGATGCCTCGCCTCAGGCGAAGAATCAGCATACATACATGCATACGTGCTAATGCATAGATGCACACACATTACATACAGACCGACATGGGATGTGTGTGACGACCGGGTAATCGGGCGTCCAATTCCCTCATCGAGACAGGGCCTGGTGACGAGGACCGGTGCGGCCGGTGCCGACGAATGGAGCGCTTATTTCGAAATAACCCTGCGTGGAGTCGCAGGATCGACGGTGCGCCCAGCAGGCAAGCAAGCAAGTAACCATCTTCGATGTTTCGAGCAGGGTACATCTATTGGTGAGCTAGATGTAGCTCATTTTTTTCCCAAACCTAGATTGCGCGGTCATCTCATTTCCCACAATTTCGAGATTTGATACACGGCTTGATAGGTTGGTTGTTGACCATGCCGAACACTGCCTCGCTTTTCCGAGAGATACGCTACTCGACGAGTCCCACCGATATTTCCAATCTCCGCGGCTTCGTTAGTTTTTTTTTTTCTTCGATCTCCAATAAAATGACGAGTCGACTCTGAGGTAAAATAGTGATCACTCTTAGCACTCGGCCATTCACATGGTGGGGAATATGCTCACTACAGGTGTGAATGGAGAAAACTAATGTCGTGACTGTCCTGAGTTTGATGAGGTACATCTAGAAGTAAGATAGTAGTGATAGTAGTATCTAGTCCCAAGGCTTCCTTCGCATTGGGGGTTAGTTGGCAGGGTTACCCGAACGAAACTTGAGTCACAAATAGGTAATTCGCCTCTAATCCAGTAAGGTACATTGGGAAGAAATCAAGTACGTTGCCAATATACCATATACTCACCACTTAAACTTCTAATGGTTGTTGCTTTGGTAGGCCTAATTGTACTAAAGTGTGAGAATTTGACGAATTAATTCATTGCGTCGGAATCGCTTACCAACACTATTGATCGGTCGAAGAGAAAATATAGATGAATTGGGATATCTATTTGACATTAGTCGTGACTACTTCCTTTTAATAGATGGGGACCATACCTGGACTTTATCTTGCTCCTATTAACCCCACACCTTACCCGTGAACCGTAATCAAATCTATCAACCCTCACTTCCTGGATATATAAGTATATTCTAGGAATAGCTACAGCATTCGAGTGCTATTGGCTCCCAGCCCATGATTAAAGAAGAGTGATACATCAAGACCCAGACAACGCATACCGTTAACATACCGTATCAACAACATAGCAAACTTCTAGCAGATGTCATAACAATCTATATAGCCTACGAAGACGACGAAGAACAAGTTAGTAGGTACCTAGGTAGGTAGGTAGACAGGAAACTCCCACTCGGTATCTCATTCATTACCTGTAACGTATGTGTGTGCCCGAGGGTTACAAAGGAGACCTTCCTAACATCAACCCCCTTAGAGAGAAAATCCTAGAAACGTTGAATACCTAGGTAGACATTAATGAAGAATCGATCCGTCTCCTATCCGGTGTCGTCACATAACCCATCTTAGCCGCGACCCCTGAAATTCCCAAACCAGAGACATTAGCCGTACCTGTATAGCGCGCGCAAATTACCTTTCTAGATTTCCAACGCCAATTCGGCCGAGACGCCGGGGCCCCTTAGTATACCCAATAAAGACAGACTCCCTTATATACTTGTATGTGCCCCTACCGTGCCGAACGTTGAGGTCCATCGTCGTCAAACTATTACCGGTAATCCGCCGGCGGGAAATGCGGCATATGTGGGTTGAGGCCGTTCGGCTGAGGCAAATGGGACGCATGCATTTCGTACGGTCCGTAAGCTTCTTGGGTCCCTAGTGGGGGAACTCCGATGCCCAGGCCGGCGCCCGCTGGTTGCCAGCCTTGCCATAGGGTGTCAAACTCAATACTGGTTTCTTCACCACCGATGGCCTCCATCCCGGGCGCCATACTCACCGGTGCGACCCCGTTATTTAGCGAAACGCTCCCTTCTGGACTAGGCTGTTGAATTGCCGGCGGCATCATCGATCGCATCGTAGCTTCTGAGGGCCCTACCGGCAAATTGACCAACTGCCTCCCCTTCACTGGTGATGGTAAATCGCTCATATAGGAGTCTCGTCGTTCAGCCTTCACTTGGTTGGAGAAAGATGACGTTGGGTCATGGTGGAAACTTTGCGAGATCGTAGATATGGTAGGAGCTTTGCGACCTGGTAAAGATATTTTCTTCGTCGATGGATCTCGACCTTGATTCGCTCTGTGGAAACTGTCAACGATGAATGATACTCGTCGAGCCTGAGCATCGAAACTCCCGCAGTATTCTAAAATATGCAAGGCGCTCTGGATGGAGGCATCGCCGTCGGGATTATGGTATAATAGTGCGAACTCGTTGCTCAGAATCACAAGAGCGGCGGCAAAGACGAAGTATCTGTTTATATAAAAAGAAAATTTGCATCAGTTCTCTATCCTCCCAAAACAGCGTTGTTGGTGGGTCTCACATCACGAATGGGTTGCACTGCGGCAAGTATTCGGCGTCGAGCGCGGCTCGAGCTATTATTATGGTACGCTGAGAAGCCTCGACGCAGGCCTGAGAAAACCTTTCCAGTCTTGAACTACAGCGAGGCGGTTTTTGAGAGTTCCTGGAAATACCATCGCAGCCCATTTTGAGAAGGTATAAGAAGAATGGCCTCGTAAGGAGCACCACAGAGTGGCAATGTAAGAGGTTAACATGAAGGATGGCGATAGCTTGTGTTGACTCGATCGACCCATGTACGATGCGTCGCCAATCCAAGTTCTGATGCAATTCCTTCTCCCAGTTTTCAATACGTTCTGCAATTTCCTGCGCCACGAGAGTCGATACTTTTCTCTTGGAGTAGACCTTCTTAAGTGTCAACCCGATCAAAAAGCAGCTTCTTACCGCAGCATCTAGCGCCGCCGAATTCGTTAGTTGTACCCCATTATTTATAGCCGCACCGTCATCCCTGGTCCCTGGTGGGAATTGTAGGGCATTCTCCGAACAGTCTTCTTCAGATATAGTTATAGGGCGACCAAGGCACGCCGCAAGGAAGCGATCGAGAATGAACAAAGTCCTCCATACGTTTTTTCGAGATTGGCGGTCGGGTTCCTCAAAAATTACCATACTTTCCTCCCTATGGAGTCCCAGTGCGAATGCGAACCGAACTGCCATTCCTTCACGATCGTCAGGCTAAAGTTGAAAGTAGAGAAGGGGTAACGTAAGGGATAACGCGCTCACCATGGTAAACGTATGAAGCATTTCTCTGAGACACTGCTAATAGATAAAGGGACATTAATAGAAGCGCTTGAATTGACCAGAAATTCCCATCTTCAAATCCTGCCATGGAGTCAAAAGACTTCTTAGCGGCCCGGAAGAATAATTCAGCACGATTGATGGGTTCCGAGCGCAGTTTTCGGATTATAGTATCATGCTCAGCCCCCAACGGACGAGCGACAACCAGGCCAATAGCAAAGACCAAATTAAATATGCATAGTACCGCCTCGTCGATGTTGAGGGGATCGCTATAGCATTGCTCTACCGACCGGAGGAATTCCTTCTTGTTAAATACATCGACGAGGCCTGATGTCTACAATCCTATGGGTTAGTGTTGGTATTCACAGAGTCACGACGTACATACATTGGTGAAGAAAGCGTCTATAAGTACGTCAGCCGTCTTCCTGTCTGGTAATTGACCGGTTGTTCTAGTGCCCGATGGGAGTTGAATCGTATTTTCCAATAGATTGTGCCTCTGGGGATCAGTGGTAAATTCGGAGGGCCCCGAGATAGTTTCGACGATCATACGAATCAATTGTAGATAGGAAAGACTCGCCGATTCACCAACATAAACTATATCAACACATTAGAAGAGCAAGGACTATATTTTAAAACAGGGTAGATAGTGCACTCCGGAACTAGACATAACTAGAAACGGAATAATGATAGATAGATGATTGGTCGTAGGTGGGGGTTCTGGTGTCTCACTTACGCAGCTTGCCCGTTGTATCCATAAGCATCCTAGGCAGAGACATGATCTCCGCTTCATCCGCAGCTCCGCTGGCATTGCTAACGCGAGAGCGGGAGTCAAAATCGCGATCATTACTGCCGTGGAAGTTGCGGGTTATTCCGACTAGCTTTTTCTGACTCGACTCAGGCGACCCTGTTTCTATAAGGCATATTGCCGACCTGTCAGTAGGCTGATCCCACGACGCTAAAGATGGGATGTGCGTCGTGGTCTGACCAGATTCTAGAGTAGTTCTTGTATTTCTAGGTGAGCCCTCCACATGTCGACGTTTGGTCGGGGACTCGAGGGGGTCCTGGGATCCATTTTCTAGGCTCGTCGGCGTGTACATACAAGCCAACTTTCGCTTATCGCATGTACTACACGGATTTTGCCCGTTACACTACAAGAATATATGAGTTAGCAAGGATGACGACGACAAAGTTCAATATCGATTGGGCTCGTGTAGTAGCGCCTAAGCGTTTAACCCGGAGACGGCTACACAACCACGCCGGTCGTTGTGAGACGAAGAGAGGTACCCGGAGACAATAGCATAACACAAGTTGTCGCTGCTCATGCTGTGTATTATTCAAGTAAGGGGTATTGAGAAACAGATTTTTTTTCTTTGCGAATTATCCGCTCGTCTTACACGTCCATACCTCCGTCGTCGAATGCTCGATGATCTTGCGGGTAAGGCGATATTGGGATTTGCAGAGGAAGTAAGGGATACAACAGTAAGACAGAAAGTGCAAAAGGAAGAATTCAATTGACCGACCTTTTGTTTCCTACGCTTACAAGAGTCACATGCCTGCGCAGTACGTTGCCTCTTGTCAGGATCAACCTTAGGTCGTGTCATGATTGTTTGAGCCACAATAGGTCGAGGTCACATCCGCCATCCGACACTTCGCCACAAGGTGACTGGATTCAGGTTGGGCAATGGAGAGGATAAAAAGAGACAAATGATGACTTCGGGGGCGGAGCCGGTCTAACGGGCACTAAGGCGTCGGTCTCGGATACGGATAAAAAATGTCCAAAGGTTCAGCCCTATCGGAAGATAGACGGACCTCAAGGTCCAGTATCGTGGGATTGGGACGAACAATTAACTCGGCAAGTGCTTGCTTGTCTACTCGGCAGAGTATGTAAGGCAAGCCTGCATGGGTGTATGAATAGGTAGGCAATCTAGGACTATCCGGTAAGGTCGCTTGCTGTAGGTAGAGAGATGTGTGCGTGCGTGTACGTGTGTATGTGTGTGTATGCGTGTATGTATGTATGTGTGTGTGTGTGTGCGGAAGATGAGCTAAGTGGAGAAGCATATAAGCTGCTTGAGTACACAAGAGTGTATCGAGCAAGCTAGCTTGCTCACTGGAGCGTTAGAGCGATATGCCACAACAGCAGCTGACTGACTGACTGAGGAAGAGATGCGAGGTGTAGGACCTTGGAATCAGCGGAACGTGTCGGAAGCGGGAGATGGACATGAAAAAAATAAAGCTGTCATGGATAGTGTTTATGGAGAAGAATGCAAGGGCCGACTTGTTAGATTTTTTTTTCTTCTCCCTCGAGGGGAGCAAGCGTAATGCTATGCACTCCAACTGGCCGGCTCGGCACCTCCCTCCTGAGCCGGACAATTGGCGGTCTCGACCACGTTGAGCTTGTCCGGTCATGTTTTCGATGAGATATGGAAGCAGGGCTGCGTAGGAGTAGGACCGTGATTGGGCAGCTAGGCTGTAGATCAATCAAGTAAGACTCCGTTAGGCGATCAGGTGGCGTTCCAGCATCGCCTAAGAGGCAGGATATAGCGGCGTATTTATTTCTTCTTTCGACATGGACTTTTTCCCCCTCCAAGATGGTTGGCATCAAGAGGATGCTAGGAGTGCGGACTTATTTCTTTCTTTGATAAAGTCTAGATCTGAGTGTGAGACCCATGTGAAGATCACAGCTGTTTCCTAAACCGGGTTTTTTCCTTTTTTATCAAGACGCCCGAGAATATTAAAATGTGATTGATCAACTCCGTATCGACAGCAGATGTCTCAGTTATGCTCTCAATTATTGAGAGTGGGTACCGATCTTGAGGTGAATTGAATCCAATTTAGGATGCAGATAAGGGCCAGCAGGCATGAGCAAAGAGAGGGGCTTCAGATGAGGGTCACCGTGTAGATTAGAATAGTATACGATGGAGATGTTGTACGGTGTGTGAGTGAAAGGAATGTAGAGTCGAGGGTTGGTTTAGCCTCTGGACGCACGTGTAAGTTCGTAAGAAGATACTTGAGATACATATGTACATTAATACTCCGCACTCCGCATATATAGGGCAGGTACATCCCAATTGACGTACGATTTATACTTGCCAATGGTCCCGGAAATCGCTACCTGACAGTTAAAGTTGTCGGATGCTGCACCTAAATGGCTAGGATGATCAGGGGTTGGAGAAGATGGACGATGTACTCTACGGGATGATACATCCGTTGTCGATATTTCAGCCGCGCAGCACCACGTAAGAGAAAGTATATACAAGTATACTGTCTTATACCCAGTGTGGAAGGCGTAGATGAAGCATGGTCGGGATCCACCATCCAAAGGTAAAAGAGGCAAAAAGGCAATCTGATCTTTCTGATCTTCCATTTCCTGCATTTCTTGCATTTCTTGCATTTTTGCGGCTCAATCCCGAAACTATTTCTTTTCTCACCTACACATGCAAGTAAGACTCTTCCCCTTGCCCCATGCCCCAAATTCATCACCGTTTTCACGTTGCGTTTACTATCCCGTCGGCTACACCACTATATGCAAATCAAAATCATCTAGAGATCATCTAAGACAACCCTGTCAATGCCAGTCAATCCTTCACATTTCAATCAATGTGTCACTCTAAGCCGTTAGATATTCGGCTCGTATGTGCTTCTCGGATGGTGCACCCTGACCCTTCGTATCGAACAACAAGTCGTCAATTTATTAATCATCTACTTAGCTCGATTGACATGTCTTGTATATTCCACGGTCCACTGCATAGGTATGATCTCAAATTGGTCTAAGGGGGGGCTCGATTCGGTACTCATAATCTACATGCATGTAACCCTTCACAATAGATTGCCCCTGCTTCAGACGCCTCGTGGTTCATCATCCCGTCACCGTTGACGCGAAACGGCCCGCACTCGCAAAGACACACTTATCTACCGACGTCAATCTTATGTCGGTAGAAGTCACTATCTCGAAGATGGCTTAGGGCCGTCTATTACTGAGTCTCTATAGGGGCGCTTCAGAGATGTTTATGCTCAAACCCCAATTGCGCCTCTCTTAACTTAGATACTGATCGTCCACCAGATTCAGTCAGCCACTGCCATCCCTCCAAAACCATATTGGTGTCTTCATTCCAATGGAGTTTGCAGTTGATTATCGCCAGCGTCACACCCACATCATGGGACGTACACCGCGAATTGATGTGTCAATGGGCACTGTCACTCGTCGTTTATCGCTGGACGGCACGGCATATCACGACCGCCGCATTTAGCGCCAGTGGTAAATCCCTAGAACTTACCTGTATGTCACTGTTGACATATCTATCGTTATCAGATGGAACTGTGAAGATGGTCTACACGGGCTAGGTCTCGCCTATTATTTCTAGACCGCACAAGAAACCCTCGTCACTCATATATCCGAGTCACGATCTCACCGACGGGGAATGTTTCGGTGTGAGTCCCTCTGTATGATGTATCGTAACGTGTTATGATGTATTTACCGCTCTTTATGTGATTCGTGTCGTCTAGAAGCCTTCATTCTTAAGTAGTTTTGTGGCGTGCTCTCCTGGGTATTTCTTTCCTCATTCTCAATACGGACGTGCAGTCATTCCTATGATTTCTCCCACCGCCACCATAATGGCTGTCGGACAAGCAAAGACAACACCATCAGTCTCCCATGTGGGATCTGGGAGGTATTCGGTAAGTGAAGGCGCAAGAGAAGCATTCGAACAACTCTGGGAATCTACCAAAGGAGAGCTTCCAAGGGAATTCCTAGAATACGCGAAACGTATTTTTTTCTTGGGAGATACAGGTACGGGGGACGCCGCCTGTTTCCCTTGTCCTTTTCGTGAACAAGAAGCGATTGCGGCTCTCAAGGCATTAGAAGGATGCGCTGCTGCCACTATTGCGGATATTCGGGGACCGAAACGTGAAAGGGAAATTAATGTCATGATGGAGCGTGTGACATCTTTTTTAATGTCCGCGTATATCACCGATCTCGACGGCTTGGATAAGTGCAACCCCAAAATCAAGGAACGGATTCCAGGTTTGTCTCACATACCCATCTTTAGTATACTCAGAGACGCCCAAGCTAACCAGAAAAATAAGATACGGATCTAAACCAGGCCCAGTCAAATTTGTATCGCCGTTTGTCAGCCGGCCTTTATAAGACCAGGAACCAAGGCGAATACTACCACATACATGGGTCGCTAGAGGCCACTACGACTTTGGGCATGATAGGCCTCCCACCGTTCCTCCCCGGTTCAATGGATTACCATGGGTGCATAAACACTATTGAAGAGGCTGTTAAACGATTCTCCGGAGCTGAATTGGAAAGGCTGAACCGGGAACACCACCAGGCAGGTGTCCCCGCTCTCACCAATGAAAAGTATCAAAATACTGCTCACGGGCAAGCGATGGCGTCTCTCCCATTATTTACTGTGAAGCCTTTGAACACGGATACGCCACCCGTCCCATTTACGGAATTTGCAGATGAGCCGAATCAATGCCTGCAGGGACTTCGCGTTATTGAGCTCTGTCGGGTAATTGCAGGACCAACCATCGGCCGATCACTAGCCGCCCATGGCGCATCTGTACTGAAGATCACGTCGCCGCAACTACCGGACGTCCCATTCTTTCAATTAGACGTTAATACTGGGAAACATACAACATTCTTACACCTTAAGGACCCCACCGACATCCAAACCTTTGAATCGCTCCTTGCTACAGCGGACGTCATTATCGATGGATATCGGCCGGGTGTCATCGCAAGTCTTGGTTATAGCCCCGAGGTGCTAGCGGCAAAGGCGGCAGAACATGGAAGGGGTATCGTCTACGTAGCAGAAGACTGTTTTGGCGGCACAGAAATAGGCGCCGAATGGGCCGGTCGTCCAGGTTGGCAACAAATCGCCGACTGCGTCACGGGTGTGGCGTGGGAGCAAGGTCGATTCATGGGATTGAATGAGCCGGTCGTCCCGCCCTTCCCCATGTCAGATTACGGTACGGGATGCGTTGGTACTATTGCAGCGCTTTCAGGCATATATCAAAGGGCAACGCGGGGTGGTAGTTGGGTCTGTCGCACTAGCATTTCCCAGTACGATATCTTTCTCTTATCCCTCGGCGTATACCCAGCGGACGTTCAAGACCGGCTGCGGCGTGAACATGACCCTCGATTTTTCGAACTACGTCACAATGACTCTGTGGACGAGGTCAGCCAACGAGCGCTGGCTAGCGTTAGGAAATTACACCCTACGCTATTTGCACGTCATATCATGCAAAGCTCGTACAGCAAGGCATTCGGTGGCGTTGTTACCTGGTCCAAGGAGCCGCTGAAAGTGGAGGGAATCAAGATTGGCCATGTGAGGCTGACACGACCAAATGGCTACGACGAACCATCATGGGAAGATTGGGAGAGTGACAAGACACTATTGGGCGATTGATATCTCGATCCCCCGAGAGAAAGCTAGATACCCGGCGTCTGACGAGTGATATCTATATGGTTGCACGGCAGTAGCGGCGGTATTCGTGCCCTTTTGAACATAGCGGGCGTCGTGGCATTTTGTCTGTCGTAAACAAGGTTACATGGTATACGAAGCAAGCTGTGAAGGACATGAGCATCTCTTGGCATAATATTGAGGACGCATTGTGCTTGGTTAGCGAAGCATTGGGGATGTTTTCTCTTTTTCTTTACCAAAAGCATCTCTTACATTAATATTTGTCGATACTATTGCATCTCCATAGCAAACTATTGAATTTACCTTTATGCCGAATACACTCTCCATATCTGCCTAGGTACCTAGGTATGTACGCCCGGCGCTAAACTCACTGATATTTCGGGCTCCCGAATTCAGACAGAGCAGCTGGCTCGCTCCTCTTTGAGAAGAGACCATAAAATTATAAGTAAAGGGGGCTTGCTTTCTGTAGTAAAACTTGACAAATTAGTGGACTCGGGGAAACGTCAACTTACACAAGACCTATCGCCATACACAACCTATAGTAATACTAATAATACCTACTTAGGTGCCTAGCATGAGATTACGGAGATAGGGTCATCTGATGGCTAAAATTGACGGGGACGGTGGTACGGTCCCTCCATCGGGACCGAATTGTAAGAAGGACTTTGCTTGTCGCGCTTTCTCATCCTATCACGGGTAGGTAGAGCCGAGTATACGGAGGCGGAGTTGAGCAACTAGCCCGGCGGTGTGATAGAGGCGATTTTTCTTTTCTGTGATGAATGGGGCTAGTTGCCGTGTCCTACTACGGGATATGCTATCTTTCGCGAATGACAGAACGATATATCATTAGTAATGTATTTATTCAGCTTGAGTCAAGCGTCTGGCGTTACTTATCATAAGAATCAAGCTCCACATACCCCTTTTCACAATTCGTCAGAGGAAGCAATTAACAAATCATGACGAGCGAGCAAAAAAGAAGGCTAGGAAAGCCTCATACATGGAACGGAGATATGTCCGCGAAGAGATGCTAGGTCTCGGCACATTCCTTCTTCTCTTGCCCCTTGCCTCCACCAAATATCTGAAAAGAGCAAATTTTCTCTCTTTCTCTTGGCTGGGTAGAAAGCGCAAAAAAAAAAAAAAATCATTCGACCTGGTCTGATATACCTTATACTTGCCTACTTGCCTGCCTAAAGGTACACGCAATCCGCTTACACAAGCCCAATTTATTAAATCTCGCCCGAGAATGCCTACCTCTGCCTAGGCGCCTCTGCGGCTACCTGCAGGAAAGGACAGGAAGAAAAGAATTCCCAGCCCCTTAAAATAGCACTTTGGGAAGAATATCCCGCGTATTGTCTTGAATGACGAATTATGAAAAGCGCCCCAGCGAATAAGAGAGCGATGTACGCGGAGAGGCGGCTTGCAAATGCAGTAGGCTGGCGTTCGAAAGCAAAGAGTTGCATAAAAAAAAAAAACAAGGACGAAAGGAAAGGAAACATGTAAGGGCTTTTTTCTTTCTAGGTTATATGTATGTGAAACCCCATTTCGCTGCAGCAAGCCGATAAGGAGGATCATTTCAACAGTCAAGTCCGCAGGAAAACAAAAAAAATAGCAAGTAGCCGTAGAGTGAAAATGGGACGATGTGAGGCTATTTTCGTTCGTCCAAGATTATGTATCAATCTATATATACCTACCGCCCTTGCGGGAGCATGCAGCGATTCACTATACATAGATCATACACCATCACCATATATCTCTCCTAGGCCAGCGAATAGAATACGTATAGGTATAGGCAGGGAGGCATTGGTTCGCGGACATTAAATCACCCCACGCGCTCATCCTACTCTGCCGCAACCCGAAACCATATAAAATGGCGTGACGATACATGGATGCAAGGCAGCGCCTCTTGTACTCACTCACTTGTTGAGCTCCGATGCGTATACGTGGGTATTGTCGGTCGGTGCTTTCTTTCGCGAATACCGCCCCATAAGGAGTTCGAGACCGGGCTGGAGATCATCGGCGTTGAGATTTTCCATGAGGCAACTTAGTGATTATGACAAATCGTAAATGCACGCATTATATATACTCTTTCACTTTGAGCGGTTTGATTCATTTTTGTTGTTTCATGTCGGAGTTTTATTCCGCGGTGTATGTTTAGTAGTTGAAGTGATTTCCGAAATCCGGTTGACGAGAATTGCTCAATTGTCTCATCAAGACACTAGAAAGAATGAAGGCTTATGTTACTAGAAAATAAAAGGTTTAATAATTGACCTCTGATAGTTGGAGGATATAAAAAATTAAAAGCATAGTCACGCCGTGGATCGAACACGGAACCTTCTCGGGACTTTGAACACATCAATGTGAACGAGAAATCATAACCATTAGACCACGCGACTCTGGATTACAAAGCTTAGTCTCTGAGATTCTTGCTTTGTTGAATTTTTGCATGCTTATTTGTAACTGTATACCCTATGAATTAGCATAGCCCACTACACTTTTTTGCTCTCGGACTCTACATATGTATTGCGTAAGTGGGGTATTCGCCTTTCCCAAAGAGGAGAAGCGTAAAAAAAGCGATTGGTGTGTAAGTCTATTCTCAGCCTATCATATAAGCTTCGGGTACTACGTTTAAAATAGTCAAGGCCGATAGGCTCCGCGACTAAGCGCAGTACTTGGGATGAATTGGGAATACCTTTGACTAAATCGGCCATGGTACGGACTACTGAACGATATTGAATGTCCAAGTCCTACTACAGAGGGAAAGACCCCCAAATTGTTGATTTCGATAATTGATAAATGACTAACACCTCCAATCTGATTGGGACTGTAGCATTGCGTCGGCCCGGACAGGACTCACAAATCGGCATCGCATCCGTAATCCTCGTCGCAATCTTCAAAGTCCTCAACAAGAAACATGTGCGATCGCGTAATCAGAATCAAATTATTTTTCACAATTTACCCATTGTGCGAGATACGACGGGTCCATCGCGCCCTTAAGATCAATAAACTTGGGGCCTCTTGATAGGACGAGACGAGGGTTCAATGGGGTGTAAATGGGCATATGGGGAAGTTCGGTGCTCCGTTCCCGTTCCGGTCCCCGAAATAATATGACACTGAGACCTCGGTCAGTCTTGGTTCCCCTTTACAATCGGACGCATATCCGTATTGACATTTCTGCTATAATTCTCCATCATGACGCTTTTTTGGTGGAGTTGTTCTAATTTCTTGTTATGTATGCTGCATGAAAAACGGTGTAAGAGATAGCGATGTCGGAGTGAACAGAAAGTGCCGGGAAACTTTTGAGTTTGGGGCTGTAGATCGCCTGAGAAGCCTCATGTGCTTAACCATAAGCTATTTGGCCTAATATCCTATAAAGTTTATATGTTAGCCTTTTCTTCGGTTGCATATGATGGACTGCCCTGTTCTAAATCCCCGTGCGTTCATCTGCATTTGCCCTTTTTTTCTAAGTCTTTTTTCTCCCCTTTTCTTGTACTGAAATTCATGATTTCAAAAAAAACATCAAGTATGATGGATAAGAATGAGAAAGGAGATACGAGTCCCACAGAGACTCTAGTATCCGACACCACTGAAGAGACGCAAACAACACAAGAAACACTAGGAAGACAGCCCACCACAGTATCTGCATCTGTCGACGAGCCTCCCGATGGTGGTTTCACGGCGTGGTCTCAGACCGTACCCGCCCACATCGCCAATATGTTGTCGTGGGGGTATGGAACCGGATTCGCCGTCTTCCAGCTGTATTACAAACAACACATGCATTGGCCCGCCTCTCAAGTATCTTGGATAGGCTCCATCCAGATTTTCCTATGTTTTCTCATAGGGATGGTGTCCGGTCGCCTCGCAGATGCTGGCTATTCGAAACACCTGTATGCTGGTGGGGCTATCATCCTTATCTTCGGCATGTTCATGACGAGCTTGGCGACCACGTATTGGCAATTCTTGCTCGCACAAGGATTTTGTAGCGGCATTGGCGGCGGTTTGATGTTCATGCCAGCCACTGCGAATGTCGCTACATACTTCAAAAAGAGACGTTCGCTTGCTATGGCCATAAACGGATGCGGATCCAGCACAGGCGCCATATTGTTCCCGGCTGTAATACAGTTCCTAACACCCCGGCTCGGTTTTGCGTGGACCGTAAGGGTCTGCGGGTTCATAGCCTCGGGGTTGGCTATCATCGGATTCTTCTGTTTGAAGCCAAGGGATCTTCGGAGGGTCCCCGCACCATTCCTTGACTTGAAGGCCTTCAAGAACCCCGATTACACCGTGTTCACCTTGGGCGCGTTCTTCATATACTTCTCCCTGTTTACAATGTTAATATATGTAAGCCTCCAATGGTACCCTGTTGTCATCTTATGAATTTGGTACTGATCATTGCTTCGTTTCAAGATAAACTCCTTCGCCCGTGAGAGTGTTGGGCTAAGCGATATAGAATCCGTTAATTTCATACTTATTACGAACACGGTCGCTATCCCGGCACGACCTATATTTGGATATATTGCTGATCGCTATGTCGGGCCCGTTTATACCTTCGGCTTGAATTGCATTGCTTTGGGAGTCATGGCATTCGGTTGGATGGGCGTCCACAGAAGAGCAGATATGTACGCCTACTCTGTAATCATGGGTTTCGTGAATGGTGCTGCTCAAGGTATCTTCTCAAGTGCTGCTAGTAATTCCGTCAAGGATGTAAGGAAAATGGGAACATGGATAGGTATGGTGTTCGCTATCTGTGGATTTGCTACCCTAGCTGGTCCGCCGACTATGGGAGCCATCATCGATGCCAGCGGAGGCAAATATATATGGGGCCAGCTTTGGGTCGGATTAACGATCGTTATTGGCGGTTCGTTAATCATCCTTTCGCCTAGGCTCGAGGTGAAAAAGACTGGAAGGATAGGCCTGGTCTAATGAAAACGAACTGGTAGCATGTTTACGGTGGTTGGTCGCAATGGTAGGGAAACGCGAGTCTGGCCATCTTTCAGCAACGCGAAAGACAATTTAGAGTGGAATAGACGTAATAATTAATGGCAGAATGGGAGTTGAGATAACACCTTGATTCGTTGTCCGAGGCACCTGAGGCAACCTACGATGCATGAATTGTGTTCGCCCATTGGGGATTTCTCCCTCGTTCTCTGGGAGTGGCGATTTCCGAGGAAAAAATTCTTCCAGCTAGGCTTCTGATTCTCAGTGGAAATTTCGATGGGCTTGGACGAATTGGCGTCGCATTTGGAAGTTTCGAAACATGTAAAGTTAAGGAAACTTCATAGCTCGGAGGTAAACCTCGGTGCTTGGCGTAGAAAGTTGTGGCTGAGGTACCTCAGCCACAACCCTCTTTCCGATGACAGGGATTGACTTCAATGTTGCGCATGAAGCTCGGCAGATCTAGCCAAGCTAACTAGATTGAGTAATGCATTAGTCTGCAGGTTGACGTCACCACTTGTCTGATCTGGGAACAGCTTGGCTACCTCCCACTTCGCATTCGCATCTAGCCGTCACAACAATTCTTTTTGGTCGTTCTTTTTTCTTCAACCCCTAGCCAATTACGGGTAGCCAACCAGGGTATTTTCATTTGAAGAAATCGCCTGAACCAACAATTCTCGTGTTTGTTGGTCCGGATTAACTTGCACCGCCGAATTGACAACCGAGGCGCCTGCATGATGGATCAGCCAAGGGAAAAACTTGGAAAAATGTCACTGTCACACCTAACGTTACGTATGTAGGTAGTCAGACCATGTATTAGCTGTTACCGTATTTTCATCCAGGAAATAAAAACCCTATGAATAGAATTTCCTTTGTTCCCGTTTCAATGCCCTTTTTAATGTTTCAGGAGAGATAGTGACATCAGTCACTTGTCCAACTGTCTTTCGTTGTCAGCCCAGCAATTCAAGACTAGCGCCCAACTCATTAAACGTTTCAAATATCAAGCGGGCCACAACTGCCAACTTACATTTTCAATTCTACTTTCCGTTATTCCACCAATTTAAACTGTTGGCTACTCTTAAACCAATCTATTACTATTTTTGAGACGAGATGGCATCCTTCATAGTGAAAAAAATCCTCAAAGAGACGGCGGGGAACCAATTTGGAGCAGGTGTAAGTGACGTCAACTCCGATTAGCACTAGTTATCCCGCGACGAATACTAACATAATACCTCCGATCGCAGGATCCATACTTCGAACAAGTTCCCGCGACGCGACTCGATGGCAAGCCGTCAAAGAAAACCAAGAAGGTCCGCAAGGCCTTGCCGCCCGGTATCTCGGAGCACGATGCTATGATCTTAACGAAGGTGAAGAGAAGGGCATACCGATTGGATATGAACTTTGGAAGTTTTATGGGGCTTAAGATTGGCTGGGGTAGCGTCATTGGCCTCTTCCCTTTGTGAGTAGACCCTATTTATTTAGTGTGATGATCGCATACTAATGCAAATCACCGGCAATAGTGCTGGAGATGCAGTGGATGCGCTTCTCGCGATGATGGTCGTCCGAACCGCCAAACAAGTTGAAGGAGGACTTCCGTTCCACATATGGGCCTGGATGTACGTCGTGGTGCTCATCGACTTTGTCGCTGGATTGGTGCCGTTTGTTGGGGACATCGCCGATGCGATGATCCTTGCCAATACGCGCAATGCTGTAACATTGGAGGAATACCTACGAAAGAAGGGTCAGAAGAATCTTCGGAATAGCCACCTACCGGTCCCCGAAGTCGATCCTAGCGATCCAATTGAATTTGATCGATTCAATTCTGAGTCACCTGAGCACGCATCATCTCGAGCTACGCGCCGAGGAGACACCACCGGTCGATCGCGAACGGACTACGCTCCCCAAGAGAGTGGCGTCGGACCTGAGAGACCCGTGCCATCAACGCCTGCGGCAGCAAGGGTACGTGATGATCGACAAGGTGGTTCCGGTAGAGGTTTCTTCGGCTTCGGTGGTAGTAGGAGATCTCGTCCGACAGATGTCGAGATGGGTGGACGGAACTAGGGACCCACTTAGGATTCAGCACTGTGGCACAGTGGGGTCCTATTACGAGATGAAGCGCGTTAAGTGCTTTGGAGGGGCTACCTATTTACGCGTCATGCTGTCATAGCTTTTTTTCGACTGGGTTGAATGGATCTGTGCAATCTGGATGGTGGTTCTGTTTGATTTGGTTTTCTTAATGATCGGTTTTACGAGATCCGAGACCCGAAATTTTTGATAAAATTCCCGAGACATACGGAGCATAGCGTGCAGGTGTAAGGGGCAAGCAAAGATTGGATTGATATGATACCAAGATACATAATATCATAATGAAAAGTAGCAAATAGCAACGAGATGATGTGGCCGGTGCTCAATTTTTACCAATTGAAACTATGGTTCAGAGTATGACTCTTATTCCCCTAAATTGGTTTGTAGTACTAGAGGCAGGCACCGTATTTAAACATGGCTCGTACTCCGAAAACGAGACCCGACAAGACCGATATTAGGTCCGGAATTGAACTGTTCAGAGGCGTAAGGAAACTGCCCAGTAATGAACCAGTAATGATTACTTGAGCTTGAATCAGCTTGAAACTAGGGCATCAGTCCATACTTATTTTGGCGGTTTGTTTATCTGATGACTGTGATCTGATAAGTCTAGTTGGTGTTAATATCCTTGTTTTGTAAGACCTGAAGCCAGGGCTGTCCAGGTACGACAGGGCCGAGCTTGCCGAGCCTCCTGTAATGCAAATAAGGAGCTGGGTCGCTGGGGAGTTGCTACGGGGTTGGCTGCATGCTGGTTGGTCGATTCCCCACTTAAACTTTTCAAACACAGTGTGAAAGTGTGAATTTGCAGTATGTTTGTACCCTTGTACCTCTGTAACATGGGGAGCCACCCCCCTGTTTACGCGTGAAAAATCAGTGGCGGGGGGTTTAGTCGCGTCCCCACAGTAAAATCGCGTCAATTGCTAGGTGATTCAAACCACGTGACTTGGCGCGAAACACCCTTTTAAAAGATCTGGGTCCCGACCAATTCTCGACACGCTTTCATTCTACATCCTCATCCACGAACACAATCTACACAACTTGCAATTGTTCAATTGACTTGGTAATTTCATTATTATACATTCAATTGCCAATTCTCTAGACCAAAGCACAATTGCAACTCTACATCCCACCTTCATACTACAATGGCAACCAACGTTACTCCCTCCAAGAAGGTACATGACGTCTTCGCCCCAGTCATTTTCTACTCAAAACCACGTCGGACATTAATTGCTAACGCATCATTTTGCACAGGCTGCCTCCGCTATGGAGTCTCTCAAAATGGACTCTCCTATCAAGAAGCCTGACTTCTCCGGAAAGGAGAATGCCCCCGCTGGTACCATCACCGACGATATCGAGGTTCAGAAGCAGGAGATCAAGACAGAGCCGGCCGTTGCCGAAACCATCAAGCCCGAGGAGGCTGATGAGCCTATCCTACAGGAGAACCCTCAACGATTCGTCCTGTTCCCCATTAAGTACCATGAGGTAAGTTGACGCGTCATGACGCGTAAAGTGGATTTTTAACGCGACATACGCTAATTGCCACGCATACAGATCTGGCAGATGTACAAGAAGCACGAGGCTTCTTTCTGGACTGCCGAGGAGATCGATCTCTCCAAGGATCTCCACGACTGGAACAACCGACTCACCGACGACGAAAAGTACTTCGTCTCCCACATCCTTGCCTTCTTCGCCGCTTCGGATGGTATTGTCAACGAAAACCTTGTTGAGCGATTCAGCGCTGAGGTTCAGATCCCTGAGGCACGATGCTTCTACGGTTTCCAGATCATGATGGAGAACATTCACTCCGAGACTTACTCTCTCCTCATTGACACATACATCAAGGAGCCTGCCCAGAAGACACACCTCTTCAATGCCATTGACACTATCCCCTGCATCCGCAAGAAGGCCGACTGGGCTCTTCACTGGATTGCTGACAAGAAGTCTACCTTCGCTCAGCGACTCATTGCCTTCGCTGCCGTCGAGGGTATCTTCTTCAGTGGTGCTTTCGCTTCTATCTTCTGGCTCAAGAAGCGTGGTCTCATGCCTGGTTTGACTTTCTCTAACGAGCTTATTTCTCGTGACGAGGGTCTCCACACCGACTTTGCTTGCTTGTTATTCACGCACCTCAAGAACCGCCCTGGCAAGGACGTCGTCCAGAAGATCATCACCGATGCCGTCACTATTGAGCAAGAGTTCTTGACTGAGGCTCTGCCTTGCGCCCTGCTAGGCATGAACTCCAACTTGATGAAGCAATACATCGAGTTCGTCGCTGACCGCCTATTGGTCGCTCTCGGTAATGAGAAGGTTTACCGATCTTCCAACCCCTTCGACTTCATGGAGAACATCTCTTTGGGTGGCAAGACCAACTTCTTTGAGAAGCGTGTCGGTGACTACCAGAAGGCCGGTGTCATGGCCAGCACCAAGAAGAACACTTCCACCGACGATGTCGCCGCCTCTACTGAGGGTGCCGGTGACAACGGTGGAGACTTCACCTTTGACGAGGACTTTTAAGCTCCTCATGGTGCCATGACATTTCCCTTTCTCTTACTCGATACCCCCCTTTCTCATCACAGTCCCCGCAGTATTTGTCCTCATGTACCATATTTTACACTTCACTGCCGCTCCCCTTAGAGCTAGAGGCCTAATATTATAGAAGAGGCGAGCAATTGCGGTGGTGTATAGTTGGATTCAACGACGACTAGACTTTCCATCTATCTTAGATGGGTCTCGTTGAATAACCAACGCTTTTTTCTTTTGTTATGACTGGTCATTTCAGAGGCGTTAAGGCGTTACACTAGCAGATAAGCTTCTTTCGATGGAATGAAAAGAGGATCTGCGAAGGAATGAAACGAACCAATCAATTAAGGTGCCTACTCAGCTTTTGAGGGAATGGGGCGAACGAACGACTTGACGCATGGAACGGAGAATGGAGACGTATAGGCATAAAGCAACGAAACGTTGATTTTTAATGCGAAAGATCATGAAAATAACTGTCTTTTCTCGTGGTGACTTAAATTGTACTTGTAAAATTTTGTAGATGCTACATCAGGTAGCCACCATTCCTTCTGGTTGTTGGCGTACTTGTGATAACAAGCCTACGCCTAAATACCAACGTAAAGTCTCATTTCGTCAAAGAGCCCCCCGTTTATTCATTCCTACGTCCTCGTATTCCTCATCCTTCCTTCTTATCTCCCTATTTCTTCCCCTTCTTCTTCTTACCCTTCCCACCACCACCTCCTTGCTGTTGCGGTTGTTTTCCACTCCCACTACCACTTCCCCCAGCACCCGTCGCAGCCGGCGTCGGCGCTGGTGTCGGAGCCTCCTCCTTCTTCCCCTCTTCAGCAGCAACAGCCGCATCAACCATAACCTCATCCACCTCGCCCTCCGGCAACGGCAGCGCCGCCATACGGTTCCCCAACGGTTTTCCCAGACTCAGTATTAACCGTGATACCTCCGCGGCTTTGGTGGTGCGGTATTTGAGACATGTGCCCGAGTGCGGGTCGTACGTTTTTAGGGTTAGGGAACCGCGGGGTGCTGTTGTTGCTGGTGTTGTAGTTGTGGTTGTAGAGGGGGCATCGGAGGTGGTGGATTTTTTGGGTTTTCGAGGTTTGGGCTTGGATATGTGGTATTTGGTTGTTATGCGAGTCTGAGGGGAGGTAGGTTAGTTCTTGTTTCTCTGGTTTGGGTTGGTTTGTGAGGAGATAAGGTAGGATGGTGTGGGAAGAAGTGAAGACGCCGTTGCGAAGGTATATAGAGGGGTTAAGGTGTATGAACGTACGGTAGTCGGCCGCGCTTCAATAAGCAGCGAAGACTGGCGTAGCCATTCCTGGCTTGTGGCGTAATACGGCATCGTGAACTTTCTCTATTCTCGGCTTATCACCGACTACTTCCCGTTCAGACTCTAGGTATCCGCAACTAGTCCGGGTCCCAATATGTCAGAGAAAGTACCGCAGAGGACCGAGCAGATTTCCTATATGATTTCGTCGTCGGCGTATTCAATCGTATCGTCAAAACGAGTTGCGTGACTTGAATTTTGGATTGGATTGGTTTTGGTGATGGATCAAGTTTTGAGTATTTAATTGGACGGTGCGCAGCGTGGGGTCCCAATATTAGACAAGGGTGGTTATAAAAGTGGAGAGCTTCTTCCCAGACCCGCGGGGTAGCTCAAGCCTCATTTCATAAAGCAGCATAAATATAGACAACTGTATAATTATTTTGTGATCTCAAATCAGTTCACAAGAATCGCGACAGCAAGGTAACTTCAAATCGACTGGAATATTTTTCTGAAATCTGTCAAAACGCCTAAAAAAATAATGGCTTATTGCCTATGGAAAGAATCTGCAAATAAAACCCTTTTAGACGCCGTCACCAATGCAATGCAAATGGGGGTATCTTCCGTACGTAACCCAACCACGACCATCAACTAAATAGCGGCACCCACCCTTTGTCTTTCTCATTAACCGCTCTGTACTTATAGTGCCACCACTTCTCAAAATGTTCGTCCAAATAAGCCTCCTAAGCATGTGGATCGGGCAACCAAAATACTAAGTCCTGATCGGCAGTTGCAAAGAAATTGAATCGAGGGTTCATAGCGACTACAGCAGCCGGGCGCTCATCCTCGAGTGTGTATGCTGGGTCGAGGATGATCTTCTCGGGTGTGTTACCTAGCGTATCCCATACGACCGCTCCTTTCTTCGTCCCGCCGAATACGTAGCGTCCATCTTGCGAGAAGCAGCAATCACCACCACCCTCGATGTTTGAGCCACTTGGTCCGTCGCCGTTCAACGTGTAATCCTCTCCGGCTGCAAGTCTATTGCTTCCACCATCCGGTTTGCGTAGGTACGCTTTTAGACTGCCGTTAAACGAGTCTAAAAGGAAGTGACCCTCACCCTTCGTACCCAATAAAATAGATCGGCCATCGTTCGCGAACTCCAACTTCGTCCAGCCCTCCATTAATTTATTGGTATCGATCGAGCTGCATGCCTCTACAATGTCGAATTCCGCGAAGGGTGCCTTCTCAAAGTTTCGATGATCATAAAGTAGAACCATCCCAGAAGAAGGAGATGCTACCGCGAAGACCTGTCCACTGGGATCGAAGGCTGCGAGGTGTGGGGTGTTTAAATAAAGGGCTCCGGTTTCGTTCTTCGTTCCCGCGTTCCATAGTCGGACCGTATTGTCCTTACTGCAAGAGATAAAGTCGTCGTTGCCTGGGTGCATCGCTAGACATGTGACAGGGGCTTGGTGACCCTCGAAATATCGGATGAAGGCATTGTCGTGTGTAGTCAAGTATCGAATGGCATCTACGTAATCCATCGTTAGCGGATGCCAAACCATAAAGGGTTATTAAATTGGTTCTATAATCCATACCATTTTGCTTTGTACTCGCATATATTATACTAGAACTATTATGCGTGAACTTCGCAAATTTGACCCCATACTTTTTGCTCAATAACTGCTTATCATGACGACCTTCTCGAACTTTGTAGATCTGGATCGTCTCATCGGATTCAGATGTCATCAATAGCTCGCCGGGGTCGTCGTAGTCGAGACTTAGAATGTAGGGTTGCGGTCGGCCATCCTTAATATCCTCTCGCTTGAATAACTGTTCCTCATGTCAATTAACATTGCTATTTATTATAAGAAATGAATTAAAGAGTTTACCTTCGTAGCTCGGTACGTCGAAGCAACATCAGTCACCGACGACGTACTAGGTAAGCCGCTGCCTAGAGTGCGCGTGATGTTCAGCGACGTAGACGGCGTGCCATTGGCAGGCGACGAGTTGTCGGGGACGTCTAGATCCATCGGCGTTGACGCCATGGTGAAGAACTGAAGTGAATGAAGCGCGAAAATAAATGCGCGGGTTGAATTGGGAGCTTGTTCTACAAAATGAAGGAATTCATGAAGGAAGGAAACGAGGCTCGATTGCAGCCGAGTCTCACTAAGATAAAAGTCTTGGCACGGACAATCCTTCGAAAATGCAATACCGCGAAGTGGGTCTTTATAAGCAGGCACAGTGTGGATGTAAGAACTTTATTTTAAGTTATTGGATGTAACACAAGCCAATCATCAGTTTGTTCCCCTTTAATCGTGCATAAGTACTTAGGTACTTGTATGTGATGTATCGAACTGAGCAATGAAGATGTATAAATGTATTCAGAAATCTTAGTATGAAGACTGAGGCATAAGACCTTATATAAATTGTTAAGAGTGGCGTATTCTAACCACGTATCTCTTATGGTAAACATTAAGAACGAATAAGACATATAGCTTCATGATTAAGCATTAACTTCTACTTAGGTGGTGTGGATACTACATACGTACACGTAGGTTCAGATTCCATCCATCCATCCATCCGTCTAGCGTAGCTTAAAAGGCTCGCAGATGAGGTGCAACCTTATGTCCCTATGTAGTAGTCAAACACCTCGCCGTCTAATAGATAGATAGATACTTTCAGATCAGACCTAGAAATCATCGCAGGTCAAAATACCATATATGCCTCCCTCTCCCACTCTTTAATATCATTCACATCCTCATATACGAGCACATTAAACCATCAGCTTGCCTATTCTCTTTCCGTGCATACCTGGGTAGATAACCCCAGGAACGTCCATCATCCGTCCACGTATCCAAGCGCGTACGTGCGTAACGTAGTATATGTACGCGTATATTCCAGAAGCGAAACATTAAAAAAAATGAACTCCGACCATGCTAGTTGTTTTTATACATTAAACACACCGTACGCCGGCCAGTCAAATCCAACATGTGTTGTGAGTCGACCATATTTCTTCCCAGACCTTGCATTAAATGCCTTCATCCTCCTTAGTTTTGACCAGGGGCAGTTTCCGCGTTGTTCGAGGGTGCGCCCACTGTGTATCCGATGCTTGCTCGGTCGTCATCAACAACTCTGCCGTATCTATTTTGACATTAGCATTTCAATACCAGGACGTGGAGATAAAAGTAGGGGAACATACTCAAGCAGCAGCCTAAAGAACCACACCTCCATATCCTCATGTCTCAAGACCTTATCAGCCCAATCGCGTTGCTGATTCGCTAACCTCTCGGCCTCCTTTTTCCCTAGACTTCCATCACCGAAAAACCTCACCGACTCAAGCCATTCATCACCCTGTATGCTCAAGGGGATGTAATGAGCCCATGGTTTCAGCCATTCAAGATGCCACTCGCGGAATACAGCCCACTTGTACACCAGACTCTTACTACGCAGGAACGCGTAGAAACGTCCACTGAAAGCATTGCCATCGATATCAAGCAAATACTTGTACCGCCAGGCGTCCTGCTGTTCTGCATGCCCCTTTATTGTGAAAAACTCCTTCTGTGCATCGCAGTCGCCGGGATCACATTGCCCTACCCCTGAGAAGTATACATCTATCAGGTCCTTGAAGTCCCCTCGTGGTACGACCTTGGTCTCCCACTTCTGGTTATTACCCCCGTTATTGACCAAGATCTTGGCGCTATCCGCCGCATTAATCTTCTGCACGAACCGTTGTCGGTGCTGGCGCCGCCACCCACCATTACGGCTGAAACCTCCTGTCGTGGATCCACGCCAATACAGTTTATCTTCTTTGGTGTCCCATGGCATATCCTTGGCTTCATCATAGCTCACCTTTTCGTACCAGTACCAAGGGGATGGGTACAAAATGTCCGAGTATGATGAGATCTTAGATTGCGAGAAAATGGGGAATAGGTCATGAACGATGTTATACGCGTTCGGCCTGTCGAAGAAACCGAACGTCGAGCTAAGCGAGGGTGAATAACATATATCCGACATAGCAGTAATATTATAGATAAAGCCCAACTCTCCTAGGCCGTATTTCGAAATATCATCTTTCTTCTCATCCTCCTCTAGTCCCCTCGCAGGACTCTCCGGGGGACACGACAACCGCGAATGAGTCCATGTTGGCTGATGTGCGAAGACGTTGAACCGTGTCAATTTGCTCTCGTCAAATCTAGTCCCAGCATTCAACCCCCTGGGCTTGGATGTGAACTCGTTCTTCGGATTAGGGTGGAGGTTTGCCGCTGGCATATTAATATCCTTAGCCCTCTTGACGAGTCTAGCCAAATCATCATGGGGCACAACAACCCTAGACTCATCGTGCAGATTGAAGCACAAATCCATATCGGGCAACCACTTCAGAAATTTGCCCATCATCCCAGCGGTAGCCTCACGTTGCCACTCGCCACCACCCTGTATATGTGTTATCTTTCCATTACGAATCTGTATTCCCAAAAGAGCGTTATCGAAGCCCAGGGCCTCCTTGGCGCGGGCACGTATGGTAGCGGGCCTGAGGCCCCAGAAGGGGGTCAGCGACTCGTGGATCATATCGAACTCATCGATGAGCTGAACACCCTTCGCCTTCGCGAACTCGAACCACCGGTCGAAGTTGGGCGGTGGCGGTATGCCGTACCGCCTGCGGTACTCAGCAACCGCATCCTTAACATTCTTAGACTGCCGCGCCTTTGTAGCTTCAAGCTCTTGCTCCGCCTGTGTGATCAGGTACCACATAGGATGCGACCCGGCGGGGGCAGGTTTCGGTTTAGGGTCGAATGGGACGGGAGCCGAAGGCGGAGGTTCTTGCGGTACTGTCGAGCCATCTTTCCCAGCGCCGTATTTGCCATGCGATAGAGGACCAGGTTTTAGGTCCGAGAGATTGGTACCGGAGGGCCCCAGTCGGAAGAGGGTAACTACGCAGACGCCAATGAAGACGAGCCCGCCAGTTAAGATCAGTTGGCGCGGCCTCATTTCTCCCTCTCTTCTCTTCTATCTCTCTCGCACACACCTTATTGCCACCGAATGCTGGGAGGCTTAATGACGTCGGTCAAGACAGATATGTCGGGGGCAGATAATAAAGATAGTATTGTAAAGAATGACATTGGTACACGTACCTAAGCCTAGGTATCGTGGGTCAGTTGGAGAGAGAGAGAATGTACAAGAAGTACATATGAAGGAACCAGGGACTACAGCACCAGATGGGAAGGGAAAAAGGGAATTATGGAAAATATGGAGAGAATATGGAGATAGCGTTTAGTGTGTAAGTGTGCAGTGTCAGAGTGTCTAGAGTGTGTAGCGTGGCGCTTGAAAGAATTTTGATTTGGAGCCAGCAGGGCAGCTTCCGGGGGTGAGGCTCAGGAGTAGGTAGTCGCTTCCATTCCTGTTTTTTTAGCTATTACTACGGTAGGCAAGTAGCCCCGGTAGTTTGTTCGTCTGGTCCAATCAAAAGGCTCCATTTAATCAATCGACGTGAGGGAAAGACGCACTGTGACGCGTCTTTAACCAGGAATAACGATAATATCATGCTGGAATCATGTACATAATTGGAACATGCAGAGTTGCAATCAGCGGTATAACAAACTACTTATCCCCAATTACACCATCCCAAATTTTTTTTAAATGCTGTAAGCTTTCGGAGGATTATAATCTCATAGGATGACAGAACTTTAAGGTGATTAAGCTCAATTAGGAGTTACCGTCGTACGGAAGGATTGAGACTATTGTGCTAGACGGATTACCTAATCGAGCTTAGTTGAGCTTAGTCACATGTACTCGCGGACCTTTGTTCTCCGGAGTACAACCGGCGGCATCTTCACATGGCTCTTTAAAAAATAAAAAAAAGGGGGCTTGGCAACACAAATAAGGTTAATTGCATCGAACTGGACTCATGTAGCATTTCGTGGTATCGTGGTCTTATTTGGCTGAAAGAAATCAAGCATGTAGCTTGGCCATTATCCATTCCTCCCCAACGCCGAAAATGCTCTTCATTCAGTTCAGTTCATATCCCTTTTTTCGTTCACTCCTTTTTTTTTTAATTCATCCCTCTAGTAGAAGAAACCGATGATCTTGCCCGCGACGTGCTTTCTACGCGCTTCCTCGTGGTCCATAATACCGGCAGAGGTGGTTAGGATGATGTAACCGAACTGACGAGCAGGTAGAAGCTTGACAACCCACTTCTCGAGGTGGGCAAGGTGGACGTTGTAGCGGGGCGAGATGGTACCGCACTTGTTGATACGGCCGTTTAGCTGAACGACGATCTTTCCGGATCGGTGGTCGTCAACCTCCTCGAATTCACCGATGTAGCCTAGCAACAAGATTTGTTAGCTAAATGTAGCGAATGACTAAACGTAAGACTTCATGTTGGATATGATCAGAGAAACGTGTAAGATTCCTTCGCTAGGTAACATCGATATATCGGCAACTTAAAAGACTTCGGCCGTAGGGCGTTTTGAGACCGTTATCCAGTTATCATGCCGAATGGGTGGTTTAATGGGGGTAAAATAAAGTATAGGAAAGGGAGTCGAGAACAAATAAGGTTGAACCTACCGTGTCGCTGCATGACAGTGAGGAACTTGACGATGACCTTAGAGCTAGGTCGGATGAGGACCTGTCGCTTTCCGGTCTTCTCGGCGTTGTTGATCGCATTGAGAGCGTCGTTGAGAACCGAAGTCTTAACCATTTTGGCGGTGTTCGGGTGAGATTCTCAAGTTGTTCAGAGAAGAAAATGAGGTATCTACATATCGGAGAGTTATATTAGCCTTCAAAAGCCATGAGCATGGAGAGTGCCCTCCCCCAATGTGCCGCTTTGGGGAGGGTTCTGCCCGCTCGATGCTGAAGAGGAGGTGCGTATCAAGGATTCGACTCGTTCATCGCAATGCGAAGTGGACGGCGGCAGAGTCCTTAATTGCCCTCCTCCGGCTTCTTGAAGGGCGCATTGGGGGATTGATTTAACTCATGGCACAGAGTTATTTATTAAAACATACCTCGATGGAGGTCGTTGAGCGGTTAGGAATTGTTTGGCGCTCGACGTCTCTTTTTTTTCTGTGATGCAGAAAAGTTGAATAGGAATTGAACGCAGTGGAGGTAAGAAAAAGGTTCGTGCAAGTTAAGGTGAAGGTAGGGTGGATTTGCTTGATTTCTTTTTTGGCTGTGCGAAATTGTTGGTGGGGTCCTACTGAAAAGACCCCACCCAATTGGGTGAATTCCGGCGACTAACCCTAAGCGATACACAATTGAATCTCTGCTACCCCCCAGTTGTTTGCACCTTCCTAGGCCTAAGCGTTCAATTGATACACTCCAATTTATTACAGCGCTTTTGGAACATTTTCCTGATTTTCGCAACGACTCTTCCCACCAACGAAATTTACACCTTTACATCCCCAACTCTCAACACACAACTTTACAACTCTTCGAGGATCGCACCGGTATCACATACAATCCAAGATGGTATGTTCAATATATCTTACCCCATTCATTGAGAGGTTGAGGCGCTTGGATATTTAATTGCGACGGGTCTTCCCTATCTCGTGCCTATCTAGGCTACAGTCGTGTGCGCGCAAGGCATTTACTAATAATACCTCTACAAATTTAGTCGGACGTAGAAGAGAACAACGCCCCCGACGCCCCCGAGGAGGTCGAAGTATCCGCCGATGCCTCTAAGGGTCAGATGTCCGTCCTAGACGCCCTAAAGGGTGTTCTAAAGCTCGCGCTCATGCACGACGGTCTTGCCCGAGGTCTCCGTGAAGCATCCAAGGCCCTCGACCGACGACAAGCGCACATGTGTGTCCTGAACGAGTCTTGCGAAGAGGAGGCCTACAAGAAGCTAGTCATCGCCCTCTGCTCCGAGCACAAGATCCCTCTGATCAAGGTCCCCGATGGCAAGCAACTCGGCGAGTGGGCAGGTCTCTGTAAGATTCCCAGACTTACTAGATCATTGATATGGAACTAATATGGCTATTTTCAGGCGTCTTGGACCGAGAAGGAAATGCGCGCAAGGTCGTCAACTGCTCTTGCGTTGTGGTGAAGGACTGGGGTGAGGAGTCGACCGAGCGATCCATCCTCCTCAACTACTTCCAGACCGAGCAGTAAATGGATTCTTCACACGGGCGTTGCGCGGGGGTATAGAAAATGGGAATGGATGATTTCAAGCCATCCTTTACAAATCCTTGGCATGTACTCTACTGGCTTCGTCGGCCGGCTTAGATGCTGGAAATGAGGGGGGTTACCATATTGCATCGGAATGGAAAAAAACTGCATCACAAATCACCTATGCCATATTTCTCGATTGTGAATTACGACCCTAGTAGTACGGATACTTCATATCCACTCATTTTCGGGCTTCTACTACAATTAGGTGGTACCCGAATGAGGTTTTGGCCTCTCCAATGTGTAGGTTACTACCCTTGCTCTCCGGGAGACCGAAGGCAACTTCTTCAAACGCAGGCTGCAGTGCTCCTTTCCGCTGTAAGCCAAGTAGGCCGCCTAGTATTATATAGTTAGCCTGACGCCTCCCAAGTCTTCTGTAGACGAAAAGATATTAGTAAGTTGTACCTTGTTTTGCTTTATCCTCGCTGTAATTCCTAGCCACCGCAATGAAATTGTCGAGTGTAGGGTTATTCCTGATTTCAGCCAGCGCCTCTTCCTTCTTAGAATGCTTCTCACACTACATACGAGTAATTGTGCGTTAGCCGGGTATACTTCGAGGTGGAGGGGAACCCTAACTGACTAGAATGTGTCGGACCACAACGGCTTGAGCGCCTTTTACTTTTCCAGCTCCCTTATCATCGTTTCCCTTACTACCGGAATCCTTCGACTTGTTGTCGGGCTTCTTTTTTGCACCCATCGCAGGCGATGTTGATTGGCGGTTGAGTGAGATGGATGTACTATGTAGACCCGGGATATGTGAGAGCCCCACGTTGAAAACTGACGTGATGAAATTTATCGCTAAGACAAGGGTCCACCAGCTGACGCACAGCTGTCAACACAAGCTTCTCCAGCTGGCCATTGATGTCATTCGCTTAACTGCCCCACCCCTCCATATTCTTTTCTCTCAACCCTAATATATAAGTCTGGATAGCTTCCAACTCCTTCACGTACGACCATAGGATCTGGAATACTCGGGATCCCGTCCGCTCTCCCATAGATAAGCCAGATACCGCCGAACTAGTACCTGGGTCGGTGACGACCAGGGAATCCTCGGTGTTGTACGTTTTGCATATTTGTTCTAGCTATCTTTTTTGTCTATATCTAGTTGGCGCCGAGGAGGTCGAAAGAATCCGATCCTCAAGGATACAAACGCCGTCGAGTTTTGACATTTGTGGATATCATATACCTACTTCTATAGTCTAGCTATGAACATAGTAACGATCTACTACCATTATACCCCAGCCGTATCAAATTTCATAACATATACATCCATACCCAGGTACCCAGGCGTCTATCTTCTCACCCAAGGGATCTAGGATCACGAAGTGTACCAAATATTGAAGTCAATAAATTTTCTTTTTAAGGCTCCCAAAGATATATGACGTTCTATCTCATTCCGAGATGTACGTACCTATGAGCCACTAACCCCAGCCTTCAACCCCCTCCGGATAATCCCCACAGCATGTTCCGCAAGCCCATACACCGAAGCCTGCGGATTAGAGCGCGTGACAATTGGAATCGCACTCGCATCACACACTCTCAAATTCCTACATCCATATACCTTTAACTCATGATCCACCACGCCACCCATAGCTCGCGGCATCATCGCGCATGACCCCGTGTAATGGTGCGCAGCGGCTCCTTTTTCGCGGATATACGACTTCACCGCTTCGATATCAGTACCTTTAGGGGCGTAAGGTGACGAGGATGACTGTGGTTTAAGTAGACCTGCCAAAGGCTCAGCACGGGCGAGGCCAGAAACTACGAATTGTACGTGCCGCGCAAGGACTTCGATGTCGAGTGGGTGCGTGAAGTACCGCGGGTCGATAGCGAGACCAGCGTCAGTGTTGGAAGAAGTGATATGCACCGAGCCATGCGACAGCGGATGTGCGAGTAAAACCACGACCGTGAAATACTTCCCCTTTCCTTCTGGCGGCGGAGCGCCTGTACCATCGCTTTTTATCGCACCGAAGCCTGGAACCCCGATGTAGCACGCTGACGGCGAGGATCCGAAAACTGCGGACCGCACGAATTCTTCATGTGCCTTTGCGAACGCCGGCGTCGCGGTGTCGGGCGCCCCCAACCCAGCATTATGCAAGAGGAAAGTTCGTAGATCCTGTTGCGCATCATCAGAAAGGGGTAGTTGGGCAGCTGAGTTAGTACCGCTTCTAGCGAGAGGTCCCTTTTGCTTAGAGTAAGCTTCCGTAACCGCGGCGATGGCGTCCGGTTCCTGTCTTATAAGTTTATCGAGCGTTTCGAGGCCTGCTGGGAGGTAATCGCGGACTTCGAAATTTAGCACCGCTAAAGGATGGTTTTGTAGGTTCTCGCCCACGTGTGGGTTGTCGACTACGACGTCGATGCCAAGCGACTTCAAGAGCTTTGAATCGCCGATTCCTGATAGTTCGAGTATTTTGGGCGAGTTGATGGCTCCCGCGGAGATTATAACTTCCTTCCGAGCTTTGACGATCTGCGTTTTATCGTCTTTTTGAACTTGTACGCCAGTGACCACAGGGGTTCCATTAGATTTATCGAAGAGTATTTTCTCAGCCGAAGCTTTGGTCCAGATGGTGAGATTACTCCTAGATCGAGCGGGTTCTAAATATGCATTGCCAACGTAACTCCTCTGCTTTGTGGCAGGTTGTACTGTGTCCAGGATTACCATACCCCCGGAAAGTTGGCCAGAGAAGACATCGTCAGTTACTGAAAATCCGAGCGTTGTAAGCGTCTCCCTCCAAATCCGCGGCCACTCGGTCTCCTCTTCAGGAGCAAAAAGTTGAATGGGCCCTCCCGTCTTATCCTGCTGGGGCAAGCTATACGACTTCTTCACCGACTCGGAGAAACTCTCCCATCCCCACCCCGGATTCCCCAGCGCTTCCCACGCATCGACATTAACCTTCGAAGTCGGAACAAAATTAAGTCCATTAAGCGCACTAGATCCTCCAATCATACGTCCCTGGGGAAACCAGATCTCCCGACCCCCGAGCTCTTTCTGAGGAACCGTTTTGAAATCAAATGCAGCTTCAGATTTAACCAACGAAGACCACATGCCCGGAACATTAACTCGGGGATCAGCCGTCTGATCATCGCCTGCTTCCAACACAAGAACACTAATATCCGAGTCCTCTGATAACCGAGCAGCCAACACGAGCCCCGCTAGGCCTCCGCCCACGATAACGAAATCGAAACTTATAGACTCCATGATATTCGTAATAACAGGTTTCCGATGCTCCCGATATTTTCGACGAAGGAATATATAGCGGGGCGGGACACAAAGGCTGTGATTGGAGTTATATAACGGCACAGCCTGACAAGTAATGGGCAATACTCCATATTTATATCCCTAATACTTAAGAGCTCACATAGTTGGCTGCGGGTTTCTGTTTTAGTACTACTACTGTGATCACGTAAGCTATTACCGTCTCAAATCTTTCGAAGTCTGGGTTGTGGAAAAAAGGAAGCCATCATGACATCGTGGCACAAAATGTGTACATCATAAAGCGTGTGAATTAGCTACAGCAATTGGGTATCAAGTCTATTTTACCATGACCATCCGAGACCACCCTCACAACGACCAGCAGCCCTTCTGTCACACTCCACAACAATGACAATCTCTCTTAATCCTCAACAAACCCCTAGCAAACTTTTTCTTTCAAGTCGTTCCTCGAAATATGCTTAAGCACATTTCATCGGTTTTGTAGGCAAATCTTCTAACAGACTTCTGCCTCGAGTTACGACATAAGATTAGCAAATCCTATGTCTTTAGGATCTTATCAATGAAGGACCCTTCTAGATGATATCAACATAGTATTGACAAGAGGTAGGTCTTGGCGCCAACTCTTTCTTTAAGAATCTATCGCATCCTCATTGGGAGAAGCCGACGATGCGGGAACAATTGAATGGCCGTTCGAAGGTGTGAATCCCTGTAGTTCTCGAAGGACGACAGTCGCATACTGGCTAGTATTTAGCGAGAATCGAACGATCACTGCGATCTTGCCGTCGGTAGCTGTGAAGGGTATTTTTGCAGCCGTCTCACTTTCGCTAGCGGTGGTATCGATCGGCGGTGTTGTCTTGCCATTGGTGGGTTCGCTATCACCCGCTCTGCGTTCGGGTCCGGCTTCATTATGTTGCGCTTCGGTATGGACAGAGTCCTCATCAACCTTCTTATCATTGTCAGTAAACATTCTTATTGCTGCCATAAATAGCTCAATGGTATTCTCTGCGATAGTCCGCACCTGTGATGTAAGGGTAGAAGGCAAAAGGGCAGGATCTCGACCGCCTTGGTTTGTCGACTGCATCTCTTCGGACGCTTTGGGTTGATCAGTTGCACCTTCGTCCACCTGCATCTCATCTGTTTGTTCTTGCGGGGCTTCATTCTTATTCTCGTCTACCAACTTTATCACGTCGGTTTGCTTAGAAACTTTGATTCGTTTGTTGCTTCCGTCGACTGAAGTCTGAACCCAGGTGTCCCTCGCTTGACATTCTACAACGTTAGAAGACTCGGCTTTTCGTCTCTCAATCTTAGCACGAGACGCCTGAAGCTCGTTCTCTTGTACGTTGTCAACAAACCCTTGCCAAGCTGCGGGTCCAGCTTTTATTTCTCGACGAGCGGCTGCCTGTTCTGATGTTTCCTTGGCCTTGCGAGATCGTATAAGATCAAGGTCAGTTGGTACTAATTGCTGCGTGTCGTTTGTGTAAGCTCGGACGGAAGCGCTAGGAACACCGATGAATTTGCCCATTAGCTTGCGGTAGGAACCGGGAAGGCTAAAGTCCCTCTGATGACGGAGCATATCCCGAGGATCTAGACCTCCATTCTCTTCTCTCGCCATGAACTCTGTGTAAAATTGTGCAATCTCGTTGCCGGGGTACACAACGTCCCAACCAGGAGTAGGTAATACGACGTCAAAGATGGAATATTTTCCACTGCGAACATCTTCCTCCGTCAACGCGTGTGCTTTAAGTCCATGTGCTTCCTCGGCGGTGGACTCTCCATCTACAAGGTGAATTGTTTCTTCGTCATTTGTGTTCTGAAGATCACCTTTTGAGGTGGAAGATCCGGTTTCAATCAGAACTAGATCACCCTCAGCCAATTGCATACCGAAACGTTCCCAACGCTTGCTCGCTGCGAAGTTCCACACTAACGACTGGTAGGCGTGAACGTACATCGTACGCATCCCTCGGTTGATCGAAAGAAGCGCCCCAAGGAAATCCTTAGGCTGGCGACCAAGGTGACGGAACAATGTAGACTCGACGTGGCATCTTCGGGGAAGGTGTTTCGATGCCTCTTGAGCATCTCCAGTATCTAGGAAGATTGAGCAGGCTCGTGCGCGGGCAGCATCCTCACGATGATTCGCCCCGATAGAACTTGGGTCGGAAGTTTCCAGTAAGTTCGGGTTAAAGGATAGCAACGCTTGCACAGCGCCCTCAAAATCCTGTTTGAGAATCTTCATTCCGACTTCTTGAGTTCCAATTTGGTGTGTGCCGAATCGCTGAGTGCCATAATAATTGATGAAACCATTCTTGTTAACCTGCTCTAGGGCCGAGTCTATAGTGGACTTTGCGACATCGAGTTTTTGCTCGAATGTCAGATCCTCGGTGTCGCTAAAGTGGCAGTTTTTGACAACAATGACAAATTCATTTCCCTGGTGTTGTCCTAGGTGAATTGCTTGATGCTCAAACTTAAAATCCCCAATTTTGACGCCATATATCTTGTCATTGTTTAGAAAAACCAATGACTGAGGGTTTCGTCTTCGCATACTGACACGTTGTGTCGTTACAGCGCGGCGATCCTTGGTGCCAGCCGTACCGAAGAAGCTAGGCTTGAGATTTAGGATGCGAGCGATTTGGTTGATAGCTTCCATGGTATCTCGATTCTCCTTGTAGAGTGTGAAATGCAAGAATTTGCCATCCTGGGCCTGGCCGGCACCTTGTCCATTGTTTCTGGACCTCTCGTTTCTGGAGCGGTTGCCCCATTGTTGATTACTTCTTCGGACGATAACTGCCTTAATAGAGCCATCGCTCTCGGTGCTGGTATCGATTTTGCCGTCAAATACACGGCGAATTTCCTTGTGGGTATTAGTATAATTCATCAATTGAGGGTTTATAAGACCTACCGAATGGACCTTGGACCTCTGAGCTTTGTCCGATATTGCTGCAATCTTCACAACGGGAAGGACGTCGGGTTGCGACCTCTTGTCTCGCTTGGCTATGCTATATAGGTCAATCAACTCTTCAGTAGTCTTTTGACCTAAAAGATCGGTCAAAATTGTCTGATCAGCCTGTGATAAGCCAGTTGAACCTCCCTCTTCTTTTGGCTGCTCTGAACCACCCCGAGGTTGAGATTCGTGGTTTCCCTCGTCGGTGGTAGCGACTGCAGTTGTATCCTTCTTTGGAAAGTCTGCCTGGGGGACCTGGGTGTTAGCCGTTGATTGGCGTGAAGTCTCCTGCAATTGATGAGTCAGTTGCTAGTTGCGAATTGAATAGCTGGGTACCGAAGAAGCTCACGGTTTTTGCCAATCCTCTTGCGTTCGTCTGGAAGTCATGAAGGTGAATGACCTCTCCATCGCTACTGATTTCGTGGACTTGAAAGTCGGTGAATCTGGGATTAATTAGCATGGAGTCGAATGAATGGGAGTATAGATAGATTCCTCTTACCTTGTGCGAATTTGGCCATGCCAACCGTGCTCCTTCTGCGATACGTAATGAAGGATACCAATACGCTGCTCAAAAGAGCTGCGTACTGAGGCATTGCTGCCTTGAGCCATGGCAGTATGGGTCGCCATTACTGCAATATGACGTTGAGAATTGAAGAAAGAGTTGTTTGTTTGGATCGATAGCAGCTCCTCTAAACACAACACAAGAAATATGTGGGTTTGAAAGTGACAATGACAAACAAAACATTTACATCTATGAAATTATACCGAATGAATGAATGAATACGTAGAACTAAAAATCTACAGGATTGATGCGATATGCTGTTAATACATGCACATCAACCCACACATTCGTGATGTTGTACTTATAAAGGTGGGATGTATTATGTACTTCCTGGTGGGGTGAAGGATATGGGGATTGAAAACTTTTGACGGCAGAAAGTGAAGCCGCGAAGGCGGTGTGGCAAGTAATTCTGCTAAATAGGAAGGCGGTAGGGTGTATTCGATCAGACCCACTTTCTAACAGATTAGAAACCTGACGTAGCCCCCACCTTGACCCCCAAGTCCTCTAAGTATGTACAAGGACCTTAGAATTTGGTCATTCTTAGCGTCATCTAATCAATTCTCCGATTGGTTAGAACATACATGTTCTTTAAGCGTCTGCCTCTGACCATTTACTTACCTGAAGGTTCACTTTACATAAAAGCATCTGGAATCTTCGCCTCTTCTTCCGTTCGGGCATTATTTCTTCTTAACATTTTCTACTTTATATCCCATATTCAGCACCCCATTATTCGCCGCCAGAATGCCGGTCAAAAGAAAGGCTTCAGCGAGTAAGTTCGCACCCCCCCCTTTCCCAATAAGAGGAATTGATGATGCTAAACTACTTAAGATGTTTCGGGGCCTACTAAATCTGGACGAGCCTCTACAACCTCAACACCTGGTTCCGCTACGCCGCGATCCATCGATACCGACGATGACGATCCCGGCTCCCCGGAAGAGCCTGCCGAAAACGAGGAACAGATACAAAAGGTCGTAGATCGCTTCTCGTTAGCGACATTTCGCAGCACCACGAGCCACGAAGAAGACTGGACCTCTAGGAGATTCTTTCGAGAAGGAAGACGTGATTTCTCGTATTTACCTCTAAAGCCCGATTTCAAGAGCCGTCCAATTTGGATAGATCCTCAGAGAGGCCGAATCATCCTCGAGAACTTCAGCCCTTTAGCCGCGCAAGCGAAAGATTTCCTCATTACCGTTGCCGAGCCTTTGTCGCGACCGACCTTCATCCACGAATATGCCCTTACTAGTCATAGTCTATACGCGGCTGTGTCCATCGGTTTGCAGCCCAGAGACATTGTCAATACCCTAGAGCGTTTCTCTAAGACCCCTGTTCCCGATTCGATTATGAATTTTATCGGAAGCTGCGCGTCCAGTTACGGCAAAGTCAAGCTAGTCATCAAAGAAACAAAATATTTCGTCGAGAGTACCGATCCGGATGTCTTACAGAAGCTATTAAAGGATCCTGTTATCGGGCCATGCCGTGTTCAAGGTACCGAAACAGTCACCAACGCCCCATCAATGGCGGGCATTGTGATTCCTGGTACTTCCAACGCCGCGGGAGTACGGCAGGCACAAATCAAGAAAGACGAGAAGGCACAAGAGGAAGGTGGCGAGAACACACAGGCTCCAAATCCGTTCGACGCCCTTAGAGAGGATGACGACGATGATAATCAAGAAGCCGTTCACGCCTTTCAAATTAGCGATCCTCTAGTTGAAGTGGTTCAAAAGCGTGCTCTAGAAATCCAATACCCCATGTTAGAGGAGTACGATTTCCGTAACGACGACAAAAATGCGAACCTCGAGATCGATCTACGGCCAGCTACGCAAATCCGAAGCTACCAAGAGAAGAGTTTGAGTAAAATGTTCGGAAATGGTCGAGCAAAGAGTGGCATTATTGTGCTGCCCTGTGGCGCTGGTAAAACGCTGGTAGGTATTACCGCCGCGTGCACCATCAAAAAGGGCACCATTGTCCTCTGTACCAGTACGATGTCGGCGAACCAGTGGCGTAACGAATTTTTGAAGTGGTCCAATATTGATCCTCAAGATATCACCTTGTTCACATCGGATCACAAATCAAAATTTCCTGGAAACACTGGTATCATTGTCACAACGTACCCCATGGTTACAAACTCAGGGAAGAAGCGTGCGCATGATACGGAAAAAATGATGGAATTTCTGCGAGAGCGAGAATGGGGTTTAATGTTATTAGACGAGGTTCACGTCGTCCCCGCCAACATTTTCCGCAAGGTCTCTCATACTATCAAGAGTCACGCAAAGCTTGGATTGACAGCAACGCTGCTTAGAGAAGATGACAAAATTTCTGATTTGAACTTCCTCATCGGACCTAAGCTATATGAGGCAAACTGGATGGAGTTGTCAGAGCAAGGCCACATAGCCAAAGTTCAATGTGCCGAAGTCTGGTGCCCAATGACTGCCGAGTTCTTCGAAGAGTTTAACAGACAAAAGAAGAACAGGGGTCTGCAGCAGAACTTATATGTCATGAACCCACGCAAGATCCAAGCTTGCCAATTCCTTATTGATTACCACGAGAAGCGAGGCGACAAGATTATTGTATTTTCTGACAACGTTTACGCACTTCGAGAAATCGCTCTAGCTCTGGGTAAAGCTTACATTTGCGGGTCTACCAGTAACGCTGAGCGGATGATGGTCTTAGACCACTTTATGCATAATCCCCTCGTGAAAACCATCTTCCTCTCGAAGATTGGAGACACTTCCCTTGATCTGCCGGAAGCCACTTGTCTAATCCAAATATCCTCTCATTACGGATCTCGCCGACAGGAGGCACAGCGACTGGGCCGTATCCTCCGAGCGAAGCGGAGATCGGACGAGGGATTTAATGCCTTTTTCTATTCTCTTGTCTCAAGAGACACACCCGAGATGTACTACTCAACCAAGCGACAGGCTTTCTTGGTCGATCAGGGATACTCCTTCAAGGTCATCACACAACTGACCGGAATGGAACATATGGAGAATCTAGTTTTTAAAACAGCGCAAGAACGACGTGAACTTCTCCAAAAGATTGTTGTTGATACAGAGTCCAAGAAAGTAGATGATGACGATGATGTCGCAGATGACCTCTTCTACGCTCCAGGTGTGAGAAGAAAGGCTCGTATCAAGCGTGCCGCGGGCGATCTTGAAGAGCTTAGTGGCGGAAAAGATATGGCTTACATCGAATCGAGGAAGGGTGCCAACAAGGCGCTCAAGAAGAAGCCGGCAAAGAGCAATGCCTTTTTCAAGAAGATGGCTCGGGAAAAGGAAAGGCTCAAGACTCAGCGTTGATTTTGCTTTTTTTGCGTTTGTATACTATGTACTACCGGCTTATATTGAGGTACGAGGAAAGAGGAAAATGGTGGCGTTCACGGCATTATTGAGGAAAAGGGCGGGACGCGAGTATACCCCGAGATTGGAAGAGGGAAGATGAATTTCACCGCTGATTTGAGGTAGGCTGGGTACATCAGCTTGAGAGTGATACCTACACCGATGTACCTGAAAGGATCTCATAGGTCTCATAGGTACCTCCAAGGTACCCTGTTGAGGCACTTTACCCGGCCGTAGCTTAGATAGCTTAGTGATCCCAGCACAATGGACAGACGCATCTATCCCACGGATCATAGCTGCAGTGCTACGTACCCTAGTGTATCAGATGTAACCTCTTTCGCGCATATTGCGTGGCTACGGGAGTTATTTAAAATTTGCTCAAAACACTGCACGACATGGGCTGGCATTCACGGGATCCGATTGGGGTCGCATTGCTGAAAGGGAGGCTTATCTTGAGTTACCATTGCTATATCTTCCACGGTAATAATGGGAAATGGTTAAGTCGGTGTGTGAGCCAACACATAGATTTTTTTGCCCCCCTTTCTGCCGCCCTACACATACCTACATAATAATAGTTGATATTATTGAAGGCATCGTGTGTTTTTGAAGTATGTTCTTATTCATCCCGTATTTTATTCGTTATCCGTATTCTATCCGCAATGCCGTATTTTTGATAAGGACGGATGTAAGATTCGATATTAGTTCGATCGTACTCAAGCGCATAACTAATTTCAATTTAGCATAGCGCCTACCAAGAAAGGCATGTACTTCCATAATGAACTAAAAGCTTCCCGGCTTCCCAACTTCCCAGCTTCCCCGCGCTTAGACCACGTTTGGTCCACGGAGTACATGGTCTGCATCGCGCCATCTGAGTGTGACATCATCATCATGACCATTTGTATCCTATTTTGTACATAAATCTGCTGTTCAACTGTTTAACAAAGTTTAGTCACTTCTGCCCCTTATCACATCAATTGTGTTCAATTGTATGTTCAAGGCGCAGCCCACCAATCAATTACCCTTGTCATACCTAATTCGGGGTACCTTGTAGGATAGGTAGGTGACGACCGTGTAAAGAAAAAGAGCTTCCGGGTCTTTTCGACGACTCCAAATTCCGCAGATGGAGTTGACAATCCGCGAATACAATCTTCCAATTCAAGACGGAGGGACGAAGAGAACAGTCTAGACCTTTTTGAAGAACATCCGCAAACTCTGGCAAACATAATTGATTTCAGACAAATTTCAGATGCCGGTTGCTGACGCAGCACAGTAGGTAACAAGGGGCTTAGAGAGCTTGCAGCTTGGAGAAAGAAGGAAAGCTCTAGTTCACTCTATGTCTGATCTTATTTTTTTCCTACGTAGCACTACTTGCCGCGGACCCTAACCTTATACGCTACTCCGGCTGTATTTCCTCTCTCTTTGCATACGTACATGCATACAGATTCAAGAGCTAGAACAAGTCGAGTTTAGTCCGGTAAGCCGATCCCATGTATCCCTTGTATCCCTTGTATCCCTGTCAGCCTGAAAAAGAGACAGAGAGACAGAGATTATGGTTTGTGCCATTGTGCTTGATTCAAAACACGCCGTTGGCCGGCTATCTGTTATTTGAACCCATGTCAAGTACATCATCAATCTCGGACCATTAAAAAATCACCCTAGGGTATTCCTTCTTTGCTTTCTGAAAAAAACATCAGTCAGAAAAATTTTTATCTGGCAAGCTCGTCAACCCGTCTAATGTCAGGCTTGGCGCTTCTTTCCTCACTTCCTAATTGCCAATTTTTCAGCCAATCTCGTGTAAGCCCCCTTGTTTTATTTGATATCCGAGTTAGGACTCAGGAAAAGAAAAAGCAAAGAAAGCGGGCAGGACGTGCAGGAAAGTCTTGTCGAGGTGATTGACCAATCATTTTTATTGATATTCGGATATCTTTCGACGGTCCCACTTAATCTTAGCGAAATTCTTGAGTCGTTACTTCCATTAGAAGTGTGTCGCCTCTGTCGATTCTTTCCCCCGTCATTATCCATTACTCTGCCGAGCTTACCTCCAGCTGCCTGACTAGGTCCTTAGTGGATAAGTTGTTGAACTTCCCATCAACTCCAACTTCGACTTCAACCATCTCCAACTCACCACCCCCTCATCCAAGACCTCCTCGGGACGTATAGCTTCACTTGTCAATTCCCTAATATCATGACCACGATATAAGGCAGGTAAGTTTAATAAACTATATATGAAATCTATCTACATCATGTTTGCCTCTATTTATTTTTGTTTCTTTTTTTTTTTTTACTATTGCAAATTTCGTTGATTTCATGTCTCCTCATCTCAATATCTGAATGAGGCGTTCGTCACTCCACTATCGGACATCTCGTGGACCCGATTTTTGTCTCAGCCTTCTTTCTTTGTGTACGAAGTGATAATGAGCTACCCTATCTTATGTATCCTTACTAGGGCCGGTAGTTACCTGTCGGATCTTTCACCATCTCATATCACCTTCCAAGCTATTTTCGTTCTTCTTAATTGGTCTTGTTCTCTTGTCATACAACAATGTCTTTTCTACATATCTGTCGACACCTTCCCCGGGTCAACTCAATTAACTTTGTACAGCTTCAGAACGAGCCATCAACATAATGTGGAGAACCCGTGCTCTCATCAGCGACCTTATGAATCAGGTCTACGATCCAGTGGTTTTCTAACGTTGGCTTTTCCCGTTGTTTTGAGCTACGACGAATAACATATCACCGATCTACGACAGCCTTGTAACAGCCTTGTAACCATGGGCTCACCTCAAGAGCGTTTCTTGGAGATTTTCCAGGCCCTTCGCCCATCTTTTCTATCCAAGAACCCTCATTTTAACTTCATCACCGCTCATTGTAGGTCTTGCCTTATTGTCGCGATCATTTCGATGGTCAGCTAATATGCCCTAGACTTCTGGATCATAGGATGGACCATTATAGGATCTATCTTGATTTTCGCTTCTGCAAAAGGCCAATTGGCCTATATAGACGCTCTCTTCTTTGCTAGTGGTGCCAACACCCAAGCAGGATTGAATACTGTTGACGCCAATTTGCTTAATACCTTCCAGCAATTGGTTATTTACTTCCTTACGATGCTATCAAATCCGATCACCATCCACTCTTCTGTTGTCTTCTTGCGCCTCTATTGGTTCGAAAAAAGATTTCAACATATCGCTAAGGAAGCAACTTCGCGGCGAGTTTCTCTCGCTAAATCACGAACTAAAGCGAAAGCGACTGCCGCCGATGTGGAAAAGGGCGTCAATGGTCGAAATATCATGGTGATGCACAACACCGCCAAATCATCTCGAATGACTAATGATGGTATTCTGTTGGACGACTACACCATCAATGGAACGACCAAGCAAGATACACTTCCAAATGGGTTCGATCACATTGATGACGTAGATCACAAAGACCAGGACCAAGATCGGCCTCCCCAACGGCCCGCTCCTCCACAGATTAAGTTTTCAGATCAAGTGAAAAGGAGTGATGCGCTTGAATCGGACGAGGACGACGAGGTAGCTTTACCACAAAAACGGACTGACGCTGAACACATCGCTATTCTAGAAAGACAGCGCAATGCCGATAAAAGTGTCCTAAGAATCCCTGGGCCGCGGGACGCTGATAGAGGTGCATTACCAGAGGAGTTAGACGATGAAGGCCCCGAAGGCCCCGATCCTGCGAATCGCAAGCGAAGAGAGTCGAGTGTCGAGGGGCCCCGCCGACCGACCTCGGCCCTACACCTTGCGAGTCGCCCGGCAGATCGGCAGCCAACAATAACCATCGAGGAACCCGTGAAACGACGCAGAGAAGAGCATGATTTACCGGAAGAGATAGCGGAAGACGTCGAAGCAGCTGCCCATACTCTTGGCGTATTTAAATTCCGAAAACCCAGGAAGGAAGGAGAGAAGCTACATCACACCGACACAGGTGCATCAACCTCTCGTATCAATCCTTTGCAGAAGATCAAATCTGTCTTGACGCAAGGCAAAGAAGAAGATCCGATGCCATACCTGAGTTGGCAGCCAACTCTAGGTCGGAACTCTGCTTTTCTTGGGCTTTCAGAGGAACAGAGAGAGGAATTGGGTGGTATTGAATATCGCTCGTTGAAAACGCTTGCCCTTGTCTTAACGATCTATTTCTTCGGTTATACGTTCTTTGGGATGATCTGCCTGGTGCCTTGGATAGTCAACAATAACGACTATTATGGCCAAATCATCGATGCTGCAGGTCAGAGCCGAGTGTGGTGGGGTTTCTTCACGGCCAACTCTGCTTTTATGGATCTCGGCTTGACACTCACCCCCGATAGTATGAATTCATTTAATACGGCCATATTCCCCCTTCTGATCATGTCGTTTCTTATCATCCTTGGAAACACCGGCTTCCCTATCATGCTTCGTTTTATGATATGGCTATTTTCTCTCATTGCACCTAGAAATTCCGGCCTTTGGGAGGAGTTGAGATTCCTTATGGACCATCCGCGGCGTTGTTTCACGCTCTTGTTTCCCTCCAACGCTACTTGGTGGCTTTTCTTTATCCTGGTTGCTTTGAATGGAATCGACTTAATACTGTTTATAATTCTCGACGTAAGTACTTGACGACGGCCTCCGAGTACTACCTATGACTAATATGCCAACAGCTTCATGATAGCGCGGTTGATGGTCTGCCGCTCAATATCCGATTCCTCGACGGATGGTTCCAAGCCACAGCTACTCGAACCGCTGGTTTTTCATGCATTAGCCTGTCCGAAATCCACCCAGCTGTGCAGACATCGTACCTCATCATGATGTATATATCCGTCTTCCCCGTCGCTATCTCGATTCGTAGGACGAACGTGTACGAGGAGAAGTCGCTCGGTGTGTATAGCACAGCATACGATGTCGACGACAATGAGCAAAGTAGTATGTCATATGTTGGGACCCATTTGCGTCGTCAACTGTCTTTCGATTTGTGGTATATCTTTGTCGGCTACTTTATCCTCACAATCAGCGAAGGCCCGCGCCTTATGTCGGGTGACTTTTCTATGTTTGCTGTGCTGTTCGAGGTTGTGAGTGCGTATGGCACGGTCGGACTTAGCTTGGGATATACGGGTGTCAACGCTTCGTTGTGTTCCCAATTTACGGTCGTCGGGAAGCTGGTTATTATTGCTATGCAGATCCGTGGCCGCCACCGTGGTTTACCATATGGGCTCGATCGAGCTGTCCTTCTACCTAGCGAGCACCTCAATCGTAAGGAGGCTGAGGAAGGCGAGCTACGGTTACAGCGTCGTCATTCTGCGATGTCGATTGGGCACCCTCCTCATCATCATCGTCGGCCTTCTAGCGCAGCAAGAGGTCGTAGCCGTAGTGTCGATAGGAGACATATGCTTACGGGTCTTCTGCATCCGGGACCGGTACACCCACCGCATCTCTCGATAGCTAAGACGGAAGCCTCAATAGGACTGGGTAGGATGGACACGCTTAGGAGACGAACAACGGACCCAGGGCACGGTGATAATGGCGACGCTCAAGGAAGGATTAGACATAGACGAGCGGATACCCAGCCGACGTTATTTCCTTAGTGGAGGAAGGGTTCAGCCGGATGGGAGAAGTCACCAAAACCGAAGAATAACGGAACCCGACGGGCGGCTACAGAACCGATACCGGCCCGTCATCGTGGCACGGGATACGCTAGCCCGCCGCCACTCGTGTTTCGTAACCCTTGGTGGCGTCGAGGATCGAGAGTACAATGGTATCTTGGCAGCACAGGATGATGCATATACCCATCTCCATCTGCATTAGCAGGGATACATGATAGGAGAGAATTAGATTAGAGAGAATCGCGTTTGATTTGCAGAGATGAAGAATATTAGAGATGGCGGCTCAAGCTAAGAACGGATAGAATATGGTTATTAAATATTAGAAAGGGGAAGCAAGTTTTCATTATTTGGGGTAAGGCATTCGTCACATTTTCAATACGGCGTTCAGGTTATACAGAAACTCTCCAAGGGCTTATAAGTGTTGAATAGCCTATATGGGAGGAGATATGACTTATTTAATCCTTTTTTCATAGTTTTGTTCGGTCTCGGACTTTACGAGGAATCGGGCTATGCTTCGTATATATTTATTTTACTTAACGTATCTACCTAGGTAGTTAAGTACCTACTCTGGAGGCCAGGGCTTGTTTCTATTATGACTATTCGCGATCGATTGTCTAGCCCCCTATACCTGTATGGCCACTAGAATATCGTGGACATAATTTGATGTCATGATCTATGAAAGGGGCTAGGTTGTTGGTGAATAATGCAGCTCCTCCCAACCTGGCTTGCACTGTAAAGAGGATATATGAGTCCCTTCCTACTTAATTCGCAAGATTTCAAATTTGACGCTGTAAAGATATGGAATTGTGGCAGATCGTGTTTATATGGTACATATCCACGGGAGGCGTATATATCTGTACACGTAGGCTTCCGCAGTATCTAGCCTCTCGTCCTTCATCTCTTCTCTAGAGACGGAGAAAAAAGTGCTTGCCCCTTCCTCATCACCTACTTCTAACCTCCTCACTTCACCACCAAACTCCCCTACCGCTTCGCTCCCGGCGCTCCCGCCGCTGCAGTCTTCGCAGCAGCTTTCTTCCCCTTCGTCGTAAACACATTCCTCGTACGACGCCATTTCTCGACGAGGTGATCCACATTACCCATATCGTGTTTAGGCTGGCGCATATAAGTCAAACGAGCACGCCTTGCCCTCTTCGGTCGTCGCCATACTACTTCGATTCCTACGACGTTGGGACTGAAGATTTTAAACCACATTTCTACCGATACCTTCGAGATATGGTTTCGGAGGAGGATGGCGGTGTCGACTCCGGCGCGCCGGATAGAGAGGAGGACACCGGCGAAGGGCTCACCGGAGTTGCCGGCGCCTCGACGGGTTGTTACTTGCAGGACGTCGCCTACGCGTGCGGAGTCGACGTTGGATTTGTTGAAGAGGGCGCGGCGCGCGCCGGTGCGGTCGAGCCGGGTGATTTGTTGGGCGTGGTAGGATTCTAGGGCTGCTGGGTGGGTTTTGCGGGCTGAGGGGACGCGGGGGTAGATTGCGAAGGGGGATTTTTTGAATTTGGGGGAGTCTATTCGTGGTTATGTATTAGTGAACTGTTTTTCTGGAATCGAGGGGGTAGCTGAGGGGGGTAAATACATACAGAATTGAGGCTTTGCTAGTATCGTAGATGGAGGGAGAGGTGGTATAGCTACTGCTGCGTCGGATGTGGGAGTTGTTTCGGTGGCCATTGATCGGAATAGCTGTGGTATTGGCTGTTGTCGTTGTTGCTGGACTCGCCGGAAGACGGCTTTCCAGCTGCCTAACGGCCGCCGTGTCGATTGTGTGATCATTGTGTCCGTCTGTCTTGTCTCGTCGGGTCGGATGACGAACTTGGAAATATCGAATTCGTAGTTTTAGAAGATTGGATTGAGGAACTGGAGATAATCGTTATCGATAAGACGGTGGAGAAATTTTGTTGCGGGTGGGAGGGTCGGAGTCTTGGCACCGGTAACCGCCGTCCCTCCGTTTGGAATTTTTATCGATTTTGATTTTATAGTCGGAAATTTAAATTTAAAGCTTCACCTTTTAACGATATTAACGAATTGGTACGCGGGGCAGACCATTATAAGAAGTAGTGGTGGTACATATTGGAAATATGTCGAGGAGGTCGACAATAAGCGCATTATGCGCAAGCAATGGCGCTCTCGAGTCTGCCACGAGGAGGATAGTTGGGTCTACACCACGAACATTCTCTTCGACTGCTCGACAAAATGGTATGTATAGCCTCATATGTCTTTCAACAGCTTGTTCACCCGGTTATATACCAATACAATTTATAAAATAGCGAGCATCGGACACTTCACACCCACATCCTCCCCCCAACTCGACGAGCTCCTCAACATGATCCGTCAAAAGATCATCCTACCAGCCTACCTACCCCGCGAGCAACGCAAGAAGCTCTACTCGCCCAAATACGAGAAGAAACTCAGATCAGACCCCGTCACCATCGAGATCGACGGCGAGGTCATACGTTTCCGGTACACAAACCCATTCATCGAAATGCCTCAGACCCGCCGCTCCGTCCTAAGCGCCATCTCCCAATTCCAAACCGCGGACGACTTCGTCAACCTACAGCCCTTAATAGAAGGCACGGCCAAAGCGCAACGCACATTCGACCCGTCTTTCTACTGCAAAGTAATCCGAATCCTCGGTCAACGAGACCGTATCTACGATGCCATCGAGTTGGCGCGTAGTGTCTCACGAACGGATTTCCGTCTTGATTGTAGCGAGAAGGTAAACGAGATCTTACATTTCGTCCAGATGAAAGCTGTGGATGCGGATTGGGATCCCGTGGTAACGGCTCGTGTTTTACGCTGGTCGGAGATGGTGCTGGAAATGCTCGAGGAAGAGGAGCACCAGCCAGAGCAGCGTAAGAGTGATGTTCCTCGTAGGGACGTGTTGCCGTTACATCGCGATCCTATGGTTCTTCTAGCACCGTTACATCTTGCCGCTTCTTTGTTAGCGAAGCTAGGAACTGAGGCCGGAGCCGCTGCCGTAGCCGCAGCTGAGAGTAAAGCGGAAGCGGAAGCTGACACTGAGGCTGAAGTTAAAATACCAAGCAAGGAGGAGGTCAGAGAAAAGCTAAACAAATACGCGAATGACATAGTCAGACTATGGCCCGAAGGCAAGAAGTTGATGGAGATACAACCAAAAGATCTGTACGAAACGGAGGATAAGATGGAATACCTAACTGTACCCAACAAGTTTGTTGTCATAGCCACACCCTTACTATACGGCCTCGAAGCAGCTATCCCCCTCGTCGAGCCGGAACTCGCAGCACAATTAAAATCAAGGCGGGATATCCTAGCTGCCGAGGTACAGCAGGCGCGGAAGGAAGCTGGTGCGAAGCCCGGGAAGAGAGGGGAGATAGTATACCAGAAGATTTACGGTGATGCGGCATGAGGTGAAAAGAGGTTAGGAGGCTAGACTCAAGATGTACAACGATCAGATCAGATAGAATCAGGTCAGATCGGAATTGTAATAATACCATACAACCGCTGCCATATCTACACTACTTGTACATATATACAAGATATATGACCCAATCTATCGAAAACATGCTCTTGCGCTTCTTATCATGCATATAACTTCTTGAAATGCTTCGATTTTTCTCCTTTTATTTTATTCAATATCCTCTTTCTTTCTAGGGCAACACGATATATTTCTCCAAACCTTTCGGTATCGCACCCAATAGTCCCTTACTCTCCAACCACTTCCTCGAGAACAACCTCTCAGCATATCTATACGCGCCATCACACAACATCGTCACAACCGTATGCCCGGGACCTAATAACTCCGCAACTTCCTTCGCAGCAACGACATTCAACGCACTACTAGCACCGAGGTACAATCCTTCTTCCTCGAGACATCGGTATACTATCGCTATGCTCTTCTCATCCGCGATATGTAAACTCCCGTCCAGTAGCGCGAGATCAGGTGCTAAGTTATCGGTTATACGCCCCTGCCCAATACCCTCCGTGATACTGCTCCCACTGCGCTCAACGAGCTTGCCGCCGGATTGGATATACGAATGCAACACCGACCCCGGCGGATCCGCAAGGTAAGATTTCACCTTACCACCGGAAACGTCCTTCAAGTACCGCGTAACACCCGCCAACGTCCCAGCCGTCCCCGTAGCACACGTAAACGCATCCACCTTCCCCTGCGTCTGGGCCCAAATCTCCGGTCCCGTAGTCTCAACATGCGCGCGTCGATTCGCCGTATTATCAAACTGATTCGTCCACACCGCATTCCCCTCTCCCAACCTCTCCGCATGGCGTTTCGCCTTATGATTATAATTCTCCGGGTTATCGAAGGCGACTGCCGGGACGGGGTATACCTCAGCACCCAACAACCTCAAGAGGTCGATTTTACCTTGGGATTGCGTGTTCGGCATGTATATAACTAATTTGTAACCTCGGGATCTACATACGTGCGCCAGTCCGATACCTGTGTTCCCTGCTGTGCCTTCGACGACTATACCCCCCGGTTTTAAGAGCCCGCGTTCTTCGGCGTCGAGGACTACGTAGAGGGCCGCGCGGTCTTTGACGGACCCGCCTGGGTTCATGAATTCGGCTTTGCCGAGGACTTCGCAGCCGGTTTGTTGGGAGAGAGTGTTCATGCGGATTAGGGGGGTGTTGCCGATTGCTATAAGGCGCTTTTGCGTTAGCCATTGTTGTGACTCAACTGCAGATTGAGGATCGAGAGCTCGTATGAAGGGGTAGCTAGGTACATGGGAAAATGTGAGGTGACAGAGTACATACCTCCAGTCAAACCCTTCGCAACACCCTGTGCCTTCGAGACAGCTAACGTGTACGGACTCGGGTCCTTCGCAGCAGCGGGAGCAGCAACCGCTGCTCTGCGCGCCGTCGTCGCTATTCGTCGCACGCCGTGTCGGAACATGATGTCAACCAGCTACTTTTGTCCTTGTACCGCCAATTCCGTTACTACGAAGCTGAGAAACACTCCACCACACCTGTAGTAAAGGAAAGAAGGTGTGGGAGTATGTAATGTAGCAGGGAAGAAATAAAAGTAGAAAGACCTTACGATCCTATTTACATCGGTACATGCAGAATGGAAGCTTAATAATTTTGGCGGGGCAGAAGTTACGTATTTTGAGGCTACTGCATCGGCTCGGTTCCAGCTAGCCGGCACCCTGAAAGCACGTCATCCCGGCTTCCGCTCTCGGATCCTTCACAATACAACCCCTAGATGACTTAGCAGAAGCCATAAAAATGCTAGATAATGGTAAAAATCGAGTTCCTAATCCTTTGATTTTCGTCGCTCATATCATGATATCATAAATGCTAGGGATTTAAAATACATAGAACCAAATCTCCAACCGCTATCCCCAATCGTCATAATAGACTAGAATAGCTTTGCGAGGTATCATCAAACCCATCATCCTTACGTCCGTGCATGCATATGTTAAAAAAAGTAAATGCAATAAATCATTCCAATGCCTCATCTCATAAGTCGTGGTATGGGGTTACCGTAAGGTCATCCATTGCTACTCGAAAACCTTCACATACGGTGCCGGGAATAATCCCTCAGCGCCCATGTAGCTCCCAAACCACCACTCCCCGTTCACATCTTCCACCTCTCTTACCTCCGCACCCTTAGGAAATAGAAGTTCGTCGGTCGTGCCCTCTTGCGGATACCAAGACCACTTTGCGAGGGTTCTAAGGCCTGTGCCTCCATCTGGGGGAAATTGCTCTGTACCAAACGCGGGTGCTGTATCGGTTACGTTTACGGTCACGAGCCTCTCAAGTCTCGACCCATCAGAAGCTTTCCAGCTCCATTTTTGCAAGCCCGAAGCGCTCTGTTCAGGTGGTATGTTGTCTTCCTCGTAAGGCTCCATACGCAGAGCCTTGCCTCCGACGATATCTTGGAACACATAACGCCTTTGTCCAAGAGATCCCTCCTTAAATCCAGTTATGGCCATCCGGTGGCCCTCGAGGCAACGTCTCCAGCCCTTGTGACCATTCTCGTCGGATATGCGTTTCTTGTGGACCACAGTAGCGTAGCAATCAACGCAGATTTCGTAATCGCCCTGTTGCGCATCAGACACAACCGTGCTTGTGCACTCATAACAGTGGTATCTGCGATGAGGTGGCGGGATAGCTTCTCGGCAGATCTCGCACATTGCTGTAAAGGAGAGCGACTTGAAATTTCCAGGGCTGACGGCGTTAGGTGACAATGAGAGTGTCGCGCCTCGTGGACGTCTAGGCAACCGGGGACTAGCCGGGGGTGTATGGGGACTCGTTGGTGGCGCGACATAAGTCAGAGGTAGGAGTGGGTGTGTGCAGCACTTCCCGGTATTCACACAATTATGGCAGAAACCCCAGTCGCCTTCGTTGCAAGACTCGCAACGCCAAAAACACTCGTTAGCCCAGGTGAAGCATCCTACACAAAACATTCCGCTTTCTAGGCGGTTCGCTGGATCGTCCGTCGTGAGAGTTCTCCGTCCCTCCGCGCCGCCTGGGGCGTATTTGGGCTGCCTATATCGACAAGAGGTCAGCATATGCGGTCGTTCGAGATCCGTGTCGCCAGCAGCTACCATTCTTTCCCATCTTTTAAAAGCTGCATATCCAAACCCGAACCAGTGTTCACAGCCTTTTCCAGAGCGGTAACAACCGAGGCAGATATTCCAAGTTCCATTGGCGCACTTTGAACAATTGTAATGAAGTTCGTATTCGATGTGCTCTCGTCCGCATCGTGAACATGTAACGGATGGCTCGTGGTAGAATTGGGATCGTATTCGCTGATGGTGTGCTCCATGCGTAGGAGATGATATAAGTCCGAGGCTAGGCAAGGGAGATTGCGGGGCTATAAGGCTAGATGGCCGTCGAGCTCGCTTTGGGTGTGCGGAACCAGAATCATCGGATTGTATTTCTGGTGAAGGAGCTGATGGAACCTGAGCGGCAGTCGCCCGCCCGCTAAAAGAGAGATCTCTAGGTCGAGGGCTTTCGCTCGAAGACGGCTGTCCGACGGCATTTGGGACCGGCATGCTAGTGCTCCTCGAATCCGAAATAGAGGGGCGACGAGAAGACGGATCGGAACTTTGCGACCTTAGAGTCAAATCGGTCTGTGACCTTGCTGCTGGTGTAGTTTCTGCAGTCCTTGGTCGGGCAGGGTCTGTCGCACTTCTGCCACCACTAGAAGTTCTTCTCCTACGTCGTCTTTCCGGATCGGCACGAACCTCAAGGTGAGTTGACGTAAGAGGTGGACGACTACGATCCTCTATTTGACCTTGTCCAGTAGCTGGTCTACTACTATGGGCTGAGCTTGATCTGGGTCTGCTGCTGGGTCGAGATACGTCCGTTACGGGAGGCCGTGAAGTGGAATGTACGTTCTCAGATCGATGAGATGCGAGGACAGGGTCGCTGCTCCTGGGATGTTGCTGTTGCACACGGTTTCGTTCCCTTTCCCTTTGTCTTCGTCGGTACGCCTCTGTAATTTTTCGACTAAGCTCGTCATTCTGGGCAAGGTCGATATTGTCTAAATCAAGCCCATCCAGAAGACCTTCCTCTTGAATTTGGCGGGCAAACTCTTCTATTTCTCTTTCTAAATCACGAAAGTCCACATCGGATGAGCTGATTAACGACCTTATCGATGCCTGATGCTCCACCTGCCTCCTCCTAGTCTGGGATAAATCACGCGATCGGTGCTGTGATTCACTACGCGGATGTCGCCGCTCATCCGGAGGTAAATCGGATTGTCGTCTACCACCAGAATCAGCGCGGCGTCTGTAATCTTCCTCCCTCCGAACACGATCGCGCGTGTCTCGATACCGTGTGTCACGGCTGCTGTCCCTGTCCGATCCACCTCTCCTATCCTGAGACTGGCTATGATGATGGCGGTGTCGTCTCGTTCTGGATCCCTCTCCGGTTTCGACACCGGCATCCTGCAGACTTAACTGACGTGCTTGTTCTAGCATCTGCCTTTCCATCTCTTCTAACCGCCTCTCTTCAAGTGATTTTTCGGGTATTTGAACTTGCGGCAAGACATTGTCACCAGGTTTGTATTTCTGACGCATTTCCTCTTTCTCATCTTCGGGTTTATTCTTGTCCGGATTCGCAGCTAGGTACATGTCGAGTAAGGTATTGACGGTAGCATTGTGGCGAGTGTCTCGAACGGTCGCGCGACATGATGGGCAAGTGAATCTTTGTGTTCCTGAAGCTGGAGGATTTGGGGAATTCTCTGCTGCTGTTTTCTGCCATGCGAACCAGTCTTTTAGACAAGAGCCGCAGAAAGTATGTAGGCAGTCAAGGAGGGTTAAAGGTTGGAAAAGAATGTCGGTGCAGATCTAGTAGCCGTTTAGTCCCCCTCCATCGAACCCCACCATTATATAAATCCTAAGGAATCGGAAATATTCTTACCGAACATGTCAACTCCTTCTCCAAGTCTACTCCAGGCCTCGGGGTAGTCATCGCGCCTTTCGTTGGCTTGTTACGGAGTAAATTTCGAAAGTTTCTTAAAAGATTGAACGAGAGTGACGACCGGAAAAGAGTCAATATTTGGTGGTGGGGAACACTGAAATGGAGGTCTATAGCCGAATCAGAGTACTTCGTATTAGGTCGCCCACCATCGCTACAGTTGACTGCATGGTGCTAACCGGCTAGATGTGCATCTGACCGCAAACTGAAGTACTAAGGAAAAGAGGCTGGGCAAACAATTCCGAAATCATGTCAGAACCAGTCAGCTTTCCCTTTTCCAAGATGTAACAATCAGCGTAGCGCAGCACGGCGGTGAGGATGTGAAGTCGGTCTGGACATTTCGGCTCAGCTTTAAATATTTTAGTGTAGAAGATGGAGATTTTAAAGAATCACTAGCATAGCTTATTCTATGTTGGGTGTCGGCCGGGTTTTTCGATTTAACGCAGCATCTGGAGTAACTAAAGAAAACCTAATTGACTTGCATAACCGCCCTGTAAACCTACTGTAACTCGCTGTAACTCTTTCCTTCAACTCTCTCTTATGCACCCCAAATAAACCTTCTGCTGCATCTTATAACTCAATTAAGATCTTCAAATTTCGTGGAGCCATACATATTCAAAGTTTCTGAAGTGCATTGCAAGCTTAAAACGAACCCGTACTTCAAGTACTTCAAGAAGTCGCCACGTATGGAATGCTACTTGAGCAGGTACCCGACGAAGTAGAAGTTCTCATCGTGATGAACCTTTTCTTCAAGACCTACCAGATATCAGAATTGACGCTAACTACTTCGTTCCTCGGACTTTCGCCTTCGGACCGTACACTCAGCCAAAAGCCACGTGTGCTACGTTCGTGCTTCCTATAACCGCTAGCTGCAGAAATGTCTCTGAACGCTTAACCCGGGTTAAGAATTTGTGATGCTCAGTTCGAATGGTTATGATTATAGTATATGCGTGTGATCAACTCGTCACTTTGACAAAAGCCACATGACATGAGTCTATAGGAGTTCCAACATCAACCAGCGAACATATACTCGTATTATAGAGTCAAATTTCAATGTACATTGGCTTGATTCTTAAGAATTAGACGCCATCCATATAACATCATAACTTGGTCCGTTTCATGATACTTTTCCCGGTCGCCCAATGTATAAAACCCAACCCCCCGGCATAAATCTGACCGTGTAACCCACCACGTCAGAATCTGGACCCTGGTCAGCCCTATCCGATACCCGTCAGTCGGTCCCCACCGTTACATATAATTGAATTAAGTAGCTACGTACTTTACGTGATATTCTAAGTGAAGCAAATCATCAAGAATCCGAAATGCAATGAAAACGCATTAAATAGTTTCAAACCAGGTAACCGTCACCAACTAATTTATATTCATCGAATCCCAAGAAATGATTGCTCCAACTCATCACATCATAAGTTTCCCAATACCCGGTCGTTGCGTCCAAAAGTCCATGCGGTACCTCTCAGTACATATTTGCATGTACCGCATCTACTCATGCGTCCACTCAGGCTTCTTCTTCTCAGCAAAAGCCTTCATCCCGACCTTCTGATCCTTACTCCCGAACAAACCATGGAAAACCCTCCTCTCATACTCAACCCCATCTCTAAGCGATAGATCCTGACTCTTATTCACCACCTCCTTCGCCGCCTGCACCGCGACACGCGAATATCCCGCAACCCTCTCCGCCGTCGCCAGCGCGCCCTCGACCAACGCCTCACTCGTAGGAAACGTCCTCGCCGCCAACCCCCACCTCTCAGCCTCCACCCCAGAAAACGAATTGCCCGTAAGTATAAGCTCCATAGCCTTACTCTTCCCCAACGCTCTCGTCAATCTCTGGCTCCCACCCGCCCCAGGAATAGTCCCAAGCTTAATCTCCGGCTGTCCGAAATTGGCACTCTCGGTGCAGTATAGGATATCGCACATCATAGCTAACTCACAACCACCGCCTAGCGCGTGTCCCGATACGGCGGCGATGATGGGCTTTTTGATTTGTGTGGTTAGACGGGACCATGATTCGATGAAACTGGTCGTGTAAGCTTCGGAAAATGTGAGGGGTGCCATTTCTTTGATGTCGGCGCCGGCTGCGAAGGCTTTCTCGGATCCGGTTAGGACGATGGCGCCGATGGTTGGGGAGCTGTTGAGGGTGTCTAGCGCTGTGTTGAGTTCGTTGATGAGAGGCGTGCAGAGGGCGTTGAGTACTTTGGGGCGGTTGAGGGTTACTGGTTTGGGCGTGTTGGATTAGTAACTACGTGACCATGTGCTATCATATGGATGCTATCGTCTTACCTTGCCCGACACCCGGCCTGGGCTCCGATAGTAGTAAGTATTCATAGGATCTGGTAGTTGTAGCAGAAAATTGGCGGACAGTTCTAGGAAGTGTGGATGGTTGAAGGCGCGAAGCTAGTGGCCTGAAACTGCGTAGTGTGTTCATTTTGGGTGAGTTAATGAATCGTGATTATTATAAGCTGAGATAGCACTCTACGATGAGAAATGGTAGACACTCAATTGAATGGTATGAGTTAATGTTTCATTTATGAGAGGTATAATGTGTGGTATAGTAAGTAAATTGACGTTGCTACCTTGAATGTGTGGTATTTGAATGAAGCTCTAACATTGAATGGACATCCGTTCGGCTTATGAACCTATGAGCTCATGAGGCCGAAGCTGGCCGAGGATAACAGCAAGAACTTAATAAGCTTCGACCCCACTACGGAATACTGGAGCATTTCGTATATTAAGGTACAAAGTAACATACAGCTAAGGGGAGGATTTAAGGGAGAATGAGGGGCCGAGAAACAAAATATCCCGGGCTTGCGTGGCTCGGGATCTAGCCCAATGAGGATCCACTCAATTGAAACGTAAAACTGTGGCTAGTACGGGCGTGGCTATGTTAGAGTTTAATTAAGCTGGCCACATTGTTCCCAAAAAGTTGGCTCCCCTACTTAGTAGCGCAGATCTCGAAAAGTCCAGTCGCGACGTGCAAATTACCAAGAATAAACCAATCTTTCTCTCTTTCCCACACAATCCGGAAACCCTCACGACATCATCCACATTCCAATCCAACTTGCGCCGATTTCAACCGCTTAACTCATCAACGAATACTATCGGCGATTCAAATACTTCCCTGATAATTATTTAAAAGTTGAGATATCGCACTGACGCAACTATGGAGAATATCGAGACGGAACAAACCCCTTTCGCAGCCGTCACGGCTCAAACATCTAAGCTTCAAAGAGTATGTCTTTTTTTCTTTGCGCCGACTTTGAAAGTAGTATAACTGCATTCTAACAACCTGCAGCAATACCAAGCTCTGTTAGATCAATCGACGCCGTTCGTCCTGTACCGATGGGTTGGCACGGCTGCGTTTCTAGGTGTCTTCTTTCTCCGCGTGCTCTTCGCGCAAGGATGGTATATCGGTAAGAAGCTTTTAACAATAATGATGAATACGATAGTATGTTAACTAACATCATATAGTCGCATATGCGCTCGGTATTTACCTCCTCAACTTGTTCCTAGCCTTCCTTCAACCCAAGTTCGACCCCTCAAACGATATCCTAGATAACGAAATGGAAGATGGTTCAGCTGGTGGTCTGCCGACAAAGCAGGATGAGGAGTTCCGACCGTTTATCCGACGCCTCCCCGAGTTCAAGTTCTGGCACGAGGCTACCCGCGCCATCGCTATTGGATTCTTGTGCACTTGGTTTGAGATCTTCAATGTTCCGGTCTTCTGGCCTGTGTTGGTCATGTACTGGATCATCCTCTTCGTTCTGACCAGTGAGCACATCCAAACCTATTGAGTGAAACTAATTATGCTAACGCTTTCGGCAGTGCGCAAGCAAATCCAGCACATGATCAAGTACCGATATGTGCCCTTCACTTTCGGCAAGGCGAAGTACGGTAAGAGCAGTACTTCATAAGTACAAGGCTGTTAATGATTCCACGAGTCATTTTTGGGATTTATCAGGATGATAATCAGAAGAGCAAACCGAATAGGTCTAGACGACAAGTATAGACAGCTTTCGGTATATTATAATGAAGACTACTTTCTGAAGGTGGTGTGTACGTTCTGGTTTTGAACTGTATAAATTATGATGCAGGTATTTTGTATGAGGTATACAGGAGCTAGGCGACCTGTAACGGAGTAATGTGGTGAAGCATCCAGGTATAATTGTTGGTTGACCTTAAAGGAAAGCGTCCTATTATGTGTGAAGCTATGTGGTGGGATAAGGATCGATGGTAGCATGAAAGCGGCTTGGGGCGCAGGTTTTGAAGTCTTTCAGGATCATCATCAATTAACATCAATAGACATTACGCTGAAGAACAAAATAATAATCAGAATCCGAAATATTTATTAATGCATTTATTTTTGAGCATTATTCAATCAGATCGGTTATTCTGATGTGTTATGAATGCATCTTGTGGAATAATCGTGGGTACCTAGGTACATACTTAGGTACATTCTCCAGCGATTAAGCTTTGGCCATTCTTCCCCCAACCAACAACTTTTTTCAGTGCTCTTTGCGACCTTTGAAAGGTACCCACTAAATTTCTAGGTACCTTCATCTTTCGAATCTCGTCGCGACGCGCACTGCACCAATTCATCACCGGCGAGCAACGAACTTCGGTCTACAATCAGGTTTTCAATTGAATTTGGTGCATTCATAAATCATCAAGTATCAGGTCAAACCCGTCGATTATTTCAGACATCGTCGCCGAAGGCTTCATTCGTATCGCCGATCCTCTTCCTGTCTCCCTTCATCCTCCCTGTTATATTCATTACCTCGACTTTAGGCCATCGTCAAGATGACGTCCTCGTCGCGCAATGGCGAGCACCGCTCCATACATCAAGATTTCATCGCCCGGGTTCGATTTTCCAACGCGCTACCACCGCCTCCCCATCCACCTAAGCTCCTCGAGATCCCGAACACTGGACTCGCCAGCGGTCAATACACAGCCCCGGGATTCGCCTCGAGATTAGCGAGAGAGCAGCCTCTAAATATCGAGGCAGATGCAGAATTGGGTATGCCATTGGACTTGGTGGGAATGCCGGGGATCTTTGACGGTGATGAGAGCTGTAAGTGGAGCTACGGTGGATGTATATTGATTCAAACATCTATAACTAATGCAAAATGCAGCTATTCAAGCTCCTGCGCAAGCGCCGCCCGTTCACCCTCGAGACCGAGCCCTTCTCAGACCCGCCGGTAGTCTAGGCCGTCCCAAGATTGCCGAAGCTAGCGTTTCCTTCTTACGACGAACCGAGTACATCTCTTCTGTAACACAAGCTAAAAGCCGCAACGATGGCGGGGCTCTACGTAGCAACCACGGTCCTCCGAAACGACCCCTCAAGCGACCTTCTCCAGAACCGGATGTCGACTCACCTGCTCACATCAAGAAGAAGATCGACCAAGGTTTCACCGTGGCGGCTGCGAACCTCAAGGATAAGACCCGAGTAAAGCACCCGTCAAAGCGCAACGTCAAGCTCGTCGACGCCTACCCATTAGTCCCAGACCTTGATGCGTTCCCCGACTCCGGTGCCTACGTGACCTTCAAGTTCACGCACAACCCGCTCCCGCCGACGCGTACATACGACCGCCGCCTCCTCAACGGCATCCTTAAGCCTATTAGCAAGACTGCTGCCGAGGAGGCCGCGTATACTTTGGCGCTACAAGCACACGAACGGGACCCGGAGCACGTACCCAAGCCCCAGAACCTGATGGACTACGATTACTTCCTGAACGACAGTCTTGACGCCTCGGAGCGGTTCCGCCAGCGTTTCGATTTCGAAAATCCGGATCATGATGATGGTGCTTTGTACACGCACCGTAGTAGTGACGGGAAGCCGAGCTTCATGTTCCCGCGCGTTCGCACGTACGAGACTGCGCAGGAGTTGGAGTTGAATAATCAGACGAAGTACGATGAGGAGGTGGTCCTGGCGTTTAATGAGGATGAGATGATTGACCAGAAGGCTGCGTTTTACTACCCGGTCATGCAGCGTAGCGTCATCAAGCCCCAGCGAGCCAAGAAGATTGCGGCGACGATAGGGATCGTACCCGCCGGCATGAATCTTGAGGAAACTAATGTGGATCAGCTCGATGTGGAGGTTGACGATCCGGATGATGACGCGCGCGCTTGGATGAATCTGTACAGGGAGCATCCGTATGGAAAGGAAGAGGAAGAGCAGGATGAGGGTCGGAATGGTGGTGGTGAGAGTGGAGCTGCGAATGGTCGGGCGAGTCAACAGGTTGAGGATGATGAGGATCAGGATGCTGAGGGCGATGAGGAAGATTGATCAACTTGCATGGAAGTGGCCGTGCGTTAAATTGCCTTTATATCGGGGTATGGTTGACGATACGTCTGGAGATCTACTGCCTACAACTACTCAGAACGCCTAGGAACAGGGCCCACGTTATTCGTGGTGGAATTACGCTAGATATTACCTACTTAGGTACGCAAAAAAGGGGTGTTCCGGATATTCATTGAAAAAGGCTCTTGTTTACATCCCCAATTGGAGTCTACTAAAATATGCGGATAGCAAGGTTCTCTCCCAAAGTTATGATGTTAGAAATATCACATGAGTAATTGTCTAAACATTGGCACAGAATATTACAGTGAAGAGGTCAATGCCGGAGCGTTCTTTCAAAGATCCTCGCCTATACGGACCCCTGGTTCGACAACCTGACTTCTCACGATTGTAGTCCTATCTTACAGCATCTTCAAACGAAGGGCTACGTCTACATGAAGATCTCCAAGTGTGACCTTACTATAGGTCTGAGTGCGGACTTGACCTCAATGAAACCCGAAACCCGAGAAGCCACATAAAGGGGTAAATTCCGAGGCACTTCTATGAACGCCCAACTTCTCAACCAGGATATCTAATTCAATAGAAAAAACGCCACAATCTATATAATATGTAGAATCAAGAAGAAAACGAAATCTTAGCCAAGAAACCACCCACATGTCAACCTTGGCCAACACCCGGCTTACAGACCCAAGACTAGCCTATCAACAGTCCCTGTTCCACCGGCATCCGATCTGACATCCGGCATAACACAACATTATCTCCAGGACCAATCCCTCGTAGCGCAACTGAGACTTGTCCACGGCCGACCTCGATCCGCGAGGTATGTACAGATCTGTTATTACCGTCCTATCGTATCAGCCTCCGGATCCTGTATTCCGCATCGTAATACCTCCCGCCTATACGAGTCCCCTTTTCCGCCAATAATCTCGTCGGTCCCTACCTAGACACATACCAACATACATACAAGACATCCCAGACACCCCCCGGCCCACACCCCCTTCGAGAAAATCCCGCGCCCCCCGAATCCTTCCCTCCCAGGACCCGACCCGACAGCCCGGAACGCATTCACGTGACCACCCAAGACATGCGAGGCAAGTATGTCGTGCATGAATTTTGAATCGTTGTCTCTGATCGCAGCATGAAGCTTTGGTCATGTGTTATATATGCCAGTATCCCTGGTTATTCGTCCCTCACCTTTTCACCTCGGGGTAGAAGTTTAGGCAGGTAGTAAAGATAAAAGGGGGGTCGCATGGGAAAGGGGGAAAATCCATCTTAAGCGTGTGGGTCTTTTGCTGGGTCGAGACCACATATACTGGCCTATAGTCCCCGAGTGAGTGAATTAATACTGTTTTGGACTTCTTGTTTGGGCAGCTCGGTGTTCTGGGCTATACGTCGGGCCACAATTAAGGGTATTGCTTCTTAACCTTCCTCGACAAATCCGCTGTCTAAGGGCTACTTGCGTCTAGTACTACTCATATCATGGGGTTTACTAATATTTTTATTGATAGTATCTCACGCTATTATAAATCAAGCTGTAGAATATGCAAACCCAACCTCATATTCGCTGTCGATATCAAAGAAGCCTGAATATTAAGCTGAAGAAATTACTTCACTCGGTTCTGATTAGGCGGCCTGTAGATGATCCCCCGTGCCACAGTATTACGGCCGATAAGCCCTTATTAACCGTCCTCGATTCCAACTTCAGGTCATTTTCCCACCTAGATAGTAAGACCAATTTGCGATCTCCGGCTATTTCTCATCGACCTATCCTTGGTGCATGTGGTAGTCAGTCTGCCGTGTAAGCTAAACGAACTAAATACGCAATCGTCTAGCTAGCATAGGAATGATCCCTGTGTCTACTCCTGACCCCTTCATAGCTTGCAAGACCTTAGAGGTGATACCATATTGCGAGGGCGGTGGTCATTTTCAAGACCGACGACGCCATTCTCGGTTATGGGGACTTCGGACTGATGTTCGGTCTTGCTGGCTTCCCGTTTCGTCCTTTCCGCCTGCCTATTAACAGTCGTGTGGAATTAAGCGTGGTGCTACAATGATAATCGTTATTACTTTGGGCGTTGCATTTTGCTGTTGTTATTGCCTAAAAGTGGAGAGTGGAAGGCTTGCATATTATAGTCGCGCGACTCATCCTCGACCCCTAAGATATTCTTATTTTGGCTGCGGCGCGCGGGATCGTCCCTATTCTTATGGCCTGTGCCTAGTTGGCCAAATGGAGTACCAGCATTCCAATGATTGCCGTTAGACAAAGCAGGTTTGGGAGAACCGCCCAGATTGGCGGCAGGGGTACCACCAAAGAGGCTGCTTGGGTGAGAGAATGCCAAAGTCGAGCCGCTTCTAGCGGGATTCTGAAGCCAAGGGGAGTTTTGTCGCTGGGACGGGCCTGACGAGAGTTGTTCGCCTGGTTGGCCTTTGCTTCCTAGAGGTGGAAACCCAAGTTCGTCGGGGTTAGAAGTGTGATGGAGGTGGGTGCTACGGTGTTCTTGGAATCCACCACCATAAATGCCGCCCCAACCGGCTGATCCGGGCGGGCTCTGGTGATTCGCAGTGGAACTGCGTTGACTGACCGATCGCTCCATATTGCTCGAGCCGAGATAATTGGCGGGATTACTACTTCCAGGGCGAGGATACGCCACCTTGGACGAGGTTTCAGATGGTACTTGTGGTGCGAGGTAAGGACTGGCACTCGGACGGCTTGAGTAGCTCTCCGAGCGTTGCATGTTAGTAGGGGCCAATCCATGCTGGCCGAATATCGCAGAAGCAAGGCTATCAAGAACTTCACTTCGCGACGCTTCTAAAGAGTCGCGCGACCCTTTGCTTTGATGACTATGGAAGGCCGAAGCTGCTGATAAAGGACCGGGCGACCTATGCGCGATGCCTTCTCCCGTGTTGCTATACTTTTGAGCTTGGCGGAAAGGTGTACTCAAGTCACGTAGATACGAAGATGAGTCGAAGTCGCCAAGCTGACCGTGGGCGCTCCTAGGTACATAGTCCCCATCGGGTGCTAATTGATTGTTGCCCTGACTGCTGGAACGCTGTGGCATTGGCGCGTAAAAATAACCCCATGGGAGACTAGGAATAGCCTTGGATGAGGGTGAAGGTTGAGCTGACCCAGTGGCAAGTCGGCCAAATATATCATTAGCCATAGTAGTATTCATACCATAGCTTGTATCAGCCTGGGTATGACTTGACTGGGGTCTGCTCTCCTCGGTTGGGTCTAGAAGTTTGTTGACCATGTCAACCATTTCACTATCACCGCTCAGATCCGTGTCAAGTAGGGAGCTAGGTGCTAACTCCTCAACCGCTTTCCCCTTGTTTCGAGGTCTTTGTAGTGCGGATTTTGTAGTATCGTTGCTAACCTCATGTGAAGGCGCCTCTAGTATATCAGCGCTCAAGGGCGCAGGACTCAGGGACCGTTGAGCTACATCTTGGGCTAAGTCCTCCGGCTTTGTTTTAATCTCAGCAAGCTTAAGCTTGTTTAGCATACGAGACATGCTCGCTTCATCTATGGGCCCTCGTTTGGATACCTCGTCAGTGAAATCCCAGCATTCAATGTCTCGTCCTTCATGATGCTTGAGAGTCATCTCAAGTGGGTAACTTGAACACGCAGCTAAAAGGACGCCGCAATATACAATGTCTCTCATACGCCATATCGTTTCCGTGGAAGGTTCGTGTTGACGGCCGAAGACCCTTTGGCGAGGCTTGCGGGGCTTCTGATTATTCGCTTCATCGGGGTCCGATACATGTCCCACTTGCACGAATAATGGTAAGGTTTGATCGCTGAATGGTCTAAGACCAATTGCTTCAGTATCTTCCAACAAAAGATACTTGGATGATGTCGTGATTGCGGCTTGGTCGAGAATCATGTTGAGTAGGGTTAGACTATCGGCAAGGAGCCTGTATACTTCACTGATATATGGCTCAAGGAATTCGCGATAGTTGTTAGCGTCGGCCCTACAAACGTATATCCACGATATGTAGATACGGATGAGGGGGAATAGCTTCGTCAAAAGCCGACTGAAGCAGATTGGACTCCCAGCATTTTCAAGGTCCCCACTCTCATTTCCGTCAGCAGGAGATGTTGCGGACTCGTCAAGTAACTCTTTCTTGAGCACTCGAAGAAGAATGAGAACCGTGCGAATGTTGAATCTTAGTAGGAATTGAGCAGACTGGGACCCTTGAATTGACCAGGAAGCTTTGCATGGTTAGCACAGATATATATACTAAATATAGGGACCGAGAGGTATTTAGCTAGAAACTTACATTTCACCCGCTCGAGAGCAACGTCATATGCTGCGATATTAATGATGATCATTTTGCGCAGGACAGCTTCGTCGGCATCGGACTTCGCTGTTGTCTCAATACGATGTAGAACTTCATTTTCGAGTTCACCCTGTTGAGTAAATGGTTCCCCCTTGAAAAAATACGTATGTAGTCGTAAGAACCAGGTAATCATAGTCTCGCAGGGGTCCTTGATAGGACCTTTGCGTGCGGCCGAGGAATTCTCTAGACCATTGAACTCTCGCTCGAGATTGTAAAGACCCAATTCGTGCGGGTTCGCAACACAGATAGAACGGTGAAAGTGATAGACGATCTCGAGATGCCTGGCTTGAAGTTGGTACAATACGGCCAATTGGTGATGAGCGGAACCGTCATTAGGATCGAGAGCGTTTGCTAAGCCGTAGTACGATAAGGCTCTGTCGAAATTCACATTGGAGTTCGAGAGCTTCTCTGACATCTGGCATCGGTATCTGAATAAGTCACCTAGGTGAACTAGAGTGATCTGGCATGATCTCAAGATTAGTTCACGGATTTGAGATGGAGGCTTCGCATCGAGGGCGGGAGTCTCTGTTGGCTCAATATCCGTATCGCGAGCGATATGATACAGCTCCGGGATATAAAAGCGCCCAGACATCTTCTGTATGTAGACACGATAGAATGACTGAGACAGTCTAAGAAATTGTCGATATAGCTTCTCAAGCTTCCTTCTCACTACCACCTGGTTCTGTGATAGGAGACGGCTCATAACTTTCCGGTACTCGCTATTGAGAAAGGTATGAGCTTGCCACAGGAAAACTTCAACATTTTTATCGACCGCATACTCGAAGTCATTAGCAATGACATTCAAGCAAGCCAAACGAAATCTATAGTGATGTTAGCACGAGGGTATCCACCCAGCGATGACGCAGAGGGGTAAGTCCTACTCGGCCATCGTCTGCTCAACCTCTTCAAAGCGAGAGGTAGCATTTGTAGTACCGCGCTCCTTTTTAAAATTCGACAATTTGTCCATCATATGGGTGCGGATCTTCTGGGCCTCCCTACCACCAAAGTTAGCCAATGTGTTATGCGAATATCATTGTGATGTCAATTCTGGCGCATTCAACAACTAAAAAAACGTACCCCCAGCTCGCCCTGGCTTTCGCTCGTGGGTTCTCCATTATGGGCGGAGGTGAAATGCGACCGTGACGACTATTAGAGATCGAGGCTTGTCGCAATAGCGGAGTAGGGCCAATGGCGCCTTGTGGCGCAATGGTAGTCGACTGGGAGACTGTTGCGACAGCTCACAGCCTGGAAACAGGATCACACGAACTCGAACCGGGAGTGAGGATGCGGAGGATATCCATAATTCGACAGGCTCGAGAAGGCGAGATTGAGGCGCGCCGTAGAGGATTGGGCCGGGGTAACTTTCTCGGAGGAAGATATCGGGAACATTTGCGGTTGTGGAGGAAAGGGATGCGTGGTAAGAGAACGATGGATCTCCTCCTATGCGGGATAGGTGGGATGACAGGAAACGCTGAAAAAAACGTTGTTTGCACAGACGGCAACCAATATTAATAGTGCAGTCTGTGGCCGTAGCTAGAGGCGCGTCGTAGATTGAGGCGTTGTTGGGGAGGAGCAAAAGCCGAATAGGAAAAAAAAGAAGTTGGTAAGGTTTAGTTTATAGGTGAATGAATTATGGATGAATAGAAAAGGTGAGGCAACTGGGTTAATTCATAAAGTTGCAGATCATAAAAAGTTGGGAGGGTCTTCCGGCGCACGCTAATCATTTACTTCGCTGCTAAAATCTGCGAGTCTGCCCAAGGCATAGCACTTGCTATAGCGGAGGGTGAACTGTATCATTGCACTAAGGCTTCCAAATTAACGTTAAGTAACCATACATGCATACTATGTACAGTACATGCATGGTTTAGCATGGATTATAGTTAAAAGACCCCTCATCCCTCATCCACTAACCCCGGAAATAGCTAGGGGTCCTTCTTGTTTCTAGGTACCTTTGGGGGTGTATTGTACGTTTGCAACCGCCGAATTTTGGGGTTAACATCGCCGCAAACCCTGTCCCGGGTCCTTGCGGCAGATCAATTAGATCATTCACCTATCACTCGCTGCATTCAATCACTACATGTAGCGAACCTTTTTAAGTTTAATTCTCCCACTCTTGGCGTTTAATATAGCTAATTAGGTACATACAACTCACTCACTGACCGCCTCCAACTCTAACTTAAGTCTCCGATATTCCATATCAGTCAACATGGCTTGTAACTTGGATTTTATTTTAATATATCGATTAGAGGCGTTAATAGTTTGCTTTTATTTACAGTCTCCTTAGTTTGTTAGTGAAATTTTGGTTTATTTTATTCTGTTTTTGTTTGTTGTTTTGAGAGAGGCGCACAAGTAACAAGAGGTATATCCAAGTATACAAAGTCCCCACAAGGTAACTCCGATAAGTACCAGGCAGCCCAGGATACTAAAGTCCAATATCGACGACTAGGTCAACGAAACATCATATTTCAACTACCACCAGCGACTTTTGGTTTTTAGGAAATAACTCGCCTTATTAATGTAAATATTCCCCAAATTCCGCATAAAACCCATATTACGCTATCATGAAGCGCTCACGCGAGCCTGAAGAAGACGAAGAATCCTTGTCGCCAGAGCCTGAGGTTAGTTCAGAAAAAGCATCTGATGGCGCCAGCCCTCGACCAATAGGACTTCCACCCACAAAAATCACAGAGCTAGACGAATCCGCTATCGACGACGACGACGACGGCAATACCTTCGCAATGAAATGTTCCCTACCCCCGCATCGAGATGTCATGTCATTTAAGACGTATGCCGAATACGAAGCTCATCACAACGGGACCCATACGAATCGATGTGTAGAATGTGGAAGAAATTTCCCCTCTGAGCATTTATTAAATGTTCATATCGAAGAATGTCATGATGCATTCGCTGCTGTAAAGAGAGAGAAAGGCGAGCATACGGTAAGAAATTCCCCGACGCAAGCCTTTATAATGCAACTAATTGTATCCTGGGCAGTATTCATGTTTCGTCGAGGGTTGTGATCGAAAATGTAGAACGCCTCAAAAGAGGCGTAGTCACCTCATTGATAAGCATATGTACCCGAAGAATTACTTTTTCGCAGTCACCAAAGAAGGAGTTGACGGAAGACAATCATTACTCCTGGAAGGTGGCCATCGCCGAAGATCTTCTACAGCAACCACCGTTAGTGGGCCAAAGACAGCAGCAAGGAGACACAGTCTTCAGAAGCCGGAAAATTTGAAGTCGGGGACGAAGGAACAAAGAACAGAAAAACCGAAAGTGGTCCCTCCCCCGGCTGAAGCCCCAGATACAGAGATGGAAGATTTAACCGGTGCTATGTCAGCATTGCAATTTGTTCCTACAAGTGTGCGATTCGGTCATAGGAAAGGGAAGACTGGGTTTGCAAGACAATAACGCGAGAAATGAACATAACGAAAATATAGGGATGATATTATGAGAATGATAAAAACGAGCTTTATGAGATTAGGAGGAATATTGCATATATAAAGCGTTTTTAGCACGTTCTGAATTGAACTTTTAATATATTTCCTTACTGTCCCGAAAAGCACGTAGAATTTCATGATCTCATGCAGTAGAACGTATGGTTATGGATCGCCCGTACTCCAAATAGGTATAGTATGTAATGCCATCGCCATGCAGAAAGTCCTGAACGCCGAATGCTACCAAGTCCAACCAGTATATGAACGTAGAAACCACAATTTAATCGCTCGATGCACAACCCCTGCAGCCACAGCTAACACACTGGACGTCTTGCTCATCCTTCAATTGCGCCTTCGGTACTCGGCAGATACATGTCGATTGGAAGTTCGTCTCTTTGGTTTGGATGCAGCGAAGACAACATAGCTATAATGTCACAAATTAGAATTTGGTTTTGACGAATTTCGGTGACACCGCTCAAAACATACCTTCTCGTATCCCTGCTTCTTCCACTTGGCGATTAACATCGCATCCGCGTACCCATTCTTCAGCAGCCAATCGTACAACTGTTTGGAGATAGCTTCCTTCTCGTAGTATAGCTCGTAAACGTAACGGCTGCGCTGATGAGCAATCTGAAAAATGGGCCACTGAGCTTGGTGCTTAGGGATATTGTTGGTCGGCGTGTTTTGCGCATCTTTCATTTTGATGCTGAAGATCTCTAGATCATCTCGGATATCGTCGAAGCCGGTCGGCGGCTTCTTCGTCCGCGACGAGGCATTCGTTCGGATCGCAGGCATGCTCTAGGGAATTATTGGTATCTGATCGAAAAGTAGGATGAGAGGCTTGGGTCGCGATCGTGAGTGGGTTGTTGACACCCGACCGTAGAGAGGTAAACACTTTCGTATGGTGGTGGGGCAAGGCTGAGAATTGTTAGAACTTCGAATGAAGCCTTGACGTTGGTCGACCTCGGATTGAAATATTAGGTTAGCTAGGTAACGCCACTTTCATTATGTAATTTTGAGGTCATACCAGGGATGACTAAACAGTGAACTTTGTATGGTTGTACGATATGTGGCTAGTGTGGCTGCGCTACCCAACTTCCAAGGTTGGGGTCCCACTCTCGCGAGCTTAGAAGACGATTCAATGAACATCAACGCTACGTCAAGCAGCATACCTCACCCATCATGGCGGTGACACCCACACAATTCGCACGAACGACGCGGACGTGTCAGTATATCACCTTTATGGCCCTTATCACTTACTTACCCGGCGTATAGCGGCCAATTGGAACGACGCAAAACGACGAGTCCTTGCGGCTTATCGAGAATGGATCCGAGCAGTATGATTCCCCGAAACGAATATCTCATCACACTTCTCGACTAGGAGGGGCACAAGTATTACTATTTCATAGTACAATTCAGCTAATGAGATACCTTTCATAGGCGCCTGAAATCCAAACGATGTACTCGGTTCCCTTCCCAGTCTCCGTCATCCGCACACGAATGCGACAAGAATTCGAGCGACACAGATTCGTAAACAAGTTACCGGTAATCGATGTACTACTCATGCAAAACAACGCCGAATACCAGGTCAGTCATTCGCCGGTCCATTATATAGTTACGGGTGTTGGGCATTCTAAAGAGAGGGATATAGTTATTAAGCTTATGATGGGAGCGTACTAACGATTTTCACGATAGGAAACCATGAATTTTTGGAAACAAACTACGCACGTCATGTCCTATTTCAAGACCGAGAACTTCCGGGGAGACGATAGATTGCCGGACAACTTCATGAAGGGTTTCCTAGAGGCAAGTTTCTCTACGCAGACACCTGGAAAACTCTTGGCTAACAGCATCTCAGGGTCGCAATTAGAAATGGGTATCGTCTCACTATATTGTACATAGCAAGACCAGAAGCAAAATTTATCACCTAGGAGGCTATCTGTCAGACTCCGAACGCCGCGAATGCTATTTTATCCGTGTTTTGTCATGCCAACTTATTCTCCAACCTTAGCTTCTGCTGCCGCCTGTCTCCGCCGTTCTGCCTCTTCCTGCCTCTTGCGAGCCTGTTCTGGGTTTGCCTCGAATCTTTCGCGCTGAGTCCAGAACTCATCAGCCACAACATCGCACAAATCTTCAAGATCTTGTAGACCTTTAGCCAACGCGGCGGCAGCGGTTGTGGTGTCTACAAAGAAATCAGCATCGCAACCAGGTGGCTTGAGGGTATACGATATGCACCCACCATATGTTTGGATTCTCAGGTTCATCTTGTCTTCGGAGGGATGAGGAATGGCGTATGCGCAAAACTCGACGTCGGGGCTAATATAATGTTTAGCTAGGTATATCAATCCAACGACCACAAATTCCACACGTACTTCTTCATTATAATATATCGCAAAGCGTTGCCGAGTGTGTGGCCCTCCTTTAGGAACTCGAAAGAAGCCGCGGTCTCGGAAGATCCAGGGAGCTATGTTTGACATCGTATTAGTAATATGTCCTTGGTAGAGCAGATGGGTGCGCTCGAACGTACAATTCGGACTCGCTGGGGTTCCTCCTCTTCCTCAAAAGGATCCTCGTTGTCCGATTGATCTTCCTCCATAGCATTGCTACCATCTTGTTCTTCAATGGGTTGTTGCGCCGAGGTGGGAGCATCGTTCATGGATGTGTCTACGTCTTCCGACGCATCATCGTGAGTTGTTGTTCGTCCCGGCATTGTCTATAGCGGAAAGTGGTGACAATGGTTTGTGGATATGGTGGAATCGTTAACTTTTTCTTACTGGTGTTGGTCGGCATTCACTGACGAAACTCTTCTCAGGTTGCGATTAAAGAGTTTTGGTGGGGTCTCTTTAGTTATCAAGCTTGGACGATAAAATTCATAGGCAAGCTTCTGCACAGTAAAATTTGATTGGCTGAATCAGCTAGATCCCGAAGATATTCCGGGTCCTTGTACGACCCACCCAAACATTCTCCAAGCATTTGGAAGTCTCCACTAAATATGAGGATGTATGCATCCGGCTCAGCTGTCTTTCAAATTGAAGCGATCGTCACTAATATGTCTGTGACCGTCCGAGAATACTCATTCTCGTCTCCTCATGCGCCCAACAGGAGTTCCTAGGTACCTATATAGCCAGTACTATTCGATTTTAATCTTCCGGAACTCTTGCGCATCTTACTACGCCTAGCTTTCAACGTATCTCCTGTCGACAGTTTTCTTCCCAAACTTCTCGTACAGCCGAAACACAGTACCAGCTCGTTCGCCTTTGCTAACCACCTACAATCATGATCAGTCATTAATGATGAGCTATACACATAGATATTCTCTACTTACTCCGGATGAAACTAATGGGTCATATACTAGGCCTTCGACAAAACTCATCGAAATGCTTCACGGCATCGACATAGCATCACCGACCATTATCGCCAGTTGGTAGTGGGTTCAATATCGTCGAAGAATAGATCAAACTCTATAATAGGGTTAAGCGTGAATAGCTGATTGCAATTTAGCCAACCTTTTTCGGAACCGTGGCAAATGGACCTCTTTCCAGAAAGATAGTCGAGTTCCCGTGTACCCCAAAATACTCCGGTCGTATTTGGGGAGGTTGGGTTCAGCGGCAATGGCTTGGATATCCCAAAGCAATGGCCTGAATTGAGATTGCTGTTCTTTGGTCATGCTAATAGCTTCTTGGATATGTCGCTCTAGAATCCGATTATATATGCCCGGCTCGACGAACACCGCATCTGAACTGTAAACTGGATTCCTATCCACACAGACGAAAGTGAGCTGCTCCAAGTTCGCCAGATGTCGATATGCTTCACACAATACTTGTTCGGCTGTCAATTGAGCGACAGCATCGTTTGAGTCCACATAATTCACAAGTCCTTCGTTAATAGCGATTCGACGAACTCGGGCAAGATCTTCTGGTTGAACCATCGACATAAATGTATTGAATAATGTCTCCGCACCTTCAAACCCCGGTCTTAGTCCGAAATAAAGTGTATCTCTTAGATTGTCGAAATAAATTCGGCCAGCGCCGGGGGATGTTCCGAATAGCAACCGATACCGTTTCAACGCTTCGGCCCGAGATTCCCTGCAGATATGTAGGTTGACTGGGATAGGGGAGGAGGATGCGTAAATTATCGGTCTATCGGTATCCTCTTGCAGCTGAGATGTCAAGATCGGTTCGTTGCTGTACTTTATCTCCACGATGCGCGGACCCGGCAGGTTATAAGCCCATATATTGAACCTAAGCTCAATCGGGAGCCGGGCAAAAAGATGCTTAGAAGTCTATCAGTATCGGCCCACACCCTAGTACCTTGCAACTTACAAAAATCTGGGGATAGCCTCCCATAGCTGACAATTTCTTGTCACGAACAGCCATCAATATTACGTCTTCCCGATAGGAAGATGGTGTGGCTTCGGCAATAATAGGGTCCCGAAACAGTGGTCGAGTATGCTGCCGTAGCCCGGAGCTATGGTAAGTGATAGAGGTGCGTCTGTTGGAATGTGATCTCGGGCAGAATTTACGAAAGCGTCACCCCACGTACATATAGAATCTTAACTTGCTCACACCCGATCCACAGATACGGATATCGCCAAGGCTGCGAAATGCCTGTCAAGCAAGCAAGCGATACCCATATGAAAGATATTGGTTAGGGGAGTAACACAATCGGTTGAGTGTTGTGGTACTTGCGCTCCGTTCTTCCCAGGGACAGATCCAACCTACGATTAAGGTACTCACAGTTATAAAAATCGTTGTGCCGACCATCCCTTGCCTATATGAGGACGAAGAAATCTTCTCTTTAGCGGGGAGAAATAGCATCAAAGCTTTAGAGCTATCATAGGATGTCCCAGTACACCCTCTATACTGCCAAGCACGAAGAGGGTTTAGCGCAGCGGGAAAGGCCCACCTCGACCCGACAGTTCGGATCCAGCACCAGTAGCTTGTCTCAAATAGGAAAGGCGAAACCTCTTCTAGCTAGCTACCTAGGTACATCTCTTCAAGGTTTGCTTCGACGGGTCTCTCTCTCGTCCGTCCGTATCACGGACATTTCGAAACTCACCGGTGAAGAATAGTAAGTACGGTATACCGTATTAGGATGCATTACGAAACCTGTCGTGTATCCTAGTCCATTTGAACTCGAGCAATTGTAACCGAGCCTTCGAAAGAATGGAAACACGTGAGAGAAGGACATAAGTCAGTACTCCCCCCAACTCCTCCACATACACTCTCGTGCTTCAAGCTAGAGAAACGGTGGTTTATCCTGCAGATATTGACCCGCCCTCCCTGGTTTTGTTATCGGCATTTGGCGTAGACCCAAATTAAACATTACTTTTCTCCAGCATTACTTTTGCATTCACATGTGCATGTATGAGACGTTGATACGTGGATGTATGCCATTTATATTTACCAACAGCTCGGCAGATAAAGCCATGGCACCGGAACCTGCGGATGGGCTGCCCCGTTCCGTTCTGTTGGTACCCAAACCCAACGATCAACCACCCGCATGCATACCCCAAGTTGGTACGTACGGACGTTACAATTAAAACGCCAATCTTATGATTCGTATACTATATGGCGTAATTTGACTCTTTAATATTATATAAGTCGGTGAGATACCACCCTATTCGTTGTCTCTAAGCAATCAATGCGGTGTGTCACGATTTAATAGCGTGAATAGCAAAACCTACTTAAATGCCTAGCCGAGGCACATCTCTAAGCTCAGCTTCAAAGTTAGCTTCACATATGCCAAGACGATAATCTAGAAACCAAAGCTTTTGCCTCCTAGATCTCTCTCGATCTCGTAGATGTTTGGGTGGAATCATTCCCCTTCAAGTCAATAGTCTAAGCAAGATCGACAAGGACATCTTGGGTCAAGCGCCGTATACCAGGACGTCGGACCAAGTACCCATCAACACGTTTCGAAGAAACGTGTCTCCCTTGCGTCGAGCCAACGTCACTTGATACTTTATGTAGCGACTAGATATCTCGAGCAAAGCAAACCCAAGACATCAAGGTCGAAGAACGCGTATATCAAAAAGTGACAGGTAACATAGCCAGCGGCCACGTTGCTAATTAAGAGCGCTCTGAGACAACCTATTTTGAAACAATTCAGGTTGGTTGGTTAGTACGCTATATAGGACGCCGAGGGGCTACGAGATAATTCCGCCATTAATCAACTAGCGATTCCCGACACGCTGGATATTCGACTTCATAGGTTGGTATAATATTCGAACGGTCAAAGGAGTGTCGGATCCGAAATTCCTGATCCCAATTCCCAGTTATTTCCGTTGGCGGATTGAAAATGTGTATTCATAGAAATATGCTGGGAATGCAAAACGACGTCCTAACATTGGAAGTTACATTAATAGCCACAACATATCCCTTCGTCTGTCGTTCGCCGCGCAGAACCCATATCGAGCAGTCTCGTTGGCGCACAGCGTCCAACTTCAAGTTACAACCGACCCCAGTCTACAAGCGAGCTGCGGGGCTTAGGATACGGAAATAAGACATAAGGGAGAAGAAATGCGCAAGATGCTAATAACAATATCCAAGGGACGCGCACGCAAGTCCCTACATATGTAAGTTATCCCCTTCGAAAAGAATAATCTATTAAACATTCCTGAGCCACCACATTTCCCTTCAATATTAAAGGGAGAGCGCCATGAGCAACCTGTGTTCAGGCCCTCGGACGTTTACCCCCTACCCCCGCAGCGCCAGTCCCAGTCCCCCAAATGTCGTGCATTTCCTTTTCCCTTAACCAACGGACCAAACAAACGGCCATAACCACCCAGCCTAACCATCCACAGATCATCGGCGAATAGATCTCGACTTTATCTGCAATATCAGCAAGATATTATACATATTTCATTTAACCAATGCAGATTTAGCTTCAGCTTCAGCTCTTGAGGTTTCAATTCAGGAGACTAGAACATCGCGGGGAAAGGGTAATAGATAATATGCATTAACATGAGCGCTAGCCCCTATGATTGGCTATATCCCCCGTTAAGCGCCCGCACGGGGTCTAAATATAGGGCCTTAACCAACCAATCCGCACCCAACGCACACCCCCAATTAGTCCAATTCCAAGGTCTATCACACGCATCTACAATGTGCATCGGGCGCCTCGCCCAGCTAGCCACCACCATGTAGGTAGATTCTAATCTCAACCGGCAAAAAGTGAGCCAGGGCAGGAAAATATGTATGCATGAGGGTATCACCCGGACTGCTATCCTTAGCACTGCGCGCTTCGCAGGTCCATACCGCTAGGTCGTTAAGGGATGGCTTCATCGATTATAGTCGGATAACTCACTGCACGTATTCATTCATATTCGACGCTTTTCGCATGTTAGGTTTGATAGAATTGTTTCTTTTCTTTTCGATATCTCATTAAAGTTACTCATTTCTTGAGTTATTCTATTTGTTTCCTTAATCGGTTTATTTTCCTTATCTGTTCGCTATTTCGTTTCGTTCTGGTATATTATTTTTTGCCCCTCGTTCTGTCGTCAACGTTCTGTGAAGGTTGAAAAGAGGATTACCGCATATACTCGCTCTCATACATCCATTGTCTCCCCCGTGTCTCGCCATCATGTCTTTCGATAATAAGGGTCCGGCGTCTATGACCTACTCCGAGGCCGATCTTCAAGATCCCTTATGCCGAGCGTGTCAAAAGAAGATACGTCTAGTCGATAGCGCTCGTCTTGGACTTACTGGACTTGCCCTTCTGTGCGGTCTCACTATCCTTGGGACTTCGGCCGATACCTTAGCCGTATACAATGCCACTCATCTATCAGGCGACTTCCATTTACCCCTATGGCCTGATCAATTCGACCTCCGACCCACGATAGCGCTTGTTATCGGCAGTAGTATTGTGGTTCTGGCGAATATTGTCTCTCTATTATTTAGCAAAGTTAAGATGGTGAGTACTTACAGTTCCGTACATAAGCGTAGAGCTCATGCTAAGAGTACCATAGCTTCGCAACAAGAATTCCGCCCATTCCGCTCTTTCTCTCGCGACGCCTTTTGTTGGATTTACGGCTGTGATGATTAGCATGATCTTCTTCTATGCTGTCAACGCCTCGAGCACAGACGACACGCTGCAAAGCTGGAGTTGTCAGTGGGGGTTTGCAAGCATGAGCGCGAAACCACATTTTGGTACCTTGTGTAACGAAAGTCGGACAGCCCTCTACTTGTCCGTCATACTGGTTCCGGTTGAATTGGTTGTTTTCACCGTGGCTGGCTATCAGTCGATTCTAGAGAGAAAGTTGATTGGTGCGATGCCGTCTCTCAAGTTTGGAAGCCCCGTGCCGTCGTCGTAAGACCCTATCGGGCAATAGGTGGCGGCCGCCTGGCTTTCAATCTGCACATAGCCGTGCGCCTACATCCAATAATTCGACGGTGGCCCCCATCTACAAGGAGATGCATTTCATGAGCGCGCGCCATTGTATGTATCTATAAGTCCGCCCTGATTTTAGAGTGGCGGTGGCTCTGCAAACTTATTAGATTAGGCTGTCCCGGTTCAGCAGTAACTGATACATACACATGGTGGCGCCGTGCTTTGAAATGTATCCCACTGTATACCTGTCGGTGCCCGTCTTGAGGATATAATACCTGGGTAGTGTGGGCGAATTGTGGCCGTAATCTGTATAACTATTGTAGTAAGCCATTAGGAAGGGTGGCGGTTCAATACATGTTATCTGAGTTGATTCTGCGTGTTGACGTTCTAGGTCACTCATTTTATACACCAGGGGCAGACTGATTGGTGCGATATCTCGGTTGTCGGTAGCTCATAATAACATTTAATTCAGATCTCACCGTCTCCAACATGAGTGATGTGGTAAAAAAGGAGTCTCGGATATGCAAGCAATTAAATTAAATTCCTAGGTATTGCCGTCACGCGGGCGGATAGCTGCGGCTCTGGCCTAGGGTGTGTTTGTTTGCGATAAGCAACCCCAACTATAGATGAGTGAGATGTCACTTTTATAAGATATCGTCGTCATCTCAATATCCGGACGGGAATCCGCGGGCGCGTCAAAATGAGTTGTTCTATCCATCTTACTAGGAAATTCTGGGGCTCGAAGTGACAGACTGTGTAAATTGCAATCCTCCCACTAAGAAATCATCCTGTCCGCCACATAAAATGTGGTTTTCCCGGTCGGATGCAGGTGGCCAAGATTGGTAGTATCATCGTACCATTGTATCGTTGCACGGGCGACGCTGTGTGTCCATGGAGTTCGATTGAGAATTTTCATGTCTTACCTAGATCCAGTTTGTCGTGTGCTTCGTGTTACAGTCCTCCGAAAAAAAGACGCAATCAATGCAGCCGGGCGATACCCAAGTAATATAGATAGGCATCTCTGAAATTTGAAGTTGAGCGGGATGATAAAGAAAAAGTTGGGATTCTTTCTGTTTTAATAGAAAGAAAGGAGAAACTTGGGGAAGTGCCCATAATTATGAATGTAGGTGTTGAACATGAAGAAGGTGCCATCAATTCGGCCATCCGGCACCCAACCTGCCCCTTGTGCCGTGTGTGCCTGCTTTGCTTTATGCAGTCTGACGACAACATGCTTGGAACTTAGCTTCATTGGAACTTTAAGTCGTGCAAACAACCCAGACATATAGAATCGTACCTTCTCATTTCATTAGTATTACTCCGTTGGTGTTTCCATGTTGTCTAGCAATTGGGCTTAGATTCGGACCTGTCCAGTTCCAACCTCGAATTAGTAAATCTCAATTTTCTACATCACTCACCACGTAAGACACACAACACCCACTCCAGGGTAAAATAAGGAACTAAGCGAAGCCGGTCATTCACCCCATTCTTTTATCATATTAGACTAGGGACTCCAACCCCAATTCCACGTCCATAAACTGTTTACGAGGGGGGTTAGATAAGGTCTAGATCTGGAATTGGTATCCCCTTACCCAAAACGGGGGCACCCATCCCCACGTCCTCTACACCTCGACGCTGATACGAACACCACATGCGCTAGGTCGATGCAAGGCAATCTGCCCATAGAGAAAAGAGCTGACAAGCCACTATCGCTATTAGGAAGCCTAGATTCGCCAATGAGGCAACGCCATTTCCCATAGGACACAAGACAAGACTATCCGCGCTATTAAACACCCTAATTCTCGTACAACCATGCCTCGACCAGAATCCCTCCCGGCTAGGCTTCCCCGTATAAACACACACATGAAGGATAACAATAGTTCTTCTGTTGTTTCTGTTCCTAGTACATCTTCCAACCAACGAAAGGTCCAACCTTCTCGGTCTTCGAAGAAGCACATAGTGGAAGGCAACAAGATGATGCGTAACATTGATCGGCCTCCACCTGGCGACCCAACAAGCACTCGAAAGTCTCAGCTACACCCGGAGCTCAGTAAGAAGAGAAGCGCCTACTTTGAGAGCGAATTTGCAGCAGCCAACCGGGATCCGGACCCGGCCAGGGCTCGCATTCAAAGTGAAGCCATTGTCATGGCAGATCTGAGGACGAACGTCATGGTGAGTTTATCACAATCAATTCAATACTCATTTTGCTTAAAATTGCTAATGCGATGGGACAGATCAAGGATGAATTCACTTTTATAACTGACCTTTCGTATCATTTGTCCAATAGATATCAACGTCCAGTGTCCTCTATTGTTATCAACCTGAACCATGGTTGTTGTATGATGTTTGGGGGCTCCTTTGAACCGGCGTACACATTGACTATTCACGCAATTCCCAGCCTGGTTCAGCCCACCACAAACAAGAGGAATGCAGCGCTTATACAACGCCACATCCATGAAACACTTGGGGTTGTAATATCGAGGGGTTATGTGCGTTTTGTCGCCACTCCCGAGGAGAATGTTGCCAATGGGGGCAAGACGATCGCTGCTGAAATCAATGAATCAAGTAATGCCACGACTGACGACAAGTCTGCCGAGAGTAGAAAGAGTGCCAAGTCGAATCGGAGGATTGGCGTTAAGGTATTTCCTTTCTCCCTTTCCCTTGGCTACGTAATTTGAATCGGATAATATGATCAGCTGCTAATCTTAGTGTATTAGTCTTTTGGGGGCTTCAAGTCAACTTCCATGACTGATCTAGCCAGAGTTCCAACGCCGCCACCGAGCACCTCGGACGAGACTACCCCAATCACAACTATACCAGAAATACCACCTACACCTCCAGCTGAAGAAGACAAGCTAGGTGACCTAGTTACGCAGAGACCAGTGAAGACTGCGCCGCGTCGCAGAAGCCTGCGATTTAGTCTGTTTAGTGGAAAGACAGCGGCTTAGACCCGGACGCTGAGCACTGCTGTGACTATAGTGTGGTATTGAACTTAATTTTCATTGGGCTCTTACCATGTTGTGGCTACGACGTATCGAATATGTATATCACGCAACCTTCACGATGGAACGATAGGGAACGAAGGTTGGCATACATCGCATCGCAGGGCTCGAGGATAGCCACGCATCGGAGTTTAAGGAATCAGCATATGTTTTGTTGCAAGGAATATGGTAATGTTTGTTATCTTTTGGTATGCTCGCGCAAAGGGACATTACCAGGGTGTGATGATATAATGAGTCGCGAGCCGGAACATAAGGATACCTTGATTGGAGGCACATAGAGTAATGAGAACATTCTACGATTAAACGCACCGAGTCGGAATCGTTCCGTCAGGAATCTTGCAGAGTTACACGCCGTCAGCTAGCCTAGGATCACGACAGCTTGTATCTTTAACGTGAAAGGCTGACAGTTATCGCGCATAGAATGAAACCTAGAGGCGGCCTCCTTATGCATTGAGAGTAAGGGTACACCGGATTTGAAACCGATGGATCTAAACCAATCCAAAGTACATCTCTAGTCTCAGAGTTCGGTCCGATCTTTACACTGCCGGATTACAGCGTTTACTGTATGACTTCGGGCTAGTGTTACGGCGGATAGGTCACTTATTTCGATTGCGCTGCCGGCTAGTGTAGAGATATGAGTAGTTCTCTTGAGAGAAGTTCGGGGATGATAAAGTATTTTACGTTTTGGTTCTCTAAATGAAAATGGAGATTTATATTTCCGGAATGAGGCGTATGATAGTCCAATTTTTACAAGGTAGTATGACATCAATTCGACAATAGTTTAAAAGTAATGGTACGAATTGAGATGATTTTATTGAATGGCTGAGAGATTATGAAATGTTTGCTTGGCAGCTGCAAAAGCAAAGTGTAAATCCTTCGACAGGTGCCAAGGTGGGATGTGACAGCTGAAGAGCATTCCCTACCCTTCCATTGTTACTCCCCCTCGGCCCCTCTATCAACTCCACCTTCAACGAACATTAATCAATCAATGATCTCCAGTCCATCCTTCGCGCTCATGTTGTTTATTCTTAAATGAAGTAAAAAAGACGTCCGCCATTCATGATATAGCATCTATGTCTGGTGTGTGGCGGAATTTATTTTCTCCTAAGTCGAGAAATTTCATGATTTCTCGGGATTTATTAATATTAATCTGGCGCGACACGGCGTTCAATTAATTCCAATTGATCTCGGGATTGAAGGTGATACTTCCCAAAAAACCAACCACCAATATTGGGCGAATCCCAGCTGAATGAAAAAGGAAAAAAAAAGACAGAAGAAATATCCTAACTTCTGCTGCCGCTCCACCGAATTATCCTTGCCGACGTCGTGCATCTCTGCCTGTTGTTATCTCTCCCGCCGCTATTTATTACAACCACTAGACGACGGCGAAACACAGCATAGAGTCATCATTGGTGCAACAGGCTAAGGTGAGTAAGCCCGCGCCAGCCTTTGGGGTTACGGCCAAGAGACATTATTCGTCGCCGCATAAAAGCTGACTCAGAATGCCTCATTTCACAGGGTCTGAGTACGACTCCAGTCGGACACACAACGTCCTCTTGTCCATACGGGACTCCTAATCTTTTTTTTCTTCTCTATCTCCATCGTCCATGTCGTGGAGGAGAGGGGAAGGAATAGGGCCACCGTGCATTTGATTACTTAACGTAACAGAGAGAGTAGTAGATCCCGGGGTCTTGTCTAGTTAATACTCTCTCAACATGGAGGTGAGACATTGATTTTGCCTTTTCTTTTCATTTTTCAACATTTTCCCAGATATTTTCCTTGCTTATGAATCAAGAAAGAAAAAACATCCCGCCAAAGCTGGTTTCGCTCAGTGGCACAAAAACCATAGTCGCTTGTTATCGCCGACGCTTTTTCAGGAAGGACATTGACCCCTCGACGGCTATGTAGGCCCGTGCCGGTTAGGTACTCCTGCTGCCGTCATATTCGATTAAATTTTTCCCTTTCAAATTTTTTTATTCTTATTTACCGTGCCGCCTCTGACACGCGGTCATGATGTGCAGTGGGTATATCGGGTTTTAAATACATTGTTGTCGTCATTTGTTGTTATTTTTATTGCTTTGATCAGGCAGCCGTTGAGTCAAGTTACGGGGGCCAAGCTTTGCAAACGGAGCGATTATTATAGCTCTTGATTACCATCATCTATCCGAAGCATCCTATCCTGGACGGGTACCCCGAGCTATTAGATTTGTACCACGGTGAGATCAGCAATGAAATCATCCCGGTCACTTCTTGTTCAGATTTTCAGGAGCAATATGCCCTGTTTTATTCGAGCTGAGCAACCCCCCGGGCCCGCGGTCTCTTCCCGTTATGAGATTTGATATATCCCTGGTCGAATTCGCCTGCATGCAGCCACCCAGATATCCCTATCTTTAGGCACACTACGATCTTGCATCTCACTTCCCGGTCCCGTGGACTCGGCAACCTCGTTTGCAGATTGGTTCGCTAGCTCGTCTTTCAGCCTGCCGACAAGTCACAAGATATGAACCTCCGGAATCTCGAATTGATCATTACAAATTCACTACTCTTTTGTGACAGGCGGCGGATATGAACTAGGGGAAAGATTATATATTCATACCAGGGGCATATCTGCTCCACTCAACTTAGCTTGTCGTTTATCTGTTCTGATATTTTTTGTTAATGGGCGTTCATTTATGTTGTTTTCATATCTTTCAAATTTATCTGCGTTATCGTTATGTCCTCTCGGCTTCGTGGTTTAGACACATTCAATATCGAACACCCCCAGGAACAACAATACGGGGCGCCATCTAGTCCCTCTAGTCGTGCACAACAGGCTCTAACAAGTGTGTTTGAACAGGATCAAAGACAACGGAGAAATGGCACGAGGGTACCCGAGCAGCCCCCTGACCTGTCATCGAAAGGGAAACCTAGGTTGCTCCTGATGGGACAGAGAAGGTAGGTCGTCCAATTTCCAATACCCGACGCCCTGGCTGATTTCATATAGGAGTGGCAAATCATCAATCTCGAGCGTTGTGTTTCACAAATTACCGCCTAGCGAAACATTGTTTCTCGAGTCGACCGCACGTATTCAGAAAGATACCATGCCGTAAGGTTTATTACCCATTAAATACGCGGTATCCTCTCTCTAACGCGATCTTATAGGTCTTTCATGGACTTCCAGGTATGGGATTTCCCGGGTCAAATAGACATATTTGACAACCCAACATTCGATATCGACGCGATGTTCGGCGAAATTGGTGCCCTTATCTGGGTCATCGACGCTCAAGACGATTATCTAGAGGCCGTAGCACGCCTCAACGTGACTATATTAAACCTCCAGAGAACGTACCCGAACATCAAAATCGAGGTATTCATTCACAAGGTAGATGGTTTATCAGATGACTACAAGTTGGATATCCAACGGGATATCACTATCCGAATCCAAGACGAACTCTCAGATCACGGGTTTGAAAATGCCCCCGTGACTTTTCACTTGACCAGCATTTACAATCACAGCATTTTCGAGGCGTTCAGCAAAGTAATTCAGAAGCTCATCCCTCGACTTGGAATACTCGAGGCGATGCTTACTAACCTTTGCCGTACTTGTCGTTTCGAAAAAGCCTACCTCTTTGACGTATTATCTAAGATTTACATAGCCACCGATAGCGAACCTGCGGATATGGCCAGTTACGAGATTTGTTCCGATTATATTGATGTCATAATAGATGTCACGGAAGTCTACGGAAGTTGGCCCCGCACTCAGAGGTATCGCGAATCTCTCGAGGGTCCACCATGGAACCAGAAGATCGAGGATCAGGTAGCTTCAGGTTGCGCCGAAAGCTGTATGGTATTGAGCGATGGGAACAAACCCATAATACTACGTGAGGTCGATAAGTACCTTGCGCTAGTTGCGATTATGAAGGAGGATAGTTACGACAAGATGCCTCTTGTCAACATGAACGTTGAGGTTGTCGTGCAGGGTGTGAAGGAATTCTTCGAGATTACCAAGCCGAAATGAATAATACCCGAGTATTATATAATTAATAGTCATCCAGCACCGACTGGGACATTTCGTTTTCGGGGCGGTGCTTATGGCTTTTTTTCTATCAAAAAGGTTATTCTCTCAAAACATTAGTGAGTCATGGCTGAAGGATCGGGATAGGCTATTTGGTGGTTCATGTTGACCGAGCATGAGTGAATGATCAGCTCCGAGGATCCTCGGTGTTAGCATGCGCTCGGTCAAGTTCTAAAAGGCAGAAAGTTGAATATGAAAATAATTCCACCAAAGAGTCAAATATTATTGATGTATCCACGTGCTTAATAAACATGAAACTGCCATTCTAAAGGATTGCGGCTCATAAACTTCATTTAAAAGAGTTTAGTTCGACATATCGTTCCTAAGAATTGAGTTGCATTATGCTTACGAAGCCACCAATCACATTGGCGATCTTATACGCGTGGGCATAAATAGGACAGTGCTTTTCTTTGGGGGCTGTGCTAGGATTGGGGACTTAATATTAAATAAAATGAACATCGATCGTTATTTTGTCATTCAAGATGGAAATATTTCGCGACCGCGATTGTCGTATTAAATATACCAAAATCTTTTTCCCTCTAACAGGGGAAGCTGGTGTTTAATTCAATCAGATCGGTTGAGTTTGAGAGGTTGTGAACATTGAAGGTATTTACTTTGAAGGCGCATAAGTATCGGTGTACAACTCAGGAGTTCCGGGTTTATAATAAGTCCTTTACGTATGTGGCTTTCTGCGGATTACGGATTACTCGGATTCGGTGTGATAGTGGCGGTTCTACGCATAACTTGATACACATCGTCGCCGCCACCATGCACGGTGTACGCGGATTTATCCGCTCTCTAGCGATTACGATCGCCGTTATCGCAGCGCCTGCTGTCGCGGAATCTTCCACTACTGCGGCTGTTTCGCTTAGCCAACTTGCGCTGGAGAAAGTGCTGCAGGATGGGCGGGAAGTGTTTGGGGATATCCATGTTTCTTCTACCAATGGCTCCTCTTATGCAGATTGGATGTCTGAGATTCCGGATGAGACGTTATTGGCGCATCTTAGTATCCCTGGGATTCATGATGCGGCGACGTGGAATTATAGTCAGGATACCCAGGATAGTTTGAAGTTTGCTACGAGGTGCGATGGCGTGGAGCAAAAAGAGGCCATGGTGTATAGGTGCCAGCGAAGTGGGATTGCGGAGGCGTTGGATGCGGGGGTGAGGTTTTTTGATTTGAGAGTTGCGGCGGGGACGAGCGGGGAGGATGTCGTTTTTGTATGTGCTTTGATTTTCAGTAACCCCGAGGACTTCTACTCAGAAGGATTATTGCTAACGTTTTTCGTAGTGGCATAGCGCAGCCCTAGTTTCAGCTCGCGCCACCATCACCGATGTGCTTTTCGGGTTCTACGACTGGCTCTCGCGCCATCCGTCCGAGGCCCTGCTGCTCAGCTTCCAATACGAGGGCGGCACCCAGGCTAACGCCACATTCGACGCTGCGGCCCAGGGGCTTCTTGTCGATGCCCTGACATCGGATGCTGCGAAGTTGTTTATACGACAGAATAGCGGGGTATTGGGAACGCTGGGAGAGAGTAGAGGCAAGATTGTGCTATTGAGACGGTTTGATCTAGATGGCGAGGATGAAGGGAAGGGGGTGAAATTGCCGGGGCTGCATTTTAGTCCGAGCAAATGGCCTGATAATGATCCTGAGGGCTTTGAACTGGCGTATAATGAGCAGACCAATGCGACGGCGTACGTGGAGGATTATTATGAGCCCGATGCTCTAGGGGAGACTTCGAGTGTGTCGGATAATGTTGGCGCAAAGGTGGATGCAGTGAAGAAGCACCTAAAACAGGCTGCTACTTCTTATTCTACGAATAGTAGTGCGAGCAATAGTGGTGCTAGGAGGGATAGCTTGTTCATAACGTTCACGTCTGCTGAGCATAATACTAATGACCCGCCTGTGTACCCTCAGACGATGGCGCTGGGGAATGGAACGGATATTACGCCTGACGGAGGTGTGAATCATCAACTCGTTTCGTTACTGGGCGGGGAGTTGAAAGGGAGTAGGCTGGGTGTTGTGGTTGTGGATTTCTTCGATGAGCCGGCGGAGTTAGTTGGACTCATATTGGGTTCTCAGCCTACGTTATAAGTTTCACGACTTGGTCTGGAAGGCACAGCTTGGATATCACTTTACTTCAGGCCTAGACTGATGAGTCTTATATAACTTATGTCTATTCTAGAATAATGCTAATAGGGTGGCTATTAACGATGACTACGGCACTATGATGCTAGTGTAAATGCCTTGGTATGCGTAGCTATAGCGATGAGTTAGGGATACAAGTCGGAGTCAATAATAGAGTTATATGATGGGACTCTTCGTGATAGGAGTGGTGATAGTATATTCGGTCACACTTAGAAGAACGCTTCCTTCTCTAACTGATAGAACCATAGCCTAGTTCCACGAGTGGGCCTATGGTCCTACGTCCTCGCTGGTCGAACACTTAGAGCTAATCAGGGGCGGGACGATCAGCCTGATTCCCGTGTCTCGAGATAGGGTCATGACTATGATATCGCGGCGTGGATAGGTTATTATCCAGCAAGGCGCCTGCGCCCCGGCCTGGGAACGACGACGGCAAACCAAAAAAAAAAAAAAAAGAGTCAGTTCAACCCGCCAACAAATACCCCTAAGAAATAGAGGAATTGGCAATTAGGGAGCGCCAGAAACGCAGAAAACTACGCAGTGTTATGGTAGTCCCGTTGGGAGATTCCTCAATCCCAACTAGATACATGCAGCTCTCATCCTGGATCATGCTGCCCGATCCTTGATAGTCCACCGGGACCGACAAATTCGAAATGACGATGTTCGAACCTTTCCACCCTAAACGTGTCCTCCCACTGCGATCCCATAGGAAGTTTCTTTCCCAGTATCCACAAGAGCACTCGAGAAGCCAGAAAAAAGCAATTGTCATCATCTCGTTCATATTGCTAAGCACATAATCAGAGGCGACGTAAAAAATCGAGAGATTGTGTTGCATAATCCAGTTCGTGTGAAACAAGCTCGGTCCGTTTAATGAGTGATATCTTCTAGAAGGGTTTCAGGCATATATATTAATTTTCTGGATTTGTTGTGGTATTTGGAATTCATCCAGCCAGATACCATAGGCTCGGAAGATATCCCAGCGGCCCGGTTCACCGGTTCCATTCAACGAGAGCGGAAGAACTGGTCCTAACCTCTGCGAACACTATAGTCCAAGACATGGGGGCAAGAGCCTCCCAACCATAATCGTAATAATGATGTTAGAATGGAACTCCAAATAAGCATCGGATGCCAAGACTGAGTATAGTACCCTACTTTGAGCATGCGCATCATTTATACGCCAGGACTATAATGACGATATCCGCGGAAAAGGGGGACGACGTCGAATTTGAGGCCGTATACGGAGAAGGCGAATATCCCCCACGTCGATTGAACCAAGTTCGTTAGACTGCGTTGTCAGAAGACTCGAAGTTGGGTTGAGGATATTACAAAGGAGGCTGTTATGCCTAGCTGGGTAAGGAATTCATGGCACCAAGTACCTGATCCATGATATTGGATCCTTTGAGCAATTCCACTTGCCGGGACCAAATCACAAAGACAATCCTTTCTTGGTCGTCATGATTGAAGTAAACATGACTAAGCTCCTTCAGAGTAACACATTGTAGCCTGCTGTAGGGTTGTATTATTGAATGGAATCATTGTTTGGAGTTAGAGGACCAGAGAACCAACGTGCAGGATGTCGAAGGAAGATGGCCAACCTCCTTCATAGAATCCAAGAATGACTAAATGACTCCATGTGATAGGGCATCTATGGGAGCGCTACAGACGCAGATACTCCGGTAATAGTCTCATCGCGAGATTGGCCTTCCAGGTACGAGCTAGGTTGAAGGATCCATGGATATACTATAGTCTAGAAGTCGGAGGTGATGCCATAGAGGGCAAGCGTTCTAGAATAAGTTATGTAATCGTCAATACTACTAATGTCGGTGCGGAAGAGCTGCCGCATATCACGTATGAATCTTATCCAGGTTACCAGGTTGAGGATACAACGTATCCACGATATAAGGGTCTCGATGATCAGGGGATCAAGGAGTCAGTCAGCCATTCCGGAGATATACCGGACGTCGATACTGATCTTATGTCAGATGCTTATTGGGTGAAATCCGGAGAGGAATAGTGCATCATCAATTGATGAAGCTATCCCAATCCTTTCAATAATTCTTACCCAAGGATCATGAGGTAGGTCCTCTTAGGTAAGTGAATTGAATCTTTGTAATCGCGACTCGGTGTATGGTCCGCTACCCCTCGAGGATATTCATCCTTCTAATGTACGTAGGGCTTGTATTGTTACCAGTCATGATGGGAATAAGTAGGTGGAAACAAATGAAGAAACAAGAAACAAAAGATCCTAGTGATAAGTTTGGAATCAGATTACTAAGTTGGTCATAGTGAGGTACTTAGTGAGGTACCGATCCATGTAATCAAGCATTAAACATTAAATATTGACGTCGTAGAAATTAAAAAAGTTCCTTAGCAGCTAAGTAAGGTTCTGAAGGAGCATTAAACTTTATGTAGGGGAACGGCCCGGTTGGGGGCCATAATGATGGAGATTGCGAGATTGGTCTGTGCGACCAATCGTTCTTTCCGAGATCTTATACCGAAGATCAAGCGGACCTACCTAAACAATTTCATTGATTCCAAATCAAGAGGCGTAAAACGGCATCTTCCTTTCTTCACTCCACACAATGTTCACAATGTTACAAGGAAACATACCGTTACCAACGTCCATCCACACACAGTATACAGAATTATGTGGAAATTCCTATCACATTCTCCAACCGGAATTAAGGATCAATTGCGCGAAACGCGTACACACGTGACGACGATGATGAGGTGTCGGCTAGGTGCTTGTCTAGATGAATTGTCACCAACTCATCGGTGTGAGACAGTGTTGGCGCCACCGCAATACATAACATAACACAACCATCTAATTCGCTACGCCTATTCCGTAAAATAGAGAAGATGAGCACATACGCCAAGCCTGCCGAACGAGCGGAGTACCTATTCTATTACACCGAATCTCCATCTTCGTAACAATATCCCACCGGGAATAGCGAATAGCGAAGATCCGAGATTCAGTCTCCCTCTTCTTGCGTCATCTAGGATAAACTATTAGACGCGATTTTCTCTATGTTCTAATTTCTCACTGGCAAGACATACGACAGCTAATATACTAATTCGGTTTACCTCAGCACTATCCAAAAGATAATATCCATCACAACTGAATGTTTTAATAGACATACCAAACACGTGGGAATCACTATGTTAAAAGGCGGTCCGGATACCATGAACCGCCCGGAGTATCCGTGTGCGGCCAGCAACCTTGCCAGCCTTCCATTACAACTACTACCCGTCCAAGTCTCCATTTAATTTCATGCAAGTGCCGAATTTTCACCTTTTTGCAGGGATATGACTGGCCGCCTTCGCAGCGACGAGACGCTTGGCCTGCTTGGCCGATGTCGATTTCCTTTTTCCTACCTAGGTACCCAGGTACAGGGGGGAACGGTCCTCATCGAATCTGCGAGCTTCGAGGGCGCATCGGTTCATGATATTCCATCCCAAGCGGCGATCCAACGGTAATTCTACCAAATTGTGACACGCAAACTACCCATGCAGTTGACGACTGCAGTATTAATGCAACCATGCAGGTTTAATACCGTTCAAGGGCAAACCAATCTGTGTCCAGATACACGGATTTTCTACTTGACGATATTACTAAACAAATCGGTCGGGTCTTCATCCGCTTTGTGTATATGCTCCTATGTCCATGTAACGTAAAGATTATCGCCCTCCCTTACCCCCTTGACAGCCCGCTTTCTTTCCTAAGCTGGGTAACCAACCTACTAGGTAGGTAATAAGGCTCCTTTAGTAGGTGATTCGGTCAACCTCGGCCAAGACAACATTGGCTTGGCTTGGCTCTTCGGGCTCTGATTTCTTTTTTTAGCTTGCGTGGACAATGTTCAAGGTAGGCGGGTCGCATGCATTCCCTATGAACCCCCACCCTCAGATCACAACCTGCAAGAAACTATCGTACCTGACAGTTGCGATTAGGGCTATTGCAAGCGACAGTTCGACGACTATAATGTTCCGTTTCTATTGCATTGAGCTTTCCAAAATGGCAGGTGGTTCGCTCCCTTTTTCGAGCAGACGCTCTAGCATGGTCCAAAAAGAAATGAACATGGCAGTCGAGTCTGGGCTTTCGGACTATCCACCCGTACGACACATTTACCTTTATTCCCCATCATGGATCTACATTCGACGATCAAGGATTGGATCAAGTCCGGGGCCAGGCAGCTCCTAAATTTTTTCAACATAGGAGCTCTCGGAAAATATTCCTCATCCCATCTTCCTCCAGAATGTTCTCTAGATATTATGGCTATCGAGAGACTATGAGGCCCTTTTTCTTGTTTCTTAAATATGAACATGGCGTGATGCCATGGCACCAAAGTTGGTCGTGCAGAGAAGAATTGTCCCATGAGTTATCATATCACCGCCAAGTAGTTAGGCGATTGACTTTCCCTACCTCATTATGCATGCGATATCGTTGCTCAACCAACTCATACCCTGCTGCAAGCGCTTGGTGATTTCCACCCCTGTGGAACTCTTGTTTCTCCTCTACCCATTTGTTCTTTTACAATGTCGAATCATGGTTTCCATTTTTGACATCATCTACGTACATCTACGTACAGTACGTACTTCGCCTTTCGACCCTGGGATCTCATCACACCTGACCAAGCATGGGACATGGGGCTCGGGCACATTAACTATATCCGAGCTTCACTTACGATTATCTTCATCCTTACTGGCAGCTACCCTCCATTAGTGTGTACTTTTGTGGAGAGGACCCTAGTATGCGGACAAAGGGTGGATGAGGTGGGATATAGGGATATGGATCTTAATAGGAAGGGTGTAGGTTAGAGGGAATGTCTGTTTGTAATGTAAGACCTCTGATTACTGAGAACCACTTTCTTTATCAGAGCCTCAAGCAAGCTATTCACCCTGGGTTCCTAGGTAGGTAATAGGTATATGCTAGTTTATGTAACTCCGGGCCCTTGTTTCCCATTTATTATAAACACCTCATGGAGCCCTCCCTCGTTTACGCGAAGTCGCGTCTCTTTTCTACTCTACTTATCAAGCTCCTGCCCTCCCTCGAGTTTCCCTACTTGATATTCGTTTCAAAGGGACTTGGATAATCAGACAAGGCAAGATGAGTCGCATACTCACATCCACAGCCCTCCTTGGGCTTTTAAGCCTTGTCTCTGCTGCCGGTTGCCCTTTTGCCAACCCAGGTGCCCTCCACTCTCGAGCAGAGGGTACTGATGACCCTGTGCTCACAGCCCAGGTCGACGATAGCACCGGCTTCTTCACGGACGATGTGGGCGGACAGATTACGGAGCAGAACAGCTTAAGAGCTGGTGATAGAGGCCCTACTCTATTAGAAGACTTCATCTTCCGTCAGAAGATCACACATTTTGATCATGAACGAGTAAGTCCAATTATACCCTCATCTATAGTCCATCTCACCGAGCTTATCAAAGCTCGAACTACCAACATACGAATCCAAATTTATCTGCAATCTGTAATGTAAGAATAATACTAACAAATCATCAGGTCCCTGAACGAGCAGGTATTATCGCATGATCAAGCTTACTGTAGTACAAAAAACTAATAGGCGTTAGTCCACGCAAGAGGTGCTGGAGCTCATGGCACATTTACAAGTTATGGTGATTGGAGCAACCTAACAGCAGCATCGTTCTTAAATCGTGCGGGCAAAGAGACGCCTGTCTTCGTACGATTCTCTACAGTAGCCGGATCACGCGGAAGCGCTGACACCGCCCGTGATGTACATGGGTTTGCCACGAGATTGTAAGAACGTTCTGCTGTTGTACTACTTGAAACATGTTTGCTGATTTGTACCTAATTAAGTTATACTGACGAAGGCAACTTCGGTATGTATTGCCTATCACTTACCTATAGGACTTCAAAACTAATATTGTTAAGACATTGTGGGGAACAACATTCCAGTGTTCTTCATCCAAGATGCTATCCAATTCCCTGATCTAATCCACTCGGTGAAGCCGAGTCCTGATAGTGAGATACCTCAGGCTGCTACGGCTCATGACTCGGCTTGGGATTTCTTTTCTCAACAACCGAGCACGCTTCACACGCTCTTCTGGGCTATGGCTGGATTTGGTATTCCCCGAAGCTTCAGACATATGGTCGGTGAACCTTGGCATGCCATCTGAACCTAATGCTGACGTATTCCATAGGATGGTTTTGGCGTACACACATTCCGTCTCGTCACCGACGATGGTGTCTCTAAATTGGTGAAATGGCACTGGAAGACGAAGCAAGGAAAGGCTAGCTTGTACTGGGAGGAGGCACAGATCCTAGCCGGAAAGAATGCAGATGCTCACCGACAAGATTTATTTGAAGCGATCGCGGCCGGCAATGGCCCCGAGTGGGAGCTTGCCGTTCAGGTTGTCGATGAGGATAAGGCTTTGGCATTTGGATTCGATCTCTTGGACCCCACCAAGATCATTCCCGAGGAGTACGCCCCTCTCCAGAAGGTTGGTGTTATGAAACTGCACACGAACCCGACGAATTACTTCGCGGAAACTGAACAGATCATGGTACGTCTCACTCATCTCGCTCGCTAAGATAAGCGCACATAATGGCAAACAACGAATCTCCTAACACAAAATGTAGTTCCAACCTGGACACATCGTGCGAGGTGTGGACTTCACCGAGGACCCTTTGCTACAAGGCCGAATCTTCTCTTATTTGGACACGCAATTGAATCGTCATGGTGGTCCCAACTTTGAGCAACTCCCTATCAACCGACCCCTCATTCCCATCCACAACAACAACCGTGATGGTGCTGGTCAGAATCTAATCCACAAGAACATCCACCATTGTAAGTACCACCACTCTCTTCACTGTAGATATGAGCTAACACGACATCAAGACACTCCTAATACACTAAACGATGGATTCCCACAACAAGCAAACCAGAACAGCGGACGTGGATTTTTTAATGCACCGTCCCGTGGCACCACCGGCAAGCTCACGCGGGGTCTATCATCGACCTTCGACGACCACTGGTCTCAACCACGTCTCTTCTACAACTCACTTACCCCCGTAGAACAGCAATTTCTCATCAACGCCATCCGCTTCGAAACCAGTCATCTTACCTCCACCACCGTGAAGCAAAACGTACTTGATCAACTCAACAAGATCAGCAACGACATCGCCGTCCGCGTCGCCACAGCTCTCGGCCTCGATGCACCATCCCCGGACCCAACATACTACCACGACAACACCACTGTCGATATCAGCATCACTAACGCAACTCTACCAACCGTCGCTACCCTCAAAGTCGGCATTTTGGCGAGCACATCGAAAGCTAACGGCACGAACTCGCTCGACCAAGCTAAGAACTTGAAGGAAAGCCTCAGCGCAGAGAACATAACTGTCACAATCGTAGCCGAGAGCTTAGTCGACGGCGTCGACAAAACGTACAGCGCAGCCGACGCCACAGACTTCGATGCCGTAGCTGTGACCTCCGGTGCTGATTCGGCGGGTCTATTCGCGTTAACAACCGGGGGATTAAGTCCATTATACCCGCCTCTTCGCCCGTTGCAGATCGCGAACGCGGCGTACCTTTTCGGAAAGCCGGTTGCGTATTTCGGGGGCGCTACGCCTAGTGATCCGTTAGTTGCGGGTGGTGTGGATCCTAAGGCTGAGGGGGTTTATGTTGGCACGGATGCTGCGGATGTTGTTAAGGGACTTGTGGACGGGTTGAAGACGTTTAAGTTTACGGGGAGGTATCCTGTTGATGCTACATCTTAAGTGGATGGTGGAGAAGGAATAAAAATTAAGAGAGGATGAGAATGTCTTGCGATGTGAGCGGCAAGGAAAGGGCCGGGGAGGTCTGGATACGGGTTCTTCAGTATGTAATTATTTTCACTTGTGTTTTGTATATACTTATTGAGAGATCAATGGCTGTCTTATTGGATAATTAACAAGCTATTCAATTGCGTGACTCTGGATTTTGGTTGATTGTAGTTACTAGACGTCGTTTACTCATCTAGATTGGAGTCGCAGATACGACTTAAGATCCACTTGCCGCATCGTCTAGGTTAAGAGTCTACGTAGAAACTTACCTTCCATTATGTATTCAGGAATATTAGTGGCAGCCATATCATTGTATCATGTCGACAATGTTGGGAGTAAAGGGTAGGAGTTGCGTTACAGCTACATTGAATATATGTACTCGAGGATAATTGTGATCACAGCTGGAAGGTAAGTGCGATCTAGATTCCCAGGGGCATATTTCCGGTTGAGTCAATAGAGAAACCTTCTAAAATGGCTCTTACGACACAAGAAACCTAACTCTACGGCTATCCAACTCAAATATGCGTAATAGTTCTAAGAAAAGGGGAACGGCACTTCCATGATGCTATTCACAACCAGATTCCTTCCTAGAGAGGTCATTCTACTAGCCCAAGGAAAGAAAGCAGAGCATTTGGTCAAAGTTAAAATGAGACGATCATCTAATAAATACGCTCACGCCTACCTAGTAGTTAAGTTGATCGACGAGTAGATCAGTCTCCAAAGTCTCATGCAAACCTTGAGTGACACCATATCGAGATAGTACCTGCATAAAGACGAGTTCTCCTAGACATCTAAGTTCAATAGTAAAAATGACTCAGAAAGCTTCGTTAAAAACGAAGCAGCAACTTGAACAAGAAACGCCTATATAAGACGCTCCCCATACCTGATCGACTCTCTTCTCTTCCATTCTCTCATCCTCATCATTTTGGAAAACACCTACAAGAGTCTACTGATACCGCCTATGGACATCAGGGATACCACCCAAGCCTCTCTCTATCTCCTACCAATGTCTCCTAGGTGCTCACTTATATATATTCCCCACAAATCACTACGATCAAGGCCTCATGGTATATTAGGGAGAGTATGACGTCCTGACGATACTTCAATTTCCCACTCTGCCGCCCCACGGCACCAATTCCCCCAGTCACGCAATATGTGTAGGGGAATATCTGCTACTCTACTCGAGAACCAACCTCAAGCCCACTTACGATTAATATCGGCACCCGAAAATCCTCACCCGTATCATTCTACGTGAGATGATCAACGATGTGCTGGAGTCAGGTTCGTATCGCCCGCAGGACGGTCGTTCCGCGCCGGGCGATAAACCCGCGCTTCACATACAGGGTGCGCGTGCTGGCGTACAGGACATCTTACGTGACCAAACTACACTAAGGAGGTCTCCTAAAGGGAGGATACGAGGACAAGATCGACGATTTGTGGCATATTGGCGGTGCTCGGCTCTTTGGCACCACCCAAATGCTTCCAGGCTTTGGACCTCGAAGTAAGTTGACTAATGTCTTGTGAGAAGTGTTCGGATTACTTCCAATGACTAACACTAAGTTAGATTATAGTTATATGCCTCTTCTACGATCCCCATCCGGGTTTCCTTATGTTACTGTGGATCGTTGAGACTTTACGTGGTCCCTGCGATTCATCTTACGGTTCCCGAGCCCGTGGATATCTTTGAGTCACAAACTGCACAATATTTCTCTGGAAACCGTACTTAGTGTTACGGGAGTTAGGAGACTTTTCCGAGGAAGGGGATATCTGTAAATCTTTTACTGGCGGTCTGTGGTGGAGACGAGGCTTGACGTGGGGCTAGACCTGCCTTGCCCACGATCCTAATGCTACATATCGATCTTAAAGCGGGCTTGAGTTGAGGGGCATATTCCCATGGATTCTGCGAGATAGATATGAGGGTTTGATTTGAGGGCTTGGCTTGGTGCTGTGGTGGGTTGGCGGTAACTGTATGAATTGAATTGCGCTTGCTGTCTTATAACATGATTGACTCTGTCTGAATGTAATACACTTTTAGAATCATTACCGTAAGGCTGTGCGGCTCGAGGTTAATGGTCAAATGCTCCCGATATTCAATGTGGCTAGACCCTTGACGTGCCGAATGTGATAATCTATGTGGCAGTTAACGTATCTCAGAAAAATCTCACAGTCTGGTGAGAGTTTATGCCCTAAGGCGCGAGAATTCTAGAGTCTCCAAAGTGAAAGTAGAATAGAGGGATTATCGAAGTTTGTTAGGTAGGCTTCCTTGAAACTTCACGCGAGATGAAATGCTTATGGAGAGCGATACTAACTTGTGGCCTCCTTTCGCCATTCAATCATCGTCAATCGGCCTGGTCCTATTCATCGCTTATATTCGGACCCAGAGTAATATCATCTTCACGGCTTCATTCGTTTTATCTTGGATGTTCAAGCACGTATATGATCTCAGGGGCTTATCTAAGTGAGGCCCTTTCTATCTAGCTTGGCTTAGAGACCGCGAAGATCCCTAATTGGCAAATGATATATCTCCCACCGCTTCAATAGCCTTTGAACAACCGTTGAAGGCAACATCAGGCACTACTTTTCGTAGTACACTGCCTCGGAATAAACATAAAAATGTTGAAAATTTGGATATCTCCTCCCCCAGTTGTTGAAACCCAGCAAACCAAAAAAAAGGAAGATGATGTAAATATTCTCCTTTTTAGCTTTTGACATTCAGTTCGCCCACTGTAAAAAATGATGTATATGACGATGAAGATGATGAGTTTCCCGCTTTAACCCCCCATGCCTTTGCCTTTCTCTAGAAAAAAAGAAGAATGATGATGATGATGATTCAGAACGCCGACCTTTGCGTGAAGTTGAGTAACGTCAAAGCCTGTTGGTGGATGGCTAGGTAGGTAGTTTTAATTTTCTACGAGGATTTGTAGGTTTGCTTGGGGAAGGGGTATCTGTTTGATGGAATTGTTAGTTACGAATTCGGAAGTATGGGAGTGGAAGTGGAAGTGGGGAGATGGAAATAACTTACGAAGGGCCCAATTCTTGGATACTCAATCGAGCCAGCCACTGGCCGATATCAACGCTCGCTTCAAGAGTCTTGCCTTGGACGAGACCAGCGACGAAACCACCAGCGAAAGCATCACCAGCACCGTTTGTGTCGGTGATCTTGGAAGGGTCGATGGCGTGAACGGAGTACTCCTTAACGGTGTCCTGGCCCTGGATAGCAACGACGGTGGGGAGAGTACCTTGGGTGATGACGACGATGCGGGGCTTCTTGGTGTTTTCCTTGGGTAGGTTGGAGATGGCCTTTGCGATTCCAGGAATGTCGGTCTCGGCGACGGAGAGCGAGTGCGAACGTGCATAGGCGGCGGCCTCGGATTCGTTGCAGATTATGTAGTCCCAGTACTTGGAAGAGGCGTCGAGGGGGTCCTTGAAGAACTCGGCGATGAAGGGGGCGCTTAGGTTGACGATAAAGGTCTTGTTGTTAGCGGCGGCTTCCTCGCCAAGGGCTTGGATGGCTGGGGGGCAGACTGTTCTTCGTTAGCCTTTATACTCATAAAGATGAGGAGGTAGGGAAAAGAGAGAACGTACCGGTGAAGTGGAAACCACCGACGTAGTAGAACTCAGCGTTCTTAACTAGCTCCCAGATCTTAGGGCTCTTCAAGTGGTCGAGATCGTAGTGGTTCGCGGCAGCAAGATCAGTGCACAAACTTCGGTTGTGGCCAGTGATGATAGCACCACATCGTCCGGTAGGGTGCGTGGGGTCGACACGGTATTCCACTCGTAGGCCGACCTGCTTGACGGCGTCACGTAGGATATCGGCGTACTTATCGTTTCCGACACCTCCGAGGTAGACGACGCTGTTGGGTGGTAGGATATACGAGGCACCACGAGCGGTGTTTTGTGCGGCACCACCGGCAATTAACTTGGCGTCGTAGTTGTTAAGTAGCTCCTCGTAGAGCGGTAAGTGCTCGGGGGAGGCTAGGATGGCATCGTTGTCTTTGAGGTTGTACTTCTTTAGTAGGGCCTCGTCGCCTTTGGCTTGGATGTCTGTATTCGTGTGTAAGTGTAAGCGCCGAGCTCGGTATATGCGGTAAAAATGTTTGTAGATATGAGACTTTTTATGATTCTAGATATTGTGACATAACATAAGTCCGATATAGACCTCCTTCTACCCTTCTCTTGTATAGGCAAAGCTGCAATGTAAATAGTTATATCTTCTATACCAGATTATTCTTTTGCTTGTTCAGGCTTTCACACCACTCGGCGCGATTTTGCTAAGGCGGGGCTTTTCTCTTTCCATCTCGGAGCTCTAATTGAACTCAATTGACGGGGAATATTATGATAAACATACCGAGAAGGGGGTTCTCCAAACACAAGAGTGCGTATTCCTTGTTAGCAGCCATTGTAGATGAGAAATGCCGTCGTTTAGCGGAGTTAGAAGGTGATAAAAGGTTCGACGATGTTGTTTTTAGGAGGGGTCCTTGATAATTCTTATTCTTATTTTGGCGGGGTGAGATTTTATTATAGCAGAGCGGGACAGCGGCACGGGCAGTAGAAAAGGATGTACATCTAGTACTAGAATAGGTGGAAAAGGTACATGTACTAGTGGGGTTATAGTAGGACCGCAGCGCTTTTGAGATTGTCCGAGGAATCAATCCGGAGGGGAGGCAGGTGGAAGTGGGGAACGGCATGTCTGTTCTTGCTTCCTGCTTTCTTGCATCCAAAGATAGGATTTACTCTTACATGAAGGTAATAAGAAATCGATGGCGTGAATATTTAAGTGCAATACCTGAAGAGGATATCGATATGATTATACAAATTCTTGAGATTTAAGCTTCTTTAAGGCTGGTCTTAGACTACATGTACGTATTAAGCGGAGCCTGACCATCGTATGATATCATGCCCTACGAATACTACATTTAGATAAGAATGACTAACATCCATGCGGTAGATAGCGAAGGCGGGAACTTGATGATTCCATTATCGACTTTGTCACGCGAGACATAACCGTATATACCTGGGTATCCTTGAACTTCCTCTTTTATGAAGATCTTGCCCATCTCTGCTATTCGCAATGAATATACCAGACACAACCTTGGAACCAATGGATTAGAATATTTTTGCTTATTTTTGGGTATTAAATAGCACGAGTTTACTGCCACGTTTTACCATCCATCGTAACTCTTCGTCGACTTCACGAGGCGAAGCATATCGCACGCAAAAGGCATATGATATATGTGCAGAAAGAATCTGAATGCCGGGTACTTCCCATTGAGTCCTATCTCATGTCGTGAACTCGCCAGTACCTAGAGAGATGCAAAGTGCAAGCAAGTAAAACTCCAACCGCCGTGATGAACCATGACCTGGAGAACCCATTTTACTCCTTCGTCTTCTGGGTACCACGTAGCAGACCCGTCCGTCTCGCCGCAATGAGACCCGCCTTTTGACCTTGTGCCGCGTATCGAGAGATCGTGGAAGCTTTACCAATATGTTGATGGTTACCCTAGTAATCTTCATGTCAGTATAACCATTGTCTCCACCAAGAATCCAATTTTACTTACACCACCGTGAGGATGGTCGACAGGGTTCATGGCAACACCACGAGTCTTGGGCCAGCTGTTACGCTTGACAGCGAACTTATGCTTAGCACGCGAAGCCTTAAGGAGAGGCTTGTCGGTTCGGCCACCACCAGCAACAATACCGATCATTCCTCGGGAGCTGCTGCTGACAACCTTCTTGGCACCGGAGGGGAGCTTGATTCGGGTCTTGCCCTCGTCGGGGTTGTGGCCGATAACGGTGATGTAGTTGCCGGAGGTTCGGCCGAGGGTGCCTCGGTCACCAACCTTCTCTTCCACGTTCGAGATGACAGTACCCTCAGGAACGGAGGAAAGAGGTAGGACGTTTCCGACGGTAAGAGCGGCGTTCTTGCCGGCGTAGATGAATTGGCCGGTGTACATGCCTTCGTTCGCGATGAAAGTCTCGGTGATCTGCTTGAACTTGTAGGGGGATCGGAAAACAACGCGGGCGAGAGGAGCACCACGACCCGGGTCGTGGATGATCTCCTTGATTACACCTCGGACGTATCCATGTCGCTCAGCGAAGTCGAGGGAACGGAACTTGGCCGGGGCCTTGCGTAGACGGGTGGTGGCGGCTAGAAAGAATTAAATGTAAGTCGAGGCAGTTCGTTTCATCGTGGGAATTAAATATCGATTTGACTGTGATCGATGCGAAAACTGAAGAAAGTTTGCGGCGTTGACTTACTGAAGATACCACCGTGACCCTTTCTCTGGTTACGAATCTATTATTGTAATTTCATTAGTGACGGTGATTCGAATGGGTAATTGAGTAGGGAATTAATATCGAACATACCACGCGACCCATGTTGGCGGTCTATTTTGCGTAATTCGAGATGTTGAAGAGAGAATGGATAAGTTGGGGTGTTTGGGTAATTGAAGAAATTTAGAAAAGACGGCCAAAATTCGAGAGCCGACAATTTTCCCTTGCAAGAAAGAGTTTGTGTGGGTTGCGCCTTGCTGTCTGACCCTAATCGCTTGGGGTACGTATTTTTTGTGGCGTGGAGAGAGCGGACCCTTTCATATGTGGCTGACACCAAGTGGTCTGTTCACCGAGTTCTTGTACAGTACAATGAACTTATCATTTATCAGTAGAATGACCCACATATTAAACTGATGGATTCAAACGCAGTAACGACGCGCCCCAACCCCTGCGCTTTCTACCTTTGTTCGCGCTTTAAGAAACCTTGCAACTTCATCTCAATTCCTCCATTAATTTCGTTAATTCTATCATCACCAATCTCCACACATCATTCAACTCCCTCAAGTTCAACTTCCCGCCACTTCCAACGAGCTCTCATCATCTCTTTTGAGCTGCAGCTGGAGAACCTCTTGATTATTCTTCTATATTCATTCTACATACAATCCGACCAATCACTTGGTATTTCTTTTTGCGAATTGATTGCTACTCATCCTCGATTCTCGTTTGCCAATACTTCGCTGTCGCCTTTGATCCTCACAAGGCTCGAGGCGTCATCAAGGCAAAATGGTGAAACAACACGCTACAGATTTCGAGAAGATTATCAATGCTGGTAAGTTAATCGAGTTCATGATTAACTCGTAATCGTTATAAAGGCTAACGCTCGTTTTAATAGGCCGAGAGCGCAAGAAGAATGAGGATCTAGCCGCACGAATCTTCAAGAGAGACAACCAACGCCGATCCAGCGCACCTGCTGCCGGTTCTCTAGCGAGCCGAGTCGGTGTGAAGAAGGTACGATACTAAGGGCTAGTTGTGCTGGCGGATATTGCTAACCTATATCTCTGTTCAGCGGCTATCGTCTGCAGCGCGCATACCGACCGGCGATATTAACGGTGAATGGACTCACGACCTTCACAGTTCACACAACAAGAACGCGAAAGCGCAACGAGACCCTAACTCTCTAGCATCGCGAATTCACGCTCCCGGTACCAAGATAGCCCGACCTAAGAACTTAGCGCGCGATACCCGTTCGAACCGCACAGCCCGACTCGCCAATGCCTTTGAGCGCACAACCTCATCACCCGCTTCAGCGCGACAGCTTAACGTACGACAACCCCCGACACAACCTTCAGGCCAGGGCATGACGATCCGAGGTCTTGCAGGACCGTTCGCAGTGATGGCTCAGAATTTCGCGCCGGGAACTACAGCTGCCGATATAGAAAGCGCTATGACGCCGGTTGGAGGTCTAGTTAGCAGCTGCCGCTTGGTTAAGACCCACCCTCTTGTGATCGCGGAAATCGTTTTCGAGAGCAAGGAGGGCGCGGACAGAGTAATTCAGACCTTCAACAACCAGACGGTAAGCGATTTCCCCTAAACTTGCCCTATATATAAGAAGCTAACTAAGCAATACAGGCTGATGGCCGAACCCTCAACGTCTACCTAAAACCCGGCGGTCCCTACAAGCCCAACCCTCCTACCGGACCCCGTGCCCAGCGCAACAACGAATCTCGACCCGGTGGTAACAATGTTGTAGTTGACGGATCGATGGGGTTTGACGATGTAATGGACACGGATACGCCCGACACCAGCTTCTCAAATGCGAACTCTAGTTCCAGAGGCCTCTACAGTGACACCCTAGTTCCCAAGAACCAATCCAACGGTGCGAACGGAAGTAACAATAGCAACAACGGTCGTCGAGGTAGAGGCTTCCGGTCGGGTCGATAGGATCCCCAGCCGCAGCCGGAAGAAGACGTCATCATGGTAGGCGAGAATAACGCGGAAAAGGTTTACACGTATGAACGTTGGCCTGAGGATTACCCTTATTCCTGGGCTTCGCCGTACGATGAGGAGAAAATGGCGAAGGCGTGGACAGAGGGGTGGCCGGAAGATGATGGTTATTGGTAAGAGGGGGATAGCATTCCATGATCCACTACTAGAATTTTGGCGGACGTGGAAAAAAGGCAGACCAATCCCTTCCTATTGGCGTTCCGTTACATGATATTTTTTTCTTTTTCAGAAAAAGAAGGAAATCAACCGCACTGCCGTGGAAGGACTAGATATCCCAGAAAGAAAGTCCAAGGGTTATTATAGACGGAAGAGAGAACGTCTTCGGGGATTCATATATTCCTATTAAGAAGGGAACTTAGGTAAACCAGTTAATGACCTAGGTGGTTTATTAGTTTTGTACCAATACCAATACAATACGTCTGCATTTTATGATACCTAGTCCTTTAACATGTTGCGCGATGAGAAAAAAAAGTGATCTAGGTTCAGGAATACGATTCTAATTTTACCACAAGACTGTCATTTCTAGCGCTCTCAACAGTACTCGTAGAAATACAAGACACGTACGCATAGCACAAAAACACCAGCAAAACGCATCAGTACCAGTATCATGAAGTTTCAATACTCATTCAATCACTCCGCTCCACCCCGCTGTCTCTTTTTCCCTCACCTCTTCATAAGTAATGTTTGCCCATCCCTTTCCCACACCATACACAGATATCAACGTGTTGAAAAGTAGGGAAATGCAACGTAGCCAGCCAAGTTATCCAGGTATGCAAATAGGTATAGTTAGAGGTTTCTAAGTGAGTAAGGCAATGCACGAAGGTTAGGTAGGATGTAGGTACTGCTAAAAAAAGACAAAACACAAAAGCCTCCTGTCGTCCGTCCGTACGTCCGCGTTAATCGCGATCGATCGACACCTTCCCCTACCTCCTTACTTCCATCCCGCTCGCGTCATTCCGTTGCCGGCCAGCCTGGTCCTCGCTGACTCTTCGTCCGTCCTTTGGCGCGCTTGCGCCCAACCATCCACCCTATCCATAACCCCCGCGCAGTCCAGACTAGCAACAGCAAGTGGACTGTCCAGTACATACGTAGGCTAACCTAGCCACCTCCCCGAGCCAACCATATACTCGATAAAACAAAGAAAAGTAAAGCCCAGACCCGGCGTTAGAACGGAAGGGATGATGAATTCCTCAATCCTATCCTTCCATACACCGCTTCAGCGTCCAGCTCGTCTCCGCGTAACGTAGGGTAATCAATCTCCCTAGTCCAACCATTCCTCTCGGAAATCCTAGTCGCGGCGTCAATCGTGTTTCTCTCCAGCGCGTTGTAGGATTGTCCCTCAAAACGTTTGTTTAAGAAAAGAGAAGGCATGTCCCCCTTTCTCCCAATGCTAATGTACGCCCAGAATGAACATCGACCTCCAACTGTACTTGGTGTAGCGAAGCGGGAAAGCGAGAGCGAGAGAAATGAAACTTTTGTTGGGCAATCTAGATTGCACCCTATGTTCTGTGGGTATCATACATGCCTGTAAACCTAGGCGCCGGCAAGCTGGCGTGAGAGCCATAGCGGTAACCGGGAGAGGTTTTATTGGTAGTGTAGCCGTTACCAACCAGGTCGGGATCTAAAGCAGATCCTAGAAGCCTGGACTCTCCCGTAATCGAGGCCGGCTTCAATAATTCTAATATAGAATGTGATATACGGGTCCGATAGTGCGCATTGTCATCGTGTAGAATGTCTTCATGCCCACGGACTTTGGCCGCCGCTACCACCCATGAAGCCTTCTTCAAGTGTTCTCTCTTCCAAATTGCGAATAAAGTCTCGGTTGCTCCTAACGCCACCTCTTTGTGACCTACTATCTCTCCTGCCAGCTACCCTACCTGCTCCGGGATCTGTAAGACCTATTCCTTCGGCTGGTGGCGGGTAGTAAGCCGGGCTGGGCTGTAATCTGATGGGTTGGCTCGGATCTAGATGGCTAGCAACCCTCTGGATGGCTGCAGGAATACCACTCTGTTGTTGGTCCATCGTGGACGCGCGTTGGCGGCCCGCTCGAACCGTAGCTTGTTGGTATAGGTTCGGCTGCGGAACGGCACCGTAATTCGCAGGTGGCATTTGTGCGGGTGGTTGGCCCATAACCATTGATCCGTACGGAGACTGTTGGGCGGAATAAGGAGGCGGTGCGCCAGGGTGACTTCCTCCAGGAGTATACAAACCATTGCTACCGTACATCGAAGGCTGTCCGTGTGGAGCAGCTGGGTATTGGCCAGCTTGCATCGCGTACGCGCCTTGCGCGGCAGCCTGAGCCTGGGCTTGGGCTTGTTGCGCTCTCTGCTTGCTAAGTTCGGCAGCCTGCTGTTGCTGCTGGGTTCCAGGAGCCGGAGAACGGTTGAGAGAGCTGGATTTCAGATTCATCGGTGGCACAAACGGACCAGTAAATTTCTGCTGTGTGATGAATGGATGGAGTTTCGCCTGTTGAGGGGACCATCTCTCCAAGGGGCTGATAGTTAGCAAACCTCGTACGAAGTCAATGAAAGCGATTCGGTTATTCATTTCTAGACACCAAGTTAGCTGGGCATCTTAGCCTACCAGGCTCAGCAGATCATTCCTACCTCGATCGATTTCGCTTTGCTTCATGTTCTTCCTCGGCATCGGGTACGACTTGATTATCTCTGGGAGCGTGCTCGCTTGAAAGTACTTCTTACTAGGTTGTTCTTTCGTTCCTCGCTCCCTTGAGTATTGCTCCATACTCTTGAGATGGTACGTCTTTCGGCCAAATTCGTCCTGTCGTTTTTCGAAGAAATCGCCAGCTTGCTTGCCAACTTCGATCATCCAGTTCGGCGGGTTTCCAAGCATCTCGACGATTCTGGAGACCTGGTTGTACTCGGACGAACCCGGGAACAACGGCAATCCCAAAAAGAGCTCGACCACAATACAGCCGAGCGACCACATGTCTATTGCCGAAGAGTACGGGAGGCCTAATAATACCTCAGGTGATCGATAGAATCGAGACTGGATATATGTATACACCGTCTGCCTCTCGTCACATGCCGAACCAAAATCGATAATCTTGATGATTGGGCTTTCGAGATTTTTTAGCAGAATATTTTCGGGTTTCAAGTCGCAATGTATTAATCGCGCCTTGTTGAGGAGAGCAAGACCATTCAGCAGTTGCTGAGCGAATACACGAACGAGTGTCGTACTGAGACCTCGGAACTGATTCTGTTTGATAAGCTCGTAAAGGTTGACGCTCAGAAGCTCGAATACTAGGCAAAGATGTTGTCGGTGTATAAATGTATCTTTAAGTCGAAGAAGGTGATGATCGTCATTCTTGTCGAGTTTCGTATTCAACTATAGAATAGTTAGCCAGACAATATGAACCACTTTGCTGCTTAGGTCTAAGTCATACCAAGTCGAGGACAGACACCTCCATCATACTCTGGTTGAAATAGGCCGTTCTATTTTTGATAACCTTGACAGCAACAACTTCTTGGGTCTTCAAGTTCTGGCACTTGACGACCTGTCCGAAGGTACCCTGTCCAAGGACATCTAATATGAGATATCGATTCCTGGAAAGAAAAAGTCAGCGTAGTCCGAGAGAATAAAATAGAGAATGCGACGTACTTGTGTCCGGCCTCTTCCGAACCCAGGATATCGTTGACGTATAGAATATAATCGCTATCTTCATTGTCATAACCATCATTCTTCGTCCCCTTGCTTGGTTTTGTCAACACACGGCGCGGATTGCGGGAGGATTCGTATTTGAAATTCGGATTACATATACGGTAGGTCGCGGGAAGATGGACGGTAAGAGCTTGGAGAGGCTGCAACAAAAGATGATTAGAATCGCTACGCCGGGGGAAAAATACTTGATGGCAAGTCTTCATACACTTATGAAACCTCCTTCCGGGTTTGCGCGGCGGAACGGTGGTTGGTGGTTGACCTTGGGTCGTAACTCCGTCACGGCCCCGACCTTCTTAAACTGGGGCACCGGTCGTTTCTCGACTGGCGCATTGATGGTGGGCTGGAGCGCTCTTCTTGGCGATTTAGGGTCATTAGCATAGGTACCATCCAAAGGTGGCACACCGGATGACGGATAATTCTCCTGGGAGCCTGCATAACCCCCCAGCGGGGGAAGCTGAGAGTTTTGTCGGCTGTAAGAATACGGGCCTTGAAGCTGGTATTCGCCTCGGGTAGGCGACTGTCGCTGGCTGTGGGACGTCGAAAATTGCTGTTGGGCTGTAGCCGTCTTAGGTGCGTAAGGCGATGTTGGTGATAGTACTTCCATAGGCGAATACCGCTGGGCCGCAGCTGAAGGCTCGGAAGGTGAGTGAAGGTTCGCAGGTCGGCCACCAGAGAGGTGAGATTGGTGATGGGGACGCATGGGGTATTTGACACCCCCGTAAGGGTCGTGGACGTCCTGCATAGGGACGTCACCATTCCCATCGCGTAACTGCGGGGTGGTGATGGGCGAAGTCGCGCTTTGTTGCGAAGCATGCGAATTCATCGTACCCTGGTATTGATCATATTTAAAACCGACAGGCGGCTGAACTTGAGTAGGTGGCTGGCTATATTCTCTACCCGGAGTCATTTGATTGCCACCATTATATCTTCTAGAACCGCCGGCGGCGTCGGAATAGCCCTGCCATTGATCCATGGCGTCCGGGCGGTAAAAGAGAAAGAAGCAGCAGCTTCAAGCGGGGATTTTCGATGGGTGAGGCCGTTTTGGAGTACAAGATAAAAATTGAGGGGAGGGTAAATACGATATGGCCAATTCGGAGCCAAGAGGATTGGTTGTTGTCGTCCTTGGTTGGGTCCTGGATCAGACGCGCATTAGCAAAGAGTGTGGAGCGAGCAAAGGCTCACTAGAATGCGGGCCTAGCTAACCGGGTCAACGTTGCTTGCTGACTTGTTCGAGTGTTAAGACTAGGAAGACAACAACAACAAAAAAAGAGTAGGTTGTCCTTGAATGGGGGAAGTAGACAAAGGATGACGAATGGGTGAAGGACCTGCGGTCGTACCCAAATGCGATATTGCAATAGAGAGTAGTAGTAGGTAGGTAGGTAGGTAGGTAGATGGGTACTCGGTATTGCAGTGTAATGTACAATGGGTGAAAGGATTTAGGTATTCATGGTGGAGTGTGAGAGGGTCCTCTATCGACACAACTAGGAGGGGAGTTCGGGCTGGGCTGTGCTCTCAATACCTCGTTTTCTTCCACAACCTTCAGCGAGGATGCAACAGAGTGCAGAGCTGAGGAAAAGGTAAAGGGAAAATTAAGAAAAAAAAAAAAAAAAGGGAAGGGAGATAGATAGATAGTTAGAGAGTGAGTAGCGTACTGGTGGTAGTATGTAGACGCAAAAAGTTGTGTCGTGAGGTTTGGGGATTGGATGGGGGTACGTCAGTCCAAGGACAAGAAAGTGTGAGAGGCTTGTTCGGCTCGCAGCAAAAAAGAGAGGTGATGAGGGACAAGATAAGGTCCCACCCAGTACATACATGTAAGTAAAGTAAAGTTGCCCAGCTACATGTAACTTATCCAGGTACTGTACTCCAGTTAGGTAGTGGTGACCTACAGCAGAGCTGGACCCTCCCTGGAGTTTCCCCCAGGGAACATAAGGTTACGTTGTTTTGTGGGCTTAAGGTTCAATGCAGTACTTACAAATGCGCGGTTATTTGCGTTGAATTATTTGTATCTCTACGAATTGGGCTGGGGATAGAAATTGGGTACTAATTGGAGGAAGGCGCCTGAGATCACTGAGATCACTGGGATCAGTGAGGGGGAGATCACCTAACTTTAGTGTAGGTACCGGGCAATGACCGCAACAAGGCGGGGAGGGATTTCAAGTACTGTACCCACGTCGCACGAAGAAGCACGGATCACATAAAGGTAGCGGGTACGTTAAATACGTAACGTCCAACGCATGTATCTAGGTACAGATGTACGTATGCATCGACTGAGACGTGAACGATCTCTTCAATGAGTCAAACCACCAATTCCGGTCATTAAAACTTGGTGCTATTTTCAATGATGTACATGCCTACCTACACACGTGTTTATATCAAACAATCCATTTAATTACTTATTTATCTAAATTATTAGGTAATTAAGGAGATAAATAAAAATATTAGGCATGAAAAAAGAAAAAGCAATATTTAACGACGATAATTATTCCTGACTCAACAACAGCCTACTGCATAATGTGTAGGTGCCTAGGTGCCTTGGTTAAATAGCCTAACACCCAGAACACCTAAACACCGACGTACCTATCAAAGCGAAGAGAAGCGATGAAAATCCAAAACAAACATGATGTTGCGTGCATTAGCTACAGTACATACAGTACCTTTCTGTGCGAGTGTTACAAACCGGAAATCAGGTGTATCTTGTGCCAATTGAGATTTGCGGGATTGCACATGAGGAATTAGGATTGCATCTGTAATAATAACAATCTACACTTGACGATATTTATTTCTGTTAAAATTCCCTGATAATTGTCTAGCGATATCAGCATATTTATTTAGTGGCGTCAAGGAGCTGCATCCATCAATTTGTTCATGCGATAATATCAACCAAACTTGACACCGCCTTACAAAGACATCTTCTACCAAGGAAAAAAATTAATATGCCTCGACAAAAAAATAAACTGGCCGAAACCGAGCACGTGTCTACGAAAAACAAAGAACCGACCGTCCCCGAGGGACCATTTATTTTCAATTCAAAAATCTCAAAACGAAAGGAGAAAAAAAAAAGATATCTTTGTAATTATGTAACAGGTACCTAGGTACGGTAGCTTCGAGATACCCGAGCCGTATCCCTCGAAGATAAAGAAGTTGCATATTGATCAGATCTCACAATTTTTAACACTATGAGGAAACCGGCGTTTCGTAATTCGCCTCTGAGGCGATTTAAAACAACTAAATACAAGCCTAGCTACCTACCTACGTATGCCTATCTTACATACCTTATACTACATACATGCTAGGACAAGTCTGGGATACAACACAACCACGATAATTAATACCTACCTACATAATATAGCATAACGTGATTCCTCCATCAACCAAGAATCAGCATTTCCTTACATCCTTTCGCCCCGACAATAAATCTGTATCTCCGGCCAAGCGACCGATTCGATCTCCTGATGATACTAGAATCAGCAAGAATGACTAAGGTTAACAAGCAAACAGCGAAGCGAAGCGGTATGAGTGGGCGCCCTTAAAGGGGTCGTGCCAGACTGTCGCCATCTTATAGGTAGCTAACATAGATTAGCCCAGAGCTAGCCGAAACAGACCATCAACTATTCGACGGTTCTCTCATCTCTGGCACACAATCATCCGTCGATCTGACTGCGAAAATACTACGCTCTTTCTACCAGCCCGGCCGGTGGCGCCAAAGCGCTCCGACTATCTGATGCACGGTTTGGAGAAACCCGTCCATCATTCACTGTTTACGGATACATACTTAGAGTTGGATTCTTGATGAGGCATGATATCAAATTGTAATTCCGAAAGACAAGATTTATTCGGATTTAATTTCCCCTAGGTATGATTAATCAAATAAGCAGGATGTAACAAGAAAAAGGATCAAGTGAGGTTGGGCACGATCGCAACGCTCCGAGCCCAAATGACGCCAGACGAGCAAGGGGGCGTTTTTTTCTCGTCATCCCTCGGCCGGAGATCTTCATCTCACACACACCTCTTTTTTAGAGCCGAGAGATTGTTATCAACGAATAGTAATATATCGTCGCAATTTGCTTAAAATATTAGATTGAATGTTATTGATTCCAAAGCCAAAAGTTTACCCGTCGTACATACATATCTAAGTGGTTAAGACAGAAAAACAGGAAGTATAAGAAATAGAGTATTAAAATATCGTTAGCTCCCAATTCTCTGATCGAGTTACAACTATTTACTTAGGTAACCATAGCATGCGAATCTACAAAAGCATCACAAAAAGCTCCCAAAGTCACTTAGTTTCATCAAGACCGGCTTACCAACATCTTGAAACCGTTACAAATTATAAACATCATCTAGCAACTTATCTTTGTGTTGTCATCTTCTTTGTTCACGAGCTCTACAAACTGGTGGTCCTCTTTTGTTTATGTCCAACCAGATCGCTCACTTAGGGACTAGATACATCCATCCACCTAGTTGGTGTCCCCCCTTTAAAGAAAGAAGAGGTATCATTGCAGCATCACCTCTTCGCTTCGTCTCTTTTTTCCCTAGCCAAAACGAAGAAAATTTTGTTTGTTTCCCCCACTGGCCATTGAGAAACCTGCTCCTACAAGCCTTGAAGAAAGGGGGTAAGGTAAGTAAAGCAAGCGAGGAAGCACCGTAATCCTCGTTAAAAAGCCCGACGCAACAAAAGAAGAAGTGAGGGAAAAAATCGCCTTGGCTATGTCAATAAATGCTTGTGGAGGTATCAAAGAAGAAGCGTCAAGGTCAAGGAAATGCTGCCAGAAACTTTTTCTTTTCAAAACGGAATCAGACAACGAGACAAGCAAGGACCCAGAGATTTTTCAAGATCCTGAGCTAAAAAAAAATTCACCACAAAAAAACCCAGCAATAAGAAGAGCAAGAAAGATAAAGAGAAGTAGAAGTAGAGAACAGAAACTGGAATGCATCGATCTAAAGAGAAAATCCCCCACCCCCCTGGACTGAATATGGCTTACGTTCCCATCGAAAATACCTATGGGTTTCGTCATATTCATATATGCGCCCATTTACCGAGCAACCAAACCAGGACAAGAGAAGATGTTGCTAACGCATGCATCTGAAGGGCCTCCTTTCAACCAAATGCTCCATTGATAAAACCGACTGCCTCGTATATCCATTAACCCTGGTATCCAGGATAGCCGCTGTTGAAGCTCTGAGTGGGCGGCGGCTGGGTCCACGGCTGGTTAGGGGGTTGTTGGCCACGTCCATAACCTCCAGCGCTTGGTGGCCCTCCGTATCCCATGGGCTGAGCTCCGTAACCCGCGGGCGACTGAGCCGGCGGGCCAGCGTAAGGCTGCTGCTGACCACCGTACTGACCTATTGTAGGTGTTAGCAAGATAGCTTAGATAGAAACGAGCCAAGATATGTGTAAGTACTGACCTCCGTACTGGGGGAAGAAAGTCGACGGTGTGCCAGGGTATGCCGATGGCGGCTGAGCGCTCTGAGGACTAAAAGCTTGTTGAGCAGGGTCGAATGCACCTCCCGCACTGCCCTGTGCGTTAGGAGTCTTGTCTTTACCCCACTGCCATATTGTCAATAAAATTCTGCTTTGGGGCCATATTAAGGAGTATGACTTACGCTGCACTTCAGAGGTCGTCCGTTGACATTGTATCCATTCAATTGGCAAATTGCCATGGCTGCATTTTCATGCGAGTCCATCTTGATGAATGCAAAGCCGCGATCGGCCTGGAATCGCGACTCAGTGACGTAGCCAAAGTTCTGGAAAAGAGGCACGACATCGTTTTGGGTCGTGTACGGGGTCAAATTGCCGACGTAACAAGTGGTCTGCCAAGCGGGTGTCTGGTTGACGATCATATCGTAGCTCTGAATTCCGTGGGTCGGGAAATGGTGGTGACCGTAAGGGGTAGTAGGTGTCATGCCCATAGCCTGCATAGCCTGCTGTTGTGCCATTGAAGGCTGCCCCTTTTGGTTGGCCCAGTTGCATCGAATCGCGCGTGAGCCTAACCACTCGCCGTCCATCGAACTCAAGGCCTTTTCAGCGTCGGCGCGGTCTCTAAAAGCGACGAAACCATAACCTCGGGAACGGCCAGTTTTCATATCCCACATGACGCGTGCCTCCGAGATGGTTCCAAAAGCTGAGAAAGCCTGCAATAGAACTTCATCGTTAACTTCATTAGATAGATCACCAACGAAAATGTGGAAGTGGCCTGATGTGTCTTCCTTGCTGGAAGTGTTAGATTGATAAGCCCAATTAACTCGGATCTCCTAAAACATATGTCAGCCAGTCGTATTTATTGTCGTCGGAAATGAATTCGCCTTACAGACTGGTGGACGCGCCGACCATTCAACGTCTGCATAGCACGCTCAGCTGCGCCGGGGTCGTCGTATTCGACGAAACCATAGTTGTATCCCTTTTGCTATATCGTGGTTAGCTCATCCAAACAACCTATCGCATAGCTGGCTCTTGACCAATGAAACAATAGATATATGTAAATATACTTCAAGGTTACACTTACGTTCTTATCAGGGATGATCTTGACGTTTTGAACGTGACCAGTAGTCTCGAAAATCTGACGCAAGACATCCTCTGTGACACGAGGGTCAAGACCGCCGACGTACAGGGCGCGCTTGTTCGGCTCCGGTGCGGCACGGCGCGGGAAAGGACCACCGCTACTCGGAGACATGACACCCTTATCAACAGCCGACATAGGAGACGTGATAGCGGTGGGGATAGGATTGGTGTTCGGCGGGATATGGAGGGGAGGAGGCGGCATGTGAGCGGGATTGGCTTGGCCATTCTGGTTCTCGAAACCAGGCGCGCCAGCATTAGGCTGGGGCGGCGGCGGAAGCTGAGAAGGAGCTGGAGCGTCGGCCATTGTGGTGAATGCCTAAAAGCTTTGCGAAAATATTGAGGTAGGTTGGTGAAAGGCGAAACGCGATCGTCGTGCAAAGAATTAAATTGTTGCCGAGGATGCGACAAAAATTAGGCAGGTAAAAAAGAAGGTCGATGGGCGGAAAAAGAGGGGTCCAGCTTTTCTAAATAAAATCGGAATTTCGTATCCCAAATTTTTGTTGACTTGGGAATAATCGTAGCTTCGTTCAGATCGGTCGTGAACAAGAAAAGTCGAAAAAATGGTTGATAAAAGGGGCGGGGTATTTGAATAATTGATCCTATTGTCTCCAAGCTCTTAATGTTATTTTTCTGAATTCACAATCGCGCTGTCGTAGTTGACGAATCTAATGGTATTGTTGCAAATATCAGGAGAGAAATGCGCAATAGCGAGTAGTAGATAGAAGGACGGAGAGCTTGAGAGGAATAATAGTAGGTATTTTCGGATGGAACCCGGATCGAGAGTGGGACGCCGTTACAATGCGATTCTAGACGAAGATGCGCTGTAGAAGAAAGGTCTGGTCTGGTCTTCGCGAACCTAAGGACGGAAAAGGCCACCGACTGAAAAGATCAAGTTGTGATCAAGAACCAAGAGTTGAAGTTCACCTTTTTTTTTTCTGCAGCGTCGGCGGGATGTGGGTAGCGGCGGAGCAGGATCGTGTATGCAGCTGCACCGGCTCAGGGAACCGACTGGCAAATGAGGAAAATGGAAAAAAAAGTGAACCTTTACCGAGGAAAGAAATGACGAGGACGGTGACGAGATATGACAACAAAGACGAGAGGAAGAGAAAAAGGAAACTGCCTTAAAAGGAGGAGTCCCCCAATTTTCAACACACGGCACCGGCGATATGTGAGATTTTCTACACACGATACGGGAGGATGGAGGAGGGAAAGGAAAGTAAACGGGGTCCAGCAGATGCGGCGTGGGATTGGGTTTTTTTCAGTAGAGTTTGATGGTTAGGGTGGAGAAGCCTTGACAGGAAAAAGGTGGAGACAAAACGTATCTTCTCTTCATTAAACGGCTTCGCAGGTACCTTCCTAGGTACTTAGCTCGCACATCTAGATAAGTACCTAAAGTTAGGTACCCGCTGAGCTGCCAAGTAGTATTGTAGTACCTCCCCAAGGCCGCTAAAATGGCGGTTGCTAGGCCTCAAAATAGTGGTGGGGTTAGGTACCTGGAAGTAGTTGGGAAGCTTGCTAAGCCACAGATTAAGCACCTAAAACACTGGTTAAATCACAGGACGGGTACAACTTGCAGTGAAGAAACAAACGTGGGGTGATTGATCCATTGTTCAATTCAGAATCGCATGTGCGCACTTCCCGCCTTTCTTCAACTTAAAGCACCTCTTAAGATTGCCAATTCGGGTAAGCATGTAACTACCTAGGTAACCTATCAAGAGGATCAATTTCTATTTTTTGTACTTTCGTTTCCCTTCTTCAATGTTATTTTCTTACACCTTATCGGAACTTCCGATCAATCATTCATCATCCCTGTGGCTTAAAGAAACACATAACCGATAATGTCATCAAGTACCTTAAGTATCTCGGATGTAGTTGGTTATATACGTAGATTATTTTTGCAAGATGATGACCCCATTAGGTTGCTGATCTAGCTTCTTATAGGCAAGCAGTATATTACAGGGCCGCATATGATGCATGCAGTAAATGCCGTCGTCTTACACCACATACTGCTTTAATTAGGTATTTAAAGAACCACAAACCCCAACCGTAATTTCAATTATACCACGAAAAGAAATCAACAATTCAACAAATAGGGTCTTGTTTGATGAGTAAGGACCTGAAGACTTGAACAAATAAAGACAGTAAGAAACAATTGGTTTCATAGAATTGGTCGAGATGCGCAAAACGAGCTGTCTAAACTGACAGGTACCAGTCTAAGGTTATCAAAGAACGTCTGCGTATCCTTAAGTACCCCAAAAAGTAATAGGTAATCTTCTATACCTACCTAAATCCATAATCACGACTCGCTTAAAGACGCCAGATATCCAATTACCACTATACAAAGTTCCTACGTCAGTCGAAACTACGAAGCTTACCAGTGGTCGTAAGGCGATTAACTCGGGGGCCAAGCCAATCCCATTAAGGTAGGTCTTGTAAGCTTCATACGGTCGTACCGAGTTAATCTGATCCGTTGAAGTACCAAAGTATTTCGTATATTTCTTGATAAACCTACATATATATTATTAATCCGTCAACTTGCGCCTTAACCACGTAATTATTTCAACTGAGGTCCCTACATACATGTATACCTACATGTAGATATACTGTGCGTGTATACAAGCCGGTACATAGATACATGTACCCAGCATTCGATGCTTTAATGTTTGTGGGGTAATGCTTAAGCTCCAGGGCTGCAGCCACTAAGTTTAGGTAAGCATCTACACAGTACTTAAGTATAATGTACAGATCCATTCATTGAATGTTTGTCCAAAGTGGGGCACAGTGTCTGTGCTAAATCTTGTGGATCTTACCTTTATCATCGTCACTGCGAATCTCAAATCCAAATCACAAATTCTAAACATCTAACTTATATTCCTATTAAACAACCTTTTTGTTCTCACTACAAAGAGGATTATAATCTAACTTACTTATCTACAAATTATTCCATCAAAATTTCGGCCATCGCCCATCATTTATCGAAGGCGGAAATATCACAAGAAGCGTTGAACGCAATGGCGGCTTCAAACCCACCCCATCCTTTACAGGTCCTGGACCAAATGTTTAATGAAGTCGTAAGTAGTCCAAATTTGAGTGTTGAATTGATCAAAATGACTGACGAAACTGCGCAGCTGGTCCAAACCGGAAAACATCTTAGAGCGAATATGAAAGATGGACCAAAGAACGCAAATGCAAACACAACGCGCACGTCCACAGTAGATTCGTTGACAACGTACCACTACGCCCTAGACGACCTTGAGAGTGAGATAGTACGTATTCTTCTCCATGTGCATTTTTGATGCCATCACGCTAACCCCATCCCCAGACAAGAGCAAAGGCCGTTGTATTAAGAGACCTAGAGAAGCTTCGCGCCGCCCGGGCTCCCCCTCCGGCGCCGGCGCCAGCTCCTACTCCAACTCCAGTTCCGGCTCCACAGCCTGTAGCACCTCCGGCGCCAATGATGGAATTACCATCATCAGCGGCGCATACCATGAGCGCCCCAGCCTTTGCTCCTAAGAAAGAGACAAAGGGAGCCGCTCCGTTTCCCGACATGGGCATGGGTATGTCGAGCGACAACATGATCGATCTAACTTCTTCCGAGAAGAAACCTTCACCTCGTGTCGCACCCGGCGCTATTAGACCCCCAGGAAGACCAAGCCCTGTAGTTAAGCATGATGTGAGGCCCTCGCCAAAGCAGGCACACAAGCCGAGTCCGAAACTAGCCCAGCCTGCTAAAGTCACACCCGTTCCCCCGCCGCAAATCCCGCGCCTGCAAAATCTCCAGCCTCCCCAGCCGCCTTCCATAGGACCTGCGGCCACAACGCAATCTCAATCGACTGCGCCAAATGCCCAACCCGCAAGGACAGTCCAAGCCACACCAGCGGCACAGGCGGCTCAAGATGCCACAATCAATGCCACACTCGTGCCCAACAATGCTGTTGGAGCCGATACCAATGCGACCGGTGGGAACACACTCAACTTCACAGATATGCAGTTCTCCCTTGCGCCACCCAGCAATGACGCACCAGGCGCCCCTCCGGCCCCCATGCCTGAGTTCGACTTAACAACCTTCGCGCCGCAAGGAAGTAACGATATACTGTCCCTCGATAATTCTAAGCCTAGTAACACCACCGCGGCCCCTCAACAACCTAAAGAGCAGGACAAGACCGACTCAAGCAATCTTGACGACCTGTTCAACCTCGATAGTAATAATGGTGGGGACAACATGTTCGACCTAGGAGGTGGCGGTGCTAATGATAGCACTTTCGACGACATGATGTACTTCGATAACAACGATGCAGACATGTCGTTCGACGAAGCTTATTTCTTCAGCAAATAAGCGACCCAGCAATATACTCCGCCATGTTACGGGGGAGATATGTTATACCATAAATTAGAGCGGATAACCAAAAGGGGTTTATTTTTACATCATGATACCCCGATAGCGAGGTTCACTTAGGGCGAAGCTATTTCTTTCCCTCAACCAGAATCAGACCAGGATCTTCGGTATATCGGATCTATAGCGAATAAGAAGCGAGGATCAGGAAGATTATACGGAAGGAACCTTAGAAGTCACCATTTAGACGATGACGACAGCGCAAGCGGCTCTTAGAGCATATACTATTACCCCATTTACCGTATTAAGTTATTGATCTTAAGCTGACTCAGATTTTAAGTTATTAATAGTGATATTCGCACCATGTCAACATATGGGTTTTTGATTATTAAGATACGAGACTTCTCACGATAGTAGGACTTTATGTGGATCTCAGGCGTAATGTATATCTGAATTGTAAAGTTGTCCTCTACTATTCGATAAAACATGGATCGTAAGCTGCTTCCAATGGAGAACACGCTACACATACTTGACGCAAAGTGCGATATTACGGCGGAATGTGGAAGGCCGTTCGTGAGTATATACAATAGTCATTAAACTTAAATTCTATGACCAATAGCAAGGGGGTATTCAAACTACCACCAACCCAACCCATCATTAGTCCGCTCCTCCGATAAACCATCGACCTATGCCACATGCCCTCGTATCAACCCTCTAAATCAGTACCCATATATACAAATCCGACCCCCTTTCCATCTATATACAAACACAATCAAGGTCCCTGAGTGACCTTAAACATCGGCGCCAACAAATCCGTCACATTCGGGTTCCTCAGTTGACTCCAATCCGTATCCAATAGACCCCATCCCTCATCCGCACCCACGGTACCCTGGCGTACGTAATACGAGCCCTGGACAGCCCAAAGCGCCCATTCGCCGTCATTACCCGTGACGTAATCACGGAGGCATTGGAAGTACGAGTTATCATCGTCGGACAAACCACTGTTCGGACCGCCTGTCATGCCGAAGCCGAACTCGGATAGGATGAGCGGCGCAGTGTAGTCTTTGTCCTGCTCGAGAACGAAGCCGTCGAATAGACCGTAGGTCTGCTTTAGTAGGTCACAGTTTCCGGAGGCTATGGCGAAGGTTACGGTGAAGGAGTATGCGTGCCACTCCCATACGTGCTTGCCCTGCCACGCGCTCCAGTCGATGGTCTTGTTGACTCGGATGTGCGTTAGATCAGTCGCGCTCTGGGTACCGCCCATGATGATCAGGAGTTCTGGGTTGGCGGTGTGTACGCGTGTTGCGGCTTGCGTTAGGAAGTTGTACCAGTCCTCACGCCCGTTAGTGCCTTGTAAGAGCCATTCGCGGATCTCGTTGCGTAGACCCATTCCGATGACGCCCGGTTGCGAGATCGACCACGTCGCGATCTTCTCAAGTCCATCTAGCCATTCCTGTGTCTTGAAGTATCGGCTGTTCATATCATTGTAGCCGAACCCTTCATCCCACCATCCATTGCCATCGTCGATGCCACCTATTAAGTTGTTAGTTGAAATCATCTTTTAAAAATTAAATTTAACTTGGTTAACTCACAGCACCAGCTCGCCTTGCTGACATGGTTATCCAGGATAGTCATAACACCCCTCTTCCAAAGCGCCGCAATAACAGCCTCATAAGCCGCACGGGTGGTAGCGCCGTTGACGAATGAGTTCTTCTCGGCAATCTGGGAGTACATGTTGTTCATATCCTCAGTGGATACGTTTGCAGCGCCGGCAGCAGCCACAAACGAGTCCGAAATGAGGACATCCGGGTTGAGAGCATGGTCGATAGAGTACGTTAGACGCACACAGTTGAAGCCCTGTTGCTGAATGAAGTCGGCGATGTAGTCGACAGATTGCTTGTTCAGACCCTCAGGGATGTTAACCTCTTGGTGGCCCGCCCAGTTAATACACCGCAACTTGACGCGCTGGCCGTCGGCGTCTAGAATCCATCGCGACGAGGTTGAGAGGGGAAGCTTCTGGCAGGAAACCAGAGCAGCCGGAAGCACAACGGCGCTCAAGGCCGTAAAGAGCGGTAGTAGCTTCATTCTGAGATATGATGTGAATGTATCGACACTCGGGGAGAGAGGGGGTTTGAGTGTATGTATACGGTAGCACCTTGTGAGCTCTATATAAATAGAGTAAAAATATGTGCCCGTACGACGGCAGCGAGGAAAAGAGTAGGACAAATTAGCGTATGACCTTATACCTTGCTCAAGCTGTTATTATTAACAGGGTTACTGGTGAGTCTAGCAACACGGCCGTACACCGAAAAGCCACAGAGCAAAAGGTGATCTGTTGTGCGGACCAACTTTCTATTATAACAACCAGCTGGGACAATCACAAGGAAGGAAAACGAGAGGAGAAACGCTAGTTTCGTTAAGCCCGACGGTATCACGTACAAGTCAACGGACGGCCGCGATACACGGGTCCTTCGGCCGAGGAACTCTGAACTCTTAACAACGGAGGACCTGACTTACCTGCATATACCTACTGACCTTCCTGATATAACATATGATGACCAACGCAGCGCGAACCAGGAACAAACATATCGCCACGAGATCGGGCTAGGCCGAGACCCTCTACGGCACTATATCCTTGACGTGTGCCTGGTCCAATGGGACTCGGGTTACCCCCCCAAATACTCGGAGATCAGGTACGGGACCCATCACTCGTCTTAACGCAATATTGCCTTCTAATATTGTTTTCGTAGCTATAGATGTATGTACATCCAATCCATAGATCCATACACATAACGCGCGGCGAGGGGAGGAACGCTACCGAGCCTATAGATTAGGTACCTTATCCGGGGACGAGGGAATGAATGGAGCAGGGGCATTGAATTCATATGTGCGAAATGGATGTAAAAAACAAGATGTCGACAGCGGCAACGCAGGTGCGCCGTCCATGACCAAGACAAGGGTGTCATATAGAGATCGCATGACTGAGACATATGATTGGATAGTTTACTATTGACGAGAGCGAATGGATGAGAGGATGTGGAAGAGGTGGTAGAGGTGGTAGAGGTGGAGAATCGGGGAAGCCAAGACAGGCAAGTCTGGAAGAGAAATTGGAGATTCAATGTTCCATTCGTAGCTGCCAAGTTGGCTGCTATACATGGTAGCCCCTATTCTTGATAGATTAGGCTTAGCGTGCTTGCTGCTTTTACTCAGTACTATTTCACTTGAATTATTCATCATACTTTATGCAGATTCTTCATTATATTATGAAATGAAGAGTTCATTCTATTTTCTTTAGCCCTTACTGTATTTTATCAACATTTCCGTATTACAACTTAAGCCCAGTATCCCATCCAAGCATTATCCCAAAGCCACCCAATCTCCATTTCCAGATCCTAGTTTCTACTCTCAGTATGCGTACCCCCCTCCTTGAAGCCTCCACTTACATCCGCATCCCAAGGAAGACTCTCAAACCGCCTCCGCGCAATAATAAGTCCGAGCCACAGTAGAAGCATACAGAATGCGGGCATCGCAAACCCTAAAACCCACACCACGGGGTCCCGGAACGTGCCTTTAACACACCAAGCTAATAAACCCAAGCTAGATATCAATCCTATCATGGATAACATCATGACCGCGTTTCGTAGGGGTTCATCTAATATCCCGGGCTCCGCGACCGAAAATATATGGAGACGTTCCGGTATATGTAAGGTCGATTGCGTACGCCGGCCCCAGTATACGATTTGGGGGCGCCGTGGGAGTATACATCGCTTAACAAATCGGTCGACGAGGTAAAGGTGGAGGGTTAGGATTATATGTACGACGATAAAGCCGATGAACTTGCCCAAGTCTTCGGACATTGTGGTTTGTGTATCGTGTTGTTGATTTCCTCCTAAGGTTGCTGACAGGATATGGATGTAGGATGCCCTACTAATTAAAGAGGTCTCTTAATAGTAGTATATGATTCGAATATTATCTGCTGATGGTTTGGTATTTTTCAAGAATAAGACAGGCAAATGAATGTTCCGAAGGAGCACTATAGATATATAAATGCGAACATCATCACCGAGCGTAAACTTTCATATAATCTAGTTTCTGTGCTATGAAGACTATTTAACTTTAAACCCGATACACCTGGATATGTATGTATATGGTAGATGCGCTACATATACCGCATATGCTGCATACCTTTAGCGAGTTTTTCTTTCGAGTATATATAAATTCTAAGCATGTAAGTGGAAGATATTATGATGCTCTCAAGACACCAATGTAGAATAATCGTGAAGAGTATAAGAAAATTATGCAAACAGCATAACTCACCCCTAAAGCAGCGCGCAAGTGGCTTCTGCAGACCCTAGCCAGGTGGCTGAAGAAACCCAATCTCACCCAACAAAAGCCCACCATTCCACTCAGGTGGGGAACCAAAAACGCCACAGCCGTACATGAGAGGTGTGGAGTATTCTATCTAGGTAACACCAAATACCCAAGTAGGTAAGTGCAGGATGGATCGTTGCATCGACCTGCCATCTATAATTCTATACCGGCAGCCACGACGGAAAGTACAATAAATTAAATCACATCACCTGCCGCTCATCCAGTTAGGTAAGTACTCCCCTCTGACGCATCTGATAGGATAGAGAACCAGATGACCTCAAGTAGCGTAGTAGTAAAATACCCCAGTTCGAAATAAATGCCAGTGATAACCTAATTTCGACCGATCTGCCAATCTTGTGCCTTGCATATGATCGGCCCGTCAAACTCTTCTCTTTTTTTATTTCTTCTCCATCTTTAATATGTTATTCCTCGTGTCTACGTAAGGTAGTCGTATTGCGACAGACGAGAGTGAGTGAATAGTAGGGTTCAAGGCGATAGAGAGAGAATTACGATCGTCTATCTCAACTCCTGTCTTGCGCCTATAAGATGTCCTTACTATTTCGTAAGGAGATACAGAACAGAGATAGCAAGGTAAGGATTGCCTTCAGTCACTGTTACTAACCTCAAGGGTTCATTACCCACGTGTTCATACAAAATCTAAATAACCAAGTAACACTACGCCGCGGACTAGGATCGTCTTTTAGCCTCTAGTGCGCACTACCTGTATCCTAGCGTAAGTAAATCCAGGATCGACCACCATCATCTACCGCGGTATCCTTACCTAACCTCTATCTATAGGATCGACGGCTACTAATTTAGGTAGGTCGGTAGACTTCGGTAGCTAGGTAGGTTAACCCATACCTATCACGACATTCGATGTTGGTGGAAGAGAAGAAGAAAAAAACAAAGCTAACCCAACATCGCAATTCCGAAATTCGCTAAACTTGGGAATTGCGGCGTATCTCAACTTTACCTTCTAACAGACTGAACTCGGTGTTGTTGTCGTTGTTGTTGGTTTGTTGATAGGAAAGAAGATCAACGGAGCTCCCGTTTATTCTTTAGAAACAACAATTCCCAATCCACGCTAACGTATGTCATTGAGTACATACGTCACCCAATACTCTTTCGGGCCGTCCTATCAATAGTCTTATTGTGGTTCAGCCTCCTAAGGAAAATATCAAACTATCTTCTGTTGGTGGAACAAGCTAATCCTCCGAGTCGAGTTCATGTAGTGCGGCGCAATTCACTTGACGTCTAGATGCGCCATAAGGATGCATCTAGTGTAGGTACCTAGGTACACAGCAGTAGCTTTCTACGCAATGACGATCACAGGTCGATCCCATCTCAGAGCTCTCTTTGTTATATTAAGTAGTATAGTAGGCAGCGCACGGCATTCGAATTACCATGCGCCTGACTAATGTAGTAATAGTATTAGGCTGTACAGCTATGTCATTATCATACCGTAGAGGGTATGCGCATGTTCTCAAATGCATTTTGCATCGTAACTGGTTCGTTAAGAATGGCATCATCACTCTTTGTACGAGCCTCTCACAACCACCACCTCTCAGCTCGTAGTACTGAGACAGGTCTTGCGCCCATCACCTGCGTGCCTGACTGTCCCACGTCCGAAATGCGGTCTCACCATACGTCTCCTAAGGGGGTATCACGAATAAAAAAAGAAACACAGCAGTTTGCTTGGTAAGATTATGCCGTCGATTGGGCTGTTGCTACATTTCCCGACGCAGCTGCTCGGGCCTCTAATTCCCGCCGTTTCGAGAGTAGACTCTTGAACGCGCCCAAGCACTGCACTAGCGTCTCTTCGTCGTGGGCGCAAAAGCGGTAACTCTTTTCATCCGTGATGACTTGGAAACAATGTAGCTTGGTCTTGCTAACGGGGTCGATATCCACGACATTAACGATGACCGACAAAGACTGGATGAAGGAGGCCTTATACTCCGATTCATCTTTATACAGTATTAGGTTTCGCGGTCGGAGGACGGCCCAGCGATTCTTCCATTGCTTAACACCACGTTTGCTGTTCAGGAACCAAAGCCAGCCTTGCCAAACAACACGATCCGGATCGTTCTCAATATTCAAGCCGCTCAGCTGGCTTGCGTTTCTGTTTCCTATTATTGGGCGCTCGTTCGAACCGGATTCTATTTTCGTTCCCGAGGTAGCAGGTGACCGGGCTGTGAGACTTTCGATGGAAGCACCATGGGCTCGTGTCCCCTCGTTATCAGATAGATCCGAATGTGAAGCCATTTCGTTCCCAGAAAGGCCGGAATAGTCATGATGCGAAAGTCTTCGCGCTGTTGATGGTATAGATCTCGACGCTCTGGGATCGATCGGTTCGGGAGAGCTTGATAATGGTCTTTCGTTTCCCGGAGGCGAATGTGTTGCTTTTGATCCATTATGCAACATGCCAACGGGAGCAAAGGTCTGTCGGCGCGCAACGGTGCTTGCCAGGAACATCTCTTCTTCTTCCTCCTCGATTCTCGCGTCTCTCCTAATTAGATCCACCCATTCTTGCGCATCTTTCGTAGTTGGGGCCTCGAAATGATAATTCCTCGCTGGCGAGAATAGACCGAAGAGGTGCTGTCGTTTGTTTTTCGGGTCCTTGAGCAGAGTCACTGCTGACAGTTCGGAGGTGTAGATCATGTGTCGTAGCTTATTCTCCTTGTCCGTCTTATACATGGAGATAGCACTGGGTCTCAGGACGATGTAAACCGACTTCCAGGTCTATATTCAACCGGCAATTAGTGCGCTGGAAATGGAAACAATCCTAGGAAAATCAGAGTATATAGCTACTGACCTTGGTCTTTTGAGTCCGCTTCTGCACATAGCCAGACTTGAGTACGCGATCGAATTCGAAACTTCCATTCTGGTTGACTGGACTAGAGGCTGGTATACCGAGTTGATTTCGAAGGCGGTTGATGGGGGTATTCGCGGGCGCTGCCATCGCGGAAGAAGGCGGAATACTAATAGTCGCACCGCGACCTAGAATATTCGTGGTTGTTGGTTCGTGAGGTGATTGAGTCACCGTCTCAGCCATCGTAAAGTAGACGAGAACGCGTCTGGTTGTGAACCTCTGAGGGCAGAGTAGATTATCGTTGTCTCGTTGAATAGGAAATTATTATCTTTAGCGAGAGTAACCTCGGACTAAATTACGATTAAGTGGTATGTTTGTGTGTTGTTGACAGACAGTGAGAAATCGTAACTGTATCGTAATGTCAGGGGATAAAGTGGATTAAACGTGAGAGTGTGTTCTCAGGACGGTGCACGACTCATTGCCAGGTAACAAGACGCCGCAAAATTATTTAACCTGCTGACTCGCGGGAAAGACAACCAAGGAAAAAAAGACCACCATGTAAAAGGTGTAATGATTAAGGTCGAGGAAAGTTTAGTGATTGACGACCGAAAATTAAAAAATAGCCTCGAGCAAAAAGGGAATAAGTTTGGAAGAAGCAATAGCAATAATAGCAGTGGCAGCATCAATCGGCGTAACCAATAGCCAATCAGAAACGAGACCGGGGTGTGCGGAATGCCCCTCCTCGACCGATCAACTAGATTCAGGGCTATTGCTCAATGCTTAGTTTAGGAATGGGATGCAGCTTTAGCTCCGTGATGAACAAATCAGCGTGCATGCATCTCACTTTTCTAGGACATCAGGAGGCAGTCGCCATGAAAGTGCATTATAAATTACATTCATGCATCCACAAGCGAAACCTTACTTACCTAGGTATCTAAGGAATAATAAAACGCGTAGAATTTCTTAGAGTTTGTGTCGCTTCGGGTACCTAAATAGGAAACTTTCCCTTAATATTGAGTGGATGTTTCCCGTCGCACAAGCGCCGTCTTTCTAGAAACCCCTTCTCAACAGTGGGCCAAAAATAAGCTCTAACGTCACGCAGAGGCCAGCTGTTTCAGGAACTGCCGGCCACTAGCGCCAACAACCTGGGTACAATCCTAGCCACTGAAGGAAACAAGCCGCGTGACGAGGCTAGTTGATTCCTCGTTGTGGCTCTATTCTCCGATCTAATCTAATCGTCATAGCTCCGAACTCTCCGTTTCCACGAACACCTTCACTTCGGATTATACACTGAGATGCATTTTTAAGAACTATATAGATGATAAAATACCTACTAATTATCCCCTATGCTGACCCGCTCCAGCTCCCCTTTCCTTATGAACACCCCGATCAACCCCCTCTCCCGCCTTTGATTCCCCAGGTCCCTCGGACCTTACACCGGTCGACTTGCTCGGACTTGGCTGCGGATCCGGTTGCTTGGCGGGATGTTCGCGGCTTTCACTAGATGCTGTCTGTGTAGCTTGTTCATGGTGCTCTTCCTTCTGTTCCGACGAGGGGTCATTCCCTTTCTTCGTTTGGTCCGCTTTGATAGCTAAGTGGGATGTTGATGAGGCGAACGAACGTGTGTAAGCAGAGGGGAGTTGGGAAGGCGTATTGAAGCGGCCCGCCCTACGGAAGCGTGATCTAGATATCCTGGGCAGCATCTTCGTAGGTAATGATGTATTGACTAATTTTGAGTAGTAAATTAATTCTTAGTAGCTTCAAACTGGGCGGTTGTCATTAATCTCAAGTGATTTTTAGTCTTCAGGACAAGATTTCTGATTGAGATGAGATGAAGTAGATAGGAGGTTAGATCAATGCGGCTCATTATATAAGGGTTGTATGGTATATATAATTCTACAAGTCTAACGTCATGATTTCGAAATCATCATAGATGCGCCGGATCAAACCGACTACCATATCCTTACACGTAGTTATGGTTTAGAACTCATCATCAATAACACATTGCGACCTGGTACATACGAAAATGGAGGCATGCATTGCTATTAAGTAATATGGATGATTTTGGCACACTGAAATATGCTTCCATATTGCCAAAATACCAGATACCCTTATATACCCACAACATATATACACACTAAGATAACCCCAGAAATACCAACCCAAAAGCCACCCTTGATCCAAGCAAGTCTGAACTATGCATTACCATCTAACGATTCTATTCTAAGCCTACAAGGGGTATCATTACCTGCTCTTCTCGCTTCCTTACCTGCCCACGCACCTACCCCGTAGCCTCAAACTTATCACGGTACCAAACGAATAAACAATTACTAACTAGCAAGTTCACTTCTTCCCATGATGCTTCAACGCCGCAACCCTCACACCCCTAGCGCTGCCCCACACGCTCTCCGTAACTTTCCTCGGAATCTTCCGACCACGAAGTCTTTGATCAATAAGCCACATGCCCACAACAAATTCCTCTCTATCCAGGTACCCGAGCCCGCGTCTATCTACTAAATCCCACACCTCTGCTAATTCGTCGAACGGCAGCCTGCTGCGCGCCCAAAGATCCCGTACTACGACGTTGGCTACCATCTGCTCCAGTTCCTTCGTCTTGGAGTTGGGGTTGAGAGATAGAGTGGAAGAAGGGTCGTTGGGGACAAGTAATAAACCCCTGTTACTCGCCCATACGCCTTCATACCGCTTCCGTTCGCGCGCAGTGATTTCCTCACGCCATCGCTTGCGTGCGCCCTCGTGGTGCGAGTGCTTGTTGCCGCCACCTAATTTTCCTAGAGGCTTTCGGCGCGCTCTTGCTTTGGAGTAGTTCTCCTCGTCATCTGACTTAGAAGGCGGCTGTCGCAGTGTCTGGCGCATGTGTGGTGTCTGCTTGCGCGATGGCGGTTTGGGTGGCGGGGTTTTGGAAGGCGTTACACGAGATGATGCCAGAGAACCTGCCATGATAGCGTCTGTGAGGGATTCTAGGGGTAGGTTCGAAGGGGTTTGTTGCTGATGTCGCCGAGGGAGAGGGGGCGCGCGGCTAGTGGAAGTAGTAGTAGATATAGTTAGGGCTGATACGGGTCGCCTTGGTCGTAATGTATCGGGGCTTGATGGCCGAGATCTGCCTCGCTGTGGGGAATCGGCGTTAGGTGATGGCACTGACGAGGCAGAAACGAAAGAATCATCTGACGAAATTGATACCCGATGGGTCTCTTCCGGAAGAGAAGACCTCGTAGTGGTCCTTTTAGGTGGTGGCGGCCTAGGTTTGAGCTTCCTAGGCGGAGATGTTTGTCCTTCAGGCACGGCATCTTGCGTTCGGATATCGTTTAATAGAATCTTTTGAGGAGCAGATCGCCTTGGTCGAGGAGAGATAATCACCGTATCGGCCTTGCTAATAGATATCGGAGGTGGCGTAGAAGCGCGGGTCTTTCCTTTGGATGCTAAAGCTGTGGGTTGTGTAGATGCGTGTATTTGACTCTTCGTCCTCGTTGGCGGAGCAGTAGGCGGACGACCCTTCGCTTCAACGCCCGCATTCTGGGGTTGGCGAGGTTTCTCTTGAGATACATCGCTTGCTAGAGTTGAAATAGATGCGGTGCTCTCCAGTGCTGTGGGGGCGATAGGTCTCGATGGCGACGTTTTGTGTTTAACAGCAGGGCTCATGACCCTAGGAGGACTCATAGGTCGAGGTTTAGGTTTTACTCTATGAGACTTTCGATTATCCAAGTTTGTAGCCTCTTTCTTCACAGGATCGGTATCGTCGTCACCTTTATTCTCGAACATGGATATAAGAGCATTTGTAGGTGGGATCGAGGTTGTATCCGTTGCCAAGTCAAGGCTCTTTACTGAACTCGCAGCACTATTGTTGGCGCTGACACTGTGTTTCCGTTGTCTTCTAATTGGTTCTTGGGCTATTTGTTGGCGGACCGGACTTGCAGATCTGCTAGCGGCAAGGGTCGCGGCTATGAAGGATGTAGAACGAGGATCTGGGGCCGCTGGTTTAATCGAGAGTCCTGGACGAGAAGGAACGCCGCGGCGAGGTGAAGGCGGTTGTAGATGTTGTGTCGATGTCTGGCTCGTAGTACCTTGCTCAGGTATCAAGCTAACACCGCCCTGAATACTACTACCAGTTGTATGTCGGCTTACTGCTCGGGAATGGTCTCGTGAAGCCGCAGCAGACGTAGCTGCCAGGAGAGCTCCGTTACCGACATTTCGAGAAGGGGTAGTTGGGGGCGGTGGTTTCGGAGCGGACTTCTGGAAAGCAAGAGAAGCGCCTTTCAAGGCGGCGTTATAGGAAGGGTCATCGTGAGCTCCGGGAGGATTCGGCGTCAGTCGGCTCCGATTAAGAGTTCCTGATCCGTTCATGAGGCCCGTTGATAGGAGAGGACCACCTGATTTCGGTGTCTAAGGAAATAACGTATCATCTATACAAATTCTATATATTAGATTGTCATCGATAGATGTTGATACACAATGAGGATGAGTTGGAACAATGAGATCATCCTACATTGCAATTGAAAAGTGTCGAATGAGAGAGTTGGCGATTGTTAAGTCGAGGCAGGCTCCAGGGCTGTCAGGGCTGTCTGGTCTGAATTACGAGGTAAGTAATCGATTAAGTTAACAAGGTTCAGTGCTGAAACGACCAATGTGGCAGGGGTTTGAATCTAAAAATACTACCATAACACGCTATGAAGAGCTGGAGGACGCCTGCACAATTACATAATAGCGATCTATGTGGGGCAGAGTGATCTCTAGTGGAACAATAAATATATTCTTCACTCAATCTTTAGATAATGTGCATTATGAACCCCAACTTGAACAACAATTTTAATAATACATCAAGCAAATTCACAATGCCAAAGATTTTTTGGAAAGGATTTGAGAAATATTACTGGTTTCCCAAATAAGACCTCTATACAACAGCCACATCTCAACAACTTACTACGTTGACACCCTAAACGGGTACTGGCAGAGAAACAAATTAACACGGGAGAGCTTCAACCTGCATGCTATACCGCCAGCTCCGAAGTTGTGCAACAAACAAACAAACGAACCAGCTGGCCAATGAATCTCGCGTTCACATCATAACAAGAGCGCCTCACCATGTATCTATTCCCCGACTTGGCATATATTTACTCTAGATCGGAATATCTTATTGGTCTTTGCCCAGCAGAGCGTGAACGCCACAAAGTACAATCCCGTTCAAGGTCTGAACATATAAATTGTTACACCGGAATAGCGTCAGCGAGAAAAAAAAAAGAAAGATGTCCAGCCACCGATATATCGCCTGCCGGAGTTTTGTTCATCTCTATTGCCGTTCTGCCGTTCTAATACGCATGAGCGCGTTCAGATTCATCATGGCCTTGGCGCTACCAACCAATCCACTTGTTAATCCTCATTACGGAATCCTGTTTCAGCAAATTTTATCATGCCTAGGGCGTTAATCCCGTAAGACCACCAGCTCCCAAGGGCGAAAACCCGATAGCTCTAGCAACGAAAAATGAAATCTGGACATAGAATAGCTTCAAATCCTCGGTTAAGATCCAGCGGAAACAGACTACTTCTCGGCCAGGTTTAATCCTCTAATCAGTAACGAGTTCGCTGAAGATGATGGTATGCCGGAAGATGCCAGTGCTACCAAAGTCGATTTTGCTACCCAAGTCTTGGCTAAGTTTCCCAAGACATGCGCAATAAGAAAAATTACACCAATGTTCAATGATCTCAAGGCAAGATGACTTGTAATCGTTGTCATAATAGGAGCTATATATTGGTATTAACAATACCTTATCTAACCACTTATATAAACCGTCATCCTAATGGTTGCAGACACAGCACAGCGTAGAAAGCACCCTCCAATGCCTGCAGACCTCAAAGCAACATCAATCAAGCGAATTATGAGAAAAGTATGAAGCAATTTGAAAAGAAGTGAACACATATATACAAATACAATATGACTCAGGAGATATCGCGAAAAGATGATACATAAACCCTCAGCTCAGGTATCCGTCAACCGTGCTGCTACGTGTTATCAATCCACTGCGCCACAACAACCCAGGTTACGCTCCTTCACTCACACCCTCTATTTCGTATATAAACAAACGCATTTTGGGCTCATTATAAACCATTTCGAAATCCTAGAAAATTGGTAGCTAAGTGTCAATGTCGAAGCTGCGGTATCCATCATGCTTCCGAATACCAGTATAGTAGACATCCTCACCGGGATAGCAGCCGGTTTCTTCTTATTGGGGAATCCTACGCCTGTAAGCTAGAATGTCCTTATGACAGTATAACATTTACAAATCGCAATATTACCATTACATATAGGTATCTTCCCGCCTATGCTAACAATTGGCCAGTCTACCAAGCCCAATGGCACAGCGCATCTCGCTCTAGAGGTCAGAATACCCTCATGCTAAGCCCTATTCCACAGCTAACTAATAACCACCAAAGCAACCCTTCACCTTCGCAGCCCAATACTTCACCAACCTCACCATCGGTTCCCCACCACAGCCCCTATCTTTCCTCCTATCCCTCACACCCGTATCAACCGTCGCCGCGGCGCAAGACTGCACACACTGCTGCGTCGAAGGACGGCGTTTCGACCGCGCCAAATCCACTACATACCACCGCCCCGATGGAGACAAGAGGCCGATAGATTCAGACCACGATCTAATCCGAATCTCCGGCATCGAGGCATATGAGACCTTCACTCTAGGCGATGACGGCCTAGTTATTACCAACCACACATTCGTAGACGCAGACCACTTCGCGCCTTGGGATGGCGTAGACTTCGAACCAGTGTGTTACGAGGGTCTCCTAAGCCTCGCCCCATCAGATTCCTCATCATCGCTTTTCGCCCATTTAGCTGAATCCAAACTCCTAGAGCGCAATATCTTCACCCTCCGTCTTCGCGAACCTATGACTCTCACACTTGGCGTCGAAGATTCCTCATCCACTGCCATCACTAAGGATAAGCTCACCCGCCTCCCTCTACTGCCTCAAGCCACAAACTGGCAAACCCACCTCTCCTCCCTCTCCCTATCCGCCTTCACGCAGGGCTCATACTTCCCCCTCCCACCCAACACAACCGCACTTTTCACCCTCGGGTCTCCACTCATGCGTATACCTCCCCCCATCCTAACACCCCTTCTCCGCTCCCTAAACTTCAGCGGCCTCGATGATGATGATCCGCTGTACCTACCCCCGCATGTACCCTGCACGCAACGGGCTAGTATGCCAGATGTACTCTTCGATTTCAGCGGGAAGAAAGTCGGGATCTCGGCGTTTGAGTATACTATTGAGTGGACTATCCCAGATGAAATACGGAGACAAATGAAAGGCAAAGCAGATGGGGGAGGGATTGAGGGCGAGACGATATGTATATCCGCCTTCGCGCCGCTGGTTGCGGGTGAAGTCGTTGAGCTTGGGTCCGCGTTTTTGAGGGCGTTTTATTCGGTGTTTGATTTGGATAAGGGGACTATTGGACGTAAGTTTTCTTGTTCTCAGTTGAGTTATATGTGGATTAAACTAATGAGATGTTGTGAAGTTACGCCGCTGGATGGTTAGTATTTTCGCTACGAGACTATCCTCGTCGTTATTATGAGTTTGCATGCAACGCAAATCCAATTCAGGAATGTGGTTTTGACCATCGTCTTATCTCTACAATTGACCTAAATGATACGCATGATCTAAATTGTGATGGAGGGGGTTGGTAGCCGATATAATTCTGAGCATAGTATCTTAATAGAGAGGTTGGATTCAAATCAGGCTCACTATTTGCGTATCACACTAGCAGTACGAATATTTCATATTCAAGGTAAATTCCCGGCTTCAAGCCGGTTTTATTTCAGCGACGATAGCCAGTAACTAGCAACCATCTACCTAAGAACCAGGAAGAAAAAGCAAGACAATGTACCAGGCACGCATGCACTTCTCCGTCTCGAACGCCTTATGTACCGACGCCTGTGCCCTGCCAAAAAAAAAAAAAATCCGATCGCCCTCCCCTACTTTGCTGAACCCTCCGCCCTCGGCCCCCTTTCCGATTATGTTCCAACAGAGAGTATGTAAAATTCCAGCGACAGTCAAACGCAAGCTCGAGCATTAAAAGCAACAGCCCGGATGCTAGTTAACTGACTAAGTACTACCGGCCGACTATTGCTCGAGTATTCAACCGAATCTCAAGCTAGTAGACAGTAGGATTCCACCTAAGGGGCCTTGCAGCGAATCGAAATCCTGATGCAATTAAGAAGAAATACAAGGAACAGAATGGAAGAAGCAATGTAAGCCAATGTGCAAATGGGAATAGTGTGATGTGCCATCACATGGCTAAGAATATTACGTTGAAAAAAAGATGAGTAGGTGTTTCCGGAAGAGCGCCGTTGCTGACAAGATCGTGAGGCGTCTCGTGAATCATATAATAGTGGATTGCGTGCGTAATTTTAGTGTGTGCGTAACTTATCGGAGCTCGTTATCATCCAGTAGCAGCAACAACAACAGTCAAATGCTTTTAATAGGCATCCTCATCGGTCCACTCACTACCAGAAATGATGCGGTTTCCTTCAGCGTCTATCATGACATTCCCTGAATGCATCGCGGGAGGGAGACCTCGTTGTCTCTTAATCTGATTGGCTTGCTGGCGCGAATACGGATCTTCTGGCGTGAATCGCTTGTTTCTTGCGGCTCGTACTTTGGCGTAGTAAGCATCAGATGCGTCTGGTTCCGGCTCGGAGTTATCGTCGTAAGTCTCCCAATTCTCTGATCCGCTCACCACTGTAGAAGTATTTGAGATCTGTCGTGGAGGAGGCGCTTGTGGGTAGGCGGACTGAGCAAGTCGCTCACTTTGCATAGACATTTGCGTGGGATGTGACCTTGTGTAAGTTTGGTATGAGTTTCGTTCGTATTCTCGGTCATCGTATACGTCCTCAGGTTCCACAGCTCGAACATGAATGCTTGAACCAAGACCAGCATTTCGGTATGGGTTGACTGGGGTCTCCAACTCCGGAGGTGGCCTTAGATCCCTCATCTTGGGAGGAGGTGCCCGTGTAAGAGGATGGCCGGGGCGTAGAACACCCTGAGCCCGTGATTCAGGTCTGGGTCTTTCGGGAGAATTACTACCGTGCTTGAGGTTCGACAAAGGAACTCGTGCTGGTATTCTGGACGGACTTCCCTTTGGATCTTTAGATGCCTGACTAGGAGGGGGGCCTCGCTTGATCGTGCCATTTCCATTCCCATTCGCGGTTGGCGTCTTAGACCTTGTAATGGTAGCTGCTTTGTTGGCATTGCTGTTAGCACGGCTAGGTGGTGCTGCTTTTTGTCCCCTATTTGCTGATGGAGGAGGACCTGCCGGTGTCTTAGATCTTGCGCCAGGGACTGGCCTAGCAGCTTCGGGTTCTAGAACATCTAAATATCTCTCGCCATGTACGAGGAATGGACGGCCATACTCGTCTTCCCACTTCTCTAGTAACTTAACGAGTTCTGCGGCTATTTTGGGAAGTTCCTTTGCAATTCTCTTTCGCAACTTTTCTTCTCGCAGCAACTTTCCGGGATCTCGCCTTTCTCCCTTCTGACCGCGCATCATGAGTCGGGATGCATCTTGACTAGATGCGGCAAGCTCATCTCTGTCGTGAACAAGGGTACGATGTTTATCGATCAGGGCCAAAGCAGGTGCTCGTTGCTCCCTTAAAGTTTCTAATCGGGAGATCTCGCGTTCATGGGCTTCAAGCAGCGCATCGCTGTAGACGTCGGAGAAAGCGGGCGTGAATTCAAGCATCTCATCCTCCGAGAAGTACAACGCGTCCCATAGCTCTTGAAGCTTGCATCGCGCATCTTCCACGAAAAGATGTAAGTTCTGGCGCTTGAGTTCGTTCAACCTTGCCAACTCATCCTCAAACTCGTTGATTTGTCGAACGCCACAGCCACGGTTGCCGTTCAGGAACGCCTTACGTTCCGGTTCTTCGACACCTAGCTTAACCCAAAGCGCTTCGACAGATGTTTTGAGGTCTCTTAGACGCTTCTCTCGGTTCTTCTTCTCGTCTGACAACTTATCCCTCTTAGTACGAAGCCTTGCTAGATCTTCCTCGTGTAGACCGAGTTGTTCGGGCGCGTCTCGGTAGTATTTTACGATCGCACCGTCCGTCTGCGCTTGAGGAGTGCCTAACTCCGCCCATAGTTGGATGATCTGCTCCGACATAGTCTTGACTGTGGAGACTCGTCGCGTATACTCTTCGTAAACTCTGGTGAATTCATCGTCTAATTTGTTGACATACGAAGGGGAAAGATCGAATGTCGGTGGTATGGACTCCTTAGGTCCTGTGGGTGGTAGAGCAATCTTTACGAAGGTTGGCTCGAGGTGGGATGAATAGGACTCGAGTGCCTGTACAAGTTCTGAAGGTGGGTTAGTATAGAGTTCCTCCTCTGCTACTTTCGTAGAGTAAAGTGATCACACTCACTCTTTACTTGCTCGAATCGCTCACGGTGAAGCTTGCTTATTTGCATATGCTTCTCTTTTAGTACCGTTAGGCACTTTGTGAGCGGGAAAGTGACGCGAAGGTCATCATCTTCGGTGCCATAGCCATGTTGTGACCTGGAACCATCGAGGGATGCTTCCATTTGTCGTATTATAGTAATAATTCGTTGCGCCTCGTCTAGTAAATCTTTCTTCTCTGCTGTTACCTGTTTTACTTGGTTGTTGAGAGTCTCGGAGAGAGCTGCGAAGAGCTGCGGGTTTCCCCTGTTAGTATCTGTGAGTGTGAACTTGGCACTGAGTCGCTTACCTCTGCTTCTCTAGTTTCGCGATCATGGTTGGCGACACCAATATCGTCGAAAAGACCATGTAACTGGCCGATTATTGTGTTTACTTGTTGGGAGAGGTAGCTCGCGTCCATCTTGAAAGCGATGTTGTGATGTGATAGCTAAATATTAGATATCTTGTATTCATGGAGTAGGAAGCGAAAGTAAAGGAGGTCAAGTAATTTGCAATTCGTGGCGCATTGACCTAAACAATCGTAATGTTGATATTGGAATTTTTTTTTCGTTGAGCAAACTAGTATAGCGTCTGTATTCGCGGTGGAAAAATGAACGCGCTCTTCTTTCTGGTTAAGCAGCCCAGAAGCTCGAATGACTCAGTTGACGCATCCCAGGCGATCAAAAGATAGACGAAAGTAGATTTGGTGGGATTTGCATGCGCAAAGGGCAGCGTGGCGCCGGGAATTAATGTGCAGAGGTTCGGCAATGTTCAATGCAAGTGATTTTGCAGTAGGAACGAAATTTGGTGATGTGTCTAGATTTAAGAGGCCGCTTGAGACGGTGTCTGGGTTTGTATCTAAGCAGCTAGGAAGCTAAAATGGAGGGGAAAATGCTGTGAGGTGCAGGTTGCAGGTGCAGGCCAAGGTAGTTCAACCAGGCAGGCAGGTAGGATCAACAATAACCGCGCAATATTATTTGCCAGTTTCGAGTAGTACGCTTGTACATAGGTTACACTCGCAATCACCACGGCAACAGCCTGATTTTAGCACAGTCCGTTTCAAGTTTGCCCCACCATTCAATCAAGATTTCTCGTGCTAACCTATCGATAAAGTTCGGTCGGCTCCAATCAAAACATAGCTGCATTTCCAAAAAGAGGAAACTTCAACATTTCTTACTATCGTCACCGCTATTTAATGTGTATTTGGTTGTCCTGCGCGTACGTACATATACGCTACTGTAGGTTTATCTTCATGCGCGACTTACAATACCAGGCATTGCCTCTCGCTTGCGTCGAGCGGGAAAAAGATGCAAGATTTTCTGCATGTCTCGGGCCTAACCTTTTATTGCGTACACCCTTAGCTACATGTGTATCATCAAAACAATTGCTTTTTTTTTTTCGTAGCGGATCGTCACAAAGTCTTCCGGCCTGTTCGTCCGTGCCATTCGTCAGCGGAGATTGCCATATAGTATAGTATCTATGCGCTTTTCTCTTGTTTTGGTCAAAATTCATTTACTTAATCAATATCATATTCTTAATTGGTTGCCAGTTGCATGCAAGGCTTTAGTATTGCTGCAATTATCATGAAAAATATGATATGATAATTAGGAACTGTGCCTACTACGTATTGATAGAAACTCCGTAGTAAGACAAAATGTGGGGCAGCTTCAACCAAAATTAGACTGAGACTTTAGGGTCTCTTCCGCTCTGGCAAGTCTTTCCGAGTGCGTTGATATAATCAATCGTCCCATTCGTCAATATTATGATTTGAACCCTACTTTAGATGGCTAATTTTGTCTTTAAATAAGAAGCACCAATGAATTTTAACTTGGGTTGTGGTCTGACCATACCGTTATTCCATTAAAGTTCGGTCGGTACCTAGGTATACTATAAAGTCCGGGCGTTCAATAGCCTTTTCGACATGCTAAATTGTTTAATAACCAAGCCCATTTAGAATTATCAACTATTACAACCCCTTTTTACAAGAATGAACATTACTGAAGCATATTATTCGTCACACTTAGAATTGTTTCTTCCGGTGTCGACGACAACAATTCAGAGCCCCGGCGCTCCTTTTCATGTGCTCTTCTTGGAGATACCCCATTTATTATATGGAGCCATCCAAGCCATCATGGATTCCCGAAAGAAGAGAAACGCAAGCGCAGCATCGTCCAAGCTTGAGTATACCTTATGAAGACATAAGAAAATTCTTCACTTCGGTGTCCTGATGAGCAATGGAAACAATTGGTTTGAATAAGGAGCACCAAACATGAGCATATTCGCTGTCGGCTAGGTATTACCTCCTTAGGTAGGTAGGTCGCACGGTACTTTTACATCTTTCGATTGGCGTTCTTTTATCTGAAAATTCTCAAGATCCGTTTCATCTTTTTATAACTCAACAAGAGTAGGTAGTTCATAATCCTGGGAAAATGGCTGCGCCGTACCTAGGGAACATATTAATGAGTAGCTACCTCCCTAGGTAGGCTACCTTGAAACAATGAATCAACGTCTTTCTCGGCGTATTTATTGTTTGCTATACTTCGTTCCTTGTCGATGTTCCACGAGCAGTTGGGATGACTAAGATGTTGGATCTTATCGGATACAGCAGTTAATCAGCCCCTTGCCCCTTACGTCACTCCTTAACCGAGGGTGATTCTCTACAAACGCCTCAAGGTCACAGGTTGAGGGGTGTTGGAGTGCGATTCGCCCTCTCCTTGGCCAGTCCAGTTATTCCCTTTGCCTTTTGTGCAAGCAGTAAGATGGCTTATCCGCGGGACAGATCCTTCGTTCAAGTTGGGCCTCCACAGGTGGCTTGAGCGATCCTAATTTCGTGACAAGGCACAGCTGAATGCGATAAAGACAACTGACCAATCATACAAACCAACCAGTCTTGCTGAGGCCATGTCGCTTTTCTCCACGTCATACCCTGTTCCCGGCCCCCCATCACCAATCCCCCCTGACAGGCTCAAGGCTGAACCGCCTTTGTGCTTATAATGTTCATCGACGAGGATCATCGCTTCACCGGTACCTAGGTAGTCAGCAGACTGGGGGCTATGAATACTTATAAGAACCTTGGGGTCGCAAAAATGCTGTCAACTTTACTTAATTCAGCCAGGGGATTTGCTTTTTCCCATGCGGTGATCTTTTATTCCCGCAGCCATTCTTTTATAAGCGTTTGATTATTTAGCAGTTTGCGAGAATAGCACACATTCATTATGAAGTTAAGCAGCGAGATTCTCGGTGGCCTGGCCATGGCCGGGTGCGCCATTGCGGGCACCACACCGCTGCGAAATGTTGTCTACTTTGACGAGTATGTATACCGATTGGTCTGAAGTACTGTGGTGGGCTAATTTCATACTAGATATCACAAGACTATCTTGCCCAACAAGAACGTAACTGCGGGCATAACCCATGTTGTCATGGCCTTCGCGAACTCGTCTCTTTTCACTGCCGAGGTGGCCGGCACTTTCGAGCCTTGGATGTCCGTGGACCAGATTCGAGCCATGTTCGACCGGGGCGCACAAGTCGGTATTGCGATTGGTGGTTGGGGTGATACCGCCGGTTTCTCTGCGGGCGCCAAGACGGATGCAAGCCGCAAGACCTACGCACAGAACGTAGCGAAGATGGTAGAGGAGAACAATTTCGACTTTGTAGACGTGGATTGGGAGTATCCGGGTGGAGATGGCGAAGACTACAAGCAGATTCCCAACTCAAACAAGACGACCGAAATCACGACCTTCCCCTTATTCCTCCGCGAGATCAAGACAGCCATTACCCCCAAACAACTCTCCATTGCCTCCCCCGCACGCCAACCCGACATGATCGCCTACACCGGCTACCAAGCCCCCGAAATATTTGCCGCCGTCGACATGGTCAACCTAATGACCTACGACATCATGAACCGCCGCGACAACAAGACCCTACACCACTCTTCCGTCAAGGGCTCTCTTGAAGTTGTTCAGCGATACCTAGACCTAGGTCTCGCGCCCGAAAAGCTTAACCTCGGCCTTGCCTACTACGCCAAATACTTCGAGACCCCCGCCAACAGCACCTGCGACCACCCCATCGGCTGCCCCATCGTCAAGGCCGAAAACGACGACGGTACTGATGCCGGTACCTCCGGAACTGTGACGTACGAGTACGCAAACGTACACCCAGCCTCCCCGCCTAACAACCTCACCGCGACTACCGACGGTACCTGCGGCGCCGGCACATTCCTAACCTGCTCCGGCTACGCCGACGGCGGATGCTGTTCCACCGCCGGTTACTGCGGTGACACATCCGCGCACTGCGGTCTAGGCTGCCAATCTGGATACGGCAAATGCACCGGTCCAAGTCTAACTTCAGCCTACGCCAAGGCCATCGCTAACGGCAAGCTCGACGAGGCAGAAGGCGGTATGTGGTACTGGGATTCCGAGGCGAACCTCTTCTGGACTTGGGACTCGGCCGATTTGATGCAGCGCAAGTTCCGCGAGATCATTGCACCGCTTGGATTGGGTGGTGTTATGGCTTGGAGTCTTGGGGAGGATAGTGCCGATTGGTCTCATGTTGAGACTGTTAACAAGAATGTCAAGGAGATGAGTGCAGTCGTGAATGTGCAGGGACAGAAGAGCCATGCGCGTGCTGAGAGGAAGTTGAGAGGCAGAGTTACTAGACCGCATGGTCGTCTGTTTGCGTAAGATGACTGATATATGAGTGGAAATTCGAAAGTTGGTAGAACGCAACGGCCAGCGTGCTGACCTGCATTCGCTTCTCGATGTATATTGTTTTGGCTAGGTAGCTCATAAAAATAAAACCTGGCTCGGCTTAGAGATTAAGTATTGATATTTGTGTGATGTGCGATTCTAACATTTATAGTGATGTCGTTAACCCGACATCAACGGGTTCCGGGCCTTCCCTACCTGTCTATAATACATCTTCATTATTCAACACATTAATCATAACAGGTCTCCCAGACTTCGGCCATATCCTTTACAAGATGATTCAATGTCTCGGCCCGCTTCGCCATTCCCCAACCGCATTCTCTCCCAAGTGGGATCATGAGGCTTAATTTCCTATTGGCGAATGCTCCTGTGCCATCAACAGCCTCGACAATTCGGTCAGCAACCTTGGCTGGTCTTGAAGCTGTGTCGAGGAATCCGGGCGCAAACAGGAATGTATGCGACGACTCGACACCCGTACCTTTGTAGAGATCTGTCAGCGGTACTAGAATACTAGTACCTGCTGGGTCGATGAAATCGGTGTCCATCATCCCGGGCTCGATGACTAGCACGCGGATGCCGAATGCAGCTACTTCTCCTTGGAGAGACTCGGAAATACCTATATACGGTTCGATCAGTCTAGTGCTAGCGCGGATATAGGGACCAGAGTGGCGTATTGGGATTTACCTTCGAGAGCGAACTTAGTTGCCGAGTAAGGTCCGAAGCCACCGTGTGCGCTAACGGCTAACGAGCTACTTAGGTTGACGATGGTGCCGGAACGGCGGGTTCGCATGGATGGTAAGACGGCTTTCATCGTTCGTACGGAGCCGGTGAAGTTTACCTTGAAGATATCTTCGATTTGCTGGACGCTACACAAGGTTGCTCAGCATAAGGTATCTTTAACTTAGCTGTTTAGTGGGGTAGACTTACCTCGTCTCCTCGATACTTCCGAATAAACCATATCCGGCGTTGTTGACTAGGACATCGATTCGTCCGTATTCGTCGATGACGGATTGAACCTTGGCTTCTACATCATCGCTAGCTACGTCCAACTGCAACCAACTTCCACCGAGGGCTTCGACTTCTGCGAAGGCGTCGCCGACTTTGGCCTTGTTGCGGTAGCCAGCGATGACTTTATGGCCAGCTTTTAGGGCGCTTTTAGCTATATGGAGGCCTAAGCTACGGGATGCTCCTGTGATGAGCCAGACTTGTTGTTCAGCCATGATGGTTAGAGACGGTTAGAGATATAGGTTAGAGATATAGGAATGAGATGAATTTATTCGAGGTTAGGAGTAGATTGATGGATATCTTCAAATTGATTCAACTTAATCTACCTAGCTATGGACAGGATTATATAGGAGTTATAAATACCGTGTTCGCTTATGAATACGGCCTTTAAATACGTTATCGCTCAATGTCAACTTTTCGGGCGACTAGGTTCCGAAGATGGACAGACATCCATCCGACTTCGAAGCTATACAATTAGTAGGTCACCAAAGTCAAGCTGCGAAGAACATCGGGGGTAAAGAAGAATGTTGGTTTGGAGTTGTCCTGCTATTGTTAAGTTTGGATGTGGTGATATTTATATTTTGGGAGGAATCCTTATCCCGTACTAACGCGGAGATATACTACTAACCACCCTCCATCAAACGGCAACTTGCATCCATCCGATAGTTTCACAAGCCTTATTTATATATGTGAACAATATTGCATGATAATTAGGCATCGTAAAGATAACTAATAACTACCTAGTATCCTCGTAAGTGTATTTCTAATCGTTTCGAAACTCGAACGGATTAACAGAGAAGATAGCGTTGACCTCTTATTCCGTCGGAGACATATTCGAAAACGACAGAATCGAAAATGTATCTCGATTCAAATTATACCAGCGATTTTATACGATAAAGAGCTGGTGCGCCTATTTCTGTTTACAATTGCTCCATAGAGAATAAAAAGTTGAAGAGTGTTGAGAATGAGTAAGAACATTGAAGGTTGAGCTTGAATGAGAATGTCCGGAGTACGTACCTCTAGATAGCCGGGAAAATATCGGTGACGTAAAGGTCTTGGCGCCAGCTATCCTTAACAATTTCTAGGGAAACTATACTTTTTTCATGTACCTGCATTAAAGCTTCTTCTGTCTACCTACAATAACCGAACCAATATCTACATGCCATCTTAAATTACAATTCATTGTTTTACTAATGCTTTCCCGGTAGCACTGCTGTCCAAGCTAGCTTGCCTACCGGTAGCTAGCTAGGGTATGCGTCCACAACCATGCGCGAGTTCATGGACTACATCCAATCGGCCTTCTACGCCGCCACGGGTTGGAATCGCGACAATAGCTACTCCTCGCTCAACGCTACGTCCGATGCCCTTCTTAACTTCCCAACCCCTCGCGGCCTTCGACTTACCTTATCCTCACTTGCGACACCGCAGTTCGCGACTTCGTACCAGCTCGGCACTGTAGGGATTGTGGATGGCTCAATATCGTATTTGTACTCGACAGTACCTCTCAATAATGCCATCGCACAAAGCGATAAGATGCCTCTACCTGACCTCTTAAGGAGCTACCGCCCACTTACCGAGTTACCTGATCGAACTGGGGAGGAGCAAGAAGGATGTTTGAAAAAGGATGGGCTTGGATACGGGAGGCTCTACCTCCCTGCGTCAATGCTGGAGGCATTGGTGGTTAGACGAATATCGCCTGCACTGCAATTGCAGCTCAGCGCTGTATCCGGCCAGGCGTTGAGAAATGGAGGTACCATATTGGGAATGGCGCAATATGACGAAGGCCGCTATGCGGTGGAGGGTCTTGCATCGACCGACGGTGGCTTGCTTGGAGTTCGCGGGTTGTATAATTTCGGCGGCGATGTTAGTCATTTGAATGCGCCGGCTCCATTGGCGGCTGTGAATGGGAACGGAGGAGGGAACGGTGAACGAGAACGTATCTACGGCAGATTCAGCACTGGTGGGGAGCTTTATTATGGGACACTGAATAAATCTGGTGGGATGAGTCTCGGAGTACGATTTGCGACATTACCTACACACAATGGCACTCCCCTCACAGCAACGATGACCCTCAATCCATTAATGGGAACTATTAGTTGGAGCTACGCGGTTATGGCTGGCAACTATTGTTCTCTTGCATCAAGAATGGATTTCAATGTCTACAGTTATGAGAGCGACTGGGCCGTGGGCATGGAACTATGGAGGAAAAAGGGCGCTTGGTCTATCGACAGAGAATTAGAGGAAGCGGAACCATTGCCATCACCAATAAGCGCTACACCAGAAAGGAGTTTCCAAGCGAAAATGGAATGGCGATTGGATGAACCCCTCTCAACCCCAGACACAGCTGAAATCCTACCACCTCCGGAAACAGTAGTCCAACCAAAGAAGAAAGAAAGAAGTTTCCAAGCCAAAATGGAGTGGAGGCTGGATGATCCAGAGGTGGAACCCAAGACGGAACCAAACGCCAATCAAGAAGATGATGAGTACTCAGGTGTTTTGAAGGCGCGCCTAGACCAGCATCTACGAGTCGGCCTGTTGTGGGAAGGCCGAGTCAAGTCCTTGCTTTTTAGTCTTGGCAGCAGCGTTGATCTACGCCGACCCGAATCCCCCTTTCGAACACTTGGAATGGAAGTACAGTTTTCATCATAAAGATACCTATTAATTGGCCAAGTCTTGAATTTTGCCTGTGGCTTTTATGCCGGATAACCGGTACGCATATTCCTGGTGTTCGTTGTGCGACCTAGCCTGGCGATGCTATTGAACAACCAGAAATTGGTGACACGGTCCTAATAAATACTGTAACGGTGGCGTAGTCCGGACGAGCCAGTCACAGCTAGGCATTGAAATCGCCGCGTACGAACAAAATCCTTCGCAAAGGCACCCTCTTAGTAGGGAATATTGTGCTACGGTTGCGCCGATAATTAATGCCCCCCAACGGTAGAGAAAGAACTCGAATTATAAACCATTTTCTCAAGCTCGAGGCTCCCCTTTTCGGCGTTATTCGGTGACACCGGGGATATGAACACCTTGATGGCTACTTAGGTCTGCAGGTTCGTCTACCTAGACCCCTGATTGACCCCAATGCGGCGCCATCTAAGAACCGTCTTGCTGTCAACCTTGGAACTGCAGGGACATGATTGGGATGGTACCCAATATGAGTTAGATACCACCTCCGTGGATATTAAATGTTCACCTACCTACAGGCGGCGCCGCTCTAGAATCTCACAACTCGATACGATCTTGGTCTCGCCGCAAAGGTACTTACCTGTCTATTGCGATTCCGAGTTTGAGCCCCCTTTTTTGTTGCGCCCAGTGAGCTATTGTCTTGGTAGCTTTACAGTCGGCGCCGAGAATGAGGCCGTATTGGAAGGAGCCCTCTTCGAACGAACAAATTCTCATCTAAGCGATCTTTACTTAGCTGCCCCACGTGGATCTTTGTTACGAGCCTCACAGCTGAGTGGATTCTCTACCCTTACGTATGGGATTGAATACACGATAGACGATTTGAAAAGGTAGATAAATGTAGTGTCACTTGTTGGCGTCACATTCATGTACTAGTAAAAGAATCATCAAAGAAATATATATGAGTGTGTATGACCTCATCCATTTTGGTTACATTTACGTCAAATTATAAAATCTGCAAGTAATGTCGAATACCGTTGTATCTCCAATGGAGGGGTTACATACTTGGATAGGTACAACCGGTACAGCGAAGGTGAGGTTCAGCTGTGGAGTAAGGTACGTACTGGAGGCTGAGAACCTTGATGGCCAGCTGAGGTAGAGTTTTGCGTTTGAGAACCCTGAGGGTCACGCTAATGCATGAGTTGCGGGTTGCGGTCATGCTCTAAACCTGTTTAGTATAAGGTAGCGGCACCAACCGACGTATCACAAGCCGTATAGCTGAATGGGGATTAGTCATGAGATCAGTACGTATCTGTCTAAGTACAAGGGACTTTTTTTTTCATCAATATTGGACGAAAATGAATCCACAACAAAGAGAAAATGCCGCTGAAGACAATTACCCCTCGGTGGGAACAAAGCTGTGTTTGTTACTTGGCGGTATGATTCTGCTTGGAATTAATATTACAATTGTACAATTGTATTTACCGCCGTCGCTTTTTTTACATTCGCGGCGTTGGTTGGTTATGTCTCTTTTCTGAGGGATGTTATGTCAGTCGGTGATGTGACTGACCTAAACACCAGGCCCGTCACAAAATGCATTACGTATTATAAGTGGCCGACGTTGCTTTTACCTTTCTACCTACGAGACGAGACAGCCGACCCGTGTGCACAATGCCGGTGATACGTTACCCACATAGGGCAGATTTTACATCTACCCACTACACGTGTGAATTAGACTTTATTTTTTACAATTCGCCGAAAATGGGTTTACTTTAGCCAAGTCATATGTGGTTGTCGGGTTGTCCCTTATAGAAAAAACTCCCGTCTAGGCGAAGAGAATGTCTTTGTATACATGTACTTATGACTGCTAGATGTAACTCACCAATCATCTGAATCATCCCGACCCATCCCACTTCCGAAAAGGGCTTGGACGCCCGACGGGACGCGGAGTGGATCTCTCTACATAAGCCCAGAAACCCAGTAACAAGGGACTGCCCAACCACCGAGTACTTCCTGCTGACAATTACAACGACTTTGTGCGGTGCGTTTTTGACCATCAAGGTTCTCATCTTTGGCTTGATCATGACAATTTTGGCGTTTGTGTCTTTTTTCTTCGTCACAAATCCCTCGCCGCTCTCTCAGTCATACACAAGCCCACATTAACCTAGTCTGCCCAACTAGAATGCCTGAAAAGTACTTATTGGAAGGAAATACATGGTTAATATACGAGCTGAAGTAGGTAATAAATGTCGTACACAATAATAATAGAAGTCGAAAGAATGCTACCTACGTATGTCATCCTGCCCTATCACTAGCCAAGTATATACAACAGTAATTTCTGTAACCATCCTCGTGGGACTTGATCATCTTCTTCCCTGCTGGTTTGCTTAAACAGCTTTTACTTGGCGCATCGAACTTTTTCAACTACGTACCTGGTATTTGGTAACAAGAAAAGAAACTATCGGGTTTCCAGTTCTATACAGCTTGACATCCCGCGCTAGGTTTAGTTACCTCAGTCTCAGTGTCTAGTCGTATTTTCGAACTAGTGTCTCATCGGCTCCATTCTCTAGAAACTAAGTCGACCCCGTACCTCCTTCGCATTTTTTTACGTGACGAGTCCCTTGTCCAGGGTTGACAGAAACACCAAGAAATCCATCCTCGAGAATTTTGTGTACAATATCGTACTTTTCTTTCTCTTCACGAACAACAATATTCGAACCTTTTGGAACGCCGTGGAATACAAAACTCTGTGTTCAAAGCAATACGCCTGGTCTGCGTCTGTCAAAACGCGCATTTTTCTTTTCGTCCGATTTTGTCATCATCATTGTCGCCGTCGCCGCCCAAAACACCAAATTCGTCCCTCTTGGCGCAACACTCGTCTCCTTTTTCGCCTAGATCGAACGAGAAAAAGAGGGTAATTCAATACCACTTTCGGAGCCGCTACCGTATTCTAACAAGTTTAGGGTCTCGAAACTCCAAAACTTGAGGGTACGATCCATCGATTTGCCCAATAAGTAAGGTACGTCTTTTTTTCCTCTTTCACTAATTTCGTAAAACCACCGCGCTCGCTATTTCCGTCTATTCAAGTTCGGTCTAGCAAATCCTAGGAACTGGGTTCGCATCGGGGGTTCCTTCTCTCAAGGGAAGTAAGCTTAGAGTTGTTGGTGGGAAGTATAACCCATCAAGGTTCTCTCCCATCACACCAATGAACTAAGACTTGCACCTAACGTACCCTAAGTTTAAGTTCCCTGAATAAGAAAACCCTTAGTCAACCTTATTCACTTGACAATAGTGGACAGGGGAATTGTTTTCTTTCATCTTAATTTTATTTTTCCAAACCGGAAGCAAGTATAACTACCTTGTTGGAATACCCTCTCTTGTCAACTAATACATATATCTTGACCATTCTTTGATTATTCCCTCTTTTTTTTTATAATAAAAACATCCAACATATTCATTCACCTTTACCGAGTTGCTGACAATATTTAGCTTTGGGGTTTCACTTGTCCAAGCTGGTGTAACCAATCATCCAACTAGCTTAAGGAGGAAGTCGCCCGTCTGTGGAAGGTCAACAATCAGTCACCATACTTGTAACACCCTAAAAAAATCATCGCACTTTCTTTTACGGCGATAATTCCTTCTACATCTCCTAATCAAATAAAAAATATTTCGCAATGTCGATACTATCCGCGGCGGTGGGCGCCGCCCTTCAAATACGGCAAGATGATGATTCTTCAGACGCTGCCCCTGAATCCGGCTTCAGTGTTACAGTCGATTGCGACACCGGTAACGAGTACGATGGACGGATGGGAGTACGAATCTCCTCTATTTTCGTTATCCTGGTTGGTTCCTTGATCGGCGCTGTCCTACCTGTCGTTCTAGCCCGTGGTACCAAGATGAAGGTTAATGGAACCGCCTTTTTCATCGCCAAATACTTCGGTTCCGGTGTCATTATTGGAACGGCGTTCATGCACCTTCTTTCTCCGGCATTCGACGCGTTAAAGTCTCCATGTCTCCCGGATGGACCTATTAATGACTACGACTGGGCAGCCGGTATCTGTCTTATGACCGTATTCGTTATGTTCACTATTGAACTTCTCGCTAGCCGTTTCGACTTCTTCGGCCACGACCACTCCGAGGCTCAAGCTATCGACCCGTCGCTGGATATTCTTAAGAAGGGTGGCCAGACTTCGCCGTCGCCTGTCCACAGCCACGGCCATGATCACGATATCGAAGCCGCTCCTGCTACCAAGGAAAGCGGGGCGAATACTGGTGACAACAGCATCAACCTACCTACCGACGTCTCCTACCCTCCTGGTGGCGAAGATCACCTCGGCCACCAGCGCGAGCATCGTGACGACAACAGCCACACTGCTTTCGCAGCACAAATGACCGGTCTCTTCATCCTTGAGTTCGGTGTCGTGTTCCACAGTATCTTCATCGGACTTACGCTTGCGGTCTCCGGCGACGAGTTTAATGTTCTATACGTTGTATTGGTCTTCCACCAGACCTTCGAAGGCCTTGGTTTGGGTTCTCGGCTGGCTACTGCCCAGTGGCCCCGCTCCAAGGCTTGGATGCCGTATGTACTAGCTCTCGGATACGCGGTTACGACACCCATCGCGATTGCGATTGGTCTAGGAGTTCGTGCGACGCTGCAGCCTGGAAGCCCGAAGACGTTGATCATCAATGGCGTTTTCGACTCGATTAGTGCGGGAATTCTGATTTACACGGGTCTCGTCGAATTACTCGCTCACGAATTTATGTTCAACTCGTATATGCGAAATGCCGGGCTGAAGGTTCAGCTCTTCGCTCTTGGATGCGTGGCACTAGGTTGCGGATTGATGGCTGTCCTGGCGGAATGGGCTTAAGCTAGAAGATGATGGGGGTGGAAATGGGAATGATTTCACTGGATTAATACGATATGGATGGCGAATGGAACTGAACTGGGCTAATCCCGGTAATTTTCACGGACACGGACGGTACATAATGCGGCAGGGCTTTCTGCATATATCATTTTCCAGCCCCCTCCTCCCCCGTCGTGTAACTATGAGTCTTACACATAGGGTAGAAACGAATGAGCTGTCAACTTTTCGGTGTACAAGATTAAAGAATAAAAATCTGCGATGCTGTACAACTTGGCTGCCCGGGCGGGTCACTCGGTGACTTGTGCCGCCCGGAGTTTGCGGGCAACTGCGTTTGAAGCAATGCTTCTAGGTATGAAAAGGATAAACTATAGAATTGATTATAAACATGTATAAGGCATTATTCTCCCCTTTGTGACTTGAAATAGATGTCTTCATTATTCTTATGGAAATTGTGACATGTAAACACTGCTATTATATCAGCTGCCCACACTCCTGGTACCTGTTTGCTTTTTATTCTCTATTCTCACACTCGGTTAACAAGACCCCCGCACGCCACAAAAGACTTGTCACTTTTGAAGTTATTCTCCCACGCTGTATCTAGCCAGAAAAGCAAATAGTCTCTATCATAGTACCACTCATGAATCCATGTTAGCGGTTCAGCAGTTCCATCTTGCTGTTTGGATACACTACCTGGCCGCCTGGTTGGTCCTTCGGGGCAGGCAGCATCTCTGCCCTTTTCCCTAAAGGTGAGGCGTTCATTCTCACGATCATGTAGGTACCCTTGCAATGGTCTTGTTTGACTATAAACATAACATCATTCTACTGCAACTTGCCGTTCAGCCCCTTCGTTTTACTTCACCCGATGTACTCTAGCTTATAATAGGACTTGGTGCTATCGCTCACACTGTCTGGGCCACTATGTTGCCTGTCCTTCTCTTGTATAATGACATAGATAGTGGTGTGAATATTATTGTGCCTCTCCCGAGGACATATAGTTCCCCTGCTTCTATTATTACACTATCTCCATCGTGATCGCTAGTGGATCTAGCACCACTCGCTATTATGTCTTACCTCATGCCAGCACCAGAATCTTTCTCGCCGTATATACCTCAACCTCATCGTTATTTTCATTTGCCGAATGCCATTGGAAATACCGGTGTTCCTCTTCCCCCTAGAAATATGAACAGTAGCCGCGTCGCCGTGGCTACGGAACTTGGTCTTAAGCCGATTCATTTAGCTTGCCTCTTAGGTGATTACGAACAGGTTCTGAGGGAATCATGTATACAGATTGCTATCGATATGCCTACGGAGCCGCAGATGGGCTTGGAGTCGCGGTCGAAGGAGACGCCGATGTGAGTAATTATTCTGTGTTTAGAATCTATCTACCCTCTTAACTACTAAAACCAGTAAACGAAAATGAAAATGTGCCAACTGTGATATTGCAGTAAACTCGCAGCCCTAATGGGTCATCTCAATATCGTCGAGTTCTTCATGCAGCGAGGCGCCTCATTAGCCCACGATGGTTTACATGCTTCAGTTTATGCTAAGGAGGATGGACTCGCGAAACGGCGTAGGGTGTTCTTTCTGGAGGGGGTTAAAATTGGACGGGAGCATCCGGATGCGGTTAATACGAGGAAGACTATTTATGATATACTGTCTTCTCCTGGGCGGAGGAGTGTGCTTAATGCAAGTAAGTCCGGATGACTCTTATTTCTCCCTATTTTCACATCTTGCCTTTCATTTTAACCTGCTCGAGAGATGACCAGTACTGACGATGTGTCGCCGCGATAGTGAGAAGTACTCGAGCCGACCTCGGATACCCCGACTACAAACTCGCCAAACAAGGTCGATACATCGCGATCTACGCCCCCGTGCTCCGCGTCCGCACCGACATATACCTCGACCGGAGTAAAACAATCGGCGTGTTAACATCGAGCAAAGGCGACGGTGCGGTCCTCATGACGGCGCATAGCGGGTATAAACCCGGTGGCGGGCGCGATGAGGATAAGTGTCTGGATACGAATCGCTGGAATTACATCGCGTTGCATCATATCGCGGCACGGTTGAAATTCGTGTTTCCCGGGAGTAAACATGATAATGCGAGTAAAACGGCTAGTGATGAGCATCGCGGAAGAGCGCATGCGGGGCATGTGGAGGTGCTCCTGGCTTCGTGGTACGCGATTGAGATGGTGAAGAGGGAGTTTGGAGGTGAGATTAGGGAGGATGGGGTTGTGGATGTGGATCAGGATTTGGAATATTTATTGGAGAGGTTGAGGAGGTTGAAACATATTGAGTTGGGGAATAAGCGCTCGGCGGTTATTTTTATTGATTCACAGCCGTGTAATCCGTGTCTGAGGTTTATTAATCGGCTTTTTCAACATACGGGGTTGTGGTTTACGGTTCAGGGTGCGGCGGGGATTGGGCCGACGTTGGCTACTAAGAATGATACGGGGGTTAGGTATGATACTTTTGGTGATGTGTTTGAGGACTCAGAAGATGAAGGAGAGGATGATCAGATGATGGTGCAAGAGGAAGAGGATGAGGTTGATGCTATCGTTGGATTAGGGGCTCCTGCTGAGATTGAGGAGACTACGATTATGGCTACACTTCCGAATCCGACTGGCATACGCGATACGACGGAGGGTGATGAGACTATAGCGCAAGCGGCAAGTGAGGCGTTTTCACGAATAGCTAAGTCTCGAGCCCCAGTTCCAGAACCGGAATCGGATACCGATCTCGATACTGGCGACGAATCGACACACCCTAATACACCAATCGCCGCTCCTGCGCGTGCGGAACTCGAGACTCCAAAACGTCCACGTATGCAATGGCCACTCCCAGAGAACCGAACACCCAGAACCCCTAAAACGAGAGGGGACTCGTGGGTCTTGGATACGCCGTCACGGAAACCCGAGAATCATCTTGAGTTGTTGGCTGAGTATAAGAAAAAGACGCCGGTTTGGAATTTCCCAGGTTACGGGACAGGCTCCCAATCCCATTATTTCCAACAACGGCAGCCACCTTACCCGCCACCTCCGCCGCCGCCGCAGCTACCGCGAAATTTTAGGGCCCCTATGGCACCCATGGATCATGAACGGGTTGCTAGTGTGAGTGGGGATGCGATAATCGTGGATTTAACGAACGATGGGGATCCCCGCGATGACTTCGTATCCCAGCCTTCAATGGCTGAGAATGGTGTCCGGATGAATAATCATGATAATGGTACATCGACACAAAACAGCGAGGGATTCTCATTTAGTAGTTTCGCGCCGGCCATATCTCGTGAGAGAGATGACACAGGCGCAGAGCAGCAGCAGTCACCGCAGCCCCAAGCAAACCCGACGCATCAACCCCCGGACGTCATCATGCACACCGACAGCGACGAGGACGCCGAGGGCGAAGATGACGATTACTACTACGTCCCCACGCAGCAATGCACGCAACAATCCCATATCAGTCCAGCTAAGCAAGCCCCACAAACCCAACAACAAGACGAAGACAAGGAAAACGTAAGCCTAATATCAACACCGTGCCCCGTCCCCAGCGCAGCAAATCTAATAGAACAATGGCGATACCAACCCCAACCTCAACACCGACCCCGGCTTCACCAACCACAAGCCCAGCAACCGCAACAGCACGCCGCTGTACAGTTCTGGAGTGGTGGAGGATGGGTGATGAATCCAACTGAGATGAATTATAGTAAACCAGTACCGGTGCCGGAGCCGTATGCGGTGGGGCCTGTGGCTTCGGATGAGGGTATGAGAGGGATGGAGAGGTATGAGTATACGACGAGGAAGAAGGGGAATATGTATGCGGGACAGTTTGTGAGTCCGTCGATTGATGGGCCTTGTGAGTGGTCTTGAAGATTGGGATGACTATTATAGACTCTGAGAAGGTTTGGATGAATTGGGTGATATAGAATTAGGATAATATGAAAGAACGGAGATTGGAAAAGCATACCATAAAATGGAGATAGGAGTCTGTTAACGCTGTTCATTCATTTCCGTAGTGCAATGCTCGATTTGCGGCATGAAAGAAATAGACATCACGATGCTTTGGTCACTTAGTTTGGAAGATTTGATCTGCCATGGGGAAATGCGAATGCAAAATTCGCCAATCAATTCATTCAGCCATTTTCAGACGCCGTTCCCAGAGACCTATGCTACCTAATCCGTAGTAGTAGTGGAATCATTTCTGCATGGTATCATATTTACTCGTCGTCTTCGTCTTCCTCCTCAGCCTCAGCGGTAGTCTGGGCGATTCCTACGATCTAGTTAGTATATACGCCGGCAATGATGTTGGAGGTGGAGGGAGGCATACGGTCAAGATCTCGCTGGCCGGATTGGGTGATGCGTCGGCCACCTTGCTCCTCATCCTGCTCTAGGACACCAATCTTCTCAAGAGCCTGGAGGATCTTGCGGTCGACGCTGCCGGAGGCATCGACGTGCTTGGAGGGGCGGGTACCACGGTTCTTGGCGTTACCGTGGACCTTGCGTAGGCGACCGACACCGACGGTCTTGCGGAGGTAGACGTGTCGGGCAACGCTGGCGGCACGAACGTAGAACCAGTCGATGTTCTGGGGGGGAAGCTCTCGCGAGGCACCAGTCTTGACGGTATCGACCCAACCTGTAATTATATTAGTATTCGATAATAATCTTGGGGGATAGAAAGATTAATACATACCAGGGATGGGCAGCTTGCCCTGTCGCTTCAAGAAGCCGGCATACGCGTTGATGAACTTTTGCGCCTACAAAATCGGAAAGAAACCCATCAGCAAATATTCCGTCATCAGAAGTCTTGCGACCCCCTCGCGCCTGCCCTCAAGATTTCTCCCATTGCTGCTAGCATTGTTTCCTTTTTATGAGTCCCATTGCTGCTGCTGCCGTTGCTATTTATTGTCGCCTTGGCTGGGATAATTTCTCGATTATTGGAGTATTGTGTATATATGCGCGCACGATCGAGGGTGGATGCACTACATATTTTTTATCTGTGGATGAAGAGACCTACATCAACGTCGCGAACAGAGACTCCTCCAGTCATCTTTGCGGTATTGAATTTGACTTTTTCGTTGTCGGTTTAAGGAAGGTTAGTCGTTGGATGGTTCGACGTTCACGCAAAAAGTTGGCTGAGTGCGGAGGAGAGGGATGTTGAAATTTCTCGTGAAAATTGATTTGGCAGTTTCGGTAGAAAGACTATTGAATTTGATGTGGGGCCTCGCAAGATTTCCAGCTAAGATTAGGGTAAGCCCTTCTTCTTGCCCGCTAAAATTGAAAGTACCCAAGTACCTAAGGTACTGATTACATAATTCCAGCATGAGAGGTGGGGATATCCGATGGACCGTGCACTTTGATCCAGATCTGGGGTCCACTTTTGACGGGATGACACCATGGACCTCCCTGTCCTTTAAGTTTGGGGAAATGTCTGTCCGTCTTATCTTTTTCATCCCCTTCATTGAAACTTAACTGTCATGTTCCTAACCTAACCTAAAGACTCTTCACTACCAACGTAACTATTTCTATAATATCTACATTGCTTAAGTTAAGCTAATAAAACATCATCACCTTATCCATATCCACTTCCCATTTTCTCGATCATTGCCTAGGAGCAAACAGACGCCACAATATGATTAATCAAACTGATGCTTTGTATCTCAACTGTTTTGATTCAGTATTCGATATTTAGGTAGGTATGCGGGTACCGTTCTGTCTAGACGTACTCCTCTTGAAACCTGGCTAGAGGGGTGTATATATCTGTGAATAGCCTCATGCACAGAGACAATCCACCATACAATACGCCGAAGGCGGTCATTCACGCATATCGCTCGGGACCACTTACTTCTTGCCAGTATTAGCTTTTTGTCATAAGGAACGGATATTAACCAAACTTTCAATAAAAAAATTGCCCGACTATTGTTCTACTAGGTAGAACCATCCAGTATACCATTCAACCTTATTCCATTCACTGCCTTATATATAACTCCTTCCTCTATTCAAAATGTGTCAAAGACTGAGGTCGGTAGTAACTTGGTTGTCGAACCTTCATATCTCATCACACTCTTGTTTTGACCCTAACAACTGCTATCTGGAGTATTCTCCCACTGGGGTTTTCGTCGCGACGAAAGATATAAATTTCTATGACGGATACATAGAGGGTAGGGGCCGCCTGGGCTACTGGTTGGCATCTTGGTTTAAGCGTGTGTCCACCTATCCGAGATCCCCTCTCGGGCCGCGGCGGGAATTGCCCTTTTTACCAGTACTCCTAGCCGTCGCTGGGTACTGGGAGTTACACCTTGCATTCGACGACATTAGCGCATTTCGCGTGTACGGCCCAATACATGTCGGAGAGACTTGGACTTTGGACGGTGCGTATAAATTGCTTGCCGTCTTACGCATTTTATGCAAAGACTGGATAGCAGGCGAATTCCGAACTTGGGTGGAGACCCTTATAAACAACCACCCCGAGCCTGATGAAGAGGTCACCACAGTTTCCGACGATTGACTTGCTACCCGCGACGATTCATTCCTGTAACTATCTAGTTACTATCTTTCAACTGGAGCTAATGGGACTTGGTGATAAATATATCGAACATAATTAGAGCGATGATCGAGAACAACTCGCCTGAAGGCATATTTTTGTTCGGCGATCACGCAGCGTGATACTTGGTTCCGGAGTAACTATGCCGCCAACAAACGCGGTGTTACGTGAGAAGCTATCGATTACCCGTTATGAAACTCCGATGCCGGTTAAGGTGTTTTTCTATTGGGTTGGGGTTCAAAAAGAGGCGTTTCAAGGGAGGGTCTTCTTTCTCTTCTTCCTTCTTTTATTTCCTTCTTTCTTTTTTTTTCTTTTATGGTTTATGAGAGATTCGGGCGGTAGTTGTACGTGCGCACCCCCGCCGCAAATATTAGAAGGTGGTCTGAAGTTGGGTCGCGTAACTATGAGGCCAAATCTCACCTGGTTGAATGACTTGAGGATTAATGATGCATAATTGAGTGTGTGTTTGCGTTATATGTGTTGCGGGAATTTAAGGAGAATGATTCTTTTTTAATGGTTAGCAAGTAGTTACGATCGACCTGTGCCGCATGTGTCGTATACAAATCAAATTATACCTGGATAAGGTGAGCATCACCCACGTGACTCTTTCTTACCCTACTTATTAAAATGAGGAACGGAGTTGTTGGTTTGGGTTGTTAGGTAGGATTGGTAATCTTCTAGAAATGTTCGGTATACTAAGGATTGAGAACGTATTGTCTGAGTGCGAAACTGATAAACTATCTCGTTCTACAATATGAGCGAAATAAAGCTCACCTCTGACGAGTTGAGGCAAAGGGTCCTCTCAAATACAGGGGCGGATGGACACCTCAAGACTGGGGAATTCGAAATCGATGCGCGGACCGTTGCGATTCTAAGCAAGAGACACCAGATTAGTGTAAGCATGCTCATGTACCTGGCCAAATGGGATTGCGCTAACTGCCCGGCAGAAGAACTTCGGCTTTACGTCTATGTTGAGTTTCTCTACGACGGTTCTAGTGTCTTGGGAAGCTTTCGCAGTGTGAGTGTAGCAACCCAAACGCTAGGAGGCGTCATCTAATGGACCGTATAGAACTTTTCAGGGTGGCCTGGTCAATGGAGGCCCTTCGACTTTGGTATATGGATTGATATTCTCATTCTTTGGGTCTCTGGCAACCGCGGCTTCACTTGCTGAGATGGCGTCTATGTGAGTGCAACCGAAATTACTGAGCCTAAGACAAGGACGCGATAATTGACAAGTACTTGCTAGTTCACCCACTTCAGGAGGTCAATATCACTGGGTCGCATTGCTGGCACCTCGTCGCTACGCCGTACTCTTTAGTTGGTTTGCTGGTCAGTCATCTCTTTGATACCTATGTCTTGGAAACTATTCTGATACCGCGAAGGATGGATCACAGCGTTTATGCGAATTGCAGTAACCGCCAGCGTCGCCTTCTTAGCAGCGACGATGATTCAGGGGCTAATCATTCTGAACTACGCCGATACGTACGTACTCCAGCAATGGCACGGTACGTTGATGTACTGGGCTGTTACACTCTTCATCGTCCTAATTAACATATTCGGCGTTCGATTCTTGCCTCATATTGAGACCTTGGCTTTGGTCTTACATGTGGTCTTCTTTTTCTGCGTTCTGATACCGCTGGTGCACTTAGCCCCGCATAGCTCTCCTGAATATGTATTTCGAACGTTCGCGAATGACGGTGGTTGGAAAGGTGATGGTATTTCTTGGTGTATTGGCTTGCTGACGTCTACATATGCGTTTTCTGGTGTTGATGGGGCTTCGCATATGGGTGAGTAGGCTCAACATTGGTAACCCTGAATCTCGAGTTACCCGAGAGCTAACGTCAAAGGCAGCCGAAGAAGTGGATAACGCAGCGATAGTAGTCCCGCGAACTATGATATGGAGCATTGTTGTGAGTGGAGTTCTATGCTTTGGAATGAGTATAGCGATTCTATTCAGTATCGGAGATGCGAATGCGGCGTTGGAAAGTCCGACAGGATTCCCGATCATTGAAATTTTCTTCAATGCTACTAAGTCTTACGCAGCAACGAATGCGATGGTTTCGGCTTTGATTATATCGATCTTTTTCTCTGCCTTGGGTTTACTTGCATCCGCTTCTCGGCTCATTTGGGCTTTCGCTCGTGATGATGGGTTACCGTTCCCTCAGTACTTTTCCCATGTAAGTCATTCGCTAGGGCTTTTATCTAAGATACATTGACTCATGAAAGCATAGATTGACGCTCGATTCGGAATACCAGTCCGCGCTCTCTTATGGAGCGCCTTCATAGTGGTGATCCTCGGCTTGATCAACCTAGGATCAACCACTGCGTTCAATGCGATGGTATCACTGGCTCTACTCGGCCAATACACAACATATGTACTTCCTACGATTTTCATTCTTATTCGGCGCATACGTCCAGGCAAGAATATCCCATTTGGTCCGTGGGAATTGGGCAGATGGGGCATTCCGATCAACCTGTTCACCATTGCCTTTTCGTTCCTAACGATCGCATTTAATGTGCTCCCACCTTATTTCCCCGTAACTGCTACGAACATGAACTACGCCGGCGTGGTATTCGGAGCAGCGTTAATTATATGTGCTGTGTTGTGGGTTTTCAAAGGGCAGAAGCACTACGCAGGACCGATTAAAGAGGTTATGGAGAATAGGAATATACGGTCGGCGCTTTTAAGGCAGGGAATTGAAGCCTCACATAACCACGATGTAAAAATCGTGGCTGCTTGAATTGAGGATCTTTTATTACTAAAGACTAAACAGCGCATATCTGCGGCAAAGCGTACCAAAAGGAATAGCCAATCTTTGCCTGGAGAATGGAACGTCAGCATCTTCCCCCGCTTTCATATTACGAATACGATATTACTATCTCGAATATTTTTATTAAGATATTTCGCATTGAGTATATTAGCTTTGCCAATGGGCAGTCTTAGCAATGGGTTCTGCGAATAAAGTAAGCGTTGCCTTACTCTCGGACGAAGACATACCAACATGTTTCCAAGTCGTGTCAAAGAGCTTCGGCCACGATGCGCCATTCGTGGATATATACTTCCCGAACCATGACACGCCTTCGGGTCAAGCGCAAGGGTCTAAACGTTTATTAGCGTGGAAACAAACTGACCCGAGCTCCACGTTTTTGAAAGCGGTTACACAGGCCGGTCCGGATGGTCCGGAACAGATTATCGGTCTCGCGGTTTGGACGCTTATGAAGGAAGCTCCGGAGGCGGAGCTTGAGAAGGCGGAGAATGTTGAGGAGAATTGGCCGGATAGGGATGATCGCGAGTTTATGGCTCGGTTGTGGAGGGAGTATGTTGCACCGCGGTCTCGGATTGTTGAGGAATCTGGTGGGAAGGGTGTTTATGGTAAGTATGGTATTAATTCAGGGGCTTGACGTGAGTCTGATATGTTCAATACAGTTCTCGAATTGCTGGCGGTCCATCCGGATTATCAGCGTCTAGGGGCGGGCGCGGCTCTTGTTGAATGGGGGACTAGTGCTGCGGATGAGCTGGGACTTAAGGTAATGATATTTCTTACCTATGTCATCGGAGTTTTTATGGGCTTCTAGAAGCTCTGACTACATCGCATGACAAGAGTTGAACTAATCATCATGCTCTATAGTCAGTCGTCGAGGGTACTCCGGTAGCACGGCGACTCTACGAGAAATGCGGATTTCGCGTGGAAATCGAAGAAATGAGATTCGACACCGGGAAAGAATTCGCCGCAAGGAGGAAACCAAAGCTAATATTTATGACAAGAGCCCCCGAATCATAGGAGCTTCAATAATTGCCAAGGAATTCATTGTATTTTATTATGAAAATTCACCTATATCCACTCTTTATCGTCGGCGCGATTCTCTTCAAGATAATCGTATATCTCTTCATAGTTCTTACACACATGCTTAGCATCCCATCCGTCACTTCCGTCGAAACCTGCGGGGAACGTGGTCTGTTCTCCCTCAAGAGCGACATCACCGCAGCACATTATGCTCTGTCGCAAGTAATCGAAGCAGTGCGTTAGGTGCCATGGTGTTTCTTTGGGCACTCTACTGGTGTCTGAGGTAAGTGCTGAGTAGGCTTCAGCAATAGCGTACTATTCTGGACCGTTAGCTTCGCCCGAAATGCCGGGCGGGGAGGTGGGAATCACCAAGCAGTGTAGCTGATGCGTCATCGCAGAGGTTACGACGAATTGATCCGGGTAGGAGTTCAATTGAGCAGGGAGGTTGTCAAAGTCCTCGGGCTTCTTGATCTCAAGGTAACCTAGACCCTCTGATAACGCGAATTTAGTTAGCTAATTATTTGGAACAACTTGGAATTATATTGACTTACTCGGCACCAGATCCAGCCACTTTTGTTTGGTCTCATCCGAAAAGAATGCGGATGTGTTCTCCGGCACAAATTCCGGATCCGGGGAGAAGGTCGTGATTTTCTGCGAAAACTCCGGAGCGAACCCGGTCAAATCACCTGCGCCCTCCCAGAAATGGATTTTCCCGCGCGGTCCCCAGCTATTTCCTAGGACGAGGACGATGATGACCAGTAGAAGGAATGTGTCGACCAACCACCAGTATTCTTTCAGTATAGAGAGTAGATCGCTCTTCTTTTCTTCCTTTCCCATTCGCGCCGCCGTCGCTCCATGCATATAGTCCTTCTCGTTTAGGTCGAGCGCCTCGAGGTCGACGTCTGTGCTGCTTGAGTCATCGTGGTCTTCTTCGTGGACGACGGGGAGTGTGCGGTATTGTTCTCTTGATCTTCGGTGTTGATTCATTTTCATCATTTTTCTAGGAATAAAATACAATCCAAGGCTTTTCTTGATCCGACTTGCGGAATAGTATAATTATTAAATTGATAGTACAGTTGAACAGAAGGCAACCCGGCCCTACGAGAAAAAAACGAATTCAATGGCGTCAAGCCCGACGATGTACTAGACGAAACGAGCGAGAAGTTGAAAACAATTGAAAACGAAAAGAAAACTAGCTTACATTGGGATGGGGTGAAATAAAAATAAATCCCATCATTTAGAGATCAGACGATTAAGAATCCTTGCCGTTCTTAGTCTTCTGCGACTCTTGTTGTCTCCGCGACGTTTCAAGTCGCGGCGTTTGCGTAGCGTATCCCTTATTGAGATCACCAAGGTGTATCACGTTTCTAACAGGCTCGCTAACTCATTCTTTTGGCTAATACATAGTAAGATCATAATAATTGGCTTTGTTGGTATATGGTATTTCTCATTTACAATATTTGCAATTGTCCGCCTTTAAGTGCCTCTAAGCTTGGCATAGCAATCCAGGTGGGTCAGACCTCGATTATTGTCCATTATATATCATATGATCGACTAATATGATGGATATTACTATGAAATCACTATTGTTGGCCCCGAAACTGGTTCGAACGATACCCATTATAATGGGTGAGTGTATATCCGGAGTTGCCATTCCAGTGGTTAATGATGAGTAACCCATACTTAGAGGCGTCCCCTCGATCATAGCACGTATCTCATAAATCACGAATGCCACTTACCTTTTCATTAGGTTATGTGGCGTTCCCCTACATAGGTGATTTAGGTCGGTTAATGGCTCGTGAGCGATCACCCCGACCCGCCATTTTCGCCTCCTTTTCTTAAGCTGACATACCCATTACGAAAGGCTGCGATGTGACATTAGTTAGAGATTCCATGGTGATTAGGCACATTTAGCTCGAACCAATGTGCAACTCACCTCCAGGAATTAACGCCGCAGCATACATGGCCAAGTTGATCGGCCGTAGGTCCTCATCCGCTGTGTCAAGGAGCTTCCCTTGCCACGCATCCAGAACAGTTTCCGTGCCTACGTGCAATGGCTGCTTTGGATCCTCCACATAGCATTTAATTCCAAGACAGCCGCCAAACTCGCGGAATGCGAGTCGATACGGTCGTCGGCTAGCAGTCACTGGGCTCTGCGCTGCGGGTAGAAAGCGCCCTCCCGCGATAATAAGACCCTCTCTAGCAAGCTCGCGAGACCATTCTGCGTCGCGATTGAAGTGACTGATCCACAAGCTCATACCGAGATCTAGTGGATCCCCAGATAAAGATTTAGGGTGACTGTCCATGATTCGACGGTAGTGTTCGATCTCCGTGTTTAGCGATGGGGTTGGAGATGTGCCGTTAGTGGTGGCATTGTTCTGGTTAAGTAAATCTGCTGTATCCTGGAGTAATTGGTATATAACAAACCCATCTATGTCATCTAGATGGCCCTTGCTACCGACGAGGGCGTGGTGCATGTCCATCGAGACCTTCCATACCATGCTCTCTTGGCCACCCTTTTTCGTCATGAAATGTGGATGGATGGCTTTTGCTAGCTGGACCGCAAGGTCGTTCCAACGCGGTTCGCCCGTTGCCAATGATAGTCGGTTCAATGCGAACATCCAGAGAGTTAGGTAATGGTGATATTGACCATCGCCATCAGGACCATCTGCATCCAATTTCCCAATTCGCAGCCCGCCTTTCAGGGGTTCCTCGTCAGTTGCCCCCGGGAGCCGCGAAGTACCGTCCCGTGTACGACCAAGGACGGAGTGAACCGTCTCAGCTAATCGCCTAGCTAACCCTAAGTAGAGCTCTTGTAGCTTCACCTCGTCCTTCTCACGTTTTTCGCTAGATAAAGTAATAAAATTGATGACCCCAAAGGCATCTGTCCATAGATACCGACCGCGATGCCCTCCAGCACCTGGTGTGATAGGAGGTTGCCAGGACCCAGGGTTAGGGGTATCTATCGGGTACGGCCCGTAGATCCTTTGCATCGCCTCTTCGAAGATAACAAGTTTTTTGTCTTTGGCATTCATTGCGATTGAAGTTTTATACCGCTTTGATAAATTGGGAGGTATCTTGAGAAATGTTGAGAGCGAGAATAGAAGCTGTCTCGACGCGTGCCATCTACAAATCAAAGCAACCCTTCGAAGAGAACGCATCAATATGTTAAAACCACAGGTTTCATACTACTTCCGACTTTTTTTCTTGGAATAGAATATCGACCGACCGCGAATATAATTGGAGTAGAGAGCCATTCGTTCGATCGGATAGGTGGAGAAGATCCTCGCCATTGCTATTGTGACGCAACGATTACGAGTAGGAAATGATTTTCGGAATGTCATCATGATTCAAGTATCTCCATCCAATCTATGCATTATTGATGGTCAATCCTACTCGACTGTTACAAATTAGGTAGCTTTTACATTCTGGCTCTGAGGTTTTACAGCGTTGATTTGTTTTCTCATGACAATTGCGTTGTTTGTTGACTGTACCCAAACAAAGGGAATGGGCAGGGACTTGTATTTTGTATGCACGTCACTACTCTACTGTTAGAATACAGTCCTATTTGAGGCAACCAAATATTCGTGCTTGATATTTTGTATAAATATAGCTGCATAACCCGCTGCATTTTATCGAGTTCTGGTCCTCACAAATAACTTCCGAGTAAATTAGTGTCATAAATCTCAATATGAATTTTATCGACATCTACATACAAATTTAACGAGCGATTATAAACAGAAACGACAAGATGGCTAGTATGGCGACATACGACAGCCATGATCTATATTACCTCCCTTTCTCACTCGACGTTGCTCGAAAGATAGGGGATCATATGGCGGCGCCGTTTGAGCTGATGAAACTTGCCCTTGTATGCAAGCAGGCGAGACAGGCGATCGACACTACGGAAATGGTAAAGAAAGATATACAAGTCCAGCGCGAAACTACACGAGAAGACTTAGGTAGAAATGACTTCAGTACTGTAGACAGGAGATTAGACTACGAAGAAGACTCGGAATCGGAATCGGACTCAGACTCGGACTCAGACTCGGACTCAGTGTGGAGATTGTGTTGCGAACTAGACTATGAATCAACAAACTATGAACCAAACTATGAACCAGATTTGGAATCAGATTTGGAATCAGACTTGGAATTAGAACCACATTATAACCCGAAACCCTCAGCTTCCCCCTATTGGTATCTTTTGGAGTCTGGTAAAAGTCGCCCTGATGACAATATTGGCCGACCGAATTGTCGAAAGGTTAAGAAACTTAGCAAATTGCATGGCCCTAGCCTTATCTATGCGATCAGAGACGGGAAGGACATTGAAGACATCAAAAAGCATATTGAAATTTACCGGGAGCACTTTGCTTTGGGTCTAGAAGGAAGGTGGTGGCCTAACCACAACAAGCAGACGCGTAGGGATATATACCAAAACCTACCCTCGCCAATGTATGTGGCTGCTCAGAACGGGAGACTTGATATCGTCCAAATCCTCCATGAATTGGGTATCGATATGAGAGGCCGTTGCCATTGCGACGAATATTATACCGACAATGAGCGTTATGGGTTCTGGGGCTGTGGTGCTTTGGGTCTTCCGCGCCACGTTCTCCTTCGTCCTTCCTTTTACCTAAGCGGTCGCGAGTACCTGCCTCATATCTATCAGGATATTAATCTGCCTGATAAAAAATTGCGTGTTTTTGGCGCGGACAATGCGTTCTTAGCTGCGTGTTGCTTTGGACACGAAGATATTGCGCTGTTCATGATCACTAACGGACTTGAAGTGAGACCTGGTGACTTGTATATCGCGGCTCGCTATGCGCGTTATAAGGTCATGGCAGCATTGTTACGTTGTCCGATCTTCAACACCGGGGATCGTTGCCGTCTGATTTTGACAGCTGCTCAGTGGATTATTCCCTGGACTAAAGGGATTAGGTATGGGACTAGATGGGACCGTCAGGCAATAACGATAAGCCCCGATCCACGAGTATACCTATATCTCCTTAACATTGTTAAAGCGGAACAGCCGTCGTTTAATAAAATTGGATGGCTCGAACGTATGATTCTGCCGAAAATACGTTCGCTGTCAACGAGAGATGTCAAAAAGTTTTATGATGCGATAATCACTGATTCGGAGGCGCTGGCACGTTTGGGGCCTAATCTTGCCATCCAGTTTGCTCGGCAGAGCAGGTACTTTGAATTCATGAAGGCCATTCTAGCAGGATGCCCTTGGAACATACCTAAGAGAAAGATGCCCAACCTCATAGGCCAAATGTTAATTTCAGCAATCAGTAGGTGGAATGAAAAAACAATACGGTACCTTCTCGACTTGGGTAGCCCATTTACCCAGGCCCACTTGCAGGCAGCGATTATCCTAAATGATGTTGATTTGGTCGATAAAATTATAGCATCAGGTCGGGTAAAGAAATCTTGCAACTTTCCAGAAGGCCATGATAGAAACCCAGTCGCTTGTGCGCTACAACAGTCCTACTGGGGTTATTCGCGTAGGTCATTTGACATTGTGTTACGGCTGGTGTCTGCCGGGTTTGACTATAGAAATATACCAGATGCAGCAAGGGCTGATTTTACTGAATGGGTAGAGAGATGGACCACAAATTATAGAATAGATATCTCCGACAGTGAAGAGGGAAATCTATTTTGGGTTCAGCTTGACAACGTAGCTACCAAAGTCCTAGGGGAAGACTATAAATTCCGGGAGGGAGTGATGGAGAATATTAAGACGACGTAGAGCTTGCACCAAAGTACGGATAGCTACTTAGTTATATACCGAAATTTCTCATGATAAGGCATCACTGTATTTGCTCGTGTTGCAATGCACATGATGATGAAGAATGTGATTTTGTGCCCCACAATGTTTAAAAACATTACTGATTACCCGGTTTTCTATCGGGATGAAAGAATATGCATAAGAGGATTGAAAGAAGGACTGCCGCCTCCAAGCGTGACCAGAGGACATGTAGAATCCTACTGTGGTTCAGGGCGCGGTATGCATGGGTGTACATACTGCCTTAGGTCTTTCACGCACCGTTTGGTTCCCATCCAGGTGGTGCTAATTCCACGCCATCGGGGACAAAACCGGGGGCGACTGGTAGCTAATGTTAGTGCATAAGACATCATGAAATGGGAAAAAGTAATGTTCTTACCGGTAGTTCCAACTAATGTCCAATCCCCGTGAGATAAAGCGCTCTGCCACGTACCCTTCGGAATTGCGACTTGAGGTTGTTGATTATTGAAGACATCGGGACCGAGTACTTTCTCTACTGGGGGCTTGCCATCGTTGTTGGACAACGACAGAGTCAACGGTGCTCCGGCATAATAGTGCCAAACTTCCACAGCATCGACGCGATGCCAATACGACGATCCCACCGCTCCCTCTAGTAAGTAGTAAATGGCGGTGCTAGCGGATCGCGTGCTATTGTTCGAGTCCCTTATGACGGAATCCGGGTCCTCAAAGGTCTTATTATTGTTTTTAGTTTGTGATAGTTTCAAAATAAAGAATACGTTTTATAAGCTTACTTGAATGTAGTAGCCCTTCTCATCGTTGGGGATGAGGTTGAGTTGTTTGACAACCTCTTGAGCGCTGCGCTGGTTGATCGGGACCGATGAATTGCGAGGCAAGCTGATCGCATTTGTGGTAGCGACCAGTAAGCCTAAAGGGCCGAACAACATTGAAGAGAAATGCATCTTGCTATTATGAATTGACCGGAAGTGCACCAATCCTCAGGGCAGAAGTTTTAAGACGCGTCGCATGGCGAATTTAAGAAGATGGGTAAATTTATTGTCGTATTGAATTGTAATCGCAACGCCGACATGGTTGGCACGGTGGGCGGCACAGCAGGCTGTAATTAAAAAAAGGCGGCGGCGATGCGCCTATAGGTTAGGGATTGTCAATGCGTCCTTCGGACAGCTCGGCCGCTTACGTGGGTTACTACCTGGGTAAGTATCTATAATGGCGAATCCGGAAATATCCGTTAATAATAATTGAGATCTTTTCAAAGACAGGCTCTTGGTCGCGAGTTACGGTTGACGAAGTGAGGCTGGGATTGTTGAATGGTTCCCCTTCTTATTTATACATAGAATAGCTTTTGTATCACCAGACCGCTTGGACATAGGTATAGTAACACGCCGATTATTCGATTAGCTAACAAAATTTTCATATTTCTTGTGCCTTCACCGCTCTCCATAACCGCCATGGGAGCTTCCAGCTGCTTTTAATCGTAAACGGATCGAAGTTCTGAGCTTCGAGTCTTGTTAAATAATCACCAGCTGGGACTCCCTCCAATAAAACGCCGAAACCCCGACGGAGGTCTCGTTTGGTATCGTCGTCTTCCGGAGCTGTCGATGGATATTCGTGTTGCTCTTCACCGTGATGCTCGTACTCGTGACCAGGACTTTGTCCTGCATGAATGTTTTTCAACATTTCTCTTGCGGTAATAAGGTGGTCATGAGCCCGAGTGGCAACTTTGAAGATGGCATCTTGAAAACCGTCGGCGCCGGGGCCCTTTCGATACACATCCTCTTCTCTCAAACCTGTCTCTGCCATGACGTCTAATGGTAACAGAAGGACTGGGTTTCTACCGCTACCTACACCAGCTCCGTCAGGTGACTTTACGGGGGGCGACGGAGCGGCTAGAACCGGGACACCTCGTAGGGTAGCCACTATACCGCATGCTTTGCCAATGTGGCTGGCCAAATGATCCATATGCATGGAATGGATGGAAAGTGCCGCCAAATTTGAATACATGAGAGTCGAATATGTATTCTCCGCATATTCCTCCAGTGAAGCAAGACTGGTGAATGGCCGGTTATCCATATACTTCTCACGAGTATTAATTAGACGTAACAACCAGAACTTGATAGAGCTTGGCGTTCCACCTCTCTCAGCGAGTTCAGAGATAACCTTATATAGCAGTATCATGATAGGCTCTTTCGGAGGTTTGTCGGCGAAGGTATTGTTGATAGCATCTCGCCAGAACTGCATGCGTAGTTGACCGATGGTGGGGTTCGACACGAGCTCCGGGAGTCGTACCAACTCTAGATTGAAAGCTCGTAACGCATCGTAGGCATCTTGCCGCGACTTGGGCAGTAGATTTCGAATCAAGTAGGAATCATAGTCGGACTGTCTATTTCAATTAGTGCTAAGGGAACCAGAGGAGGGGAAAAAGAGGAAAAAAAGAAAAATGCTTGTCCTACCTCAATTGCGCAACGCAATACTGCCGTGCTTTGTCTATTTCGGCATCAGTGACGTAGCATCTTCGGGGGGATCGTAATTGATCTCTAGGCCATCGAAGGCCTTGACGTGCCCGAAATGCACGATACATAAGAGAAATTAAATTTATACAAAATAATCCATGGTGTTGAATTGGGATTTGAACTCGCGAACTAAAAAAACACTCTAGATTGTGTGTGTTTAGGTAGGTATTTTCCATAAATGGCAGCTTTTTTAATGCCAAGCTTGGCCCGGTCAAAATGATATCACCCTGCGGGCCGTGTGGATAGAATTATAATTACTGGGTTGGTACAACCACGCCTTTCCATATTGAGCTTTAAATTGGGATACGATCACCTGACTACCCGCGTCGTGGAGTTGTGGAAGTCGCGTCTCGTTCTATCCATTACTAATTAGTAGTCTTTCAATACAAGCGCGTTTCTCGCCCTTGTATACTATTGCAACTTCCTTATGTTAGAGTTTGGCAGGGTCTATTACTTTCTAACTTTGCCTTGTCGACCTAATATTTTTAATATTTTAGAAAAACACCTTCTTTCTAGCTTATCCTTTCTTCACCAATCAACACTGTTGTTTATCATTGAAAGAGCCCTTTTGCCTATAAAATTTGTTTCCATTACTCGATACACTTGACTTAATTCTCTCGCACAACCTTGAATGTTCCAATGCACTCATTATGAATGTAGATAACTTTGGGGAACCTCCCACCAAAAAGAGGAGATTTTCTGCAGACCCGGAAGGCGAAGAGAATTCCACTTCACATCGCGTACAAACAAAGTCGCCCCTCGCGGAAAAGACAGTCGACGATGTCACCAATCGCACAGCTACCACGAATACCTCTGGTGCCTTTCCTATAGGGTCTACCACCACATCAAACCAGGTTATGAACTTCGACGAGAACGCATTTCAAAGTATTGTGGGAGACAAGGTCGACTCGGAAGCTCTTGGCATCATTGGTGATAGCTGTGGAAATGACCTCGAAAGAGCTGTCAACATGTACTTTGACGGGACGTGGAAGAAGCTTCGTAAACCAATGTCCTCCAGTGTCACCAACACGCTTTTAACACCACGAAAATCTTCCACAAACAATGACTTCGAAGAACCTCATCCTTCGCCCGTGCGAACTCAAACGTCCCGATCCATGTCCAATAATAGTCGTTATATCGGTGCGTTTGGTGTGGAGGGTTGGGCTACACGAAGTGGTACGAAGCTTCTCAACCACGGTGATGTTGTTAAGATCGAACGGCAGAAGATTCAGCCCCCGGGCTCATCTTTAAAGCCTAAGGGTAGGGCAGGCGCACTTGTTCCGTCCCCACGAGCAAATTCGGCTGCGGCTCGACGAGTCGACGTTATTGTTCGTTTCACTGATGCTCGAGGCTCAGAAATTGGACGACTTGCCAAAGATACAGCGAATTGGGTATCCTCGCTTATGGACCAAAGAGTATGCAGATTTGAGGGTAGCTGTGTGTATGCACCAGAAAGATTAAGGACAAATGATACCGTGTTTCTGCAGTTACGGTGCTTTTTGATGAAATCTGCGTTCGAGAGTACAGGGTTTCAATTAGCAGACAATCGGTCGACTGGCCTCTATGAGGAAAAGGAAACTACCGAGGAGCGGGATCTCCGTCTACGACAAGTAGCTCTTGTGCGATTATTCCAAGAGATCAATCTCACGCCATCTAGGGGCAACGCAGCTACGACGAGGAATGCAAGACAGGATCTTCTTGATGCCGCCGAGACGGCCGACAAGAAGAGCAATGACACAGCTAAGCCCAATCCTCCAGGCTCTTCTCCGCCATCGGAGGACGCCGAAGACGGCCAAGAACTTGAACAAGACCAACTCGACGCTCTCTACCGAAAGGCTCAATCATTTGACTTTAATACTCCCGAAGCCGAACCAGCTGAAACTTTTAACATGACACTTCGTCCATACCAAAAACAATCGTTGCATTGGATGCTAGCAAAGGAGAAAGACCAAAGAAATGAGGCTCGCGAAGCCTCAATGCACCCTCTATGGGAAGAATACGCCTGGCCAACAAAGGATGTCGATGACCAAGAACTGCCTCAAGTTGACGGACAGCCTAATTTCTACGTAAATCCTTACTCCGGCGAGATGTCCTTGGACTTCCCCGTCCAAGAACAGCATTGCCTAGGTGGTGTCCTTGCTGATGAGATGGGTCTCGGTAAGACGATTCAGATGCTAAGTCTCATTCATTCGCATAAATCGGAGATATCCACGCGGAAAGCAGATACCTCTCTTAATTCGGTTAACAGTCTACGGAGAGTCTCATCTAAGTCTGGTGTACTTCCCGCACCAAAGACTACCCTTGTTATTGCCCCGATGTCGTTGCTCGCGCAATGGCAAAGCGAAGCTGAAAATGCATCTAAAAAAGGCACTTTGAAATCTATGGTTTATTACGGCAACGAAAAAATCGATAATCTTCAGGCACTATGTTGCGAGGCTAATTATTCCTCTGCCCCTGACGTCGTGATTACGAGTTATGGAGTAGTATTGTCTGAATTTACGCAGATTGCCTCGAAGACCGGAAATAGAGACCTACATAATGGTTTGTTTTCGTTAGACTTCTTTCGGGTTATCCTTGACGAAGCCCACACCATCAAGAATCGCCAATCAAAAACTGCGAAAGCTTGCTACGAGCTTTCCGCCACTCATCGTTGGGTTCTTACTGGAACTCCTATTGTAAACCGTTTGGAGGATCTTTTCAGTTTAGTCAGGTTCCTCAGAGTTGAACCGTGGAATAATTTTTCTTTTTGGAGGACTTTTATTACTGTTCCATTTGAATCTAAGGATTTCGTACGTGCACTCGATGTAGTGCAAACGGTACTGGAGCCCTTGGTGATGAGAAGAACTAAAGATATGAAGACTCCCGATGGACAACCGTAAGTCATGGACGCATACTCAAATTATAGGTGATTGATTTCTAACGTTGTTTAGTCTTGTCCCTCTACCTCCAAAATCGATGGAAATCGTGGAGGTGGATCTCTCCGAAGCCGAACGAAATGTCTACGACCACATATTCACTAGAGCCAAGCGCACATTCTCCGCCAATATAGAAAAGGGAACAGTTATGAAGGCATACACTACAATCTTTGCTCAGATCCTGCGTCTGCGTCAGTCGTGCTGTCACCCACTCTTAGTTAGGAACCAAGATATTATTACTGAGGAGGAGGTCGCTGGGGCGCAAGCCGACGCAGCTGCAGGCCTTAGTGATGACATGGACCTTCAATCTTTGATTGAAAGATTTACAGCCACTACTGGCGATGAGAAAGATGCGAATGCTTTCGGTGCTCATGTTCTTCAACAAATCCGAGACGAAGCGGTTAGCGAGTGTCCTATTTGCTCCGAGGAACCAATGATTGACCAGGCAGTGACTGGCTGTTGGCATTCTGCTTGCAAGAAATGCCTACTTGATTATATCAAGCATAGCACAGATCGCCACCAGGTTCCCAAGTGTTTCAATTGTCGCGAGCCTATAAACGGTCGCGATCTATTCGAGGTGGTTCGTCACGATGATGATGATCCAGAGACATTACAGCAGGCTTTACCAAAGATCAGTCTTCAGCGCTTAGGGTCCAATGAGTCGTCGTCTAAAGTTGTCGCATTAATGAGCCATCTGCGCCAACTCCGGAGGGAGCATCCTCGCATGAAATCGGTGGTTTTCAGCCAATTTACATCGTTCATGTCACTTATCGAATCTTCGCTTACAAGGGCAAATATGAGATTTCTCCGCCTTGACGGTTCGACTAACCAGAAAATGCGCGCCGCCATTCTCAACGAGTTTAGAGAATCTAACAAGTTCACTATCTTATTGATAAGCTTACGGGCTGGTGGTGTGGGATTGAACCTCACGCAAGCGAAACGTGTGTTCATGATGGATCCTTGGTGGAGCTTTGCAGTTGAGGCCCAGGCCATCGACCGTGTGCACCGCATGGGTCAAGAAGATGAGGTTAAGGTGTATCGATTCATTGTTAAGGAGAGCGTTGAGGAGCGGATGCTGAAAGTACAAGACAGGAAGAAGTTTATGTAAGCCACCCCCTTTTCCTACAAGTTACGGTCGCAAGTTTACTAATGGTCATGTTCTAGTGCTACATCATTAGGTATGATGAGTGACGAAGAGAAGAGACTCCAAAGGGTAGAAGATATAAAAGAACTGCTGAGCTAATCCGACCTTCCTACTAGGGCTAAAAATGGACGAATGGCATTGGTTTTATTGTACTATATAGATGTATATACCCGGTATACTATACCCTTGGGCAGGAACGGGGAAGGAAGTACATGGATATTAGGCAGCATCTCCGGTTATCGGGATTATCCATGGTTATGGGAAGGTCCTGCATTGGCTGATGGCCCAACAAACCTTCGGGAGACGCATGAAAGCATAGCGACATAAATCCAATGCACAATGCACAATATGAATATTCCAATCAAACCTTAAACTCGCTTCAATTATCCCCGTAGTTCAACCTAGATTTCCCCCTAACACTATTCAATCTGTTCTGTGGTCCACCGACAAGATTTTTGAGTCTGGCTCTCTTCATCTCCCACCTACCTACCTAGGTACTTAGGTAGGTAAAGTACTCAATCCAAATCCCTTGCATTCAAATCATCAAATAAAACTCGTTCACTAAAGGCTCGCAATCATATCCCATCCATCATAATTCATTATATCCCGATGCTCCCATATTGAGCTGGTTTGGGGGGCTTGTACCCCAAATATGCCTAGCCTAGTAGCTAAGAATGAAGTTCATAGCAAGCGATGCCCTATATCAGAAACATTCGTATCTGAGGTCTAAAAAAATATCTGTGCGCGTCCAGGTTGAAAAAGAGCGCAAGATGAAACTCACTTGATATTAAACTACGCGGGCCGGCGACCTAGGATCTACCGAACTGCTGTTATCATCGCTCACATCTCCAGGGGTGCTCTGGTCCAAGGACAATTTCTCATACTCGCGTACGAGGTACTCTAGCGTACGCTTCCGTGTATCCGGGTTGCCTTCGGGAAGCGTAACAGGCGCCACCCACTGCGCTTGTACGTATTGCGTCATGAGTGGCGGATCATCGTCGCCGCTCGCTGCGGATGTTGGCGACGATAAGATGTGCGTGCGCACCAGGTCCAAATCATTCGCCCGCATACGGTCGCGGATGAGTCGATATACGAGAACCGCTATGTGGTAGTTCCGCCCTTGTTCGTATAACCCCTTGGCACACAGGATGAGCGTTGAGCGGAGGGATTCCATATCTATAGGCCGTGGGTCCAACATCGAACCAGTTATGGTGTGGACGTCGCCACCGTCAATTTTGAGCAGGATGGTGTCGCCTAGGAACATAAGCCAGTGCATGAGCAGCGGGTCATAGGACTCGAAGCTGTGACGGAGGTAGTACAGCCGCAGAAGAGTCTCGAGACGCACTTCGGCGTGTGTTATGATGTTTTGCCACGTCAGGTCTAGAGGTGTCCCGGATTGGACGAGTAGGCGTACGAGCGAGATGATGTGCCCGTAGTATTCGATACTATGGGGGATTAGTCACGATTACACGAGGGTCCAGGGGCCACTTACTGAAGCTTGATATGGTCCGGAAGCACGATCTTCGTTGGCATGAGCGGCTCCGGGAGGTTCACGAACCAATTATCCAGTCTGGATTTACACTCGAGGATCTTCTCAGGTGTTACACGAGGAGGCCGATCTTCCTCGAACATCTCCGACCCCATATCATTCATCAGCTTTCGTATCTCGAAATTCGCCTTAATCAAGCAGCCGAGATTAACAGGATACAAGGTCTGGCTCATTGGATACCGAATCCATATCTCGCCGTAAAAGTGTGGGTCTTGTACCGGGTCCGGGAGTGGGAACGCTGGGGGATCCGGAATGTGAGGAGGCTTGCTAAAATAAAACCGTTGCCAACTATACTATCAATTAGCAAGGGGCAACATGAAGACAACAAAGGGGTCCACATACGCCTGCCAACAATAGAGCCCCCAAGCCGTAAGCGCTCGGGCTCTCTGCATTTTGACGTTGTTCGTACCCGCATTGGGACTGAAGATATCCAAGCTGACAGCCATGGCCATAGCTTGCAGGAGATAAGATGTGCCAACCTTATCTGTGGCAGTAGTCAGCGCCACGATTCCCATAATCACAGCCGCCTGGATTGTGGTCAAGCTGCATGTGCTCTTTCGGCTCTCAATATCCCAAAGCCTCTTCGCTTCGGCGCCAAATTGGTAACCGAGAGTCTGGGGAACCCAGAATTTGTTACGATCCGGTACTTCACGACACATATGCTACAAAAAGGGAGTGAGTCAGTGGATTAGTAGTTTTACGGTCGACCTACGCTAGACTTACACATGCGGCAGCAAGCACCGAGTTGACGAGCAGAGACGAACAGAAGCGTTTTCGTCCAGCAGCCATATCTTTGATGAAATAGTCCATATGGAAGACTGCGGTCCAAGGGTGCTGGTAGTAAAGGTACGAATTGAGGAGTCTCCTTAAAATATTCTCGTCCGATGTCACGGTGGTCCATTTCGAAACATTGATATTCGAGAAATTAGGCTCAATGATCTGGGCTGCATGATATGGTTTAAGATATCTATCATCGTTATATCCTTCTCGTTGCGATTCACTTTGGAAGCCGTGAGAAGGAGGAGCTCGGAATGTGGTCGCATAAACAAAAGAACGCAAATAGAGGTTATCTGGCAGCATAATGGAAGCGGGCATATCAGATATATAGGGGAATTCGTATCGACGCCGGGACTCGGGAGCCAAAGAGAGTTGGATGAGGAGGTCGCCATCTTTTGCGTGGCGTATTATAGAATCGACATTGTTACCAGTTCGTATTCTCCTCAGAATTTCCAAAGACTCGGTCTCGGATTTGGTCTTGAGCAAGTCGAACAATTCCTCGTACGGGGTAATCTGGTTCTGGGCCTCGCTATACTTCCGCTTTAGGGCCTGGGAATGGGTTTCGGCTGGGTCCGTAGCATATCGACAATCCGTTCCGTGCCTGACGCAGAGTGTGCACCTCGGTCGCTCGGCATTGCACTACAACGCAAGGAGGAAAATGATTAGTTCGTGATACGTTACACGACGAATTTGAACGAAATCATAAGAGGATATTTTTAAGGTATGCTTGAGAATCTCTTCCTTACTTTGGATTTTCTTTTCCGGCATGCTTCACAGGCAGCTTTTACCTGCCTCCTTCCCCTCGTTACATTGTCCCCGCCAGCACCTTGCCCCGAACTTCCTGACGGGGCGGGTGCAATTTGTACGAGACGACGCTTATTTCCGGGACCTGCGCTTGAACTCGAACTCGAAGTATGACCTGGGTGTTCCATGGCCGGAGCAGTACTACCCAGGAGGCGTGGTACAAATGACACCTGGGAGGTTATACGGCGAGCCGTAGAGGGTGTGGTGAAATGTCACACCCAGCTCAGCCCGAATCCAAGACATTACGCTACGTAGCCAGGTACCCAGTGTAGTGTGTGTAGGATGTAGGGTCCTATCTGCGGAGTTTTTTCCGTTCGTCTAGAGCTCGCGTATTCGCTGAGTACTCTGTCCTATGAAATTGCCAGGCTGGCTACCAGAACAGTACTTTCAGCTGCATGGTCTGTCAGTCTGCCTGCTTTGCCCTAGCCGGTTTGGGGCTAGACAACCGTTAGGGAATTCTCCACTAATAACCTTCTTCCATTAAGATGCCTTTGTGCGACGTGAGTTGGCAGGTAGTCTCGGGCTAGAGAGACTAGCTCGACGCTATTTCGACTCTTAGACGGTTGGCGTGATAGGTGCATGATGGTAAGGGACGAGGAGAGAAATCCCCGTTCTTGCTATTTCTATGATTGCGGGAATACCAGTATATAAGTCCGGTTATACAAATTTAAGTCATTAATTTGCTTTTTTTAGGGTTGTGGCTCTGATGAGATCATCCCTATTTTGCTTTTTTTCAGCTGCATACTCCGTATATTCTTGTTACTGTGGCTTACTAATTATGTCATATCCGGCGCCTATCTTCTTATCTTTCATCTGCCTCGGCAACTTCCATCGCCCTACGGGAAATAGGACATTTCTCCGTTCAAATCAAACAATTAGGATTATTCATTCGTGTAACTTGAGTTTATATATTTATTTGAACTGTTCTCATTGCTCACCATGCTCGCACTGCATGTATCAAGATTGACACCAGATTTCAGGGACATAAGAAGGTCCAAACCCTCTATGAGCAATTAACGATATCCTTATACTTGATTTCTTGTCAGCACTGTTGCCTTGTAATTAAGGCTCCCAGTTCAAGGATAATGCCTATGTTTAGGAAAGATTTGTCACACAAGGGAGGACTACAGCGTATCGACTGTGATATCCATTTAAAAATGCGAATAGACCTTGCCTGAAGACCAGCAACCCAGCTCTTATGCCGCCCCCAAAGATGTCCAGAACGCAGTTGGTAATCTTTCAAAGATCCCTTGCATATATACGTACCTCTTAAGTATCTAACATATCGAAGCATGTACCTCCTGTCCTCCAACAAAATGCCTACATACTGTGGCTGTGGGGGTAGGTTGGTGTAACAGGTCAAATCAAAATGGGCTTTCACCATTTAAACAATTTGAACGTTTAGCAACATTACGCCTAACCTTCATTTACCACCTACACGAAACATTCGTCTGAAGAAAAAATGAATCCTCTTTTATTCTTATCGTGGCAGCAGGTCGCTGTCACAGGGATCCTATACCTCGCAAGTATCATAGTTTACAGGTTATTCTTTCATCCTCTTGCTAAATTTCCCGGCCCCAAGCTGGCAGCGGCAACGCGATGGTACGACTGCTACTACGACGTCTTCCTTCCTGGACAATATACGTGGAAAATAGCCGAACTTCACAAGCGATACGGTAAGCATACCTTGGAGATACTTTGCTTCTGGTGATTCAAGACCAATTCGTGGCTTAGGACCTATCGTTCGAATTAGTCCGCACGAGCTCCACGTAAATGACCCCGAATTTTTCAAGGATTTATATTGCTACGACGGTCGTTGGAACAAATATAGCTGGTCTTATGATGCTTTTGGGGCGCCGTTTTCAACAATCTGCTGCGCGGACCATGATCTCCATAAGGAGCGACGTGCGCCTTTGGAACGCTACATGTCGAAAGCGAATGTGGAACGCAATCGGGACATCATACAGGGTTTAACATTCAAGCTATGCGACCGGATCGATGAGTTTCATAAGGATGCCAGGACTGTGAATCTCGGCAGCGCCCTCAGCGCCTTTGTCCGAGACGTAGCGACGGAGTGGCTTCTTGGCAAAAGCTTCAATAACCTCGACAAGGAGGACTTTAATAGTCAAATGACCGCCGTCTTCCAGGGTGGAGGACATGTATGGCGTATGACTAAACATTTCCGCTGGTTCGGACCACTTATGAAGTCAATCCCACCTTCTATCATTAAGAAGATAGGAGACAAAGGAGCAATCGACTTATTTAGCTTTCTCGACGTGCGTTACGATGCTGTTCTATCCTAGCTGTCGAATTGTTTTTGCTGACCTGGATACGTTGCAGGATATGTTAGTCGTGACTAAAGAGACACTATCCCTTTTCTCAACGCCAACATTCGACAAAAAGGCCGACGATGAGCGTTCTATCATCCAAGCTATTGTGCAGTCCAAACTTCCACCCAATGAGAAGAATCTCACGCGTGTTTTTGATGATGTGAGCACCGTTACTGGGGCCGCTTTCGAGACGACTGCTGCTGCCATACGTTTGATCCTATTTTACGTATACAGCAATCCTACACTTTTCGATAAACTACGAACGGAACTAGCTTCAGTGGCTTCCCAAGGCCCCAATGAATCGGTTTTCGAGTTGGCAAGCTTGGAACAATTACCATATCTCACAGCGGTGATTACAGAAGGACTAAGGCTCAGTTCTGGTGTCGCAACAAGACAGGCTCGCATTGCGCCTGATCGAGAACTGGTATACGATAAGTGGCGTATCCCTATGGGGACGCCTGTAGGTATGACGACGCTACTGATGCATATGAACGAAAAGCTGTATCCTGATCCGGAGCGCTTCGTGCCTGAGAGATGGATGGATCCGGAAATGAGGAGGAAGGCGGATAGAACGTTTGCGCCGTTTTCTAGAGGGACGCGGAATTGTCTTGGGATGCAGTAGGTACTTACTCTATCAATGTATTGTTTTTATCTCGCTTTGAAACGATGCCACTGATTAACATCTTCATAGTCTGGCATTCGCAGAAATGTATATGGTAACGGCCGCATTGGTTCACCGGTTCGAGTTCGGATTCGATGGTGCTAGCCCCGCACAGGTACTTGCTTACAGCGACGAGTTCATCATCGGTACAAAAGATAGGAGCGGACTCAAGGCGTATGTTACACGGCGTAACTAAGTGAGTTTACTAGGAAAAATAAGCACCTGGGTTATAATCGGGATCTATGTAAAGAAATGCGGGGCAAGCCACTTTGTCTTTTTGGTAGGGAGGGTCGAGTTTCAATCCTTTGTCTGAACTTCGCTCACGGTGGGTGGACTGAAGTTTTCTTAGCAATTGAATCGTGTAGGGAGTCTTTGTCTAGAAGCTTTGAAAATTTTCCGCCAAGGAGGTCCATCGTTTTGTAAACCTGATCGATGATAGGAGTAGATGGGCACCCTACGATATTGATAGCTGCCTAGGTAGGGTTAGTCAGTTGCCTCGACCGAGTCCGGTATGGGAAGTTTCCCGAATCGGGAGTTCAGCCCTCGGCAGCGGAGCAGAGATTGGTTGGGGAACCCCCGGTCCTTCGTGAACCCGATGAAACCCGTATTCGTCCAGATCGGCGTAGAAAGTTCGAATTGTAACCTGATGTTGGAGTGGCTATGTACCGGTGGTATCTGTTGGAGGCCGGTGACACTTGGCTAGCTGGTGTGTTTAGATTCTCCGGACGCCTCATCTTGGAGGCTGAGTGATCGTCGACGGGGCGAAGTCCCGATGAAAAACTCCCACATTTCAAGGTTATCAGTCTACACCGTGGGGGAGAATTCGGCCCTTTGTTATTGCGTTACCTTCGAGGCTATGCTGCGCCGATGACGACAGGCAACTGTTAGGCATCAGACCGCGACCTAGGCCACGATATTTCATTAATACGGACGCAAGTATGGCGTGCGTGGGGATGCGATATAGTCGTCTCCATTCAAGACCCTGTAAGTTTCCTCCAACCCCCCTCTTACTTGACCGCCCTACCTTAATATCTCTTTCCTACGAGGGAGATGGGTCACGCAGTCACAAAAGTAATGAGCCGCCAAGAGCCTCCAATCGACGTGGGGAATAAGCGGTTGTCCTCCTGCCTCTCTCGGCAATTGATAGGAAGAGCGGCAAAGGACCAACCTTATTAATCCATGGATATACTATACTATAGAACCAAATGGGACACGCCGATTGGTCGAATCAAAACATTGGCACGGGCTGGGCAAACAAAAGAGCTACCAAGAAGCGCGATGCTGTGAACGTCTATCAGATGGGTGGCCTATTTATCCGCCAAGGTCTGGGCGCAGAAAACATACCGGGGTAAGGACCAGATTTTGACTTATGCCGCGCTGCCTTACAAATTAAATCGCCCACCCACCTACCCATTTTGGTAGATTGGGATACTACGACAGTATCTACGCTCATGATGCCATACCCTCGTCGATATGCGATCGAACGCATTGGCGACAGCGGGTTCTAGAGCCGAGCCTTCCTATCACCCACGTTGAGTACTTAAGGGTTGGCCAGCGAAGCGAGCTTCAAACCTAGCTCCCCTCCCTCTATTCCCCCCAACGCCCGACAAAAAACATCGCGAGGTCTTGTAAGCGCAGAGTCAACGCGGGGACAAGACATCAAGCACGATGAAGTACTCCCTGAACGCAGTCGCCCTTGCGGCGCTCTCCAGCTTCGCGGTAGCCAAGGAAATAGCTCCCGATGAGACGCTGGCCGCGGAGGTTTTCGACAGCGGTGTCCGACATGAACATATCATGTCCACCAAGATGGTAAGATTTACTTGATATACCTTGAGTAATTGAACCATGCTGACAATCTACCATAGGCGTACTGGGACAGCCGAAGGGAACAAGGTCTCTTTGACTCCACCCAATACAAGAGCATGAATGCTTCTGTCGACAAAGTCGCTTGCGTGAACGGAATCGCTGAACTCGTGGCCGGCGACCCGCTCTACACATTCAAGTGCAGCAAGCTCGACCTATACGACTTCCAGTCACACGCCGACCTCGGTAGCAACGGCGGTGAGGGTGCCGGCTCATGGGGTTGGACCAGCCCGGAAGGCCGCGAGTTCGTCGCCATCGCGCAATCCGACGGTGCTGCTTTCGCCGAGATCAGCCCCGAAGGTAAACTGATCTACCTCGGCCGCCTGCCGCAATACCCGGACGCCGAACCATCGCTATGGCGTGAAATCAAGGGCTACAAGAGCTACATCGTCATCGGTAGCGAGGCCTACAACCACGGTATCCAGGTCTTCGACTTGGCTAAGTTGCTTACCGTCGACCCGGCTAGCCCCATAACCTTCAACAACGAGGACGACATTTCGTTCTTCAATGGACTTCCCGCTGGTCGCTCGCACACTGTTCAGACTAACGAGGAGGCCGGCTACGCCGTTGCCTCTGGTGCGCAGCCGCGTAACTCGTCTTGCGCTTCGGGTCTTATCTTCATCGACCTCTCCGACCTGTCGAACCTAACCTCGCCCGGTTGCGCCGCTGCTGACGGCTACGTACACGATGCGCAGTGCCTGATCTACCGAGGCCCCGACGAGAAGTACGTGGGTGAGGATATCTGCTACGGATACAACGAAGACACGTTGACGATCTACAACGTCACGGACAAGGCGAACGCGAGCATCATCTCGCGCATCTCGTATGAGGGTGCGAGTTACACGCACCAGGGTTGGGTTCTCGACACTCAATGGCAACAGTACCTCGTCCTCGATGATGAGTATGATGAGTACGACCACGCCGGCTTGGGCGAGCCGGGGTATCCGATTACGTATATCTGGGATATCTCGTCGCTAGAGGCGCCGAAGCAGACGGGTTACTATAGAGCCTCGCGCAAGGGTATCGACCATAACCAATTTGTCAACGGCGATTTCGCATACCAGAGCAATTACGGTGGCGGTCTGCACATTCTTGACATTTCGTCCATCCCGTCCGACCCCACTGGCAAGAGCGTTACTGAGGTCGCTTACTTCGATATTTACCCTGAGGATGATAACGAGGAGGGAGGCGGACAAGTGGAGTTTCAGGGCACTTGGTCGCACTACCCATACTTTAAGAGCGGGTACATTATGATCAACACGATTGAGCGTGGTGCGTACGTTGTTAAGTTGACTGAGTAGAAGCGTGTTTAACGTTAGATGGAATTGGAATCCGTCGGTGGACTGTTTATAAAGTCGGATATTTTAGCGAGTTAGATATGAATTTATGAAATATACAGCAAAGTTGTCTAACGTACACTTGTCCCCAGTAGTGACACCATATCACATAATTATGTAGGTAGGAACGTTACCCGTGTCTTTCTACTCATTGTAATACTTCCTGCGAATCTTGTTTCGACGACGGCTTGGCAGCGTTTGACTTGCTCTGCTTCGCTATCGATTGAAGCAGGTAATCGCCGCCGCGCCATGCCTTATATACACCATACAACCCTTGAAATGGTCGGGTATTCCGGAGAGCCTTCGGCATTCTCGAATTCTCCATGACCTTGCTCTTCGCGTTTTCATCGACCTTGACCTTGTCGTACACGCTTGGGAGATGGGATGCATGGTACTTGGTGCGAACGGCATCATACGCAGGCCGATTATAGGACTGCCAGAACTCCTCCTCGGTATAATAAGCTTGCGCATACAGCGTCTTCTTTCCTCCTAGCTCATGTACCTTATGCTCGATTTCACGGTTCAGGCGCACCAATTCCTTGTAATCGCTAGGTCCGGGTCCCCAAATTCCAAAGTTGAGCATGTATTCTGGAGTATTGGGGTCGGCGAAGTCTGCGTGTAGACCATGTGCCGAGTCGGGCGCGTCGCGGCGTACTCGGAGTGGACATAGCCAGATGGGGTAGATGTTCAGTGTCTGGTCTACCCACCGGCTAAATTCATCAACGGCGTCGTAGGGAACACCGACGTCTTGGATTATATAAGTATCCGAGAGTCGACTCTTGTGAAGCGCGTGGTACATTACGCGGGCGTGCATGTATGAGTCTGGCACATAACGCGTGATCCGATTAAAAGGCGTGAAGAAATACCTGTAGGCGTATCGAGCGACCCAAAATCCACCGCGATCCCATCGGAATAGGTAGTCGACTAATGGGACATAGTCGACAACTGGTTTCTTCGCCTTCGATGCTCTTTTCTGGACGTCGAGGTAGAACCAAGGATCTCGACGTCGCAGGTAGTGTCGCAGCTTGGAACCTGCGGGTACGGCGTCGACGAGACGACCGGAACAGACCACGACTGACTTGGGAGAAAACGCGATCGCATCGACATACTCTACAGCCGGGTTCCCAACCTCCTCCTTTATTTTCCCGCAAGCCTCTGCGACATTATCTGCGGGGTAATGCGTGAGTTCCATGACGGCTGTGGCGTCTCGAAGCTGAATCTCCAGCAGTGTAACAACGCCAATCGTTCCGAAACCCGATGCGGCGCCCCAAAAGAGATCATTTTTCTCTGTTTTAGAAGCTCTCGCGATTTCTCCATCTGGAAGAACAATTTCAATCCAATTGGCAGTTGAATCGAACGGTCCATGGCGACATGAACTACTCTCACCGGCTGAGCCGCTGAAGCCGCCGCCTACGGTGATGCCCGGGAATTCCATGACGACCAATGGTACTAGCCCGTTCTGCATGGCGGCGTCGAGGAGGACGTCCATTGGGACGTTGGGCTCGACCAACGCGGTTTTCTTCACATTGTCGATTGATAAAACGCGGTTGAGGCCGCTAGTGTCTACTGTGTTGTCGCGGTTCTTCTCTGAGGTACGCGTGCTATTTGTGGAACCATGGTAGACTCGGAATGGTTGGCGTTGCGCGTAGAATTGCCGCAATCGCTCAGAGATTGATGATACCGCGTTATGATGGGCTTCCATCTTCTCTACTGATGCGTTCGTTGAGCCGCATATAGTAACGCATCAGATGTTTATCACTGTTATTTTGGAATCCTAAATGGCGTGTTGTTTGTAAGATGTAAGCCATCTTATCTCGCAGGTGGCTGCAACTGGCGGCAGTTGGTAAGCACCCTATATTTTAGTAAAAAAAATACACCATGCAGTCTAGGTATATGTACAGGGAATACTCTTCATCTTTGTTAAGTCTCCTATAACTCAATTTGACTGAAAGCACCCAATAAACCGTTCTCTATTTTGTCAAAGATTTCCTAAAAAGGGACTGAAATGGCGTCCTAAGGTTGGTAGAAAAAATACGACGCAAAAGCCCTTGAGAACTCATGTAACCCGTTAGAATCGTCAGGTTGATATGCCTTAAGTGAACCCCGCAAGTGTTAAAAAAACGGGACATATAAGGAGTGTACCAAAGGCTATAAATGGCCATAGATTGCTGATAGCACTAAAAACCGCGGCAGTGGCGGCTAGAGATTTCGGTGAAACCGAAAAAGTACCTTTGGTCGTATTAGCCAACGCATTCAAACCATAAGTATGCTGATAAATATCAAACAAAGAGAATAATATATTGACTGAACCTTTGTGGGACTTAGGGGTTGGGTGTCAATATACGTACCTAATTTCTGTGCAATATTGGCTATAATACAGGCACTGGCGGCGTCTAAACCAACAGCAACGCCAGTGACGATGAGGAAGAGGATAACCCAGGTGACTATATAATATCTTAAGGCCTTGAGGTGTACAACGGAATGTCTTTGTTTCAGTAGACACCCGATGAAGACACGAGCCCACATTAGTTGAAGTGCTGGCATGAGGCTGGAAAAAGACAACGTCATAATCGCCAAAGTTGACTTAACCATGAACGAAGCACGAGCTATATAGTAGTTAGCGGATATAAGACTAGCGGGTGGGAAATTGGCTGATGGATACCTTGTTTAGCTACGCCCGGGATAGTGTTCCTTGCCAGTACAAAACAGCACAAGTACCTCAGAGCACCACATAGGTACCAGAGTACGATGAAAAATAACCGTCGACACCACGATTGCTTAAATGACTCGTTATATCGCTTCCCCGAAATAAATTTCCAGATAACTCGAGGATACTTCGTAATGCTACTAGGTATCCGAGGCTCTGGGAAGGTGGAGTACCTGGAAACCAACCATATACCTACTGGGACTTGGAGCAAGAGGAAGGCCGTCGAGACGAGCCCTATTAAGAGGCCGAGTCTTGGGGTGTTTAAGCTCCTTGATTTCCACGATTCATCTAAAAGTATAGGCTCGAATTGGTTGAAAGTACACCCGGCTGCGTATCCCGCCAAGCAGCCTGAGCACAACATTGATGGAACCATTATCGCCAACGTAATTTTTGTACCTCTTGAGAGTGCACATTGGACAAAAGTTTTGAACTCCGCTAATAATTCGTTCGCAAAGCTCTGAAATCTGGTTCGTGTTATTTGTGGTTGTGTTAGCTCTGGCACGCTGTGGGAATTCTGTAAAATCGTAGTTGCCGTGGTCGGAAGAATTCCTTGGGACGGCCATGCTGCGCTGATTCGGAAAGCCTGGTCGTACGTACGGGATAGCTCGGGATTATTTACTCTGTGGTAATGAGCAAGTCGTGAATAAACGACGTCTGGATTTGGAAGAGTTGGTCTCGTTTTGAATCTACCATTTTGAATATCATCAAACTGAGTACAGAGTGGGATCAAGTAGCCGAAGCCAGGAGAGATCGCTATGATTGAACCAAATATAGTGCCGTCACGGCGGTCAAAGACCCAGGATCCTGAATCTCCCACCTGCAAATCTGCCACGCATTAGCACTAACGCACCAGAATGTCTAAGTATGTCTGCAGACGATTAACCTCAACCCACGGCAACATACTTTTCGAATCCTCAAGGTTCGCGATCCAAACTTCCAAAGCGGTTTCGTGCCCTGGAATCGCGAAAAACGATGGACTCGGTAGCAAATTTCCTTTTAGTAAACCACTCCTTCCAGATTTTACATATACATCCGCTTCTACGAGACATGATGAATACTTTAAAGCATATCGGGGGTTCGGCTTGGCCGATTCATGGTTATTTTCTTTCGCCGTTATATTGGGCCCAATTAATATATTGGGGAATTGGTATTGTTCCTTCACCGGGATTAAATGCCACTCAACGCCACTCAACGTAGGTGCCGAAGTCTTGATATCGCACCATGAGGTCTGAGGACCTGAAGGGCCCACTTGCTCTTCTTGTGACGGCGATTTCTCGGAATATCGTAGCTTCAAGTAATGAGCTGTCAGCCAATGTAGAAATTCCTATAGCAATTTTTGACTGACCTGTTTAGTAGTGTTGAAATGAACCTTATTATTTTCGGAGTTACTGTAATCTATCCTGGCTGTCTCAGCATTTGAGCCATCTCGTATTATAATCGCGGAGTCTACGTCATCGTCAAAATCAACATCACTGAGGGTTTCCGTATGCAAAGTGTCTAGAATAAGCGAGTCATGATCTGTGTCTGAGGGTTTCCCTGGCTTGTGTGAGGTTGTGATTGCGAAGTACCTCCCATCAATTTCAACTAGACCCCCAATAGTTGATAACCAGCTTAGTTGGGGCTCAATAATTTGCAACTGGGCACCACAGAGCGTCTGTATTTTCGAATTTATGTTAGCCCGGTAGTAGCCATCCTCTGATGAAGATGAAGCCGCGGCCGGGGTTATGGTAATCTGATTAAAGCAGAGTCTCCAGGGAGAGTACCGCTGCCGGTTTTTCTTCGTAGACAGGACTGCGTGGACTTCTGAAACATCTGCATCACTGAGAGAACCGTGTATACATATATATGTACGGGCTGTACCCGGCGGGAGAACGTGTCTAGACGCGTGGCGAGTGTTGATGGATACTAGGGTAACAGCAAATAATGGCAATTGCCTCTTGAATAATGCGTGTTGGTTCTTCGAAGGAGTGAGAAAGTTCATGAATTCACGAAGTCGCTCCTTCTCATCCGAGTTTGCTTCTATTTTCTCGGCTGTGAATGTATCCGATGTCGCAAATGTCAATTTCCTTGCTCTCTCTAATTTACTCAAAGGGACTTGTACCGAAGACAGGGCATTACTCCTTGGTTTCCCTTTATTTCTGTGATTTTCCTGTTCCTGGCCGTTTCTATGTTGTGTTCCATCGATGGGCTCCGCTGTGTTTTCAACTTGCGTTGAGTTACTCGTTGGGTTTTCTGGATTCTCTCGCCTTTGGTTATCAGACGCCAAGTTGGACTCGGGCAAGCTTTTGGTTGCTGATAGCGAGGGATATTTGATCCCATCATGGGCAACATCTGAGTTGTTGGGGATACGGGGAACTGCTTGTCGCCGCCCAATCTGTCCCTGATTGGCGCTTTTAGCGGCAGACCGTCTGGCATCAATCACTGCCCCGTCTGGGCTTCCGGCTAATGGAGCGACGTTTTCCTTGACTTGAGTAGAATATCTTGATTGGTAGTTTGGTGAGTTAAGTGAGATGTCTTGGGGTCTTCGAAAAACCCGCGTGCTGGGGGTTTTCTGTATGAGGGTTGCTAAAGCTGCTAGACCCGAATGTCGAGGTACGTCGCTTTTAATAATTTCCCAATCGGAGTCGGTATTATCAGGGTTCGAATCCGACCTCTGTCCAGTGTCAGCACGTGGTTCACATTGAATAAGTCATATTAAACAATAAAACAGGGTATAATTACCTCATCCATAACTAGAGCATTAGCTTCCATTCTAATGCCTGGTCTTTGTCTAGTATGCGTTTTTAAGTCTTTTTCAGACCTAAGAAGTTGGCACTTGCGTTCGAGATACTAAATCTCGGAATATTGATGAATATACACTTTGGGTTGCGCTGGGTATCTAAGGAGGTTGGGGGCTGGAAAAAAATTCACCGCAAGTTTTATTGCAGCGTGGCAATGCAGCAACACAGTCATCTCATTGGCAGCTAGGTGAGGGGAAAAACTAGGTATACAAAGGCTCGGCTCGCCGAGTCTACCACGGTGGGCGATAGTGGCAACCAATACTTGGACTTTGCGGAATATGATGCTATGGCGGAACACAATTTGGAGATGGGGACGTTTGTTCGTTTCTCAGATACGGATTTTCGACTCCTAGTAACAGCAATGTGGACCCACTACTCAATCGACTCCGTTCAAGGTGAAGTAGGGGCTTCTCTACCCTACTACTTCAGATACGCCAATAGCGAAGTGACCCGTGTGGTCGTCCAGTCCTCAATACACGATACGGCTGTTCCAAAGACGATATCGGACCTCACTGAGATTATACAATTGCTCAAATCGAAGGTTGCAACTCCTAAAATGGATCTCGCATATGACGAGACTTCAAGGTTGCCACCTGATCAAGCATTGCTGGACCTTGTAGTGAGGCTAATGTTCGCAACGGCTTGCGTTACTCCGGGGACGATTGGGGGGCCAATATTCAAGCCAGCATGGAAAGCTTCGGAGACGATAACCCAGTATATCGACCGTGTCTATCCGCTATCGTCTGATATCCCCCATGATATAAGACCTATCAGAATGGATAAGCTGCGGATGAGTTATCTAGAAGCATATGCGAACGTCCATATTCAATGGACGGACCATCTAAGTGACCATCTAGTTTTGCTCAAGGGTATTGCCCAGAAAACATTGTATATTTACGCCCACCCGTGGTTCTTGCGCGCTTCTCTTCGGAATCTGGGGGCGATTGATTTTAGTCTCGCTTGCTCTACTGCGGACTCTACCATGGTGTAGGTTGGCCATTCCTAGGTAGAATTGAATATACTTTTGCTTATTTATTGCATAGGGGATGCCTTCCGCCGCGACTGATAAGAGAGACTCTAAGAACGTTCGATGTTTTATTTCCTGCAGCAGGTGACCCGCATTCTTTGTCTATCCTGATAAGGGAGGTGGACGGGCACTCTCTTGATCCGTATCTTCTCAGGTCAATTCAAGGGGATTTGGAAGAACACGAACACCCGAGAGATGCCTTAGAGCCCGAAGATGCCCGGGCCTTGTACCAGAAATATCCATACTGGGCTGATAGGCTATATGATCTATGGAGAGAAGCAGATGATCCAATGCCAGTGACTAATCTTGAAAGGTGGTCGGAGAGTCGGAGAAATCCACGATTCACCTATTGGTGCGCTGTGGTTTCAATCGGAGTTGCCATTGTATTTGGGCTCGTGGCAAATATTTTGGGAGCGATGCAACTATGGATATCATATTGTGACTGGAAGAACAACTCGTCGTTGCCCGTATGTGACTCTGGACAGTAGAATTGAGACAAGAGCGAATGATAGTGAAAAGCGGCGCCAGTGCTGATCGGCCCTCGTATAAGGTAGGATATTTGGAAGGCATAGAATGCTGTGTTTTAGCGGTATTTACCGAAATATAGCATCCATAATTAACGCAAATTACGGCATTGTACACCCTCAAATTACAGCGCATCACTCCCGGTAATCGTAAAGAACGAGTGCGGAGTAATGCGCCGAGTGAATGGCAAAATACTCCCAGGGGGTCCCCCCTCCGAAATATAGCGCCTGCCGGGCGAATATTGAATCCTACAGTGCAACAAGCCCGCCACGAGGTCATGCTCAAGTCCGACATCTCATCGAATTTAATAAGAGATGGTGAAACAGCTTTTAATCCGGTGATTGCGAGCATACGGGAATTTTTCGAAAATCTCTTTACGTTCCGTTCTAACCACCGTTTCCTACTGGGCATGAACTAAGAAACTCCGACCCCGCATTCTGTTGCGTATAATTGTCTGGGGTTGAGTTCGGCGCTTCATGAGCTATTCCCACGCTGGTTCCTAGGCTAAGTTCGTCAACAGGCCATTGTATGTGAACCCTATCAGATTCCTCAAGATGATTGTAAACGCCATGCAGAATATGGGTCGGCCACCCTTGAGTGAACCAAAAAGATTCCATCTCCCTGAACAGAACAGCAAAGTGAGCGAATATGATAAGCGCAACCCGTTCTTTCTTCTGGAGCCGGGCAGCAAGATCATCGCTTATAAGATAAAGCCATCTGAATATCAATACCGAAAAGTGAGCATTTTCGCATTGCGGGTTGCGAAGTCCGGCGTACACACTATCGAATGTGTCTTTAAGGAGCTCAAAAGCGTCCATGTAGGTTGAGACGGCGGTATAATTCGCGGTCGTTGTGTAGAGTATGTAGTTTCGCAGCGTGCGGAAAGGCTCTGTGTATGCGGGGTGATATCTCAATTTGAACTCTGGGGAAGAGTCATTCGCGGTAGTGCCCTCGTCGGTAGCGGATGGGAAGCTATATGGAATACCTGATTCCATAATGCTACGCACACCCTTAAGAAACGTGAACCACTTTGCTTCCGTGCCTCTATCATTAAAGGCGAGATATTCGCCAGTCTGTGGTCCGAACGCAAGATCGCAGAACGAGGCAAACATTGCTGAAATATACACCGCTGAACTGTTTCCAGAATGAAGATTACGCAATGCGTCAGTGGTACCTGACAAGCCTATCGTGTGATGGCGGCCGGCTTCTGCGATTAAATGATCCCTCCGATTGGGATGCTGCTGCGCGAGGTGTAGAGCTGAGAAGGCGAGAATGAGATGTAGAGCGAAAGGATGAGCAAATCCTATCTTTGGCATGTGAATCTGCCATAACCTTTTACCTTCGCTAGAATCGCCGACGCCGATATCAGAGTCGGTAGAAAAGTGATGGAGAAACTCCATATCCTCGTAAGATAAAATCGCACTTGGAATTTGACAGGCAGAGGCTTGGCTTTGAGGGCTAGCTTGACTGCCGGGAGTCATGAGCTCACTGCGGAGCGAACCTGATCTGACACCGGGACTTCTATGGAATTGGTCTGCCGAATTACCTGCGTCTGGTGTTGGAGAATGAACTAAATCGCAGTCTAGTTGCCGCCTGACGCAATTTGAGCACGTCGGTTGCACTTCGTCGCATTTCTTCCTGGCCTTTTTGCAATTGGAACAGCCTCGACGCGATTTTCGATGTGATCGTCTGTGAAGTTTCACTGTCCGGCCTCCATTCGCATTTGGCGCCGACGAATCGGCATCAGAGCCATCACTCTGTGATCTACCTCCCCTTATGATCATCACTTCTCAGGTATATCGTATGAAGTTAATGTAAGCGAAAACTGATATGAGTTATAGACATGTTGATGTTTTTAGGAGATGAATAATGAGCAAAGATTTGTGGTTTTAGCGGACCCGCCGCGTCTTTCTGGGGGCTTCGCCTCTAAATGGCGACTAAATGGGGCGAAGCAAACTAGCACTTAGGTACCCGGATAGGTACCTAACCGCCCACATGCCCCTGAGTTGATACCACAGTCTCGTTCATTTACCACCCTGCGATGCTACTACTTAGAGCAAACCCGACCGAATGAGAAGGTTGGAAAACTTTCGCATCATAACACCTCAGAAGACCTTAGGTTGATATGAGCATTCGTGCCATTTCAGCACGTTAATGCTTGATAAAATATCCTAGGGAGAAACTCTAGAGATTGATATTATATGGCTTCCGAATAGATTGTTCATTGATGAGATGGATAGAGTTCCGAAGTTGTTTGGGGGAAGATTCTTTTTGCCTAGGTACCTAGGTAGGAGCATGGTTATAGGAAGGGACATTATGTGCATTATGTAAGCGAGCTTCAGTAGATAATTCTAATTTCCAGCACCCCACCCCACTAACTCTCCTTCTATCATTTATTTATTACAGTGACTTCATTACTCTCCCAGCGAGCGATTCAAAGTCAGCTACCACATAATCAAAATCCTCTATTCCAGACGGGTAATTCTTTTGAAACCAAGCTCCTTCAGCTCTCTTAGCACGTTCTATTGCTTCCTTGGTCGTGGTTCGCGTGGCACTATGTATGCTGCGAGCTAGGCCTTGTAAAGGATAAGCGACTAACCCTAGAGTCGCTGCGCTAGTCTTCGTTGGAATACTGAACAGCCCTTTGGCTAATCCTTTGGCGACTCCCTTAGGACCTTCTTCCTTCTTACCTCTATAAGTAAACACGACAATGTCGGTTACCGCTCCGGCGACACTCTGGCCGAATACCTCTCCAGCAACAGACACTCCAGTCTTGAAGCCTTTGACATGTCCATGTGGCTTAACATCGTCGTAAGCACGAGGCAGAGCACGGAGGCCCTCGGTCGCTGCCACGGGGACGTCAACGAATATTCCTCTAGACCATGTCATGAGGGCTTTTCCGGCACTACATGCAGATGCAGATGCTAGAGCTTTTGTCGTACGATAATTGTTTAGTGCATTGTGTTTGCTGTGCACAGCAGTCTTATTCGTCACAGCATCACCAAAACGATCTTCTTCTAAGTTGTCTAAAGCTCCGTTGATTTCTTTGTATTTCTCATAGGGCTTAGTGAATACTCCAGCTGTGGCATTCGCGGTCCGGGCGAATGTCGCTAATAATGCTGCAGATACGGCCGTTGCCGGATCCCACCTTTCCGGCTCAATAAAGATAGGATGTGACTTATACCTAAAGAATCAAGTTAACGAGACTAACCCGAAGTACGCTTGATTTTGAAGACCTACAGCTTCAGTTTCTTCTGATCGATTTTTTGCCGTCCGGTCAAGATATTTTCTGCCCGTTTGGAAAGTAAGATGGGGTTTTGTTTACCCTTATAAGACCATGCCGCTGGCTGGTCTGGGAAAATGGTACAGGTCAGTTTTGCCAGTGGGAGATTGGCATGAAAAAATTGCACTGCTCTTTTGACTCCCGACTCTTTCTTCATGCTCTCAGAAATTTTGGATGCCGCATCGGCGGCTTCAGGTGTCAGAGAATACTCTATGGCGTCGGCAAGCTTTCTAGAAGTAAGTGATGCATATGGAACGGGCTTTGGCCCAGCGCCTGTTCTTGCTAGCATTTCGCCCCAGAATGGTTGACTGAATATGCATTCATGTTAGCGCTATCGAGTCCTAAAACGCCACTAAGATTTGCGACTCACTCTCCAAAAAACGGCACAATTACCGTCGGGCGGCCATAAAGAAGCCCACAAGCTGTTGTACCAGCCCCGCCATGATGTACCACAGCGCTAACCTGCTGAAAAAGCCATTCGTGGGGACAGTCCCCTATGTAGAAAATATTCGGGTCACCAGTTCCCTTCAGTTCACTCCAACCCTTCGAGATGATAGCCCGGATCCCTAGCGTTTGCACCGCTTTCAAGACTATCGTTAATATTCGGTCTGGATCGTCGACGACTATGCTACCAAATCCTATATATATAGGCATCGGACCCGAATTTAGGAATTTTTCAAGATCCTCTGGTGGGGTGTAGCTTGGTGGCTTCCTGAAGAAGAACCCACAGACGTCTTTGAGAATGTTAATATTGGATGAGTGCGCTAATGGACCTTTACACATGAGGGGCAATACCTATACTCGAATCCCAATCACTCGGCCTCGGTATTAGGCCTGGAGACCAACAGTACGAAAATGGGACCTTGAGCGTTTCGAGGAGACGGCACCCTTCCGTGGTGGGAATTGGCTCCAAGCTCAGCGTCTGGTCTCGCCAATCATTCACAAGATCCCCTAGCCTTTACGAAGTTAGTCGGCAGGTCATTTCAATTACAGTCGTTTCAACCTACCCTTGCCAAGTCAAGGCTTCCACGACATAATATGAAAGATAGTTAGCGACCCTGGGATCCTCGTTATGATTCGCTAAATTTGCTAATGGGTGCGCAAAAGCCTTTGTTCTAGTCCACGGCATCGTAAACATCATATGCAGAGGGACTCCCAGAGCTTGTGCGCAATGAACATGAGCGAAACTTGGAGGATTCGATATAATTGCGTCGGCGACAAAAGGGTTTCCAGTCTCCTCGTCAGGTTCGATACAAGACTTCCAGAAGTTTTGCAGCATTTCCCCTATCATTTTCCTCTTTTGTTGAATATCTCCTGCTCGTAGGCTTTCGATACTGGGAATAAGACCCGGATTCCTCACCATATAAGCCATGAGCTCCGACGGATTCCCACCGACCGGGAAGAACTCCAGCCCAGCAGCCTCGACAAAGCTTTTGAATACATCATGTGTTGCGAGTCGCACGCGATGGCCGTGTGATTTCAGTTCTTGCCCGAGAGCAACAAAGGGTTGAACGTCTCCCCTGCTGCCGATGACTTGAACGACGATGTTGAGCCGCAATGGAAATTGTTCCTCTTCTAGGTATTTTGGTGATGGGACGGGGTCAGGTTGGCTAAAATCTGTGGGGTAGGTTGTCAGAAGTCGCGAGAGCCGTTGATTCAGACCGGAGCTGATATCGACACCAACCCGGCCATTGTCTGCCACCGTAAGTCAGCATCACAAAACGAGGCTGTATGAGGAGCCTTATAAGTATACCTCTAACACCGATACCGGGAACATTGGACATCGTCGAGCCATGGCGGACATCAAATTCCTGATAGGCGGGAGAAGGTTCTGCTGGGATCTCGTGCGAAGTTGGAGAGCCGGAGTTATTCATGGTCATAAATGATCCGGCGAGAAGCTCATGATTTCCGATGGAGTTAAAAACCAGTTCATCTCTCAACACATAGCAAATGACTAGAAAGACAGCAATTGAAGTTGAGAGCCGGGACGTAGTTAAACGCTCTACCCTTGCAAGAACTACTATGGTTCTAGCAAGCCGGCTCTCATGTCGTATCGACCCCTTAAAGGGATGCACGACCGGTCGATAGCACTATGCATTAGCTCAGGGTTCTACCTACAGAAGCCGGCATATCGTGCCCCATTTACCACCCAGGTAGCATTGAAGTGGGCCCCCAACAGCGTATTCCAGCGTATTCATGCATCTCAAATACGACGACCGGAAAGAGCCGACATCTAACAAGTACTGGTTATGCCTCGAGGTTTCGAAATAGCAAAAACAGGTTGCTAAGCGCGGACGAAAGTGGCCCTTTAACGGAACGTTCCACTAGTTCGAGCTCTACGACTCTAAGGTATTGGGTTGAGTTAGGACTTTGTGTTGTAGACATGAGAATTTATGTACCCTATAATCGAGCGCTAAACCTAGCTTCCAGGTACAATATTAGTATTCTAGGGCATTTACGACTTAAACTCCCCCTAAGCTAGCGGCTCACTGCCTCTAAACCACGACTATGTAACCTATGAGCTTCCTCTCGTCTTGCCCTCCGCCTTTCCTTGCGAACAATAACACACCAAGCGACCCCTTGAAGCGCAGACGCCAGCCATAAGAGCATGTTGACCATATCTATCCATATCGCAACCTGCATGCGACTTATTGATGGCTCGGAATCAGGGACATCGGATTTATACCGCCCCCCAATATACAAAGTCCCAAACACACCGAATTGTACCACCCACAGAATGAAGACGACCCAGTCCAACAGACACCACGCAAATCTCGTAGCTGCGACGAAGAGGTGAAGTATACATGTTATCAAGGACACGGCGACCGCGAATTCTGCGTAAATCCATGATGATATCTTTCCGGTTGATGCGAATGCCGTGTCGTATAAGTCGAGGCCGTATAGTATAGCGACGACTATGGCGAAGATGACTTGTAGAGTGCGAAGGAGGCTGCGTGCAACTAGACCGGTAAGTCCTGTTTTGTTCCAATATTGTTCGGTGACGGTCGTGTCTCCCCCCATGGTTGAATATTAGATTTGTCTCAAAACGCCGGCGGGAGGGAGATTTGGCGAAGTTCTGATAATTTACTTTTGATTTAATTAGAGCGCATTTATCACCTAAAAGAGTGTCGCGATGATGGTGATGCGAAAAAGGACGAGAAGAATAACGAGTATATCTACTAAATCCATCCACCAAAACCTAACCCTGAGCTGGAAATTCCAGGGGTGTCCATCAAACCCGGCGAGCCTCGAGAACGGACGATACATCAATACGCCAATACGCCAGCCGTGATACGACATTACGACACCAATACGAAAATGTAATAGACATCTCCACTTCAGCCCACATATTATAGATCCGCCTTCATCCATGGAAGCAGGCAGGGCAAATTAAGCCGTCTTCGCTATGACGAATGAATATATTTCTGTTACACGTCGTGAATAACATGAGTACCCGGCATTTGAAGCGTTGGTGAAAAGTCCACCGGAATGGCTGTCGATCCAGTCTTCCAACAGCGGTGTTCTGGGTATTTACTCAGTGTAATTATAGGGAAGCTCTAACTAAAGACCACTAAATTATAGGGCATGCCTTTCTTCCACCATGGGATTAGAATAGCCATGGTAGTACCAGGGTGAGGGTTACTACACGTTCAGTACAGCGTTCTTGGTGCATTTATCTTCGTCCACATTCCCCGATGTCATTAAGCATGCCAAAACGCGAGTTTTGGGTGAGTTCTCAGATGACGAAATGAATTATGATACGATTAAAAGGTATATCGTCGAAATAGACTAATTCATGTAGTCTTCATGTAGTCTTCATGTCTAATATACCTACATGTAGGTAGATTAACCCTTCGTGCATGTTCTAATCCCCCACCAGCGCTAATGTGGGGGTTCTAAAATGGCTGGTAGGCCTGGCAAAGTCTCCCGTCTTCATTTTGAACCCAATCCTCACTCCCCACGCATTGACGACACCAGAGAAGACCTTCAGGGTCATATTCTCGTTTGATCTCGCGAAGCCGTGCATAATTCGGGCCGTAGAAGGACCACTGCCAACCTGGTTCGAAAATATTCGCCTAGATATATCAGCTTGGGGCGGATCGCGCAAAAGCTGGGGTCGAAACTCACCTCATTGAGGTACGCTCCGGACTCCGGGGCCAATCCTCGCAGTGCATTGAGCTTCCCGTAAGTCATCTCGTTGACGATTCTAGAGACATTGCTAGCGGGCATAGAACCACCCCAGGACTGTTCGGTGATAAGATGGACGACTGTATCGCGCCAGGCTGGATTTAGGGAGTTGTTGACACTTTCGTGACCGATTGTCATAATACCTGATATACCGGGATTCGGGGTGCCGTCCTGCGTAGCCGATTTGTTAGTGAGGATTTGATTTCTTTAATCCCAACACTTACTGAAGGCGCTGGAGCTTGCGATCCGACTACTTCGAGTGTCTGAGCAAAGAGATCCGGTTGCTCTTTGACGGCGCGCTTGGTGATTAATCGAGATGCAGTAATTGATCTCGATAGACTACCGCCGGACGGGTACATCTTCACGAGATCAAAGATAGAGGTAACTGGCAATTCTGCTAAAGTAAAATTCACAGTGCCGTTTGCCGCTGAAAGGAGGCGCCTAATAGGGGCCGCTATGCTCTGAGCGGTGGCGTTCGACTTATTCCAGAAAAAAAGAGAACTCGCCAAATTTAGGGTGCTGCTTGATGGGGGACCCCCGATAGTGTAGTAGCCCTGCTGCTGAATGTCGGAGAATACACCGTTGAGCTGCGCTATAACTTTCCACCATGCCTTGCTAGAGGTACCGTTCTTAGCGGCGATGTTTAGACCTAGTAGTGTCAAGCTCGGCACTGGGTAAGCCTTCATTGTCATGTTAACGATTACCCCAAATGTACCACCACCACCGCCCCGTATCGCCCATAGTAGGTCGCTGTTGTGACAGCTATTGGCCGTTATAACGTCCCCGGCTGGGGTTACGATAGTGGCTTCGAGGATATTGTCAGCGCCCATGCCGTATTCGCCAGTTAGGAAGCCGTGGCCACCGCCTGTAGCCCATCCTACAACACCAACATCCTTACAATTAAGGCAGTTAGCTCAGTTAACAATCACATGGCATTGCCATATTAGAGAACACTTACCGTACTAGTACCGGTGACGACTACGATATTGTTTGCCCAGAAAAAAGGGTATAGGTCACTCCCCTGAATGCCCGCACCTATTGTCACAGCTTTTTGCGACCCCTTCCATGAAGTGTTTGACGAGCATCCTTGGGGTTGGAAAATTTCATGATATACGATATTTTTCAGGTTGTGAGTCCAGAGTCTAATTGAGCCGTAAGTAATAGTGTATAAGTGCCTGCGAATTGGCTTATAGCGGGGAAGACACCTACGATAGGCTACCTGCTGCCGTGTTCCTACAGTGGTGTTAGCGAAGTTCCGCTTGGTGAGACCAACGCGGGGATCCATCTACCTTCCTGCTCCGTTATGTCCAGTATTTTTAATATTAATCCTCAAATTCCTCTCTTTTGCGAACATCAAAGCAGCTTGTATTTGACTGGAATCCGTCACATCAACGATGTATTCTGGAAGTGCCCCTAGAGAGCATCCCTTTTGCCCGGCGGACTCGTCGCCATAAATGCTAGTTCCGTTGGGGTAGATGGGATCGCAGGTATCGTTGGTCCATGAAGAACTGACGCTAATGGGATCCGAGGAGTGAAAATTGTCGGCTGTCCAGTTACTGATTACCCCCTCACAGGCCTCGGCGCTGTAATTAGGTTCTGAAGGGTAGCATACGGACCCTGGAGGGGTAGTTTTTATAAGGGCTCCGCCAATGGTTTTATTGAACGACTCCCAATCCGCAGTTGTTGGCCAGCATGGTTCGGATGGAGACTATTCACCAAATTTGAAAATCAGAGACAAGTACAGACGACAAGAAAGGGAGGAGTAAAACTCACACATCTGCAAGTAGCTCCGAGGACCGTGTGGGTGGTTAACAAGATAGAAGCCACGAACAATATAGGAGAAAACCGCATGTTGACGACAAAACCCGCCTGGGAAACCGAATAACACGGGACCTATTGAGGACCATAGCCATCTTCGATTCTTTGTATTTTATATATTTATACCGCTAGCAACCCTGACCAACTGTGGACCTTCCTAAGTGAGCTGTCTGTAGTGACGACATATCCTTGAATCCATCTTGGTATGCAGTATGTAGATTTCTTCGGGAATATGACCCTATATTGGTGGTCAGGGACGGGAGCATAGGTGCATAATCAGACCCCTGTGTGCCTGAGTTTAGCGTGCTTCTTGTTGTCCACTTCGGGGTAGCCCTAGGGCTTTACACACCTAGCGGAGGTACATGCGTCGTAAATTCGGGCGTGTTCGTCGTACTCGTAAACCCAGGCAGGCGGCTTTCAATCTTTTCTACGGCTTCTGATGATCCCAATTTCTTATCATTAGATCACCACGACTCTTTCGATGCACGTATCGTTTCTTAGTGATAGGGCTGAGTTACCATGAGGAAATAGCTTGGAATACCTTGAAATGTTATTACAAATGTCGACGAGTGTTTTACTCGGAAATGTTACTTTGGGTATGCGATTTCTGGAAGATTTGTGTTCCAATATATTAGGGTGGGTTAACAGTTGCGTAGAGGGGGGTTATTATAGGTCCTTAGCTCCCCTGGAGATCCAACGACGGAATCAAATTCGTATAAAGCATTGCAATACACCCGCCTCAGTTAGTTGATCAAGATGAATCCACGGTGACTAAAAACGAATGACAAAATAATCTCCGCCTTAACTTCAAACACTATAATACTCTAAGCGCCCTGGTAATAGGCACCCTTATGATGAACGATAGGATACCTAGGTAAGTTGGCGCGATTCTGCCCCGTTATGAACAGGCCGATTCTGCCCCCGTAGCACTGGGCTATGAAGTGTTGCGTAAGGCGCCCGGGATTGGTGGGGCACTCAGCGTATTCAACTCCCTAGAATACGACATCGAATACGCTGCCCGAACCACCGACCTACGTAATTGAATATTTGAATGAGAGTCAAAACACTATTTGTGAATTTTAGGTTTTTGATTTTATATCATCTTCAATTATATGCGCCTCAAATTTATATAACTCTCTTTACCCGACTTTTAACTATCATCCGGCACTCACCAGTCTTCTCGGCCAAAACCACAACTAGAGAGGCACGTTCAACTCCACCAATTGACAATATGAACACCGGCGATGGGCCATTTGGGCCTGTCGTCAATGGGACTCAAATAGTCTTTTTCGAATATCGCCCAAATAAGGCAGCTGGTCTGTCCTTCGTTGCCGTGTTCGGTCTCGCGACAGTGGCTCATCTTGTATACTTTTTCTGGCTCCGGGCTTGGTTCTTTATCCCTTTCATTCTTGGGGGCGTATGTCAGTAACTAAACTACTATTCTCAGCGATTGAAACGCCCTGTAGAGCCTATCTAACCACCTATGCAGCTGAGGTATTCGGTTACTATGGTAGAGCGTTGGCCTCTGACGACCCTATCAAAGTGGGGCCATTCATCCTTCAGAACCTACTTCTCTTAACGGCAACACCATTTCTTGCTGCGACAGTTTATATGTCCTTTGGACGTGTAACAAGGGCACTCGAGGCGCAATCATACTCTTTCATTAGTATCCGATGGATGACCAAGATCTACGTCTTGATAGATTTTGGCTGCATTGCGAGTCAACTCGTGGGCTCCGTATTACCGGCTTCCGGCAACGCTGACGCTATCGAAAAATCCCGAATCATTTTAATAGCTGGTCTCGTCACTCAGCTGGCGGCATTGTCCCTGTTTATCATCACCATCTGGCATGTATACCGACGAATCCAGCGGCACCTTCCTATTACTCTAATCAAAGACCCGTCGGTCTATTGGCAAAACCATTTCAGAGCTTTGGCAATAGTCACATTGCTTATGATCATCAGGAGTCTTGTACGATCTATTGAATTCCTTCAGGGGCAAGGAGGTTTCGTCATCTCGCATGAAGCTTTTATTTACGTATTTGATGCCGCTCCGATGGCCTTGGTCATGATCATATTCCTGATCATTCACCCCGCTAGACTTGTGCGTGATGCGCGGCGTTTGAACCGCTCCGACGATGATCGTGTCATGCTTAGTAGTCTATAGCCTTAGGGGAATTTCTGACGGGTTAGAAACTTACGGGGACCGGGGCAAATCTTTCGTGTAAACTAGAACAGATAACTTAACGGAGAAAATACATAGATCTCTTAATTGATGCCAAATTTTATCGACGACCAAAAGCATCACCCACTGTGGAACGCCTAGGCATTGTATCCCGATTAGGAAATCAAAAGGTTTAATGTGGCTTCTGATTGGTTCCAACCTTTCCACCCCGCTACTGGTATGCGATTAGTGTCTTGAGCCGCTAGATCAACCAGTCGCTGTTAGCGGTCGTAGAGAACTAGAAAACTTTTGCGATGAATCTCACAGGATTGAAGCAGAATAGAGGCCATTCTACGTAACTAAAATAAGGTGCAATGATCACATTGAAACCTGATATATCATGCTACTTCGGGAAAGAGTGGAACTCAGTACTTAATCCGAGGTATAGTTGCAATAACCCAGGGATCATAGCGGATAGATCGCAGATCGTTAAATAACACGACATGGGGATATCCCAAATACGCTCTGTCAATACGCTATACGACAGTGTCCGCATTCTGAACCGCAGCTAATTTAGCGGCCGAGCGCATTCGATCGCGTTATGCCATAGTACCTATATACCCACGGCAGACCATAAGAAAAATTGCTCGTGTAGTTTCAATTATATATTGACCGGCCATAAGTATCTAGGTATAGGGGATGTATATGCACTACGTATGTACCTGGGAAAAAACTACATGACGCTTTGTATTTATAGCTACAGTGGTTGAGTTTAGAGTCAGCGCTTTTAAATAGGTAGGTGCAAGTCAGTGCTTTTAGCGTGTGCTGTCCGGCGATTCTAGCGACTAAGTTTGAGCAATTTACGGCGCCAATCTTCTATCATTACAGCGTAAGTCATCGTAGTTATAGTAGACCCTTCATCACATTATTAGAGTTTATAGTTAGAGGATTTCGCGGTGACGGCTCCCGGGTGCTGGTGCGTCGTTCTCTTAATTAATGAATCCCATATGAAACGAAGTACGGAATAAATATGATTAATACCTCAAATTAATACTAATTGGGTTTATGTTTCGAAAGATATTAAAGTGGTTCAACTCAAACCAGTCTTTCGCCCAGTTAAAAACTTCTTCATATCTGCCTTCAATTGCCCGTATGGGAGCTGACAAAATCAACAATATCAAAAATAGAGCGTTTATAAGATCGTTCCAACGTCACATTGTTAACAGTCTGAACGCCATAACGCGCAGCATACGAACCGAATTCCCAATTGTCAAGATATGCCCAACCCAGTGCTCCTTTGAACTTGACTTCATCTTCATGTATACTCTTAAGAATCTCATTGTAAATCGGCTGAGAGAATAAAGTGGATGTCATATCGGCGCGTGCTTGTTCTGTGGACATGGCGGCTTCTTCAAATCCAGGCCAACCGAATTCTGCGAGGAAGATGCCTTCTTCTGTTGGATAGGTGGTGTCGAGATATTTGAACATGGTGCGAGCATGTTGGTAGAAAGTCTAATAGTTGTTAGTATAAATCTTTGATAGAGTCTAGAAATCGTGGTGGCTTACAAAAGGTGCTGCATTGCTTTCTGCACCAATCTGCCAACCGGCACGGATCGTAGTGGTGTTGGTGCACGAAGGATAGGCTGGGTGAGAGCTATTCGACAGGCAAGTTTCAGTGCCATCGGTTAATGTTGTAGCGTATATAGCGGCATAAATATCAACGCCTAGGTAATCGACTGTACCCCCGGCATACTGTAGTTCCTCGTCTGTGTAGCGGGGTGCCTTGTCACCTAGCGTCTCTAGCACGCTAGAGGGGATCTGTGTTCCTAGGTAGATCGGGTTCGTCAAGTAACCGATAGAGAAGTCAAGCGACCTCTGACTTGACGCTACATCATCCGGATTCCCTGGATCAAGAGGTAACGGGAATCCCGAGGCGACCGATAGTTTGAAACTCCACTTGCCGGTTCCTTTTATCTCATCGCGATAAAAGTGCACCGTCTTCGCGTGAGCCATTAGTACATTGTAGCTCGAGGCCCAATTTTTGAATATCGCTGCATCGTTAGTTGGCTCGTTGAAGGTGACCCAGGTACCAACGCGGTCGGCGTAATGTGTCAGAACGATTTTAGCATAGTTGACAAACCCATCGACAAACTCCGGGTGGTCGTATCCCCTAATTTCAAAAATGCATCAGTCATGGTCTTGAAAAGTTGTGGTGCATTGGAGAACACTTACTGCCAACTCGTACTCGTCATGAAGTATAGCGGGGTGTCAAGGTGATTTAGAGTCACAATCGGCGTCATTCCGAACTCTAGGACCGTATTGATTAGATCGTCGTAATGGTCAATAGCCTCCTGATTTACAGGAGAACCAGCAACGCCAAAAGGCAAGATTCTTGACCAAGAGATACTAAGTCCATAGGACTTAACCCCTATTGCCGCAAGTCGAGCGATGTCTTGTTTGTATAGGTAGTAGTTCAAGGCAGAAACGTCTGGAGGACCAGCACCGGGAACTCCTGCCGGACCGCGACCGATCATACGGTCCAGAACAGTTGGCCCCCGGCCTTCACTCTTAACCGCACCCTCCACCTGCACTGCGGAACCGGTAAATCCCCATTGGAAATCACTAGGGAATTGGTAATCATCCGTTTCCCCCTTTCCTACCACGAATGGAAGAGGTGTGGGTTTTACGAGCTCCGAGCTTGGCACTGGAGTGGGAGACACCGTTGTGGTGATAGGTGGGGCATCTACTGAAAAAGTCGCCCATAATGACGACCATGCAGCATTGCCGAATTTTTCGCCGGTGTCTGTCGGGGTTGCTATGTTTGCCCATGTAGTTGTTTGTTGGGACCCAGCTAGCGACGAGAGATCTGAATAGGGACGTGCATACGTCGCCGTAGAATTTAGTCTTGGGAGTGCTGTAGCATATTGAAGTTCTGGGTAGGCTGGCCAAGAGAAAATTCCAGTGCTCGCATTAGCGGTTGGAGCTGGATTAGGTGCCCTAAATAAACCAATTAACGAGTTGGAAATTTTATTTTACTGCGGACTAGGGTGATACTTACGCAACCCCTAAAGTCATAAGGGAAGTAAGACAGACGAGTTTGGGGCCGTTAACAACCATACTTCGCTATTTTCCCACTATTAAGCGGCTTTACAGAGGACCTCGAGGAACGCTTGGGAGGATGTGATGCCTTAACTTCTGGCAGACATTGTTTAATCTATAGCTCCGGGAAAGGAGTTAATATATGAGTTTATGTAGAAGCTAACTTGGTAATTCACAAGAACTAGTTGATTTAAACGGCCCGTCGTATTCGTGGGCATGTTATTCGTATTTAAGAAGAGTTGGTTGATCCTTCAAATTGTGATTACCCCAATCGAATTTCCCCGAAATGTACGAGTAGTTACGAGATCCGAGTCGGATTCATTCTCTTCGGACCTATTCAAGGTTACAGGACTAGGGATATTCTTGTTTTAGTTACCTGTCTAAATATTTATGACTATACTTCCTCTAGATTAGGAATATGAACTGAAAATTACATGTTTTTATGTTATGAAGTAGGGTTTGTGTAGTTGTTAAATCTGAACTTCCGAGACGGGTCGCATATAAGCGTATTGGATGTGGGGTTTCCCCGCTGGCCGTCGCACTCCGCGTGCGGGGATATTTATTTCTCGGCGGCATTCCGTAAATCTGGGGTAGCATCGAGCTAGTAGTACTGATGATAGGTAGCTAGCATGCTTACGGTTAGTTTTCCTGCTATATTCCGGGGACTTCTCTCCTCGGTAATAGTGGCAATACGCCTTAATTATATCTCTAAATATATGGCAATGCTGGAGATCGTGTCTTACTCCTAGGTATTAATGTGCTTCTTGGATGAATGATTTCTTCCGGATTTAGATACCCATTGGCATGGACTTACCTAAATATTTCTATACCGTGCTTCTAAGGGCCGCCCGGAAAAGCACCGCGGGGTAGGGTCGAAATTTGAGAAGCACGTACCCTCCGGGGCGGATGTGATGGAATGATGTGCTACTTGGCAGTCAAGACCCGTTAGCCGAGTGAAATCGCAATGATCTTGTCTCGATTGTAAAGCATGGTTTTGCCCTCTTCTATATTCCGCCTATTTCTCAGGTTGAAGCATTCAGCCGATCTCTAGATATAATAATGTCCCTCGTTTTGGATTCGAATCGGTGCCTCGGTATGTTGAGCCTAGGAATGGCATCGGTGAAAAAAGGGCCAGAGAAGCAAGTTTTAAAGACCTTACCTAGGAGGTAGCTAAGCTAATAGCGTACTTGCGACTGGTGGCTAGGAGCTAATTACTGGTATTAGGGTGTGCTGACACCACCAGTATGCCCCGCCAACGCCACCATTTGGTACCTATCTCATCAGTGTCTGAAGTACCTGAGACATACTGCATAAGCCGCTACAAGCAAGGCATGTTAGGGGGTAGATTTGACCATGCGCACACTACACCAAAGAACAAGCCCTAAACAATATCCTAATCCTTGGGTATGTGAATTCATATTTAACAGGGTATCATCGGTCTATATACGTTGTCCAGCCGAAGTAGACGATTTCTAGTATATGCAACCCAACTCAGTAATGCAATTGTCAGCTCTTAGACTGACTTCCAAGTATGCGACCTCCTCTTCTTTGCACGGGCGATTTTCTCCTCGCGTTTCTTCCTGGCGCCGAGAATATGGCGGCGTTGGGAGATTCTGTTAAACCATTCGAACAGCGTCTCACGCATCATTATTACGATTGTTGCTGCTGCGACCGGGATTGCTATCCACCAACTATGATACGTTAGCTATGACCAGTTACATCAGAAAAATCTAGCTTACAAGGAATTGACAGATTGTTGGGTAGCCGGGAAGTCAGTGAAATTCTGACCGAAGTAACCGGTCAAGAATGTCATAGGTAAAAAGAGGATGGTGACAACTGTGAGCTGCTTCATGCTCTCATTCTGGTATGTGGCAATCGTGTTGAATATTAGGTCGATCATATGGTTGGCCGTCTCCTTGATCTGGGTAAGATTTTCTGTGATAAGAACACAGTGATCATACTGTAACACTTCAAGTTAGTTCCCCGTGTACCTAGAGGGAAAATCCAGCAGGCTCGGTACTTACCACATCGCCCAAGTATGTGTACGTCATAGGCGAAATAATAACGCCTCCAAGAGGATTCTGTAACTCCCGCGTCGCATCTTCCTGGTTCAGTTTCGTCTTATGATCGCGGAGCGCGTTAATGAGAGTCTGGATCGGATTGACGAGACTGAACATTTTGTTGACTTCTGAGATGATGATATAAAGATTCTTAGTGTGCTTAACACTAGGATGCGTTAATACATCAAGTTCGAGGTCGCCAACAACGTCAGTGTAACATGCTGTGACGGGAATGGCCATGTCAATTATCGCATCAATTATGGCTTGTGCAACCATTGAGGCGTCGCATGACTGTCGAAGAATAGTAGTCGGGCTGGCTAATCGGGCAAGAATAGGCTTCTCAACATCGTCGGCTGATTGTTCGAAAAAGGCGATGACTGTGTTATCTGAGGTAATGAACATAGCAACTTGCTCCGCCATAACTGCTACCCCTCTTGCGGCCAGGGCTGAGTTCTTCTCCATATACTCCGTTCTGGCAGTGTTTGGCGAAGCATGATACCTCTGTAAGGTACACAGTGTATTGGGGTTGAAGACGTCGGAATAGCCCGTCGGTTGGTGCGTAAAGCTGTGTCCGGGGGTTAGAGGCGGTTTGATGCCCTTTTCCAGCATGGCGGTGGTCGTGGGATGTTCAACCTTCTTCCTGCCGAACCATCGTCGAGCTTTCTTCGATACAGTCTTCATCGACCTAAGGCTTTTATTGCTCTTCACACTTCGAGCATCGTCGCTCTCATCGTCACTGCTGCTGTCATCTTCAACGAGGCGTACCAATTTCTGACATGTCAGAATGATGAATGCGTGATTAGCGTACCTATTAATCGGAGTTAGTCGCCGTATGTAAGCTGGGTGGACGATATCCTTACCAATCGGCTTTGGTACGGTTCCTTGTGTTCATGGTATCCTCAATCGCCAGCCTATGTAAATCTTTGTACCTCCCCAGAGCGCTTATAACATCCCACGACAGACCATTAACATTAATCCACCGACATTTTACCCAATCAGGTTGCGGCTCTTTGATGAAATCAATGAGCTGATTGTTGTCTAATTCGTGAACTTGTAGGTTGTCTTGCGAGAAATCAACAACCGTAATCTGACATACGGCGTGTAGGTCTGGTATTGTCTCTTGCCCGCCATCTGGTTTCGAAGGGTCGAAACCAGGCTCAGCACCTGGCTTCCATCCCGGTTGCGCTTCGAAGTCTTCGAATTCCTCGAGGGTCATGAATGTATTGGATCGAGTTGTACGTCGTCGAAGCCCGGCGGTAGGAGATAGGGGAGAGAAGAGTTGTGCTGGTTGAGATACCGACGAAGTGTCGACGTTCACTGCATATCGTACTCTAGCCCTGGTATCGTTTGTGGTTGGGGATATAGCAGATGCATCGCTGTTGGTATGAGCGAGTTCGGGCAATGACGGCGGCGCTGTAACTTCGGTATCTGGCACGTCGGGGAATCTTTCGGTCGCCGTGCTGTTCGAGGACGCGCGCGAGACGGGTCGCGACATGGTTGAGGACTAAGAATGGCGATATTATAAATGCGACAATGCTAATTAATCATGATAAAGAGGTTCTTGAATCGAAAACAATTTGGAGAAACGTATGCGACAAATGTTGACTCGAAGCTCCTCCTATAGGATTGATTATTTTTCCATAGCAGGATGGTCATAGAGCTGTTTTACCATAGAAGGATATTATTTCGTCGAACTTGTAATAGAACTTCGACTAAAACAGCGGCGGGACTTCAACGTCGACGCAACATTATTATATTTCCACTAGTCAAGCAGTGGGATTGAAAGGATATTAGGAGAATAGGACGATCTGGTAGACGAGTTGGTGAGATTGTTTTCATTCGGTTCCATTTTGTTAATTATGCGCGGCGATTGAACAGTTTCGGGAAAGGATCAAGGTTCTGACCTTAATGCTAGCGAAACCTTCCCAATAATCTGGGTTCAGGGGACACAAATCTTGGCAGCTAGACAATTGAAATGATGTCATTGGACAGAAATATACGGGACCCCCACTAGGACCACTAAATAGCCTATGACATAAAACTTTAAAGAACGTATGCTGTTCTTTAATTGAAGGAATTGAACGGTACTTAATACAGAAAGAAAACAGCTATGAGTTATTTTATTCTCCTTTGTTTCACATAATTCTATTAAAAAGCATAATACTATGGGTTGGCTTATCTAAAGGGAAAGAGGAGATCTCGAGAGTCAGTGGGGGGCGTATAACAGACCGGGATCTTGGTTAAGATAATGCACCCCACGTCAAAATATCTACCTAGCTACCTAGGTACCCAGGTACTTAGATCATAAGGAGAACAAAAGGAGCAGACAACTCGGTTATGACAACGCAGAATTTAACAATTTTATTTAGAGTTTCTAAAGAAACAATAGTATAAAGGGATAATCAACACAAGATAAGATACAGTTCAATACTATTTTGTACTTAAGTACCCAGGTATCTAAGACCTTAATAAGAAGAACTAACAAAAAAGGAGATGACGTAGATGGCACCCTCAAGCGCCCTCTTTTCATTATCCGCAGTACACTAAGTAAATAGGGACTTATTCATACACTTTTCTCCTTAACAACTACTAAACAATCTTCATTTATCATGACTGACTACGAAACCCGACGACTCCAGAATATTAAGCGCAATGAAGCACTCGTCAAAGAGCTAGGTCTACTCAATGACGCCAACACCCAAAATCAAGCACAACCAACACTCGAAACCGAAAACCAACCTTCCACAAAACGTCGCAAGTTCCAAACAAACCGGCCTACACGATCATCAACGCGGATCGCACGTGCATCCAAACCGCCATCCCATAAGCCGAGAACACGAAATACACCCAGGCGACAAAGACGGAGATCCGATTCCGGGAGTGATGATCCGTTAGCGTTGGATCATCGTAGTCCGGAACCACAATTAAAGCAGGACAATGACTCTTTAATTGCGGGTTGGTCGTCGTGGACTCCTGTGGCACCACCGCCGACACGTGATGTTGAGGGGAATTATCATTTTGAATCGCACCCGTTGTTTACTCCTAATAAATCTCCGGAGGATATTATACGAGAGGGTTCTTTTGGAGGAAGTTATTGGCGCCCTTTATATTCGAAGCGGTTACGTATTACGATAGAGGACGATTGGAAGGAACTTCCTGAGGCGTGGACTGAGGGTTTGGATGTGTCGAGGTATCTTACTAGCACAACTTACGATCCTGAGATTAATAAGTATGGTGTTCCGTGCGGACAAAGCATTGAGGAGTGGGAAGCTGCAGGGTGGATAGCGCATGAGTTTGACGTGCGCGGTTGGTTCCAGTGGTACTGTCGTTTCTGGCTTGGTAGGAGGTGCGCAGATGATGAGCGTCAGATTGGGAGGTGGAGGAAGTGCGTTGGTGAGACGGGGAGGTGGCGGAGAACACTACTAAAGAAGTATGTGCAGATGGGTATACGGAGTGTGACTGATGAGGGCGATGATGATGGTGAAGGTGGGGGAGATGTGAGTCCTGTGGTCCATCAAACGTGTCATCATTGGGCGTGGGAGGCGAGGCAGGAAGCATTAGATCGATTTTGGGATGAGGGGAGGTGATGTTATCATGCAAGTCACGATCTTGCTTTGGACAGCCATGGTTGAATGCCAGAGGTTTTAAAATTGAGGCAAAAGTTGGTAGGTATTAATAAGTTCTCGGTCTATCTGAATGGTACCGAGAAACAGGTCTACTTACTCATCCTCAATCCCAGTTGTCACAAAACTACTCACCGGCCACCCATTGGCTACATTGTACTGCCATGGAGGTGTCGTCCCATGAAGCTCTGAGTACTCTACCATAGATCCGCAACTAGTACTCGCGTTGCCGGCGCATGGTCCTTTTCCAAGTTGACCGGCAACGCGTATTCCAACATCGCGTCCCGTGAACCAACTGGCGTGCATGAAGCCATAATACTCCGCCGAGGTAGCCTCACCAGCAAACCACAACCGATTGACGTTCGCGCGCAAATTCTGGTGTTTCTCTAACGTCATACCGACTGGCCAACTGCTGTAGGAGCCGTAGGCCCATCTTTACTATGATGATTAGTTGTGTACCCTGAAAGTTTTGGTAGACGTCTGATGCTTACTCTTCCGTGCTCCATCGCGGATACATAAATGCAATTGGATCCGGTATGTGCTTATCTGGAAACATCTTTCCCAAGACTTCCATGGCCTCCGCTTTCGTTTTCTCGTTGGATTGTCGCTCGACTCTATACGATTGGTCGCCGATTACCGTCACAAATATTATATTAGACTCTTCAAGAAAGCCCGGTGCCGAGAGCGATTGCCAGACAGGGTAGTAGCCACGGGTGATATTATCAGCGTATAGGAAGTATTGAGTGTCTCGATCCCAGAAGGTTTCATTGAACTGGAAGAATATTTTGGTATATGTTGCCATACCGAATTGTTCTATGGCTTCACGCTTCCACCGAGGTAGCGGTGGGTCGAATTCTACTACGTCGTTCTGCAACACACCGACCGAAAACGTTGAGATCGCATCTATGTCTCCGTTAGTGAGTGATATTGGGTTAAAATCACACCGTTATCCTGCGGATGGAGTCAATGGCCAATAAAATTAGGCGTAATACCATCGGGAAGTGAATTGGACATTGGGCGGGGTTGAACTTACGTTGAGCTTCAACACAACCACCATCGTCAAGGTAGACAACAATTCCACTAGGACTATAAGAAATCTTCTTCACAATAGTCCCCAGAAAAAGTCGTGGATCATGTTCCTCTAGGAATTCATCCGCCTCGCCGATAATATACCTATTAAAGCCTCTTTGGTCCCATGCGAAATTATTGTCTTCGCCGAATTGGTTAAAAGTCGCGTTATAATTCGTGACGCCAAATACTAAGCTATTCTCATCCGGCGATAAGGCGCTTTCCCAATCCCAGGACCACCACTCGATTGCTTGAGCATGCATATCCTTCTTCGGCTTCCAACCAGCAAGATTAAGAGCTGTGCGGGCGCTTACATCCTGCAAGTTGTTTTCGAGTGTATATCCAGCGTGCTCCGCGATGTCCTGGTTCGCATCATCCCATGCATCAAAAAGAGTGCTATAATTAGCCTCTCCGGACTCATCATAGAGTTTTATAGAGTCATAATCGGAGTACGTATTATTTATTCCGTACTTCTCGACCAATGTCCATATTGGGTTCTGCGGTGCGCCAGGTGCGCCTAGCCCCTATGTGGGAATTAGTAGTATGGATTGAGTGCTGGGAGTGGTCATACCTGGATCCAATTCGCTCCTAGCTCTACCACGTAAGAAGTTCCGTCGGGCTTCTTTCCGAAGTTCGTGTGCGCCACTGTTTCAGCGTCGGAGTCAGCACACCGTCCCCTTCTCACTTTCCGACGAATTATCATCCAAATTTCAATTGCAAAGCTCAAAATTTATATCTGACGGAAGCTCTATTGCGAAAATATTGTGTCAACCATTCAAGGGAAAAATTTCAAGATAGTGGATTGTTTGGAGGGGCTAGCATACCTCGACCGCCAATGTAATCATTTCGCTCAATGATTAGAAAGTCCGAGACAGAGGCGTTCGATAGAGCCTGAGCAGCCGTGATGCCGGCAACACCAGCCCCAAGTATCGCGACGCTTGTCTTATGGCATCGGGTGCTGTTATCTCGCGGCGGTACTCTAGCAATGGTTCCCAGAGGTGCAGTGAAAATACACCAAGCTATCGTCAATTGACTCGTAAACCTCATTTTGAGCCCGAACTACTCTCACTATCACCGCCGGGTCGGGTGGGCGGTTATAATGGTAGAAGAGAAATCTACTCATGAATTCAAGGTAGGTACCTCTTATCCATACCCTTGATATATGAGGGTATCTTGCTGACAGGCACCAAATTACCGTATCGAACGGCTAGTTTCGGGGCTGCGCTATCCCGCCTGCAGTGATCTACATTATCGACATGCTGTGTGACCCTTGAATTGCAAGGACTAAGCGGTTTAGATGAGTCAATTGTTACGTTCTGATAAGGCCCTGGTTATGATCGATCCGTTGCATATACTCAGCTGTAAGTGGTCATACTTTCGGCTAGAGGGCTTCGCCGTCGGTATCGAAGAAGTAATAATTAAGCGATTGCCGAAAATCCAGGCGAGGCTTCTTAGAGAAATAAAGTACCAATACTGGCATTCCTCGACGAGTATGCATGTTGTGTTCAGGTGGTGAATAAAGTACCTAAGTACTGTTTCTAAACCTTTTCTAGGATACCTAGGTACGTTACCGTGCGCTGTCACCTAATACGGTGGGATCTTGAGCGTTATCAGCACATCGTAGCTGAAGGATCCACACAAGCCTGAAGGATGCGATAACGCGACGGCTAACAAAATGAAGAAACTAGAACGATAAAATAACTTGGTAATCATGTAGTATATTGAAGGTAATAAGAATCTTTCTAAGTTTCCTGAGTTGTATCGCGTTACATATTTCGGCTAAGCACCATCAACGTAGTACTAAAAGGTGTTGCAGAAGTACCTCCAGCTAGGTAGGTGGGCAGGCAAAACCGTTTTCTCCACTAAAAATAATATAGAAGGGGATTGTATGGGATATCATGAATAACAAGATACAGATAACAACAATTCAATAAATGACATGAACGAAGGGTATGTAATATAACGGATGTTCGTTCTGGGGTACGTTCGATGAGAGATATGAGGAAACTTCCTGCTTTGATGATATGAGTTGCGATACTGAGTGGAGAACTGTGGTACGAGATGTTGTGGCGCTCGATGAAGAGTCATCAACTTCCTCTTTCATGCGGACTACCGGCAATTGACTTAAAACGAAGCCTGGCTCCCGCTCTAGAACTTCGTCGCCGTACGGGTGTACACTTCAATCTCGTAATCATAGCTCTTCACTCAGTGAGTCACCACCTTGACACGACTGCCGCCCCACGCACAGGGACGACGGTGGTGGTCGCTGACCTGGTGTTCGCCCGGGAGTTCTCCAGTAATCGTTACGGCCGAGTAGGTCCGAATAGTTCCGGCAGCTGGGATTATAGTGGTCTTCGGCATTCCCAAGGGGCCACATTGCTATGAAACATAGTTCATCTGGCTGACATGAGCCGCACTCCTTCCAGTCCGACCATCGTAATATGTCAACCAATTCCTGGATGACTCGTTTCGCTGCGCTGACACTTTCTGCCTCATCCGAATCCTCATCTTCAACAATAAGTTGTCGAACCTTAAACAGTGCTGTGCAGATGGTGGCTGTCGTGTTCTCAATTGCTGCTTGTATTAATTCGTCTTGTGGTGTCCGCGCACGGACGGGTTGAAGGTAGAAATTCGTGCAACGTTGTTGCGCGGCCGCGAATCCATCGTCAGTTTCGGCGTAATCGATGTAAATATTCAACAGGCCATTCACTTCGGTTTTCATGATGCTGAATGTGTCCGTTTCAGCCATAAAGGACAGGCGCTTGGCATATCGCGTGACAATCATGTCCGTAACCCCCTGCCAGTCTGTTGGTATCTGTTCGTTCGCAATTGATCGGTACAATGAATCGGCGACATGCTGCCTCATAACAGCTATTTCCGCGTCACTAGCTCCTACTAATCGAGGTAGCTCGGGCCTCGTCGGTTCGGGATTGGTTAGGTTAGTTGGGTAGAAGAATGCGGAGAAAACGGAAGAGTAGTCGAGTAAAACACGCGATGCTCCGATGCCCTTGTAGCGCTGGGATGCCGCTCTTGCCCACTCGAACGAAGTAATCCACGCGTTGTCCGCAGAACCAGGGCCGTCTGGAGCTGGTCGTTCGAAGGTAGATATCAGCCTTAGGCCGTCCGTAAAATTGCAATAGATGACTTCAAATCCTGGCTCCATACGGATGAACCCTTGAATATCCCACTCCCGAGCTAAGTCACATAAGTTATCGGCTCTTCCCCAGTCGTTCCATGCAATCTCGCTCTTGTTGCCAACCAGCAAGATGTCTTGAGTGTCTAGAGTTCCCATATCTGTTTTGCCGGCAGCCATCCCATCGATGTAGAGCACATTCAGAGGTCGAGCTGCTTGGTAGACATGTAAGTGACCTGCTCCGATAAGTTCGAATGGAGGATCTTTAGGCGGCGCATTCTCATCTTCCAAAAAGGCATCTACGAAAATATTCGGCGGGCCTGGATGTGGCTTCCCACCAGTATCATTACGGCGCCTCCATCTACCATGAGCAAATGCTTCCGCGTGCTCGATTTCGAAAGCAAGCCAGTCGAAATCGTCGGGTATTTCTGAAGTATGTGTTCCATGATATAAAAGCACTCCTTCCGGGATCACAGCAGGGAATAACGACATGCCATTGTGGTGTAAAGCGGATCCAAATTCGCGCATCGCATTATGAATGGCGTTAAAGATTTGCGGTCCATTCTTACGGGCACTATCGATGGTTGGGCCGAAGCTGGCCACCGATCTTGCGTCAATAAAAGCGAACAGGTTCGTCGCTAGCGCCAGCGATGTGAGTCGAACTGCTGAAATCATCTTCACTGTAGATTACCAATCAAACAGTTCACCCGGAACCGTATGAGCGAATATTCTAAAGACATTATCTGAACAAATAAAAATTACAGAAGAAGTAAATCTAGGGAAGTAGGGTTGATTGCTTCGCTTCGTGATGACCGCCACTTCGAATCACTAGCAGCCTAGTATTACGCGTCACTCGGTACAAAATACTTGCTTATCAGATCATCTTAGATAATAGCAAACCAATCAAAAGCCTTCGACGTGTCGCTTCATTTCACCACTCAAGTCGACGCGAACTTGAGAATTCAATGAGTATGAATACTTCCTCATTGAATAGTATTTCATGTAACTTGAATAGGAGACTTTAAGTTACCTAACTTACTAGAATTAAAGTGACAAAGTTAGATTTAGCCGATGTGTCGCACTAGATATGCTCATACATATTGTATTCATTTACCCCTGAAAACAAGACAACCCTTAGCCGAATATCCTCCTTTAATACACTTTCATTACCTGCATTTCATCTTCTTTTTGACTACTGAAGTTTATTTAATTAGACGAAAGCTCACCCCTATTTAGACTCGAAGTTGAGGTTCTAGTTAATGCAGTCATGAAGTATAAATAGTCGTATCTTTAACTATGAAGGTCATCCTGCAAGGAACCGAGTCTATCTGCTATAAAGTTATGGTATTCATCTTAGCCATCCAATTAAACTTTGAACAATGCTCGCGTCGGTGATACTTCAAATTTTGGCCCTGTTGGTATTAAGAGCTAGACGTATGATTTTTAAAAAAACATTCTTATCTTCGCTAGTAGAGAGCTTTGGCTTTATTTGAAGTATAATTGAAGCCATTCGGATGACACCGGACGTCAACCACGCATGATCAAGATGTTGCCAAGAGGTACACAACACCATTAGCCGTCGACGATACCGGGACCTAGTAGTAGAGACGGGGAGAACTTATTATCAGTATTCACTCAGGAATGAAGATAGTAAACCTGGACCAAAACTAGCGCACCTATTAATAAAATACTTCATATTTCGTCTCTATATCCATATAAGAATGTTCCTTGGCGTGAATAAATACGAAATAAAAATTAAAGTACTGTGAGGAGTAATGATCCTCAAAGGCTCTTTAACCGCCGGGCATAAATAGACGCGCGGTTGATTTCAACTGGTTCCACTAACCCTAAATGACGACGGATCAACTTAAAGGTGAGCTTATGGGGAGGTATCGTGACCCACCATCTTATCATGGCAGTGCCACGTTCCGTTGTCACCAAATCCAGATTAATCTTGACGTACGCTAAGCTCCGCCTTGTCCCTGACTTCAGCCGCTTTCAGTCTAAATAAATGGGATCATACCGATCCAGATAGGCGGGGTGCATTTACCATTGCATAGGCATATGTGGGGGACCAATCATTGCTTTGGTAATTTACCTCTTTTCATTACCAAAAACTTGGTTCGCTCCTACTCATGCTCCGCTATCTGACGAGAACTACAACTGCCGATGGTCGTAATAGGTAGGGGAGCTTTGATGTTCGGCGACGGCTAATGAAGGTAACTTTTGGAGGACTGAGCTAGAATAGACATTATTATGACGTGGTGAAGGTAGACTCGCCTATATAAGCTGCTTCCATGCTTACTAGAAGGTAAGAGCCCGCTGGATTTACCTTACACCAGTCAGCCATCTTTCCATGAAAAGAACACCATACAATGGGTTTTATTGCTCGAATTTTCGCAGCCGCAGTGCTCCTTGCCAGCCGTAGCATTGCGGTCCCAATCGCCAAAACCTCCAGGTATTGCGATGCAGCTACAGGTGTATGCTACTCGGAAGCCACGGTCGGAGTAGCTCCAATCGTATGGCGTATCGCTATACCGGCCGTTGAGCAGGCACCTTTCGACATGCTCTTCCAAGTGGTGGCTCCAAAGACAGTCGGTTGGACGGGTCTAGGTATGTACAAGACTCCTTTTCCCTCTTAAATCCTCCTTTCCCCAATATTTCCTTCGTTCTATATACAAGATAACCTTCGCTTTCCTCTACCTCGAAAACATGCATCACCAAAAATATGAAGTATAAGGTGGCTGACTTTCTTTCTACGGCACTGAAGCCCTGGCTGGTGGGATGCTTTACAACCCGATAGTCGTGGGATGGCAGAATGGAAACACAACAGTCCCAACCGCTCGGTTTGCGACGTAAGTTGAGAATCTTTGATGCGAAGAGCGTAGCTAATTTATGGATGACTAGTGCCCACATTCAGCCCGACGTATACGATGTGGTGAAGCAAAGTACCCTTAAAGGGTCATCTGTGAACGAGACTCACTGGACGTTGACTTCTGTCTGCCAGGGCTGTAGCACATGGGTTCATAATGGGGGCGCTAAGGAAGCCCTCGACCCTGGTGCAACAGCGGCAAGCTTCGCTTGGGCAGCAGCACCTACACCTCCAATTGACCCTTCCGATCCCACTTCACCTATAGGATTACATACGGAACACGGCCTTTTCACAATAGATTTGTCAGCTGCTAAATCTGATCAGTTCGACGCCTGGGTCAAGCAACTGAGTTAAACTGCCTACGAGGTTGCGACAAGAAATTGTACGATTGAAGCGCACTTATGTTACAGATAAGACGTTGTTAAGATATGGGCTTCTTGAAGTATTCATCTAGAAAAATTGCGAGTTGATATACGTATATCGATTAAAGGGGTAGATAGGTACGTAGGTACTTAAATAAATAGGGGTAACTTTACTACGTGTGTAACAGAAACCTTCATCCATCTCGTAAATCTGCTCCTTCCTCCGGCCGCCTGGGAAAACATATTTTTATAGGATAAGAAAATATCTCATAACTTTATTTTAACTAATTCCGTACTAAGTTATGGCTAGTAAACTCAGAGCTTCGTGAGTCACAAACTCTGATCATTAACTTTTCTCTAGTAACATTGGTCTAACATATAAATATCTTGACTTTCTGCCTCCTGTTGCCTCCATCCATTCCAACCAAACAGAAAACCAACCAAAGACATAACAACACGTCTTGACATTATAGCCTTGCCATCTATCTCCTAAACCTGCACGTTCAGTATGATTACCAATTCTCAATCACCTTCCTCTCTGTTCTATACTTCCCGCATCTTCTACTCCTGTTAATCTTCTTCATCATATGCCATTTATTACTTAACCTCCCCTTTCCCACCTATACCGCAGTTACTAACGTAATAAAAGTAACCAAATACCGCCAAGGATGTCTAGAGGAACCCCCTACAAGAAACTCCAAAATGACTTGATTGATTTCATCCATGGATCGAACTACATTGAGTTCTGCGGCTCGGATTTTACCGTTACCGAGAAACTATGCCGACGCGTCTTTAGGGGAGAGAACATACCCGCAAATGTCGAGGCAAGGAGCCTCGAGTATGAAGAGGCTAGGGCGGCCCTTATCGAAATGAACGACCAAATTCGCCATCCGACGTTATCAGAAGCCACCAAGAAATAATCAATCACGCCCAAGCTCTCAACTACGCGGTTGGCCGGATTGTCCTTGATGGAGACCAAGTTACCGAAGAACTCATCAAGAATATCCACAAGAGACTCTGCTCAGGGGACGTCTTGGGGGAGGACGGAGGTTATCCAGGGCAGTACCGGACTTGGGAGATTGCGGCCCGACATGGGCAGGACATGAAGAAGAAGTCCGTTTTTATACGCGCGTCTGCGGTGCCACAGTACATGGCTGATCTCATACACGATCTCCGAAACGACATGATGGATGCCGAAGAATCGAGAGCCATAGACCCATTTGACATGGCAAACAAGTATTGCCACAGGCTTGTGTGTATCCACCCGTTTGGGGACGGGAATGGAAGGATGTGCCGAATACTATTGAATATCCTTCTCTTGAAATATACCGGTCGCATTAGTATCTTTGGGGGTACTGATGACGAGCGAGAGGAATATTTGGGTATCGCGAGGAGGGCTAACAAGCGGTTCCACGAAGAAGACATGGAAGTACCTGAGGAGGAAAAGATAGGCCACCGCGAGCTTGCGAAGTATACATTGGGGAAATTGAAATAACCAGTACTACGCCAAAGAGTAGACATAGACCAATAACATTCTGATATCAATGTAACAGTCTAGAGAATTTCAAGATCTAATCGAACTAGACGAGAGCGTTAGCATTTGTACCTGTATGGAGGCTCATATATTCATATTGTAGGTTAACCTGTTGTCGGGTCCTCGCGTAATGGATTTGCTATTCATTCCTTCTTCCTTGTCTCGCTTAAAAAGCAAATAAACAAGAGTTTGGGGGGTTGGTATTTGGAAAGCTGTACATAACAAGCGTTCTGTGGGGGTAGGGGTTAGAGTTCCTACAACATGAGGTCGTGGAGCAACGATTCGAGGTCTTTAACCACGGAATCAAAGATAAGGGCCTGAAGTTGTACATTAGAAAGTTTCGCTTCGCCCAACCCGAAGTCGCAACAGATAAGTTTTATGATCGCCTTCCTGTACCGCTCACCAAACCCGGTAAATATCTCTGCTTTCCCGCGCACTTTGTTCGGGTCGTGTCCAAATGCGTCAGCATTCCATTCTCCAATTTGTAGCAAGGCCACCCCTAAACCCCAGAGCACCGGGTTTCTTATGCCGTATGTGCGCATAGCATCGTCATATTCCTGTTTCAGAAATTTGTACCGTCTCCTGGGTTTGTGAGGAACGGTTTGCCGCCTTCTTCAGTGACGCGGATCGCTCTGAGTTCTGTAAAGAGATGTATCGTATCCAGGGTAGAGCTTAAATCGAATTCCTCCCCACGAAATATAAAAACTTGTTCGAGTGTCCAGTCCTGTGGCCACCATGGCGTTGAGTTGTATTTCAACATAGATTTCACCAAAATAATCCCTAGCTTGATACAATCTTGAATCGAAATCTCATTTTGAATGGGTAACTTCAAGGCTTCAACAAAAGGCATGATCTCTTGTTGTTTTAGGGCAGCGAAGTCGTATTCGAGTTCTTCTAAGCCCGTATAAAAGACGAGCATTCGGTTATGTTCAATATTGATATAGCCTAGCGGGCGCCGAGGCACATCAATGGAAGCCATTAACGAACTTGAAAGCAAATGGCCACACTGTAATCCGGTTTCAATCAAGTTCGTGTCTCCATAACTACAGGGACTGCAGGTATTTACGATAGTTGACTGGACGATCTCGTTGGGTTTGTGGTTGGGGCTGAGAGCTAATAGATGGAAGTTACCATGGTCTAGACTTTTGTACCTCGCATGGATAGGAAGCAGTAGTTTTCTGTGAATCTCCTTTAGAAAATACACCATGAGAGAGAGCCCACTAACGTACCCTTGTGAGCTGGATTGGTGCTCGAAGAACATGTTTATGTTTGGATCATCTTCGTCTGTGGAACTCAGTATGAGCCTCGCACTATGGCTTATACCAACTCCAGTATAGGACGATTGATATTCCAACGACCTATGGATCAATGAGGACATCTTTTGGCTGTTGCTGTACTTAGATGGTAATGCAAAACGATTTGCCCATAGGCGGCATTCTTTCATTTCGTTAGCTGACTCCCGTAGGTATTTCAATGTTGCATTGCATTCTCGCAGAATATCAAGCCATTTCCCGTACCTCTCCCTTCTGAAAGTAATTCGGAAAGAGTCTACGAAGGACTTTAATGTAGACACCTACGGCGGTTAGTTTCCTATCTTGCCACAATATGGACCTCGAGGTGTAATATACTTCTGTATTTGACGAGGCAAATTTGGTGAGTTTGTCAAGGAGATTACTCATTGCCCTTTTGGCTTCTTTATCGTGTCTCGGAATGAATCATAGTTGTAGTCGAGATAATCTTTGATTTGAGTATCAAGATCGTTAGATTTCCATTTATGATGTTCTCCGTTAGCTACCATTTCTCTAGCCATTCCATCGTGATCACGGCCATACACCGCAATTAACAAGAAGTAAATCTCGCTCCGGAAATTGGTTGTGTGGAGGCTAAATCTCCTCCGGATCAACTTAATCTCTATAGAATGATGGCGCAGGCAATCTATTTTCTGAAGCATTGGAGGAACTAGTCGGATTGCGGTTATGCAAAGGGGGGCGATAGCAAGAGCAAGTTCCGCCATGTTTTTAGCAACGATAGTGCAATCCGAGAAGCATTCTTTGTACAAAACTAAGATAGAAGAATATGGAGATGATCTGTATGCAACATATATAGTGGTTTTCTGCATCCTTCGACTGCATAGACATCTACAGGTACCTATCTGTACATCGATGATGCCTTACCACTAATTAGCTGATTGCAGCCCAAAACGCCCAAAGCTGGGCGACACAACATATTGCGTTTCATCAAAAAACTGCTTGTCTTCTTAAATATCTACATAAGAATATTAGCTGTAGAATAATACTATGACAATTCGCCCGGCTCCCTAACTTTGTGATTTTTCATGACTTATCTCTTTGTCTGGACCAAGTAAACTTGCTGAGGACAAGATGGCCTCCGGCCGGAATACTAAGGTGTGTGTATATGGCGGTCTGATGTCCAGGCGCAAGACACGAATAAAATCCTAGCACGGCTGTTCAAGTCAGGTTGTAATCTGTATCGTGTTTTCTTGCGGGACTTACGGACCGTCCAAACCCTACCGAAATCTATATATCGCCGCCTAGAGAATGGGTTGGCACGTTACTTAATTTGGGGAGGTGACCATGGAGTTCAAGATGGAAATCTAGATACACTACTTGGGAAATTTCAGCGACTTCACAGATTCACTACCAAGTTATTAGTTGAGATATGTGTTACACTCCAGCAGAGTTTGTCCATTCCATTCCTAATTAAAACAATCGTGCTAGGGCTAAATTTGGTAGTATACTCGATTCACATATCTACGGACCTTGATGAAGATTTACAATTACTATACCAAGCTGCCTCAATGGCGATAGAGGAAGGTTCACATTTGACTCACAACGCCCTTGATCTTGAAAGCGACATAAACGATGATGAATACTTAGATATTAGCGACAAATCTATACAAGATATTACAGAAATACTGCTAGGCCAAATTGGATTCCTGCTGGAACTCGGACCAAGACTAAAGGAACCCGTTCCGGAATACCTCACTGAAGAACAGCCGGGCTATCCTGAGCTACTTTCTCCCTGGAAGCCTGAAGAGCTATTTACTAATAGGATATTGGAAAAATTCCCAAAATGCGACACCCATCTAGCTGCTGCTCTTGGAGAAGCGAATTGGCGATCCATTGAAAGGCGAACATCAGACCCTGAAAATACGATGATACGGGTAGATGCCGATAAAGTAATCGTTTTCCATGACTCTACCTTAGGAAAAAGCCTCCAACCTAGAAGCTTCTCAGCCCCTACTGTGGTATCCTACGGCGACAATGAGGAGACTAGAGCGAGGATACCCCAACTACCAAGTGATGCAGAAGAAGGGGAATCGTTCGAGTGCATTGCATGTAGGAGGTGGATAGAGGAACGAGATATGAAGACATGGAAGTAGGTTCAACTCGCTATCATCCCCTCTTGAGCTTCCACTCACATGCGATAGACAGCATCTTTTTGCCGATCCCCAGCCATGGGTTTGCTTCCAAACGGCTTGCCCATGTGGATTTGCGCCATTCCAAACGCGATCGGAATGGATCAAGCATCTGTATAAAGGGCAAGAGCTGCACTCGGAGTGGGATGATAAAACCTGTCCCATCTGTCTCGTGGTTATTGACGACGGTAGCCTCGCGACTATTTCTCACGTGGCACACCATCTAGAAGAGATAGCACTTGCATCGCTGCCATGCAACCTCAACGATGATAATCAGAATGAAAGCGGAATAGCAGCAGATGACATGTCATCAAATTACAACACCGTTAACCCCAAATTTGGCCATGCGTTTAAGCAAGATGACTCGACGCAATATTCTTCCACATCTAGTTTCAGACCCGAACCTGAGCTCGAAGCCCCAGAAACTCCACTAGATAAGAAAGAGAAACTTCCAGATATTGTTAATAACTCTGTTGGGAAAGGAGAAGGGGGCGGAGGCGGAGGAGGATTGAGGGCGAAAGAATCTGGCTGGTATTGTGTAAGTATCAAAACCATCTTCTTAAATGTTAGGTGTACTAATAATCCCAGTATGGTTACCATTTTGGTCCAATGGCCATCGATATGATTCCCTACTACATTAATTGCCAAGATCATAGAAGGTGTAAGAATTGTAAATGTGTGTAGTTGGTTGATTGTATCTAATGAGCCGGCCGACAATAACATCCTAGGGCCCACGCAAACAACCGCCAAGTACAATTGGAAAGAACTTAGAACTCATACGCATATTCATAGGCGCACAATTATGATAGCTACCTAGGGTAGGGCAGCAAGCGTGTTAAAATACAACTACATTTCCCTTCACGCAGCCACCCAGGGGGCCATCTAGGTACCTAGGTACTTAGGTATGCATATTTCAAAGTAAAATACCTACGTATGTAGGAAACATCTAGAGCGGGGAACCATCCCATAGGCAGTGGCTAACACCTATACTACCGACATCTAAACGCCTATTCGACGAGCCCCTCTTTGTTGGGTCGCAAAGCATCAGTGTCATGGCAGTCAGAACGGCGCGGTCGCCAAAGCACGGTGTGATAACCCGTCGATCGCAGGTCGCAGCCTAGCTATGTCCGAGTTTACGAGGGCTCTTTCGTCGGGGGTGACGTGCTAAACAGGAAAATGAAGACAAAGCATAGTACGTACCTAAGGGAGGTCAACTCGGGCTCTTTTGGCAACCTGAAGGGGTGCCCTCCTGTTTAACTAGGTCCCAACTCGTATTGGGAATCCCTACTAGATCTGGGAACTACGTAAACTATCCTGAAGTAACAGCCAACTTGACATAGAACCTAAAAGACCTAAAGATCATCATCAAGTTATCAATCAAGGTACGCGCTATTCTCCAAAGAGGTCTGTACGGCCTATAATAGAGAGGGTTATGTTGAAACTAGGTAAACTAAACTCGATAACATACCTAGGTACTCAGTACACATATCTATGGATTCCAACGAAGACCTATGTCGAGACATGTCGATACAAATAATAGACGACTCCCACGTCGTCTACAACGACAATAGCGGTTCAGATAACGAAAGCGATGCCAGCGATGGCGAGAACTTATGCATTTACAGCATACCTCTACACAACTCTTCTTCCATGTCTAATGACGGCTATGGGTCTGAAACTAGAGCGCTGAACGAGCGACTGAAAAAGAAGATGCTTCCAGGCGTCGTTTATGGATCTGTCTCAAAAACGATCGCGCCTTCTACGACACAAAGTGTTTGGTATTGTGTGAGTATCAATACAGTTCGTCCCAAATACCCAATATACTAACGCTCCCAGTGCTCATGCAAGTTTGGCCCAATGACCATAGAAGTAACTCCTTGCTGCCTGAACTGCCATAGGTGCGGAATTTGTCGGACGAGTGTTTCTACCTACTAGCAGAAGCAAGTCACATCACGATGACATTGGATAACGACGCTGGGGTTTCTATGGGAAAAGTTACTATAAATATATGCAGTGGGCTTAAATAATCACATCTATGATTAAGTGCCCGAAACAGATTCAGGTAGTATTAGAAGTAGATGATTGCAAAATATAGTTGATAAATATACCCCTTCAGGTAGGGCTGAGACTCCATGTAAGAAAGGGAAAGCTTAGAATGTATAAGCTGGATTTCGGAGACTATTTCAGGGTTGAGAATACTGCAGTGACTCACCCCGAAGTAGCGGCAATGAGTCAATGCAATATGTTCTGCTTCATACACTCTAATGTTCTCTGATTGGCCGAGGGCGGTAGAATTGATTGAGCTGACGATTGAACTTCCAGGCGAAGGATTTGGATTCCTGCCTTTGGTCAGGATAATAAACGGTATACGTGTAAGTATCTGTGTGTCGTGGCTATCTTCACTCTTTTAAATTCGCCAGGAATGTAGCTGTTATCTCATTATTATCATGAGGCGTGTTGTCCGAACTAGCTATGTCGTCAAAACACGCTTGGAAGGTGGATTTAATCCCGTGGGATCAAAAATCCGCGGGGCAAGTCAACAGATTGTATGAACAGAGACTAGCCTGTGGTTGGGATGCCGAGGAAGTACCTTCTTTTGTCGAATCTGTTAAACAAGGAGAAAAGGTATTCTATTGGATTGTATGTGTAATCCTAGCCAGGCATTCGTGTTATCTCTAAATAGAGAAACGATACTAACCAGGTTAACAATTTCGTAGGTTCTCGCGGATGAGGTCCCAGAGCGCGGGGCATATCTGACACAACACATCGCTAAATATTCTAAAGTATGGAGGTCGGAGATTTTATTAGTCGCATAGCTAGGTGCCTAGGTACATCACTGACAACTAATAGGAGGCATCTCCTCTGACGGATACGACAGATGAAGTTCGTTTTGTTCCTCGGGTACCGAGCAAGAAACAATTCACGCCGATAGGACACATCGCTCTAGCGATTCATCCGTCGGATGAGGATGTGCAACTTGGTCTCCCAAGATCCGGAGTGGCTTGGGTTCACCAATTATATGTCTCTTATGTATTGCAAGGTGGGGGTTTCGGGGCGGGTGCCATGGGGAGGGCTGAGCAACTAGCCGCTATGGAGCCACTCAATGCCTCAATTATAGCGCTTGACACGGTAGCAAAAGAAATTCACGCGCAAAAAGAATTTCTAAAACTCATATACGAAGGCCGAGGTTTGCCGCAGCCAACTGTAAGGATCCCAATGGATTTTCAGATAGGAAGACGCCGCTAATATCCATCTGTAGAAATCGAATGAAGAGTGGTATATCAGTTTGGGTTATGAAATCTTTGCGCGGGTTAAGGATGGGCGCGAATACAAGTATCCGGGCGGAACACTTCCGTTGGAGATCATTTACCTGAAAAAGACCATAAAATAGACAATCCAAGCCACCACAAAAGCAAGTCCGACATAAAAATCTTCCGCTCTGTTACCTGGGTAATAAAATGCGAACGAACCAGGTCGTGTAGCAGGCACCAGCAAAATGTGCACTTTTTTCGGTGATTCATCAAGCCTAAAACGGCGGTTTGCATTACTAAGGTATCTACCGAATATCCCCTACGGCGCTCTTAGACAACATGGATAATGACGTTATTTGCTATTTAGGCAGCTAGGTGAGTACTGAATCCTTCTACTATATCACGACTGTTATGTCAGTGACGCGAACCGGTGAAAGGCAATCGGAGCTCATAGTCTTAGATAAGTAACCTAAGTATCGCCATGTTTTTCAGTCTTCTCAGAATATCGCATTATCCACGGCGTTATTCGGTTGAACTCTGCCCAATCACGTTTATTATTGTGTCCAGAACGTCCAATGTCGGTATACCAGGACCCCCCACGACTGTGCTTCGATGGCAGTAGTCTCGCAAGAATTACTTGCGCAGTAGACTACCTCAAAGATATCTCTCTTGCATCATCATTTGTAATGAATCATAAAGGTGACGATGCAAACCCAGAGGGTTATAAGGCTTCGGTACTCAATCCATGGAGTCCTGGGCCTACTCGAGGGAGCAATTGTGGACATAAGAGATGTGACGATTGTTCGAAGGAACGGCGAAACAGAAGCTGGTATTGGTATTGTGTGCGTGTTAATCCTACCTATCTATCTGCACTGCCGCTCACAGCACTAAGACTCCCAGTGTCAATGTGGCGATGGTCCAATGAATGGAGAAACGACACCTGTGTGCGTGAATTAAGCCATGGATGAATAAGTATGTGGTTGGACAAGAGGATCATTCGTGATACCTGAGCCATTAGCTATGAGATCTATACGCATGGCAACTATCGGTGCAAATATGAGTACCCAGATGGGAAGTGACTGACTCGAAGAATGTACAAGCAGGAATATCATTCTCTTAGCGCTAGATGCCTGAGTTTCCTACCTAAGGTGTAGTACATGTCTCCTCGGTACCGGTACTGGTAATGTGCATTTTCAAGTCCGGTCGTAGGTCGGTGTGCGCCTCAAGCCACCTAATTTCCGACCCCTCTAAAGCCAGAATACAGGGTTCACAAGAACTATTCCAAAGAGCAAGTCGCTCATGAATTCTATTGATTTCATATTTGGTATTGATCGAAGTCTTAATATTTTCGGCGATCTATCTCTTGTTGCGAAGTCCGACCGCTTCGAATGAGGCAGACAAGACCCTATTAACAAGGCAATGTATCAATTGTTAGCTGATCATATATTCTTATTGATACCACCTCGTAGCCTACAGTCCATAGCCTGTCCTGGAGGGCTGTGAAGGTTGAGGCATTGGTGACCTGATAGCGAAGTCCCCATCCGTTGTCATGATATATCCTCATTATAATCCTTTTGAAGATATAGCTGATAATAGTTTAAAATTCAATACCGCCTATTAATTTAGCTTATCTCGAGCTGCGAACGTGATATCCCCTAACCATGCTGTCCAACGCAAGCACCAGCCCCAAGCCGTCTTACCATCTCTGTACCGACTTCACTATTTCCCCTCCTCCAGACGGCCATCTTACGCTCGGTTCAATACTCATGAATCTGGACGTCGACGGTATCGCACAGCCGACCAACCACAACTCTGTTGTCCCCGTACCACCAGATGATGTCTATCCCCGCGATGGCCCCAATGTCAAGACAGGCTTCACGCGGACTCCCCCAACTCCACACTACGGAGAATAGCATCTGGGCCAAAATATTTAGCCAATCAATATTGAACTTTGGCTATCTCTGGAAACGAGCGAACGATGAGGTACACATAGTGGAAGAGCTACGAACAAGGTACTTCATTCCAAGCGAAGAGTACATGGCCAAGAGTATGGAACTACCGAGTGTGGCCTTGTATATAAACATCACGCGAAAGCGTATACTAATCTATATGGCTATCGGATTAAAAATCGTGGTGGGAGCGAAGTCGCCCAGGGCCAGACAGAGCGTATTGAACATTAGGGGAGAGTGGGGCCGTATTTAGACGATACAGGATTCAACGCATCGAAACCATTTGTTTTGGGTTTGATGGCGAGGAAGATCTGGTGGGGGGATAACGTGAGATGCACATCGGGCAAGCTGCCAGGTATGGTGCTGCTCTTCTAGGGCTAACGATAACCGAACTTCAGCAACAGTAACCGTCACTTCACTCTTCCCGATAGGTGTCGTGCTTTATAGGTGCGAAGAAATTGAATCGACAATCGGGATCGTATTTCTTCTTCAGCGCCATGAGCCGATCCTGTCGCCATTGCTCATAGCCGTACCAATTCTGCGGTGATTCATCACCAAAAGCGTAGTTTACGTACGCGTGCAACTCTTCACTTCCACTTCCTCGACGGATAATCTCACGAAGCTTGTTACCTAGCTCAGCTGCTTGCCGATCGAGTTCGTCGCTAGAGGGCATGTAGGCTATCAGAGGAGCGGTCAGAATGTTATCGTCTCGGAAGGCAAATGCGGTGGAGTCGCTTTCGATTGCTTGCACACCCTGGACGGGGTAGGATTCAAACATGAAAATCGACTTGGCGAAAGGGGAGTTCCCTGATACTTCAGCGGCAAAGGCGTCGTATGCTAGCTTCTGAGCTGCGACGTTATATTCTTTAATGTAGGCAGGGAAGCGCGGATTGGCGAGCCCGGTTTTTTGAGAAGGGGGGGAATCAAGGGCGACTTGGGTCCATCTAGCGAGGTCCCGGTAGTCGCCCGATTCGGCATCGATCGAAAGCGGCCCGATGTCGTGGAAGGGTTTCGTGTAGGTAGGACTGACGGCTGTTGCTCCTTCTTGGATAATGTACAACATGACGATTGGCTAGAAAGTCAGTACGGTCGGTATATCGTAACAACTGCTCAATGTATTATGACTTACTTTGTTTGGATCAATGTTGGGGATATTAAGCCAGTACGACCAATTGATAAGATGGGCAGGTACAGGAGAGAGGTAGTCATTGACGGCCTGGTAAAGGGCTTCGACTTTATCGCCGTCAAATATGAGGGTCTCGATCGCCCAGTCGTACTGCTCAATATCGTAGATCTTAGAGGTAAGAGAGGTTACAATGCCAAAATTCTGGCCAGCGCCCTTCATAGCCCACCAAAGATCCGAGCTTGCGTCGATCGTATGTAGGGTCCCATCTGCCAACACGATGTTCATAGAGATGAATTGGTCTGCTATGAGCCCGTAATGTCCTTGGAGCCAACCATGACCCCCCCCTAGTGCAGGCCCAAGAACGCTCACACTTTCGCATGTACCTGTCACTGTCACTGAGATGAGTATAAGGGACCCGAAGTCGGTTAAGGGGCGCCCTAACCCGTCTGCTTTCCCACATTCCAAAGGGTATCCGTAACAGCCTTAGTCAATGTCCCTCCACCAATAGTTACCGTCTTATTATCCTGAGCAATTTTCACATTTGATAACTGGCCCATATAGATTTCAATCCCTCCTTGCATACGGCCTAGTGTAGTAATGGCGGCGTGAACACCGTTGAAAGCTAAGATGGGCAACCCGGTCGTCCTCGCGTACTGGACCTAATAGAAAGCGAACCAACGCGTTAGCTTCGAAGAGCTCTAAGTGCACCGACAGGAAATTGTGTATTGAATGAAATGGAGTCAAAAAGGGGTGAAGGACAACTTACAATCTTAGCGACGTCGTCTTCCGTAGAAGGAACCACCACAACATTCACCTTAGGCCCGGCCAACGCGGACCATCTTGCTGATAGTGTTTTAAACTCCGTCGAGTCCGGGTGGTATACCCTAGTAGTAGAGGATAGCGTATCTCGAAGAGCCTTCGCATGCGTCTCGATGGTCGAGTCTTGGATGGCATTGTTTGGGTACGTAGGCATTGAAAAGGATGAGGGATAAAAGGCACACGCATGGAGACTCGGTTTACAATGTCGCGATTTTATTCTCGGTGCATTTCTTGGTTTCTTGGTCGGTTATCTGAACCTCCTACGCAGTTATAGTGTTCGCGAAGGAGTCGCCATTTGGTTCGACGTATTAGACATCTCACCGTTGGTTTGATTCTGTGAGCGAGTCTATTTCTTCCATTTCCGACTGTTAGAAAGATTTCGGCTCCCCCGAAATAGAACGCCACAACGCCTCTAATTTGCATACACCCTCTAAAAATGATAACTGACATACAATCCAATTGGTCTTCTAGGCCACGTATGCTTTACCAACACACATACTAAGTTTCTCAACCCAATTGGTTACTTACCTAGGTAGCCACCAACATGTCTGTTGCTTCCAGCACCGATTCATGGTTACTGAACTCGTAGAGCCAACGCCGAGTTTTTGATGATGATGGAGAGCATGTAACTCGAAAATATCTACTGGAGAGGTTGCTGACGAAATGGCGCATTCAGGATGCTAAATGATCGGCGATCAAGCGAGAAATAGGCACCTACTAAGGGTTATGAATTAGTGCCTCAGGCAGGCTAGAAAATCGTAGCTAGAGCCTTTCCCGTCCTGTTTTACATTCTTCATTTCAACACATTTCATTAGCAATGGAGTAGAAGCCCCTTTCCAAGCAACAGAAAATACGATAAATTCATACTTATTTCCCAGAGAGAGCTTTCATACCCTCAAAAAAGGAGATTAGTTCACATTCACATCACTATCTACGTGGGTATCTACCTCAAGCAGAGCACCTGGCCGTTCGTCAGCGGGGTAGTTTATTCACTGGGACTTGCAAGTTAGGTGCCTGAGACAGCCCTAAGTAAGCCATTGTTATAATGTTTTTCATTAACTGATCGTCGATTTACCTACCTACTTTCTAAGTACACGTCCACTCCGAATTATTTTCTATGTACTCATTCAGTGTGCTTTACGGCCAATTCTACGAGCAGGCGTCTCGTCGCGACCCCACAAAGTCATAGTTTGGCCCTCGGCGCATTTGACTGTTGCGGGCATTTGCATGACCGTCGACCAAGAGCCTGAGGCACATTGTTGGTAGGAGGTACCACCGATGCAATTAAACATTCCCTCGGAAGTGCATGCACCAGTAAGTCCACCAGCGGATCCGGAGCTTGGCGAGCCGCTGCTTGCGGGGCTCGAAGATCCAGCTGGAGAAGCCATTGCCGCAGGGGATGAGCTCTGAGTAACAGGAGTGCTGCTGCTGCTGCTCTCTCCGCCTGCCATGGTACTGGTTACGAATCCTGAAGGGGCAGCACTGCTGCTAGACATCTGACCGGAGCCAGAGCCGGAACCATCACTGCCGCTTCCGCTTCCGCTTCCGCTGCCACTACCAGAATCAGCTCCAGAACCCGAGCTTCCACTGCTACCCGAGCTACTACCAGCATCCGAGTTGGTGCTGCCGGTTGAACCACCCGAGGACTTAGCGCCCTTCGGAACGCAGTTATCACCCTGAATCTTGGCGAACTTGCTGTTGGTACCCGGGCGAACGACATTAGAGCCAGGGTCCGGGTACTCGGGGTCTGTACCGGGCTCGGTCTTGCAGGAGTTAATGTCAGCGAGGTTCACGACGCAAAGCTCGGGGAACTGGGTGTCGCGAGTCTCGAGTTCCATTGTCGCGTTGTCCGAGCGCTTAGACTTGCCTCCTGTGACGGTAATCGGGGCACACTATTAAAGAGAGAAGTTAGCAATGATTCTTAACAGGAAAAATAATAGGAGTGAAAAAAAGTTTACTTACGTTCATGTAGTACTCGGGTTGACCGGCGAGTTTGCTAACCCAGGTCCACGCAAAAACGTAGCTACCGGGAGCAACACCGTCGGGAATCTTCCAGTCGTATGTGTCAGCACCTTGACCAGACTTGCTAGGGCAACCTCCTTCAATCGACTCGATAACTTGCCAAGAAGTGGAAACGCTTGGTTGCATGTCCTTGGTAATCGCCAATTGGCAACTACCACCACCGTGAACCGCTGATCCCTTGAAGGAAATTGTCTGGGTCTCTCCGACGGCCATCTTATTGTCGAGTCCAGCAGTGCTGTAGAAAGTGGCCGGGTCGCCCTTCAGTTTGCAAGGGTAGTTGCTCGAGGTGAGAGGACTGTTATCGAGGTCGGCACCCCCAAAAGGCTTGGGGTTGGCCATGATCATGTGGCCGTTAGCTACCGAGGCAGCCAAGAGGGCCGTAACGAAGTGCGATGTCTTAAATGCCATGATGATGGATAAGAAGTTATGTATTTGAAGGAAATCAAGAGAAGTACCGGACTGCAGTCGATGTCTTATGAGGCCAGCTCGTTCTTATAAATAGTACACTTCGTAGGTAAGTTGTCCCAAGGAATGATGGTGAATTGGGATCTGATGTGAGTTGAAACTGCACATTCTTATAGAATTCAGAAAAAAACAACACACAAAAGAACGATGAATATCGTTTCTCGAGAAAGCGCATGATCACAAACGAAAATGAACGAAGGTCTTGAAACACTGTTCATAAACAAAGAGAGCGTAGTTGAACATTGTTGCTCACAATAGGGGTGACTTTAAGGAGTTTCGAGGAGTTAAACATAATTCCCACAAAGATATTGTAAATAGGAGCTGGATTACAGACCAAGACAAAGACCCCAATAATGACGAAATCGCCACATTATTAGGAATATTGTTGAATTGCAATACCTACTTTCGCGGACAGAGCGTCGTCCCTATTTGTGACGAATCCCCGAGCCACCGGCAAATTAGCGTTCCCCCTTCTTCCTTGTCCCGTCTTTTAAACGAATTAGGATTATACTCTAAAGAGACACTATAGATAAAACTTGAGGTATCTATTCAAGCCCTATTCACCAGAAATTTCAGTCTAATGAGAGACTGAATGGGCTGACATTTGGAAAGAAATTGATTCTCAGTCCCCTCCTTTTGAAAAAATGCTTCTTAGTTGGATAAGCCTCCTATGCCAATGCACTTTGCTGTTATCCCAAATGTGTAGCAAAACCGTACACGCTAATACCTTATCGCGACAGCCTAATATGGCCTAGCGTCAGGCTACGCATGATAACGTCATGGGAGCAGGGCTGCATGCATGTAGCCCCCGATTCAGGGACCTTTTAAGCTTATGTGGAGTTTCAGCGTGCACCATCATCTTTATCGCCATCTTTATTCCATGGAACTTATCTGAGCTATCATTTTATTATACTGCGACTGTGAAGTGTCGTTGCCAAGTAAGACATTATCAATATGGTACGTACGCTGTCGATTATCATCACAGGGCTCATTTCGCTCTGTTCGTGACAGGCACGTGGCCGTGTTTAGCTTTGAAGCAAACTGACGGTGTGCATCAACTCTCTAGGCTAACGCAACGACACCTCTCCTCGCCGATGATCGTCGCGACCTCGATGCCGATGCGTTAAGCGACACCGAAGAAGATGCCCTCCGTGGGCAGTCCCGCGCTACACAAGCTGGTCGATCGTGGCACATTCGATTACGAGAATCCCTACTATTCGCATGGGCGCTCCTCGCGACAGCCGGTGTTCTAGTCCTCGCCGTCTGGGCATCCCATCAACAACAAACCTCCTTCGACAAGCCCGCGGGCAAACGAAACTTGATCTTCATGGTCTCTGATGGAATGGGCCCTGCCTCGCTGTCTTTGACCCGTAGCTTCAGACAATACACCGAAGGTCTCGAATTCGGCGACACCCTTACCCTCGACAAGCACTTCTGGGGAAGCAGCCGGACACGAAGCAGTTCATCCCTCGTCACCGATTCTGCCGCGGGCGCGACAGCTTTTAGCTGTGGAAAGAAGAGTTATAATGGAGCTATTTCTATGTTGCCCGACTCCACTCCCTGCGGAACCGTTCTTGAGGCGGCTAAGAAAGCGGGGTATAAGACGGGTCTGGTTGTCACAACAGACATCACCGACGCGACGCCTGCTTGCTTTGCTAGCCATGTCGATGTCCGCTCACAAAACGATGATATCGCTGTGCAAGAAGTTGGAAATGGGCCCCTTGGTCGCGTCGTGGACCTGATGTTTGGCGGTGGTCGATGCCACTTCCTACCAAACGGAACCGACGGCGGATGTCGTGAAGATAATACCAACGTAGTGGAAATGGCGAAGAATGATTATGGCTGGAACTATATCGGCGACCGGGCAGGATTCGATGAATTCTGGCTGGGAGAGAAGGATGTTCCACTTCCCATGCTAGGACTTTTTGCGTATACCGATATTCCATTCGAACTAGACAGGCGAAACTTGAACGATGTCTACCCAAGCCTGAGCGAGATGGCTAAGACGGCGCTACGAGCGCTTGAAAAAGCAACTGAGGGCAGTGATCAAGGATTCTTCTTGATGATTGAGGGTAGCAGGATTGACCACGCCGGCCATGGCAACGATCCAGCTGCGCAAGTGCGAGAGGTTCTTGAATATGATAAGGCTTTCAAAGCTGTATTAGATTTCTTAGAAGAGAGCAGCACACCAGGTGTCTTAGTTGCCACCAGCGACCACGAAACCGGAGGATTATCAGTAGCACGACGTTAGTACTGTCTTAGCCCTTCTTAGAATGTTTGCTAACTATTTCCCCAGAGGTCAACGCCAACTACCCACAATACCTATGGTACCCGGCCGTTCTAGCTAACGCATCATCCTCTTCGGAATATCTTGCCCACCGCCTCCATGGACACATCGCCCAGACCACCGTTCGTCCCTCAGTCGATAAGCTCAAGAAATACATCAACGAAGAGCTCGTCATCCCCGGTCTTGGCATTCACGACGCTTCCGACGACGAACTAGAGGCATTAGCCACAAACCCAAGTCAGGCGCAGCCCCTATTTGCCCACATGATCAGTATCCGCGCACAGATCGGTTGGAGCACCCATGGCCACTCCGCTGTTGATGTGAACATTTACAGCTCTGGTGGCCCTGGCGCGGAAGCTATTCGTGGCAATGTGGAGAACACAGATGTAGGCAAATATCTGAGGGAATACCTCAACGTTGATGTAGAGGCTATCACGAAGGAATTGAACGAGAAGATAACTTCCAAACGAGATCTTGGGATGATTGGGTACGAAATCCACGCAGAAACCACCGACGGACAGGCACCTGAAGAAGAGGATCACTGGGTAGCTCATCAGAAGATGGAAGCTAAGTTAGCAGAGATGGATGCATGAATACCTAATTTTGCAGGATGTAATTGATATAATAAGGGGTTTAGAGTGGCATGTTCGAGTTTTGAAATTGGGATCTTTCCGTTAAGTCATAGCATTGTATACATCGCATACCTGAGTAAAGGCAACATATAAAGAATTGATACCCATCTACATATAAAATTTCCGGCTCGCGAAGCTTGGTGACGATGTCGGCGTGGGTGTTTTGACGTGTAACGCAATGTAACCAAATAGAAGCCATCTTGAAGCGTGCGATTGCCCTTCAACCCTTCACTAGGTGAGTAAAATTAATTGGATCTTTCTCTATCTAGTGAGTAACATAGAATCCCGGCGTAATAGATATTCTAGTATGTGCTACACTGCGTCAATAGAGCTTGAATAGGCAAGCTTCATTGAGGTGATGGTGAGGTGGCTTGCTACGAGGTTCGCCAACATAGAACTAAATGACGAGAACTAGCTGAAGCTTGCAGGATATGTTATTAATGTTGGGCTCTACCTATGGTGTGGCCCCGGAAGGTAGAATGCTTAACCGAAATGGTAATGCATATTGGGTACTCCGTCAATAATATCTATCGATTCAACAAACGAGACAGGAAGCCCTAGGGATAATAGTCATCTCTCTATGGTAGTGATCATATGGGCGTAGCAATAGAGCAAGATCACTGATCATTAGGAAAGCTTCTACCACATTTCATACCTAGGCATGCGTTTGTATTTTTTTCCCAATGGGTACATATATGTAGTCTACTTAGTACATAGAACATATAATGACATTAGACCTAGGAAGGAGCCTACGGGGTGGTTTACCTCAAATAGGAATAGGTTAGGAAGGCAAGAGGCCTTTCTACCCTCCTAAGATACATAACTACCTAGGTAGAAGTGCTCAGAATGGTATAGGTACCCAGGTATCTTACTCATACACGAAGACTAGTCCCCCCGGGCCATCAATAATAGGAAAGAGCACAATAGGAAGGGCACATGCGTACTCAAAAACCATAAAATACAGTGATGCGTACCTACCCTACCGTAATATGGGACGGTCGGGATGGGTCTCTTTGAACGGGGGGATACCTTTTAGTGCAAGTGTGGTTGGTGTATGTGGAAGGAACCGCTGGTCCCCCGTCTCGTCTCGAGGTGATTGTAGTTGAGCGGTTTCCAAGTCTTAGTTACAGGCCTTCCCAGTTCAAGGGAGTACCTGTGCCCTACTCCCCATGTCCTTTTAGCATATGGACGAGTCAATAATTAACTTTGGTGCTCTTTCCACGAAGCCTGACCGTGTACATCCAATGTTGAACCACTCCATATGTTTTGTCCCTGACGGTAGACCCACCCCCGAGAAATATTGGAAAGTACCCTACTACCAAGACGGGGGAGAACAGTTTACCTTTTTCCTGTTTATTCACTCCCAGTTCATACAGGTCTACCAGTTGAAAGTTCGACTCCTGTATTTCAATTACTAGATGTACGTTGTGCGGTCTATTTTCTCGTCCTGAACAGTTCTGCATCACCCTCTTGACAATGCAACATACTCATATTACCCCCCTCATTACCTAGATACTCAGGTAAAAGTCCATCAAATATTCCCCTGCGTGGATTCTTCCCTCTCTGGAAGTCGAAGGGATCTCGAGAACGGGTAAACAGATCCAACACATACTTTATTTTATTTTATTCCATATCCAAGTACCCTTCTCGTCAACTGATTCAACATCATAACCAAAACAGACCCATCGAAATCATTCAAATACCAATACAACCACCAAAATGTGTCGATACATCTGTGTAACCTACCGCTGCCAGCACCGCGAGCTCTTCGCCGGTCCCAACTGCCTAAAGGTGAGCTTCCAGCTCTACCAAATCGAGCGTGACGCTTCGGCATGGACCTCTGAGGGCCGCAAGGCCTTGCCCTTCACCTGGGCTGATGATGTAAGTACCTTATTTTCCCATCGTCAATAATTCAATCCACCACTACCATTAACACCCAACCCCATATTTGTATACACGCTCCGTAAAAAAAATAATTCCTAACTCTCACCACTCCAGTGTAACCCCAACTGCAACAATATCACCGAGTTCATCTGTCGAGACTTCTGCGGATGGGAGTGTCGGAACAGTTACCCTGGCAATCACACCCGCGTCCCCATCCAAGCCGCCGGCACCGAGAAGCTCGAGGTTTTTCACACCCGCGCCGGTGCCGGACCTTGGCATGTCCACATCGCCGGTGGCCGAGAGTCCAACGTCAACCTCAACCCTGAGCCCAACGCCACTTCCGCTTCTGGAAACGCAGGACAGGCAATCAATCTCACTACAGCGAGTGGAGAGGCTGCTGGAGAGTACGTTCTGCAGCGAGTCATGCGAATCGGATCAAGATTCGCCGCGTATGGAGTCCCGCGAAGTGGAATTGGTTGGTTCTTTGTCACGCACGACGAGTCTTGGCTTGGCCAGTTCACTCAATTCCCTAGGGACAAGTTCCTCATCGAGAAGTAAGGATTGTGGAGGAATTGTGGAAGGATTGATGACTTATCGAGCTGCTGTGGACGTTGAAGGAGAAAGTGTTTAGCTATTTCACGTGGGTAAACTCACAAAGGAAACTCCCGAGATGTACAACAAGAACTGGCTGGTTTAAAGAACAAATAGCAAAAATAACACTATAAATATTGCTACCTATTCATAATCTCGTTGTCTCGAAGCTACCCGACAAGAATATTGACGTATGTTAACGTGACTAGTCGGATACATCCGTGAAATCGTCTTCGTGAACCTCATCAGGATCGTTAAAATAGGTTATCTCGATCCGCCCCTTTAAAATCTCAGTGAAGAATCGTGTCAACCAATTATACTCATCGTCAGTGAAGTTTAAATCCCCAATCTGATTTAAGATGTCCACCCTAATCCCCTTGTGGTTTGTCGCTTCGAGTGCCTCAGCGAAGCTTCGAAGACCAGCCCAACTAAAAGCGGACAGGGCGTTTATAGAAAGTAAACTTAGCGAAGGATGAGATCCTAACGGCCCTAATATTCCATCATCTACCATCTCTCCACCGAAACTAAATTCGGACAATTTGGGTAATTTCCTAGCGAATAACTTTATCCCACGGGGCCTGAGGAACGACTGCATCAAGTTTAGAGACGTAAGGTTCTTCAATTGGCAAATTGAATTCTCCAGGGCCGGGACTGTTTCAACTATGAGGTTGTCTGGATGGCCATCTTCCAGACCAATAGTCAGATTCTCTAGGTGTACTTGTAAACCGAGTGCAGCATAGACCGCGTCGTCGTCCTCCGTAGCCCTTGAGAGAAAATCCACTATTGATAAGGATGTGAGACGAATTTTCGGCGAACTTAACGTATCCTTTACTAGAGACAAAGCATTGAGTACATGGTTAAAGCTCAGATCTCGAAGCGACGTGCAACTGCTGATCCAAGATGAGACTTCTTTAAGCATTCTCTCGCTAAAATCTTTCAGGTCTATCCGGTGATGTCGGTCGTTCTCGATCGCGAGTGTTTCTAACGCGATACAGTCTGGGAGCATATTCAAGGCTTTCATGGCCTGCGGAGGAAGGCTTCCGAGTTTAAGGGTATGCAGAGATTTCGCGTGAACGTTCAGCGCCGTCAAAGTCTTTTCGCCGATCCCATTCTGACTGATTATTTGAAAACTTCGGAGAGTGTTATGGGGCAAAGTTAGGAAAAATGCGGCCAAGTCTTCGTCGGCGGTAGAGCTATCATCTAGGATTCATCAGCATTCTATCTATAAAAATATCTATTTCGCGAATAATTTTATAAGTTGGGCAAGGAGAGGGGAAATATTGATTATTAGGACCTGGGAACATACTACAGCAAAGTTAGCGGATATAGATAATGATATCGGCGGACTGCCTTTTAAAGTGTCTACACTCACCAATAATAACAAGTCAGATCGACAAAATTAGGACAATGCTCAGAAATAGCACTAGCAGCTTCGGCACCTAGCACTGATCCATCTCGAATACGTAAAGATGTTAGGGTTCCAAGTCGTGCTATCCAGGTCGGTAATAAGTCATGCGGAATAAATGTTCCCTCCAGATGTGCTAGAGCTACAGCTGTTCCATTCTCGTCTGCTAATTTTCTAATGTATTTGGTGATCGAATCGGTGCATTTGAGTATAATAGCCGGGGCGTCTATGGGTGGACCAGACAATCCTCTTCGGGGTCGGTACGATTCGTGACCATCTCGTAACACCAGAAATTGTTCCATGTCACCTTGGAAAAAGAAATCCCGAACTTCCTTATATCGGGCTACATCTTGGAGGCATTCTTCGAGGTTCCCAAGCGATAAAGCGCGAACATATGCACAGTACGGGTAGAGGGTTTTCCCGACGCTGGAGAGGATAATGGATCTCCATAGTCGCGACAATTCGAGGCTGGTTGCTTCACCGGCGCTAGCTGCAGACAGTTCATGAATACTGCATAAAAATAAGTCATTAGTCGTGACCAAGACACCCTAAGTGTGCGAGACAAACCTATAAATCTGCTGTAGAGCAATGCCTGTAATTCGTGGGCTGGTAAGAGAGTAATAGAATAAGGTGTTGAAATCACGACGCGCGGCAAGCTCCTGACATATCAATAGGACAATTTCCAATGGAAGCACAGAGGAGTCCATCACGGGCAATCAGAGATAGACTAAGTGCTAAGAAACAAAGCTATGCATAGAGAATAGTCTAAAAAGATGATGTGAGTTTGAATTTGAGCAATTATCGACTATTGTCAAGGTTTTCGGTTATTATTATGAAAAGATGTTGTGAAACGCATAACAAGCTACGACCTGCAGCTGCAAGGCATACCAAGGTAGCTCTTACCTTGTTCTCGGAACTCTGTCCACCATGTGCAATTCCATTGATCTACTGTCTTAGCCGAATGAGATGTACTAAGAAACACGCTAAGTAAAGTGCTAAACTGTAGTACCAAAGTTAAAGAGAAGCTTAGACCATTCATAACCCGCACTGTATAGAGCCGGAGCTTCCTCACCACCCCAGCACCTACCCCGCGACGCGTCGGTAGGGCCAAACTTTAAAACGCGACTAAATATCCCAAAGTCGACCAGTAGCGTTTGATTTTCATTGAACATCCTTGCCAGGATCAACCTCTCACAATGGTGAAAAACGACATCGTTGAATGAGATTTCGAATCTATGGAACCTGACAACAGCCCTAAACAAGATCGGACTTCTTAGATTGCCGTAAAACCGACACGGCGGTCAATGCTCTGATTAGTTTACGCCATTCGTATTTAAGAAAAACATTAATTTGAGGAAAACCGACTAATCTGCCGCCTCGTTCAGCATGGCGGTCTTAAACTTCACTTTAAGTGAAGAGGGTGTCAGCGCCTTAAGAGATGCACTGGCATGTCTTGGCAAATTCAGCGACGAGGTCTCGCTTGAGGCTAAGAAGGATAGAGTATGCTTTATTTTTTGCCGTAGTTCAATTGATTCCATACTGAGGTTAATCATTTCGCCTAGTTAGTGTTCACCACTCTGAACCTGTCCAAGTCCGCATATGCGTCTTTCGCCTTCGCAGCCAGTCGCTTTTTTTCCAAATATCATTTTGAGGGAGTACCTCAAAACCGCGAGAAATTCTTCTGTAAGCTTTATAGTCGGGTATGACACACGCTTACTAATGCACCTCTCTATTCACCGTCTGACAGGAGTCCTTCTAGGCTTTGTTATCCCTTTTCAGAGTCAGGAGTGGGGACCCTCAACATGACAGGGAAAAAGATACTACTATTGAACATTGTGATGTCGCTATAGTAGACGAGCCCGGCAAGAAAAGTCGTTTTATCGCCAAAATCGTATTTCGGAATGGTGAGTAAACCCAGTGTAACTCTCGGCTTTGGGTCTAATTGGGTGATAGGGATCACAACCAAATATCGGCTACCCTTTGAGGTCACTCCACCCGTCCACGCCAAATTTGATAGTGAACAAGCCAAGAACCATTGGTCTATTCCGTCTCGAACTCTACGCCAACTTATGGATCATTTTGGTCCCGGCATAGAATATCTCGATATCCACTCCGAGGATGACGAAACCGTCAATTTTACCTGCTTCACCGAAAAAGTCAAGAACGGGGAAGAAGTCCTGAAAAAGCCTCTTCACACATCGATTACCGTCGAGCGAGATGAATTTGAGGATTTCGTCGTTGAAGAGGATAAATTGCATATCGTCATCAGCGTCAAAGACTTCAGAGCAATTATCCAACATGCAGGTTTCCTTGGAAGTCAAATCTCGGCGCATTATTCCATACCGTCGAAACCAATGCAGCTCAAGTATGACGGTGACGGGATAAAATGTGAATTCCTCTTGATGACAGTCGGCGATAGAGGAGCACCCGGTCAGAAGGCCAAGAAAGCCCGTGGTAGTGCTAAAGGACCGAAACCGCCGCAATTAGAAGCTGCTACTAGTAGAGCTGCGTCACACGCGCCAACACCGGCCCCTCAGCTACCACCTCCAAAGTCACAAGCGCTGCGTCCTGATCCTGTTCCTTCTCTTCGACCATCCATAAGTATAAATCGCCCGTCTCAGCGACCGCCGCCGGCCACATTCGAATCCGAGTCGCTCTTTGTGCCCCAAGACGACGAGCAACAATGGGAGCCGGTGAATGTTGGTGAGGATGAAGACGGGGAAGAGAATGCTCGTCTTGAATGGGACGTAAGCGGTGATTTTGTAAGTATACCTTTTATCAAATTTGCCGATATTGAGATGGCTAACATAACCACAGCACGCTCCAGCGACAAGTATGCGATCCATCGCAGCGAATCAGGGCGCCGAAGAGGGAAGACCCGAAAACCCAGCAATCGCCGAGGATCTTTCGCTTTCACATATTGATCCAACACAGCCACTTACGCAGGCCCGCAAATTTGGTCTATTCGGCGATTAGGGTATAGTATGAATAGCCATATGCGCGGGTCTTATGGTTGCTTTCGAGCTACGAAAGCGGGGAATTATAGGAGAAATATAATGAAGGCAAGGGATGATAGTAGCTCAGAGGAAAAGTCCATCTGTCGCGATATTGATCCAGCTTGTAGCACATCCAGCCCCAATGGCTGTAATCTTTGGTCCCTCTGGCAGATTCTTTAATGATGCAAGTACGTTCCATCGCCCCTTGACATCACCGAACTTTTCAGTCTGTGGACCACAATTTCCGTGCTCACCCCAACCCCAGGATAATACATCTCCATCCTTAGTGAGGGCTACGATGTGTTCGCTACCGGCAGCAATACTCTCCAGCTCCGGAAGTCCGGGAGGTGGCAGTTGGCCGTGATCGTCTCGGCCCCAGGCTACAAGCGTCCCGTTTCGTTGCAAGACGTAAATTCCTCCCCAACTTGCACTTATCGTGTTCCAATTGGGTATCTCAGCTGGGGCTGAACTTTTCAATCCCCATTTATCTGCTCCAAGAACGAGTATTCGACCATCTCCCGGTTCACCGATGAGACAAGTTGTGTATTGGCAGCATACAGCTTGTGCTACCTTGAAAGGTACGCCGGAGATTTTCTTGGGTTGGTGTATCACGCCTTTTGAATCAGCTGTGTCATTCAGCTCTCCTAATTGGCCCTTCCGCCCGTTTCCCCAGCCGTAGACGTCACCATTATCCAGTACTACCACAACGTGCCTAAATCCAGCGGAAATGCTTTTGACTTTAATTTCAGGAGGAGGGAAGTCTTCGACCAAAGTCGGCAACTTCGCAGTCGACGATTCTGAGTTGGTGCTTGAAGCCCCTACGTCAGCAATACCGCAGGTGTATACTAGAGTAACCCCACTATTTTCATCCTCCAATACCAGGACAGTCGAATCCCACGTACAGGCTACATGGCGAATAAACCCCGCTGACTTTGGGGTTGAGATTATCAACTCGTGAAATTTCGATATTTCAACCTCCTTGTCGGTGTTGTCTACTATTCCACATGCACCGCTTGACGGATCACCAGCCCAGTACGCTTTCCCCGCTTCGGTTAGAAGTACTGTGTGATTACCTCCGGCCGCGATATGGACAATATCACTCTCAGGAGCTTCGCCCACAAACTCGACTTGCTTCGGGACTGAAACATCATCTTTGTGGTGTATGCCGAGTTGGCCGGACCCGTTGGAGCCGAGCGCGAAAATGCCATCCATTTCAATCCCTATGCAGCATGACTTCCCTTAAATCACCCTCTTTCGTAAATGTACTCAGCTATTGCGGGCGATCGTGTAGGTGATGGCTTCGGAGCTATAGTGGGGTTCGCCGAAACACATAATCTGCCCCACCTAATCAAGCCACACCAGCCACTTGCGTTACGGATCTAGTGTTATTCCGGGCTTAGTTACTGCAAATTGTGGTCCAAGCTTCCAGCCCGCTAATTTTTTTTCTCAGCTTAAAAAGTTTCACCTAAATTTTCTTCTCCATTCCTCCATTTCTTGAGCATTACCACCGCGCGGCGAATATCACATTACCTTTCCAGCCTCGCCCAAACTTACTACTCAGTTTGCGCAAGTCTACAATGTGATAATTCTGGCACTCCTTCATATAGGTTGTCAATTGCGGTAGGGAAGCTTCAACAACTATGGCGTCGAATGGCAACTCTGGTGTGCCTCCTGGCATGGAGGAGTTCGTCGTTGGCATCATTGGTATGGGCGACATGGGAAAGATGTATGCGCGAAGGCTTAGTGATACTGGCTGGAAGTAAGTAATTATGCGACATGGCTTCCTTGTCCTATCTGAGTCTTCGCGACCTTTTTTTCGGTAAGTCGACATTCCATTTAATACGTTTCCCTCTTTTCGCAAATGATGACTTGAGTGCATTTGGCTCGAGCATTGCTCTCGGCTTCTGGGATAACCATTTTGGTCCCCGGTTAGTCGTTGGCTTTCCATGATGTAACTTCTCAGCTACCTTAATCAATTTTGTCTGAAGCTTCTTCATATTATCATATTTTATTCGCAGTCCATTTACTATTACTGTAAGCTAACATGCGATTAATAGGCTTGACATATTTGCGACAAGATCACCGAATAGACTAACGATCGATTGGTAGAGTGATGGCCTGCGATAAAGAAGAGCAATATGACAGCTTGAAGAAAGAATTTGCCGACAGGGTATAGACATGTATTTATCTTTTTTCAGAAGAAATCCATGCTGAGAGGTATTTAGACCAATATAAAAATTCTTCGAAATGGTCATCTTGTGTCCCGTGCAAGTGATTATATCATCTACAGCGTAGAAGCTGCGGCTATTGGCCGTGTTGTTGCTGAATATGGCCCTTGTATGTTGACTAAATCTTGAATCCGTGATATCTGTTACTGAGTCGACGCAGCAACGAAGCTCGGCGCCATAGTGGGTGGACAGACCTCATGTAAGGATCCTGAAATTAAGGCATTCGAAGACCACCTTCCTTCCGACGTAGACATCATCTCGTGTCATTCACTCCACGGCCCAAAAGTTGATACAAAAAAACAACCGCTGGTAATATTGGATTCCCATTTCAGGAGTCAACCATGCTTACCAGAGTTTAGGTTATCATTCAGCATCGTGATTCTTCCAACTCCGTAAAAAAGGTCAAAGCTGTTCTAGCATGTTTAGAATCTGAGATGGTAGATTTAACAGCACACCAACACGACCGTATCACCGCAGACACCCAAGCAGTAACACACGTAGCCTTCCTCAGTATGGGCAAGGCCTGGCATTCTATGCGACAATTCCCATGGGAAGGCGCACGCTACGTCGGCGGCATCGAGAACGTCAAGATTAATCTCACCATGCGCATCTACAGTCAGAAATGGCACGTATACGCTGGTCTCGCTATCCTCAACCCCGAGGCCCGGAAGCAAATCGACCAGTACGCCAAAAGCGTTACAGAACTATACAAGCTTATGCTCGGCGGTCACCACACTCAGCTCCGAACTCGCGTGCTACGGGCCAAGGAGAATGTGTTTGGTAAGGAGCATGATCCAAAATGGGCTGATAAACCGCTACTCGAGGACGAAGTACTCGACCAATTCAGTTTGGGCAAAACTCCAAAAGAAGATCCCCTACCCAATAACCATCTCAGTCTACTAGCGATGGTAGACTGTTGGAGCGCTTTAGGTACTGTGCCGTACGACCATATGATATGCAGTACCCCGCTCTTCCGGCTATGGCTTGGTGTAACGGAACACCTATTTCGGGATCCGGAACGATTAGATGAAGCGCTACGAATTGCGGTCGAAGATAACACATTCCGCAGCGACGACCTAGAGTTCACGTTTGCGGCGCGTGGATGGGCTGAGTGTGTCGGCCTAGGACACTTCGAAACTTGGAGGGATCGTTTTGTTATTACGCAGAAGTTCTTCGAGCCTAGGTTTCCGGCAGCTATTGAGGTCGGCAATAGGATGGTTAAGGCTGTGCTTGAGAGTACGAAGAATTAGGATGGTGTTTTTAAGGGGTGTTAGGTGGTTGGCTAATTGCCTTGTATTATCCTAGGGATAGGTACCTAGGTAGGTATGCGCCTGCAATTGTATCATGAAATTAATAATTTAAGGATTGTTGACATACTCCGATCTCCGAACACCATATTCCCCTAGGCTCACCATAGTAAAAGGTATGTTGTCAATCCTTTTCAATCTGATGTGTCCCTCTCACTAAGGTATAATATCATAGATGCCACAGGTAACAAGAGATACCACCCAACCGTGGTTGCGTCGCTCATCATAATTGAACACCTATCATCCTTTCTAATCCCCACGATCTTTGATTGGCGCAAATAAGGTCTCGATCAACTAATAGGTATGTATAAGTAAAAGGTAGGCAGCAACATAACTAATAGGATTAAAAGTAACACTTACCCATCGATCTAAGCTCCTTTCATTTTCACGGAACTCCGCGAATTTCGCATCTAGCTGATCTGTAGTGCAGTATACCACACTAGATATATCTGCCTTGTTCCTAATTGCGTCTAGGAATTTAGCAGCCTGCTTTCCCGTTCCGATTTGGCCCACCATGAACTTGACACCTACGGATTGACACAATTAGTAGACAATGTCAGAGAAAGGAAGGGAAAGCTTACTATCACGAGGATATCCAGCCTTCTCTAGTCTGTCTCCACAGTCCGCGATGGTATCCACGAACTCAGTCTCGCCTTCATCTGACGGCATACCATCAGTAATAACAGACACAAGAAGCGGCCTCTCTAGGCTATTCGATTCTAACTTGCTATAAACCAACGGCTCGAGAATCTTGGACCGTAGGAACGTGCCAACCGCCGTGTCACCGTTTGGCTTCCATGACATCGGTCCAATGATCCCGAGGATACCGTCGACTGTTAGGTTTGAGGAGTTATCCACATCTTGGTTGATGAAGCGTAATGCCACACCTTCGCCCTCGGGGAGGACTCGCGTGGTGATCCGGGAAATTCTTTCGACGAGCTTCTTTAGAGAATCCCAACGGCCTTCGCGTTTCATGGATGAGCTGTCATCTACACAATGTCTGTTAGAATTGGATCACCGAGAGCATCCTTCATAGCCAATCTTAGGATACTGACCGCAGTAGATAACTTGCTGGTGCAAGGAGACCTTAATTGTCTTGGGAAGAAGATCCTTGCTGCCGAGATCTGTGCTCGGGTCCTTCTCCAAATCCACGACCTTCTGTGCCAGCTCTTTTATATAGCCCTCCTTTCCCTTGAAGAAACGCTCCAGTGTTCGGTTCTCTTTGGTAAATTTGCCAATATTTTCCACGAACTTAGCCTTACTCGGCGTCTCGGAGCCATTCACGGCCTATTGCACCCAACTTGTGAGTCGTTACGCAATATTTGCTTTGGTTGGAGTATGTGCTTACTTTATTTATCTCCGTCTCATAGCGCAAATCCGGGTTCAGCTTGTATATCTTCTGAACGACTCCATCCAAGGCCTTGTTCGCCCACGCAACGATAAATAGAAGGATGGAAATAATATTAAAAGCCAATTTGGCGTAGGCAGACTGCTCTTCGCTCGGATTGAACGCCCTGATAACAGACCTGGCCTCAGCATCCGTTGCCATGTCTTCCCCGGTAAGGCCGTCATCATTCTTCACCGTCAAGCTAGCCCCTGCATTCCGAAGCAGCCTGATAGAATCGAGATCCTCCTTTTCAATGGCAAACATGAGTGCCGTATAGTTCCTGGCGGCGGGGCATGTCTTGTCGACCGACTCGCTGGTTAGTCTTGGGAGGAGTAATTGGATGATTCGAGCGCGATTGGTCTCGGTCTTCCAGGCGGCGAGTAAGAGTGGTGTCTCGTCATTCTTGCACAGCCCGTCTGCTCTAGCTCCGTTACCGAGGAGCAGTTGAACCTCTTCGGCAAATCCTCCGACTGTCGCTTCTGCTAGTGGCGTGAGGCCTGTGTCAGGGTCTTGTTCGGTGAGGATATTTGGGTTTTCCTTGAGGTATCTGGAGAGTCTATCCCCGGTGAGGGTACCGTTTCGAGCGTCTTTGTGGATCCCCATGATGGCGACTGGCTTATTGAATTCCACGCAAATTCAAAAATTCGTGTCGTCAACGATATCAGGAGTTATAACATAGGAGACGGTGACTTTTCTAGGGATATATACTAGTGTGCACGCCCACAAGCTTTCGAGGAAGCGCCAGGGCTTGTAATGAAGACGGCCCTCGTCGCGTTGACGAGGCTGAGTGTTTGACGTCATTGCCAATAAGTTTTGGGCAGCATAACAGCATCAGGCTTCTACCCTAAGGGTAGCGCGAGTAGTATTGGGTAGAATTAATCTTGTCTTGTGGCTTCATCGACGATCATCTAACGAAGTTTCGTCCAATACTTATTCACGATGTGACCCTATTCAGCTGGACCGGTGACGCTTCACCTAGCCCGAACGGGAGGAATACATGAACAATCTACGCAACCTCATGCATCTTCATATAAATTCAACGTTGCTTAGTCAATCGGCGATCCAGTGCCGAAAATAAGCTACTCCTAGGCATTACGATAGGATGGCGCGGTTAGCGCTTTTGATATTATGATGAGGGGTTACAAAATAAAAGGATTTTCTGGCAAGTTAAGACGAAGCCAACAGTGAGGTACTCGAGGCATATCAAGAAGCCGACTTCGCGGCTCGTAAACACGAGAAGGGGCTCGGAGTCCCACCAAGAGAAACGGCGACTGAGCGACGACTAGGTAGCGCCCGCATTACCACTTATCATTTGCGCGCCATGGATGAAGCGATCACAATTCTCAAGTCGCAAAATGTCCCGGTCTTTGACCGTGGCGACGAGGAGTACGAACGCTCCGTCGCAACTCCAAATCTCTTGTTTCGCTTCTCAAGACCCAATTGCGTTATCCAACCCGAATCAGCTTCTCACGTCCAAGCTATTATAAAAGAGGCGCGATCAAAGAATCTTAAAATCACTATTAAGTGTGGTGGTCATTCATACGCGGGTCATTCCACCGCATACGAGGGTATTTCTTTGGACCTCAGGAGGATGAAAAAGGCCCAACTCGACATGAAGTCGAAAACCGTCACCATGGAAGCTGGTTGCCAATGGGGCCATGTGTACAAAACATTGATAAACGACCGACATGATGGTTATGTCATCAATGGTGGAAGGTGCCCTTTTGTTGGTGTCGGTGGTTTTATGCTAGGGGGTGGCCTCGGCCCATTCACGAGAAGTATCGGAATGGGAAGCGATACTCTAAAAGAAGCTACAATCGTGACTGCAGATGGGGAGCTAGTTACCGTGAAAGACAGCGATGCCCGTAACTCTAAGAATGGGAGATTATTCTGGGCGCTTCGTGGTGCGGGAGGTGGTAATTTTGGCGTGTTAGTCCAGATGAAGCTCGGCGTCAAGAAATTGCAAAGCGAATACGTAGTTGCTGGGAGGTACCAATGGTTCCCTCAATCAGTGCTGACAGATGACTTCATGGCTACGATGAACAAGTTCTACACGACCGATTGGCCTATTCGAATAACAATTGATAGTACTTGGATGTGTGATCTTCGTCAAAACTCAGGCGACGGAGTTCGGTTCCTCATATACTTTGACGGCAAGAAGGATGAATTCGAGCGCATCATCGACAAGTATATACAAGACCCGGAACTTGCAAAGCAACTCAAGCGACGCTCCTTGCCCGAGAAGTCTACGCGATTCCTCCATGAAACTCTTGTGGTGCAGTGGTCCGAGGAAACCGTAAGGGCTTTCCCTACTAACAGGACCTACAGCATCTACAGCTCCTTCGTTTTCGGCAACGAAAGAAGCAACATTGAGAAGATTACCACTATAATCCGGGAAGAGATGAAAAATTTTCGGCGTCTTTTCGCTGGAGAACGAGTTGAATTTCTAGTTACTTGGATTCATTCGGGCGGCAAGGCGAAAGAGAAAAGCCCATCAGATTCCGCATTCTTCTGGCGTCAAGCTGTGTATCACACCTACGTCACGGTGGAATGGGAGGATAAATGGATGGAAAAGGATATGAGATGTTTCTTAGGGAAGGTCAAGAAACTCTTGAGGCCCCTTTCTCTCAATGGCGAGGCCGCATTCATCAACTTCCCTGACGGGGCGCTATCAACAAATTCCCACGAAAGAGCGTATTTCGGAGATAATCGCAATGAGTTACGGCTCATCAAGGAGATATGGGATAGGAATAATTTCTTCAAGTGGGACCAAGGTGTCCGACTTCCAGGGGCAACAGACGACGGGAAGACGGGAGTGGACGTACCGAACGAGGAGGATCTAACGGATACTATCGCGGGGAAACAGTGGGAACATTTCGAAATTCCCGAAACCCTTCAAACTCCAGAAAACAATGAGTTCCTTAAGGGTCTTAAGGAGTTGGAAGATCTGGGATTTTGAAAGATTTCTACACTAGACTGCTTCGTAAGAAGCCTCAACTCCTAGTCCGTCGCTGCAGAGGTATGAACGACACAATGCATCAATACAAGAACAATAATGAATCCACATTCCCATTCTTAGTACATGGTAACTTTTGCCAATAGTCAACTTGATTTGCTGACATCTAGTAATAATAGCCAGCATTAATAACTTCCTTTCCCCCCTTTCGGAATTTCCTAGAGGCCTCCTTCACCTTCTCTTGAAGCCACGGCGTCTATTCACAAATAAACTCCGACATAGTCGCTGTACCCCCCACCGGCACTACCGGGATGGTGATGTTGATTACTGGCGGTGGTGGCTGTGGCAGTAGTAGATCCGAGACAGACCACGTCAGAGCTATACGAATGGTAAGCAAGTCGTTATTCGAGAAGTTATATGCGCTGAATAGCAATACACTTACCTGTCCTCGGTCGAGGAGGACCGCAATGACCGTATAGGTTCGTAGAATTTATTCTTGTGGGCGCTGTTGATGATACTATGCAGTACCTAGGTATCTTGGCCCGGAATGAAATATGATAACTGAAATGGCATGGGTATTGAAGGTTGGTCTGGTATTGATACCTAGGTATTTAGGAGGTGTACGAGATGTGATTAGGCATAAAAGAGAAACGAATGAAGATATTGACCGTAACGAATCAATTTAAATATGAACGCTTCTCCGGCGAGCTATCTACCTACGACTTCCTTCTGTACTATGCCCAAAATTTATATCGTTCGATGCTAACGCATGCTTGCTGCATGAATATGCTACAGAGTTTATACGGAATCACTAACCCCAAAGTAAATTTATTGAACGATAAAAGGGCCCGTCAAGTGCAACTTGGTATTCTGGAAGTTAAATTGTATTGCTACAGGGGCAAACACAGTCACCTTATGACTGCTTAGCGAAAACATTTTCAAGAAGCGTTACGAAGTCAAGAAGTCACCGCATATTCCAACCTCACGTAGGAAATGGGAGCTAGGAAGGATTTTGCTACCTTTGAGATTCTAATAATGTTCTACCTACTCCCATATGGACGCCACCCCCTTCCAATGTGGGTACTTCTTACCCCTATTGTGAGATAGTAGGGATCTTATGATGGGTTCATATGTGCAGAAAAAGTTAATCAGCCTCATCAGACCTTTTTTGTTGAATTAAATGTCTCTTAGCGACAGCTCTAAGTCTTGGAGTGTTATACCTCCCTAGGTAGGCGCTGTCCATATGAGTGGATGCGTAAAGAGCAGGCGGGGGCCACATCACAATGCCTAGTCCTGTCTTGATTGAACCTTTAGGCATGGCCGAAGTTGCGAACATCAGCATTGGTTGAGGGGAGATTAGTGGCGACGCTCCAATTTGGAATGAGTTAAAGCAGGATCATGCGGGAAGTTCAATTTGTTTGAAGTGCAGAATTACTTTGCGCTAACGTCTGGCGTGGCGGTCCGTATTCAAAGGATTGAAGGCGTCGTCTCGTCATTGTGATTATCGCGTCTAGGTTCAAATGATGCAATTTGGCGAAATGATCATTAGTATCAATGCCGAGGACTAGGAACAAGCTCCTTAATAATTGAGCCACATCTGATCTGTCTTGCGTAAATACCTAATCTGGATACAAGTGAAATGTCCTGCGGGTGGGACACCAAAAGAAAAGCCCCTCTTCGCATAATATTGGCATATATAAAGAAGAAAGAAGAAATAGAAACCTAAGTGTCCTCCTTACTGGGAATCTGCTTCCCTTGTGTCAACTTTCCCGCGCCCCCTACTCGCTCCACATTGTAGGTTTACCAGAAATCAAAAATCTTGGTTTGGGGGTTTCAATAGATAAAAGTTTAGGTAGGGGGTGGAAGTCATGCTCTCAGACAATTTTCAAGCGACGACTCGGTGTTAAATCAACCAGGGCTTCAAGGTCCCTCACGCCATGAACCAATCCGTCGTTAACGGCTGCACGGGCAACGATCCGGTGTTGTCGCTCGTCATCCGAGCCATTGACTGGATACCCTACTTCTCTAAGGAGAAGATATATGGGCGAGTCCTGCGGCAATGTGAGGACATCTCCTGGTTCCACGGGCGCTGTAGCAATCCCCACTAACCCCCTTTGGGTAATAAAGATTGGCTTTCCAGCAATTTCTTCGTTCCGAATAGTGATGTATTCTTCGTAGTTTTCTAGCCTTGGTGGCTCTTTTTCTTGCATCAAGAAGAAGTTTGATAGAGAAAGAAATCTTCCTATCCCGCTATTATGGTTGGACTCGGTTGCCATGTCAAGTATCGAATCGCGAGCTGTAATCACTTCAACGACTAGAGACATCAATGCTGTGGATGGCGCAATACTCATCGCATCACCGAAATTCGGGAATTCGATAACCAGACAGATCTGATCGATAAATTTTCCTGGGCAAAATAGAACTTTCGGGGTGCAGAAACGCATATCCTCCTGGCCGTACTCAATTTCAAGGATTGGAATGCCATTTTCGGCGATAAAACCATCGAGTGTCACCTTATCTTTCGCTTTAACTAATTTGCTACCATGATTGCAGGCGCCGGTGTACGTGAGATCGAGAATCCAAGAGGGGCCAACTGGTTCTTTAGCACTCAACGGTGATTCAAACCAAAACCTATACGTCTCCATTAGAACGAACGACGGGCATGCATTATAGTATCGAGCTGTGGCCCTTTTAAATACGGCTTGGCAGGATTCCTGGTAGTCCACGTTTATAAGGAGTCCCAGACAGCGAGGCAGGAGGGACTGTAGTGCGAAAATCTTATCTCTCGGGTTTGTGGCTCGATATGTTTCCGCCATTTTCAATAAGACTGGAAATGATTTCACTGCAGAATGGCGTTCTTCTTCGGAGCCGCGCCGATAATCAAATAGAGACGGTCTGTGAAGTATTAGGCCTGTACCGATTATCGTATCGATAGTCTGCCGTACGTCTGAATTCATAGTAGAAAGAGTCAGTATAAGATTCTTGTCTGCATCGAGCACCCACCTAGGTATAGTAGGACATCGTCAATGTAGTCGTCGGGGTAAACTAGGTACTCACCAGGATTTTTTATAATGTTACGCCAGTTGTCCATTTGGTTAGCAATGTGTTCGTTCTTATTCGATCCCTTGACTATAATATTCATCGCGGCTGTAAAATCTTCGAATGAGAAAGAGTAGCCCTGAAAGAAGAATATCGGCGCATTTGGCGGACATGCGGCTTCTTGAATTGTCCACACTCTTTCCCACCACGAGTGCATCTGGATTAAGCTCACACAGCGACCGAGCATTAGGTAGAGGACCCATTGTTCTTCATTCCATGGATCATTTACAGAGTACTTTAGGCACTCTCTAAGAATTGCGGTAAGATCGTATTGATTGATGTCAATCCTGCCAAGCCCTGGTGGGAAGGGAGGGTACCATCTCTCAATATCGAAGGACGGATCTTCTCTTTGGTTTTCCCACTTTTCTGGACGATTCCTTGTCGAACCGCGTTCGCCATCTGTCGTCTGGCCGCCGCTTAGCCAGATTACCGTATTCTTTGCTTTAGAGTAGATATCTCTCATAAGCCGAACCTGTTCTGCCTTCTCCTTGGAATCCGATTGATTGATACAGATTGCATCGATCCATATTTCTCTAGTGGTATTCGGACGGCGCAAACCGTGCAGGATTCTGTAAAGATTCTTCGTGACCCTAAAGAGTTTCCCGTCGACTAGAATCTCCTCCTTAGACCAATCCTTGCCCCAAACATACGATAGAGCCTCTGGGATACCATCACGATATAGATTGTATACCAATAGGCGGCATTGAATGCGTTTATCTTTAGAAAGATTACTAGGGAGGATTTTGAGGACTCGGACCTCACCGGCTATGGAGTTGAGGCGCGCCGAGTACTGGCAATCGGCCCCATTGACGCTATCCTGCTGGGACTTGGGTGCCACCTGTACGGTAGGGCGCGGCTTTGCGTGTTCGGCCCGCGTGTATAAATCGCACAAGAGTTCGAAGCGCGTGGATAAGTCGGGACCGATTGGTGGCTGCTCAACTGTGATATCCTGAAATACGTTGAGTATTTCGTATATTGTTGACGCGATAATTTCATCGAGGGCTTTTTTACTGTTTAAGGAGTCTGCCGGATCCCTCTTTGGGATCGATGTCGCTTCAGTTAGAAATTCAGATAACTTTTCCATCGCGACATCATCTTCGAGCTCATTCGGGTCTGTGTATATAATGCGGTCCAGTCCGGCACAAGCCTTTTTGATGCCGTCGTTCCCATTCACAAACTCTTCGAGTGCGGAGTATATAAAAGAAAACCGCTCATCTCTTGCGTTGAGATGCTGCAAAATAACTTGAACTTGCTCTGTGATGATATAAATCTTATCATATTCAGGTTTAAGCGTAGAGAATTGATCCCTGAATTCTGATTTATATAATAGACGCCATATTTTGAGACATTCCTGGGGGAAGCTTCCGGTCGCCGATTCGTCACGACTGTCAATTAGAGATCGAAGAAACCGGTCACGCTGAGCTTTACGCCGGCGACCGAGTATAACTCGGCGACACGCAGAGAGACCCCGACTCTTAACAATCTGATGTTTTACTACAGTATGGCGTAGCATTTGTGGAGTCAAATCACGAGGCTGGACACCAGCGGGCAGAAGTCCGCTGGATTTGTCTAGAAGAGCCCGAAGAGATTCATCAGACAAGATTCCTTTTGTCCATTCCACTGTTTCTTGTAGGGATTTATCGTGTAACTCCTCGGCATACGCATTAAGAAGAGGCTCGGGAAGATCATCTTGGAGACCTTCGGGTATCTCTTGATTGTCAAAATGGGGTTAAAGCAATATATTGAGTAGCTATAATCTTTTTACGATCTGCGTGCCGTATCTCCCTCCTTCAATCTTTTAGGAGAAGCTATTCTTCTTTATGCTGTTTGATAGTAGTACATGATGTTCAGTATAGCTTCCCTTCTTGGATATGAGATGGCCAAGAGCTGTGTTGGTGCCTTATGTATATTATAGCGCCTATAGCGCTTCCTCTTGGGCCTATCATCTCTCATCTATATATGTGTTGATGATGGTTTCCTATCAGGATGATATAGGTATCATAATATTGCTTCCTTTTTCTTCTAGATCTGCCTCGGATCTTTTTAAGGTATGTGCGGGTCTTTGGGCTTATCGGGATATTACTTATGGAATTCTTCTAAAAATACCTGAATAGGTTTATAAAAGTATTTATAAGGTTCCCAGGTCTAATCTTTCTTTCTTGGCTATCCTTCCCATTTGACGAGATATTTTATTCCTTTATCCATTTTGGTTGAATTTATGATCTTATTCATATTGTATCCATCTACTGTTTTGGCCTTATTGATTTCCTTTAGGATTACCATAGGGTCTAATAAGGAGTGATCCTCGGAATGGTATGGCTTAATGAATGAGACATGAAACATATTATAGATTTGTTATTTTACGGGGAACTTAAACCTTATAATGATAGGTGATATTATCTTAGAAATTTGGAAGGGGTTTAATAACTTATGGTTGAGTTTTTTGACAGATTTTCTAATTTTGACATTCTTCTTATTTAGTATCATAAATTAATCCTTTTTGAACTTGGGGGCATCCTTTTATTTCTTATCTATGTATTTTTTTATCCTTTTTTGGATTTCCTTAAATGTTATTTAAGTTTCTTTATAGAATTTAATTATCTAATAAATATATAATTTATTAATAAAATATTTATATCTTTTTTATAAGGGGTTATTTATTATAAAATGGTATCTATAATTAATATAAAAAGGGGTTATTTAGGATAAAAAAGATTATATATTATTATAAATAAATTTAATTGTTAATAATAATTTTATTTAATTATTTATTTCTTAATTGATAAAAGCACATAGATATGTTTTAATGACTTAATTGATTTATTTAATTTATTTGTCAATTTAAGAATGAAATGCTGTGTTTATCCAGGATTTAATCTCTAATAATCTTAAGAAGGAGTTTTAAAAGTTAGACATAAAATATGAATCTTTATCTGAAACTATATTTAAAAATAGGTTATATATTTTCTATATTTCTTTAATAAAGATTTGGATTAGATATTTAACCTTTTATTTTCTTTATTTAAATGGAATAAAATAGGTTATTTTGATAAAGTGATTTATTATTATCCAAAATTAATTATAGTCTTCTAATATAAATAGATTTATAATAAAATCTATAAAAATTGATTACTATGAGATATAAGGTAATTCTAAGGGTTGTAATTTTCTATAAGATGAATATTTTAATGCTTTATTTTTTTGATAATTTAGGTAATTTTCTATATATTATTTAATCTTAGTATTTATTTTTGGCTATTAGAAATTCTGTTGTATGAATTTAACTATTTTGGTTTGGTTTATATATCTTATTATTTTAATATCATATTCTGATTTGAAAATATTATATTTTAGTTTGGGGTTATTAAATATTTATAATCTATGTTTATAATATAGTAACCCTTAATTTGAAATATAATTAAGTTTTTCAGGTTATTTGAATTATTTTTAATATAATTTATTCTTTTCTGTTACCTTTTAGACTTCTTTTAGAAAGGGTATGTTTTATTTTATATAGGAAATATTCTGAATTCTTAGAGATGACATTAGTATTAAAGATTTATATGATTTTGTAAAATGTTTTTCTTGTAATATTATCTTAATAGGCTAATGTTTACTTTTTCTTTTTTCTAGGCAATATTCCAGATATCTAAATAATATATCTAGTTTAATATTATTTTTTCTGGGTCTGAAGTAGATAATAAAGTCTATTCTTGTAATTTCTTATATCTATCTTATTTATCTTTTATTTAGGATTTATGTAGTTATGAAGTAAGTAAGGTTATGATGGTCGGAATAGACTTAAATCATATACTATATTCCTTCTAGGTATTATTACCATTATCTAAAGCTATTGACGATGGCTAAAAGCTCCTTATTGTGGATTTTATAATTGATCTTAATTGGAGTGAATTTGCATGAATAGAAAGCTATAAGGTATAGTTTCCTATCATCTCCAATTTAGGATAGGATTGTTCTTAGCATGTAATTAGATATATTAACTTCAAGTTGGAATTTCTTTGAAGGATCTAGATATATTAATATAGGTGTAATAATAAAAGCTTTTTTAAGTATCTTAAATAAATTGGCTATGTCTAGGGTCCAAATCTAATCTTGGGTTTCTTTTTTGGTTAAATTTGTTAATAGTCTTACTTTCCTAGAAAAATCCTTGATAAACCACCAATAAAAATTTGCAAAATTGATGAAAGATTGGATATCCTTGAGGCTCTTAGGTTCTTGCCATTCTATGATTATTTAGACTTTTTTTTATGACATTTTGACCTTGTCTAGAGAGATGATGTATCCTAAGAAGTCTATTTCTTGAGTCTGCTAAATGTATTTGTTAGGTGTAATTAACAATTTATTATTTATTAATCTTTATAAGATTTCTTTAATTAATTCATTATATTCCTTTATATTTTTTTTATATATAAAAATATTATTAATATAAATTATAATACCTTTATTAAAAAGATCTTTAAAGATATAATTTATCATATTTTAAAAGATAATAGATATATTAATAAAATTAAATAATATAATAATAAATTTGAATAATCTATATTTATATTTAAAAACAATTTTTTATTTATTACCTTTTTTGATCCTAATAAGATAAAACTTATTCTTTAGATCTAATTTGGTAAAGAATTTTGTTATTCTAATATGATTTTATAGTTCACAAATAAGGGGAAGGGGATACTGATTTGATTTGATGATGTAATTTAGGTCTCTATAATTGATATATAATCTTAGTTCTTTTCCGTGAGGTTTAAGAACAAATAGGATTGGAGATGCTGTTAAGGATTTGGAACAACAGATTTTTCTTATGTTAAACATTTTTTCAAACCATATTCTTAAGGTTTTTAATTCTTTTTTATTAAGGATATATATGGGATCCTATAAAGGTTATTTTTTGTTAATTAGATCTATAATATGATTATATGATTAATGAGGAGGAAGTTTGTTTGCTAATTCTTTGGTTATAATTTTGATATATTATTAGAACTTTTCTGGAATTGTTATTAATATTGGTTTCTCTTTTTTAATGAAATTAATAGATTTAATTATATATATATTAGGGTTATATATAACATTTTTATTATATATAAAAATTATATTATTAAGGGCTGCTCATGTATAGTTCTTTTTGTAATAAACAGATTTAAATATAATATCCTTCCCTTGATTATTCCAGAGATTTGATGGTTAATGTTTGATAAATTATTAATATAAAAATATGATATTGCATTCTGAGTCAATAGGAGATATTTTGAATAATAATTGATTATAATGAAATTCCCATTTAAGAATAAATAGTTTAATATAAAAAAATCTAGTTTTTTTTATTATTTTATTATTAAAAGTTCTTATCTATATGGGAATAGTTTATTAAATAATAGAGATCCCATATTTTTTGATAAAATTATGATTAATCAAAGATATTAAATTTCTGGAGTTTATTAAGATATGGATAAAGATCTTTTATTCATTATTGAAGATTGTCATTTCCATAATAAATCAATTATCAATTATGGGTTTCTTTTTTAAAAGGATTGGCCTATTATTTAATCTTTTGATTCTTATAATTCTTGTATTATTTGGCTATGGCTCTTTAGTTAATGTTATAAAATGGCCTACTAAAAATCTGCTAAGTTTTCAAATTTTTTGTTACTTTTGATTTTAATAACCCTGGGATATAAGGCAAAAACTACTACAGTAATTACATTTTTGGACCTTTTTATATCAGGTTCTTCTGATGTTTTAATATTTGTTTCTTTATATTATCTCTTAGCATTAATAACTATAATCTTTATTAATATTTATGGTAGGTCTCTTTCATTAATATTTTTTTATACATAACAATCTTATATTTTATGGTTATCTCTTCCATATCAAATATATTATATTTTGATTTTCTTGAATTTATCAATGTTTTCTTATTTAACTCCTTCAAGGATCTTTTAAACATTAGTCTAAGGAAAGGGTTTAATATTACTAGTAGACTAATTTTTTACCTTTTGGTTGTCAATTTATTTCTAATTGTAAACCTTTATTTTATCTGGTTTCTTCAACTTTTTAAAATTGGACTTATCTTTTTTTAATATGGTAAGGTTTACTTTCTTAACTTCATAAATTTTTCTGGCTTCTCTGACAGCAGAGATAAATTCAACATCCATAATTAAGACTTTTCTATTTTATATATAAATTAGGTAAAAGATATTTTCAGGTAAGGTTTAAAACATAGTTTCCTATAAACCAAATCCTCCAATTTAAGCTTGGATATTAAAATCTTAAAATTAGATAATATATTAATTAATATTTTCAATATATTTTAATATTTTAATAAATTAGAAATTCTTTAATGATTTAGTTGGGTTATAGAATTTTTCTATAATTAATTTAAAATATCCTTCCCATTTATCTATAATATATAATTTTTTAAATGTTCTTACCTTGGTTTAGTATTAATTAAAGATATATTTTATAAACAATGATCCAACCTAGGTTATTTTAGCTTGGTTATTATCAAAGACATTTTTGAAGAAATCTAGATAGGTTTTCATTAATATTTATTAAGACCTGAATCTTTTAATTTTCTTACTATCAAACAATACAAGCTTATTCATTATTAATATTTATTTCTTAGATAAAGCCTTTATTAATACATTAATAAAATCATTACCTAATCCTTTAGGATCTTATCATCATCAAGATCCTCCAAAAGGTAATAATAGAGATCCTCATCCATGGCCTCCTCTAAACAGGTCATTATTGCTTCCATTATCATTCCCATCATCATCACCATCATCACCACCTGGGGTTCCAAAGGTTACAAATAACTATCTTTATGTTTTGGCTTGAATTCTTCTAACATCCTATTATTCTCAGAATCTTTCCTTTTAGAAGATAATATTATTATTAATCATTTTTCTATCTTGACAAGCTTTACAAGTTTCTCTAGGGGCATTAAAGATTCCTGATATCCTAAAAGATGAGATTATTAGCTTCTTAAAGACAATAATTGGAATAGACATTGGTATTGAAGTTCACCTAGTATCAGGTTATGACATATTACAAAGGCTAAAGCAGACCCTTTCTCTTTAACCAATTTCTTAGAGGATTCCTTCTACATTAATGTTCCTTCTTTTTTTTCTTTATTTAAAGATGATTTAGATTATTTTTGTAATAAGGGAATGGATTTTTTTTACTCAAACTTAGGCTATTTTTCTAAATCTGATATAATGATTGGTTATTTGGTCAATCATTTCTTGGAATATAACGTCAATAGTTCCTTTCCATTTTTTTATAATTTAACTTCAGGAATGGAGGTTGTCTTATCGAAGATATAGATTAATTATAGCCCTAACAACTTTTTCGCGGAATTGATTTTAGTCTTTAAATACTTATTTGATCTTACTAATGGCTTCACTTCTTTGAGTAATATCTTAAGAGATTTTAGCAATTTCTTTGTTAACCTTAACAGTAAAATCAATGTTGGCTTAATATATTTGATTCTTAAATTACTTTATTTTTATAATAAGGTTTTGGTTATTGATAATTCTGGTTTTTATAATGTTAATTAGGGATTTATAATATTATTAGAGGTTGGTTAAGACATTTTTAAAAGCTCCTAATTATTATTATTATATTTAAGTGATAATAATTATTTTTTGGACTATTCTTTGCATTTAATTATACAAGTCAATTAACTAGATAAGGAGGTTCTTAATAATTATTTATTATTCCTACAAAGGTAATACAACATCGTTTATAATAATATTAAATTTAAGGAGATTCTAGAAAATTAATTAATTATTATTGAGATCCATAATTCCTTTATTTAATAATATCGATGAAGGAGGTTAAGGAATATCTTAGGAGATATTCTTATTTAATCCTATTTTAAAATAATTATTTTATTGAATAATTAAGGAGTTAAATTCCATATCTTCTAAAATTATAAAATAATTTAATGAGATTATTAATATATAAAATAAGGATAAGGTATTGATATAAGTGTGGGGGTTTTGTTATTCCGTTCCAATATATGTTGGTAAAAAGATTATAATATCAAAATGGGGTTAAAACAATATATTAAATAATTATAATCTTTTTATAATCTATATGTCATATTTCCCTCCTTTAATCTTTCAGGAGAAGCTATTCTTCTTTATGTTGTTTGATAGTAATACATGATGTTTAGTATAGCTTCTTTTCTTGGATATGAGATGGCCAAGAGCTGTGTTGGTGCCTTATGTATATTACAGCGCCTACAGCGCTTCCTCTTGGGCCTATCATCTCTCATCTATACATGTGTTGGTGATGGTTTCCTATCAGGATGATACAGGTGTCATAACATTGATCGAAATCATATAATGACGGCCGGGGGAAATCGGGCGGACGTGGCTTTCTGTAGTTATCAAGTAGAGACCGAAATGGCTCTGGAAGTTCCGCCGATTCATCCATAATAGGTAAAAAATTAGCTTAATACCTGGTAAGTATCGGAACAGCTGGAATGTTCGCCGGAAAATGAAATTCAAAGTCTTCTATAAAATCTAACCTGAGAAGAATGTGACTTTAGGGGGATAAAATAGCCTGGTTGTCCCAAGGGCTGGCTCGAACGAATTCTAGGAAGGTAGTATGCTCGGCCATGATCAAGTACAACGTGCTTCTTATAAGGTGATGTGATTTACATCAGTAACTGAACATCCTCATATTTCAGTATCAAGCACTGTGGGGGGAAAAGCCACCGATATGATTCCTTAATGTGCTGAGATATAGGTAGTTAACCCAATGAAGATATACGTCAACAACACTTACTACGAATGTAACCTTAAGCAGGCTGAGCTTTGACGAACTAAGGCTTGTTAATTTCTCAAGAAGAGTCATCCGATATGCTCCAAGCCTCGCAGCTGCGTGAAAGATTAGGCCTCCTGCTGCGGTTCGAATGTAAAATTCGATACGTGGGATAATATAGAGCCATAGTACTGCGGCATGTGTTTCTAGAACGAGTTCCACATCTGAGCACAGCCATAACGAGACTACTTAATGATCAATCAATAGGTAGCGAGGGTATTTCCGCATGCCGGTGGTGGTGTACTCAGCCTCAAGTGTTTGTCATATCGAACCTATAGTAATTTAGATAGTTAAACTGTTGTCGGAAGATGCTCGATTGTTTCCGGCGATCGTACCCAATAGGCTGAAGTGTACTTAGCCACCAAAGTACTCTTGGGCTGGAATATGTTCGATTAATGTAGGATACGAAGGAAATCTTCTAGTGGCAAGACATTCCGATCACTTAGATTGAGGAGATTACGTTTACGCTTGTGAACGTGGACGCTGTCGTGATAAAAACCAACATTGAATGAATTAAATAGGTGGGGAAAGATAATGTGGGAAATCGACCTGCTTATATAAGAGGCCACTTACATACCCAGATACCTAGGTAGCCACGTCCTTAGGTAATCAGCGCACTCTTGTGTAACTCCTATATTATGTAATGATAAGCTTATGTAATTACTAAGTCATCTGGCTCTGACTTATGTAATCATTGAGCTCTGTAATGATCGACTTACGTAACCATTAGATCTTGTAAGGGATTTAGTAGTGCCGTCTTTTAGCACCTTCCAGGTCCCTAGGGTTTCGATTAGCCCCCTACCAGCAGAACAATAACTCCAATTTAACAGGTAACCTAAGCATATGATGGCATTGACTGCTTGTCAGAACAATTAGGCTTTGGGGAAAAGCGGTAGTTTAATATCTCAACCACATTAAAAAAAACAGTTACAGTGGCTATGATGGTAATGGCAGTGTGAATTAATATCATTTAGTGTCTTCATCTCCCCCAGCCCGCCCACTAAAGCAAACACATATTCGAAGTTCCTCCACTACCTAGGTACGCATATGGGTGGAGGGCATATTGTCGAGTTGCTGGGCATTGCTTCTCATTGGTATCTCTAACCATACCAAATTGAGCTATTTGGGTTCGAGCATCTGTGCCGCAGATGCGCCTACCATCATTAGTTGAGTTGTATTAAGAGTATAGTATGAATGTATAATTGTAGTATTACTTGCCTACGTTCTTATGTCAAGCATAAAACAGCTAAGGATCAGACGATTTAATGTGGTATTCTGATTCAAGAAGAAATGAAGGTAATGGGAAGGAGAAGATTGGTGACTATCGTTCGACTAGGAGAAGCCTCGGTACCATGTGGGGGATCTTCTTTAAATCTGCCCCGCTAACATTCCCCAAACGCCCCCATTGTCCATCCCTCTATAATAATAGTATAAAGGTGGTTTTAATCTCTTAGGGTCATAGTCAGGGATACTTCTGAGTTAATATGAAGTTAATATTAGGTATTCTTAATGAATCAAGACCATTCGATCGTATAAGGTGTAAATGTGAACGTCTATATGTATCTGCCAGGAGGGAATCTGTAGTCTAAATAGCGGGGTTACTGATTTAACTCGTGTTGCGACGGCCTGTCCCGTCCCCAGCCACCGGGGTACATACGCTAAATGTTAGGTAGCCTGCTAGGGACCTACGTTCGCTACCTCGGCCGAAATCCTACATCTACATCTTCCACCCTCAGGCATACGTTCCCAGCAATCCTCCATCAATTCATGCGCACTCACTACAAACCCAATGTGAACTTCTTATATGTAGTAGGCGAGTAAGTACCTTCCTACCTACACCCATCCAAGCCGATGAATCCGGATATATAGGGAGAAGTACAACGCCCTAAAACAATCCACAATGGCAGAACAAAAAGCCCCAGTAATCATCATCGGAGGCGGCCTAGCCGGTCTAGTCGCCGCCTTCGAGCTTTCACAACGCGGCGTGCGCACGCTCATCATCGACCAAGAAGGCGAGCAGAATCTAGGGGGACAAGCATTTTGGTCGCTTGGTGGGATTTTCTGTGTTGATTCCACCGAACAGCGACGTATGGGGATTAAAGACAGTCGCGCGCTTGCGTTTCGTGATTGGCTTGGCTCGGCGCGATTTGATCGCTTAGATGGTGAAGATATCTGGCCACGGCGCTGGGCGGAGGCGTTTGTGGATTTTGCGACGGATGGTATGGAGAAGTATCTTAAGGACCGCGGCGCGGGGTTTTTAATGAATGTTGGGTGGGCTGAGAGGGGCGATGGGACGGCTGATGGTCATGGGAATTCGGTGCCGAGGTTTCATATTACTTGGGGTGCTGGGCCGGAGGTCGTGCGGGTATTCGCGGAGCCTGTTAGGGAGGCCGAGAAGAATGGGATTGTGGAGTTCAAATTTAGGCACAGGGTGGATGAATTACTAGTCGACGAAAATGGAAGGGCGTCTGGTGTCCGAGGTAAAATCCTGGAGGAAGACCCATCACCGAGAGGAGTCAAGACATCGAGGACGGAGATCGGTGACTTCGAACTGCACGGCGCGGCGGTGGTCGTCTCATCCGGAGGCATCGGAGGAAATGTGGAGGCGGTGAAAAAGGCGTGGCCACTAGATCGTCTGGGTCCCAAGGTCCCAGAGAACTTCGTCATTGGTGTCCCTGCGCATGTTGATGGTCGGATGGTAGGAATTGCGGAAGCTGCCGGCGCGCATTTCGTCAATCGCGATAGGATGTGGCATTATACTGAAGGCCTTCAAAATTGGAATCCTATTTGGCCGGGTCATGGAATCCGAGTCCTGCCTGCACCGTCGTCGTTGTGGCTAGATGCGAACGGAAAGAGACTGCCACCATTCCTATATCCAGGTTCCGACACGTTAGCGACACTCAAGTACATCTGCAGCACGGGTTACGACTACACTTGGTTCATCCTCGACCAAACTATTATCGCGCGGGAATTCGCGCTCTCAGGTTCAGAGCAGAACCCAGACTTAACGGCGAAGAGTGTTTGGCAACTCCTTAAGAATCGTATCTTCAGCTCCAAGGGCACGGTACCAGTCCAAAATTTCCAGAAGTACGGCAAAGACTTTGTGGTGCGCGACAACCTCGAGGACCTAATTGACGGCATGAATGAGCTAGCGAAGTCCGTCAACGGGCCATTACTTGATCCAAAGTCTATTAGGGAAGTTGTAGAAACACGCGACGGCCAGATGGATAATGACTACTGCAAAGACGCACAGGCGATGCTCATTCGGAACGGTCGCAATTACTGGCCTGACAAACGCAGTCGCGTAGCTCCGCCGCACAAACTTCTAGATCCAAACCATGGCCCGTTGATTGCCGTGCGCATGAATTTGCTCACACGCAAGACACTAGGCGGTCTTGAGACAAATTTGGAGAGCAATGTGATGAAGGAGAATGGCGAAAAGTTCCCGGGTCTCTACGCGGCTGGTGAGGCTGCTGGATTTGGCGGAGGTGGCGTTCACGGATATAACTCGCTCGAAGGAACTTTCCTTGGGGGTTGCATATTTTCCGGTAGAGCAGCTGGGAGAGCTATAGCTGATGAACTGCTTGGTCCTGCTTGAGACTATCTACTGAGAACGTAGGTAGTGGCTTTACACCAGTGGGTCCTCAGACTCCCAGGCTATGGCAGTTGAGCGCTCCTTCTATTTGTACGTGTATATTCTTGGGCGAAAGTGTAACTCAATGTATTCTCTATACATGTATGCGATACATTCCTCTCACGTTAAGCCCTCCCTTGGCGACTTCGACATCCACCTACTCGAGTGCGGTGTAGGTGCCCCTTCCTAGTCCTTATAGTTTTCTGCAGACCCAACTTTCTAAAAACGCTAGTCTAGGAAGCCATTGGTGATATCAACCCAGTAGGAATTGGTCATCTTAGAGAAGGGACTTCTAGTTGTATGCTTATCAAGATTCCCGTAGTGATTACAAGTCCCTCTCGTATAAGCGTCGTGACTTCCAGCCTATCGTTAGTTTCGCGATGAGCTTGATTCTTGGATAATAGGCGCTGATGTAGCTCCTTCAGCTGCTGCTCGTCATTACTATCTAACAAGAATTAGCTGTAGGACGATGTCTTATTCACAAAAAGTATGCTTGGCGATGTTGGGTTGTTGAAATAAATTAGCTAGTTTGACTCTCCTCTCCCTCTGCCTTGTAATAAAATATCATCATCACCATTATCACAAACCATATTCATACACACATTGTTAATAAGAAAAAAACCAAGTAAAACCACAAAAACCACAAAAAATTACATATTTAGTTAATATGTCTACGGCAACTTCTTTCGCCCCCGCCTCAACCGAGGATAGGTAGATTCATCAACACAAATTTCTTCGCAAATAGCAACTTATCTACCGTTTATATAGCTCTGCAGAGGTCCATTTCGGACCGAGGGTGACCACCGTCACCACCACGTCACCGCCGCCGCCTCGTAAGTTAATATCCCGTCTCAAAAAATCTGCCTGGAGACACGTGAGATTAACCGGAAGCGTATCCTAGCATAATGACCTAGTGGATGCTGGTGCCCACCTACCTCCCGTCGTCGCTGCTGTCAGTAATCAGTATAATGGCACTGGTCATGGTACTGGTGACCGCGCTGGTGACGGCAGTGTTGGGGTTCGCCCTCAAGCGGACGCCGTGGTTGAAAGAGAAGGCGAAGGCGGCTCTTGCCAGACGCCAGGAGAGGGAGGTGGTGGTGGATGATGCGAAGGAAGTTTAATATTCTTAGTTGTATTGGTTACTGGCTTTTGGTGGTATTGATTACAATTATTGAATAAGATGCATTACCATTCATCCATCTCCAGGGTCTTGGTATGCTTGGTTACCATATCCGTGAATCGCATAGTTCACTAACCGCATGTCTTGCCGTATTTACCTAGGTATGCACTAGACCAGATGACCCTGCGCTTAGACTATAGGTAGGTGATTTCTAGTTGAACGGGCTTGACCATTTGGTGCTTTGGTACCTAAGCCTTCAATACATAGGTGTTTGTTGATATGGCGCGAACTTTGGCGGCTGACCCCGAATTGGCGCCATGAAACTTCTGGAAGTTAATTGAGTAGTGAAAATTCAAAGCCAAATAATATAAAGCCCTAGTGAGTACTACTATAAATACCTACCGAGGTACGCAGTTGAATCGGCCAAAGGATCAGCGATCAAAAACATTTTCAATCCAAGAAAATATTTGACTTGGTACAACTCGAAGAACAACATGAAGCTGCAGCTATTTGGGGTCCTCACGGCTGCTGCCGTTCAATTGGTATCCTTCTTCGCCGTACCATTACAGGCTTCAACCTGGCCAATACACGCCGTGAGGGGAAGTAATCACACACTACACAACGTGGCCCCCGATGCGACCCAAAACCAAAAGATCTCCCTTGCAGGCCGTGAGCTAGGACGAGATTCGATGATGGAAATTGTCAATAATGCAATGGACAAGAATCGTGGAATGGAATGTCGGCCTCTCAAAGAAGACCTCATATGTGACCGGATCGAATGGTTCACCAAGAAAGATAAAAGAGAAGACGAGACCTGGAACGGGATCCTGACGAGGCTTGTATCGTACCAAGTTTTTAAGCAGTCCCTTCCTGAGAAGGCCGACGATATCGCGTTCGATACACTCTTGGATACTATTCGTGGAGGCAATGAAATCATTGCAGCGCCGGGATCGCTAGTCGGGGACAACGCGCGAATCCTAGATGCTCTTGATGTAATCCTCGATGACATATGCGCCGAGACATCAAAAAGCAAGGTTGATCGTCGGCTTCAAGAGATGATCGATATCGTCCAGTCTGGACTGCGAGATACCGAGCCGCCGCCGTACGCTCTCCTGCCGATGCCAGCTCCTTGTCAGTGCTACATTGACTCGATAAATAGCACGATATGTCTAAGGGAAGCTTCGATTAATTGGAATGCTACGGCGGGGGAGTGGACCTGCCATTGCTTTAGGGTGTATTGCCATGACCTAAACTAGGGAGTGATACCGGTGGTTGGACAATGTGTCGTCGAAATGTATTTTTCAATGCTGTTTTATAGTATGAAATATTGTGGCGCTTGGATTTAATTCTTTAACCCGTTAAGATAATTTAAATCTCTTCCTTGCGTATAGCCTCTTCTCGTAGGAGATTCGCTGTTGACGCCTAAGTTCCCGAGTCCGTTTAATAACCCCTTTCCCTGCTCACCCTATTAATGAAATCCTTGCCCTCACTAAGTCTTCCAAGATTGATTTTCATAATATCCATCAACCGGTGGTTGTAGCCTGTGGAGTTACCACTGACGTGGGGTGTAATGATGATGTTTTTCGCATCCCAAAGGGGGTGGTCTTTGGGTAAGGGCTCTGGATCTGTAACGTCGAGCGCTGCGCCTCGGATCCATTCTTCGTTAAGTGCTGTGATGAGATCGTCGGTGTTGATGACAGGCCCTCTGCCGATGTTCACCACGTAGGTCTGTTTTCCCCTTAGGGTCTGAAATTGGGGCGCTGAAATTAGGCCCTTGGTTTGAGGCGTGAGGGGTACAGCGAGCACTAGAAGATCGAGGTCGGCGGATAAAAACTCATGGACTTCTTCTGGCTTCGTTCCCGAGAACCATTTGGACGGCAATACACCCTCTGGATCACCTAATCCAGGAACGATGTAGGAGCGGTCGCGACGTGATTCGGGAGTAGGTCTTGGTCTGTTCGTGTAGGCATACACCTCCATACCAATAGCTTTGGCTACTCGTGCTATCTGTCTTCCAATGCTCCCATAACCAAAAATACCGCTAAGGATTGTTAGTATCGGCACCTAACTGATAGGCTTTTAGGGATGCTTATAGGGCTTACACTCGCTGATTGACAGCATCTTGGGTGTCTGAGTCATTCCAGCTACGTTCCCACTTATGCTGCTTCATATTTTCAAGGAATTGGGGGACTGCAAAAATCGGTGAGCAATCTAGCACCCCCTTTTTTATTCGAAAAGTAACATTCGTGATGACTTACTGCGATGCTGAAATGCAAGGAAATTGGCAATGACCCATTCTGTGATCTGAGGCCTGCAGCACACATAATGGGGTTAGTCCTTAGGGAGTGTCTCATTCGATAAGCACCCATTCAATTGCTCGACTCACCCATGAACACCGTTCGCTGTGCAAAATGCGATATCTGTATCCTTAAACAGTGGGTTATCTAGGATGTAATTCGCACCAGCGCTTTGAAGTTGCACGAGCTGTAGCTTCGGTGCGGCCTCCTTCGTAGGGAACTTGGGTCCAGTTAGAAGAATGGTGACGGATTTCCAATCCTCATCCGTGATAGTAGGTGGGAGTGTCGATTCTTTCCACGTATCCCAATTCGAGAGTACTATCTCTAGACCTGGAAACGTCTTGTGTAGGTCTTCGATATATCCCTCTGGGGGATCCCAGGGGACGATTAGAAGTAATTTGTGTCCTTTTAAATCCTTGTTTCCTGACATGGTTGCGATGGCACCACTTGATGGATTTTCTGCTAGGACGTTCCTCATGATTATTATTTTAAATCGGGAAACTTATTCTAGATATATCTTGGTTTTGAAAGAATGTTTAATTAGGCATCGTCGTTTGAGATCTAGGACATTAGAAATATAATTCCCCGCCCTGTCGCAGCTATCAATGAGCTGCCGACTTAGGCGTTATCGATGGCGCAATCGGAGATTGTCCGTGCCGACATGCACCTACAAAAGGGGTAATATAGAGCGGTGGTACGCCTAAATGTTTTTTCCTTTAAGAAACACGGTCGCATCCTAAAACTTACAAGACTCATCATCATAATTCTACGGTAGGTCATTCTCCATCACTCATAGATTTAACTGGAACATATACGATAATAATTGTAAGATTATTAGTGAGTCACCAGCAGCTTTATCTTATTTCATTATTCATTTCATTATGAGAGAACTGGTGATTGATTTACATGTCAATCCCAGAATGAGACCCACCTCAGCAGTCTAGGCTAGGTGATCTTTACAATGACGTTACTTCCGCTCACTTCAAAGCCTCTTTCATATTCAAGACCATGGACACTTTCAATAACTAACCAATATTTTGCCATATTTCTTAATAATACCTCTTCATAGGAGACCCGAATCAAGGTATTCATTCGTTTTACGCGTGATACACCATGATCTTCAGTATGATGGATACATTTCTAGGCATCTACTGTGCCACCACCCCACACCAACCAACACTCTTTCAAGTCAAGATACACAGACCGCTACGAACTTTCTTCCATCCATTCCTCTTAAACACCTCTTAAAATGATTCAATGAACCATACGAACACAGGCTAAGGTCTATGTGCCATTTCAAAATTTACAAGTATGTCTTTACAAAATCTTCCACCGGAGATTCTACACCATGTTATCGAGGAGTCTATGCCAGAGGGGTTTGAGAATCTTCTGTTAAGCTGCCGTTACGTATATGAATGTGGAAAACCTCTAATCGAAACGAACAAAACGCGTAAACAAAAATGGCGTCGTTTTTTCTTGAGATCTAATAAAGACTATATGTCTTCGCTCTCTCGACTAAACCAAATCGCCCGCAATCCGGCCCTTGCAAGGTACATTGAGGTCGCTTGGTTCGGATTGGTCTATGAGGAACTCAAACAACCTACAAATTTCGATATAAGTCCTCTAAGAAACTTCATTACAGAATCACCGTATCTGCGCAAGGCCGGTGTAAACACGGAAAAATGGGCACAGACTATACTTTTCGGTCCTCAGACCGATTTCGAAAAATTCTCAGCACTCCTCCAAGCTTTCGTTCTCACTCTGCTGCCAAATGTCAGGACAGTACGTCTCACATCGCAGATGTCGTACTCCTTGTACCCACCAGTTGAAAACTTCCCACAGAGTCAGAATTACTACCCACAGGTGTGGAATGTATTGGAAACAATCAGACGGAATATTGATGCCAACCCCCAAGGAGCATCACTTGGGAAATTGACTACATTGCTAGTGTCAGAACATCTTGGATACAGCGAAAAATTTATCCTACGCAGCGTATCGGCCTTCTTAGCTTTGCCAAGCCTCACCAAACTGTCCATAACCAATTGTGTTGCGACCAATGATGACATGTCATCCTTCCCATTCGTTTGGCATTATCCTAATATCAATTCCAACCTACGCTATATCGAACTGGACAACGGCTGCATGGATGCTGCCTGTGTCTCCGAGTTACTCTCACATACCCCTCATCTGGTGTCCTTCAAATTTCTTCAAGCAGCCAAACACCACGGCGTCCATTATCATTGGAATCCTGGGGCTTTTATCGAGGCAATCGGGAAGCATCTTGGTGACCATCTGGAGGAACTTGCCGTGACCGTGGATGATGTTTACGGCCACCTCGAAAGCGGAGTCAAGTCTTTGAAGGCCTTCAAAAAGCTAAAGTCTTTAGAACTTTGTAACAATGTCTTCTGCGAAACCGATCAGACTATAGAGCAAGAAGGAAACACCTATTCAAAACTAGCGAATGATGGATATGTGCCGCCTCTAATCGACATGCTCCCTCCCTCACTAGAAAACTTCCATTTATTCATTATTAACAATTGCCGGAAATTTCATATCAATACGATGAGGAGTCTGCTCGACAATTTTGCGGCTGGCCGTCCAAGGCTTCTACCTAACCTAAAAGAGTTCGGCATTCGATGCACTGTCTGGAATATCCAGGAGTCAGACTTGGACGAAATTACTTCTCTTGCTGCGTCCCAGGGGGTGTCTTGGATCTCCAGAAAAGGGATTCAACCGCTATGGAAGGAGCGACGCGAGGAACTTGGCGATGGTCTTGACGACGAGGAGTCAATATACGAATTCGAAAGCGATGAGCCTGAAAGCGACAATGGCTCTGATAGCGTGCATTCGGATGATAATGAGGCCGATGAATGACGACCGATTTCCATCCGCCCAGGATAAGGCCCAGCGGCTTCCATTTGGAATTGCTCCAACCTCTCAAATGAAGAAAAGAACGACGTGAATGATTTTTTCAGGTCTGAATAGTCGGGAAATCAGTAATGAACTGAAAGCACTGCTTCAATCTGAGGATTTAGTATTCACATGTACATATGCCCCTCCGAAATGACATTGTCAGATGTGTTGCATAGGTCACCAATCAATGAGCTCGCGGTACCTGTTATCGCTGCACTCAACTAGGTACCTCAGCAGATAATAGAAACCCCATAAGTCATGATTGGACATTTGGTTTAATTTAAATTGATCGATTAAATTTATGGCCAATTGCCTGGCTGCCCAGTTTACCTTCGTCCCGCAACCATGATCTCGGTGATCCGAGGTAGTTAGAGTCCATTGTAATCCACCACGCAGGCCGGGGCTTTCAAAGGTGCTTTACCGATCGCTCACTTGTAACATGATACTCTCTATAGGTAGAGATTTCCCCTCCGTTCGTGTTTGCGCCGTCCCCGTGTTTGTGGTGAGCTGATATGAATGAAGAGCCCAAGCCACGTCCTACATGGCGGGTACATACTCGAGGTGAAAGGGGGGATCGTTGGGAGCGTGTTCTCCTAAACGCCATCTTTGATTCTACCTAATAAGGTAAGGCAAAGTCTATATTCCACCGTTGTGAGAAGGTGGCGGCATTAGCGGAGCGGACATATCCGGTGAAAATTTGGGTGGGTGCCGGCCCGCCTCTGGATATATGGGAGCGGTTGGTTTGCCCGGCGAGGCCTGGGGGTATGCGGTGTTATCCCCTTTTCTCTCCTTAGAGATTCGAGTGCTGGTGATAGTTAGGGGGGTTGTGTAATGTATGTTAGTTTTATATATATGGGTATGAAGTAGCGAAAACTTCCCTATGGATCTTTGAGTGTAAGCCTGTTTAGATGAATATGCCAGAAGAGAACGATGAGTATGAGATGTGTTTAAATATTGAAAAGGGGGTTAGGGTTATGTACAGTAAGCCAGCTTGGGCATAGCACTGTGTCCTGTATTAACCACGTCATGCAACAAGCCTAGCAACAAACCTTTATTTTCTTTGCATGTCACATCAGACTCACGAAAATTGAAAACTTCAATTACTCATATTGTTAATATATTAATTATCATACCGCTATTGTTTGCAGCGTTTCGTCTTATCGTTGGGGTATGTCTAGCTCTTTCTATCCAGGCCTCAAACCCCAATCCGGGTCGATGCTATGCATTCCGATGTTGCCCTCTCCTAATGCAAAAGCGAGAATACTCGCGTGGGGTATAATGTACTTTTTTTCCTCTCCTATCGCAAGACAACACCATTCAACTCCTAGTGCCAATTAAAGTGAAAATCCTAATTATATCCCTCCATAATGATCCAAGCAATCTTGGAAAACTATTCCTTTCGCGTGGCCGTTGATCCACAGTTTCCTAGGGTGCGGGTTCATCAGCGTCGGGGTTGTTTGCCCCACCTTCCGGCTCAGTTTCCGGCCTAGGCGGTTCTTGCTCCACATACGGTGGGCTCTGCGCTCTAGGTGCTTCCTCCTGACTTCTTCGGTTTAAAGTAAGGTCCTCAACGCTTTCGTAAGGTATGTTGCATGAATAAGAAGGCGGCGACGGAGGTACATCCTGGTAGATCGGAGGAGCTTCGTTATCCCAGCTGACGCCTAGGCCAGCTCGTTCAGTAACTACGACGCCAAAATGCATGCGTAGTATTCGTGCGACTCCGGTCGGTGTTATCTGCTTTAGGTGGGCGGTTGGTGCATACTCCTGGACGACCACCATTTCCACCACCAGCTGATGCGTCACCTGGGTACCATCCTGGCTCTTTAAATCGCACGCAGCCTTTGCGCTTGGCGGGAGGGAGCATTCGATTTCCATGTCGATACTTCCAGATGGTGAGTAATCGGCCTTCCACCCATTGTGCATGTCAGCATGCGCAATTGTTCGCGCGTCCGTGCGTTTCGTTCCTTTCTTTGTGGGCAGACCGGTTTCCGGATCCTTAGGAGAGTGCTTTTCGCAGGCAGGCGCAACAGTCTCCATATTTTCTTCTAGCTTCCATGATAATCGCTTAAGCTTCCAGTATTCAACGGTCTTGGCTTCTGTGTTATGCTTGACAATACCGTCGAGGCGTAGGGTAAAAGTATTAGTGCTGATAGGGTGGATCACTTGTGAGAAGTGCACGCTAGCAGCAATGTTGGTGGGTGGGAAAATTCGGACGCTGTGGTGTGGTAGTTCCGGGACCTGTACTGATCGCTTTACATTTATGTTCTTTGTGAGCTTAATTATAGGCCCTGTTCGGGGCGTTACCTCCGCTGAGAAATCATAGCGGATAGAGACAATTGAGTTGTCTGTTGTTGCAGGTAGATGTCCATCTAATAAAACAGAGAAAGGGAATTCATGGACGCCTAAATCTTGTTAGTCTCATATTTAGAATTTGAAGGATTGAGGGGCTGTTGAACTTACGCTTCGAGAGGATCGTCGGCTCACTCAAGAATGTCCATGATTTCACCTCGGTCGTCTGGTTTGAGCAGTGTTGGCAGTGTCCTGCAAAGGGTCGCTTTTGTACGACATGAATATTTAATTTCGCTTCGAATCTCTCAACTTCAAATCCATCTTCCTTCACATCTAATAATAATTGACCAGAAACCAATGCGCCTGTGCTGTTTTCTGGTTCACCATGCATTAAAACGGGTGGCGATTCGATTCTCCAGTCTAAGGATGCATAGGGGTTTTGGGGTGGTTCTTTAGAGGCCTTGGAACTGCCGAGATGCAAGCTAGGGAAACTTAGTCTGTGGTGACTGTGAGATTCCTTTTGCTTTTCCTTAGAAGGTTCCGTCATCTTTACTGCAGGGGCAGCTGAGTAAATCGGCGATTGAACGTGGTCGGCTCCCTCTAAAACAGAAGATGCGGGGGAGGAATGGCGCGTAGGCCTCTCCCTCGAAGTGGATCTCGAGTTAGGGTTACTTCTTCGCTGTATAGATGTTTTGATGCTGTGAATGTTGATGTTGTCGTTGGAAGACCTAAAAAAGTCGACTACTCGATGTGGCATGTTGCGCTAAAGATTTTAGGTCCTTTAAGACCTGTGGATCCCTAAATGCTCTTGTATGTCCCTCACGACTTCCTTCTTTTCCCCTCCAATGGGAGTTAATTTGCCAGCCTGAACGGGATTTCAGGGCAAGTACGATTCGCTTGACGCCGATAACGTACCGATGTGTAGCTGGAAATTTAGGCGCTACGTCGCTATGAGTCGCTGTGTCTGTAGGCGATACCGAGCAAAGCTAATGCATCCGAGTAGCGGCCGGTACACCTCCGTTGTGTAGGAAAATCTGGGGAATAACGCCTAATTTCAGGGCAATGGCGTAATGTAACCCAATCCCTAAGAAAAAAAAACACTATCGAGTCGCCTGATCGATAATCCACAAATCGATGTCTTCGCCGTATTCCTTCGGCCGATGAGGTAGTTGATTTTGGAATACGTCACGTTTGTGTTTTTGAACGAACAGACCACCACCTTTGTTCCTCTTATTCCGCTTGTTGATTTTGCAACTTGCCACCTGTGTTGGTGCCCCTCGATGCGAATCGCCAAGCTCGTCTTCGTTAAGTAATCGAGTAGCTGAATACGACGACTCGTTTCGATTCTTCGCAATGCGCTACCAGTATGCGATTGAGTACTAGCGTATTATAGTAGGTGTATGAAATATCTTGGATCGAATTGTCGCCGATGTCAACTATGAATATCGAAGCTCTTCTGGTTTAATAATTATCTTGTTGTGAAATTATTCGATGCTGTTGGGTTGAATCGCGGGGCAGATCGTGTAAGTGCTGGAAGTGCTGTATAAGTGGCAGTAGACTGACGTTGGCGTAAGTCAGGCTATATGAAAGACTTTGAATTCGACTCGCTTTCGTGGACGCTTGCGTCTCCTTTTACAATTGTGTTTCAACTAGTTAATAATTATAAAGCTTCTATCGTGACCACGTAAGGGACGTTGGGTGGTCAAGACGTTATGTAGCTTTTCGCAATAAATACTATGCCTCGCATCATGGTTTCGCCAGAGCTTTCCATCAAGTAATTATGTGTCATGGATTGAAGATGGACTGGGTCCGGTCCCCTGTAACTACAACGTAGGCTCACTAAATTTCTACCAGACAGCGCCAGACCAACGGCCCTCAAGCTCCTCAGGCTCCTCCACTTCGCCAAAGGTCACAGGGATATTCCCGAGCACGCACCGGAGCGCCTGTGACTGATTTGTTACCTCTTCTTGGTTCCCTTATTAGTTTCATTTGACGACTTCTTTCTCTTAACCATTCTCTTTCGCACGCTCGCCCTTAGTGGACCTTTAGCGGAGCTGAATTTACATAAGCGGAGGTCTGGATGCAAGGGGTCTTGTAAGGATGAAATTTATTTCTTTTGTAGAAACGCAATGCTTTAAGAATTGGTTCTTTGGTAGTGTCTCTCTTAGAGTAGCCGGACTCCTTTGTGGCGTATAGTGTATCATACTAATTTGGATTCGTCTCTTCTAAGTTACTTTCATTAAAACAATAGTCGATCTCATACTTGAGGTTTCGTATATACATCTATGAGATGAATGTAGATGGATGACTAACGATGGCCCGCTTCCAGCCCTGTAAGAATGCTAGGGATAGGTAGTAGGCATAACTCACCGTATAGGGCTAGACAAAATAACGTAGTAACTGATGCAATACCAGCCATGGAAACAAACAATACATACCCGACATAGTACAATGACGCCTTCATCAGGTGTTGTGATACAATGTACACCATAATAAGGCCGTGCAAACTCATAAAGTCGGATCATGTAGACGCTTGGCTTGTTAAGGAGATGGGCGAAATCTGTGTTGACCGCAGATTCCCGCCTAGTACGATCTTGGGTTTTATGGTAAGAGATTTCATTGACCCACTAGAGAGAGGCCATCGCGAAATGACTAGGAACATACGATGACCACTGGAACCATTAAGGAACCATAGGAGGGCCACGATCCAATAGCTAGTGGGCTATGTTACTCGATCGTTACCTTATAAGATCCACTACGGCGCATGGGATTACCAAATCGGGGTCCGGCGGAATTTGGCGAAAGAACTGGAAGAGGTCCGAAACAGGTTCTAGAAGAAAGAAAAAAGGAAAGCAACGGCAAAGAATTAGATCGAGGATACGAAACATTCTTCATTTCATGGCCTTCGTAAATATCGAAGTTAATGTATTGTATCGAATTCTTTGAAGAATCTTGTAGAAACAATACCCTTGAAGGCGAATGGGAAATGTTACCGTAGGGCTGGTTGTCTTGGCTGAGAGTTTGACTTTCCGATTTTCGTCCATAGATCGAAATCGAAATCTTAACTTTTTTTTACAGGTCACATGGAAGACCCGCTGTAACACAAGTTGACGGGCATTTCCTAATGGAACACAGGAAAAATCATTTTCCCCAATAATCCGGCGGGGTTCGCCGGACCCATTTTAATGCAGGTGCTTTCAGAGTCTAACCCCCCAACCCAGCTAACCTTGATGGAGGCCCCACTTGAGTCAACCTGGAAATATTTTCACCATCTTTTTTTTTTCTTCCTTAGTCAACCTTGGAACTCAGCTCTTCATCATCTAATCCACATTAACCAACTATTTTTGTCTTCACTTTGTCTCGGTCTATGTCTGGTCCACTTTATTTTATAAGCCGCAGCTTGCCGCAACTCCACCAGTGGGAAAAAAGAATTTTCCATTAAGGCGAAGGCTGAAAGAACCACCGAGTTTGTGATGCCCCTTGTTATTCGCCCCGTCGTTAGCTTGTTGTATTCGACACCGTTGCTACGGAGCCAGGTGTATATCCATTTAACGACGCTCACCGACATCAAATTTTTCAATCTATCTTCATATCGAATCCAATGAAGGTGGTAACCTAGCCTACGTCCAGTGTCTTGTTGCAGTTACCGTCGTTCATCATCTAGCCCAGAATGGCCCGTATTCATCTACGTGGCGCAAGTTGTGCTATTGCCATAACCAAGGATATCCAGTCATATAAGCATATAAGCTCAATACTTGGGCATATTAAGTTGTGTTGATGAAATATATTTACTTTTTCATACTATTTTCTTGCCAGCTTATGTAGTTCATAGTGGCTGTTGTAAAGCAAGCAGGAAAGCCCCCATTTCCATTTAAAGATTGTAAGTCGAGCCAATGGGACCGAACTTGAAGTTACTATAAGTAACCTTGGCGTTCTTGGATCTCTCACGGACCTGCTCAGGCTTGCTGCCATCGACAGCACATTCGCCACGGGGGACACCAGGCTCCGATGCGGAACGATCAAGAGGATATTTCTCGCCGTCGAGCCATAGCATGTTGGCGTAGGCCTGTGGAAGAGTTAGGATCTACCTATCACGAAAGGGTAAGGGTGAATTCAACTTACATCATCCCAGACGGACATGACTAGAACCATGGGCTTGCCGGTAGACTTACCCATCGTCGTCAATCCACCCATGTCCTGGAATCGCTTGTTGTCCTTGAAGACGTTCTTAGAAGCATCTAATGAACGACACAAGTTGTTAGGAACATCGTATTTCCTGGAGTAATTTTGAGAGGAACGTACCACAGAATCCGGCATCGATCGTGCTACCGCCAGAGACATACTTAGACTTAGGCACCTCAATCTTCTTGCCGTTTTGGATGAAGTACTGGGACAGGCTTTGAAGAGATGTGCCAGAACCGTGGAACTGGGTGACAACAGTGAACTTCTTTGAGGTATCAACAGTCTTTCCCTTGCCATAGAAGTTGGTGTTGCCGTGGCGGAAAGGGTTCAAGTCACAACCATCGGGGTCACAGCTGCCCGCATATCGGTCTTCAGAGTATGTGCCACCGCAATCAGAGCTATGGCAGACGAAGTATCCATCCTTTTTGCACGGATGAGGAGTCAATGCGAAAGACATACTATTAGCCTCCCATAAATCCATTTCAGTACAGCAGGCTCCCGCATTTCCGATGCCAGAGCTCTTGTCTGTATTAGATGGTTGCCACCCCTCGACGTTTGCCTAATAAGCGAGACATAATTAGTTGCTTAGTTATCAAAACACTGGTGTATATGATTAGGCCAGCTTACCTTGCCTCCAACCCATTTTAAATCTCGGGCACATTGCGAGTCGCAATATCCAGTACCATATTTAGCGCCAGCCTTGTTAGTCGGGTAACGAGACTTTCCACCATCCTCGTCCATAGACACGAAATACACGGCGCCATTAAGACCACAGCCTAGGTCGGCGTTCTCGACATCGAACGCGATTTCGTTGCCGTTGGGAGTGAACATTTGATACTTATCAGCACCGTTCATGAGGTATAGACGAGAACCAATGTTAACTCCATACTGGTGTTCATTTCGGAACTTCATCGTCACGGCGTTACCAGAGGTTGTTACTCCGTATGTTCCGGAGTAATCAGCACCTTCGATCGCACAATTCTTAGTGCACGTATCAGCATCCGGGCAAGCAGTCTGGTTCCACTCGTTCCCGTCGTAGCAGTTCTGATATCCATCGACAACGTGCGTCCATCGCCAGTTCGAGTCGATGACGACTTCACCGTTGACATTGCTGCACTTGCCAGGACCCGTGCATTTCTGCCAGGTGATCTTGGGGTGAGTTTCGGCGTCTTCCTTGCCGACCTGTTGAGCGTGGCCTAGGGCTAGCAGGGTCGCCAATGCGGCGATAGTAGCTTTGCTATACATGCTGAAGGGAAGGCTTCGGCGAACGTTAGTTAGTTGCGCTGAGCTAGGTTGATCTATGAGAGGTCGGAGGCGACTGACTTGCTACAACTTCTAGGTTTTGAAATGCACGGCGATAAGGTCCTTTTATCCTCATTATGACCGTACGATTAGATCGTGAATCACGTCGCCCAAGACAGGAAACACGGCTCCCAATTATTCATGGTGCGGAGTTTCAAAGCAGAACAACGAATGAGAATCGCGATCCGGTTAAATGATGAAATGACTTGCAGCCATCCTAGTACATGGTTGGCAAGAGTTTGGGCATGCAGGTCCGGGGCAGGGATCCCATACGCCTTGGTTAAGTGCGGCTCACTTCCTGGCTAGCCACCGGAATTCATTGGTATAGTTATTGTTCGATCGCAAGGGGCGGTAGCGAGATATAGCTCTTCCACGATCTTGCCCCCAACTATACGAGCGTCTTCATTTTTTACCTAGCTATCACGCGCCTCGGAGCAGAGTCCATGTCTCGGCTTAGGCGGCCCGATCTCACGAAATACGGGGGAGAACTTCGACGCTGAGAAGCCAAACGCGGAGCATCCTACTTTTTCAACTCCAAATCGCGGGTCATAGTCCCAACCCCACATCCATCGCGAAAATTGAATAGCGTCCGCAGGTTCGCTTTTACTCACCCGCAAAACCCTAGCATCACGCAGGTAGCAAAGTATTGAGGCTTGTATCTTTTAATTATAGATGCTCGCAGTTCAATTAAATGATTTAATTAAAGATTGGCCTAGAATAAAATTACGATTTCGACCCATGCACATTTGGGGCTCAATCACTCTATGATGTTCGTCGAAACCCTACCTAGTTCATCAGCCAACCCTCCTAGAGCCTTATCGCCGTCGTAATACGAATAGCTACGCCCCAAGTAAAGTTAAAGTTTGCCAGACCTTTACAATTTCCATATATTTACTGGTATCTACGCTCTCCTCTGGTCCGGATGCGTTGGCAGGATAGGTCGACGAAGAACGGCTGAAATCGGCGATGATCAGCATAACCCAGCGGCTTGGGTCGCACACCCACGCATTATTGAAAGCAATTGATGGGAAGATGTAGATCAGGTATCAGGGTCCTTCTCTCTTTCGATGTAACCCCTCGTGACCGTCTTGGGTGTTGCTATCCCGTAGCATCTATTGACATACCAGGTAGCAACGCGGGTCTTAGATCGGATATCGTTCCCGGTGCTATATCCATCGATCCTGTCTCTCTACGGCTAGCCTCCCAGGTTTCTCCAACCCTATTCCATATTCTTTACCATATACTCCACTTCCTCCGTTCTAGCGCTTTCAATTCCCCATAATCCTCTTGGCTTCTATAAGGCTAACCGCTGAACTGCCGGACCCTTCATCTCCGCGGCGGGATAACCAAAAAATAAGTAGTCTTCTGAAGCAAGGGACCAAGATGCGAAAGGCCTAGACGCCGGATCGATTATTATGACGATGTAGATATCATAGCTACATTTTAACGTTTAAATTAAGAGGCGCAAGAACACACTGGGCACTGTTATTGAAATGGAGTCTAGGCCAGAAAGCTCCACAACACGTTATGCTACTTTTCACTATCATCTATATGCGGGAAGTAATCCCGGCGCTTATACTTTTCAGTATCATGAGTCGATCAAAGGTTCCGATCCCAAGATGATACAACCAATAGTCCTAACATAGGTAGGCTCTTTGAACGAGGGAAAAATAACCCCGAAGTTACCTAACTACGTGGGCCTTAAAATCTACGGGGCAACAGAAATATATTATTGATACTTAAAAGCGATAAACGTATACGATGTTTACAAAAACACCTCGATGAGCTTAACTATCTTGCATGTCGGCTTGAGGATAAGCTTTTTTCACAAGATACATTTCACTTCATGCGAGATCAGTATATTGAGTTAATCAGATAATTTACTACATACTTCTCGTTCATGCAGGTTTAGATCATATAAGTCGGATGTAACCGAGCACGTGTCTATCAAGCATTGTTAATCTACTAGTAGAAGCGTCTAGGCCCAGGGACCTCCGACCTGATGTAATAGTATATTATTATTACAGACATGGGAGGCTCACGCACATGAGCCCTATAATACAGAGGCAATCTAACTGCATGACTCGCGAATTACGCCCGCCTAGACCCGATACTTCGAAGGCTGACTATCGACACGTTTACAACTCCACGATGTATTGCAAAGGCAGGATTTTGCGTGAGTATCATAATTGGTGAAAGACTATCTGTTATGTGTAGACTTTGTTTCCTTAATTTGTTGCGCGCCAGTGTTTTCTGCTATTAGGATATACCGTATTTACAAAAACACCACGACGCTTTACTCGAATACAAACATTCACAACATACCTTAAAGGAGAAATTCACGGCTTAACGTCGATAAGGCACGTTTTCGTGAAATTATTTTTTTCTATAATTTCCCCCCCCTTTTTTTACCTTATTACAAACTATCTCTACATATAATCTTACTACTCCAATTCAGACGAAGGCAACACATGTATCTAAGGTCAGGAAAAGTACTTGCTTGAACCTGAGCCTCCAGACCCCATGTAGGTGTCTCCACCGGTCGAACCCTGGGTATAAGCCGAAGAACCTCCTGAAGTGCCTTCTGTATTTGTGAAAACTTTAGGAAGATCTCTCCTCGACATGTCAACATTGGCCGTTGAGTTAGCCGGGTACCCCCTCCCGTTCGGGTTGTTAACCAACGAGGGTTTAACTGTTCCGTTAGTGGAAGGAGGCATTGTGACGATTGCTAAAAGATACTAAGGTACTCTAGAGTTGCTTTTGCTTTATTTAGTTAGATGAGATCGTTTCTTTGCTTACTTAGGTATGATCAAGACTAGCAATGGTGCTGGGATGGTGTAGATGATGTCTTGGGTAGATCATCATTTTCGGCCGATATAAATATTCCTGGAGATGTTAGTGCTGAATCAAAACATTGCCTTTGATTCATAATATACTAGCGCCATTAAAACAATGCCATTGAGAAGGTTCCCCAACTGTTGATGTTTCTATATGTGTTCAAAGGGTGATGATGTGTATCTTCAGTCTCATTACCTGGGTAACCGCCGTTGAATCCGGGGGTAAGAGTCAGAAGTAGAGTCAGCAATTTTACTACAATTCCCTTTTGTTTGGTGCGGTAAAGGTTGGGATAACAAACCTATTCAGCCCTAAGAGTTATATAGAGGAAGTAATAAAGCAATCTTGAACCAATTTCTTTCGGAATTGTATTGTCTATTGTACCCCTTATTCTGTTCCTCAGTACTCTGTAAGATCATAATAACATTTATTTACATAAGCCGGCTCGCATTATGTTGTAATCCAGTAGACATACCTTACGTAATATACATCTTAATCCAATGCCTGCAATAAGTTCTCATTCTATAGGAGACGTTTATGATGTCAGTCTCTTATAAGTAAAGCCACATCAACCTGTACTCATGGTGAAAAAAGCTATTAAAGCATAGTAACAATCTTCTTTTGACTTAAGATTATTGTTAAGAGCAATAAAAGACCGAGCCTGAGATATTCTACTATCGAGCTTTACTCTAAATGGCCTATAAGAATTCTTTAACTACGGTTAAACATTTGCCCTCTATGAAGTTGACAAGCCCCGCCAGAAGATTACTGAGAGCCACGCATAGGATTATGTAAGGCAGGTAGATGTATGTAGGCAATCATCGTTACAGTAGAGCGTTTTTATCCTACTTCCAGTATTCATCTCATGATTCTTATCCCCGTAACTGTCCAACAAGGTGTCTTTCTTGTCATTCCGTCTCTACGGGCTGCATATTTAAATGTATACGACGTTCACTGGAATGGCTCCGGCTGCTGATTCTAAATCGAGTGCTCCCTCATCTCCGCAAGCTCCGCAACATCCTAAACCTCGACCTAAGCGGAGTCAAGTGGCCCGCGCTTGTGATTGGTGTCGAGTTCATCGCATAAAATGCGATAACCACCTCCCTTGTTCTAATTGCAAAAGAAGAGGCGGACGATGTATTCAAGGGGAAGTAGAAGTTCGCACACTTCCTCATGCTTATAGGAAAATTGAACATCTAGAGAACCGGGTAAAGGAATTGGAGCAGGAATTGGAAAATGAGCGCAAGGCATCGAGGTCGGGTGTCAGTCTCGACACACCTCTCACTACACCATCAAGTGTGACGTCATCCGCACATTCCGACACTGCGAGTGTCAGCGCCTCGGATTCTTTGAGCGATCATGGAAGTGGTTCAGAAAGAAAAACATTATGTGAAGGGGTACACATTCGTTCCGCACGTTCTCAGCAGGAAACATGGTATGGGCCATCGTCGTTATTCTATTTCCTTAGGCGCGTGAATACCTTTATGAATACTTCCCTTCGCGAAACCCGACCGATCAATCGCATGCTTCCGGACTCAGCCAACAAGTTATTTGATGTGCCGTCGCAAAATACTCCAAAAGAGCAGAGCCCTCGAGCGACCCCATCAGCAGGAGGGGATGGTGTAACAATGGGTGATTACTTAACTCCGACGCAGGAAGAATATTTCATCAGTCGCTTTTGGGAAACCTACCATACTGCTCTCCCGGTTTTGGATGAGGTCGCGTTCAAAGAGCATTATCAATCACTATGGACTACGTCGAATAAAGAACGGAAACCCTCGGCACTTGTTGACATAGTTATCGCGATATGCATGCAGTATGCTATGGCGCTCCAGCCTGGCGCCGGACACGCAGGCAATGGAGACAATGAGAACACTATCGCTGGTCGATGGCATTATCAGCGCTGCCAAAGATTGCTATCGAACGAGTTGGAAAACCCTACCTTGTCGACACTACAATGTCACATTTTATCTACCTCATTTTTATGCTTTGGGTCTTTTCAGAATATGGCGGATAGTACATGCACACTTGCAGTTCGTACTGCGTTCATGCTTGGCCTTCATTTAGAGCCACCCGAGGATATGCCTAAACGAGAAAGGGAAATGAGGAAACGCCTTTGGTGGGGTCTTTACGTCCTGGATAGCAAGATTAGCATGAAGTTAGGCCGACCGTTCCTATTGGACTACTCCGATGCGACATGTAGTCTTCCGGGCCACGACTTCGAAGCTGCGATGCTATCGGGTTCTGTGTTCCCTCCGCTTGGAGAAGACGTCACCTGGCTAACCTTCAACTTCGAAAACATCAAACTTTTCAAAGCGGTTAGAGCAGCCTACACGGCGTTCTACAGGAGGCAGATCAACACCCCCAGTGCATCCGGCGAACAAGAGAATTCCAAGATCATCGAATCGCACGCGGAATTCCTAGCACCTTACATCGAGCGAATAGAAGACTGGGTGAAAAACGTCCCGAGCGCCCTCGAGACCCGCCGTATCGGCAACGGAACCCCATTTTCCACCGAGTTTACATCCCTCGAAATCGAACCCTTCGCATCGCCCTGGTTACAGCGTCAACGTCTGGTACTGGAACTCATGTATCACAACCTCTGCATCAACCTCTTCCGCCCCTTCATCCGCTTCACCCCCTCCACAACCCCGACCCCAACCGCAGATAAAGCAGCCACGCGATGCGCCGCGCACGCCGTAGCGCTCACGAGGATAATGCACCAAGTACTTTCTTCAACTACTATTCTTAGTGGCTGGCTCGAGGCGTTTCAATGGCAGTGGAATGCGGCTATGTCCCTCGTCGGGTTCGCTATTGCGTACCCGCGTCACCCCGAAGCTACCGCCGCGCGTGATGCGATTGATTTATCCGTTGCTGTATTCGGCATCTGTGGGCGTAGTTTTGCGCCGGCGGCTAGCGCGGCGGGGATCGCGAGGGATTTGGGCGCACAGGCGGATATACTAGCTAAACAAGCTGAAGCGCGGGAATTGGTGTCGAAGACTGATAGATCTGTGAAATCTGAGAGTACGCTACCCGATGCCCCCGGAAGCGGGAATTTAGGGGCCGAGGTCGGTGGGGCGTTCGTCGGGAACGATGGGATTGTGCCCGGGGCTTGGGGTGGCGGCGGCGAGGATGAAGGTATGCAGGATTTTCTTGCCGAGTCGATTGATATGGCGTTTTCGGTTGATTCGCAGGATTTCGGGATGGCGCTTTGGCCTGGTGTGGATGTGAATATGATGAACATGAATATGAGTAATGACCCGCAATGGGGGGGTTACTGGCCGCAGCAGGTGTGACGTCTTGAGGGCGTATTTACGTGGGATATTCTTATCTCTGGTTTTCGTCGATACGTACGAAACATAGCGGGTGACGCGGGTTTTAAGTCATGATGGGAGCATGAGGTGGTGTTGTTGGTGATGCATGTTAGGCTTAACTCCTTGCTTTATACGTGTGTTGTTGCATTGGTCACCCCTTGCTTGAGTAACATTTTTTTCTAGGCGTTAGGGATTTTCACAAAAGTCATCATTTTAAAGTTATTACTACATATATATAACCCGTCTAACTCGAATTTACTAGTTCTACCGTTGGTGAGATCGTAGTTAGTCTATTAGATGCTATCTAACTACTTGGGTTGATTGATCGCCATTGACAAGGTTAGCTTTGATGGCTAGTCCTAAGACGTGAGAATAGCTTTATGAAACTCTTCTGTTAGGGAATAGACTTAGACTATTCTCTAACTAGCGAGCATTAAACCAAAATTATAGACTAAGTTATCGTAACCAATCAGATACAAGAATTCTGTCTTGACGTAGTCCTGCAGCTCAGGAGTTTGAAGCTGGGTGTGGAGATGAATAATCAATGCTACACTCGTGATTAACGGGTTCATCTGGAGCCCAATGAATTTTTGCCGATACAACATCAATAGCAATACCATACCTCGGCACGATCACTTTCTCAGTAAGCACAAAGCAATTGACTGGAAGATTAGCTGGTGATCAAACAAGATGATAACAGATCTGTACTAACCTGAGTTGGCTGTGACGTCGTAATTATTGGCCGTGTGGGGCTCATGCAGCACTGCTCCGGGAATTGAGCTTAACCTAAAGGAGTAACCGGAGTGCATAGAAGGGAGGGATTATACATCTATCTACTGCTGCGACGACTCCGAATCTACATGACATATCTCTGCCGTACCTATCTGCTACATCAAGTTTTCCCGGATTAGCAATTTTCTTTGTTCAGTAAACTAGGTAGCTCCGAACAAGAAGCAAACAACCTTTCGCGGTCGATTATTCTCCGGATTAGAAATGCATGTTGTAGAACAACGCTACGGGATGAAGTCAGGAGTGAAGACGTGCTTGGGAGAACATATCAATATAAATATGGCTATCCAAATCGACAATGGAATTCAATTTCTCGATCATCACAGACAACACAACACAAATCAATTAGAACATTGAAAGACACATCAATCGACATCTCAACAATATAATCGATTCGTCCTCTCGACTTAACAATTCTACTTCCCATCTTATCATATTCTAATCGACGAATACCTCTATCACAATGACTTCATTCACAGTCTACAAGGGATCCAAGGGTGGCGTTGCGGTGAAGGGCACTGCTCAACAACCAGAGAAGCTCGTCGGTGACAAGGTGCTGATGCGAATCACTGCCTCTGGACTGTGCGGTACAGATCTCCACTACGTAAGTACCCCTCTCTCAAGGAACAAGAAAAATTGAGACATTTCGACGCAAGCCACATTTTTCTCGCCAGTCGCTAACGGGAATGCCCCTCACAGGTTAACCAAGATATGGTCCTTGGCCACGAAGGTGTCGGTGTCGTCGAGGCTTTAGGCCCGGACGCTAAGTTTTTGAAGGAAGGCGACCGCGTTGGATTCGGATATGAACACGACAGCTGTGGACACTGCCATGAGTGCCTTACGGGTAACGAGACTTACTGCGTTGACCGCGCCATCTATGGTTCCAACAAGGTCGACCAGGGTAGCTTTGCTTCCCACGCTATCGTTCGCGAATCTTTCTTGCACAAGATTCCCGAAAACATGAGCGATATTGATGCTGCCCCGCTTCAATGCGCCGGTGCTACCGTCTTTGCTGTTCTACAAGCCCACCACACGCAACCTAGCGAGACCATTGGTGGTAAGTTTTCATACGGCCCTGAATTTTTTAAAAAGCCACTTCTGACGTAATATTTCAGTCATCGGCCTCGGCGGTCTTGGTCATTTAGCCATCCAATTCGCCAACAAAATGGGTAACCGCGTCGTCGTACTCTCCGGTTCCGAGAACAAGCGCGAGGAAGCTATGCGTCTAGGCGCACACGAATTCGTCTCGATCAAGGGCAAGGATAAGCTCGAGGTCTCCTCGCCTATCAACCGTCTGCTAGTCACCACCTCCGCGCAGCCTAACTGGGAGCTTATGCTACCTATTATGGCGCCCGGCGCTGCTATCTACCCGCTCTCTGTCGCGTATGGTAATATGGAGATCCCGTATTTGCCGCTTGTTATGCAAGGTATCACGGTCCAGGGCTCGTTGGTCGCGTCTAGGATTCTGCACCGTGAGATGCTGGCTTTTGCTGCGCTGCATGGTATTAAGCCGATTACTGAGACGTTCCCGTTGAATGAGGAGGGTGTTAGAGAGGCTATTGCGAAACTGGAGAAGGGTGATGTTCATCTTAGGGCTGTGCTTGTTGCGCAGTAGATGAGTCTGCGATATCGAATCACGGAACACGTCTTGGAAATAATTAGCATTTTGATTCCTGTAACTGTCAAGAATTGTTAAAGCGATAGATTTTGGGGGTGAAAAGTCTACTATATTATTTAGGGGATGTTAGCATGGATGGGGAGTTATTGGGGTTGTTAATAGAGGTCTATAGATTGAATAATATTAAAGGATCGGTCATTAAGTATTGACATGACAAGTGAATACCTGGTAACGAGCTGAAGAGGCGGCGTTCTTGGCAAAGGGGCTGGTTTATTTCGAGTCCTCGATGGCATGACAATAACGTGGTATATCAACGGTGTTCAATTTCTAGATGGTCTCGTACTGAGAGCGGAGTCGGAGCTGTTATCCTTGGCCGTTGAGTCAGATGTGCTCTTGTTTGCTCCAAATAATGTTTAAGTTTCTCAAGGGGTCCCTTCTGATCAAAGCTCATGATACTTATGAGCAAGCAACTTCTGAAGGAAACTCCGACGTAGTGCACATCTGCGTCATACCTAAAGAACCTTGGAAGGTTCTAGGGGCGGTGATTGTCATAAGGCAGGTAACACAAGCTTCCGTAGTGGATCTAGGTAGGCAAAAAGGGGTTTAGCGTATGGGGCTGAGGCTCTATTACGAGATAGGAAATTTATAATTGGTCCATTAAACGATTTATCGATTAGAATGCCGTGCGGGACCTGTAGGGGAGCGGGGAGCTCTAACGTGGCTACTTAGCGCTGAATGATTGCCCCGTTGCCCCAATTACATTACCGGTACCAACTAAAGTTTCATGGTCATGACGGCGGGCGGTTCTTCTCCGAACTCGAACACACCGTGTTACTCATAACTCTAGTCAATATCTATGACTCGATTGGCTTAATTCTTTCTTAACATTAAGGTATAATTACCTAGGTAGAGCATAGTTGCAATTCATCTTACCTTCAATTAACCATTGATACTCAAATATCGTCTCCAATGATCACCCGAATATACTATTAAAGCGATCAAGCTCAATCAGCGGCGAGTCCCGGATCAGCTGCAAACATGACTTCTAAAGGCGCAAAACAGATGCCGCACGAGCGCCGAAAAGGCGAAGCTGTATGATGACATACTTGTTATTCATTGACTTTCAATTGTCTAATCGTGTGTATACTTAGGCGCTTAGCGAGTTTGCTGAATTCGTCGAGAAGCAACAAGAGTTACGATATCCAAGCTCTAAACCCACCGCCGGTACTACCAACGCCGAACAAATAGAGCATCATGAAGAGCTTGACATTCTCGACTCATTAAACCTGGGTGACTCTGAGCCCCAAATACCGTTACGCGACCTTCTCCTAGCCCCCGCCGACGATGCGACCGCTCAACAAAAACTTACCGACTACATCGACGAACGATTAGTGGAAGGGCATCGCGAAGCGGTTTTCGACCTGGGCTATGAGAATAATGGAGATCCGATGCATCTAACCCGCGAAGAATGGGATATCGCATTGAACCGGTTGAATGAGACTGCTAAAAAATCGCATGCCGACTGCGATGTACTACTTACCAGGAACGTTGGTGGTGACGTTGAGGCCCAGTCGGTAAAAGTAGGGAAGCCAAGCAAAGAAACAGACTGTACCGGCAAAATATTGATACGGCAAACCCCTTCTTCAATTGAAGAGGTTATTGAGACTAGGATAGCTGTCGTCGGAAATGGTAGGTTAACCCCTGGTCCTGGTAAGATTTGATTGTGCTAAACACTCAATGTAGTTGACGCCGGTAAAAGTTCTATGCTTGGTGTTTTAGTGAAGGGTGACCTCGACGACGGACGAGGAAAAGCTCGTGTCAATCTCTTCCGTCATAAGCATGAGATGGAGTCCGGTCGAACAAGTTCTGTCGGAATGGAAATAATGGGCTTTGATACTACGGGAAACGTCATCACATCAGATACTCCTGGAAGTAAGTTATACCCTCACATCCTTCAATGGTCTTCAATATCTTACAAAAGCTTAGGGAAATTATCGTGGGAAGAGATCGGCAAACGTAGTGCCAAAGTTATAACCTTCACTGACTTGGCCGGTCATGAACGTTACCTCAGGACTACCGTCTTCGGCATGCTGTCTAGCAGCCCCAACTACTGTCTCCTTATGGTGGCGGCCAATAATGGGCTGATTGGCATGAGTAAAGAACACCTCGGTATCGCGTTGGCATTGAATGTTCCGATAATGGTGGTGATCACCAAAATCGACATCTGCCCTCCTAATATCTTACAGCAAACCATTCAACAGATTACCAAAATCCTTAAAACTCCGGCCGCGCGAAAATTGCCAATCTTCATCAACAATCATGAGGAGTGTATTAACACTGCAACTCAGTTTGTGAGCCAAAGGATATGTCCGATATTCCAGGTCTCCAATGTTACCGGCGAGAATCTGAATCTTGTACGCACATTCTTAAATATCCTCCCTCACCACGGTCGCTACGACTCCGATGCGCCGTTCGAGTTCCATGTGAACGATACCTTCTCCGTCCCATTTGTTGGTACTGTTGTTAGTGGCATAGTCAAATCAGGGGTTATCCATGTTGGGGATAACGTTCTCATCGGCCCGGACTCGCTAGGCCAGTTCGCACAAACCAGCATTCGTTCTATCGAGCGAAAACGAATTAATGTACCTGCGGCTTCGGCTGGTCAGTCTGCCAGCTTCGCACTAAAAAAAATACGCCGAAAAGACGTGAGGAAAGGGATGGTGGTCCTACCCAAAATTGAGGGGCAGGCGCCTCCGAAAGTTCATCGTGAATTTATCGCGGAGGTCTTGATCCTTTCTCATGCTACCACCATCAAGACCAAGTATCAAGCAATGCTCCACGTGGGCCCTGTCTCCCAGACATGCGCTATCATTGACGTGGACCGCCCCTTCATACGGACGGGTGATCGCGCGACGGTAGCATTCCGATTTGTTCAGCGTCCAGAATATTTGGCTCCTGGTGACCGATTACTGTTCCGTGAAGGTCGTACCAAAGGACTAGGTATTGTCAAATCAGTCGGCTACGATCCTAAAAGGCCTCTAATGACGCAGGATTCGGACAGTGGAGCCGCACAAGCGGCTGAGGAGGTCAATGGATCGGCGGAGAAGGGTATCCAGTCCTCGACCGGCGTGAGGGTTGGGGCCTAGTATCCCAAAGTGTGAGCACTATCTCTGATGTAGGCCCGCGCATCATGCAAGATATCTTCGTTGGAGATGTTGTATCGTGCCGTGGGTAGGGTTGTATCGTAGCATAGGAGGGGCATCATCACATCGGCACAGGGAAATCTTTGCTTATCACGTTTAGGGCGTTTGGCTCCATGTCTTCAGCGGGGCTCTGCATGGTCTTCTTCTGAACGGAGTACGGCGTCATCATAGCTGTCTGGGGTATTGCAAGCATACATACCCGAGTACGAATACTACGAATGTTGTTTTTTACATTGGATTTGACCCTTGCCCTTAACATTGAAGATAACGTCAAACTGACTGTGGTTACGGATATAGTTAGCGTAGATTATATCCGTCCATTCATTCAGGTTATATCCCAACGTCGCCTCACTACTGCACGCTTAAACCTCCCCGCCGCCTGCAATTGCCTAACGCATGAAACAAATTGTATCACCTTGTGACGAGATAGAAAATCCTCAAGCGTATGGTCGTCGTTCAACAACACCGAGATTTCGGAGCCGAGCTTCTACATCGAGTATCAATATACCGCCCCATTGATCATCTAGACCTAGCCAAGCCCACCTTTGTTGCCACTCAGCGCACGGCGCCCCGCCGAATAGAATTGTAGATTGCGCGTTCCTAGATCAACCAATTGTATTCATGATATTCACGGGACTCATCCTCGATGCGAAGTAATGAGTGAACATCAGGTCCTTTATTATGTATCGAGTTTGAAGACCAGGTATTCTTTCCGCTGGTACTGGGAGTGGAGTGCTCGATCCGCTGATATGCTTCTAACGACTCACTCTTTTTGTCACTGGCATATTAGTTACGACAGATTATGCCGCAAGACGCATCCTTCAATCTGCTCTGAAAAGAAGAGTTCAACGTTGAAGTATGGGGGAGTGAAGAAGTCTTCGGTAAAAATTGAAATTAAGCATGTCGTCCACTCGGAGACTTTTATAGTTGAGGCGGCTTAAATATGGTCCGGCTCCTACACATCCGTGCTATAAAAGACAGGTAACGACCGGGACCTAAGGGAGGCGGATCCTCGGGCTCTTACTAGATCCCGTCCTACCTGGTTTAATACCGAAAATGCAATGAAACTTGGAAATACGTAGTATACGGGAGGCACTGCCGAGTTGACTCCTAGGTAGGCTGCGAGGCGGAGGCGTCGAATTGTGTCACTAAATGTGATATGTGATGAGAGATACGATATGTAGCACTAGATCTTCGACGTCGAATGACCAGATGAGTGACGAATGCTAAATACATACCTAGGTAGCTAAAGACTTTAGTAGAAACCCTCCCAATATCTCCTTAGATCCATGTGTTTGGTTGATACGCTCCTCGGCGCACAAAACTAATTGTGCAGTCAAAGACGCCTCATACGTACATAATAACGCAAGACACTCGATAATAAAACGGTTGTACTTGCCTAGTCCGAGAGCCTAGACATTATCCACCATTTTGCCTCCGCAGTGCAGATGATATAGGTAGCAAATAGCAAATAGAAAGTAAGGGCGATATCAACGTACGTATTCAGGATCTATCACACGGCTCGTACTCGTTCAGAGACTATACAACTTGAGTTAGCTCACGGATACGCCCGCAAGATCTAGACATAATAGGGTATCCACAAGACATTCGAAACATCGTAAATCTTGGAGGGATTGACTTTGCATCTTATGTATCGGCACCGTGTTACCCGACGGCTGTGGGGATAGCTTATACAAGGCTTACATGAATAACCCTCCTAGATACCGGGTGATCTACCGGGAGTGGTGGTACGCAGCCCGGACCAAGATATGCATGTACATCTAAAACGCATCCCTTGTCATTGGCTGGAGACTTTCTTTTGTGAGGTTCGCTATACGGCCGATCTGGATTCCATGTTTTACCTAAGTACCCAGATATGTCCTCCTATACGATTACGCTTGAACTCCGCTACTCCGCCGTACGAGTCCAGTGATTTGCGGACATATACTCAGGCAACGATGTATCGATATGGACATATGGTACGAGACCGGAAAGCGATACCGTTTGGAGACTTCTGATTTGCTGTTGCAAGGTAACGTCTCTTATACTATGATCCTATCAAAGTGGAATACTCCTCCGTGGTATAATATGCCCTGTTACGCATGTAGTCCTAAACCGGAGGATTAAAGGCATGGTTTTCATATAAATAGAGCCTTGCCACAGATTTCATAAACAGGAGTGGTCATCCAAGACCCAAATGTCGATGTTACGCCTACTGACTTGAAAGAGAAAAAATCATCTACATTCACCATGGCTCCAACCGCTGAAGTTGGAGGGGCTATTAGTATCGTTTCGATATGTGCCGCAACTGTAAGTCACTTACTAGTCTCGTTCTAACACAACCTGGCCGGCGACTAGTCTATGCTAACGACATAATTAGGCAATCCTCTACGTCGTGGGGACCATAGTCTACAGGCTTTACTTCCACCCGCTAGCAAAATTCCCCGGGCCGATCCATTGGCGTATTTCTAATATCCCGATGGTGTATCACATTTTTAAAGGAGACATACCTTTTAGAGTAGCTAAAATCCACTACAAATATGGCAAAAGCATTCGAATCTCGCCCACTGAAGTCCTCTTCAGCGACCCTCAAGCATTCAAGGAGATTTATGGCCATCGTCCGCCTGGCACCGAAGAGCTTTCTAAGGACAAAGGTAATGAATCGATTCCTTGTTACGAATTTCTAATGTTATAAAGCGAGCTATTACATAATTAGCTAACTATAACTTCATAGATCTATACAATTTATTACCAGACCGACCTACGACTATCATCGACGCCCCTCGAGACGAACATGGCTCCCTTCGTCGGCAACTTTCACACGGATTCTCGGATAAGACGATGCGAGAGCAAGAGCCTATTATTAATGAGTATATAGACTTACTCATACAACGACTCCATGAGAACTGTGGGCGCGGACCGCTTGACTTGCGCGAGTGGTTTAACTGGACTACCTTTGAGTAAGTTATCGAAAGGTATAACAGGACAATTGAAGTAACGTTTCGACAGCATTATCGGGGACCTCGGCTTCGGTTCCTCGTTCGGATGCTTGGAGGGCTCATCTTACCATCCCTGGGTAGCACTCGTTATAAAATCACTGAAGGAAAGCGCTTACTTCCAGGCTTTGGTTCGACTTGGATTTCGTCCGCTGGTCAACTTTTTATATAGGGGAGGGTATATGACGAAGAACAGCGAGTATCTGGAATTGGTATCGAATAAGCTTCAAGAGAGAATTAAGCTTGGTGTCGAGAGACCGGACCTTATCGAGGGCTTGATCAAGTCGAGGGAAAAGCTTAACCTCAATTTGGGCCAGATGGTGGGAAATGCTAGTCTGCTTATTATCGCGGGCTCAGAGACTACGGCTACACTGTTGAGTGGAGCGGCGTTCCTACTTACGACTAATAGGCATTGTCTTGAGAAGTTGACGGAGGAGGTTCGGTCGACTTTCAAAAGTGAGGATGAGATTACTTTGACTTCTGTTGGAAATTTGCACTAGTAAGTGAGAATTTCTATCCTGTCTCGTGGATTAACCGAATACTAACTTGAGACTCTAGCATGCTTGCATGTCTTAACGAAGCGTTCCGATGTTACCCTCCCGTTCCAGGTGATCTTACGAGAACCGTACCGAAAGGAGGCACTACTATTTGCGGAGAATATGTGGCAGAGGGTGTAAGATCTTATTCCATTACTACTACCCCTATTTCCTTTGGTGAATATGGATCGAAATATCATAGGCTAACTTGAGTCAGACAACCGTCGCTGTCTGGCAGTGGGCCATCAACCACAACCCCCTCTATTGGACTGACCCAATGGTATACGCTCCAGAGCGATGGATGGGCGACCCGAAATATGAAGGCGATAGACTCGATGCGGTACAACCGTTTTCAGTTGGTCCTAGGAATTGTCTTGGTAGGAAGTGAGTCGCAATATATCACCACGATTTCCATCTCTGCTGGGATGCCTTGTGGATTGGATGATAATGAGTAGTGTCGAATCATGCTGACTTGAAATTAGCCTGGCGTATTCTGAGATGCGCCTCATTTTGGCAAGGGTCATCTATAACTTCGATATGGTCCTTGCTGACGATCCAGTTAATCAACGCTGGTTAGAGGATCAGAAGGTATATGTTATATGGGAGAAACCACCACTAAAGGTCCACTTGGCCCCGGTTGTGAAGAAATCGGGTTAAACATTTAGAGTCCTTCTCGTATGTTCCTCAGGGGAAAGTAACAGGGGCAGTCAAGACAGTAGGCTATATGGTTCGCGGACAATTCCAGTTTTTCAGTCATTATATACGAGTATCTGACTTACATATACGAAATTATACATGCTTCAAATCGTCCTATACGGCCCCCATTATATGTTGTGTTACACCAAGTGGTTCGGAACTAGGGTTAGGGTTTTATTCAAGGGTTAGGTCAGCACTTTACCTCAACCCCAGTGCCCTACGCTGTATCAAGAAGAGTGACTACCTAGGTACTTTATTAACTACCTTGTAAGCCCTTAAGCGCCAAAGAGCGCGTGGTTTCGTCGATTACCGCCATTCCACAAGCTATAGAGCCTATAGAATTGTTATTGATGCTTCTACGAAACAGCCTTTCTACTAAATATTGCTGACGTACTTCTCACGTATATAGTAGAGCCAAGACTATTTCAACCCCTATTCTGTTCGCAAGCTACTTCAGCTACCAATCTATTAGCTAATGCATAGGTTAAATTAGTTACCGTAAGTAATAGAATATCGATATATGGGCTCTACAGGGGACGTCAGCTGATTCAGCCGCCTCAAAATAGCTAATTTCCGCTTTGGTACAGTGGTCCTACTAATCATACGTCTGAACTTCGCTATGGAGGCTCAAAAAAGATGTTGAATCTCATGTCTCGATTTGGAACCGAGGAGCTTAGAACGGTGGTATTGAATCCGGGGTCCTTAGTTCTAATTTTGATGTTGACTAAACACCTTCCCGGTTCTGATGTTACATCGAGATCGGATTGGTGCGTTCGTAACTAAACGTCAGCGCGGTGAATCTACAATTCAATGCCGCCGAGGTATAAATATCTGAACACTTCAGGTATGAAATAATGATCGAACAGCCCATGCTTCTTCACTCAACCAACTCGAACCCAGAAGATTCCGCTTGCGCAAGCAATTGATCAATATGCGTCTCTCAAATACACTCCTCGCGCTGGGCCTCACGGCCGTAGAAGCCACCCAATTCTGGCACAACACCGGGACGAAATCAGGCTGGGACGCCTACACCCACGAGCACAAGGGTACCGTCGACGAAGTAACCGACCAAGTATACAAAGGCTCAACCGCGCTCCGCATGACGCAAATCCACGACTCGAGCTACTCCGGTCGCTACCACTCTGAAGCTGTGAAATTCAACGCGTACAAAAAAGGCGACACCGGATTTTATGGCTTCGCGTTTCGATTGCAGGATAACTGGCAATTCAGCCCGGCGCAGGGGTATAATCTCGCGCAGTTCATTACTGATTTCTCGGATTTGAACTGTGGTGAGGATTATATGCCTAGTACCATGGTGTGGATTGATGGTGATCAACTTGCGACTAGGGTTAAGTATGGTGAGGTCTGTCCGACGGATCAGCAGAAGATTAAGTCGTTTGATGGGCTTAAGAAAGTTACTGCTGGTGTGTGGCACCGTGTTGAGATTCAGGCTAGTTGGAAGAGCGATAACACGGGATTTTTCAAGTTATGGTATGATGGCGAGAAAGTGGTTGAGGCGTATAATCTTCCGACGAATGTGGGCGATGGACGGCCGTTCCAGTTTAGAGTCGGGTTGTATGCGAATGCTTGGCATGATCATGGTTATGAGGGTACGCAGGGCACGCGACAGGTCTGGTACGATCAGATCGCTGCCGGCGATGCGTTTGCTGATGCTGCGCCTGATAAGTGGTAAACGGGTAGCAAGGATTGGACCCTTTGAGTATTTCGAGCTCATCCTAATTGAATAGGTACCTTGAGTGATTATTCAATCGAATAGTTACGGCCATTGATCAATTCAAAAGATCTTGATCATAATTCGACTTCGCGATTCGGTGAATTTAGCGTAGAAAATGGTATCGCTTCTATCGGGTTGTTTCTTAGCCGAGTGTACCTTAGGTAGGTAAGCTCGTTTTGGAATGAGCCGTTATGTGCTATGCGCCTGGGTTCCTACCGACAATAGTTAAGACCGATCGTGAATTTATAATGTGTTCAATTATTCGACATTTTATACACTCATTTTAGCTCATCTAGTCGTACCACTCCAATCGGCCGGCCATTACCAATATATATACAAGAAAAGGAAAACATCACAGTATGGTATCTCCTAAACTCCGTAAACCCTGTTTATTTACTTGTGTCGACAACATACCGACCAGCAATCTTACTAGCCTTCATCAAGTCGAATATTTCTTGCAGCTTGCTGAGGCCGACGACCTTGTAGGGAGCCTTAATGAGGCCTCGTCTGAAGAAGTCGATGGCTTCAGCAGTGTCTTGGCGGTTACCGACATAGCTACCCTTGATGTTGATCATGCGGACTACTGTGTCGAATACAGGTGCCTTCAGGTAGGCGCCAGCAGGCATACCGACACAGACGATGGACCCTCGGCTGCGTACGTATTCGCTAGCTTGCTGGAAGGGGCCTTCGCTAACGGCAAGTAAGAGGACGGCGTGAGGACCGAAGCCATCGGCCGTCGCACTCTTGACGGATTGAACTAGGTTCTTAGTCGTGCTGAAGTCGACGTAATCGGTAGCGCCAAGCTCTTTGCACATCTTGCCTTTCTCCTCACCACCATCGATGGCGATCACGTGGAGTCCCATAGCCTTAGCGTATTGAATGGCTAAGCTTCCGAGACCACCTCCAGCGCCGACGATGGCGACTTGTTGGCCGGGCCTTGCACCAGATTCCTTCAAGGCCTTGTACACCGTTAAACCGGCGCAGAGGATGGGTGAAACAGCCTCAAGGCTGCATTCCTTTGGGATCCTAGCGACATGGGCTGCCTTGCCGATAGCATATTGTTGGAAGCTGCCGTCTACTGTATAACCTGATAATAAGGCCTTGGGACAGAGTGATTCGTCAGATTGCTGGCAGAATGAACAGCTTAAGCATGAACCGTTTAGCCACTTGATACCGGCATAGTCGCCTATCTCGACGTCCTTGACGAGTTCTCCGCGTGCTACGACGACGCCAGCACCTTCGTGGCCACCAACGAAGGGCATCTTGGTGGGTAATGGCCAATCGCCATTTAATGCGTGAAGATCCGTGTGGCAAACACCGGAGTACTTTATATTGATGAGAACCTCATCTGGACCTGGCTTGGGAACCGGGATCTTCTTATAGTGGACAGCTATTAGACGTTAGTTACTGGACTGGTAGACGATGGTATGGGAAAGAAAAGTGGCTACTCACGTCCGCCCGTCTGTTCAACGACCTGTGCCCATTGGTCGCTCGGAATATCAGTCATGGCTGATTGATACTGTGGATTGGATCTGATGAAAGGAATAAGAGGAAGTGTATCCGAAAAGGGGGTCTAATTAACTTCTGATTGAGTTGATTTAGTTGATGATGATGATGAAAACAAGAAGGTTTCAAGCGTCAACCCTTATGTTATATAAGACTCTGGCGATGACAACCAGAGTCCGATCGACATCCATCCGTTTTTGGTCAAGGGCATCGTCTCCAAAGAGAACTCGCGCCCGCCCGGGCAAACCATCTCTTAGGATGGGATGCACAACGTCACCTTACCCCTCTCACGACGCCGAATGAGCACCGCGCATCGAATACAATGGGGCTTCGTAATATTAGTTACACTCGAATCCATGCTGCCGGTCGATCTAGAGTTTAGGTCAATGCCTTGTTACCGCAGGCGAATACGGAGTAAGCCGGGGCGAAAAAAAAACTATAGTCTACACGGTAGAAAGACATAAGAAGGTGACATGTCAGGAGCTTTTCTTTGGCTGGAAGTGTGCAGATCTGGCACCGGCCGGAGAAGACGCACCAGACCGCGCCACTTTCACCTCTTCTTCAGGCTTAGGAACGTGCCTTGGTAGCGCTGCAGATGACATACAGATAGCGTCGAGCCTTCGGCCGCGCGGAACTCCGCCGGTTCCGTATGGTCGAGCTTTAGATGTGTATATGCCTTCAATGATTGGCTGGTTTGTGCTGTATCTAAAATATTTAGAACATGTTGATGTTAGAATGTAGTAAAGCGTCTAAATATGCATCTTTGATTGAAACACGGGGAAATGGATATGTAATGTTGATCACATTGGATTAGCATTATGTGCACATAGGTAGGTTTGCTAACTTTCCTCACTTGCAGGATGCAGAGAAGAAAAGAGGTATAATTCAAAGTTGGGCTGTTGCGTTGAGAGAAATTTGTGAGGCAAAGCTCTAGACTCCAATCGCTGTCGTATGATTTTATGATTTTTACACTAATCGGGTGACAGCGAAGGACAGTGCGGCGGAAAGTGTTAATGGAAAGTCAGCCCACAACTCTAAGCGGGGGTGGGTCCCCCTAGCTTTAACTTGAAGGCTCTCAGCTCATCTCGCAGTGTCCGGTGGAATGGAAGTGGAAGCTGCATCATGTGGCTTCCATTCCTCTTGCAGTTATAGAGAAAAGCTTAATGTTTATTCCAGATATTAGGAAGGATCGGGTTATTGTTACACAACGGTTATGTCATCGTTACGAGAAGAGATTTTTGGAGGGGTTGTGAAACTTAAAAAGCAAGTTAAAGTTAAAGGAATGTACCCCGGAAATAACAGCATCTGAAGAAATAGATCTTTAGTGAAGGAAGGCCAATATTAGGATGGGTTACTCGAGATACGATGAAGCCGAATATTTATTAGATACATGTATCTTTTCAAATAAATGCAGGCTGAGTTTCAACATTGAAGATTTTGGAGTTAACATGTAGATGTCTCATAAATGTAGGTAGAGTTCGGTGACGCATCTCATAATTTCCGTAGCTGCTCGGTCGTCGGATATAACTTCCATCTCGGAGTAGACATCTCCGCTCTCCGAGATAGGTACCTAAACGACGTTTCACAGGAAAACAACGAGACGATGGTCGCAAACCTTACCACCTTCTCGTGATAATTCCAACAATGTTACTTCATTTAGGCTTGATTATTACTTTTACCTAGTCTATGAGTATATACGTATCCTATTCTATTATTCCTAAGCGCTTTAACAACGCAATATTATATAATGTCTTGTTATCATAAAAAGATAGGTCCAGGCCTACCCTTAATGATCCAAGGTCTGATGCAGAACATTTACACGATAGCTTTCGCAACGAGTTAATAATTCTTCATGTGATCCTCTCTCCACACATCGACCATCCTCAATCATGAAGATCACGTCCGCGCGTCGAATTGTATGCAGTCGGTGTGCGATGGCCACGACTGTTATACCCCGCGTCGCTTGCTCCAATCCATCCTGGAGTAATCTTTCCGATTCTGCATCTAACGCACTAGTCGACTCATCTAGAAGCAATAGACGTGGCTTACGAACTAATGCCCTCGCGATGGAGAGCCGTTGCTTCTGCCCGCCCGAGAGTTGTCCCCCACTCGGTCCACACTGGGTGTTGTAACCATCGGGCAGAGCTACGATGGTGTTGTGGATGTTGGCTAGTTTGCACGCCTCCTCAATTTCGGCATCTGATGGTTCTATACCCGGACGAGCTCCGAGAGCGACGTTGAAACGAATGCTACCGTCGAAAAGTACGCTGTCCTGTGGTACTAGACCAATATCATCCCGAAAAATAGGCTCTTTCTTGGCAGAAATGTTGAACCCATCAACTTCGATAGCTCCCGACTCCACGCTGTACATTCGTTCTAGCAGCGAAATAACCGTCGATTTACCAGCACCGCTTGGACCCACGAGGGCGCAAAATTGACCTGGTCGAATTTCGATATCCAATCCCTTTAGAACCTGTCGACCCGGTCGCGCGGGGTACGAAAATCTCACTTGTTTGAAGCTCACAGCAAGACCATGGCTACTCGATGTCCCCGCTTTCTTAGATTCGACGGTCGCTTCCGGGTCATTAGGACCTGATTTGTTTGTCAATCGGTTTTTGGAAGATCCCAAATCAATGAGGTCGAAGATTCTCCCGACTGCTCTACCCGCCCTCGTCATCTCAGGTGCGAGTGTGAAGAGTTGACCCCAAAGTTGCGCGCTGACTAGAAGCGCAATCAACACGATAAAGAATTGGACCTGCGTGTAGTGGCTTTCGATAATCTGCTTCGCTCCCCACCAATAAATAAAAGCATAAATGAGGTTCGAAATACTGTAGGTGATTGAGAGGAATAGATTGGCCCACAGACTCGAACGCGTCATCTCCTTCCGAGGGGCAGAGAGCGAACGACGATACGCCTCGAGCACTTCCTGCTCTAGCGATAACGCAGCTACTGTCTTGATCGAATTCACCGCTTCAACTGTTATACCTACTGATTTCGAAAACGCATTTTCATGGCGCTCTGAAAAGCGGGAGATGATGCGCATTTGCATTATACCTGATCCAAGCATAAGCGGTACCGTGGCGAGACAGACGACGGCGATTTTCCAGGCGATAATGAGTGACAGCACGAGTGCGACAACAAAATTGACGCAGATGGAGAAGATAGTCCCTATTATGGAACCTGTTAGACCCTCCACTGCGGACGAGTCACTCGTTATATACGACAACAATGTCGATGGGGTACGACCCTCGGATTGGTGCCATTGTAGGTCCTGCTCAAGCAGCGACCGGAACGAAAGTACTCTAATGGTGTATAGAACCTTTTGCGCAACCCAGCCAAATCCTGACCAGCTCACCCCATTGGCAAATAATTCCGCAATGGCAAGCACGAAGAACATGAGGCCGAAGAAGCTACCGGCTGCTCTAATAGCGTCCTCGGTGTTACAAGGACTCAAAGCACCAATAGTGTGGCCGAAAATCAACGCTGATCCGGAGTAGGTTCCGCCAACAACCACGGAAGCGATGGCAGCAACAAAGAACCAAAACAAGTAAGGTCGAGTTATAGCGGCTAGGCTCTTGATTGTAGCCCATGTCGGTCTGGAGCGATCGGAAGATTCCGCCTCCTTTTCCACTTCCTTCTGAACTTCGATAGCTCCCGCTTCGCAAGCTTTCTCGTCGTTGGGTGTGAGAGCCTGGGTTACTCTCTCCAAATCGATTTCGGAGTATTCAGCATCCTTTGCGGTGCTATCCTTCGCGGTACTCATACTTGAGGTCTCTGACCCCACGTTCTGCAGTCGGACGAGGGCAGCATAATCGCCGTCCTTCGCGATCAAATCTACGTGGCGACCTTGCTCAATAACCTTTCCATTACGCATAACCACGATATTATCAGCGTTCTTCACGGTTGCCAGGCGATGTGCAATTGAAATAACCGTTCTTCCCAAAGATACCTTCTCGATGGCTCCTTGAATTCGTTGCTCACTAGCTGAGTCAAGAGATGAAGTTGCCTCATCCAATATGAGAACTTTAGGGTCTTTCACTAGAGCCCTTGCTAGCGCCACTCGTTGCTTCTGTCCTCCACTGAGTAAGTCGCCGTTAGGTCCAACAATTGTACCGAGTCCGAATTCCAAAGTCTTCAAGAATACCTCAGCATCAGCAAGACCCGCCGCTCGTTGGACCATCTTCACAATCTCGACCGCTGCGGTACCGTATTGCTCTGCTGCAGTTACCAGATCTTGTCCACGTCTTACAGCTTCCGCTATTAGAGATAACTGGTTGCTGAAAAGGATAGGTTGGAGGGGTGTGTGTTCAGGACGCGGAGAGTTTACTAATCCAAGGGCTATATTTTCCAGCACCGATCTATCCAAAAGCAAGGGGTCTTGTTGGACAAGCCCGACAAAGCTTCGTAGCTGACGCACATTGAAGTCGCGAACATCCCGACCATCAACGCTTATGGTACCTTGATCCGGATCATACAGTCGGGTGAGCAAACCAGCGATCGTTGATTTTCCACTTCCAGATAGACCAACGATCGCGGTATGCTGGCCCGCGGGTAAGTGAAGTGTAACCCCTTGAATCACGGGAACGTCTGGTCGTGATGGGTAGGTGAAGTCCACATTATCGAGTTGAACATCTCCAGAGAAGAATTCGGAATCACCGCCCTCGGAAGGAAGCGTGCCGTCAATTTTGGAACGACGGTTCATGTCTGTTTCGAGTTTCTCTAAGGCTGCCGTGGCTGAGCCGAAAATTTGCAAGTACGGTGAAATTTGACTGATCACGAGAGAAGCTAGAGGATCAATATGAGAAGATATTCACATCAAAAAAATACGAGGAACTCACCGTCGACTAATAAGAAAATAATTGTGTATGTTGAACCAATCGTTACTCCTTCTGCTCGGCCTCCAATAACGTCGGCAATTGTCCGGCTTCCTTGCCAGTATGCTAATCCACTCGCTGAGAAAGCTATGAAGTAGAGCAAACCCGATTGAATAGCTGTCGTGATAGCTTTTTTCACCGCTTGGCCCTTTGCCGCAATGAGTTTTCCGGCGAACTTTTCCTCGAGCCTATCATTCGCGCGAAATGCATGTACTACCATAACGTTCGACAGACTTTCCAAGGCGATGGATGATGCATCGGCAATGTATTTGGATGCTAGGCCAGAGAATTTCCCAACGAAGTGGCCGCCCACGAGAGACATTAACATGAATGCAGGAACCAGTGAGACTAATATGCCCGCAAGCCTCGCATCTTTAATGAATGCGATAATATAGGAGGTGATAAACATAGCGAGCGAGCCTACATACACGCCTACTTTTTCCGATGTGCCGCTTTTTATTATGTTGATGTCGGCGCTCAGACGTGAGGATACTTCTCCGGCGGGTAGCTTATCGAAAAATGACACCTCCTGGCGGAGTAAGGAGCGGAAATAACGTTCTCGCAATCGATGGGCGAGTCTATCACCGAAAAGGTTCCAGCATACAGTATGGACGTAAATGAGCGCGAATTGCGCCAGAGCGCAAGCCATAACTAGCAGGACCTTCTGATTGACAGCATCCTGATATTCGCTGGACGGAGTCGCATCCTGAACCGCACATGTTGCCGAGTCTAAGTCGTCGACTAATTGACCGAATAAGATTCCAAGAAGCGGGAATGGTATTCCAGCTGCGATTGCTGCGATGGTACCGACGATTAACAGTGCGATATCTATTTTTCCCGGTTCGGCATACGTCAGGAGGCGGAAATATCGAAAGAGACCCCGAGAAACCTAGATTGAGTAAGTTAGCCAATCCATTGGATTTTTGCGTACGTACGGAATGGTATGTACGCTGTAAATTGATGATATTTACATGTGACGCCATCGATGCTACTCTCCGAATGGCTGAGCTGTTTTCACTTCCGTCAGCGCTCGATTCATCGTTACGAGACGCCACGCCCATTGTGGGATTCGAAACAGATTCTTTTCCCATCTCAATGAACGTTCGTGAGCCCTCGAACCTTCAACACATAGAAGACACGTTCAAGATAGACTTGAAGGCATCAAAATTTTTCTCAATTCTCCCCAACCAAATCCACCCCATGGATCCATTATTTTTTCCTCCTCCCCTGGCATGCCGAACCATGATGGGCCGGAACAATTGCAAATACAACACCAACCATGACGATAGGAGACTAGATGGGTACCAAGCAATGGAGCTCATAAGTTCATTCTAGAAGAGGGTCCTTCTCATTTCGGCGAGTTTACAACGGTATATAGTTTTTATGATGTAACGCCAATTCCAGGGTCAAAAGTGTACAAAGTTGTACTTTCATTGAAGAATGGGGACCTCGGGAAAGTACCTACTTCATCTACATTACATAGTACATGCACCCAACGCTACCCACAGTAGGCAAGATTGGGATTCCCTTGCCTCCGAGGACGGGATTGCGGGGACGAATACAACCGCTAAACCATAGTGTGGTAGGACCTGGCTGTTTCGGGGTCTTGGCACGCAGCATCTGATAAGATCATTTCAACGCTAGGCCGAGATAGGTTGGGATGCATTGCGGATCCTGCTTTTGTCAATTTATTATTGAGTTATCTGATGGCGCTAATGGATTAGTGGGAATTGGGAAATGCGCTAAGGGTCCACAGGGACAGCTCATCGTATTTGGGCGGTTGGCTCGGGTGGGTGACTGCCTATTGTTTCATTCACTGATTCACCTTTCTACGCTACACATGCAGATTTACCGGGAACATTCAGTTAGGATGCGACGGGAAATGCGGCTACCTAGGTAGCTTTCTCAGAAGGTCTACCCTACGCGTCCCTACCCTACTTTTTCTTCTTGCCCGGTGCTCGGGTCGCCTTGTGCGACTTAATTCTATCAGCTGAATCCCTTTTACCCTAACAAGATTGTCTTGTATTACCTTGATTGCTTGAATCATTGTAATTCCTCGTATTCTTTTCCTTCTTTTCCGTACGTACCTAGAGATTGTACGCGCAATATCACATGCCCCCTGTTTGTTGTCTAAGCCCCCACGACTCAATCTGCGCGAAATAAAATCCCTAACCATCAACTGTTTAGCCCTGTCTAAACAGAGCTGAAGGACCACTCACTCATCAGCTGACAGGGTGGCCTGATGACCAGCATCCTCTGCCTAGAAATCCTAGATTATCTTTTTTACAATAATAGAAATTAGCTCCCCTTGTTCAATATTACTACTACTTTTTTTCTACTTTTTTTTTCTTCTTTGGAGTTGATACTTATGTCAAATCTCCACCGGCGTGTTCCTCCATCGGTCAATATGGAAGACATCACTAGCCAAGCGCCGCTGCTAGGTCGGGAATCTAGCGGCGACGAAGGTAGTCATATCCGGAGAGATTCTTATGGATCTGCTTCGAGCAAAGATGATGTGGTCGTCACTGTTGATTCTGAAGATGAAGGAGAGAGTGTAGAAGTGCAGAATGGCATCAAACAAGCCGATGCTATCAATCAGGTTTGGTCAAGAGCTGCGCTCGTTTTAGCCTACTGCTTGTGAGTCGCAATAATATTATTATCATCAAAAGATCAACAAAACTTGTCGCGATTGAGGTCATTGTTCTTACTGACCATTTGTTACTCACTTCAGTATTTTCCTGTGCTCGTTTGCGAATACCCTACAATGGCAGATAATGTCGAATCTCATGCCCTTCGTCGTTAGCGAATTCCACGCGCACTCCCTAATACCGACTATCGGAATAATAGCATCTATCATGAGCGGTATTCTAAAGTTGCCGATAGCTAAAATGGTCGATTCCTGGGGTCGTCCGCAGGGTCTTGCGTCTATGATAGGGCTCGCGACGCTAGGACTCGTACTAATGGCCGCCTCCCAGGATGTCCAGACTTACGCTGCGGCCCAGGTTATCTATCAAGTCGGCATCAGTGGGTTCACCTACGTTCTTGATATCATCATCGCCGATACCTCGTCGTTAAGAGATCGAACGCTCGCGTTTGCATTCAACAATTCGCCCACCCTAATCACCACATTCATCGGTCCACCATTGGCGAAAGCATTCCTTGAGAGTAGTAGCTGGAGATGGGCATTCGGGTTTTCCGCGATATTATTTGTCGTTTTTTCCGTACCAATACTTTCCATCTTGGCTATTAATACACAGAAAGCGCGAAAGATGGGTCTGCTCCAGACATCCACCAGCAGTGGGCCGTGGACCATCGCGAAACTACGTCAATCCTTGATTGATTTCGACGGTGCGTTGAACTACTTTAGCGTTGATATATCAGTGACTAATTCTTAAATAGCTGTGGGCATGTTTCTTGCCGCGGCCGCTCTGACGCTAATTTTGGTGCCATTCTCGCTTCATGGTTCCTCGGTTTCTGATGTTCATAGCTCCGTTGCTGTGCTCCCTATACTCGGTCTCTTGTTTGCGATTGCGTTTGGTGTACATGAGCGTAGGGCTAAGCGACCGTTTATGCGATTTTCGCTTTTATGCTCGCGAAATGTGGCCGGTGCGTTCTTGTTGTCGATCACGATTTTTATCGCATATTTCTCGTGGGATGGTTTTTACACGTCTTACCTACAAGTCGTGCATGGCTTATCTGTCGATGAGGCCGGTTATGTTGGGCATATCTACGGCATTGGTTCATGTCTATGGGCTGTGGTTGTAGGATATCTAATTAGACGGTCCGACAGATTTAAGTGGCTTGCTTTGGCCGCTCTGCCGGTACATTTACTAGGTGGTGGGCTGATGATTGTCTTCCGAAGGCCTGATACCCATATTGCATGGGTTATTATGTGCCAAATTCTCATCACCATCGGTGGTAGCACACTCGTAATATGCGAGCAGATGGCTGTGATGGCCGTTGCGAGCCACGCGGAGCTGGCCTCTGTCATGGCTCTTCTAGGACTGGCTTATTATGTTGGTTCAGCCATTGGCAATTCACTCAGTGGAGCTATCTGGAATACGACACTCCTAGAAATCCTTGCACAACTCTTGCCTACATGGTCACCAGAAGAAAGGACTCTTCTTGGGCAAGATCTGAAAAAACAATTGAGATACCCGATGGGAACTCCTGTACGGTCCGCTATCATCGAGGCGTATGGAAAAGCCCAATACCGCATGTGTGTGACGGGAACCCTCATTTCCCTTTTTGAAATTCTAGCGGTGGCGATATGGAAAGATGTGAGGGTTAGCCAGTCTAAACAAGTCAAGGGCACTGTGCTATGATGATTCATGCCGCATTAGGTGTTATTTTGCTTTTTGGTGGCTTGCATTTACATTCGGGTGTTCTCACGATATAGCATAGCATGCTCATAGGTAACATTAGAATAGGTTTATAACATCCTAGATAGAGGAAATGGTTAACCCATATGAATAAACGAAGAGATTTTTACTATTTACCTACACTATTTTTATCTTCCTCTTTAGTGAAACTGAGACTAATGGTGATAACTTGACGTTATTTTATTTAGTAAAATAGATAGAGTTACATAATATCTGATGAACGCGTGTTGGGTACCACAGCAGAAAAGTACATAATTCCGTAATAATATTAAAGTACAGTCTATGTACACGTATACTCCAAGTATCACGATGTACCTTTATGCGGGCGTGGAGCATTCCGCCTATGGCAGGTGAAAGGGTTGTCATAATAGCAATAAAAGCGGCAGGTCGAGGTTTCACCCACCCGGGGAGCCACCTCCTGAGCTCCGATCTCGCAATTTCATTGCACGATGAATGTGCAAGAGAGAGGGCACAAGTTCAGGGGTGATGTGACTGCGTAAATTGCTTACTGGATTTTCCTTAGATCAAATCTTATCAGATCCGATGATTAGATTTTTCTCGTTGCCCCATCGCGACCCACGACCCACTCGTTATACCCATCTTCCTGGGTTAAAACCATGAGCTAGGTCCTAGGTCCTAGCAATTGACATGGTGCAGGGATGGAATTTTTCTCGGGCATTGCCTATTTCATGTAGGAACGGACTGGATTTACTTACGTATGAATACTACGTTCGGCCGAGTATTCCGGAGTGGCTAGATATTTTTCGGTTGACAATTTTCGAGGTCGAAGCTAGGGAGAACACTGCATAAGCAATGATCGTCAGAGAATAGCAGAATTACCTGTCCACGGCAGGAAAGTGGACTGCTTCGGCGTTAGTGCGTCATCAAATTCCCGCAGCTATCAAGCTATTCGAGAATCTACCTCACCGTGTATATGGAGCCGTCACCACACTCGGGATGAGTGAAGCTTGCTGCTTCGTACAGCTAGAAAAGCCGTTGCATTAGGGCGGGGGTCGATCTCCTGCATGCTAATTCTAGCCTTTTTTGGAACTCTTGGACATCCCGTTAAGCAAGATCACGGCAGGCGTAGATCCTTTTCTTTTTATTATTCCCATAGACCTTAATAGGAGATAGGCCTTATTTCTTTTGTGTTTCGTTACACAGAACCGGTCGGAATCCCTTCACTCACACACCCACCATCTATCAAGATGGCTACACAGCCACTTATTCCATCATCAATATCAAATCCTCAATTTCAGAGACAGAAGCTATCTTATTTAGAAGGGCCGGTAGATCCTCCGTTGGTAGATTTAACTCTAGGGGAGTTATTGGATCTACAATGTCAACATCATGGCAACCAAGAGTGTATCGTCACATCCTGGACTGGCGCTCGATGGACATACAATGAGCTGAACCACCAGAGTGCACAATTGGCGAAGGCGCTATTATCACTTGGCATCGGTGTTGGTGATCGTGTTGGTATCATGGCTGGGAACTGCGAACAGTACGCGGCAGTCTTTTTCGCAGTCACACGGATTGGTGCGATATTAGTGATATTGAATAACACATATACGCCTGTAGAGGCACAATACGCGTTGGGTTTTACTGGTAGGTTGTTGCCCCGGACTGTGGAGGCTCATGGTGGTTGACCATTCCTATAGACTGCAAGGTATTCTTCACAACCAAGAAAATCGGGAAGGCGGATAACACAAAGCTCCTATCAGAGCTGGCAACCCAAAAGAAGGGACCTAATGTCGTGATATTAAGAGGGGAATCAGGGTCCTACCCGACATATGCGGACTTAATCAAGCAAGGGCGAGGAATAAGCAATAACCATCTTAACCGCCTTAGCAAGAGGGTCCTCGCGCATAACGTCTGTAACCTACAGTTCACGAGTGGTACCACTGGCCTTCCCAAAGCTGCTATGCTGACCCACCACAATATCGTAAATAACGCCCGTTTTATTGGCGATCGCATGCGGCTCACTCCGGACGACGTACTCTGTTGTCCGCCGCCCTTGTTTCACTGCTTCGGCCTTGTTCTTGGCATGCTCGCTGTTATCACCCACGGCGCGAAGATTGTATATCCACAAGAGACTTTCGACGCTGCTGCGGTCATGCAAGCTGTCGCCGACGAAAGGTGTACAGCTCTTCATGGTGTGCCTGCTATGTTCGAAGCCATGTTGAGCTTACCCCCACCGCCAAATTTCGAGAGCCGCGCACGCTTACGCACGGGTATTGTGGCGGGCGCGCCAGTACCGAGAAATCTAATGGAGCGTATGGTGGCGCGACTAAGTATGCATGAGTTCACGAGCAGTTACGGACTTACTGAGGCTAGTCCGACGTGTTTTAACGCGTTTACGGATGATGCCGTGGAGAAGCGACTTACAACCGTCGGAACTTTAATGCCACATGCGCGCGCGAAGGTTGTGGATCACGCGACGGGCGCGATAGTGCCTGTAGGGGAGAAGGGGGAGTTATTGATTGCCGGGTATCAATTACAGGCCGGCTACTGGAATAATTCCGAAAAGACAGCGGAGACCATGTCGCGGGATGCGGAAGGTGTTCTATGGTTGAGAACGGGCGATGAGGCTGTGTTCGACGATGAGGGGTATTGCACAATTACAGGGAGGTTTAAAGATATTATCATTCGCGGCGGCGAGAACATATACCCCCTCGAAATCGAGGAAAGACTTACGGCACACCCCGCTGTGGCACGGGCCGTAGTGGCGGGGTTGAAGGACGCGCATTATGGTGAGGTGGTGGGGGCGTTTTTGGAGTTGGCGGGTGAAGCTAGGAAGGGAGGAGAGGGAAGACCGAGTGATGAACAGATACGCGAGTGGGTGCAGCAGAAGCTTGGAAGGCATAAGGCGCCTACGCATGTGTTCTGGCTTGGTGAGGGAGGCGTTCCGGCGGAGGTACCCCTGACGGGAAGCGGGAAGGTGAAGAAGTATGAGATGACCCGGTTTGGGGAGGAAATTCTGAGAAAGAGAAGGTTAGAGAAGTTGTAGATACGGTCCCAAGGGGCATCTGTTTATTACAAGATAAGAGGGAGATTAAACATGTAAGATCCTAGGGTACCTAGAGCAGAAGCGGTAGACATCTCATCGGCGTGGAGGGTTTAGAAAGTGTCGGTACCTATTGGAGACGCCACTATACACAACTTTTGCTTGTCATCATGATATGGCATAAAAAATATGTTATATAAGCGTTTCCTAGCTGCCCATCCTATCTCATCACGGACATCCGGACTGTGGCTTACGCCACCCCCTCTTTCACGCGTCTCTTAAGCACGAATAGGAGTCCTTCATGATGATTTTGTATTATATAGTCAATATATCCTCGTTTCTGACAGTACTAGTCTACCTACCTACTTCCTAGGGCATCTAGGTAGGAACAGCAGTTAAGAGATGTACCTACCTAGGTAGGTAGTCCGCAATTATACTTATTGGAGATGAGCAACGTCAAGCACCAACTAGTCGTCTTTGAATGTTTTCGCCAGATTCTTATTGACTTCTATCAGCCGAATAAATCTGATAAAAATGGGGTGGTTGGGTGGCTCGTGAACCCCCACCTACGACGTATTACGCAAGCATCTACAAGCCTGATCCTTTTTATCATAACCTAATCTTCTAATGCCACGATTATAACATGTATCGCAAGAGCTTGCGTCTATTTTTCGACAACAGTGGCAAAATGTTTGCCCCTTACTTCTCTCATCGCTGAATTGAGTTAATTGCGCATCTCTCTCTTTGGTAATTCTGAGAGCAAACACAGGTAAGTCGGTTTATCATCTGCTACGAGGTTGTTTGGGTTTTCAACCAACAACACTTCAGCTTTCCTCCGTAAAGAGGGAAAACGTGCCACTGAAAAGCGAAAGCATCACGAAAAAGTAATTGTTTTGTTTATAACTCCTACGACAACAAATACAAACTAGACAATACAACCAATTTCAGCCGTCGGAGTTTGCGTTTCCCAAACTAGACTTTCAAGGCTCTGTGTGGTTGGAAATTCAGCTCAATGTGTCCCCGTCCAACTCCCCCGAAAACCGACTTGGGATTTATAAAGTTCAATGGCGTCATATTAGCTCGCAATAGAAAGGGCTATAAAGTCCTATAAAGGATCTAATTCAGAGTCAATTGAGCGTGATTACTTATGGGGACAAGAATTACCAAAAGAATCTCGAAGGATCGTGCTAAGGATCCGCATTGTCGGTAGGCGATGCACCGAACCATGAAGTCAACTTAATGGGAATTGAGCAATTGGAATCCTTGCAATAGAATAATATGCCGCCCTATTGGAGGTCCAGATGATATTATTCCGTTTTTCATTGCAACGCTGCGTTGACCGTCCGATCTCCTCACCTACGATCCTCTTACGAGATTGCCCCTGTGCGCCATGTCGCCTAATATTTAGCCTTGAGGCACAAACATACCTGTTTTGGGTGTATATTCGCCGAATCTGGCAGTTTGCGATCTGAAAGTACGACGAAGATGTGCTGATCTTACCCCACAATACCCCAACTTCGCCCACATATTATCGTCATTATAGACCGGGGTCGTTTCTTTGTATGACGAGCGAGGCACCCGAGGTCAATCAGCTCCAACGCGTCGTACTCATTGTTGCTCGGAATGCATAAATAGGCTGGGAGATTCTTTCCTTGACGATCCCTTTTTAGTGCCCGCTTTCTAGCCTCTGGGTTTCTTTTTTCGGAGAGGAAGCTATTCGCGATGAGGTCGTCACTGTTTCTGGTCGCGTCGCAGGCCCTCCTGAGCTGTGCTTTTGGCACTGCCGGGAGGCCCGATTCCATAATTTGGGACTACGCCGAAAAAAGAGCACTCGCGCAAGACATTGTTACGTGGGATGAACACTCACTCTTTGTTCACGGCGAAAGGGTCATGATCTTTAGCGGCGAGATCCATCCTTTCCGACTCCCGGTGCCGTCTCTTTGGATCGACGTATTGCAGAAGGTTAGAGCTCTCGGGTTCAACGCTGTTTCGATCTATATCGATTGGGCGCTCTTGGAGGGCAAGCCTGGCGACTTCTCTGCGGAAGGAGTTTTTGATCTCAAACCATTCTTTGAGGCTGCCACAAAGGCGGGGATTTACATCATTGCCCGGCCTGGCCCCTACATTAATGCCGAGGTAAGTAAAACTGCGCCTCGCGGATACTTGTCAATTGACTAATGAGGGGTTTCAATAGGTGAGCGGAGGCGGGTTTCCTGGTTGGCTACAACGCGTGCGAGGCGGTCTCAGGACTGGTGCACCCGACTACCTCAATGCGACAAACAATTATATGTCGAATATTGGCAAGATAATCGCAGACGCTCAAATCACGAATGGTGGCCCCGTTATCCTTCTTCAGCCCGAGAATGAATACACAGGAGCCAACAGCTTCCTGCCATTTCCGGACGGAGCATATATGGAATATGTTATACAGCAGGCTCGAGATGCTGGGATTGTCGTACCCTTCATCAGTAACGATGCTAGTGCTTCGGGTCACAATGCTCCGGGAACCGGTGTTGGTGAAGTCGACATTTATGGTCACGATGGCTACCCATTAGGCTTCGACTGTGCGCACCCCACTGTGTGGCCAGCTAAGAATTTCCCGACAACATATAGAGCCAATCATCTCAAGCAGAGCCCAACAACTCCCTTCTCTATTGTTGAGTTTCAAGGAGGGTCGTTTGACCCTTGGGGTGGCTGGGGCTTCGAGCAGGTTAGTTTTGAAGACATTTTGCGTTGTACTGATAGCTTACATGATCACAGTGTAGCGCACTTGTCAACCACGAATTCGAGCGAGTCTTCTACAAGAACAACTATGCTGCAGTAAGTTTAATCCTCGTCCCGAATTAACAGTAACGAGACCACCTAATAACGTCGCCACGTATAGGGTGTAACAATTTTCAATCTTTACATGATCTACGGTGGGACCAATTGGGGTAACTTGGGACATCCGGGTGGATACACTTCGTACGACTATGGAAGTGTCATCAAAGAAGACCGAACTGTCACGCGTGAGAAGTACTCGGAGTTGAAGCTACAAGCGACATTCATACAATCTAGCCCTGGATACCTAACCGCTGCTCCGGGAAACAGTTCGACTACGCTCTATAGCGATAACTCCGATATCACAGTAACGCCGATCCTAGCGAACAGCACAGACGACGCTTCCTTCTTCGTCGTTCGACATACCAATTACTCCAGCTTCGAATCAACTCAATATAAGCTGAAGCTTCCCACGTCACAGGGTACTCTCACGGTTCCTCGCACAAACGGCTCGCTCAGTCTCAATGGTCGTGACTCAAAGGTGGTTGTTGCGGACTACGATGTCCAAGGTACTCGACTTCTCTACTCCACTGCGGATGTCTTTACGCACGTGAAGCAGGATAACCGCACTTTACTATTCATATATGCCGGGGCTGGCGAATCCAACGAATTTGCGATTCAAGGGCCACCAAGTGGGAAGGTCAACCAGATTCAAGGAGGTGCATCTTACAAGGTGGCAAGCAGCAACTCTTCGAACTTCTTCACAGTTAGTTGGACGGCGTCAACTGAAAGGTCCATCCTTCAGATTGGCGATGACGTTTATGTCTACTTGCTTGGTGAGTCAATGAGGAGTCGCGCATTTCCATATACACCTCTACTAACGATTTCCAGACCGTAACTCCGCCTATAACTACTGGCTTACCGATATCCAAAATTCGACCTCGAAACTGATCATTAACGGACCTTACCTTGTTCGTACTGCCTCTGTCAGCAATGACGAGCTTCACATCAAGGCAGACTTCAATGCCACCACAACCGTTGATATAATAGGGGTCCCTCAAGGAGTTTCAAAACTCTTCATCAACGACGTAGAGACTGCGACAGAGACGTCAGGCCTCTCAGTACTCGCCGGTGTTACGGTAAAGGCTCCATCATTCAGCGTCCCCGACCTTACTGGGCTGGATTGGAAATACCTCGACTCTCTCCCCGAACTTCAAACCGACTATGACGACTCTCTATGGACAAACGCCGACCACACATATACAGATAACACGAAACAGCCCATCCTCGCAACCGTCTCTACGTATGGATCCGATTATGGTTATCACACCGGTGTGCTTGTCTACCGCGGCCATTTCAACGCCACCGGTAACGAAGTGAACTTCTCGTTATGGACACAAGGTGGAACTGGCTTTGCCTCTTCTATCTGGCTCGACGACCACCTAGTGTCGTCTTTCCTTGGAAACCCTGCTAACGACAGCTACCAAGGGAAATACGATATAACAGGTGGCGCAGGTCTCGAGGCCGGCTCGTCGCACGTCTTCACCGTCGTGGTCGAGAATGTGGGTCTGACCGAAAACTACGACCCTGGTGAGGATGACATGAAGGCGCCCCGCGGTATCTTGGGTTGGCGACTCGAGACTAGCAAGGCTACCAACACGCCTATTACTTGGAAACTTGCTGGGAACTTCGGTGGTGAAGACTACCTTGACAGAGTCCGTGGACCATTGAATGAGGGTGGTCTGTACATTGAGCGACAGGGGTACCATCTTCCTAGCGCCCCGACAGCTGAGTGGACGTCGCACTCTCCGCTTGAAGGTATTGGAATACCGGGTATCGCTTATTACTCGACGACGTTCGATTTGAACTTACCGTCGGATCAGTGGGATATCCCGCTGGCGTTCTCATTTGAGAATAATACCGAGACCTCTGGTGCATACCGCGCACAGTTGTACGTCAACGGATGGCAATTTGGCAAACTAAGCAGCAATATCGGACCACAAACAGTATTCCCGGTACCGGAAGGTATTCTTAACTATAATGGGACGAATTCCGTAGGTATTACGCTATGGGCACTTGAGGAAGGCGGTGCGAAGGTACCCGGCCTCTCACTTGTAGCTAGTACGCCGGTTTGGACCGGTCGGGAGAAAGTTGAGCTTGTCGAGAGTCCGACATGGAACCTACGCGAAAATTCTTTCTAAGGTATGCTATAAGAATTAGTTTCTTCGCAGATGTATTATTATAAATACGATCGAAATGAAGATGTGGTCAAATACTCTGGTCTTACCATCGTGCCTTTCCAATTCTAATACTTCACTCTGCGTAAGCGTAGGGTTAATCACTTTTCTCTTTTCACAGTCATCACGTTTACTCTAATTCGAGTACTTCAAAGATGCATGAAAGACAATTGTGTCTTACGGTAATTAACTACGGATCTGTATCGTCAGTCCTGGGGGTATCACCCTGGTCGCCTGTCCTCTAGTTTCATATCGGGACGTCGACGCCATCAACACCATGCCTCGATAGCATGGAAAAACAAAGCTCCATCGAATCCGTAAATCAGATTCTCAGAGCGAAAGCAACAAAAGAAATCCCTCCAACTTTCCTCAACCGCCTACTGGAGGAGGTTGGCCTCCCCATTCACAAATGTCTCGACGGTCTTTTCGTATAGAAAAACTTCCGTGAGTTTGTCAAACTCCTCCGCGGAGATTTCTACGCCTGCCAAGAAGTGGTTTATGATCATACCAGTTGATGAGTTTCCATGAGGCCTCAGGTCTTTCACCAATTGGCAGAAAGGGCCATCATATACTAGGACCCATCGTAGGAGCGCGAGTCTAGTGTTGATGTGCATACCGTGGGGTATGAGCGCATACGACAGGCGGTACACGATGTCTCCTTGGTTGGAATTATAGATGTCGACCCAGTCGCAGATCACATCTTGGATCCGGGGAGCGAAGTTGGCGACGCCCCTGTCCAGCTCACTCTCAAGGTACAGGCCTACCCAGTCGATATCCTGTGCCACTTCTACTTGGGGACCGGTGGGGTTAAATATCTCTTCCTGCGTCATAGCGTAGTGCTCCCCAAGAGGTGGTGCGTCGGGAATGATGAGGTTGGGGTCCTCGTCGATCAGCGCCTGGATCTGATCCATGGTGGTCGGTATGGGCGCTTCTTGAAGGGGAGCGACTTGCTCCTCCGCTTCGTGGGCGGGAGCGTCTACGTCAAGACGCTGGCGCTTGGGACTGGGTTCGGCCGGTTCGGGCTCAGCGACGTAGAAGTCGAAGTTGAAGTTGTTGACCTCCTCTTGCCATTGTGATATCACGTCGGGAATCTCGGGCTCGGGGGATTTCCGTTTGGGAGCCGCCGGTTGAATCGTCGCCGGCTGGGCGGTTGCCGGTCGGGTCGCTTCCGGTAAGGTCATCGCCGGTTGAACGTCAGCTAGCTGGGTGGATGCTGCCTGGTAAGTCGCGGGCTCAGGGATTGGTTCGTGATATGCCAACGGTTGAAGGCCCAGAGGCTGCGAATTTGCCGGCTGTTTGGGACTTGTTAGCTTACAGTGACTAACGTTACGGATTGGATGGAACTTACAAACTGTTGACGACTCACTGGTCGGCTAGTAATAGCAGGCTGAGGGTTTGTGGCCTGATAAGGGTTCACATGCTGTGGATAACTATTAGCCATTGGTAGCTCATAAGTTACAAGAGACTTACATAATTTTGTGACCCCGACGGGTGGGTATCCACGATCTGCTGGCCATTTCCAACCTGCTGGCTATCCGTGAACGACTAGAGACTTGTTAGAATTGGTAACTTAAGAGCTGGGAAAAACTTACCAGTTGCTGAGGGCCAATTGACCTAGGAGTCATAGCGGGCTCAGGTGATTCAGCCTGTGAAACACCGTTGAGCCATTCGCTAACTCGACGGCTTTTCTCTGCCTGTTGAGAACTGCGCGTCTGGTTTTGGGCAACAGGTTGGTAGCTGTTGCTTTTCGCGGCTTCCTGGGAGGTTGTTAGCTTCAAGGAGTCTATGGCTTATGAACAACTTACGATGAGACTATCAGCACGCGCACGTCCTTGCATAGCGTCCAAGAATGCTTGAGGACAAGCAGGCTCAGGATTCATAGGTTGCTAGAAATTCGTTAGCTTTCGACGACTTTCGAGTTACTAGATACTTACGAGACGCTGGGGTACCTCTAATTGAGCACTTGGGGCTTTCTGGGGCTGTCCGATGGCCTTCGGGATCGCAGCCTGCTGGGGGGTTGAAGGCTGCTGACCGGGAGTTGTTGGGTGGTAGCTCAATTGAGTCGGTGAGGCCTCGGAACGGGCACTATACGCGTCGCTGGGAGCTCTCTTTCGCTCCCATGGCGGGATTCCATCGCTTGGCCTTTGACGGGGCTCGTTAGGCTTCTTACGTTGCTGTCGGCGAGACGCGATTAGAGATCCCTGGTTGGGAGGCTGAATCAACGGCGGGTTGGGAGCGCTGGTCGTGGACGCGTGCTGAGGGCGGGGGTTACCCGCGGACGGCAGAGAGGGGGATGAATAACCAGCACTGCTCGTGGGATGATACTCAGTGGGCGACGCGCCTGAAGGTATGCGCGGACGCGCTAAGGGAGCAGAAGCCGGGCCCTGTTGATAGCCGGAGAAGCTCGGAAGCGCTTGTGAGTAATCTAGGCCGGCGTCCTCGGGGACGAAGGGGAGGGATATACCCGAAGGCAGCGAATTAGGGGTGGCAAAGCCTGCCGGAGCTTGGGCACTCGTCGGTGTTACGAGCGCCGGGTAGGAGGCGCCAGTGCTTGAAGTCGAAGCCCACGATTGGTTGGCGGGTCCTGAGAAGGTTGCCGACTGGGGAGTGGGCAGCTTCGCAGGACGCAGGGAGTTGTTGCGACGAGGATCCATCGCGATGGGTAGCGTAATGACGATCTGATGATTGGGGTTTGGTAGAAGAAAAGATAACGATGAAAATCGTGATGAAAGTCGGGAGTGATGATGATGGTTATTGATGAAAAGGTTGACTCTGGATGGTGCCAATTCCAAGGTCAATGTTTTAAGAGGAAAGGATGGAGAGGAAAATTCAGATTCAAGAGGACGCGTATATGTGTAGAAAAAAAGTTAGGTAGTGGGAAGTGCACCACCGTCTGGTTACCAAGGAGATTATTACGAGGATGTTTGTGTCGGCGGCATCACAGTACGGAAGCTACGGGTCCCGCGAGAGTCCTATTTACGCGTAGCCCTAGAGATACTTACACAGTAGATAACTGGGTTAGGGCGCGTTGAAGATAAACAATCAACTTTTCGAACAGTGCAGAAGGTACTATTCAATTAAAATCTGCCTCCACGATACTAGCCTTACCTGATAGGACTCGTAAAATAGGTCTGTAGTGACCCATATGAGGGTGCAAGAGCCGTAAACTAGTTAGAATTTTACGTTCTGGCTGTCAATTCTTCATCCGAAGTCCAATTGAGGGCTACTGACTGCGTAACTATTCGCTATACTAACTACGTTTATTTATTCTATTCATCTGAGTAGGTGAGCAGACCACTCTAGAAGTATGCCTGGCCTATATGCGAGTGGTAGGTGCTAGGTCTTGAAGGCATCGACACTGCCCCCGCGTTTGATATTGACACGACGGTAACCTCTTGATAAAGCACAGCCCCACAGTTGTTTTTTTGCTATTCTACTATTGCCGAGTGTCGACTGCCGAGAAATATTTCACGCTGTAATGCTAATAGCACTGGCGATCTCGCGGGATAGGGGCTAGGAAACCCAATTTGCAGACAGCTCTTGCTGCGTACCTACCTAGGTGGGTAGTAAGACCCTTTGACCTAGCGAGGGTTGACTTCAGATCATAACAAAATCGATAACGCCGTTCAATAACTTGGATTATCACAAGTAGAGGGCGATGATAATGAAAATATAGGATGGAATACGCGTTTATGGTCCCCGGCTATACGACAAGGGAATGTATTAGTGATATTTGCTACCTTGTGGTCATTTTCATCTTCGATACTTTTTCGTGAAGCAAAATGGCAGGAAACACGCATTGTTTACGCATTCTCAAGGCGGTGCCTTCAACACCGCTTGTAAACCTAGTCCACCTAGAATGGCATTATTGGGAATGATCAATGGAAACAAACACGCAGCCTGCGTCTGATGAAGTTCTGCGTGGGAATACCATTTACTTTTCAATTTCGGGGTTTGCGGCCCTGAGAATTTCCTACTTCGTACAAGGGCGTAGGTTAGTGAAAGTGATTTTTAACTATCTACCTAATAGTTAGCACGATCACCTACCTAGGTATGGTTCACTCAATTCAACGTTCTCAATATCTATCCTAGGGGGAACAATGTGTAATGGTCATATAAAATAGATTAATACGCCGACTAGCCTTCACTTATCTGCTAAAAAGCCATAGGTAGAAAGTACATTTAGTTTTAGTTATGATTGGCGGTTTACCTTTTGACCCTCTTCACCTCTAAGGGCCTACAGTTTCCCACGAGTATGTGCGATTTATTACTAGCACTATGTAGGAGTACATTGTGTTGTTTCGATATGGCAGATTTCAATTACCTCGATTTACTTGGGTACCTTTCTTAGACATATGAACGTCGGGGCTCTAACATGACCCAGGGCCAGCTTCCGGTAGGAGATCTATTACAGACTGGATCATGATGGACTTAACGACGGTTAATCGTTTAGTGATCAGACTCAGGCCTGGCTATCTATGTATATTACGTAAAGATCGGGTAGGATTGAGGAGCTGATTAGATACGTAGATGTATTGTAAAATATCGTGTAACCTCAGAGGCAATCAACTTCTAACATATTGACGGGTATTACAATGCTAATCTCCTGTCAACCTCATGAAACCATTTGGAAGCTCTTTACTTTATTATAGGATATATTATACATAACTCATTATATTAATTTTTAATGCCTATATTTTTTTGTACTATCTATCCTACAAACCTTCGTCGTAACTATGTTGGACTAGTTGTTTATCGACTCGCTTAATTTGACGACCAGTCAGTACAAATTGAACAAGATCATTGATACATGTGTATAAATCTAAACCAATGCTTACGTGTACTTAGTTATAAAGATGTGAAGATGTCGAATACACGGAAGTCAATCTTTGAGTACCTAAGTACACAAGTAAAAGTGTTGGACTTGAATGTACTTGAATAATGACGTTAGCGCCAGCAAGGGTTAGTAGTAGCCGATATCGGACGGGAAAAGAGTTATCAGATCGTAAGCGCCCCACTACCGTATTTGGGAGCGCCATTAATTTCCTCGGCTATACTTTTTTTTATCTGATCCGGTGCTAGCCATTCTATTCTCCACCCAATTATTCTTAATGTCTCCCATTTTCTCCCCTTGTCCCACTACGAACGTGGAACTCTTTCTTCCAATCCATCCGCTTAAAGTTATCTGATCCGCTGCTGCAGACCGCCAAGAACCACGGCTCTGGTTCGTTGTCACCCCCTAGTATGCAACCTTCCCAATTTCTGAGGTCCTACCTAGCTAGGTAGATTATTATTCAGTTGGCGGGCAGGGCTGGGGGAGTAGTGACGACTATGAAAGCACCTTTGATGTTGACGGCGCGATCCCTTGCATTAGTGCGGGAAAAGTTTCAGCGTAAGCTTATACGAACTTATACACAGACGGAAAGTAGGAATCAAGGAAGCGCCCCGAATACCTCATTGAGGAAAGCATTGTACATCTAGGTACTTACAATACTTGACTGCATAAAAAACAATGGAGACCCAATACTACTTACGTTTAGCTAGATGCCCTCATCTTGGAGCAAGAGCTAGGCATTGGGCCATAGCTTACCAGGGTCATGGCGGAATATCTCGGCTAGTCTACGTAAGTACATCTAGCTCTCTCTGAGCTTGCCTGCATGCTTCTATCGGACAAGGAAGAAGTTCGGAAATATCGCAAGGGATAAGAAATTTCCTTCCCAGCAAGACAATTGGGAAGATTTCTATGTGAAACAAAGTGAAAGGAATCTGCAATTCGAGCCTATTAGATACTCAATTGTAGCTACCAATCGCGATACATCCTCAACAATGTCACCCTCCGACAATGATCTAGTAATCAAGTTACCACATCCGTACCTCACTTCCTACATTCTTGTCAAAACCTCGCGCCCTTCAGAATCTACTCCATGGTACCAAGTCAAACAACAAGATGATGCTACTTCCACCAGCGAAAGCATAGCGCAGAAGCCGAAATCTCTACCTGAACGTCTTGATAGTGACACACTCTTCTTCACCGAACCCGCAGACCTAAAGTCAAGCGAGCGACCGCCTGAATCAAATAATACGCCATGGGGACGCGCTCGTCGCTCTCCAAGCTCGACCATCGCATGGGACGGCGCGACACCTCCAACTCTAGCGCAGGCTTGGCTCGTTATTTACGTGCTATTCACAGTGCGACCGTCAATGGAAGGATTTCGACTTGCACTCACGGGTACTGGTAAAGAAGCTCTCGCCGCGCAATTGAAAGCTGTGCTACTAGCCGTCGATCACCCAACCGCTGGAGGACTCGCTGATGAACTGCTCATCTTGCGTAGTACCTTCTGGCAAGGTGCTGGATCGCCATTTGGACCACGTAGTGTCTGGGTTCCTGATAGTAACTCCGATTCCGATGTCAACGCTAACTCCCTACCGAAACCGCTATCGACATACCCATTGACGCCTCTCGAGCACACAATGACATCTGAAGCAGGCGGTGCGCCAGCATGGCACCCGCGACGACCCGCGAAGCCGCGCCCGGGGTCAGTGGTGTATAGCCGATGGATTCCGCATCTACGCGAAAACTTCAGTATGGTAGCGCTAGATTGGGAGAATCCGGAACACCTAGAATTATTCCACAATTGGCAGAACGACCCGCGTGTGTCGCAGGGGTGGAATGAGACGGGATCGCTAGAACAGCATCGCGAGTATCTCCGTCGCGCTCACGTCGATCCTCATCAGATCACGCTGTTGGCTGCTTTTGATGATACGTTCTTTGCTTACTTCGAAGTTTACTGGGCTAAGGTACGTACGAATGAGAAAACTCGATTGAATTGTGCTAATGGTTTGATCCTCATTTAGGAAGATCGATTGGGCGCATATTACAGCGCGGGCGACTTTGACCGAGGACGGCACTCACTTGTCGGCGATGTTCGATTCAGAGGCCCGCATCGTGTGACAGCGTGGTGGTCAAGTTTGATGCACTATTTATTCTTGGATGATCCGCGTACCATGTACGTTGTAGGTGAGCCCAAGTACACCAATAGCTCGGTGCTGGCGTACGATTTTATGCATGGTTTTGGTCTTGATAAGTTCGTGGACTTACCTCACAAACGTTCTGCCTTTGTGCGATGTTCTCGCGAGCGTTTCTTCCAATTGGCGCCTCTTGGTGAGAGTGAGAAGGTTGTAGGTGGTACGCTGGTTGGCCTGCTCCCTAAATTGTGAGGACAGTGCTGTTATTACATGTTAAGTCCGAAGAAATAAAACAACTCAGGCTTATCTTTGGAGGACAAGGAAAAGGTGTGGGCACGATATTAAATGTAAATCAATTGATTAAATTGCGATATATCCATCAACTACTTAAAAAAAAATATCAATTTCAGATTAATATCATACTATCGTGACCTATCTAATATTTGTGATCGTGGAAAAAAGAACTTGGTCGTAACTATTTCCGAGTATCCTCTATTAACGCCGATACACCCTGTTAAAATCACAGCGCCGAACGAATTATTTTCTTACGCCTTAGTCCCCCCAAGACGAAGATGATCCCAGACAACTATACGATGATAAGTTAGCAACCACTCATTTCATACACGATCAAAATAATATCAATAAAAATGCGAAACTTACTTCTGAATCCCAAATCTTCCTCAAAGAACCATTCCATAATCTGTTTACCATGCTTCATACCTTCACCGCCATACGACAGCGCGTTCTTGCCAACAGCTAAGCCGATCATAGGCGGAATCTCATTTAGTTTGTGGAAGGTAGGTTCCTTGCCCTGCAATTCTTGTAGCATCAACTGATGGATGTTAAGTCCAGCGTAATGACCCTGGTGCATCGCAGACCCGCATCGCTTGATGCCGGACCAGTGAATCAAATCTCCGATCGCGAAATGCGTATCCGCGTTCGCGATCTCATTTCCGTCTTCACTCAACAACTGCAGCGTTGGCCGCACACGGACGTACTTCTCTTCCGTCTGTGTCGCGGTGGGTAGATAAGAAGTCGAAGGTTCACTACGGGAGATGGCGAGGACGACTTGGCTGGCGAGCATTTTATGTCCGTTCTCGAATTCTACTTGGAAGACCTGCTCGTCGGCACCTGTAGCCTCGTTCTTGCGGGTGATAGGAACGTGGCTCTTGAGACGGTGCTCGAGGAGCACGTCTACGCCCGTGTTCTTTGTAAGCTCGAGAGCGCAGTCCTTGACGTTATCAGGGAGAGGCTCGGCGGATAGGAGCTTTGAGCGTGAGTGTGCTAATGTGACTTGCACATGGGGCTGCGTCACTTTGAGTTCTGCGGCCATTTCGATGCCTACGGCGCCTGTTTGGGGTGTTAGTGGGGATTGCCGATGAAGAGTGAGGGGTAATGAGATGGCTTACCTCCACCAACGATTAGAACGGGTGCGGTGCTGTTGATGACGGCTTTGATATGACGGCCTGCTTCTTGAAGGTAGTCATCACGCTTAAGAGATTGAGGCACGACAGGCCAGACGCGACGAAGGCCGGTGGCAGCGACGAAGAAGTCGTAAGACTCGGAACGTTCCGCACGCTCGGGTTGTTCGAGGATAATTGCCGTCTTGCTTTCGGGGTCAACGCTGCTGACGGTGCCGTGGACGAAACGGACATCAGGCCGCTGTAGAATTGGGATGTCCTTGAATTTTACCCAGGCCTTCTCAGCATAACTGCTGGAAGCCAATGCTAGGGGCGAGCCGATTACATGGTCTAAAAAGATGGCCGGTTAGCAAACGGAAGAGGATCGGCGTGGGACGGCATGAATGTGGCTGCAGTCAATCTGTATGAAGCCGCAGTAGTCTTCATGCAATGCATGTATGAGAAAGATTACTTACAAAAGCCATCGCGCTCATCGACGATGGTGATGTCAAGGGGAATCGGGTCCTCAATTGTGTCACACTTTTCAAGCAGGTTGACAACCGCAGCCAGGCCACCATAGCAGCCACCTGCAATCAGAACCTTGTAGGGGTTGGCGGTGGAGCGGCCGATGCTAACGTTGGTGGAAAATTGCGATGCCATGGCGAATCTTGCTGTCGGAGAATTAATCGGTGTTGAGTGGAACCGTGGAGTCGTTGCGGTTGCGCTGCAGTAGAGCACGCAGCAGTATTTCAGAGATGGGGTTAGACAAAGACCGGCAGAGAAAGCATTCAGATTGCGGAGGCAATTGGTAATTGTTGGCCTTAAAAACATCAACTTTTAATAATCCCTCCTCTTTTTTTTCCTTTTTGAATTTTCCCTACGGCTGGCTGCGTTATAAATTGAGCAGAGGAAAAAAGGAGATAGACACGGAAAAGGAGTCAAGGGTCAAACAGTGTTAGCCTCTCGGTACACGGAACACGTTCTGGGAAGATGGGCTGACGAGGATAGAAGGCATTGGACTCGTTTATTGACGAGGTAGGGAAATTAAGGGAAAAAATGAAAAAAGATGATAATCAGGATCACCCCTAGTCATTATTATGTATGTACCCGGACGGTCCAGGTAGGGAAGTCAAGCCAAACGACCGACTTGGGAGACGATTATCACGATTGGGCCTATTGTACCGTGTGCCAAGGGGGCCACATGGCGTCAACGGACTTGCCCCTTCTAAAAAGAAGTACCCGTCGGTTCTGTGGTTGATGGTACACCCCTGCCATTTTCAGTGTGATCTCTACCTCCATCCCCTAAGAAGGTTAGAAAAATTTGCATATGTATATGCCAAACAGTGACATTTCATCCCTTTCTTACCTAATTTTATTGTTTTCATTAGCATAGGCGAGTTAATCAAACGACACGTAGAAAACACTTAATCGGTTTACTACTTCCAATTCGCGGGAAAGGTACTAGGCCGGTTTCGACGTTTCATTTCCACAAGATCTGATAAGGAAGGAAAAGCAAAAGAAGCGGTGATCACGTCAACACTGCGCTAAAAAACCGACAACACAATGGCTGGGTGGATCGGTGGGGCAGCGGGGACAAAGTTATCTGATCCGTACTTTGCAGGGGTACCAAATTGTTGAACTACCTAGTAAAGAGCGAAACCGGCGGCATATTCGGCCGATTATTACCCCAGACCTATCCCCAGCAAGTACATACATCTCGGTACGTCTCGGTACAAGACATTCCACACAGCTGTGATGGGGAACTACCTCCATTTCTCCTCTCTATATAACCGCTACATGTATTAGCATGTGATGTGATTATTACGATTATTGGAATTGCCGTGACAAGGTGGTCAAATTGTACAAAAGTAAGTTTAAACTAATTGGTATACTTCCAAGAACCGCTCTGATCACCAGACGCAACGCCTCCAAAAAGAAACACACGCTGAATTAGAACGGATTCTAAGGGTTCAGCCGCATTGTTTGGATGTTGAATCCCGCTAATCGAGACAAGACGTGCATATGACCGAGATTATGGCAGGAATATGCGATCGATTAAGCGGTGAAACCCATAGGGATAATAATTCACAGAAACTAAAACCGGAATACAGAAGCCTGTTGTACAGGAGGACTGGAATCCTTGGTGTCTTTAATAACACCGACAGACTGGGATAAGAGCCTCAATTGTCTCTTTCGGGTAAAATGTTAAATCCAATCAATTGGGACTACTTAATCCATCAGAATAATATCCCACTCGCATCCCTATCATGTTACATTCTGGAGTCGAATCCTCCCCATGATCGGTGATGCGACAGTTAATCGCGACTCGTAGCCCCAGTGTCACCACATCGTACATGGGTACTAACTGAGTCACGGCGCAGCTGTAATTATAATCTGATAAAATTGGTATTACACTAGCTTAAATATTTCGGTACTTAATACTGGCTTATGTAAGTTATAATATTAGTATGTGGTATTATTCACACACTTACCCAATCGCGAAATTCAATAACTAGAGCTTTGAAAGAAGTACTTGATAATCTCATCGTACATTATAAGGTCTACCCAGATAGGATGAGAGAAGTTCTAATTCTTGATTCCTTAAGACTAGGTGACCATCCCATGTTTGCCCGTCTATAACCGACGGTGAGTCCGCAGCTGTTTTATCATATTTTCATTCTTGTGACTAACGCCACCCGCGTAGTCGTAATGCTTCTTGCCATGTTCCAGGAGCTATGCCAAGCATTGCCAATCCACCCTTGCTCATCTGTATGTGGAGAACTATCATAGTCCTACTTGATTTCGATAAGTGCCTCGTATTGTGCGCCATGGTATCCTGGCTATATGGTTTACATAGAGCCTCATCTTTAACGCATGGCCACCGTACCGAGTTTCCTTGGAGATTTTTTCAATGACACCTTATGGTCTTTTGACCTCCTAGTTCATACCACTCTCTGCGAATATCCACGATCGAGAGTACTACAGTCGTGGGACATACCGGTCTAATAAAACTATTCTAACTAATTGGAAGGTCTCATGGCCTTAAGATGTTGTTATGCAAGTGTCATTACAACAGGTTTTCTCTTCATTCAATGTTCTAGACCAAGCCACTTTGAAAGCCAGGCTACTTTTAAGGCTATCATATAAATGCGGTGTATCAATAAATCCCACTCGATTTTTTTAATGAAGTCATCGCGGGGCTCGTTAAATCATGTGCGGGTAGACTTGTGTTACTTGGGTTCAGCAATCATTGTCCAGACAGGGACGGTAGCAGATGACTTCGGTCAATGGATAAGGGCCCTAAAGTGTCCCAAGCCGATTTATGAAATTGGATACAACTTCCGAGGTATACATACATGATCTAATTACTGTGTAAAGAAGAGTATGACCAGCTCAGAGCGATTCCAAAATGTTGAGGTACCCATTGTGCCTTGTCGTAGTACGGAGTGGGGGTATAATGTCAGCAATAAACCCCACAAAAACCCAAAATCTTTCGCACTGGACTCCCTTTGCAGCAGCTCCATGACCTTATTTTTATGCGCATTCATTGTTCGGCTTATCTGATAGAGAAAAACTGAGTCGTGTTGGTAAAGTTTCGCTGGAGAGTCCGCTTGAGCCAATGAGCGTCAACGTACCGCTAGAGGCTTTCCTAATCCGGCAATTGGTTACCATCCTGAGTGCACTAACCCCAACCCCAACCCTAAACCCAGCTTTGACCTCAACCCTAACCTTAACTTTAACCCTTACCCCTACCCTAACTTCATGTCAACCCTAGATGAGCAATCACGTACGACGCACTCATTATATACTCATAACCAGCAAGAGCCTGCTATCCAAAGTATTAGCTCTGCCGAAACATTATAATTCATAATTATTTTATGTATTTATTCTATAATGATGATGCGAGGAAATCCTAACGCCAATTTGTACCCTAAACCCTAAGTCTAAATATGCTATCCCCAAATCACCAACCCGTATTCGCGATATATGGCTCTATGATATTTGTCAACTCCCTAGAACCGTAACTTCCCAGTTCCGACTCAAATCCAATCATAACACTATCCCAATCTTGTTGCGCCATGGGAAACCCATAGTCTTCAGAGATTGGACGCCCACCATTATATATGCTCGGGTCCTCATTTGGATTGTCGAGAGGGAAGCCATTATTAGAAGCTTGTCCCTGAAACTCGGCAGCTTTTAAGGACGAACTTTCGTTGGCGCTCGATACTATAAGGGTAGCGACGCGACCGAGTCTCTCACAAGCGTCATGTATCTTTTGAGTGCTTGGAGAATCAGCCGCCCCCTGGCCTAGAACCGAGACCGACGAAGATAAGAGAGCTAAATCAGCATTAGACGACGTGGCAATGGCATTACCAGCTAAAACGATAAATGGTACAAAGGGTGCTAGCGACAAGATCCTACAAGATGTTAGCAGGGGTAAAGTGGGACATGATTTTGAGCTTACACATTTAACAACATGGTCCACCCAACCAAATCATCCTTTAGTCGTTCCTCGCCAAGCTGTACGAACCTAGATAAGGCTTTGCGCGCTGCATCTATGCATTCAACTGAGCATTGTAGCGGATGAGGTTGCACGGAATTTGGTGGCAGTATCCGATATACAATGGTCAATAGCGAGTGCATGATGATATTGAGTAACCCAGCGGCGCCGCCGTACATCTTGTCCCATGATGGATCTTGTCTTGTCTAGGGAAGTTAGGAATATGACTGAGTGAAGTGTCTTTAAGGTTCATACCGCTACGACAGAATCCTGAATCGCTTTCAGCCTAGAAGCAAGTTCCCGCACATGATGAAGGCGAGTTTCGTGTGGTAGGTTTCGTGCCGACGCTGAAAACAGCTTTTGTTGAATTTCCCCGGTGATGATTGCGTAATCTAATATAGCGCCGTATACCCTATTTCATGTTAGTATTGTCAAATCGTTTAACATTATAAACTTACCGTCGTGGAGCGTTGATGTATTCCGCTAACGTAGCGGGATGGGGTGTGGTAACATCGTAATGGTGTATAATAGGTGTTCTACCTGATGTCATGGCGAGCCCCTTTTCCCAGGTGTATATGTGCCAGAAGATGGAGCTTTTCCGTCTAGTATCCTCACTGTCTAGGTTATCAGACAGGCGATGAAAGCCCAAGTCCAAGCAAGCTCTTGCAGCAGCGCTGATTAACCTCCACGCAATTGTGTTATGTCCGTCCTTCAGGTAAAATGTCCCCTAATAGGTCAGGGTCAAGCCACACATTTGAGTATAGTTCATACTTACAAGTAATGATAGAGCTCGACATGATTCCGTTGAGGGCTCTGAACATAAGCGAAGACTTTGCATTGCCGTTTCGATATTCTCCTTCAGCAACTTACCATGCGATCGTATTGCTTCGACAGTCGTACCCATCCGCCTACATTCACCTTCGTCAACGCCAAAGAAAAGATAGTAGAGTCCAATGTTGACGCATATCCATGTCCAAAGCGAGATTGGCTCCGTTGCGAAGTAGACCCCACGGCATATTTCAATGAATTCATCTTCTTTAAAAATTGGAAAGTCAACGAAAAACTGCTGTTTGTGAACTTTGGCTAGGCGTAGAATTTTGAGAACAAGGTCTATTGGAGGCAAGGGCAGATTCCCAAGTTCTGTGCCGTACGTAGGCTGAGGTGGTGTATGAGGACCACGATCCGATACGGCATGATCGGGTGGATCCGCGTCATGAAGTAATTCTGCGACTCCTTGTGGAGATATAGCTGTAGGTGCACCTAGAGCCTCGACATTGATGAGTTCGGAAGTGGCGAGAGCTGTCTCCAATGCATTTTTGATTCGGTGGGCATGCGACTGGAAAGAAGGATCGCCATTATAGCCTTCGCGGACAGTAGATAAACTAGGCACTTGTTCGTCAATCATAGCTGGCGGGGTATTATGGGTCTGTTCTGTCAACGTCTCTTTCGGAGCTGGTGTGATATCCTTGCTTATCAGGAGACGTTGAAGCATTTCTTTGACGTCGCTGAGCTGACGCCCGACATCCTGAACAGCTTCATCGTATTTCGATGATAGAAGAACCCGCTGCCGCTTCTCGGGTGCTCGGCGCGTAGTCCGGCAAGCAACATTAAGGGTTACACAGCTTGCGCATGGCGATCGTCTGTCGCACTTAGTCTTTTTAAGGCGTCATTATGGTTAAATTCAATATTGGAGATTAAGCAAGTTGCATACCTTTCTGGCCTTGCAGTTATCGCACTAAACCGGCGTCGCAACAATTTTAGTATTACTAATCTGCATATGAGTGCCATTAGATTGAGGAGGGGTCCTTACTGCCTGTCGTCGCTCCAATGGAACGCTAGGTTCTGTTTCACTCATCTTCAAAAAGGTGTACTAAATCCGGATTGCGACATGAAGATGGAGTTGGACGGGATCATTCTCAAAGGCCTCGGGTCCCGACGATACTCTAAATTCATCGGATCCCGAGGCCGCCGATGATTGGTGTAGTCCTAATTAAGTGGAGGAGGAATAGGATCATAGTGGAGACGACTAGCAGGTAAGATGCTGACACAGCCACCCTCATTATACTCAACCTGCTATGACGAACCCTTTCTTTTTGTCGAAGTAATAGAAGAGGTTGAAAGAAGGTCCCTAATAACTCTATATCACCCCTTAATTAATAAAGACATAATGCTCAATTGCTAGATATGTATCAAATGGTTATTCAAAAAGGCATCCTGGTAAGTGGCTTACAAAGATAATTACTTTATGAGGTATTCACAATGCGAAGTAGTACCGTAAGCAATATTCAGGGGTAAAAAAGGAGGCGGAGACTAGCGGTTTACAGGCAAAAAATGAATTAATACAATGTACGAAGAAAAAAACCGTCTAATAACCTTCTGATACCCATTTATACCATAATAAAATTACAGTCAAAAAATTTGACACAGCTTCAGCCAGGAGCAAGCACCAAGGCACTATCCGTCATTCATCATTTGACTCTTGAAATCTTGAAGCCTCCAGGAATGCGCTTCTGGAATACTTCGTTCGGGTCGTATTTGGCAGCAACATCTCGTATGTGCTGAATATTATCGGCTCCGTAGCTTCCGAGGGGGTCCTGACTCGCGTCCGCATAATTGAGGTAGACGAAGTCGATATCCCCTTGTACTGATCTCGCGTACTCCTTAACCTGTGCCGTCAACGCCTTCAACTCGGCCCGTGCGATCGCAAAAGCTTCATCGCCTTGATCCGGTTGAATTGCAACGCCGAAAGTCCACAAGATAGCGTTATGTTGGACACTATTCTTGAACCCAAGCATGTTTCCACCTCGCTCTTCGGCAACCTTCCCCATGTAAGATGGGATTGGTTGGAAGAATACCATTGTCACAAACTTAGTGGGATCGATGGAGTGTTTCAGAGTCTCGATAAATTGCTCATGAAGTTCATTGCAGCGACGGAGTATTCGAGGGTCGTTGTAAAAAGTCAACGTTGTTCCAATGTCCCTTTTTCAATTAGTAAACCTTGACCAGACAGAAACGGCTGGATTTAACAAACCTAGTGCCTCCTGGAACCTGCGACCCAGCAGCAGCCTTTGCCATACTCTGGCTAACTGAAACATTAAGCATAGCAGGCAGGTTCTTAACCTTATCAAATGATGTCGTAACGTTGCTGTGCCCTTGCGTGTTGACATAGATTTCGCCGATAGATATTTCCGAACTCATCGAAGCGTTGTAAGTGAAGAAGGTCACAAGTGCATTGTCGTGAAGTGACTGGTCCTGGTCGGCGAATTCAGCGACAGCTTCGATCGCGGCCTCGGAGTAGTTGTAGCTTAGATAGCGCAGGTCGTAATACAAATCCCGAGCAGGGAGAGCTTCCATATCGTATCGAGTCACGATACCGAAGTTGCTGGTACCCCCCTTCAAGGCCTTCCACAAATCCGCATTGGACGTACTGTTAGCGTTGACAATAGTTCCATTCGCCAAAACCACTTCAAAGTTCACGACAGAGTCACAACCAAATCCCATTCGCCCCGAAAAGAACGAGTTCCCACCCCCAATAAGGAACCCTCCAACACCGACGTCGCCATCTCGGCCACCGGTAACAACCGCTCCTTGCTTATCAAGATCCGCGTATACATCCCTCCATCGGCCGCCAGGTTCAATGCAGGCGATGTTGGTTTGAGGGTCGTAACTCGAAGAATTCATCAAACTCAGATCAATGGTTACTCCGTTATCAATATTGTTGCTTCCAATCGAACTATGGCCTCCGCTGCGGACTGCGATGTGCCAATCACCCGCGCCATTGTCGACACCAACCAACGTGGTCAAAGTGGTAGCGACTTCCTCACGATTACGAGGTAGAACAAAACAGTAAGGTCTCTGGCGCGAATTTTCCGAATACCAAGACTCGACTTCGGGTTCATAGCCGGGATCCGTGGCGAAAAGAAGTCGATCGCCAAGACCGGCTTCGATCAGAGCGTCGCACTATCAAAGGGTAAGAAACAACATATGACGCATGCAAGGTATAGCCCCTCAAATGCTGCAGATATCACAACTTACAGGTAGAATTCCGCTGGTAGTGGTGTTTACTCCCGAGCTACCATTCGTATACGATAGTGAAGAAATGAACACCCCAGATGATGCTGATGCCCCTCCGCTGAGGATAGCAGCAGCAATGTAAGCTCTCAACATGATGAAATTTTCTGAATATCAGTCGAGATAGAGCGGTGAACTAAGACGTGCTGGGTGAAGTTGGGTTGAGAATGTATTCCATGAGCTTAGGGACGAAGTCTCATTTATATGCGACTTGTTGTCAACGTCCTAGGTCAAATTCTAAATTGGTCCTCTCTCCAATTATCGTGCCTTGCGCAGCCTCCCGACGCTTTCAGCTATGGTGGATACCGCGAGGCTCCGATGCGATAGAAGATCATCATTATACCGCCGGAATCGTGGTAGGACTTGAATGAACTTTTCGGAGGCCTAGGGGCCCGATCACTCCGGGAATTCGGACATGCCCCCCGATGTCAGCATTATTACGTACTGCTGCCATCATATACACTTCTGTTGGATACCGCCTCATGGAAGATCGTCAAAAAGGAATTAAATTAGATTCAGCTGAACAAAATCCACCTTATTTATTCACCGTCGCCGGTAGTCAACTTTTCCTAACGAAGAGTTATGTTGCTTAAAACGTAATTTTACGTGCAGTTGCCCCAATAAATGAGCCCAGCCAATATCGGTCCGCTTCTCTGTGCTTATATCCGTACATTTTTAACTCTATTCTGACGTCGTCGACAGTTTGGATGTCCCGAGTGTAGCTATTGCCGAGGTGAAATACTGGATACTGGGATGTTGTAGTCGATATACGGATATCATCGTACAGAAGGATGAGCTAAAGCGTATATAGATAAATCGGGATATATGCGTATAACCTATGAAAGCTGAGCAATGCTTATGTCATCCAAGGTATGGAGGAATTTTTTTGTCGCTCAAACATTGACAGGCAATATTCTTCCAAATTCACAGCTTCAGCTGAAATCTTGATACGGCTCCTCACTTACCATTAAGACAACAAGATGCTGACAAGAAGAGACCATCCAAGTCAAGACGCCGTCGATTCATACTCATAGGTCAAAGAGAGAGTATTCGAACGGCAGTAAGGAAGCCGCTAAGTTCCTTCGCTCTAAAGATGATATTGTCGTTCTTCTTCAAGAGCGGGGTGAATGATGACTCATTGATGACAAATCTCAAAATATGAAGTGTGACTCTCAGTGAGATCACGTGATTTATTGACACAGACAAGATATTTCCTATGATTGCAAGGCTTGGGGCTCTCATATGGCCTAAAAGATTGCCGACTATACTCGATCATTTGAGGGAAAAGTTGTAATTACAGCGGTATTCAAAATTGACCTAGGAATCAATATCCAGAAGCCCCAGTGCGTTCCACCCCCTCAAGTGTACTACGAAGATAGACTATATCAAGTTCACACTGGCTCATATTTCTCAGACACAAAGGGATTTATGTTAACGCTGTCCTACCAAATTCTCAATGTTGAATTGAAAACTTGGCATGCGATATAAATGAGTGACATATTCTATCCGACCCAAACCCTACTCCCCGTGATACCCAAAACCGATGACTACCACCCAACCCAATGCATATTGCTAATGACAAGTCTTTCTAGTCCCCAAGAAGTACGCCGATGAACCTTCCCGTGCTAGATTAAAGAGTTGGCATCTTGCGCTTAGAAGCTGGGGCACTTCTCAGGGTCACCGCAGCCGGGGCAGTAGGTGGTCCTAGTGCCATCGGAGTTGTCGATGACACTGCAGGGCTTGCCGTCACCTCCCTGAGATCCAGCGCACTGTAGTAAGACATATTGGTCAGTTATCGTGTTTATAACTCCATAACTCCTAATAGAAGAGTCGAGCGGGGCTCTCTGGGTTAAGGGGTTTACTTACCGATCCAACATTGCACTCAAAGTTGGCAAAGACAATTTGGCAAGAAGTACCGTTGCAGTCCTAAAGACGAATGGATTAGCTACATGAGGCCAAGATAATGGCTTTATTCGTATCTGGGAGTATTGTGCTACTCACACCACGGCCGGTTTGCGCTTCACGCTTGGTAGCTTCACCAGTGGGAGTTGCGGCCACTGAGGAGGCGATCGTCAAGGCGATGAGGAGGGAGCTGAGGCTGAACTGCATTTTGATGGGGTTGGAAGAAGTGGGAAGGATAGTTCCTTGATTTTGGTGTTGAGAGTGGTTGGGGTTGTTGTGTTTGAGTGATGATTGTAGGTGAGTTGTCCTGTGATGCTCTTCTTTTCTTTCTCGAGATGTGCGGGATCTCTTCGACTTATATACCCGACGTCGCTATGCCTTAGGACGACAACTATCACAAGGCCGCCATCCTCATCATAGAGTCGACTTCACAACTTTCGTCTTGCCACCAGGCTATCCAGGTAGTAGTTGGTCATCGTTGCTCAGCTTACTGCAGGCGCCATGCTATGTCGTGTGGTCGATGGTCAGGCTAGGCCAATATGCCTATACTAGACGGCTTAGATGGGTGTGGAGATATTGCTTACTGCTTCTATTCGAGAACAATTCTCTTATGCCTAGCGTTTGCTAAGACTCATGATAGAGTAGTTGGAAGTCCTACGCTAACATCTCAACACAGCTTTACCAACTATCCCACCAACTCAGAAATCCTGAAGGCAGTGACGTTCCTGCAAAACAACAACTTTCCATACCGTTGCTGCTACTTGTTTTCGCATGTTTCAAGTTGGAGATACCAAACCAACCGCCAGTATGTATATGTGCATGTATAGGAGATAGTGCTACATGACTGCTATTAGTCGCTATATTGGGGTGCAACGGAGCACCCAAATATCAAGGTTATACCGCAAAATCGAGTTAGGACTTATTCTATTGCTAAATCTATCTAGTAAGGGGTTATTTCCTGCGAGGTATTATGGTCTCCTATAAGCCATTTTCGAAGACAATGAGGAGAATGAGGAGAAAGAGGCTTGTCCCACATACACGCGCAACCATAATTATGTCTCTGCAGCAGTTAGTTGCGAGTTCCCCGCGCAAGAAGGAACATTGTCGCCACTCCGCCGTGTGATGGTCTTGTGATGCGATTTATCATTACGAGTTAACTTATTTTACAAGCTTCATCCTCCAAAAACAAATGCGCGAAGGATTCTTCAATCGTGGCTTCGAACATCTGAGAATGATATGTTAGGACACAATATTATATTCTTACCCCGACGTTGCCATCAGTTAAGTGGATCACGCCATAAGCCACAACTCAACTCTGTCGTCGACAACTATTATACGCTCGGAAAAGGTTCGCTCGTAAGCTATACATTCGATCGGTGGCGTGAAAATTGATTATTTGAAGCGTTCGCGAGTCTCCACTTAATTACAATATTACAACTAATAACCTCACGGCGGCGCTAACGTAAGGGGCACCCGGTCTTATTTGGTGGTCAGCAAAACACAGGCTGCGAGAGCCAAGAGGCTGTGCTATTTGTTGAGCCGGAAGCAGGCTTACCATAATCGGAAATCTTATAATAAGCGGACACGGCATTGCATGCGGCTATTTATTGGATTAGTCAACTATGTGAGATATCGTTTCGATCTTAAGTAGTATTCGAAGAGCTATAATATAAGGCACACTACCTAACTGGACGAAAATGATGACTAGAGTTTTGTGCAACTAATAGCCCCAGACTCCGACGTAGACCGAGAGGCTCCGGCACTCCGGCATACTCTTGGCCTTACGGCAGAGAAATACGTTGGTAGGCAACAAGTGAGATTCTTAGAAGGGACGAGTGGTTCCAACATCATAACAATGACAGTAGCAACACCGCAGATCGGTCATTGCTAAGTGGACAAATAGTAGTGGAGAAGCGGTCAAAATGAATTTATAAATCCATGTGACACTACACACCCAATAGTGGATTGAATATTTCATTTCTCCATGGAGGAATACGCAGTCAGTTACTAAATATACGTTTTCCATCACTTTTTTGTATTTCAAGTATTATCTTTTACCGTCCGTTAGCTTGGCAGCGCGCCGTTCAAGCTCGTATTCTCAATGCACGTTTCCATTTACTCCAAGTTCAGTAGTGGGCGTTCAAATATTGAATGTATCAATGCCAATATGCCGAATGTAAGGCAAGGGTAAGCTTTAAGCCGAGCACGCACGGGGAAGTAAGAAGGGAAAACATTTTCCCCCTATCCTTTTTGCTTAGAAATATAATCAACCTAGGGCACTCCGGGGTTTTGTGTTTAAATACCAAAAGTAATGGTTCTAAGAAGTATCACTCACAATTTACCACTAGTTCATCCTTCGTCATACCTAGGCATTGTGTAAAGCCTTGGGAGCTGCTTCTTCCTCGCTTCCCCAATAAATTGAAGATAGCGATGAAAAAACAAAAGAGAGACAAAAGAGAGACAAAGGAAAGACAAAGGAAATAAAAAAGCGAAATGTATATAGAGGAGGATACGCATCCTGGAGGCAGTGTAATACCAGGTATACGTGGACATCCTGAACCTCTATATACACCCCAAAACAAGATACAAATAAAACCAAAAAGAAACCCAAAAAGGAAAAAGACAAAATGAACATGAGAAATGAGAGGGTTAGATTGAAATCAAAAAGGGGTGAAGAACTCGGGGCTACCTTGTAGCGATTAGCGGTAGAATGGGTAGAAGAGAAGATAAGGAGAAAAGAGACAAATACAACATTTAAAGAGCAGAAACAGAAAAAAAAGAAGATACAAGGAGAAAACATATACAGGCAATGAAAAAAAGGGAACCAAACTCCGGTCAATCACTCCCGCCACCAAGGCGTCTTTTACAAAGTGAGTTGGGCCCCATGGCAACCCACCCGACCGCGCACTCTTCCATTGAAGTTTCCTATATTGCCAGTTGAATCAGTCCGGGAGGGGTCTCGCACGGAGATAGAGGATCTGCACCCGACCTTCAAGCTCGAAGGCGCCATGATTAAGGGGGACAAACCGACCTTGTCCCCCACGCTACGGCTCAGTCCAAAAGAATGGACGGCCTACGCATCTAGCTGGGCGTTGCGTCAAACGCAAGATAAAAGGGTCCGCATAAAGCGAGCCATGCCGGCAGAATCCACAGCGAACCGAGGGTGACCCAGGCTCAGGCAGGAGAGTTTGCTTGATCCCCCCCGAGTGTACATGGGGCGTGGTCCATGTACAAAGGAAACCCGCATCGCCACCGTCGCTCCAACTTGGTAGCAACGGATATCTCTTTGGTCCCGTAGAGTGGCAATTATACCAATCTTCTCGATCAACTAACAGGAAAGGCACACTAAGTAGGAAAAGATCACACTGAGCCTAACACTCCTCCGTCAACGAGTATACACCCGAACGAGAGGGAAGAGGTCCAGGGACGCGCCGCTAAAGCGACCAGTCGTGTCCGGTGCCGATAAGTGACTACGACAAGGCGTTTGTTTAATGCCCTCGTGGATTGTACGCGAGTGAATGACAATAAGGTATGACTACATGCGCCGTATGCGGACTGGTCGATTTTCGACAGTTACGTCCCTAGCGATGCTCTCTTCACCACAGAGGGCTGTTCAGGGACCTTTGAGTATGGGGGAAGGAGGAATATAGGACGGAAAATGTTAGCATGTTGTGGACGGTATGGGTTGGGATATCTCGCCCTGGGCTTCCTAGGTGTCATGGATATTGTGAAGATCACGAAGTAGAAAACAAGAAGTTGAAAACACGATTTAAAAATAGGAACATGATTCAAGAAGGAAGCGCGTAGTGAATTACAATTGAAAGGGATAGGGAAAAGGGTAGGGGAGAAAAGCAAGTTAAGAAATTGATTGTGGGAGTCGGAGAAGGAGATGTGTGATGTGGAGATGGAGTAGGATAGGATTCTGGTGGGAGATAAATGTATGTAGGTGGGAAGGTAGAGGATTTTTTTTTGGGAGAAAGGGAATTGCATTTTATAGGGTTTTAGGTAGAGGAATGATTTGTGGGTGGCTTTTTTCAAGGATGGAAAAAATTGTTGTTGTGGTAGTGCACTGGGTAGAGTAGGAAGGTGGGTTAAGGATAGAAGGGAGAAGGGAAGGGGACCCATGTTGATGTAAAATGTAAAATGGATGGAACATGTAAAAAGCTAGGAACTTGTAAAATTATTGGTAGAAAGGTATCGAAGGAGGAAAGAACGCATCGCACTGGCATAGGTACTCTGGAAAACAACGACTAATGCCTAAGGACTTTCTAAGGTGCCCACCTAGAGCGAGGCATACTAAAAAACCACTGTCCCAAACATTACAGTGCTAGGAAACAATTAGAGTGCCAAGTAGGTAGGTGCGTCACTGGCATGTGTACCTTAAAAATAATTTCGTGAAGGTACGATACGTGATCGTCGCTCATTCCACGTGGATATGCGACTCGACACTAGAGGTATGTATCCCTGCACAACGAGACTTGGATTGTCAACTGGACTAATCTTTCACTTTTTTATCCGGTTCATTGTGGTCATAATAAACTGTATCATTGCTTAGTTCCCTAGCCAGGTACCTACTGAGGTAGGTACATCTCGAGCCCTACGATTGTCGTGTTTGTCCCATCCACTGCACAAACCAGCATCGTAGTCACTTCTCCTAGACCTTTTGAACAATTAATATACATATATGAGCCTTTTTGCCTCCCAGGCTATATGAAACATCCCCATTCAATCTCGAAATTTTTACGAAGGCTTGACCCCATTTTCAGGGGCTCATTTTACCCCTGAATCTCGCTTAGTAAGCAGACTTCAACAAAGATATCCAGTAACGACGACCACGATAAACCGATGCGACCGAATACTACAAGTGAATGCGAACCAAGCCCGAGCTCATCAAAGACATATACTACCAAGATGCCTAGTATGAATCTCTCAGTAGAGTACGCTCATAGTTTCTATCAAAGGTCCAATAACTCCTAAGGCCTTTCCGTCTCTATGCGGCTTACCCCTATCCCCTATTTCAATAACAAATCACACATCTACGAATTCGCTAAGCTCGAGCGTCACCTTCGCGTAAAGCCATTCAATCCTGAAGAGGTATATACCTATGCATTTATTGAGACGTTGTAGATATAAGTAGGTACCTAAGTTAGGTTGGTATAAAGAAGTAAACCGTCCGTGCACGTCCAAACGCCTATGTAAAAAGGACCCCTTGGATACACTTTTAACCCTCCCATCTATATACATCGCATCGCGTTTACATCGTACCTTAGGATCTAGTCCAAGGACCGTATACGCGCGAATACCCAGAAAAGGGCCTTCTTGGTCGCGGGAAATCCTACTACTGTTCGCGTAAACCGTTAAAACCCGAGAGGGAGAGAAATTGATCGATAAGACATCCATTCCATTGCAGATCATCAACGCCTGGGCGATGAAAGCCCCGCGAGACAAGGCAACTTGAACTCGACGATGGCACGTCTTACTAGCCCTACAACTCCATCATACCTCCAACGCCTTCGCCTAACTACTCTTTTCATGATTCTTTCTCTCTGAAGCCAAGAGGCTCCACGTAATTCCAGCATATACACCTCAAAATCGTTTTGCGGACATTCCAATAGCTTGTTAACCCCCTTATGAATCCACACTCGAAGAGTGATTACACTCTATACATTATCTATGTTTTGGAAACAATATTCGAGTGGAATCCTTCTGCCCCGATAAGCCATTGGCACCTTTTTGACGGATGATCGACCAAGCCTGCAATGACTACAATCGCCCCCAGGGGCCAAAAGTCTAAACTGAGCCCACCCGTATTGTGGTATTTTTCTTCCTATGCCTTGCCGTTCGAAGGCTCATCCCGAACGTAGATTTCTGTCTACAATCGGGGGTATGGGGTTTGTTCCAAGCGTTTAAATCATGCGTCATTCCGTAACGTCGTGAATCCTCCACATCTATCATTTACTCTGGGGGATAAACATCGGGATCGCAGTAAGCGGTCGTTTATAATTGAGGCCGCGGGATAAAAGCAAATGACGCCAAATTTGTATTTTTGATGATTCGGTTTTTTTTATTTTGGGGTTTCGGCTCATCGATGTGTCCGGGAAATCTCTAAAGGGAGGACGGATATATACAGGGGGTCGGCCACCCTCGTAGATTGCGACATTTCGAAGCCGGATATTCAGCAGAAGCTCTTGAAATCCATTACAGAGATTCAGGCTCTCCTGGGTGCTGGGCATAAGCCAAAGTTAGGGTAACCCATTCCCATCGTACCCACTAAGACAGATTATGGGATACGCAGGGGTTCGATTCGGATAAACCTGTGCCGTCGACCGGCGGTGTTCGAAGAACTCTGGCGGTTGGGAATTTCCACCTCTTATTCAACATTCGACCTCGATGAATACCAATCGAATTTTGATTAAGTTGAGGGTTTTTGTTTACTCACTGGCCACAACTGACTTGTCGGCACGCGACGCCATGAAGTTCGCATGGCTCTCGAGGCAACGCGCCATTAAGTTGTGCACTAGGGGCTTGTTAGCAAGCTTTTTCTGATTGAGCTAATCAAATCTGTATTACTCACCTGGCCATACGGCGGACTTGTCAAGCATGTACGCCGTGACTCTCAGGATTTTAGTCGCATATCCACCGTGGCTATCCATTTGAAGGCGAGAATCGATACCACCATTGACACTGCCACTAACAATATCCATATTCATCTTCATCTCGGCAGTTGAAAGAAGCTCCTGGATCTTATGGATAAGCTTGACGTCCTCATCTTCGAGTAGCATAATGGCCGGAACTCCACTCATATCAACCTCATCCTTGCCAAGGACGCCGAGATATCTACCGACTCGGTCTTGTAGCGTGGCGATCCATTCGGCGAGAACCTGCGCGCAATCAAAAGAGCACATTGCAGATTGTACAGGTAGTTCTCGGCCGGTAAATTCAGCAAACGTAACGCCGAGCTTATCAGACATGGAAAGAGAGTCAGCAGCATAGAAAGCAGCCTTGCGAAGGTGTTTTTCCCGGCGAGTTATCGCCCGGCTGTTAGTACCCTGTAGCTGGGACTGCGAAAGAGGGGGCGGGGGAAATTTGACTGCGGAAAATTCGGGAGACGAAGATTGCGTTGGTGGTGAGTCGACGAAGACTGAGCTTGCGGCAGAAGCATCCGATGGATCTGTCATTGATTCCGCGTTCGACGATGGAGAATGCTCTGCGTGTTGAACGATCTCGGTACCACGGGAGAGTTCGTCTGCCAGGCCGTCCCAGTCTCGTTGCCAAAACTTCTCTTTGGTTCGGGACATGTTAACAAATAATCGGATATAAGCTAGGTCGAGTAAAGGAATTGCGTCGGCTGAAAGAGGTCCCATGCCAAACGGATTTGGGCGCTCTAAGCTGTGGTGTGGGTTACTAGCCCAAGCCGATTGCCATGCTTTTAATGCTGGCTCGATGTGACGGTGCATTTTTTCCGTCTCTTCATTTGTCCACATCTTGTTATGGTGACGCTGACGAGTTTCCCAAATGTAGTTGTGAAGAGCGTTGATCAAAACTAAGCAGCCAAGGGTACTTGGCTTCAATTCACTTGGTGGGATATCGTTCATTTGAATCGCCGAGCCCATTTGCTGCTGCCCATTGCTAAATGCCAATTTCTGCTGCTTCTCGTTGGTACGAAGCAACTCGCCTAAAGCCTCGTGGAACGTAGTTCGGTTGTGCCCGGCAGCCCGCACACCGCCTTTCAATTGGAAGGAGGCAGCACTCTCAGCTGCGAAGAACTCTTCATCACAAGGAAGATCCAGAACAATTTCGGAGTTAGTCAATGCCGGGGTATGGTTGTAAGCCGTCACTAGGATACTCGAAAGAATGAAGATAACGTAAAGAGTGCGTTTTCGTTCCTCCATGGTTTTCCACCTTAGCCATTCGGCCTGTTCCTCAGAATCTGCCTTAATGCCACCGTTCCAATTACCCTCGGCGTCATTGATTTGGATTTCCCGAATTTCTGCCGAGTCCATTTTCACGGGTCGAAGTAGGCCAGCAGCTTGAGCAAGACTAACTAGGGCCGCGGAGTGAGTTGAGGCGATATCACTCGCAATCTTGTCACCGCAATTGTGTCCATATACGACGTTGAGCAGCATTGCTTGCACTAACCATAGTGGTGTGTGGATCGACGACTCCGGTCCTTGGGATCCCTGGTCGGATGAGGGAGTTCGGCGGAAATCAGCCTTTCGCATATCGGCTTTTCTTCGTTCTTCTAGGTATAGCTGTATCATTTTCTTGGCCATTTCGAACAACTCCCTTGATTGAGCGCGCTCCATTTCATGAAGAGCACCAATAGCAGCCATAGATAAAATGAGACAACCGCTTCCACCAACTGTATTAGAGCGTCCACCGTTTGAACTAGATGGTGTGTCAAATGAGAGAGTGGGTAAATGTAGAAATGGGAGATGGGGATGGAAATAACGGAAATATGCAGCAACATATCTCTGTAGATCTTGAGTGCTTGGTAGGTTTTTCACATTGTCAGATGCGTTATCGGGGGTATTCGGGAATTGAGGCGACATAGGGGAGTTTGGGGATGTGAAGGAATATTTACGTCCGCTGTACGGCCCACATTGGGACAACGCGCTGATGAGCGCGTTCCGCGTAGCTTCAGTAATAGTTGAAACAGGTGAGTGTGACTGATGGCTACCACCAAGAGAGGTTGGTGTCTCCGGACCAGGACCGAAACCGAGGGATTGGTTCAATCCGTGCGCGGTCAAGCCGGGCATCATAGAAGGACTAAGTGAACTCATTGATGGAGGTGGAGTTGAGAAATAAATGTCACTCATATTCTTCTGAGATGACGACTGGGGAGAAACAGGTGCGCCGTTCAATAGATCCGGAAAGACCGTGCCGCTCATCTCCATGGAAAAGGGCGTCGTCACCTGAGGAGGGCCCATTAAAGCCGGCTGCCACATGGAACTAGATGCCGTCGTCACAGCTGTTGGGTTGGAACCATCAAGCATCACATCACTAATACCACTTTGACTAGTGGTGCTCATCGCGGACGGTGACGAACCGTCGACAGCATTCTCGCCGGGGTTGTTGAATGACATCTGATGCTCGAATCCTGTTAACCAGTCAAAGCTATCATCGATATGCTGGCTAGGAGTAGACATGTCCGTCATCCCGTTACCAAAAGGAGACGTGGGGTCGAGGGACATTGAGTGGGGAGACTCGGTATAGTGGAGCGCGTTCGGGTTGATAGTTGAACCTGGTTGACCAAACAGCAGATTCTCAAACTCATAATCGGGTTGGAAGGGTAGAGGAGGAGCTGTACGTAGGCCAGCATTAAAGTCCATGTTATTAATGCTATGAGTCTCCAGCTTCGGTAACCCATGGCTCATGCCCCGATGACCCATCACCGAGGACATACCGGCAAAACCATGGTCCACATTGTGTAGTGGCAATCCCACGAGGCTCTGGTGGCGACTGTGAGTCGGCGGGATATGGTGTTGACTCCTCGCGACTTGAGCATTCGCGGCAGCAATCATTTGCATATGGTTCCCGTCCACATGGCTAATGGTGTTTGCGCGAGGCCTCATCGAGGCGTTTGCTGCAGCTGCGGAAGCGTTTGCACTGGCAACACTATTTTTCCGAGCCCGACTCTGAGCGGTAGCAGTACTGCTGGTGCTCTCGCGACGGTTCCGTGGCCGCGACGAGGGTGTCGTGGTCTGGTGGAGTTTCTGCTGGTGTCGCAGGAGCAGATCTCGTCGGGCAAAGCATCGTGTGCACTCGGGACACTCAAATGGCTTTTCTTTGGTGTGGGAACGCTCATGACGTTTCAGATGTTCCAGTCGGGCAAATGAGCGCTGACAAGTAGCACAGACGTGAGGACGAGGCTTGTCGGTTTTGGGCGGAGGGAAAGTCGCGGGAGCAGCGGTGGTGGTGGTGGTGGTGTTCACCGTAATAGACGAGGCTTCACAAGGCAGTCATGGTCAGTCAATGAGTCAACGTAATCACATTCATAGGTCGAGGATAGAGTACAGGTAGTTGGTATAACAAATTGGCGCCGGCGTTGTCTACGACCCGCCATTGAGCTAGATAAGAGGAGAATAGGTATAATAGGTATGGGGAAGTTGGAGGGGCAATACGAAGAAGCTGTCTTGGAGGGGGGTTGGAGCCCATACCAGAATCATCGTTGCCAGCATTGTTCCCTGAGACTACAGCGGGCGGCGATGGATTGGACATGACTGATTGAGAGAAAGAGAGAGATGGATGGACGGATGGCGGAAGAGAGAAGGAGGGAAATCCAACCGTCGACTACCGTTTCGACTCGTCAAGGCTATTGAATTGAAAAAGCAAACGTGAGTTGCGTTTATTTCCTTGGAGGTAGAATCGAAATCGACGGCGGGCGGAATTCGTGGATTTGGGGTGTGGTGTAAGTGGGAGGAAAGTAGCAAGCAGAGCGCAGAACGATGGAGAGCGTGATTGATTGATTGATTGATTGAGTGGTGGTTCTGCGGTTCTGCAAGAGAGAGCCTCTGCGGTCTGTGGTTGCGTGTGTGGTGCGTGGTGGGGAGATTTTGGAGGTGGGAAGGAATCGATTTAGTCGAATTAGACGGGTGGATTGGCTAATACTTGGGATACTTTTGATACTTGGGGACGTTAGGCCGCACAGTAGCGGGTAGGTTAGTAGGTTAGTCGGGTACTTCTCAACCTTGGAAGTATGGAAGTATTTGGAGGGGCAGAGTGCAGAGGTGTCAGAGCTTCAAGGAAGCTAGAAGAGCTTGGGCCTTCGTATCGATTGCCGCATAATCCCTCCACTACTAGGTACGAGCCTGTACGTGGGTACAACCGTATCTGACCAGGTACCCATACAGTATGGTCTAATACTGTGTAGGAATTGAGTTCTACCGTTGTTTGTCTGTTACAACATCCGTTTTAATCGATCAATTAAATAATCGAAGGGAAAAAAGGTAATTGGAATCTTCCGATTTAAGAAATGATTAGATCATCAAATGGGAAATTCAATTCGAAGATAAAGGAACAACTTCACGAATTGAAGTTTCTGAAAAATGGGAAGACAAAAAGAATAGACAAATTCCAACCAAATACGAACGAAAAGTAGTAGGTAGTAAGGTAGTAGCAGAACAATAATAATGCATTCAAACTACGCTACATAATGTAATGTAGAATCAACTTCGGGTCATGCAGGATCGGGCCATGCAACATATTCATTGGGTTGGGTTTTAGATGCTAGCATGTATCCAAGTATCCAACTATGTACTGAAGGCAAAACGCCGGACCCATTGCCACAGTGTGATTTCATCGTACCGAGATTCAGGGCAGCTAAGGTTCTGAGTGGGCTATGAAATCAGCTTTAACAGGTCACTTGATACGGCTAAAATTGCTGATGGTACATGTAGTACCAGGTCTACCAAAGCTTACAAGGTCTAAATCCAAGGTACCACTAGGCTGAGTACCTGTACATCGTTTAGACGATTTTGTGTGGGCTGATCTTGCGCAAGGGCAAGCCGTTAGTTTCAGGGCATATCGCCCGTTGACAGGGGCCACTCAAACAAGGGTATGTACGACTATGGTAGATTTAATTGGCCCATGGGGCAAGAACCGCCGGAGCCAAACCCACAGCGGGGAGTGGATTTTGGTCACAAGATGCAAATCTAAATGATGTACACTATACTTTGATGTGAAGTATATCCTTAAAGCCGACAAGGAACCACCTACATACATACATATATACATATGTACATAGATCTTGTCTTTTTTATTTTATTTTCAATTTGATTCACCAACCCAGGTTACATTCAGTTACATCGACGCTTGTTCCCATTTTACCAATCTTCGGCTCTGGTCTCATTTTTTCTCTAGTTTTTTCGTAGTAATTTGTTTGCTTGCTTGCCTACTTGTCTACTACTACTAGTACATTATGTACTGTATCAATTCGCCATTTGTCGGTCTCCGATAATGCTCTCCTACTTCTACCTTTTTCTCCGTCTACGTAGTTATGTATTCTGATTATGCTATCACGAGACAATACACATTTTGAATAAATCTTACATAGCTCAGCTTGTGCCTTTGTTCTCGTCATTGACAGGCCTCTTTACATATTTGCTTACCTACCCAATGGGATGATCTTCAGGGAGCTACCCATTCCTATGAGTCTGCCACGGAGCGAGCTCGGCGAAATGGAGCTTGGTAACCGCTTTGAGTCTGCTCTGGTTTGAAATCAAGTCTTCCAAGGCTCCAACAGCCTTCGCCCGCCAAAGGACCCTTGGAGGGGCTGGAAAGGGACCGAGGGGCAACCATGTATGTACATACATGCGCTATCTGGGCTAAGATGGGTCCCTCGTGGGCTTCAATAACCACGTCTGGTCCCCCTCGTCGACAACCCCGGGCAGGCGAATCTTGATGGTTCTTTTCGGTCTGTTAGCGGCCCTGCAGGCACATCATCGTCTATTACTTCAAGCAGTCTGGTGCTATCTATCCTGCACCACGGTTCGTTTGCCCAATCGTGCTTCTACATTCTAGAACGTACAGTACAGTGTGTAATACGTACGTGGTATGTGCGCTATCACCCGCAACAGCAACGCGGGTGAGTCGATCGAACTCTGCGATCCCGGCGACCTTGCGTCGAGCGTTGGGATGCCCTGCTCTCGCGAACGTCGTCTGATTGGGTTATATGGAGCTGTCTTTTTTGGACTATTCCACGTCCAGCCAAGCATCGCTCTACCAGAGATGTCCTAACCATGTCCACATACTCCCTAGAGCGTTCCTTCACACCACACATAGTACGCAACACACACGCATATAACACAAATTACGTAGTACACGCTATTATTATAGAACTATGTACGTTCGCCGCAGGGGTTCTGAGCAGACCAATAGCCCTTCCCGGATATATAAACCGTCGTGTTAACAATGGTAATCTAGGATTCATTTACATACATAGTATTCCGCGGTGATAGACCGAGGAGAGATTACGCTTCGGATCCAAAGACACACAGCAAACAAGGCATCCCAGGCACGCGGATAGCAACGTACTATGGCATTCTCAGGTCCTACGTCTTAACAGTTTCAAAGGAAATAACTTTCAAGCGACCGATGAGTACGTATATAGTTATGAAGAAATCTCACTCACTCTTTTAGGTACCATTTTTCCCTGATGACGAGGTTTGCTTGCTTCTCGAAACAGGGTCCCCCTTTTATGCGGTGGACTAAAAATGGCAGGCCAAGCTAAGAGATGCAAGCTGGTGCCAATCCTTCCTATCTGGGTTAATTAACATGCACAGTGGGATGTATGCAGGCATAGCGCGAGGGAGCGAGTACCCAAGTACCCGAGTACCACAAGTACACAGTCTATATCCGGTTCCACTCTCACTCTGCACTCAAGTCACTTAAGTCACTCTTAGAAGGTCTTGCAGCCTGTTCGTAACAGCGCGCTGTAGCCGCCGAAGATCGCAGCTTGCAGGTCCCCAACGCTTGAAACCCATTCTTTTCCGACCATTTCAGTCGAGAAGAAAAAAAAAATCATGCATCTGCAAAGTGGTCCCTGAAATCTCGAAGGACATGATGAGTCTTACGTGCAGATAGACAGACGGACAGTCAGTCAGACATTAAGTCTCGCAAAGGTGCGTTGTACATACCTACATATTTCTAATACCTAAGCAGGACAATACCGATCCCACTCCACCCACCGCTGAAGCAGTCAAGTCCCATATCATTCTTGAGTAACAGCCGTCTGAGACCCTAGGAGTTAAGAGCCTCTTCCAGGACTCTCTGTTAAGTCTAGCAATGGATAATCATGCCTTACACCCCAGTGTCACAACCCATAGCAGAAAAAAAGCCACCCTAACGGCTAGTTTCTACTAGCTCTGTCATTAATAAACTTCCCGCCTGTCGGCCTGTCGCTCTCATGCTCAACAATACGGTGCGGGTTATGGCTTTTACGGATAGTTACCTTCTTGTGTGCCACTAGGTTTGACCTGTCCACGAGTACCTGGCCTAGAATTTTGAATCAGGTCGCTCCCGGTGGCTATGAAAACGTGGCACGGCGCGCTAAATGCATGTATCGGATGTCTACCTCGTTGAGTATTTCCACGTAAGGTCTTTGTCCGCGTTCGCGGACGTCTTTCAATACTTACGGCTTGAAGTCAGTTGATGGGAATTTTTAGTTCGTTGTCCGAGCCAATGATCGAGGTTACTTCCCATCTAAGCCAGTCTAACGTCGGGATGCACAACGACGGTTTTGCCATCGCGGCGACGGCTACTATGTAACCTACACAAGTAAATTGAATGTGCGGGATTGGTCGATCCATCAAGCCAAGAAATACCCGTAGCAACCCTAGATACAGTCGACATAGCCTGATCCCCTTGCCCACATAATATTGTTGGCAATGTCTCACACTTTTTTCTAAGCATGAATTTCAAGATACAGTACAACCGAAAAACTTCTCCGTACGTCGTAACCCTTAGTTAAGTATGAAAGACTCCTTGGACATAAGAATCGCACATGGACGCCTCTAAGTTTTCTAGCCAAACTCCCGTGATACCCGACGAGAGAGCTGAGAATGAACTTCTCGGGTTCCTCGGGTTCAACTAGCCGAACCACTTAGGGCAGCGGGAGGTTCTCAAGGAGCACGTTTGGGGTATTCACGGCTTAAAAAGCAACCCTGCACGCCACATTTCTTAATGACATGGTGCAGTGCTCGCCTGTTGGCCATGTCGCTTTAGCCAAGATTCAGCGCTAGAGGACAAGACAGGGGTGTGATGAAAGTACGAATTCATCCGTTTCGCACGCACCATCAGTTCGTATGACGCCCCTTACGCGAATGATGGTTGTCTTCTAGAAGACTATCTCGAGTCTGTAAGGGGCAAGGCACTTCTTTGTCTCTATCATAATCTCGAAATAAAATATAGAAAATTTAGTGTATCCTGAGCATCTTCACTGAGCATACCACAGTCGTACTAATGAGAATCAGCCGGAGATCACCTAAACCAACCAGAAAAGTAGGTCCCATCTTTTAAAAACTCGAACTGCAGTGACCTCGCTCGGAATTGACCCCCGGCTACGACTGTGTTAAACGCCATTGAGCCTTTCAATTCGCTAAGGTTAGTATCCCTAAACAATGTGCATTCAAAACTATTGCAGTTCAAACGGCGTTGCTTTATTATCTATTCCATCATACCTCAAGGCAATGAAACTGGTTACATTACGAAAATTCAACATC